TTGCGGCGTCAATCGTCTGGTGTTCTTGGAGCCATTGGGCCGCCCATGCCTCAACTGGGCGCCTCTCGTTCCTTCGGGACGCTCTCGTCCTCTGGTGTGGCTTCCTCTGGGATTGCTGTTCCATGTATCCCCAGATTTTCTCGTCGGCGTGTGGTAGGCAGTCTGCGCTTCGGCATTCGTTGACTCCTACGCCCGCCATACAGCGTCGGGGCCAGGCTGCCTTGGGTTTAACCCTCAGCCTGCCCTCGTGAGTGCGTTGGGTGTCCCACAACATGCCTGCGGGAGCGTCGCCGCTGTCGTATACCCATCTGATGGGCAGGGGTTGCATTCCCTTTTCTTCTCTTGTGGGCCAGAAACTGTTGCGAAATTTGTCCTGGAAGTGGTACCGACATTCGTGCGTGATGCACTGGAACCAGGGCAGGTAGATGTGACTTTCTTTTCGTGGGTCCACCCGCTCGTGGTCTTCTGATAACAACTGGAATCCCTCCGTGTTGTTCTCGCCCCGAAAACCCCACCATTCAAGGTCGGAGGTCTGTCGTCCGGCGCGCACGATGTGCTGATGTCGCGTCCAGTATTCTTCCCAGCTCTGCTGTTTTCTTCCTTTCGCCGCATTCTGTTCCTGTGCGTAGTCGAAAAGTTGCTCGGGGTATCGTACTCCGTTTTCGTATCCTTCCGCCTCTTCGGTGGGTCCATCCCACGGTGTGTGGTGCGGAAGTGCCTGGCGGATGTCGTCCTGCAAGGCCTGTGCCTCTCTTAATGTCTTTTCGACGTGATCCCCGGCCCTGTTGTTGGCCTCGGTGATCTCTTGGACTCGTTCTCTGGCGAAATCGAGTTCCGCGCAAAGTTGTCCATACTGGTCGTTCCTTGCTTGGAGAAGCTGCTCGAGTTCTTCTTTCTCTCTCGACAACTCCTCGATCCTTTGCCGTTGGCTTAGGACCCTCTGCTGTAGGAAGGTGAGGTTCGGGCTGACTCCTCCTTCACCCTCGTGGGTTCGCCATTGCCCGTCCTCTTGCTGAACCAGGGTGATGCCCCAGTCCTCAGCGACTTGTCGGATGTACCGCGGGGGAGCCAGTTCTCCCTCGTCATCCGTTTCGATGAAAGCGTGATGGGCGGTGTCATTTCCCTCCTGGTGGTTGCTGCTCCTCAAGTCTTCTTGATCCGAGTCGGTGAGTTCATCGTCCTGCTCGATGACTCGGTCAATGTCGATTTCGAGGTCGTCCTGCGTGTAGCTGGCGGCTGCGACCTCCAGAAACCGGGTTCTTCTTCCGACCGTGTCTTGGTCGATGGTGGCAGCTTCCTTCCCTGGAACCGGTCTCCACTCTTTCTTGCTGCGGCAGTCACGTTTGAAGTGACCCTTCCTCCCGCAGTTGTAACAGGTGATGCCTGATTTGTCCTTGGCACCATCTCTCTTTCCTGCCCACTGTGCCTGGGCAGCGCTGACGTCCATGGGTCCCGAGTGCGTGCCGTATGACGTGCTCTGGTGCTGGCGTTTCTTTTTGTCGTTGGGCTTGTGGTAGCCTGCGGATCGCTGAACCTCGCTGCCCTTCTTCTGTTGTTTGCGGGCGAACTGTCGGTCGTCAATCTTGACAGCCATGGCGATGTACTCGTCGAGTGTGTCGGGTCGGCTCTCCTTGTAGAGCTCGTCCTTGACCTCCTCCTTCAGCCCTCCGTAGAACAGGTGCATCAGCCCCTCGTCGTCTATCTCTGCCTTCATGGAGTCTTGTCGGAAAATCGTGGCGTAGGCGGTGGCTGACCTAGTCTGCTTCAGCCGTCCTAGCCGTTCCTGGGCGTGCAGCTTCTCGTCCTTGTCACCGAACACCTTCTGAATCTCACTCTCGAACTCGGAGTAGTTCTCGAAGACTTTTTTGGTGAAGGGTTTGTGGATTGCTCCGCCGAGGAAATCACTCAGTGTTCCCGTGAACCACTTGAGGGCCTTGTCCTTGAGTCGGGTGGCGGCGTATCTGGTCTTGGATTCCTCAGTGGCGAACTGGTGCGAGTTGTGGTCGAGATAGTTCCGCATCTCCGTGATCCAACCTGGCAAGGCTTCCTGGTCGCCCCCGTACTTCTCGGGTTGCTCCAATTTGACCTTTGTCTTGGCCGGGTCCTTGGTGTGGACCTCGGTCGCCGCAAGTCGGGCTGCCAATGCCGCGTTGCTGGCCTTGGTCTTCGCAAGCTCTTCTTCAGTTTCATCGAGTCGTTCGGTGACTCTCTGAAGCGCGGCCGTGATCTGGCCCGGCGTCGGTTGAGTTGCCATGTCGTTTTACCTTCGAGCCTGAACTGTAACAGATCAAAGGGAGTTAGCAACGTGTGACGAACCTGTCTCTGGACCCGTCCTGTTAGGGTTCAGTATCGGTCGAAGGTATTCTCTCAAGGGTGCTTAGGTTCGGTGCAGCCAAAGGGTGCACAACAAAGACTTGTCTCAACAGTAGGCTCTCGAGCTTGTAGCGAACTGTAGTTGTGATTGCTAACTGGAGAACTCCCAGAGCTCTCCAGAACGAGTGACTATATACTATCTAATCCTGTTGCTCATTATGCTCACGAGTCTTGGCTCTGAGCACATTGAGCACCTGGTGCTCATGGTGCTCACGAGTCTTGGCTCTGAGCACATTGAGCACCATGGCTCTCGCTTCTTACTGGCTGAGTGCCTCGTCGGGTGATTGGTCCGGGGTTACTGCCATCATACCCCGCCGGCCGGCTGCATGCGGCCATATCCGTGACAATCTAATAGATAACTCTAGAGTTTATAGTATTTCCTCCTATAAAAACTTTATTTTTATAGAGAGATAGATAATATAATTACTAGTTTCCTAACTATATAAATATATTATAACTATAAAACCAGATAGTATATAACTATATATATCTTTCTCTAAATAGAGAGAGTAGTTTATTTATAGGTCTAATAGATAACTTTAGAGTTTATAGTATTTCCTCCTATTATATAATAGGTTAATAGATCTAAATATTAGTATTATAATAGCTAGTCTAGCAGTTTACAAATAGGGTTATATATTATCTATTTAATAATTAAGAGGCTAAAGGTATTAGAATAACAGCTATTTAAACTATAATCTATCTACCTTACTATTACTAATAAAGATACCTAGCCTAATACCTATAGTAGTCCCTTCCCTACCTATATTCTAGAACTCCTCAATTATTAATACTTATAAAATACTATATTATATAAACCGCTTAACTAATATCCTATCTAATATAAAATATAGGGTATAAATACTATAAAAGAAGGTACCGGTAGTAATATATATAGGAATAGGTATAGGATATCGGACTATACTACTGATTATCTCTCGGATAATATCCCTCTCCTAGTAGTAGGTATAGTAGGCAGAGCCAATCCGAATTTACCTAGCTAAGTAAATGGCGGCAGTACTACAGAGATTATCGTCCAGACGCTCGCTATTTATAAGGTAACTTTTAAAGGTATAGTTAGGATTATAGAATAGAAGTATAAACTGCTTTATATCCTCCTTAATATAGATAGGATTGAGCTATATTTAAAAGTTATACTTTAATATAATAGATAGCTATCTATTTTCCTCTTTATTAAAAAAGAGGCCTTTCTTAAGTAGTAATGCTATAAGTATTATATAGAGATATACTAACTCCGGTTCTTCTACTTTATATTAGAAAAATAACTAGAGAGTTATATAGTAAATTAATTAGTTAATATTAGAAGAGAGGGTATTATTAGTATTTGGTAAACCGAGATATTCTATTTTAGCTTTCTATTCTACTCTAACTAATATATTAGAATAACTCTTAAAATAGTAGAGAGAAGAAGTAATAAATAATATATCTATTGTTACTAGGGTTATTATTCTAGATATAGGTATACTAACTATAGAATCCTAATCTATAGGGAGCCTACTACTATTACCCTCCTTTAAAACTATAAAAAATAAATAGATATATATAAAATTCTATATAATAAGAGAAACTTATTAACCTAGTATCGCTTTAAGGTTCAATTACCCTTAGAAGTATAAGATATTTATTTAGTAGTATCCGATATAAAGGGTAGCTAATTAAAAGAGTTAGGGCTGTTTAAACTGAATCTAGTACCAGCTATTAAATATATTAATTTCTTAACTATATTATATTTTTTATAGAGCTCCTTATTAAAGAGAGTATTTATAATATTATAGTAGTAGGTATCTCTAGCTTCCTCTTAGCTTACTTATTACTATTAATTAGAAGAGCCTCTTTAAACTTAGTAATACTAAAGATATTAAGGTTATAAATAATAGTAGTATTACCCTAGTTAATATAAAGGATAGTAAAAGTATACTTAATATTATAGTAAATATTTAATAATATATTAAAGTAAACCTTATATATTAAATATAAAATACCAGCCTATAAATACCAATTATTACCAGATATATATATAGTAATAAAAATAAGTTTAAGCTATAGTAGTATCTAACTTTTATAATTGTTATATATAGAGGATTGCGCACTGACTAAAGGTAACCAACTGTAGCGTAAATGGAGAGTCAGAAAGTTGGAAGAAAAGAAGGATGGAGGGTGCGGATTAGGCGAATACGAGAATAAAGTGGAGCCGGTTAACTTTTCTTCCGAAAACTACAACTTTGCGAAGCGAGGCCCCCCCGCCGAGCGAAGTACCCTCAATAGTAGGATGGAGGTTGTAAGTGGTTCAGGAGAAGTTAGAGGGAAGTTGGGAAAGTCATAAATAGGCAAACTCAGACGGCTTGGATGCCTGGAGGAACTTGTGTGTATTTCTTGGCCTCCTATTCGCAGAACACATATCACCCATTCCATCAAATCACCACTGGCAAGGAACACACCGGGGTTACACGACTGATACTCTCACGTTCGGTCTGACTTTAGACCCAATTAGTCTGCATATTAAATTAGACAGGATCCAGGCTTCAGGTATCTAACGTTCCCAACTCAATGCTTTAGACTCTGAACTAGAGATTCACAACCAAGACGCAGCGCAGCGGAAACCGACGGCTAAACCCGCTCCTCCTACACATCCAAACTTCTTTGACGTTCGGTCGCCTCAAGGCTTCGGGCCCGAGCAGCTACTACCAAAGCCCCGACCCGCACCAAAAACAAGGGAAGAAAAGAGCTTTGTCTCATCGTCCAGGGCGGCCCAACGACACCCCGCCCGCTTTGGCTCTCAACACAAACGAACACAGAGGATATCAAGCGAATTCGCCAAACTGCCCGTCATCAAAGCCCAGCTGCTGGGCGCTCAGCCTCTTCTGGGCCCTCACCTCGCGCGCGCTCGGCGGCGGGGGCGGCGGCAGAGCAAACGACGCCAGGCTCTGCCCCTCCCCTTCCTTCTTCTCGCCCTGCGAGTCCGACCTGCCCGCGCGGCGCCCAAACCTCGTACCCGCCAGGTTCACCGTGATCGTCTCGCCCTCCTTCAAACTCAAATCACGCTTCTCCTCCCCGGCCCCCAACCCACCCAGCAAATTCCCCCCTCCACCACCACTCAACCCCGACCCACCACCCGCAGCTCCCACCCCCGCAGTCCCCGCCCCAGGCGCCGGCGGTTGCGCCCAGCCCAGCGCGCGGCCGGCCTCCTGCAGGGCGACGCCGAAATCGAACGCCTCGCTGCGCTCCTCGAAGCCGACGCCCAGCGTGGCCTTGTGGCCGGAGGCCGGGTCGCGCACGCGCAGGGCGAAGAAGCGCGAGCTGTCGGTGGTGGGCTCGACGGCGGCGGAGGCGGCGTAGGGCGCCGCGGCGAAGAGCGAGCCTGTCGAGGGGTCCTCGAGGAGGATGTCGACTTTGAGTTGTTGGGGTGCGTCTTCGTCGTCTTCGTTGTTGTTGTTGTTGTTGTTGTTGTCTTGGGGTTGGGGGAGTTTTGGTGTGGTGGTGGCGGGGGAGGGGGAGGAGGTGAATGAGGTCTCGAGGACGCGCAGGCGCGCGGTGAAGATGTGGTTGCGCGGGTCGGTGGTCCAGGAGGCGGCTGCGTAGCCGGCGGTGGTGGAGACGGCGTCGCGCGGGAGGGAGTAGACGTGGACTTTGTTGGTTATGTCTGGGGGTTGTTTGTTAGGTGTCTATTTTCTTGAAAGTGTATTCCAATTGGGCTCTAAGGAAAGAAAGACAGAGAGGAGAGAGGGAAAAGAGTGAGAGGCAGAGAGGTCTTACGGAGAATGCGTACAATGGCGTCGGGGGGGAGAGGACGGCCCGTCGCTGGGTCGATGATCGCTGAGGAGTCCATCTTGGGAATTTACTGTTTTCCGGGTTTGTTTGGACCGGAAGAACTGAGAATCAAGGACAGGAAGGTAATTCGAGTATTTCTGAACTTACCGCTCCGGCACTTGTCCGGGGATGCAATATGCCGGCTCCTGGTGGGGAATCGGATCGGTGCCTGCTTCACTGCCCGAACGACCCCGCCATGCCCCTCCCGCAGTGACCCCACCATTCGGGGAGTGAGACAGCGGGGCATTTGAGGATAAAGGGCGGTGTGTTCTGGCAGAATGCCTCGAGCCCGAGTCCAATTGAGCTTTGAGTCACAAGCTAATAGCTTCCAACGGGCGCCGTGATCAGACGAATACAATCGGTGCATTTCACCAGAGCAGAATACCGCGTAAATATTATATACTATTTCATCCGAGACCAGACGGCCTGCTTTTATACTCGCCCCTACACCCTCACGCTTCTGTTCATCACAAGAATTTACTATTCTTTACCCCGCGGTTACTCTGCCCTTGTTACTCTATCAACCCATAAAGACACCCAATCCATTCCCGACTAGTTACAGAATTTGAGTAACTGCATGCCCTATCGCAGCCCACTCCCTACTTTTTCAGTACTGCGCTTTTTCACAACCGAGATCATGGCAGCCGACAACCCGTCAAAACCGGCCCCAGCCCCAGGGGCTACAACCCAACAGCTTCCTGTCCGATCAAGTTCCACGTCCAACCCCTCCTCACAGCGTGAGGATGGAGCGGCATTCGAGTGAGCACTACTCTAGCTTCGTGGCACTTTGTTAAATTAAACCCGTGCTGACAGGAGGTAGCATCGTGCGCACCTATCGCGACCTCCTCAACTCAGACCGTGAACTTACGATGGGCGTCGCTGCCATTGAGTCCCTCATCGAACTTCTCCGGGCCACTTCGTCTTCGACTGCCATGGAGCTAGTCGAGATTGTTAAGAAAGAAAAAGCCAAGCTCCTCGCCTCGGCACCCAACCCACTCCCACTGCTCGCCGGCGCCGACCTGTTCGAGCAATACCTGCTGCGCTCGCTTAGAGGGCCGACCGCAACAACCACGGCGAGCGGCTCCGACCGCGTGCTCAGCTTCGAGGAGACGCGCCAGCACCTGCTCGACAACAAAGACCTCTTTGCCCAGCGCGCCAAGGCCGATCGGGATAGCATCGCCATTTGGGGCAGCCGGTACGTGTCGGACGGCTGCGTGGTGCTCACGGCCGGCGGCAGCCGGACGGTGACTAAGATCCTGCTCCGGGCGGCGGCCGACCACAGCAAGCACTTCAAGGTGATCTACATCGTGGACGGGCACAACAAGCGCAGCGACGTGGCCGTGGGGCAGCTGCGCGAGGCCGGGCTCGAGGTCGAGACCATCTCGCCGCACAAGGCGGCCTACGTGCTGGGGAACCAGAAGCAGATCAACCTGGTGCTGGTGGGCACCGAGGTGGTGATGCAGAACGGCGGCATCATCTCGGGCATGGGCACGGCGCAGCTCGCGCACCTGACCAAGACGGTCAAGGGCGGCATCAAGCGCTTCTACGTCGCCGCCGAGACCCACAAGATCTGCCGCAAGACCCCGATCGCCTACCCCATGGTCAACCGCGTCGGCATCCGCCAGAAGGACATCAGCAAGTTCGACAACGTCGGCGCCGAGCCCGACCCGGGCGACGACGCGGACCCGGACGTCGTCGGCATGGTCGCCGAGCAGGACGAGGTCGACTACACCGACCCGGAGCTCATCGACGGCATCATCACCGAGCAGGGCGTCAAGATGACGTCCCAGATTTGGGAGATGGTGGATAACTACATCTGAGGAGTATCTGGCGAGGGAATCTGGCGAGGGAGGGAGGTAAGGCGGTTGTCTGCCTGTTAACCCGTTCTTTCAAACTGGCCAACCTGTTGAGGTGATTGGCGTCAAGCGACGTTGCATGATTCGGGGCGTTTTGGTTCGGGAAAAGGGGGGCTAGGTCAAAGGGGAGTCGGATGGGGGAGGTCCTGCGCGTTGTAGTCTTGTTTATTCCGACTAGGTATGTTATCTGCCGTTGCAAGCGCGAGCACGAGTACAGATCTGTACTCTTTCTATCCTCCATCTCCCGTCTGTCCACATCGGATTCAGTTAGTTCGAGGACCATGGCGCCCCCCAAGCCACGATTACTACGCAGCAACGGCTCCCATGCAACCCCACCGCCGAGGCCGTGGGTGGGCTTCGGCCCTCCGGGCGTGGGGTGTCGGGTCCCATTGGCCGAGATGACGTCGATGACGGGTCGGGTGGCTGCAAGGGGTCCGTTCTGGAAAGCCGCGACAGCTCCTGCCTGTACCGTGTATCTGGAGGCGTTCTCGACACACACCCGCACACCTCAGTCCGGTTTCTGCTGCGGGTTATAGTGAGGTGAATAAGGCCTCTCGTATAATTTCCAAGGCTCTTGCATCCTCTCCCTTCCCAGCTGGATCCACACCGAGGGCCAACCGTTGAGCGATTTCAAGGCGGCAATTTGGTGATTTATCATGCATCTCCGGGATTAGCGAGTGTAGCTTGTGTTTCCCTCACCACGTTCGCGTCTCGAGTATGGGACTCGGCAAACCCGCCGCGCCTCCTTCATCTCCATCAACGCGGGGTCTCCCGAGGTCGAGAGGGGTAAGGGGAGGGGTTGCCGGTGTCATTGGCCTGTCGATGATTTGTTGAGGCATGTTGCTCCGTTCGAGTATGCATCCTCCGGCGTGATCCGGGTTGTTGTGGGAGGTAGTACTGTGTGCAAGCAGCAACTCACGAGTTACACTGGAGATTCCCGGGATGATCGATCTTAGAAAAGCTGCATTGGAAACTCTTGGGCCTCGGATTGGAGAGGGACAACGCCTCGGCGATGATGATGCAACAGGGTTTGGTCCGCCTTGCAGGCTCCCAAGGGCGCACATGATGAATAGTGGTTCGATGGGAAGATGCCCGGCTGCCCTGACATGAGCAGCCTCTGGTAACCGTTCCCGCCACGCTTCAATGGAAGTCAAGGTTCAGGAACACGGGCATCCGGGGCGGCCGCACAAGCCCACAAACCCACTAAAAGAGGCGCTAGTTAGGCGCCCCACCAAGCAGCTTAAGCCGGACCCGGGGGGGGCGTGGGGCCGCTGGCACTCCCCAACCTCGGATCCTCTTCTGTGATTTGTCCCTTGCATCATCAACTCCCACTCTCCATCAGCACGCCGCGATGCTCGTGGTCATTCCATGACAAAAGGAATTCAGCCGTTCCATGCAGTCGCTCACCGGACGCGCTATGGGGCCTGCATCCGTTTCTGAATGTGTTCTGGAATGGGACCATCGCCAGCAAGGGCCGCTCCCGAACGAACGCGGCTATCCCACTTCTTCCCGTCTCCAGAGACGCTCGATGCGGTTTCCGCGCGGGCGGGTTACTCAACTCGGCCATGGCGACCTGGTAGCTCGATTCAAAGCTTGAGTGCTTACAACTAACATGACCCGGCTCGACTGTTCCTCCCGCCGTCGCACATTGAATTGAATACAGGAGAAGCCTTGTCCTATCCCCTCCATCCTCAATAATTTTGGTCGGCAACCCCTTCGACCATCTCCTTGACAACTTCCCTCAGCAACGTCTTTGATCTCCCATTCCGGAATTAACAGCTTTGCTTTTAGTATCCGAGTCAATTGATTATCAATTGATCTGACGGCGGGTCTGCTATTCAGAACCAGTGGGGTCTAAAAATAACAGGCCCCCCTCTGACGTGAACGGCACTACCTTCCAAGGTCCTCGACCGTGAGCGTGTCCACAATCCCGTCGGTACCTGGATTCCAGCGCCCTAGCATATACATTGCAGGTACATGTACTAGAACATGGGATCTACCACTTCCTTACCTACGAACGCGTTCAGGCGGGTGGGTGGCCATGTACAGATACACAGTACAACCGGAAGGTCCTCCCTCCCGCCGAAGTCACTGCCCTGACGGAGGGAGGTAGGTGGCCCATAGGTAGTCCCGCTACCCCATCTTTGTCTTCCAAGTTGCTATCCGGTACCTTGAGTCCTACATCCAGAACAATTAGCTATATAGCATATAACTTTCGCCATTCCAGTCCGTTCAAGCTCTCATACTCTAGCGTTCACAAACCAGTCCCGCGAGAGACAAACATGCCTGTCGCCCAAGAAGCCACTGTGACACCTCAGGGCGCCATGCCCCGCCTGGGGGCCATCAAGGAGAAGCAGGGGATGTCAGACCTTCACACGGCTGTCCACCCCAAGCTTGACATCATTGACATCCGCCGCGCCGCGGTCGAGATCAACCTCAAGACCGAGGTGCTCTCCTCGTTCCACAAAGAGGATGGCCCCAGGAAGCTACCCACGCTCCTACTTTACGATGAGAGGGGCTTGCAGTTGTTTGAGAAAGTGAGGCGTTCCTCGAGTCCCCCTTGGACCCCTTGGACCTCTTAGGCTCCTTGGTGGCGTCTTCACCCCACGCTAACTCAAGCCCCCAGATCACATACCTGGACGAGTACTACCTGACCAATGACGAGATCGAAGTTCTCAAGTCGGATGCCGCCGACATTGCCAAGCACATCCCGTCAGGGGCCATGATCATTGAGCTCGGAAGCGGGTGAGTGACATGCCCCCCACCGGATGAGCCACCCGCATGGCAGTCGTGAGTATCCGTTACTGACTGACCTCCGTGTTCAGCAACCTCCGCAAGGTGAACCTGCTTCTGCAGGCCCTCGAAGGCGCAGCAAAGAACATCGACTACTACGCATTGGACCTCTCCCAGCAGGAGCTGGAACGCACGCTTGCGCAGCTCCCCCCCTACAAGCACGTCCGCGCCCATGGCCTGCTCGGCACCTACGACGACGGCCAGGTCTGGCTCAAGGACCCAGTCATTGCCTCGCGCCAGAAGTGCATCATGAGCCTCGGCTCGAGCGTTGGTAAGTTGGCCACCCTTTGGCCCTGTCCCGCCGGCCTGACACGGCTTTGGCAGGAAACTTTGACCGAGCCGATGCCGCCGTCTTTCTCAAGGGCTTCTCTGATGTCCTGGGCCCCGGCGACACCATGCTGATCGGCATGGATGCTTGTGATGACCCGGCTAGGGTTTAGTAAGTAGCGCTGATGAACGCCTGGCTGCTCCGCTCCAGAAACGTCGGGACACTAACGGGGAGTTAGCCACGCGTACAATGGTATGTATTCATGGGCTGTGACTTGCGCGTACTGACTCTAACTGTTCAACACATTAAAGACAAGGAGGGCGTCACCCACGAGTATGCCAACCATACCCCCCTCCAGCATTTAACATGCTGATGGACGGGTCCATGTGACCGGCGCTGACGATTCTAGCTTCGTTCTGAATGGTCTCCGTCATGCCAACAGGGTCCTCGGGGAGACCGCCTTCGTCGAGAAAGACTGGCGTGTCATTGGCGAGTATGTGTACGACGCTGATGGCGGTCGGCACCAAGCCTTCTATGCCCCGGTGCGTGACATCACCGTCCTGGGCGAGCGGGTTCAACCCCACGAGCGGATCCAGGTCGAACAGAGCCTCAAGTACTCGGCTGCAGACTCGGAAGAGCTCTGGAAGCTTTCCGGCATGACCGAGATTGCCCAATGGCGGCACCGCAAGGAATACGGTGAGTCCCTTGTTTTCCATTACCCTCTCAAAAAGGGGTTTCACCTGCGGCATCTCCCTTTTGAGGCAGCCACATCACCTTCCCGAGACGCACCCCACGTCTTTTTGGGAACGTGGGGCCGGTCACACGACCCGGCTTATAAGTGAACCCATGGGCGGCGTTGTCGTCACTGGCTTATCGGGTGCTGCCGGGCTGCGGGGTCCGCATCACCGCCTCTGCCCCCCCTGGGAGATCCCTACCTCTCGGGACCCCTTATCTGAACCGCTCAGGAACCCCTTTGACTGACGTGATCGCACCGTGGAGGCCTTCACATGCTGGCCAAACCGAAAATGGCATTCAGTCTGATTCCATCCGTTTACGCCCGCACGGCACTCCCGTCCCTCGAGGACTGGGAAGGCCTGTGGGCCGCCTGGGACGTCGTCACCTGCGATATGCTCCCGCCCGAGGAGTTCCACGGGAAGCCCATCAAGCTCCGCAACGCCTGCGTCTTCTACCTCGGCCACATCCCCACCTTCCTCGACATCCAGCTCACCAAGACCACCGGCACCCCGCCCACCGACCCGGCCCACTACTACGCCATCTTCGAGCGCGGCATCGACCCGGACGTCGACAACCCGGAGCTGTGCCACGCCCATTCGGAGATCCCCGAGGAGTGGCCGCCCGTCGACGAGATCCGCGCCTACCAGGCGCGTGTGCGCGCCCGCCTCCAGCGCCTCTACGCCGACGGCATCGCCGCCATCCCCCGCCATGTGGGACGCGCCATCTGGGTCGGCTTCGAGCATGAGGCCATGCACCTCGAGACGCTCCTGTATATGATGCTCCAGAGCGACAGGACCCGCCCGCCTCCCAGCGTGCCCGTGCCGGACTTTGAGAAGCTCGCTGCTGCGGCTCGCGCCGAGAGGGTCCCCAATGAGTGGTTTGATATCCCGGAGCAGCAGATTGTTGTTGGTTTGGATGACCCCGAGGATGGGACTGATGCTGATGTGACCTATGGCTGGTGAGTTGACTGTTTGTGGTTGGGCCGTCTGGTGGGTGTGTTGCTGATGATGGATAGGGACAATGAGAAGCCTGTGAGACGCGCGAAGGTCAATGCCATCCAGGCGCAGGGCAGACCCATCAGCAACGAAGAGGTAAACGCTCCCAAGACATTTTAGGTCCCCTGGTGTTGGTGGCTGACTTGACCAGTATGCGCAATACATGTATAACTCTCACATTGCCAATGTCCCGGCCTCGTGGGCGCAGGACCCCACCGCGTTGGTGGACGTGGTCGATGGCACTGAGAAAGCAGCAAACGGCACCAAGGCCGCCGAGACTAACGGCCACACCAACGGCGCCACTAACGGCGCAGGTGGTGATGGCGCTGTCCTCCCCGAGTCCTTCCTCAACGGCAAGTCAGTCCGCACGGTGTACGGGCTGGTGCCCCTGAAGCAGGCGCTCGACTGGCCCGTGTTTGCGTCCTACGACGAGCTGGCCGGCTGCGCCGCGTGGATGGGCGGGCGCATCCCCACCTTCGAGGAAGCCCGCAGCGTCTACACCTACGCCGAGGCCCTCCGTAAGAAGCAGGTCGAGAACCAGCTCAGCAAGACCGTCCCGGCTGTGAATGGGTAAGTGATGATCGCTGGTGTCTCGAGAGGAGGTAGTGCTGACGGTGGAAAAGGCATCTCTGCAACAACGGCATCGAGATCTCGCCCCCGGCCACCCCGCCCGGCGTCAGCAGCGCCGCCGAGGCCGAGGCCGCCGTCCAGGAACCGCCCTTTGTCGACTTGGATGGCACCAACATCGGCTTCCGCCACTGGCGTATGTCAAATCCCTTATCCCCTTACCTTGCTTACCTCTAAAACATCCACCTCACCTCCCAAACCACCACTCACCCCTCCCCCGAAACACAATAATAAACAACAGAAGAAAACCAAAAGTCTAACACCAACAGACCCCACCCCCGTCACCTCCCGCGGCAACGAGCTAGCCGGCCAGGCCGGAATGGGCGGCGTGTGGGAGTGGACCAGCAGCGTGCTGCGGCCGTGGGACGGCTTCCAGCCCATGCCGCTGTACCCCGGGTACACGGCCGACTTTTTCGACGAGAAGCACAATGTCGTGCTGGGCGGGTCGTGGGCGACGCACCCGAGGGTGGCGGGAAGAAGGAGTTTGTGAGTTTTTTTTTTCCCTTTTAGTTTTGTTTCGTGATGTTGTTGTATCGGTTTGTTTTGGGTTTTGTTATTTTCCGTTTGTTGGGGGGTGTTTGTCGTGCTATTGGGCTCTTCTTTCATCTCTTGCCTTTGGCTTTCCTACCTTCAGCTTTCTTACCTTCAGCTTTCGCTTTTCGTCCTCTACTATCCCCCTATCTCCTCCTACCTACCATTTATTCCGTCACCGTCTCTGTCTTTCTCTGCTTCCTTCATCTCTTCTGCTCCATCTTCAGCTACTTCTCTTCAATTTACTAACACGGCCCAACAGCGTCAACTGGTACCAGCGCAACTACCCCTACGCTTGGATCGGTGCCAGGCTTGTGCGGGATGTTGAGTGAGTGCCTCGTGTAGGAAAAGTGTGTAGGGGACATTCGTTGCCTGAAGCGCAGTTGAGTACAGCTTGGTTGGTTCTGGAGGGCCAGTTTGGATTTTTGGGGCCCCAGATCGGGACCTTCTTTTGGTTGAGAGACAACTAAATGACAGCGCGTTGGCTTCTCTATTTCGCACTTCTGTTGGGTTGTGGTTGTGTTGGGAGAGCTCACTCATTTCTGGCTCACTTCCCGATTAGTTCTTACCCACCACATTCTTTCAGTATCCAACATAGTAGCGACGAATTGATGATGAACGGAGACCGAGGGGGGAAGATGTTCACTTCGATGGTGTGCTCCATGAAGGAGGGGTGCTACTAACGTGGGCAGTCTCCCTAACGTGATTCCCCGTTCCAAAGTCGACCAGCATCAGGGATGAGATCAGGGGTGGTTATCCAGCGTGCGGGGAGCAGACAGAATGTGAACGGGAGTATTCGTACCTCGGACTTCGTACAGTATGGCATTCGAGATGCCCCCAAAGCGGCATTTGCATTCATCCGAGAGCTTTTTGGCAGTTGGAAGGAAGGCCATCCTTGACTTTCGGAGGTGGTCGGCTCCGCTCGGAGACCGCTACGGAGACTGCTCTGTGTTATCCTCAGGGGTACGAAACAACACCGCGATCCGAGCTGGCCTGGGCCAAGAGGTCCTCAACAAAACCAGCCAACCTCACGTGAGACCGCGAGAGTTTCCCCATGCGGGGTTGGGACCCCAACACGTTTGTTCCCAGCGCGTGATACGGGACGTGTCCTGCGGGGCTGTTGGACGAAAGAGGCTGGCCGAATATGATCCCTGACGTTGGGGTTCCTTCGGGCATGACGAAGTGGCCGCAGAGATATTGGGCATCTCAACTGCACTTTCGAGATACCACCCTTTTCCCCATGTCAGACTTATCAGACTTCTTCTCTATTTAAGTTCCTCACTTCACCCATCATTCCCTCTCCCCTCCCTCTCTCTCACCCCCAACCCTAGCCTGATCAACACCCCTCATCAACTACCATGACCGACGCGGAGCCGCCCATCCAGACCTACCGTGGTAGCTGCCACTGCGGCGCCTTCATCTACGAGGTCGAGGCCCCCGAGATTAAGTCGGCGGGTGACTGCAACTGCAGCATCTGCTACAAGCGCGGCTACCTGTGGCTGGTGCCCAAGAAGCCCCTGACCGTGGTCAAGGATGAGGGCAAGCTCGTCAGCTATTCGTTCGCCTCCAAGATGCTGGACCACCAGGTATGTTACCTACTCAGAGACCTGTGACGATGCCCTGTTTGACATGTTGGTTAGTTCTGTGGTAGCTGTGGGACGACAGTCATGGCTAAGAGTGAAATGTTTCCGGCGGGGGTGGGACTAAACGTGAGTTTGGGGGAGGGGGGGTGGTAGGTGATGTGGTTTTGTGCTGGTACTCAAAAAGCGACGTGGGAATAGGTGCGAACTATTCAAGGCCTCGACTTCTGGAGCCTTGAGGTGAAGACGTAGGTATTCTTCTCCACCCTTTGTTGACTCGTTTCGTTAACACCAGCTGGCTCCCAGGTCAAACGGCAACACATATGGCACCCCGTACGCTGCTCCCCCCTTCTCGGGCGACGAACCCGCCCCCGCGGGCTTCGAGGACGGCAAGACCTACCATGGGAGCTGCCATTGCGGCGCCGTGGCCACGGCCGTCCGGGTCAAGGGCTCGCTGGAAGACGGCACGTACGACGAACGCCTTATGGAGTGCAACTGCAGCTTCTGTCGACAGGTATGATGTGGCCCCCTTTCCCCTATTTCTATGTCATCGACTAACCATCGACCCCAACAGGGCTATGTGTGGATCTACCCATCCTCAAGCCAGCTCGCCATCCAGGGCCGCGACAACTTGTTCTACTACAAATTTGGCAACCACATCTGGCGCAAGTTATTCTGCAAAACATGTGGCGTGCATATTGCGTCGGAGGTTAACCCGGACCAGACCGAGGAGGAAATCGCTGCGCTGCCGGAGATGTACCAGCAATTCCGGGCCACCCATTTCAACACGCAGCCATTGAACCTGCGTGTGGTCAACGGGCTCGACGTGAAATCCCTCAAGGTGATCCGGGGAGACGGATGGTCGAAGCAGATCCCCCAGTATGTGTATCCATAGTGTTGTGGCCCAGATGTAGAGCATAGGGGAGTGAAGTAGCAAAACCAGGTCTAAACGCACCATAAAAATGCCGTGTTTACACACCCCGTGCCTAGCCTTAAAAAGAACCAACATCACAACCCCCCCGCAACCACCCCCCTTTACCTCACTCCAGCTCATCCCTCCACGGAATCGAGTCCTGCGCGCCCGCCCTCTCCACCGTTTTCGCCGCCGCCTTATTCGCCCTCCTCACCGCCGCCTCAATATCAAACCTCCCCCCCTCCCCAGCACCACCACCACCACCACCACCACCCACCACATCCAGCGCATACCTCCCCACAAACGTATCCCCCGCGGCCGTGGTATCCACCACCACCGCCTTCTCAGCCGGCACCAACCCCCTCCTCCTCCCACCATCACCACCATCCCCATCCTTACTCATAAAATACACCCCCCTGCCCCCGAGCGTAATAATCACATTCCTCACCCCGCTCTCCACGAACCCGGCCGCGACCGTCTCCATCCCCCTTTCGTCGTCCAGCACGCGCTCGTCCACGTCGGCCAGGATCGCCGCCTCTGTCTCGTTGACGACCAGGTGCGCCAGCCCGACGTAGGCCTCGGCGGGGAGCGGGCGGGCGGGCGCTGGGTTGAGCAGCACGGGGACGTTCGCGGTGCGGGCGGCGGTTAGGGCGGCGAGGACGGTGGCGAAGGGGATTTCGAGCTGCATGATTAGGAGGTTGGGGAGGTGTTGTTCATCTGAGGAGGTGGGGGGGTTGGGGGTGGGATTGGGCGTGGGGGTGGTGGTGGTGCGGAGCAGGTCGAGGTTGGCCACGTCGGCGGGCTGGAGCGCGTGGTTGGCGCCGGGGGATAGCACGATGCGGTTCTCGCCTGTCGGCTTGTCGACGATGATTAGGGCGACGCCGGTTTTGAGGTCTGTGCGGGCCGAGACGCCGGATACGTCGACGCCGTAGCTCGAGAGGCTGGCTTGGAGCTGGGTGCCGTGGCCGTCGGCGCCGACGCTGTGGTGAGAGGGGTTAGCTGGGTGTGGTTGAGTGTCGGGGGAAATATCCCGAGGTGGTCGTATAGCACACCTCCCCCCTTAAAGGAGAAGGTAAGCAGAACAGCGACTTACCACCCAACCATCGACACTCTCGCTGTCTCCCCACCCTCCACACCCGGCGTCGGTCTCGCCCGGGAGAGCTTCGCACTATCCAGCAAGCAACATCAGCACCTCAGCACCCAAAATCACCGCCACCAAAAAGGAGTCAAAACATACCACGCCACGGCTTGATTCGCCCCCTTACCGCCGGGGGACGTCGCGAACTCATCCGCTGTCAGGGTCTCACCTGGCAGGGGGTCTGTGTATCACATCATATCCCAGTTAGCATATTCGGAAGAACGTAGTGGAATGGGGATAAAAAGTGGTGAGGAAGCGCCTGAAATAGGGAGTATATAAAGCATAACATACGGTGCGGAACGTAGGCGACCAGGTCCATGTTGAGGGACCCGAGCACGGCGATGTGTGGGATCGAGGCCATTTTGGCGGCTGCTGTTTTGGGTTTCTTGGGTTTGTTTTGCTTGTTTTCGATTTTGTTTATTTGGGATTCAGGGGTCGGTGGTTGTGTGATGTGTGTGCTATATGAATTAGTTTCTATGTGTGAGATGAGATGAGATGAGATGGTGGGGTGATCGAGTTGACTTCAACTCGATGTGGCCCGAGGTGAGTGGGGTATTTTATACACAGTACATACATGTATGTACCGTAACTGAGCGATACACTTGCGAATGCGATCTTTCGTGAGGTGGTAGTGGCACGCAGGAGTAAACAATTCCTGAAGGAAAATGGTACGGCTTGATGTCAGAGTGGAATGTTATGACACAAGGTATTTATTTACTTCTGCCAACCAACGACCGGGTGGCAAATGCCAGTACATATCCGTACCGAGAGATACAAGCTCAGCTGACCGGCCGCCGTGAGCCGTACTTGAGATGCCGAGAGTACCCGTCCACAGGAGCTCTCAGGGGTATCATATTAAACCAGCTCCCAAGAACCCTCGGGCTTCATCACTCCTATTTCCCCAGCAAATGTATAGTAAATCAAGTGTTATACTTGACCCAATTGAGTCGCTCTTATTATTCAGGACTCGCCCATCCCGCATCTATCCCATAGCCAAATCCGTTTCCAAGCACGCGACATCCATCGCTATGCAAAGTGGTATCATGAGTTATACAAGCCCAGAAGGGAACACGCTCAAATCAAAGAGAAATCCCACCGTAACCCCCCGCCAACCCTTAAGATTCCCTTACCAATCCCCTTGCTAGCCCCCGAAAATCACACCTAGTCTTCCTCCGCCACCTTCTTCCTCTTGCTGGGCCGCCTCGGCGTGCTCTCATCGCCCTTCACCCAGTGATTCTTCTCGATCTGGTGCTGCCGCAGGTTGTCCGGCCGGTTCTTATACTGGCTCGTGCATCCGGGGAACGGGCACTTGTAGATCTTGGGCGGCGCCGTGCTGTGCTGCAACTTCCTGTGCTTGGCCATGCTGCCCTTGAACCACTGCGGGTCGCCCTTGGGCCGGTACCCACAGATGTCGCAGCACGAATCCGCATTCACTTTCTGTCCTGCCTGTTGCTGCTCCGATGTTTCGGTTGATGCCTGCTGCGTTGGCTCCGCCGCCGGGCTCGCCCCCGAGTTTCTGGCTGGGCTATCGCCAGGGCTCGCCGTCGGTGTGGGGAGCTGGACTGGTTTCGAATCATCAAAGTTTTTGGGCGCCGGGAAAGAAGTCGGTTGTGGGTTCGTGGGTGAGTCGCCTGCCTCGGAGACATCGTTCAAAAACATATCTATGTCGTCGGGCGGCGGTGTCCTGGGCTTGCTGCCTGAGCGGCCGAATTCTGATACAAGACTTTCGATTAAATTGACACCGAACCCGTGGTAGACATCGCGTCGTGAGGGGCCCACGTCATGTTGTTCGTAAATTCGATCGCACAATTCTCTGACGCTCGGAACAAAATCGCCGAAGAATTTCCCGGTCGGTAGGCAACTCTGCATTTCATTGTTAGTTAAGCAACGGAATTGTCGACTCGCATAACTCACCTTGCCGGCGTGAAGAATCTCAATCTCGAAACGCCGGGTGCTGCAGATAGAGAACGTGCAAAGCCTCTGATAGACCTCCACGAGCATACTCTTGAGGCTGGCGTCGTTAAATCGTTGGGAAAGTATCACGAGAACGTCTCGCGCCGCTGAAATCAATTCCCCTCCCATTAACCTGGTTGGGCTTACGTCCTTCAGATGCGCAATATGCAAGTCGGGACCTTGAGGATCAAGTGGCGGAGGGCCGTGATCCAGGAGGCTAATCTCGAGTTCTGTACGCAGTTAGCTATGCTCATTATAAGGATGTCACGGAGCATACCATCAAGGAAATCACGAGCTGTAGCAAGTACAGCGTCGCCTCGCTGCTTAAATGCCCTCGTAGAACCCTCTGGGGACTTCCCCTTGGGGTCAGGGAAAGGCGCGAATGGGTTGCTCGACGTCGCTGAAAAATGTTCGCCCGCCTCGGTCAGGCTAAAGTCTGGCGGTTGCCATATGTTAAGAACCATTTGGTGGTAAAGGTCCCTGTCGTTTGACGGTAACCCGTTGACATAAACTAAAGATTGTAAAAATAGGCTCTTGGCGCTGTCGGCCGCCTCCTGCCCATGGAGCACCAACGAAAAGGCGTAGACGAGGTGGATCAAGCATAGGGCATCGCTGGCCGACGAGGGCTGCTGACCGTCGATGAGGGCATGCAAAGCCCGTAGTCCCGTCGCCGCGACCGTCTCGATCGACATGGAACTGAGTTGGTTGGCAATGTAGTTCCCCCTGTGGCCCTGGAGTTTCACCATGGACGACAGGATGTGCTCTTGCAGAGCGTCCCACGCCGAGCTCACTAGCGACTTTGTCTCGGAGCAGCACGTGTTCGTCTGCTCAACCTCAGGCTCACCAATCTCGACGGGCTGAGCAGTGACATCCACCGGTACCATCCCTGGTGCAGGAGCCAGACCGGAGGGGACCGCGGGTTGAAACCCAAGAATCGGATCCGACGCTATCTCGCATGCGTTATCGAGCATGGGAAGGTCAGCTGGGAGCTCCGAGAAAAAGTCGTGCAAGGAACCGGGGCAGGGGTCGTTGTGGTCGCTGTTCAACACATCCGCAAACAGCTCGTCAGCCACGGTGCCCTCGACCGGGGAAGTCATGCTCGTGTCCAGCCCAGAGGCTATCGACCAGACCCCGCTCCAATCAGAGGTCGAAGAGATCATCGAGCTGCCGTAGCTCACGGCGCTCGCGTTGGTGTCGGTGCTGGCTGTCGACCTGACCGACGAGCTCGGCGATAGGCCCATGCTGCTGCGAGGGACGGTAGGAGCCGCCCTGGGAGCCGGCCGGGGGGCTTGGCGACGGTTGGCATAACCGCCGGTGGTCAATTGCAGCGCAGGCTTAAAGGCTGCGCCCCTGAGGAGGTCGGAATCGTGAGGGGTAGCAAAAAGGTTGGCGTCGAGAACGGACGGGGTGTTGAGTGATACGGGTTGGAAGGGATATGGCGAGATCGGATATGATGATAGCGGAAATCCCGATCCTGGCTGCCATTGAGGGAAGCTCTCGTTGGAGTCGAGCTCGGGGAGGGCTGGAACCGCAGGTGCGGCGGGCATGAGGAGAGCCTGGGGGTCGATGCCATCGCTGGGAGCTGGCGCAGGCGCAGGCGCAGGGGTGGGCTCGAGGAGAGGCACCTCGAAGGAATCGGCTTCGAGAATCTCGGTCGACGGCAATTCGCTCGCGAGGGCGTCGCTGGTGGGGATATCGAGGGAGTCATAGCTCGGTGGTGGCTGTAGCAACACTTCATCGTCGACGAACGCAACACCAGGGCCCTTCTTGCTCTTATGACCAAGCGAGTGGAAGAAGTTCTTGGCCAGCGAGAGCATCTTCCTCCTCTTTGACGGGTGGCCCAGACACCTCTTGCATTTGAGGTCGTCGAAGCGTTCCACCCTCATGTGATCGTAGCACCAATACTCCCCCGAAGCGAGATACCTGCACTTTGCCAGGTGTTTAAGCATCGACTCGTGGTCCGGGAAGCGCTGCGTACATCTCAGCAGCGGGCATTCCAATCGTTCCTCCGACGTCATGCGAGTTGATGAGTTTCGTTTCACGGCGGCCCAGACGATGAACCTGTGACGGGCACAGTCCTCTTGGGATGTTTCTTTGGTTCTGTATACATTGTCAGGCCCAGAATGGCTTCGACTTGAGACAATCAACCTCGATACGTACACGCAAGACAGGGCATCGTGGTCTTGGCTCGAGTCGAGATGGAGTTCCGAGTTGGACGGCGCCGGGCATGGACTTTCTCCATCCCCACTTTGAGATCCCGATCGGCCGCCGTTTCGGACGGCTTCCATGCCGGGCAAGAATGAATGGTCCTCCATGAGGGAGGCGAAACGCTTTTTGTTATCCATCTGATGGTGATGACCTCAGGCCAGCGCAAATCAAATGGACCCCAACTGCAACCAATAGTCAGGCTAAGAAAGAGGGGCAGCTTCTCGAGGGAAAAAAAGGCGAAGAATGGGCAATGTGCACGAATCCAACCGAAAGGGAGCAAACTCATCCGCCACCCATTTTTTCTATATTTCTGTTTGTGTGGATTGCGTGGTGCCAACGAGGCGTGAAGGAGGTTGAAAGATCGTCACCGACGAGGTCCTATGAGTGCTCTTTCTCACCAAATCCCGAATCCCCACGCTGCGGCGCGCGTGCTTAGGACTTGGTAGGACTCGGGTGCGGTTTTGGGGCGGCAGGTGCTGTTGACAACAGCGCTCGGCGATTGGCTGACTCCACTGTCTCCGACTTGCCGTCCACCGCAAAGCTGCAGCAGGCATTCAGGTGCAGGAACCGGAACCGCACCAGGCAGCGAACTGCGCGGGGGCGTGATGGCTGGGCTGTCTGGCAGATGGCAGCCACTGCCACCCCACAGGGCTGCTCACCTCCTTTCCGTTTGCGGCTACCGGAGTCTGCCTTGTCAGCTTGTGTGACCGGCGATACGAATCTCGAGCCAATGAGAATGGCGCATCGGCACGGAGAAGGACCACAAGGCGCATTCCGGCGAGGTCTTGCGATTAGAGACCTTGGCGAGCACTAACAGACGGAAACACCACCGCAGCTAAACTGCGAGGATCGTAGATTGATGCTGTTACTTTGAAGATCGGAGATGTGGCTGACGCAGGATGAGGCACAATTTGCGGCGGTGAAAGGACGAGCCACCAAGCCCAGGACAGGCACGAAGAACTGGAGACTGGACAGGGATAAGAACGCCCGTTGCCCATCGCAGAAATGCGTCGACCAATATCGAAGGTACCTCGGGGGAGGTATGGAGATGGAACCTGAGTTAGAGGTACTCGTATCTGACAGACACGCTGAACGCCCATCAGGAAATTCTAGAGAAAAAATATGAAAAGAAAAAAAGGAGGCCGCAAGAGCGATGTCTTAACTACAGGGTATTCCATTGGCTTGTTTAAACTTCCATGGTACCCAAGTTCTCAGTTGATAACCTTCCCTAGTGTAGGTCGTCTTCGCAAAACTGCATTCAACATACATTTGATAAATCGTTTCGGGTGTGGACCCCGCCGTCACAAGCACAGACGGAGGAGGGGCAAGCCGGCCGGAGGGTGGCACACCCAGAATAACTTTTCGTCGGCTGCCCAACCTTGAACCCAATCAACAAACTTTCCACCGCATTCTCTACCTAACCACCGGCGCATTTCTCACACCGAAGCCCTCGCGCTACGACGCCAAATCACAAATACCGACATCGACCTCCGATAGATACCTGCAGTCATGCCCGGTCCACGCAAACAGTGGGGTAAGTCGCGATTTGTTCCTCCCGTCTACCCCGCGATTTTTCGCAAGGCCACAATTTTGTCGCGGGGGGGCATGCATCGCTTATGGCGGGATAGCCTCACGAGTGCCCGCCCACTAAGCCCGAATCCAATACGGCGAGCCTAAACACCGAATTTTAGAAATAAATCAGACTAACGCGTGCTTCTTGTAGAGGAGGAGGAAGAGGAGTCCAGCTCCGCCCCGAACTCCCCGGTTGTCGGAGCGGCACGCCGCAAGTTTGACGATGAGGAGGCTGAGGATAGCGATGTACGTCTTGCGCCTCTTGGCCACCCGATAACAGCACAAATATATTATGTATCCCTGAGCTAACCCGCCACGGTTGCAGGTTCTAGAATCCTGGGACGCTGCCGAAGACTCCGAGGTCGAGCGCGAAAAGGCAAAGAAGGCCGCCGAAGCCAAGGCAAAGGCAGAAGCAGAAGCTGCCGCCAATAAGAAAAGCAAGACCCAGCGGATAGCGGAGCGCCAGGCCGAGCGTGCTCTGGCCAAGGCTGATGCCGATGACGAGGATAGTGAGGAGGAAACCGAGGCACAGGCGCGCGAGCGCCTCCGCCGCACCGAGAAGGAATCTGATCTGCGCCACGCTGAAGATCTCTTTGGTGGCATCGGCATCAGCAGCAGCCGCAAGGCAACGACTGCCGGAAGCGCTGTCCCGATCGATGCGAGCGACCCCACCAAGACGGTCGACCTATCGGCGCTACCGCTGTTCAAGCCCGCGACAAAGTCACAGTTCGAGCAGCTGCGCAACGTCCTCGGTCCTATCCTGGCGAATAGTTCCAAGAAGGCACACTACACCCTCTTCCTGCAGGAGTTCACCAAGCAACTCGCCAAGGACCTACCGAGCGACCAGATTAAGAAGATCGCCAGTTCCCTGACTGCTCTCAGTAACGAGAAGATGAAGGAAGAGAAGGCGGCTGATAAGGGCGGCAAGAAATCCAAGGCCGCCAAGACAAAGACTACTCTTGCTGGTGTCAGCCGCGGTGGCGGAGTGGCGGACACCAACACGTACGACGATGATGGTGCTTTTGGCGAGTAAGTGGTCTCGTCGCTTTTATCCTCAACCCCGGGGTCTAACATTCGTTCTTAGCGATGATTTTATGTGAACGCCTAGCGCCATGTCCCGTTAATTCGCCGGACGGCCCCCATGTGCTTCTCTTCCTATCGGAAGGAGAGTAGGGGATGATGGCCTCGCCGGCAGGATCACGATCAGCGATAACAACAAGACATACGGGCAAGCCCTCCGCGGCCGCCTCGGAGCCTCACTTGGGGCTTGTCGAGCCACGACTGAGGCACAGTATCGCCCCCGTTGGGGTGGTTGTGGCGGGGAGGAGGGGACTGCTTGGAAATAGACCGTGGGTCCGCTGAGACAGCGTTGGTTCTGGAGTGGTAGCCGTGGCTAGGTATATTGAAGACAGTGTTTAGAGTATTGCTCCAGTAGCAGAACCGCATTTTTGATTGCTTCTGTCCGAATAACGGCGAGTGTGACACGTTTGTTCATCTGGCTCCTCCATTTATCTGGCTATCTCCAAGTTTTCCCAACCATGACTGGATCCACGGGCCAGGTGAAGGACGTTCCAATGTGATCCTTTATAGCTGACTGGGCTTTAGCTCATGGCTAGTGCCACGGTTACATAAATAAGGTCGGGAGTGGACGATCCTAAGTCGGCCGGGCATAAATACCCCCTAAAGGTGACTATTGATCACGTATATTGATACAACAATAACCCAGGGTATCGGAACCGCCGCCCACGCTGCGTTGCCATCCAGTAGCGACACGTCCTGGTAAGGAGAGACGTCACTTCGCCCTAGAAACCTTCATGTATCATCACGCCGACCTAGCCACAACTCCATTTTGCGCCTCCCATGCAACCAAATAAAACACCAACATGACCCACCAATCCCCTTGTTTTGTTTATGATACCATCCCCCTTTTTGTACACATCAATGTCGTAAAGAGTCGAGAAATAGCCAAACACCCACCCGCTTTAACCCCCAACCAGAAAGGGGACCCCCCTAAAAACAACCCCCACAAATACCAACCTACATCAAATCCCCCGCCACGCCCGCCAACAGCGCATGCACCACCAAGCTCACAGTCCACAGACCGACCCTCTTGAAGCGGCGGACGCGGCTCTGCTGGTCGACGACGTCGCGGGCGAAGGCCGAATAGACCTCGGCGGAGGTGTCGTCCATGAGGCCGCAGTCCCAGACGGTCCAGGCGCCGTCGAAGTCGGGCAGGCGCTTGACGATGCGGCAGGTGATGGGGATGTAGGTGCGCTTGGCGTTGATGTAGGCCACGATGGGCCGCACCAGCGCCTGGTTGACGTAGCTGATGTGCGGGTTGTTGAAGAGCGGCACCGCCGCCCGCACGTCGTTGAGGTGGATCCGCATGTCCATGACCAGGTAGGACGAGGGCGCGTCGTCGTCTTCTTCTTCCGCTTCGGTGGGCGGTGAGGACGGGGTGGGGGTCGTGTCGGCGAGGCTGGTCGGGGTGGAGATGGCCTCTTCGAGAGGGGAGGAGTAATTTGTGGCGTTGATGTCGTTGTGGTTGTTGAAAACGCCTGATGTGGAGTTGTCAATAGTGTCAGATTCGGGTTTGGGGTTGCGGTCGTAGCTGTTGTCGAGGATGTTGATGTAGCGGTTGCTTGTCACAGCTTCTTCCATCTTGTCATAGAAGTCAGCTACGACTTTGCCGATGCCCTCTGCGGGGTCGGTTGGGAACATGACGTCGGCCACGATGTCGACGTTGCCTTCGTAGATCCAGCCGAACGGCCCCTCGACGCCACGGTTCAGGTGGTCGATCTTGAGCCCATCTATGCGTAGCCGAGAGAATTTCTTCCAAACGGATGAGTCGCCGAACTCGTCCTGCCGTCGTTCACTAGCAGAGGATATGCCGTGTATTTGACGGGGGTGAATAGTAAATAATGACCCGTCGTACGAACCCGACATGTGTGACGCGGAGAGGAAGTCGTAGAAGAGCCACTGCTTCCTCAGTTGAGGGAGCTCGCAGGAGAAGATGGAGACGGAAAACGGACGGAAACCGCTTGGTTGGTGGATTGTGACCAACAAATCTTCCATCCTAAAATGATCCAACTCGAAATCCCCTGGGTTGTGCTCGTGTCGGTACGAGAGCGGGTCCACGGCCTCACCACTCCACTGAACCGATGTCCTGTCCACCACGCCTCGAACGCCCTTGACCTCGACGTCTTTCAGGAGGCCCTTGCCGTTCCACCACTTGATGAATGATAAAGTGACGTTGACCGTGTCGATTGTCACGTCGAACTGCGTGTAATTGCCGTCGTCTTCTTCCTCGACAGCTGTGTCCAAACCCGCCTTCCTTGCGGCAGCCGCTTCCGCGGCAGCGTTGGAAGATCCCTTTTTCACAGTTGACTTCCCTTGGCCCGGTCGTCGAGAGACGAAGACATTACGGAAAGTGATGACGTTGTCTTTCCATTTCGGCACGATGGCCGATTCGAACACGACGGTGAGCCCGGCCGACTGGGTGAGGTAGTCACCGATCCACTTGGCAAGGGTTTCTATAATATCTCGTCAGCCTTGTCCTTTGGAGTTAGTGGAACATGGAACACTCACCTTGCGCAAACACGGTGTTGATAGTGAGAATGATGAGTGAGAAAAAGGTTGTGGTTCCGACCAAGATCCACACAAGGTGCCCAAACAAGAACCAGGAGACAAACGCCCCCCATTCGTCTGCATTCCAAGGCCTCATGCTCCTGATGGAGAACCATTTGAACCGCACCCTCAAGCGTTGTCGAAACCCGCTGGCCGCGGCAAGCAGCTCCTCCTTTGTCGGCCGATGCGGCATCTTCGGGAGATGCAGATATTTGGACATCGAGTCCGCCAGGGATTCGTGCTCGGGGGACCCGGGTGGTGGTGGTGGTGGCCTAGCGGGGGTTTGTTGAGGTGTCTCGGGCTCCCGTTTTGGCGGAACCACCTTGCTCTTGTCCCCACCCCCCTTTGACCTCGAGCTGCTCGCCCTCGTTCCCGACCCTACCTGGCGCCCCGGCCCACTCCTAGCTTGCCGGCTCCGAGTCCATGCTCGCTTGGCCAGATAGCTCAGATTCGCCCTCTGTCCAGAGCTACCAGCGAGCGCCGAGTCTGCCGCTGCGGTGCAAGTCGTCACAACCGTACTCGTAGAGGACGGGCTGGAGCCCAAGCCGAGCAGCAGAAGGCCGCCGGAGGTACAGCTCTTTCGGACATTCTTGGGCGAGATCCGCGAGGGGTGGGGTTGGAAGAATCGGCGGGCTGTGTGGAAGAAGTGGGTGTTATGGCCGTGTGATGTGTTGAATAAGGACTGCACTGACGGTGGCTGAGCTGGGAGGGGTCGGCGTGTCGGGAGTCTTGCGGCGAGGATTGTGACGGAACTGCGGATGGAACCCCAAAACTGGCGGCCCAGTTGGGTCGTCGTTGGCCCAGAGGTCATTGTTGAAAGACGTGCCGCCGCACATAGACCTCGAAGGGTAAGCTTTCAGGCCATTGCTGAGGGTAATTGTTGTACGTCTCGAGAGCGGTGTTGTTGGTGTAGTGGCCCAAGGCCTGGACTGGTCGAGTCGAGGGGTAGCTGAACAAGCAGCGAAACCTTGGAATGCGCCGTGCATGGATGAAAGGCTTGTCGCCCATGACGCTCGAACCGGTCTGCAGGGGGGGTACACTGGAAAGACAGGGCATTCAGCCAATGGATAAGACTGGATTTTGCCGGTGGGTCCACGACTTTTTGAACGAATTTCGACCCCACCACCAAAATCGCAGCAGCAAACTGAAGACGGTGAACACACCGACCGACGATAACCTCGACAACCCCTCTTTCCGAACGAACCGCTTTTTGCCCCATCTCTAGACGACGTCGAGGAGTTCCATAATCGACAACCCGTTACGATGCCCGCCCCAACAGCACTCGTCCAGCCAGCGGCTGTCCCCGAAGCCGTCCCCGTCCCCGCGCCCGAGCAGGACGATGAGCTCCTCGTCGACATGCAGGATGCCAACACAGTCGAACCAAACGCTATTGAACCCCCGACGACCTCCGAAGAGGCTGATATGGCCATCGACGAAGAGGGACGGCCGAGGTTTGCGCCAGGGAAGGATGTGGTACGTCTAGATCGACAATTCACAAAGGAGGACTTCCGCTGACGCCCTGCTCGCCCCTCAGGACCCTATCCGCCGTGCCGAGACAAGAAAGGTTCCCATCCCGCCAAACCGCATGTCTGCGTTGAAAAACAACTGGTCCAAGGCACGTTCCCTTCCCCTACCCCCCTTTCCGGCCTTAGTCCACTAACACCTCCCAGATGTACGCCCCCTCTCCGATACCCACCCCCACCAACACCCCCCTAATCCGCACACTAGCTACCCCCCGCTCGTCGACCACTGCAAGCTCCAAGTGCGCATGAACATCAAGGAGAAGCGCGTGGAGCTGCGGTCGTCCAAGTTCACCACGTCCAACGACTCGCTGCAGATGGGGGCCGACTTTGTGTCGGCCTTCGCGATGGGCTTCGACATTGACGACGCGATCGCGCTGCTGCGCCTCGACTCGCTCTACATCCAGTCGTTCGACATCAAGGACGTGCGCCAGACGCTTGGGCAGGACGCCCTGGGCCGTGCCATTGGGCGGATTGCGGGCAAGGACGGGGTACGGCTCATTTTTTCCTTTTCTCTCTCCCTGTCACTTTCACACTCTTGCGGAGGCGATGGGATATGCTGGTGTGTATGAGAGGTGTGCTGACGGCTTTTACAGAAAACCAAGTTTGCAATTGAAAATGGTGAGTTATTGCTGTGCATCGTAGGCGGGAGGAAGAATAATAAGGCTAACGGTGGATCGCAGCGACGAAAACACGCATTGTGCTCGCCGGGTCGAGGGTGCATATCCTCGGTGCCTTCGAGAATATCGGGATGGCGCGTGAAAGGTGCGTTTCCTCTTCACAATTTGAGACTTGAAAAGCTTGACTGACTCTGCCTAGCATCGTCTCGTTGGTACTTGGTGCCCAGCCGGGCAAGGTCTACAACGGCCTAAGGATAATTGCCTCGCGGATGAAGGAGAGGTTTTAGTCAGGTCAGGATGTGGGAAAAAGGCATTAAGGGCATGGCTGGTCGGCGTTCGGGAGTATCTTGTGGCTTATGTGTCATGCATGAATGAGAATAGATCTTCATACCCTAGTACCGAGGCTTGCGGGAACGCCCACCGTACACTATTGGTGAAAGCTCTGGCGTGCTTCCTTCCTATATCCTTCAAACTCCGCTGGGTATCATAGTCTCAACCGTCATCCGTTCGTGAAATCATCGCCCCCCCCGGGTCCCCAAAGGGGCCTCCATACCAATTCCTCACCCACTGGCCTCTTTCATGAGCACCTCCAGCTGGTTCACCTCGTCCGGATCGACATCAAGATCCGAAATCAGCACGTCATCATCCAGCCGTTCCCCATCAAACGAAATGGCAAGCTCCCACTCCGGCCCAATACCCCGTTGCGTCCGGAACGCCTCGACAAGCATCTCGGCATCCGTCTCCTCCCTCGCCGTGAGCTTAAGCGGCTCGTGCTCCTTGGCCTTGAGCACGATGCGGATCCCCTTCTTCCTAGCCGGCGGTACCTCCTCACCCGCCCCACCAAAACCAGTCCCCGCCTCTACCACATCCCCCTCCTCTTCCCCCTCCTCCTCCACCCCCAACTTCAGCGCCCACTCCTTACCCCGATTCTCCAGATACTCGGCATAGACCTCCTCAGTCCACACCTCCAGATGCAACCCACCACCACGCACGTAGCCCTCGCCGACGTTGTCGCGCAGGGCGCCGCGGGCGTCGACCTGCACGCCCAGGGACGCGAGCGTGCTGTGGCCGTAGATCTTGTTGCCCTTCCAGGTGAGGAAGAGACGGCCCGGCTCGGCGGCGGCGGCGGTGGGGCCGAGCGCTGCCTCGTTCCTGCTCACCCATACGTCTAGGAGCAGCTGGACGCCCTGGTTGAGGCGCCGCGTCACGAGCATGGGCTCCTCGCACCCGGGTAGTCGTGAGGTGATGAAGATGGTGGCGACGGTGTTTTGGCTTTCGGCGGCTTGCAGGGCGCGCGCTTTGTTGACCCATTCGGAGAAGTCTTCGTTGGGGGGTTCGGGGTCGGAGAGCGGGTTGGTGAGGATTTCGATGGGGGAGGAGGAGTCGGCTGGCGGCGCGGAACGGAGGGGGGTTGCGGTGTCGGTTGTTGAGTCCCTTGGTTGGGAGCGGGATGTGGTGGGTTTGATGTCCTCCTCGTCGGAGTCATCGAGGATGGTGACTGGGAGTGCTGGCGAGCCGGTCCGGTTTCTCGACCGGCTTCTCCTTGATGCGCGTGTCTTTGTCTTTGGGGTTGTTCGGTTCGAGCCTGGTGTTCGTGAGAGCGTCTGTGCTGAGGAAGGCCCGGGAGGCGTCGACAACCTCCTGGGTCGAATTATCTCTTTCCCCTTCCCTTTGACATCCATGATTAAATCGTCGTCGGATTCGTCGGCAACCGTTGATCGCTTGCGCGAGTGTATCGGATCGCTCGAAGAGCTTGACGAAAGCTTCCTGCGCTTGTGGTCATTTTGGCTTTGATCCTTTTCTTCCCCCGCTTCTTTGGCTTCGCGGAGGACTTCGGGAAACACTTCTTTCGAGTGCCGGAAGAGATCCAGATCGTTGTCCTCCTCGGGTTTCTTTGGTTCTTCACTGGATTGTTGCTTCCGCGCGACGGTGCGCTTGAATGGTAGAGCCCTTTTCTTGGGCGGGGATAGGATATCGTGTTCTGGCATCATAGTCGCCATCTTGTCAATTGTCAATTTGAGTACAGCCGGTCGAGAGCGGATGTTATGGGTGTTTTGTTGTTGTATTGCGTTGTGATTATGAGTATCCTCTCTTCTCACAAGGCTGAGCGTTAAAAGCGAACAGGAGATGCGAAAACGTGCAAGTCGTGTCGCGTCGAAGCCGCGTGAATTGATTCGTGAATTGATTCGTGAACTCGTTCCTGAGCTAAAAGTGATGACGGGGCAAAAAATGCACGACAGGTTCCAGGCCCAGTGCGCTGGAATTAATAGGGCTCCCGCTCGCACCTCCCGCTCACACCCCTTGCTCGCCACTCTTCTTCTTTCTGTGGCTCGTAGTTCCCACCTAATGAACCAGAAATACAAAGTAGTTATCCTCAATTCGGTTCTGCCGGTTGTAAAAAAGGCGGTCGCCAAACGATTCCCATGTGGGATTGTGAGATGGAAGACCCACATCTTCCGAGACCCACACCGGCTCCCGGCAGCATGGTGAGTGGGTCCAGCCGAGGTTCCCCAGAAAACGGCATGTACTTGGCCGACTGCTCCTCCTGTTCGAAGCAAACGAACTCATATTTGGGGATTACTCAACGGTTTCAACATCGGCTCATGCTTTTTTGATTATTATTTTTTAACTTAACTCTGATTCCTCAACCTTGCCTATCTTGCCGTTTTACTACATATCCGAGTCTCCCGCATCCCGTTCCTCTTCTTTTTTCTCTCACAACACACGACCAACACCATGTCTGTCCCCAAATCCGAGTATCTCAGTAACGCCTGGGCCAATGGCATATTCGGTTCGTGCCTCATCCAGTTTATAACCAATAGCCCTGATTGCTCAATTAACAACCTCAACTAACAACTCTCGCCATAGCCAATCGGGTGTTATTCATCACTGGCGGTGCCGGAACCATCGGCAGTGCTCAGACCCGTGCGCTTGTGCATCTCGGTGCTGACGCCTGCATCATCGGGCGCAATGTTGAAAAGACAGAGGCCGCGGCGAAGGAGATCGCAAAGGTCCGCGACGGGGCCCGGGTGATTGGTATCGGCAATGTTGATGTTCGCAGCGTGAGTCTCGTTTCATACTCACCACTCCATACGATTCCCTTGATAAGATAAAACATCCCATACTCACCATCAACTCCAGTTCGACTCCCTCAAAGCAGCCGCAGACCGCTGCGTGAAGGAGCTCGGAGCAATCGACTATGTCGTGTAAGCGCACCTTTCTTCCCATCCCCATCCCCGAACCCCACACTGAAACCGCGTCTCCAGCGCCGGCGCCGCGGGCAACTTCATCGCGCCCCTCTCGGGCCTCAGCCCCAACGCCTTCAAAACGGTCATGGACATCGACACAATGGGCACCTTCAACACGATCAAGGCGACCATCCCGCACCTCGTCGCCTCCGCCGCGCGCAACAGCCCCAACCCGCACCCCTCCGGCCTGACCGGCGGACGCTTCCTCGCGGTCTCGGCCACCTTCCACTACACGGGCATGCCGCTGCAGGCGCACGTCTCGGCCGCCAAGGCCGCCGTCGACTCGCTCGTGGGCTCGGTATCCATCGAGTACGGCCCGCTGGGCGTGACGGCCAACTGCGTGGCCCCGGGGGCCATCGCCGGCACCGAGGGCATGGAGCGCCTGTCGAGCGACCTGATGACGCAGCGCGAGAAGGACCGTGGTGTACCCAGCGGCCGCTGGGGCAACGTGCGCGACATCGCCGACGCGACCGTCTACTTGTTTAGTGATGCTGGGAACTACGTCAACGGCACGACCCTGGTGGTGGATGGCGCGGGGTGGCGTAGGCAGGGTGGGTTGGAGGTCGGGCTGGATCCGGGGATGACGTACCCGGATTATTTGTTGAACGGGGAGGTGAGCAAGCATTTGAAGGATGGGCGGGCGAAGGGGAAGTTGTGAGGGAGGGAGGCAAGGAGGTTTGGTTGTGTGTTAAGGGGGGGGGGGGAGGGGGGTGGACAGGCGTGGATGGGTGGGCTTTTTGCAAAACACCATCGCTTGGTTGGCGATGTGTTGGAGCGCGCGGACCAAGTTGGTCATTGTTCTATAAGCAGGCGATTTGTGTATGATGCCAAATTTTCGACGTACGGCCTCCGCATTCAGGTGATTTGGGACGAACAGTGTGAGCTGGCCGATGGGCGGCGGTGCGTGGGAGCATGTGACGACGGTTAGGTCGACGGAAAGGGGATATAGGGGATATGGGTGCGGGTTTGGGAAGCATCTTTCAAGTTAGCCTTTACCAGGGACCGCCTGGTCGTGTGGAACTGCGTTGCGCTCGACGCAGTACGGTTGCCCAGAAACTGTCGGGTGCCCATGCGTGGTATGGCAGACAAGGCGGTTTCGTAGACAGCCTGGGCGCGGGTGCTAACACCCGCGGTCCCAGGCCGGTGACCTTTTGCGTTTCTTTGGTCCTTTATTCATTTCGTGAGATAACAGACACCACCAACGCAAAGCAGGAGTTGCCCTTCTAAGCCATCGAATCTTTATCTCGAGAAGTCATTACCACTCCCAGGCATCTGCCGTGAACGGGAGGCATTAAATATGATTAAACAAATCCATGGCGAGCCGTTGCAGGATATCATCGCACAGTAGCAGCCCATTTCCAACCAACTCTTCCAACTCCAATGCTAACGGAAGCAGTCCAAATAAAACACAATACAGATGGCCAAACCACCGCGCTACCGCACCTTGAAGGTCTCCAGCAGGTCGTGGCGGTGGTAGTAGCTGCGGATCCGCTTTCCAAAGACGTCTGTACAACAATATATTAGTCGCTCGTTGCGCCTCCCGGACTGGAATTCGTCACTTACACATGGGAACGCTGAGCATACAGACGCCGAGCTGAATCCAGGTGAGGATTTTGAAGATCGGGGTAGCAAGGCTGGCAGTCGTGACGAGCCAGTCGAAAGCCTTCAGAGTAAGGGCAAAGCTGAAGATGTTTTTGAAGATGATCATGCATGTGAAACCCTCGATAGCCAGGTCGCCTGCTGAAGCGTCAGTGTCCGTCTCGACATATTGTTATACAAGAAACAAGACGTACGGTAAGCATCAACGATGTACAGGGAGCTCGAGACAGCGCCGATAACCATACCGGCCACTTGGAGAGCGAAAAAGGCCAGCGGGACGGCGTAGTGGTATGTGTAATTGAGCAGCCCGTCGACGGTGACACCAAAGCCGTAGAGGCCCATGCAGCCCAGGATCATCTGGGGAATGACGAGCACGATGCGGAATTCGGGTTCGTAGACTCCGTTGTTCCACTTGGTCATGTAGCGCGCGCTCCAGTCGGACAGCACGCCGGCGATAACGAAGCCGAGGATAGCACCGATGAATGCGGCCGTGTAGGCATATCCCGTCCTGACCTCGCCCCACCACAGCGGCGCGGCGATGAAGAACTGGGCTAGGATGACACCGATAAAGACGGTCCAGCCGATCATCAGACCCTGGATCAGGCAGGCCCACATGAAGGCGGGCTGCAAAAAGAGCGGCAGAGGCCGCAGGAGAAGCTTCCAGAAGCTCTCATCGGTCTTCCTTCCGTTGAAAAGAGCTAGCGATTGTCTGAATGACACTTTTGGTATGTCCGCTGGCCTGCTCGAGTTTGGCGCATTCGCAGTCCCGTTGAACTCGTTTGGCCTGTTGGCCTCTCCACTCGTCCCTGGTGCCGAAGCCTCGCCATTGCTGGAGAAAGCCTTTTCCGCATCCTCGCTCGCGAAAGCAGAGTGCACCACCACCAGTTCCCGGTTATCCGTGGTCATCATATCGGTATTCAGGGCCGAGTCTCGGCGGTATGCCGTCTCAGGGCAGAAGAAGTAGACGACCGGGAAACACAAGGCGCAAAAGATGGCAACGAAATAGAAGGTCCACCACCATCCAATGGAGGCAGTGATCTTGCCGACCACGATAGGAGTAAAAAAGGCGCCGCCAAAAACTGCGAGGTTTGTAAAGGCCATGCGGATACCACGTTGCTGATTCCGTGTTAGCTTTTTGCACCCAGCGTAACTGTCCACGCATCAGGTACGTGATCTTGGCACTCACATGCACGCAGTACAAGTCTCCCACGGCGGCGTTGACAAGCGACTCAAACGGAGCGGTAGCGATGCCCTGAAAGACTCTCGCCGCCACCATGCTCTGGTAGTTCTCTCTGCCCTGCGATCCTCCACCCCATGCCGCAGTCACAACCAGCAGCAGCGTCCCCCCGACGAAGAGATGGCGCTTGCCCCAAATGCGGCCAGAGGGAACAAAGATGAAGGCTGCGATGCCCACACCGAGCAGGTACCAGCCCGTCAGGTCGGCGATGCTGGAAAAGGGCCGGCGGAAGTGGAGGGTCAGAGTGAGGGTGTTGGCGGCGAGGATGGGGCCGAGACATGTCGCCAAGATGGCGACCATGGAGAGGATGAAGGTGATGAGATCGCGCTTCCATAGTGGCCAGTTCAACGGATCGTTTGGGTCGTCGGATGGTTGCGGGACGAGGATAATGGGCACCGGCCCGCTGGTGTCGCACTTGAGGCCCTCGGCTCCGTCGGTGGCATATCGTGGCCTCTCTGGGTCGTCAAAGTACCTAGTCGTCCCTAGAACGTATGGTATAAGCGGGAATTTCTATAGGTTCGGCAGTTGCGGCAGTTGCAGCAAAAATGAATAAGTCGTACCTGGGACGTGGTCCATGAACCTGTCCTGGAGGATTCCCAACCACATCTTGTCGCGATTTCGCGTTTGCGCGTGCCTTCTTCTCAGACGAAAATGGCGATTAGATTAAAGGCAAAACATGCTCACTTTGGAGTGGAGGTTCTAGCAGCGGGGGTATTGTGGGTTGGAAGTTCGATGTTGGCTGGCGATGGATCGGCCCTCCCCGTGACAGAAAATGGGACTCGAATCAAGAGGTTCCCCTGCCTCCAATCGGTGACATGCGTTGCGAACTCCTGGTGGGGGACGCAACAGCCGTCCAGAGTGCGACCTGCAAGCAGGGATGCGCTTGTTTCCTGGGGGTTTCTTGGCGGATGGCGGCCCGGCAGACCAACCAGCAGCCATGCCTGCTCGGGGCGGGGGGAACCCGCAATCTTAAAATCGTGAGCTTCTGCCAGCCAATCCCAGAACTCAAACGCCGAACGACGGGGATCACAATGACAAGCGACCGTCCACCCGAGACCGAATCACGATCCAACAACAACTCAAAGCTCATTCTATGGTGTCTCGAGTAGTGCGCCTCTTGCCTCTGACCCGACAGATTGTGTAGCCTCAAAGAACTTTCCTATCTGCCTTCACCGCCACGTTGTTTTGACTTTGGATGTGTTCGCGACAAGTTCTCCATTTTGTCGGTCACTGCCCGGGGAACGCAGACTTGTTGATCCCCGAGGCTCCGCCCGGAAAAGTGACATCCGCAACGGTCGAGGACTGGCGGGTTTGAGTATACACATGGCGGGGGGTCCTGAATACTTGGCGGGGGGCCCTCGGCCATAATTCGGGTAAACGTGGCGGGGGTTCCAAATTTTTCGAACCCTCGCCAAATCGGTAATGCATTGGCCACTTTTTGTTACAAGTAATTAAGTGAAATATCAGTCGCATATGCTAAACATATGTGAAAGAATTACTTAAAGTTTAAAGTTAATACTTAGTTAAAATTTAAAATGAAAATTAGTTTAAAGAAAAATTAGTAAAATTAGTATTAAAGTATCTCTTATATATATTTAGCATATGCTCAGTATATGTGAGAGAATTATTAAAGTTGAAATTAAAGTTAATATTTAGTTAAAACTAAGTTAGAAAAAAGTAGAGAGTTAAAGTTAGAGTTAAGGTTAGGGTTATCTTAATATTCTATTTACATATGCCTAGCATATGTAAATATACTTGGATAAAAGTAAGATTATATTTAAAATTATCCTAAAAGCTTATTATTTCATTGCATATGTTTGGCATATGCGGTCGATATTTCACTCCGTTACTTGTAACAAAAAGTGGTCAATGCATTACCGATTTGGCGAGGGTTCGAAAAATTTGGAACCCCCGCCAGGTTTCCCCGAAGTTTGGCCGTGGACCGCCCGCCAAGTATTCGGGACCCCCCGCCAGCTGCGACCTGGGCGGGTTTGGCTGGCTGGCTGGACTGAGACCGGCTTTCGGAGCGGCCAATGAGCCCGAGGAAACAAGAAAATAACTAGTTAGGCTGGAACGATCGTTGTGATGATCGCCTTACCGGCCGGCTTGCACGGGGATAACTGAGACTAAGTCTCGTATACAGAATACATATGCACATGAAAACCTGCCGGGTCGCGTGGGAGAGGTGGTTTCTTTGGGGATGGCCAAGCCGATAACTATCGACAAAAACCAAATGTTTCCTGGGAACTTCAAAGTTCCCTTGCCCATGTTTCAATTCTCATTCTCAAAACGGATCTGTCGCCGTGAACGAGGGACCCCCGCCTGTGCCAGACTCGGACAGTGTGAGTGTGACTTGCCCAAGTGAGCAAGTCGGTGTATTTACGAAACACCATCGAAAGGACCGAATCACACCTCAAAGCGGCGATGGGCATCATCACAATATCAGCCGGAAGTCGTCGCCCAAGAGAAACTGCAAGTGCGCGTCATAATAGCTCCCCTTTCCGGTAGGGCCGAGAGACCAGTTACCGTGCCCATCTCCTCCGCTTGCAGGTTGGAACCGGTGGGGCCAACAGTCCAGAATGGTTGCAGGTGGCGCGAGGCCCCTGGTCGGCCCCGAAGGGCCGGTGCGTCCCATTGGCGTGGGGAGAGCTGGGGTCAATTCGCGGTCGGGAGGGTCTTTTACTCAAGAGCAAGGGGGCGCCACTTCCATCCTTGGATGATCCTGCGTTCTCGATCACTGCTCGCCATTCCGTCAGACGACTTGCCATTCTCACCAACAGTCAATCGCCCGTGATACCATCGAAACCGCCATCATGAAGGTCCCCGCTGCTTTCCTCCTTGCGCTCGCCGGCGCCGCCGTTGCCCAAGAGGGAGGATTCGGGCTCCCTACGTGCGCCGTGTGTATTCCCAAGAGACAGCGTTGCAAGCAACACAGCCGGTGCGTTCGCTAACCTGCATGTGTCACCAACAGAACGACTGCGCGACCCAGTTCCTGCAGGGCGGCATCGGCGACTGCGGCAGAGACGTCGGGTGCATCTGCAGGAACGACACCTTCCTCGGCGAGATCGCGTGCTGCCTGACCGACGCGTGCAGCGAGGAGGACCAGGCCAAGGCCGTAGCGGCCGCCGCCAACGTGAGCCATTAACCAACCCCCCTCACATGCGCAAGCATGGACAAACAAACAAACAAACCAACAAGCTAACCACCTCTACCCTAGATCTGCGAAGCCGTCGGCGTGAGCGGCCTGCCGACCTCGGTCGCCTGCGCGACCGCCTCCTCCGCCGCTCCCACCAGCGCCTCCGGCACCGCCTCCGGCACGTCGCCCGCCCCGACCGGCAGCGGAGCCGCCGCCACCCAGAGCCCCGACCCCGAGAACACCACCAGCGAGAGCACCAACTTCGGCCCGCGCCCGACGGCGGCCGCCGGCCTCGGCGCCATCGGCGGCATCATCGCTGCCGTCGCGCTCCTGTAAGCGCGCTTGGCAATGAAATGAATGGCCTTGCGGCGTGGAAGGGTGTGTGACTAGCTGGTCGATTTTGAGGTTTGCCGGCAGGGCCATGGGGTTGATCATGGTTATGGGTTCTGTGTTATGGTTTGATGCTGTTGTACATGATGTATAAGTGTGTCTGTGGTCGGGGCGAGAGTGGCTGCAGCATGTCCATGCATGTTTGCGGCGCACTTGTCGCCAATGTTAGCCGGGCCACACAAGTACATACGCTCGATTTATTACCTACTTATCGATAATTCAATTAATACCACTCGCAAGAGTTGAAGAAAGCAGATGGGAGCGGAGCTCAGCTCAGTCTCAACCACAGAGGTGCAAACAAGCATTACACCAAAAGGCTTCTATTCATCTCAACCCTAGTCTTTAAATCCTATAATCCCTTTCATCCCATCCAGTATCGTTTATGTATTTATTCCCAGGGTATCAGTATGCTCCTTCGAACGCCTTTACCCCATCCCTCACTGTCCCTGAACCTTTCGAATGACCACCTTGCCCCCATCCAACTCCCACCCCACCCCAAACCTCGCCTTCAGCTCGTCAAAGTCACTCCCAGTCTGCTCCTCCAACACCGCGACCGGAATAGCCAGATACGCCCGCCCAAACGCCTTGAGCGTGTGACCCGTCACTCTCTCCTCGGCAAACTCCATCAACTTCGCCCTATACCCGTCCACCTGCCCCTTGACACGCCTCCAAGCCACCCAATTATCCGCCACCAGCGCCCGCAGCACCACATCCACCCTACCATCCCGCAGCCGGTATTTATTCCTCAGCGCGTACGCCCCCGCCAGGTCCCCGCGCCGACACGCCGCGTCCAGCACGAGGTACGCAACCACCTCCTGCAGCTCCACGCTCGTCAAACTCCCAACCACACCACCTCCACTCCCACCACTCCCTCCACTCCCCACACTCCCACCACCCCCATCCCCCATAACCACCCCCATCCCCGCATGCCACCTCAAAAGATACAGCCCCGCCGGATGATACGTCTCGTACGCGCCCGCCAGCACCCCCAGCCGCACGCTGAAGAGGTAGGCCTGGGCAGCGAAATGGTCGCGCCGGCGCGAGGCGACTAGGCCCTCGCGCAGCTTGCGCAGGGCCGAGAGCAGCTGGGCGAGGGTTTCGTCTTGTGCTGTTATGGCGGGGGGGATCGTGGGTTCGAACGGGGGGCGTGTTGGTGTGGGGTTTGGTTTTGAGGGTTGGGGTTGGGGTTGTTTGGGTTGTTGGGTTTGTTGTGCTTGTTGTGTTTGTTGGGGGGGCTGAATGGGTGGCGGGAGTGGCGAGAGGGTTGGCTGGGAGGTGGTGGCGGAGGAGGAGGAGGAGGAGGAGGCCAGGGAGAGGCGGGCGAATTGCTTTTGGAGGTTGGCGCCGTCGCCGGCGGCGGTGCAGAAGGCGAGGTAGCGCGTGACGATTAGCCCGTAGTATGATTCTTGGACTTTGTGGGAGAGGAGTCTACAAAGATGTTAGCATGCGGACGACATCGGTTGGGAGAGCTCAGCTATAAAGTAGGGTAGGATAGGGTAGGGTAGGGTTGGGTGTGATGCTGCGCACCTCCTTTCGCCCTTTGAGGGGAGCCCATATTCGGCGAGGGGGTCGAGCTCGACCGGCCTCAGCCGCGAAAGATGCCCAGAGGGTGAACGCCCTTGTTTTTTCTGCATCGAAGTGGCGTTCATGGAATGTTTTGGTAGAAGTTGTCGTGTAGGAACGGGCAGTCGCCTTGCCCCGCCATGGTATGCAATGCGCCTCGATGCGGTAGTGGAACCTCTGCCCCGCGGTCCAGAGCGCTGGTTGCCCTGCCAACCTTACCCCGAAGCCATGGTCAGGGTTAGGGGATTACACGTTCTCGATGGTGAGTTCAAGTACACACCACCAAGACCTAGGGCATTTTAAAACATATGGCATTATGTTTCACCACCATTCCGCTGGAAAGCTTTGGGTAGTCATAGCTACCTATCTGTCTCTTGGTCCGTCCTTGTGTCGACAAATCACCAAAGGTGCCCTTGAGCTCCAGTGCCAGAACAACTAAGATGAACAGTATTGGACAGATTTTCTCACGAGTGCGAGACCACATGCCATCCATTACAACAACGTGTTCTCCAAGAAGTCAAAATGGTGTTTATCGAACTGCTCCCATAACATCGGTTCCTCGATATCCACGACCGCCCGAAGAGATTCTTCAGATGGAACCCCATTGCCTTCGATACCGAAATACACTCCCGGTTTCGGATAGCGTATGTAGAACAACTCCGAATTTTTCAGGCAGTCATCGGGGTCATGTTTCAAGCCAGCAGTCCTACCCGGCCATAGATTAGAACACGTAGGTAGGATCCGGTGTGCTCGGTGTTGGGGCAGTACTCACAGGATCAATGAGCGACGGAGGAGCATACCCCTTATATCCGAGTAAGACAAGCCAGCAAGCCATTCAGCATCGTCGTGCCAGATTCCAATGGCTGCCGACCAGTCACCCGATCCGTTAGCGCTCAGGTAGGCGAGGTCGATCCTTCGTACGTAGGAATTCTTCTTTCCAACCATGGGATGATCATCGACGTATATCTTGTCGTACCAGCAGTGACGGAGATTTTCGAGCCACTGCGGAGGCGCGTCCACCAGCCCAGCAACAGTATCGCAACAGAGGGCCGTCCAGATCACCCAGGGTGCCGATGCTTTACTCTTTGGAGTTACACGCTCGACCGGGGAATAGGCCCTAGTGATCTCATATTTATATTGTCGACGAGGTGGGATGCGACCTCTCTGGACAGTGCAAGTCTTCTTTGGTTTCAACCATCTCCCATTCCGTAGGACTGGTGTCTGAGAGCGGTGCGTCTTCCCAGATTGGTCCGGTAGGGGCGGGCTGCCTTTTGAACTGCTGCTATGTTTCGACCCTGAGAGACGGTCCAAGATCCTGCGCCAGAAACCCCGACGTGGCGCGCTGGGCGGCGGCGAGGGGATAGACTCCTTGGAGTCCTCAATAAGTGTCTTTTCGGACTGGGTGTCGAGGCTCGGATCACTGGAAGTGGCCTCGTGGCGGGGCAGCTGGCCCTGGGGGGTATTGGCCATCTGGTTAGCGAGAGAGGAGTCCTGGTTTGATGGTGATGGGAAAGAACCTGGGAAGAATGCCAGCGGAGAGGACAGGCCTGAAATACTGCCTCCTTGGAGATCATAATTATCAATTAAAACCGACTCTTGAGTATTGATGACGTTTCCCCGATGGTCGAGGTCGAGACCGATTCTCCCCGTCATCACTTTGGCCGTTCGTGGGCAGCTCGTTCACCTTTTCCGTCTTCTACTCGTCATTCTGACGTCTATAGAGGCCGCTTGTTTATTTTACTGTGTATAACTGCTCAGAGTCGATTCGGATGAAAAGTATATCAAATCTAAAGTTCTGACGAATGCTAGAAACTTGGCCTTCGCCCAAAACAGACAGACGTTGGGAGTGAAATGGGAGCAGGGATGGTCGAGCACCATCTTCAGCGGGGAAAAGCAGATCTTCCCCAGAATTCCCCATTTCCCCAATTTCCAACCCCACTCCCGCCAGACTTCCGGATATTCGTGGTTTGGCTACAAAGTACGAGGTACATGGTAACTTTCCTACTTGTATAGCTCTTTGGTGGGAGAACAATCACCTCCTCTCATAAGCTCGAGGGTTGAAATGGCACCTTCTCGCCTGTAGCAAAAGCGAAGGCTAGAACGAAAGTTTGAATGAGAGGAACAGTCAATCGCTCAAGCAGAGATCGCCGGGGTCGATTGGGGTTGGACCTCGGCATCCCTGGCTGGGGGGCTGGGTTGGCGTCAAACTTCCGACACTTTGATCCGTACACGAACAATTACTGTGTACTTCCAATCCGAGTTTGTATTTAGGTAACTCCAGCCTCGCTCACACCCGTGCATTCCAATAGCCCATCATGTCCGAAAGAATCAACCAGATCGCCCGCCAACTCAACTACCCCAAGGGGCTGCTGGCAGGCCAGGTCGCCATCATCACCGGGTCCGGCCAGGGCATCGGGGCCGAGTGCGCGAGACTGTTTGCGAACGAGGGGGCAAAGGTGGTAGTATCGGACATTGACGCCGCCAAAGCCGAGGACGTAGCGTCCAAGATCAGAGCCAATGGCGGCGAGGCGCTCGCTGTGGCGGGAGACCTGCTCAAGGACGAGTGCATCACCGACCTCGTCAAGAAGGCAGCCGAGTTTGGCAACGCCAAGATCCACATCCTCGTCAACAACGCGGGCTTCACCTGGGATGCCGTCATCCACAAGGCAAGCATGACCCCCTCACTCCCTTCTCTCTTCCGAACCCTCCCCCGCCCAGCCCAGCCCAGACCAACCCACATCCGAAAGAACCATCCCATCCGATCCTAACACTCCCCGCCCCCTGTTGCGCAGATGACCGACAAGCAATGGGACACCATGCTAGCGATGCACGGCACGGTGCCCTTCAAGCTCGTGCGCGAGGCGGCGCCCTACTTCCGGGTGCGGGACGGCGAGCCGCGCAACATTGTCAACATCTCGTCCACCTCGGGCCTGCACGGCAACGCAGGCCAGCTGAACTATGCCATGGCAAAAGCGGGCGTCGTCGGTTTGTCCAAGACGATAGCCAAGGAATGGGGCCCCGCGTTCGGCGTGCGCGCCAACACGGTCGCTTTCGGCCATATCGAGACGCGGTTGACGGCTGACAAGGAGGCGGGCGCGTTTGTGGAGGTGGGCGGGCAGAAGGTGGCGCTGGGTATTCCTGGGAAGCAGAAGGCGGCGGGTGCGGCGGCGGGGGCGGTGCCGCACGCGGATATTCCGTTGCGCAGGCCGGGCACGGCGACGGAGGCCGCGAGTGCTGTGCTGGCGATTGCGTCACCGCTGAGTTCGTATATCAGCGGGCAGACCATCAGCGTGACGGGCGGGAGGAACATGTAGCTTTAGGGTTAGCTAAGTAGCGCGGGTGAGGTGGAGTGGAATGACGGGAGAGGTCGGGTGGATGCGACAGTTAAATCGGATTGCATATGATGAACCACACAAACAACGCCTTGCCCAAATCCTCCGTCCTGATCATACAACAAGCCCTCTTTTCGCCCCCTTGGTATCTCTCAGTATTACCTCCCCCAGCCCACTTCGTTCCTCTCGGTTCCTACTCGTCCACTCCCCATGCACCTCCCTTTCCTAAGTCGACCACCAAAGCTGCAACACCCCCTTCGCATACTCGACAATCTCCTCCCCACCCAGCTTGCTATCCCCGTACACGCGGTCCACAAACGAGATGGGCACCTCCCCGATGCTGTAGCCCTTGGACTTGGCCGTGACGGCCAGCGCCATCTGCATGGTAAAGCCGCGGGCGTCGGTGCTCTCGAACAGCTTCTCGAGCACGTCGCGCTTGTAGAGGCGGAAGCTGCCGGTGAGGTCGCTGACGCCGGGGCGGAGGACGGTGTCGGCGAAGATGTTGGCGCCCTTGCTGGTGAGCTTGCGCTTGAGGTCCCAGCCGTAGACGCCGCCGTCGCCGGCGTAGCGCGTGCCCGTGACGATGTCGTACCCGCGCGCCCGCTGCAGCTCGATCATGCGCGGGATGAACTTGGGGTGGTGGCTGAAGTCGGCGTCCATGATGATGATCCGGTTGCCCCGCGCGAACTTGAGCCCGTGCACGTACGCCGTCCCCAGCCCCAGCTTGCCCGTCCGCGCCTGCAGCTGCACGTGCGGCGCGTACGCCTTGATCAGCTGCCGCGCCACGTCCTGTGTGCCGTCCGGCGAGCCGTCGTCGACGATTACGAGTTCCCAGTCGAGGTTGCTAGGGAGAGGGGGGATAGTGTTAGCGAAGGAGAGATTGACAGCTGCAATGAGAGGGTTCGGCAGTTATAATGAGAGGATCGGGAGTGAATTGGCGGATAGGGAATTAGGAAGGGGGGAGCAAGGAATGGACGAACTTCTCAGTAAAGGTGCGGTTCAGCAGCCAGGTCATGATGGGCAGATTCTGGCGCTCGTTGAAGGTCGGTAGGATCACCGAATAGGTGTCCTTTTCCGAGGATGGCTTTGCGGGTGCCATTGTGTGTGTCGGGGCGTGCAATGGGGGGATTTTGGGTTTGGTGGTGCGAGAGGAGGAAATCGAAGGTTGATAGAAGCGCAGGTGGCCAGTCTGGCTCGACGCGACTCGACTCGATGTTCAGCGCCGAGAACGTGCATGGGGCCCCTGAATGATTTCTTGGCAGAACCTCTGCTGAACCCCTAACCCCTGCCAAGAATATTTTCCATCCAGTTGCCAGGCCTTCGCTCTCTCACACAGCTCCTTCCAGATTCAAACATTTCACGAATTATTCGCGCACGATAAAATAAATCAGTTTGGTCCAACTCCAAAATCATATTTTTGAGTTCTACGCTGTCTTATTCCTCGATCCTCGCCACAAGTCCACTCGACTTCTCTCCAATATGGGTATCCAAATCAGCCAACTCTTGGCCACAAGCTCCAATCCTCGCCTTCTTTTCGTGTACTCTCTTTCTCTTCCTTTCATCTGCCCCTCCTCTCCTTTTTGAAACCGGCTCCCACTCTCAGATAATATGGATATGAGCCACAGGCCATGGCCTCGCACAGGATCCAAGTCTACTATTCCGACAAATCTTGTGGCCTCTATAACTAGCAGTTGCAGCATTCACACAGGGGGGATACCCTGCACCGTCTTCTGCTGCGTCGTCGCCGGCGTCAACCCGCCGTTGGACGGGGCCTTGGACCTGGACTCGGTCCGGCTTGCGCTCATGGTTCGTCCCGCGCTTAGCCAGTTCTTCAGGTTGCCGAGGCCCATGCTCTTGTAGAACTTCTTGGTACCCTCCTCACCCTGCGACCAGCTGCCCTGCACCACCTTGTGGTCGTCCAGGATGTTCAGCGTGCGCTTGACGTACTTCCAGGCTTCGATGCCCACGACGTAGATGAGCGTCATGCCGACCACGACGCCCCACTCCCAGCTGATGGACGTGTGCTTGAAGACGTCGCGGTTGAGGTAGGGAATGTACACGGTCGGGAACACACTAACCAGGCCGATAGCCACGGCCCAGAACAGGAAGCGGTTGTTGTACAGGTCCTTGAACAGCGGGAACCGCGACGTGTCCTCGGGGTTGAGGCGGAACAGCGACCGACGGATGTCCTTGAACTCCCACGCGCTGAGCAAGATGAGCCACGTGAGCTCGGCGAAGACGGCCGCGCGAGCCCGGAAGACGGGCTCACACACGTCCGAGTAGACGCGGTTGCAGTCGTGCCCGAGCGCCCCGCCGTGCATGCCATAGACCACGATGACGAAGGTCATGAGCGTGCAGGTGCCCATCAGCAGGCCGTACACCATCATGTCGGCCAGGATCTGGTTGGTGAACACTCCGCGACGCTTGTCGTGCGGCGGCTTGCGCATCACCTCGGCACCTGCCTTCTCTCGGCCGAGCCCGAAGGCCGGGAACGACGAGGTAACCATGTTAATCCACAGAATCTCCAGGGGCGAGATGGGGAACACCGAGAAGCCCGTCTCATCCTGGAATCCGAGACCGGCGATCAAGAGGATGACCTCGCCGACGTTGCTGCTCAGAAGGTGCAGCACGAACTTCTGGATGTTCTCGAACATGCGGCGGCCCTCCTTGATGGCGGAGACGATACTGTTGAACTTGTCGTCCGTCAGGACAATCTTGGCGGCCGACTTGGCCACGTCGCTACCGGAACCCATAGCAATACCGACGTCGGCGCGGCTCAGCGACGGCGCGTCGTTAACACCATCGCCCGTCATGGCCATGAAGGCGTCGCGGCGCCGCAGCGCCTCCACCATGCGCGACTTGGTCTCGGGTGCGCAACGCGCGATCACCAGCGGCAGATCCTCCAGCGCGTCGATCTCCGCCTCGGTCATCTTGTCGAAGTCGGTCGCCTTCATCACCACCGTGTTGGCCACACCGGTCGGGAGCACACCCATGTTGCTCGGCAGGATGCCCACCTCCTTCGCGATTGCCTTGGCCGTCTCCGGGTGGTCGCCCGTCAGCATGTGTACCTTGATGCCCGCCTTGGAGCACTCGAAAATGGACGGGGAAGTCTCGCGGCGCGGGGGGTCGTAGATACCAGCCAGGCCCAGGAGGATCAGGTCCTGCTCGACCGCTGTGCGCGCCGCGTCTTCAGCCGGGTCGCTCTCGTCCGAGGGATTGGCCGAGGTAGCGGCCACCGCGGCAGCGTCGTACTTGCCCTTCCAGGGGCGGTAAGCCACGGCCAGCACACGCTGGCCCATGGAGGCGAAGCTGGTCATCTGCTCGAGGATTTTGTCCTTCATCTCGGGCGTCATGGCCTCCTGGTTCTCGCCAGTGCCCACGTAGGCGCACAGGTCCAGGACGCGCTCGACGGCGCCCTTGGTGAAGACGATGCTGTTGGCGGAGTCGATGTCGGCGTCGTTGTCCTGCGGGGCGTTGTAGACGACCGACATGCGCTTGATGCTGCTGTCGAAGGGGAATTCGGCGACCTGCGACCAGCCGAGGGCCTCCATAGCCTTTTTGTTGCGGTCGAAGCGGTGGGTGAAGATCTGCAGGGCAATTTCGGTCGGCTCACCCGTGGTCTTCCACGCGCTCTCGCCGTCGTCGTACCGCACCGTTGCCAGGTTGCACAGCGCCGCCGACAGCGTGAACATGCGCAGCTCGGGCGTCATGTCGGCCATCTTGGGCTCCGCCGGCTTCGGGTTGAGCTTCTCGTCGGGAACACCGTCAAACTTGATCGCCTGGGTAGTGCGCTCCTCATCGAAGTCGCGCTTCTTCTCTTCCGCCTGCGGCTGGTCCCCGACCGTGCCCTTGTAGGGGTCGTTGGGGTCCGTCGAGCCAGATACCGTGTAGATGTGCGAAGGTGGCAGCCAGACCTTCTTGACGATCATGGCGCCCTGAGTTAGCGTGCCCGTCTTGTCCGAGCAAATGTTGGTGACACCGCCGAGGGCTTCAAGCGCGGAGAGATCGCTAATTACCAGTGTTAGATCTGTTTGTTTGAAGAGAAAGCGGGGGGATCAGGGAGCACATACCGAACGACAACGTTGGCCTTCCTCATCACAGTGGTTGCCACAACCATGGAAATAGTCAAGACGGCAACGAGCGACTCGGGAATGATAGCGATACCGGTCGAGATGGCATAAATCACGACCTCCTTGGGCAGCGGCTGGACGAACTTGTTCACGCCAAACACGATGACAGCCAGGAGCAGGGCGCAGAAGAACAGAAAGTAGGCCAGCTTCGCGAGCTTGATCTGGAGCGGCGTACCCTCAGTCAGACCCAGAAACTTGCCCAAGAAGTCGTAGGTGCGGCGGAAGCCGCCCTTGATGGGCTGGGCCTTGCCGTACTTCTTCCAGTTCATGGAACGGCCGGCCTTGCGGCGCTTCTTGTTGGTGGAGGCGGCGATCTTGCCGACCTCGGTCTGCATACCCGTGGCGACGACAATGCCGCGGCCGCGGCCCTTGCGCACGATGGTAGTCGCGTACGCCATGTTGATGCGGTCCGCGATACCGACCTCGTCCTCGGTCGCCGCCGGCTTCTCCGTGCCCGGCACCATGATGTCGTTGTTGGTCTGCTTGTCCACGGGAATCGCCTCGCCCGTGAGCGACGACTCGTCGCAGTTCAGGTTCATGGCCTCGAAGAGCCGCACGTCGGCCGGAACCGTATCGCCCATCTTGAGGTTAATGACGTCGCCGGGGATGACTTCAGCGCTGCATTGAGGGGGCGCACGTGTTAGTCCTGGGTGGGGGTCGGGACAGGGGGGAGGGGGTAAATGGGGGGTACACAACGACTCACTTGGGAATGACGATGGTCTTGCCGTCGCGAAGGACGCTTGCGCTAGGGGAAGACAGGGCACGGAGCGCATCCATCTTCTTCTCGGCGCCATACTCTTGGTAAAACCCAATTGACACATTGAGCACGATGACGGCCGCCAACACACCACCTTCGATGTAGTCGGCCACGCCAAAGCTCAGGGCCATGGCGAAAAAGAGAACCTAGTCGGGCGCATGAGTATGAGGCCACGACGACGGCGGGGGATGAGAAAGGAAGGGGCAATGGCACGCACCAGGATCATGGCATTGCATAGCTGTCTGATAAAGATGGTATACCAGGCAATGCTGCCGCCGACGTCCAGTTCATTGGGGGGGTATTGTTGCTGCAGCTCGGCAGCCCGGGAGGAAGTCAGGCCCTTGTCGACATCTGTGCCGACGGCCTGCTCAACCTCCCGGACCGAGAGGAGAAAGGGATGTTTGGGGAACTCGGCAGCCATCGGGTGATGGGGACGAGTTCACGGCGAGTACACGGGATGAACAGGGCCTCGGGTGATGGGCACTTTGCTTCATTGGCGTATAAAGGGGGGGTATAAGGAAGGCTTAAATCGCAGAATCAGCTGCGATTTCTACGATACCAAGCAAGAATCTGTGGGATGATATCGATTAAAGGTCAACAACGATGACGACAGACAAGACATCAACGGGGGGGTCGCTTTCTTTAAGTAGCCCCAACGTCCAGATCTTGGGTCATCTGTCCCGCGGAAAATCCTACCATCCCAGTGCCGGATCACGCTCTTTTCCTCACCGATAACCCGGCAAACCGCACAGAAACCATGTTTGGGCCTGTTGGGCCAAGACCAAACCAAGAGGTGTATCCCAGCGTGCCCAGCTCACATCCGGTGTTGAGTCGCAGTTCTGCGCGGCGGGCATCGCTGATGCCCCACTGTGGGGGAGCGTTGAGCCTCTTAGATCCGGTCTGGGAATGATAAGCTGCAAGCGGGTGGCGATGGGCTCCGAAGGCGTCGTTCTTTGACTCCGGGGGGCGGCTTGGGGGTGTATTGGTCTTTGTCAAGCCGATGGCAGGGGGAGCTGTGATAGGGTGAGAGCCCCGGGCAGGAATGCGCAGCGAGGTCATCCCGCTTGGCGCCGAGTCTCGGCACGCCATGTCTTCCCTGTTCCCCACGCTTGGCGCCGGCCGGTTGCTCGTCTGGAAGGCGGCCGGACTTGCTCGGCCGTGCTCGGCGTCCCTCGCCATCGGCTCCTCCGTCAGCCCGTTCTCCCTCTCCCGCCTTGCCCGCCTTAGCCGCCTCGCCCGCTGTGCCGTTTCTCGCTCTTCTCGCTCTTTCCTCCCGCGGATGCCGCTATTCGCGACGTGATACAACATGACGGGAAACGGTGGCTGGGGCCCAGACTCTTCGTCTCTGCCTCGCTGTTCCTCTTGCTGTTCCTGGGTTTGATGGGGCACGTGGGCCGATTCTGATTGTTCTTGTCTTGGCTGCAGCCTCGGCGCGTGTGGTCAGTGGCTGGCGAGGCTGGGCAGATCCCGATGTTTTCGAACAAGCCGCCGCATCCCAGGATGCTGGGTGGGGTTGAATGGGGTTTGATAATGGCACCGGCGCGCACTGGGCAGTCTCGGGCAGTCACCTCGTCTCACCAAGTCTCACCAAGCCTCACAAGTCTCACAAGTCTCACAAATCTCAGTCGGTCTCCCGTCCCCGATCACGCAAGTTCCGCGGATCTCGTTGCTTGTCAGTGCTTGTTTACCTACACAGCATGCCGTGTTGCCGATCGGCTGCCTGCCATATGCGACTGACGCCATGCCCAGACGATAGGGCTGCCGATGTGGGGGAATTGGGGGGATGGGGGTTTCCGGGCCGAGTTTTGGTTTCTTGACACAAAAAAAGGTAATATAAAAGCATATGAGTGTCATGTCGGATGCTGGGACCCGGAACCGGAGTTTCAATGTGTCGATTTGCACCAGAAGCGACCAGACCGCCTCGAACCTTAAATTCCCCTAGCGCCTGACTGCTGCACCTTCTCGTGGCGTGGCGGGTCCGGGTAGGGCACTTCTAGCGAACCGGATCGCGACGGCAGCGCCTTTCAGTGCCGGCAGTCCAGGCGAAGTCCAGCACAAGTTTGGGGTCGGTTTGGGGGGCTAGAACCGTCGATGAGGTATTATTATCGTGAATGAATTGGAGCGACAGGATTGGACTGAAGAGCTGGCGGGGTCATTTGGGGGCTCCCGGAACTCGAGGGGGCTTCAGGGGGCCATTGGGGGGTGAAAGAAGATCATTGGTCCAGCGGATCATCAATTGGGTGAGGTGGTGAGTGAGGTTGGGGAGCTTGTCAACATCGAGGGAGCGGTAAACAAATTTACAAGCCACCAAGTCAACAAAGTCAACAAAGTCTCGAATCTGGCCTGCTGGCGTGGGTTCGACTCGGGTCTGGCTCTGGCTCGTTTGGCAATCTCACCAAACCTGGAAGTCACGGTGTCGGAAAAGGTAACGTTGATGGCAGAATGGCGTCATCACATTGTCAAAAATTTAGTTAGGTGGATACTGAACCACACTGCCGCGGAGAACAGAAACGACCTCGACGACCAACCTGCATCGTCCCGCAAACTGAGAAGCCGAGATCCGGCAACAACTGCCCGGGCTCGTCGGGCAAATTCGCCCGACTTAAACGTGTCAACGAGCAACACCATTGTGCATGAATAGATGACCGGCACACTGGATATACTACTTCACATAGCACATGGCCTGAGGCTGACCTCATTGATCCATCCTCGATGTACGCTCTCGGCTAAGGTAACACATCCAGATGGAACCACTGGAACCTCGAACCCTTTTGTAGCACACGGATCGCCGATATACATTATTCCGGCGGGGTTGATCCGTCAGTGCGACTGCCCGCATACACAGAAACGCAAAACATGGATGCTTCGTACCGTGTGCGATGGGGCGCTGCCACCGTAATCCGCCGCATGCCCGACCTCACGTCTGTTCTCCCGTTTTTCCGCCCTCTTCTATTGCCATCTCGTTTCTTGGTCTGCCATTGAGTTCTCAACGGAAACCACCTTTACCACTATTTATTGGCCGCCTCTAGTCAATATACCACCGCGCCGACGTTCAATTTGGAGATACTTCAGACTGCAACCTCGCGCCATTTCGCACTTACGTCATCTTCGCGATGTCTGCCGAGGTAAAGAAAGGTGAGATACCACCTCAGCGCCGGAAAACAAGCAGCGCCATTGCCCTTGAATTGGATTGTGCCCATCAAAAACAAACCTCGTACACCAGAGGCGTCAATTTTATGACTTATCAAGTTCATATTTCATGCTAACACCGATTGGTTCCGTGATGGCTAGCCACTCAGCAGGGCGAATCGGCTGGGCCACCTGTCACTGCGGCGACTAGCGTCGCAGAGATTCCGGCACCCCAAGTACCCGGGAAGCAAGACGAGACCCAATCCGCGGAACCCCTAGCCAACGGCGGGGTTGGGGGTGCGGTTCCGGACCCGAGCGCACCACAGGAAAAGGCTGAGCCGACATCTACTGATAATAAGCCTGCAGAATCCGGCGAGCCGACCGCGCAGCCAACTTGTCCCCCGGCCGCAGACTCCCAGCAGCAGCAGACCAACGGCGCCGCCAACCCGGCCGTGGCCGAGCCAGTGGCCGCCGCCGCCGATGCAGTCGCTGCAGCCGAGGAGAAGTCAACAGAGCCTACCCCCACCACCACAGTAACAGCCGGCGCCAACGGCGCATCCAAGCCCGCCGAAGAAGCCGACATGGGAACCAACGCCCCAGCTGCTGCAAACACCACCACCACCACCACAGAAGAAGAAGACAGCGCCGCCACCACCGCAGCCGACTCCTCCTCCTCCAACAACAAGCGCAGCGCCTCAACCGCTCTCGGCGCCGACGCCAATACCGAAGGCGACGCTGCAGGTGGCAAAAGACAAAAGACCGGCGTCGACACGGCGCCGGCAGAGCTCGCCCCCGCTGCCAAGGCGGAGGAGAAGGCGAAATCGCCGCCGCCGGCCGCCGAGACCAACGGCAGCAGCGGCGGCGGAGCGATGGCCAAGCCCGCCGAAGCCGCCGCCGCCCCACCTGCTCCTGCTGCTCCCGCCCCTGCCAAGAAAGGGGGCCGGCCGAGGAAGCAGCCCGGTAAGGCTGCTGCTGCTGCTGCTGCTGCGGTGACGGCTGCCGCGGGGAGGACGGCGCGGAAGACGAGGAGCCAGGGGCCGGTTGAGCTGTGAATTTTTTTTTTGCTTCCCCTTGTTTCTTGTTTGCTCTTTGCGTCGCTTTTTTTTATCCGGTTCGAAATGTGGGCTGGAATGGAGTATGGGTGGGTTTTGGGGAGGGTTGATGACTGACCGGTTCAAAACCACGCCTGGGTGGGTGATGGTTTCTTGCGTTTCTTCCTTTCTTCCTTTTTTTCCTTTTCTTCTCTTTCTCCAGGGTTATTTTCCACCACGAGCCGGGCCGACGTGGCCCCTTCATATTGTATGATAGATGAATGCTTTTCCGGCCATCGTGCCGTCGGAGTTACCAGGCGTGGGCCGGTTTGATACCGTCTTTACTCTCTGCTGTGAACTGCTCGCACGTGAGCTCAAACCTAGATTGGCAACAGGCTGGGAAACTGAGATGCGCGTATTCAAATATGGAGAGATGGTTAGTTTGCCCCCCTCACGGTTCAGAGCTCCCCATCAAATCCCGTCAGCTGCCCCTCCCTGTCCACTAGCGGTGTTCGAGGCGAGCCACGAGGTTCAGCCGCATGACGACACAGACGGGCCCGATGGGCCGAATACCTACTCAGACCCCGACACATGCCCGTGCCCTCCGACTTGCTCAATCCTCCCATCGCGTTGATTTCCTTTCCTGATCTCACCCATCAACGGAGCGGTTCATGAGATTCTCAACGGCTCGCGTGCGGTGATCTGCGAGAAGGCGCACGACGGCGTCAGATCAATCGCCCGATGTGGCAAAGTCTCTCGATCCCGGGGCCGTGGATGTGCGCGCCAGCAACGGGCGGATCGTCCAATCAAGGTATGGATTTCGTCGGGATCCCTGAAATTCATGTTTATGCAACCACTTTCCAGGAGCAAACACCGATTCTCTCAAACCTCCAAGGTAAAGGATTGAGGGTTTTCGCGTTGTCGCGTTTCGTAAACATTTGGGATCATCGCTCAGCTCGCAGAACAGATCAAGGGTGTTCTGCCGACTTTCTCGTCCCTCGTCCTCGATATGTTTGGATGCGACACTGCTGTTGTGCACCTCCTTGATTTCGTGCATCCAGAGCTCGTATTGTGAGTCGGCTGCCCCACTCGCCGGCTGTTTGGTGGGGCACCAACCGGGGGAAACGGCTTCCCCGGAGCAAGTGGCAGTGCCAAAATAGCAGCTGCTGGGAATCATTGGACGGATCGCGTGCTCATCGCTTTGTTGAGGATTTGGGGTCGCAGTCTTCTCAGGGGCAGGCTGGCGGGATGCCTCTCAAAAAGCTGGGGAACGGGGCGAAGCAACAAGTTTAGAGACGTTTAACTTGATGGCCTTTGATGACTTTTAATGCACGAAACTGGGTTGCAGCGGGAGAAACTTTGGCGTCAGCTGCTTTCTTGGCATTAACCTTGTGCCGGCACCTTGCGCGATCCAGAACTTGGTCCCCTGCATCCCGACCCTTTTTTTCGTCAGAACAACATTCTCGAACCTGCCCTCCTTCACACTAACTTACCTCCGCTATTCTTAGCGCAACAATAGGAGAGACTTCGGCCACCGCTCGCTACCGGTCGATTTCTCCAGTCACTCGTTTTCTTTGATAACTACGAAACAGCAACCGCCCTTCCCCCCTCCTACCCTTGTCGATCTCGAACCCCGTCGGCCGGTCATTTTAAAGCGACGCACCATTCGCGGCCTTGGCGCTGATCTTCCCCCGTGCCGAGCATACGTCACTCTCTCGAGCATCAGGTCTGGCAGTCTTCGCTCCAGGAATCGAGAAACCTCGATCAGACCTTGAAGGAGGTCGAGAATCTTCCAACTGCAGCGTGAAGAGAACTTCGGCGTGGGTTCGTGAAAAAGAGGAGGGGAAACTGCGTCACGAGCGACGGAACAAACGGATTCGTACACAGCTCTGACTCCTTCGCCGTCTCTCGAACTCTTGTTGCCTCGCTCCGGATCTCAATTCCCTGGTTACGACTTCGCCCTTGCTGCCCTTCGTGGGCATTATTTGGCCCTCGATACGGAGCAAGGATGGATATTCTACAGCGCCTCCTCGCGAGGGATGATAAGCCCATAGATCCTGCTCAAATTCTCCTAGAACTCCTATCAAGCCCCTTCTCCTCGCAAGCTGAGGTATGTCATCACCATACCACACGTCTAACCCTACTTTTGAGCTCTTGCTCACTATTCGCCGCCCTTCTAGGTCCAACAAGATGCCGTATTTGCCGCGTTAGGCTCCTCACTAGGCGTCACAGCAGCTATCGCCATCTGCTTTTCCTTCCTCCGCCCATACAATAGCGTTGTATATGCACCGAAGCTCAAGCATGTCGACGAGAAACATGCCCCTCCGCCCTTGGGGAAAGGTGTTTTCGCGTGGATCGTACCGCTGTGGTCGACATCAGAGTTGGATATGGTCAACCTGGTTGGCATGGATGCCACCCTCTTTATGCGCTTCACGAGGATGTGCCGCAATATCTTCCTCGTCCTCTCGCTGCTTGGCTGCGCCATCCTCATACCCATCAACTGGACCAACTGCGCCGTCGAGGAACCGCGGTGGCTGATGCAAATTACGCCTATGAATGTGTGGGCCTCTGCCCATTGGGCGACAGTGGCCTTCGCGTGGCTGTTGACCGTTGTGGTTTGCGGCTTTCTGTGGTGGAACTACAGGAAGGTTTTGGAGTTGAGGCGCCTGTACCTGAAGAGCGAAGAGTACCAACATAGCCTTCACGCCCGCACATTGATGGTATAGGATACCAGCCTTGCTTTGCCCTCTTGATTTCTTGGCTAATCGGCATTTAGTTACACGACATCCCCAAGACCCTTACCTCGGACGAAGGCATTGCCAGAATTATCGACAAGATCGCCCCGAACTCGTCCTTCGCGAGAACTGCCGTCGCCCGTGACGTCAAGGTCCTCCCCGACCTCATCGAGCAGCACGACAAGGCCGTTCGGAAGTTGGAAAAGGTGCTGGCCATCTATCTCAAGGATCCGCACAACCTCCCGTCAGAGCGACCCAAGTGCCCACCGTCCAAGAAAGACCCCTCATACGGAACGTATCCGAAGGGGCACAAGGTCGATGCCATTGACTACCTCACGCAGCGAATCAAGGTCCTGGAGCTGGAGATCAAGGACGTTCGACAACGGGTGGACAAGAGGGGCTCGATGCCGTACGGGTTTTCGTCCTACTCGGATATCGCCGAGGCGCATGCCATCGCCTACGCGTGCCGCAAAAAGAAGCCACACGGCGCCACCATCAAGCTCGCCCCGAGGCCAAACGATATCATCTGGGACAACATGCCGCTCAATTCGTCGACCCGGAGCAGGAGGCGACTCTGGAACAACCTTTGGATAGCCGTTCTCACCATCTTGTGGATTGCGCCAAACGCCATGATCGCCATCTTTGTAGTCAACCTGACCAACTTGGGGAGAGTTTGGCCTGCTTTCGAGATCTCGCTCATACAGAACCCCACCGTCTGGTCCATCATCCAGGGTATCGCTTCTCCGGCGCTCATGTCGCTCGTCTACCTCGTCCTCCCCATCATCTTTCGACGTCTGTCCATCAAGGCCGGCGACCAGACCAAGACGGGACGGGAGCGCCACGTCGTAGCGAAGCTGTATACCTTCTTCGTCTTCAACAACCTCGTCATCTTCTCCATATTTAGTGCCCTATGGGGTTTTACGGCAAGCGTTGTCCAGCAAACCGAGAAGGGCATAAATGCCTGGGATGCCTTCATGGACGCCAACATTGGCCAGACTCTCTTCGTATCCCTCTGCATTGTTTCGCCCTTCTGGATCACCTGGCTCCTCCAGAGACAACTAGGTGCTGCGATTGACCTGGCCCAGCTCTGGGCCCTGCTGTCCAGTTTTGTCGTGCGCAAGTTTTCGAACCCGACCCCTCGCGAGCTGATCGAGCTCACGGCGCCGCCCCCGTTCGATTATGCGAGTTACTACAATTACTTCTTGTTTTACTCGACCGTCGCCCTCTGCTACAGCGCCATTCAGCCGCTTGTTCTGCCCGCCGCCGCCATGTACTTCTGCATCGACGTGGCGCTGAAGAAGTACCTGCTCCTCTATGTCTTTGTTACCAAGACGGAAAGCGGCGGCATGTTCTGGCGCATGCTGTTCAACCGCGTCTTATTCGGGTCCATGCTTTCTCATCTCGTCGTCTTCTTGATCGTCTGGGTTCGCGGCGATGGCACCCACGTCCAGGCATATGCCGTCGCTCCTCTCCCCTTCCTCATGCTCGGGTTCAAGTTCTACTGCGCCTACGCCTTCGACAACAAGATGCATTTCTATACCACGAGGTATTCCGCCCAGCAGCGTGCCGAGACCGGTTTCGACGTGAAGGAGCAGAGTTCGCGAAACGACAGGCTCGCTTCTCGCTTCGGCCACCCTGCCCTCTACAAGCCCCTCATCACGCCCATGGTGCACGCCAAGGCGCAGAACCTGCTCGCCAGTGTCTACCAAGGCCGGCTAAGCGACGGACGGGATGCGGCTTACGATGACTCTGTCACCGTCAGCGGCTACAGCGATACCTACGCCCTCGACAACATGTCAACGGGCAAAGCCGGCAAGCTCTCGCCTTCCGTTCCCGGCTTCGAAGTCGTGCCCGAATCCCGTCTCGACTTCGAGTACTACAAAAACCGAGATGAATTCGCCGCGGAACACGGCGGAGGCGATCTCTATGGGCGACATCCAGATATCAACCGCCCCGGTACACCAGGCACTCTCGGCAGCGGCCACTCCGACTCCCGCCCAGGCACGCCCCAAGGTGGGATGGGCTTCGGCGGTGCCGGCAACAGGAGGACATACTCGCAGTACCCGGACCCATCCGTCGCCGGTTCGACCTACCCACACGGTTACATGTCCCCGGCCCCGCAACTGGGCGTAGGCAGCAGTTACCCAGGCCAACCCCACTACGGCTCCGACCCGCCCTCCCGCGCCCGCAGCCCCATGTATGCCAATGCCAACGACAGCGGCACCAACCTCGTCGCCGGCGCGGCGGGCATGGCCGTGTCCACACCCGGCTACCCCCCGACCCCAAGCTCGTACAACTCACACCACACCCGGGACATGAGCCTCGACCCGGGCCCGATGCCGTCCGCCTCGAGCCGCCACTCGCCGATCTCGGCCGGCGGCCTCGGAGTCGGCGGCAGCAGCCGCGCACCGGGCATGCTCGGCGGCGGGCCCCACGGCTACGGCGGCCTGCCCCAGACCGACGAGATGGACCTCATAACCTCGCCGCCGCTGCTGGCGCCGTCGGCCCAGGACCCGGCCCAGTACGACTTCTTCCGCGGCGGCGGCGGCAGGAGTAACGACCGGAGTGGGACGCCGGGTGCGGCGACGAGGGGACCGGGCGGGGGCGGCCATTTCCGGTAGTAGGCCCTCCCGAGGGCCTGCCATGGCTATGGGAGAGAGACTCGGTGGGAGTGAGGGATGGGGATAGGGCCGGTTCACGGGGCTACCCTATCATCGCGGTGGCAAATGGCGCCGGATCTTGGAAGGGGAAACGGAGCGGTGCACAAATGTGCTTTTTGATCTTTGCGATTTTCTTTTTCCCCTCGCATTGGCGGCATGGTTTTGGCGTTGGGAGGTTTTGGTTGCGCTGCATGGGTATGCCGCTTTGCCGTTGTTTGTTTGGTACATTACATTACATCACGGGCTGGCTATCTCGGTGATTTGGCAATGGCACACTTTTGTTGATAGACGACATGTTTGGTAGGTAGAGGAGTACTGCGGTTTGGTGGTATCTACGTACATATGTACAATTTTGTAATTGGATCGTGAGGGCGGCTTTGGCTCGTCGCGGGATATGGCTTCTTTTTACGTGGGTACATTGGTTGGCTTTGGTATGGATGGGTGATTTGTGAGTTGGTAAAGGGGCGCGTCGGCTTGGGGTGTTGGACCCTGCCCGTGTGTAGGAGGGATTTGATGGGGGAGTCAAGAATAAACAAACACCTGGACGTTTGAGCGTTACCAGGTCTCCAATCCAACAACATTTTCTCGTCCATCTTCATTTTCTGTGTGTTCATATGTCGTAAACCCACCCTCCTCCCCATCCCCGGCACGCTGTCACATGTCATCGGTGGTCACCCACTGCACCCGTTTCACACCTTCAGCCTCGAACATGGCTGATATCCCTTTTCCGTCCACTCCTGCCAACCCCGGACCAGGACCACAATATTCGCCCCACGCCCAACCAGGCTTATCTCCCGCACTCCCGTCACCCGAATACTCAATCTTGTCCGGGGCCTTAGTCGCAGCTGGCTGCCTTCCCTATGGTGATCTCGTCGGGGGCGGTGCGAGGAGGGAACGTCGGCGTCCGGGACCCGAACAGCGTACTTCTGAGAGAAAATCGCAGGCAGAAACGACAGGTAGCGAACGTGGCTCGTGATCCTCATCATGCTCGTTATAAAGACCGTGTCCTAGTAAACATGTCGTCGTCCTGCGCCCAGGCTGCCCCCTGCCCCTTTGCGCCCCAAAGTATCCCAACCCTGATCCGACACCGGCATCTATCTATCGCCCGGCGCTGTATCCCAAGAACCGCAACACCACGCAACGCAACGCCCCGTTTCCCGATGCGGGAGTCTATTTCTTGCCCGACTTCTTGATGCCCTTCGCTGTGTGTTAGAGTCGCAAGGTGTAGTAGGGGATGGAGGTGGTGGGTAAAAGGTGAGTCGTACCTGGGTACCGGTGTTCTGCAGATGGGAGTGTCAGTCATGGTCAAGAAATGGTTGCGAGACTGGAGCAGGAACATACCAGAGGGCCCTTGCCGCCGGCCTTGGCCGCGAGTTCCTTCTTGGCCTTCTCATCTGCATGCATCGTTCACTGGGTTAGGAGGCTGGAGTTGAGGCGAGGGTGAGGGCTTTCTTTAGGGATCGGGGTCCGTACAGGCACGCTGCTTGTCTTGGAAAGCCTTGTCCTCTTCATCGAGATCCTGCTTCTGCTTCTTGGCGGCCTGGTTTACGCCAAATTCTGGTTAGTGATCGCCGTCGTGGGGTGTTTCCTCTCGTGGGATGTGGTTTTGCGCACCTTGAGGGGCTTCGCCTTGCCGCCTGTTGCGAGGGTGTTAGTCGGATCAGAGATCTTCGGGGTCTCAGTGGAGTAGAAGAATGGAACTTGAAAACATACCTTCTCTGCTTTGACCACCCATTTTGTGAGTTGAGGGGGAATGAGTCCGAAATTCGTGTCTTGGTGTTTAGGTGGGAGATGCACTGTTGCAAGGTGCAAAATAACTATGGAAAAGTCGGCTGCGTGAACTTGTCAGGAGAGAGACCCCGCGAAGATACTCAGGGCGGCAAGGCCCATGCCAGCCGAGAGCCCGGCTGGGCGGTGAATCGGCGAAACACCGGGAATGTGCGCTGGCAGGCGCTGCATTCGGGGTTGCCACCTGCAGTGGCGGCCTGTCAAATGCCCAAAGGTGGTAAGCAAACGGCCCAGGGACATCCCTCTCTCAACTTGAACGTCACTGCCAGGGTTTCGCCGAGTCAGGCTCGTTCCATCCCACCTCCCACGACCATCAGCACGACACGACAACACAACTTAACGACCATACCATCGACATTACCCGAGTTAACCCTGATCTTTCCGGTCTCTGCAACCCACAAGCGTGCGACCGAAGCCTCGCAGCTTTTCTCGGCCGACTCGCAGCAGGTCCTGTTTGGGCATCTTCGAGGGTTAAAGCGAGCATAGATCATAGCGCGTCGTTTGAGACAACCGAAAGGCGAGGACGACAAGGGAAATAAGGGGGTGCACTCGCGGGTCGGTACATACAATGACGTCCTCAGCATTCAGCTCGGATGAAGGGGAAATCGTAGAGGCAACTCCCCTGCCTCGCTCTGAACAAAACGGTGATGTTGACCGAAACGGCAGACATCGAGGCAGATTCCCGTCGCGCACACCCGAGGGCGACCTGCCATCGAGAGACTCGGCCGACGGATCTAGACGGAGCCGCTCACCCCGTGGCTGGAAGCGGCCTCGTGAGGACCGACGTGACCGACGCGACACACGCCAGTTCCACGTACACTACGAGGGTGGTTCTCGCGATGACCGCCGCCAGTACCGCGATCTAGACCGTCCTTCCTCGCGCGGCTCAGACCGTTACGACGATCGTTCGAATGCTCACCATGGCAGCCGCGAACCAATCTCTCGCCCCGGCGGCCACCGTATCAATGGTAGTGGCTATGATCGCAACTACGAACGTGACCGCAGAAACGACGGCTATCCAGACAAGCGGCCTCGAACCCGCAGTCGGTCCCCTCGTGGCGGAGACGGCAGGGGAAAGCGAGGCGGGGGCCGCTATGGAGCCGATTTGAGGTCGGGGGAAGACAAGTACAGTGCCCCTACTGAGAGACGCCCACGGGATGGCTCCTTGTCCAAACGGGTCACTCCGGTGGAGGCTCCTGATTCCAGGCAAAATGCTAAAAGTGATAAAGGTGCTACGGTTGAACGAGGCATCAACCATCTTGCCATCTCACAAACCAGGTAATATCCCCGACGGCCCGGATGTTGGTCACTGCTGACATTGATTCCAAGCGCACCTCCCGAACCTGACATGGACTGGGACCCAGATGCGGCCTTAGACGAAGAGGCTGCCGTGCAGGCAGAGATCGAGCGTCGCCGGCGCGCGAGAGAAGCAGCTCTCAAGCGGGGGATCGGTGCAGCAACTCCCACCATTCAAGCGCTACAAATCGCCGATAAGCCCACATCCACAGCAACTTCCACCCGCCAGAGCACTCCGGGGCCCCAGAGGCCCGATGGTGCCACCCCGTTGTCAAGTAAGCCTTCTCCCAGTATTCGTGGCGGGTATCTTGCTAACCACGCCAGATGGCCCTTCGTCACCCGGCCTGTCCCCTGGCAGAATCCAGGCGGCTCTGTCCCCGGGGGTGTTTAACTTTGCTGACGACCAGGCACTCATCAATGCCCACGGCGATGCCAAAACCCTCGACGAGGACGGGCCCTCCGCTGCTGACTATGACCCCACGCTCGACATGCGGGAGGATGAGCGGCGAGACGAAATGCGCCACGGGAATGTAGGTCTGCATGGTGAGCCACGTCCTGCCCCCCAGGACGAGGTCAAGGCACCCATCCCCGAGAAGAAGGAAGACGAGGGCGCCAAGAAAGATGAAGACGACGACGACGACTTCGACATGTTTGCAGACGATTTTGCCGACAAGTTTGCCGCGCCAGCACCTGCTCAACCCGACACAACCCAGGACGTGCGGGCGCCGCAAGGTGGTGGTGGCGGTATCCTAGAGGGCGACGATAAAGAGGGCTACTACAAGATCCGGCCGGGGGAGCTGCTAGACGGTCGCTACCAGGTATCGACGACGCTGGGTCGCGGCATGTTCTCGGGGGTGGCTCGCGCCGTCGATGTGACTACGAAGAAGGACGTGGCCATCAAGATCATGCGGAACAACGATGCGCTGCGGAAAGGAGGCTTCACCGAGATTAGCATCCTCGAGAAGCTCAATGCCGTCGATCCTGAGGACAAGAAACATATTGTCAGGTTCGAGCGGTCCTTCGAGTACAAAGCTCATCTCTGCATGGTTTTCGAAAACCTAAGCATGAACCTCCGCGAGGTCCTCAAAAAGTTTGGCAACAACGTCGGCATCAACCTGAACGCGACCCGGGCGTACGCATACCAAATCTTCCTGGCGCTGGGCCACATGCGCAAATGCAGCATCGTTCACGCCGACTTGAAGCCCGACAATATTCTGGTACGCCATTTCCTGTCACCGGTAGTATGATGTGACATGAGCGCTGACTGTTCTCAGGTAAACGAAGCACGGAACATGCTTAAGATTTGCGATCTGGGCACAGCGATCGACCGTTCTGATGCCGCGACGGCAGCAACCGAGCCCATGCCGTACCTCGTCAGTCGATTCTACCGTGCTCCGGAGATTATCCTAGGCGTGCCGTTCGACTATGCCGTCGATATGTGGTCCATTGGCTGCACGCTGTATGAGCTCTACACCGGCAAGATCCTCTTCACGGGCGAGAACAACAACCAGATGCTCAAGAACATCATGGAGATCCGGGGCAAGCTGAGCGCGAAGCTGTACCGGCGCGGCGAACTTGCGCATAACCACTTTGACGAAGTGGGCAACTTCATCAGCGTCGAACGAGACAAGATTCTAGGCAAGGTGAGTTTGAACGTTCCTTAACCTACACTTCCCTTCCACAAACCACACCCTCCCACCCTCCACTTTCCACTTGCTTGAGACTATTCTCGGGTTGTTCTATTGTTTCATCGGATGTTCGATTCCCGAGTCATTTTTCCCAGCCGGGCGGCTGCTGTGGTCCAATGCCGTGCCGCGCGCCACTTTGCCGCGGCCGCCTGGGCCCCTCCCGGTCAACTGGCGGTCTCCATGACGCGCCCGCCGCCTCCGGGCCTGCATCGTTGTGCTACAGGAGATGCACCCCTCAAACCGCCGCAGCGCATCATCGGGGCCCAGACGAGGTTACAGCAGTCGCGTTGGAAACTACCGCTGTTCGAATGGCGCTCTGCAGCGGCCCTTCACCGGCCTCAATTCCCGCCCCTATTCCTGTCCTGTCCTGCCCTATCTTGTCCCGTCGGGAGCGTTCTTTCAAAACTCGGTTCCATAATTACCCACTACTCTGCATATGCATAAAATGACGAGATGGGGCTTGCCTTACTAACCGACTACCCGCCACAGACAAACGTCCGCACCCTGGCAAGCGTTAAGCCGACGCGGGACTTGCGTACGCGCCTCCTGGCCGCGTCGGCGGGCATGGATGACGCCGAGAGCAGGGAGCTCAACCACTTTGTCGACCTGCTCGAACGGTGCTTGACGCTGAACCCGGATAAGCGCCTCACGCCTGCCGAGGCCCTGAAGCATCCATTCTTTACCCACCGGGCGCATGTCCATGGGCGGTAAATAGAGCGGTGGAGGCCCGCATTATTTTCGGGTAACGGAGACGGGTCTGTTTGGCGTATGCGGGTTGGAGGCGGGCTTTGCGACGGCGTTGTCGCGCTTGATGAGGGGCGCGTCCGGGACGAGGCGCATGGTGTTGAGGTTATGAGCGGCTTGAGGGGGGGTTGGTTCGGCACACGGGGAGAAATGGCGGTATGGAATAGAAGATGAGTCGTGCACATCTCCTTTGTCTTACCCGACGGCGTCGTCGTCGCGCAGCAGAAGTTTGTATTGTGGGACCTGTGGCGTTGGAGGATCCTGCGTCCCCGTCAGTGTCATCACTGCCTAGCCTTACATGGAAATACTACTTGTTTGGCGGCCTCGTTTTCCTCTTCGGTGTTGCTGTGCCTTTTTGCTGTTGCTGCACACCGGTGTTGTTCTCGTTCTGCTGTTTGCCGATTCCCGTGACGATGATGCATTCACCCGCTCCCTCATCTACCGGCCACTTTTGCAGGCTATTCGGGATTCGTACTTCCATGTTGTGGTTTGTTTTGGATCGAGCGTTCGATATCCTGTTGGTGGCGCTGCCTGGTGGTTGGATCATTTACCGACTCCTTTGCCGCCCTCACACAGATGATGATGCAGGTGACCCGTCCAGCAACATATTCCCGGCGGTTGTTGTCCCCAGGGACGGCACCACTCAGTCCCGATAGCTAGTTACACTCCACGAAAACCGGAGCGGCGCGGTGAGTGAATTTGGGGGCTGCGGTGCTCCGGCTCCCACAGTGTTCCCTTTGCTTATTCAACGCGCATCCCGATGCCACCGGAACGGACGATCCATGCCCCCTTCCTGAGGCGCCTGTGATACCGTGCAGACGCCGCCGCAAGCAGGAAGGAGAAGCCCAACAACCGACTCCCCAACCCCGGAATCCCCTTTTTCTACACACCACGCACGCACGCAATAATAACCGGTCGTGGCAGGCGACAGGCGGGGTTATGCACCCGGGTGGCTCGACAACCACGCCGGGACCCGGTTGAACAGGAATCTCTCCTCCATGCCATGCCGGTCGGCGGCGGAGCAGACATGGGCGGTGGGCGGTGGGCGGTGGTGGGTTGGGCAGCCTGCACCTCGCCGCCGCACACTGCGCCGCCTCCGCTTTGTTTCCCTTCCATCCATCTGGATCCCCAACCACCCCCGCCCTCCCGATCGGCCGCCCTGGCCGCCAACGAATGGCCGGTGCGTAAAATACATAGAGATCGGATCGTGGGTGCAGCAGCGTTGCTTCGCTCACTCACAGGCTACGCAGCAGATCGAAACGAAAAAAAGGGGGGGGTGGGAAGAGGGCAGCCGCCGCATCTCCCCGTCCTGTGGCACGGGACCAAAACAAACAAAACCACTCCCCGTACCACAGCAGCAGCAGCAGCAGCAGTAGCAGGCCTGACGCGCCGTCAGCCAGCCCGCCAGCCCAACTAGGTAGCCAGCCAGCTGGTCCGCTGGTCTGTATGTTTGACGAGAGGCGGGCGTGCAGCGGCGGCCTCACATAGGCCCTGAGGGGTTGGGTGCGATGAGATGGGGGCGGCGGGGATACCTACGTACCTAGCTCCCCACCTATGGTACTGCTGTGATAGTGTAGATACGACGCGATACAATAAGCAGCACAGATCCCGATCTCTGATCGACGAAACACGTACATGCTTCGTACTGGGGCGTCCAGCCAGCTGAGCTGCTGAGGGGGAAGGGGGGTCCATCGACTCGCTCGCCCGGCCGCCGGGCACGGGCGTGACGGGCACGGGCAGGTTGAACTGCGGCCGCCCGCCGTGGTCGGCCGTCTCGTTGTTGTGGGCCCCCGTCGCTGGGCTGGGCTAGGCGGTTTGGGTGACTGAGTTGTGAGGTGTCGGTATGTGTGTGTGTGTGTGTGTGTGTGTGTGTTGTACGGGGATATCGGTTGTTCATCGCACACTGCAGCTAATTACTGCGGCTGCTGCTTGACTGGTAGGATACCCAAGCACTGCCATTTAGGGCCATCATGCCAGCTCTATGCCGCACTGCCTCTGGCTATGGGATGTTGTGGTTACTACCTACCTATGTTATGTACATACCGTATGACATGAGTGGTGTAGACATACGTATATGCACCGAGGTAGTAAGTGGTAAGACTATGCAAACTAAAGTAGGATCATATATGAATGTGTACGTCTAATCACTTTGTCTGACCACTTGGGACACAGAGCTATTAGTTCGCCCGGAGTTCAGCAGCGGGTTGAATTCCGGAAATGGCGGGCTTCTCCAGAACTCGTTTCCGTGTCCCCGGCATATCAGTGTTATTTAAATAAATGATAATGGTGGTAAGTTAGATTGTCAGTCCTGGCTTCCCAATTACATATATATCCGTGTTGAGCACCTTGGAAATGCAGTCCCTTCTGGCATCTACTAGTTGTTGCAATCTCACATGTTCAGAGAAAAAAGTGTGATACTTAATGTGTTCCTTTCCCTTTTAGTAGAATGTGTTGTCTTTTTTTTCCCCCTTGATAAACATTGACTAACATGGCTCGTCGTTGAATTACGTTTTCTGCAGACGGACGTCACCGAAATTAAGAGATGAACGCTACTGTTCGTCGTAAGAGTTACGAAAAGTCCAATAGCATTTTATTCATGCCCATAACCAGGGGTCGATGTTGATGGTTGTTGAATCGGATGACCAGATCATATTTAATTCGACTCAAAATGGGAAGAGCCATCCCATCCAAGAGAAGAGAAATAGCCAAAGCGCACTGTGTTGATTTTCCAACCCATTATTGGCTTGGTGGCTTGGCGCCAAACCATCCATCGGCTTGAATTGCTTGCCACCACGCTTGTGTCCGTGCTCCTCGAACTTGGAAGTTGGAAGGAACCAGGAACACCCTGAACCTGGAACGAGGCTTATCATCTTATCACGGCAACGCTCATCATCAGCGCTAAGCCCAGGAATTAATTGCTTTGGCCTCTTTCTGGCCCAAGCCTAGCCGATCCCGAAGATTCCCACGCTCGAGCCACGCACCCACGGCAAGCTCGCTTGACTTTTGAGTGGTTCCACAGCCATGGCGCCCGTTTCCACCAACTTCGATTTCGATGGCCGCCTTGGCATTGCTCAGTTGATGATGCGACGATTTCCCACACGTTCGGCAAGCGATGAAGGCGCCAGGGGGTTGAGGGAACCATTCATTGCGCGCCCGCATTGGGTCGGCATTTGCTTCGTCAACGGCGGCACGGCGGGTGATGAAATTTGATGGATTGAATAACTAACTAACTAACCCTTTGTGCGTGCTTGGTAAAGGTTTGGACCCGTCTGCCCCGCCACATGCAGGTTTTGTTGCACCGCTGACTGCCGTACTTTTTCCAGATTGCTGGTGCGAGGGTTGCCTCGAGAAACACGGCACCACCTTCAGGTTCGAGAACGGGCAACGGGCAATCGGCGGGCTCACGGCAGGCGAACAAGCTCATGGGCAAGCACACAAGGAATGGAAGGGACCCCTCCCCCCTCGTGCCCCTCCACAGCGGCTCAGCGGTTCCCTCCCTCACTCGCCACCCACCGTTTCCTCGGCTGCGATCAGCCGGCCCACTTCTAGGCCGATGCATGCAATTGCAGAAACAAACAGCTCATGGGTGCGCCAGATGAATCACCTCCCAGACCCGAGGTGTGGCAGCTCATCCATGCGGTGTCTGATCTCTGACAAGCCGCGCGAGGGTCTGGCTCAAACAGCAACAACACCACAAAAAGGAGGTTTCGGACTCTGGATCCCGGTCGCTGAACAGTCAACAGTGAGCCATGCAGCAACTGACTGACTAACTAACTGCCGGGAGCCCTGGAGCCCCCTCGCCCTTCGTGCTCCCAACGAGAGCGGGTCTTCCTTCGTGTGTGAAAGAAATCACTGAACGCCCGGAAGCCGGCTTGTGGACCTAAGAAGTGTACGTGGACGAGTGGACACACACGACTCACGAAACCTCGCCTCTCCCGTCATCAGTCATCATCCCCGATGCGCAGCTTTTCATGTTTCGCCGGCTTCAGCCGTCGCCCGTCGCTTCATGGGCAGTTCGGCTTTGCCAAAACAGCAGAGAAGGCAAAGAAGCAGGAGTTGGCGGCTGCTTGTCACGGGGCCTCGCTTGCATCTGCCCGGCAGCATCAGCCCACACCACCACGGCACCACCGCTCTCTCCTTTGTATGTGCTTGACTCACCCCTCCCGCCAGACCGAAGTCCTCGCCGCTGCTTGGCCAGACTCAACGGCATGTGGGGGAGAGGGGGGCGTGTGAGGAGGCAGTGACACACAGGGCGCTCTGTGACTGGGCGGGCATGTGTCAACCCAGGCCTCGTCTCGTAATCACACATTGCTCTGGCCGTTCGTTAGCGCGAAGCCCGTTCTTGGCCGCCGGGGCCAGTCGCAGGACCGCCCAGGGTGCCAGGGTCCCGCCACACCATCTGTTTCCATCCACACCATGCTCCTTCCGAGCTAGCGCCGCGCACCCAAGATTAAGAATAGGATGGCGCATTGCAGTTCCCATGGTCTCACCACAAGGATGTGTTGGCCTGTGCCGGTGAAGCCAGAGGGGGGTACGTACCCCCCGGCCGGCCCACAGGGGCGGCGACCCCTGCTCCCACCTCTGGGCAATGAAGAGGCGCATCCAAGACTGGGCCCGTCTGACATGGGCCTTTCGGGGCCAATCAAGCCACAGCAGACAGGGAAACCACGCAATTCGAGGCATCGGCCAAGGGGGGGCAAGGGAAGGCTCCTGGGGAACGGGGCGGCGGTGGACCTGGCCAGTCAGTGCCGTCGAGACATAACAACGATCTTCCAGCCTGCATCACTGACGCCTCACTCCCATCGCCGACCGCCCTTTTTCTCGACGCTCCTTCAAAACTACCCTTTTTCCCTCTTCCCTCTTGGTCCTTATCGCATCTGGTCTTCCTTCTCGCCAGTTGCTTGTGGGAACCCTTCCCCGTCAAGAAATCATCGCCCCCCTTACCGCCTTCACCACACACCGCCTCCGCTCAACTTGTGGACCCCCCGTCTCCTCGTTGACACCCAACCATACCCGTCCCACCAAGCTGGTTTGACTCGTTCACTCGAGGTCACCTTTTGCGAACAAGGACTCGGACCGCCCCATCTTGAGGAAGACTCTCAACCCTAGGAACTTCCAAGCCCAGCCCAGAGGAGCTAAGGAGAACTGAACCTGCTGGCCTCTTTTGGTTTCGAGGATATTGCCATTCCGTCGGGTTCTTGCCAAGGATCCGTTTCCTCTGCTTTCGTCTATTTCCGTTTCCTCTAGTCTCTTGTCTCTCTCTCTCCGCCCCCTTTGGACTTTCCCACTTCCGACTGGAACCCGGAAACTTCCCAACTTCAACCGAAGGAACCCCATCGACAGGAGAAGGTGCGCTAGAAAGCAACGGGCCAGATCATGCAGCATGTTCCAGTGTTCGGCTACCCCAGTCCACCAGCCTCACCAGCGTTCGGCCAGCCCTGCACCATCCCGAGCCAGCACATCGCCGTCCAACAGCCGTGCCTGCCCCGCTTCGCTCCGGCGGCCCCGGAGGAGAGGTTAGGGAGGTTCATCACCAGCTCGCTGCAGCTGACGGGCATCGTGGGCACTGGCGCGTACGGCGTTGTCTACTCGGCCGTCGACACCAAGTCCAGCGTCCGCTATGCTGTCAAGTGCCTCAGCAAGTTCAACCCGGATGGGACACCACTGGACCGCCGCCAAGTCACTTTCCAGACCCAGGAGATCAAGTTGCACTACACCGCGTCCAGTCACCGCAATGTGGTCTCTATCCTGAAGATCATCGACTACCCGGACTGCATCTACGTTATCTTGGAGTACTGCCCCGAGGGTGACTTGTTCTACAACATTACCGAACGTGGGCAGTATGTGGGTAAGGACGAGCTGGCCAAGAAGGTTTTCCTCCAGATCCTGGATGCCGTCGGACATTGCCACAGCTTGGGCATCTACCACCGGGACTTGAAGCCGGAGAACGTGCTCGTCTCTGACCAGGGCGAGACTGTCAAGCTGGCAGACTTCGGCCTGGCTACCTCCTCGGAGCGATCTGAAGAGTACGGTTGCGGCTCCACTTTTTACATGTCTCCAGGTAGGTTTCTCAACATTCTCCTCCCTTCTTTTCTCTTCCCGTCCGGTCCAAGGAGTAAAAACACCCGCCGCCGTTTGCCTTTCCTCACCCCTCCCAACACCAACTGACCTTCTCTCTTTTTCTTCTCTTTTAGAATGTCTAGACCCCTCGTCAAGGAGGCCGTTCTACTACTGCGCACCAAACGATGTTTGGAGCCTAGGAGTCATCCTGGTGAACCTCACCTGTGGACGCAACCCATGGAAGCAGGCATCCTACGAGGACTCCACGTACGGGGCTTACACCAAGAGCCGGGACTTCCTGAAGACCATCCTCCCAGTGTCGGATGAACTGAACGACATTCTGGGAAGGATCTTTACCCGGAACCCGGACGAGAGGATCAAGCTTCCCGAGCTGCGCGCTCGGATCTCGGCCTGCTCCCGGTTTACCGAAAACTCGACGGCTCCGCTGCCGACGCCGCCTGCATCGCCGGGCCACACCACTTACGTTTGCGAGGAATCCATCATGGACGACGAGTACGACTACGACCACGAGGCGCCGCTCTCGCCCACCTCTTCGGATGGGGAGTCGTGCTCGTCCGACGAAGAAGGATCCCTCACCTCGACTTGCTCCAGTGTCGAAGACCTGGAAGACGACGACCTTGAGGACCTCCCGGAGGCCAAGACGCCCCCGCCTCAGTCCCAAGCACCACCGATAGAGCCGGCAATCTACGAAGCTGAGGAGCCGAGGATGATGCCGTTCCAGCAACACCATCACCTCCCGCCGCAGGAGTACATGCACCCCTACCACCCCATGGCCGGCCCGCACCCGGTTCAGGGCATGCCCATGCCCGTCCAGCCGTGCGCGCCGCCATCCAAGTTCCAGTTCCACCAATATTTCTGGGACGTCTTGAGGTATGCACAGCCGACACAGCCGGTACCACAGTTGCACCATCCTGTACCGTTCCACCACCAGGTTCCGCTGTTTGCCCACATGCAGGGGTGCTACTAAGCTTCCGTTTTCCCTTCATCATGATGCGCGGTGCGCTCGCTTAGGGCGTGCCGCTCATCCCGGTTTGAACCATGCCCTCAACACCGGATTGCCTCTGCCGTTCCTATTCCGGGATGGGATGTCCACGCCGGTTGCTGGATTACCACAACCGCCAACAAACAAACCACAAACAATCAACCGTCGGCCGTGTTGGATCACCAATATTTTTTTTTTAACCACGGAAGTCCTCACTCAAGGCCACGACGAAGAAACGTTTTCACTTATTTGACTCCCCAAGGCGGGAGGTCAATACAACAAAACCCAAAGTATGGATTTAATGCTTCGCAAGGTTCTGTTTTCTTTTTTCATCCGCCATCCCGAGGACACCCAATGCGGAGCCATCTGGACCACGCCACAGTCACCGGATGACGGATCCTTCTCATGTCCATATCTTGAAACAAATTCTGTATCTTTTATTTTATTTTATTTCCTTTGTTTCCCTTTTGTCACGCCAAGGCGCTCGGACTGGATTGGGGAGCATTATCTTCGGCGCTGGGGGATAGGCCGGGGGGGAATACAGGAGTTCCCTGGACACTGGGGTCGGTTGCGTCGTCTTTTCTCTTTCGCAGCTCAACATCTTTTTTTTAATACCCCCGATCTTGTCTTGTTGTTTTTGGTTGGGAGGGCGGCGGAAAATGTGGGACATGGGATATGAAGATGAACATTTACTTGTTAGACATTACCCCTGGGTCAATAACCCATTGCGAGCGTGGGCGCAGTGCCGCCGGCCGCAAGAACTCATTACGTTATTTTCCTCGACAGAGGAGGCGAGACAGCCTGAGCGTCGATAGATCTTGTCTACCTTTTTTTGGGTGGGAAGCTGTTGATGGATCACAAAGGTAGCTAGACTACTGGGTAATACCTGGCCTGGCAATACAATAAATACAATACAATACAATACGATGGAATGGCTCGCAAGAGAGACAACCTCGCTTTGAAATTTTGACTCAAATCCCGGCCTCTTTCTCGGAACTTTGGGGAATGATGATGCGATCCAAACCCGCCGAATCTAGACTCGGTCTCGCTTTGATGCCAGCCCGCCGCCGCCGCCTTTTCCGGGACCGTGTCCATGGGGTGGCGGCCGGGCGGGCAAATCGTCAACAAAGGAAGTGAATCCCGTTTCCTCCCCACGTGACGGATACGCCATGCTGATGATGAGGCTTGGCCCCGGATTTCATGGAAGGAAGCGATGGGTCCCGCGCCGCCGCCCTCGCGGATCCCAATGCTTGCTTTGCTTTGCTGTTGCGTTCTGGATCATCATCCTTCCTTTTTGCCACTCCTGGCGCTAACTTACCCAACGCTCCAACGCCCATCTGTTTCTGTGACCTCACTCACACACACCCCCCCGGACAGGGGAAGGGGGAAGGGAAGGAAGGCGGGAAAGTGCCATTCTGGAAGTTAAACCCACCCATCCCGTCATTCCCAAGGCTGCTTGCAGCGTTACCTTGTGTGTGCGTGAGAGAGTGGGTGAGTGGGTGCGCTGAGCGTGAAAGTGAATGAACGAAGTGTGAGTGACATTCTCTCTCGGAACTGACGTGCAGCAGCCCATCAACACAGAACCAGAACCAACCAACCAACCAACCCCATCTCTCCCATGGGGCAACTCACCCACACCCCTGCCCCCCTCATTCCCTTCGCGCCGCGGGCGTGCGTTGCGCCCCGGCCCTGCCACCGCCCGCCAGTGGTGCGTGCGAGTGTGGTGTGGTGGGTGGGTGTGTGTGTGGGTGTGGTTGCCCAGCAGTTGCCCAAAGCCGCAATGTTGCCCCGTTTCTTCTTCTCGGCCGCCCGCTCGCCCGCCCCACACGGCTTTTTTTCCTTCTCTTCTGCAGGTAGGGCGGGCAGGGCGGCGGGCAGGGCAGGCAGCAGATGCGGAGAACAAAAACATACACAAAAATTGTGAGGGAGCGAATCCTGTGTGTGTGGTTGGCTTGCTGGGCTGGGCTTGGGCTTGGCTCCGTGATGGGGAGGGGGCTTTGATTGGGCGGCGCGCATCGACGCCACGTCGCCTCGCTTTTGCTTGGTGGTTACTGTGTGTGGATGGATACAAGGAGGGAGTTAACGAGATGGTGCTTGCTTGCTGCTGTGTTTCGATGCATGCAGCCCTACTTTGGACTTTGGGGAGGGTTGGAGCTTTGCCCGTTGGTGAAGGGGAGTGAGGCAGTTAGTTGGACTGTGGATGTCTCAGTCGTTGGGTGATGGTCAGTTTCTTGGGAGTGTGGATTCGCGATATTGGGTCGTGAGTTAGTGAGTTCGGTGTTTTGTTTGTTTTGTTTTGTGACGGGCTCGAATGGGACGTGGCTGGGGCCTCTCCTCATCTGGAGGTCTCATCATCAAGTCTCATGTTTCGTCTTCATGGAACGCAAGATTGCAAGGTGACTTTGCATTCGCAGTCAGCCTGGGAAAGAGCAAGCTGTTGCATCGCAGAGAGCGGGCTTGCATCTGCGAGCCCTGGTTGGCCCGTCGGAGAGTGCATGTGGGGGACCCTGCAGACCAAACCAGAAACGAGGGAAATGTGAGGCTTGCATGCAGGCATACCTTTGATTGGCACGCACGGACATTGCTCTCCAAACTGCTTGTGCCCAGCCGCCGTTGTGCCGGAGGTGAGCGCGGGGCGGCGGCGTGTCGCTCACGTTTTCGATCGGAATTTGGTTTTGCTTTTTTTCTCCGGCTTCTGCATTCATTCTCGCACATGATTCGATTCTTCGATCCATTCCCCCAACTCCCCCCCATTCCCCACTCCCTTGCCGCAGTTGGGCGGTCGTCAGCCCCAAGGTAATTGGCCCGTGCATTCAATATTCTGTTTATTTGCTCCACTTTCCGTCGTTCAGGCTTGCGTCTGTGCTTCTCGACTCTCCAGAACCCCGCTTTCGGTGGTTTCCTGCCTGCGGAGCTGCATTCTCTCACCTCACCCCCTCCTTCCTCTCAGCCCAACAAGCTTTGCGAAGGTGGGAGAGCCACTGCATTTCAGCTCGTCTCCATTTCGGGCATGGAAATGGTAACATGGGACTTCGGAACTCGGCTTCTGGAAGTCTCTTGCTCCCCCTGGTGTTGAATTCCAGGTTCTTCTTTCCTCTCATCTGACTGCAACGCCCTGCGAGTCACCCACTCTCCCCTGCTGTGTCGTTAATCCACAATCTCGGGCGTTTCCTTCTTTGTCATCGGATATTGTTTCTCTTTCTGCTCGACGACGTGACCATATCGGCCGATTTCTCGGTCTTCACCGTGTTTGTTTGCCCGGGCTGCCTCCCTTTCTTCCGTGCCTCAGCCGCCTCTCGGTCTCGTCACCAAAGAGGCGGAGGCCGGCTGATCTCGGTATCGACTCCGGCGAGTTTGCTCCTCTTTGTTCATCATCGCCGGAATGATGAATGATGACCTTGTTGGCCCATGTGATCAGCAACGGTGGCGTATTGGCGCGCCGGGACTCTGGGAGGCCACCTCGGTCGGCCCGGTTCCTTTCCCTCGGTGACGGTCTAGCCGGGGGACTCTGGGAAGCCTGGCAAAAAGTCTTTGTCTGTGCCCGCGCTCGCCGTGATGGATGATGGCGTTCCCGACGATGGCACCCTCTCTCGACACGGCCATTGGCCTGCCCGGGAGAGTGGATGACGCACGTCTTGCCCTCGCCCGACCGCTGATCCTGCCGGTTCGCCATCTCGGTCGATGGCACCTTACCCTGTGGCGCGCGCGACTCGTGTGAAAGCCCGCCTGCCCGCACATGGCGCCGAGGGGGGGTTGCTTTGATGAGGAAGTGCCAGGCCTTCCATCGAGAGTGCGTCCCTTCGGACCGGAACTGGCGACAGAACAGGAACCAACCGCCGCCCAGGCTTCCAGGCTGACAGTCCTCCCCGATGATCCCCACTGTCCCCCAGTGACCCCCCCCAGGCCCTCCCGATCTTCAACGATGGCCTGTCAACCTGTCAATGGTATCTGGCGCGGTGGGGCCGATGCAGGTGAGTGCTTTGAGAGTTTGAGTGCTTGCATTAGCGCTACTTGGGCCACGGCACCACCGCTCCACCACCACCGCACTGCCGAGTCTCGAGGAGGAGTCTGCCAACGGCCAGCTCCGTGCAAAGACCCGTCATCGATACCCGCCGACGGGTTTGAGCCCCGGGATTAATCAGGCGGTGCCGTTCGCTCTGAGTGGCGCCGGGGATTCTTTGGGCCACCAGGCCGCATGTCTGGGCCCGCAACCCCAAGCCTTCCCGTGCCGGCTCTGGGCCCTCGATTGGATCTGACTCGGAGCTGTGAAGGGACTCGGATCTGGCGGTGAAGGAGCAGATCCGGCCACTCAGAGGCCTGCTCCCGATGCTAGACCACCTGGTTGGCCACGGCAGAATGACGGAGATGCCAGATGCCCCCCTCGATATGGGTTGGGTGACAGCGCGCGCGGTTGGAAACCCGGCCGGCTGTGTTGGAGGCTGGAGCGTGGTTCCTATCTGCCGAATCGCCGTTGTGCTCCAGCATAATAAACAAACTAGCCGCCAAGCTGCGGTGTGCTGCGGACTGCGGGCTGCATAATGTGTGATCTAGACGGCAGCTCACATGCTAACTCAACGCTGATGGGCCTCTCCGGGTTCCACGGGTCGTTCGAGAACGAGCCCATGGAGCAAGACGACGTTCGTCAGTTGGCCATAGCTCCCAAGCTGTTCCTATCAGTAACAAGTGCGTGTGATGTTGCATGGAACCCCTGAGCAACTCGGCATAGACTTCTATTGCCGTGTCACATAGCTGTTGGACACTACACAATTCCGTGTTCTCGCCGCGGTTGTCCCGACACCATGGATGTGGAGCAGGACGGACCAAACCCCGGTGCCAGTCTAGACACCGCTGCCATCAGTTGGCTACGACTACCCGATCGGGCAGTGTCAGGGACCGAAGGAGACATTCTTAGGTAGAAGACCGAACGGTGTTTCGAAACTCGGTTCTTCCTTGGGCCCAACTGGGGAACCTGGCTAGAGGCAACGTAGTTTCAAGGTGTAAGTTCTAGTCCCAACTTGAACAGAGAATACCATCTTTCGGATTGCCGGGATTCGATCGGTTGCTACAATGATAACACTACTTGATGAAGGGCTAAGTAGCGGGCCGCTGGGTTTACAAATGCTACACCGTGGTATGAACAGGCCAAGGGATTGCCATTCCCATGAGATGACATGGAGAGAAACCCCAGGTGGTGGGTTATCCATCGAAGAGGTGGCATAGCATTGCGAGAAGGGGGTAGTTTCAAGCGAAGAGCCCCTAAAACTTGTCCCTACCTAGTAGTCTCTAGTTCCATCCCGACTCTTCTCAGAAATCCCTCATGTTCTCCGCCTTCTTAAACAACCACTGCCGGACATACGTATGCCCCATCACATTCAGCGTAATCCAGTAACCATGATGCAGCCGGAAGAGCGCGCCCAGCCCCGCCGCCGCACTAGGACTCACCAGAGACAGCGGCGTCACGAACCATGCGACGATGCGCGAGAGGACCTCCTCGCCGTGGACCGGCTCGCCCTTTTTTCTTTCTTCTCTCCTCCGGTTCCTATGGACGACGGCGTGCGCCATGGCGCTCGGGACCCGGCCGGTGATGTCGTACACGACGGCGCGGCGCGAGCCCAGCATCCGCGTCACGCGCACCGACTCGTCGGCCCGCATGTTGCCCAGCACGCGCGCGTGCGGGATGGTGACCTGGCCGAGGAGCTCCCGGTTTGTTTGTAGCAGGTTGAATAGTGACACGCCGAGGGCCCCCGCGAAGGCGCCGTAGATGTCGAGGAGCTGGAGCACGCGGAGCCGGTTGTCGATCCACGCGCCGCCGGCTTGGCCGTGGTATTTTTGGGCTTGTCGTACGAGGTGGAATTGCAGTAGAGAGAGGGTGTCGCCCGGCATGAGCCAGAGGTGGTTGACGGGGAGTGTGTCGTCGTCGCCGCCCTGGCGGAGCCGAGACAGAGCACCGAGTGCGCGTGTGTGCGTATTGGGCTCGGACTGCTGCTGCTGCGAACGCCAGCTGATGTACTCGAGGACGTCGTATTCGACCATCGGCATGCTCTGGCAGTAACTTGTGATCAGGCAGTTGGGCTGGTAGAGGCTCCGGCCGAAACCTTCGATATGGTTGCCGAAGCTGACGAGATAACGGGGCCACCGGTAATGGTCGTCTTCGCTGCGCTCGTCATCGCGATTGCTGCTGCTCATGAGGCTGCTGGGGAAGAGGGGGATCGAGTACTCGAAATCCTTGTCGCCCTGGAGAAGGCGGTTGACGAGTAGTTGGCAGTTGTTCATCATGAAGTTCCAGTCCACGTTGTCCCTGAGGTCTACCAGGCGTCGGCCGAAGCGCTCGAGGTGCTTGTCCACCTCCCTTCCGATGCATTTCTCCATCTGCTGCACCAGCCTCTGGGCCGCCTTGTCCAGCGCCATCCGCCGCGCCGCTGCACTCTTGGACCGGGGAATCTTGGCATATCCGACTCCTTCACGCGCCAGACAGCGGATCACCTCTTGCTGAGACGCAGCGTTCGACTCCGGATACCCCGAGAATGCCGCCCCGTAGACGCGCTTGACGCACGCGAGGATCGGTCGGGGCGTCTGATCAACTTCATCTATTGTGTAACCTAGCTTGGGCTGTCCCGAGCACCTGTCTTTAAAGAGGATGGGTAGTCGTTGCCTCGGCCATTCCGACTGTGTCTCGACGGCTTTGCCGGCGAAGAGGGTCGGTGGTGGGCGGGGGGATACGCGGACGCCGTGGTTACTACCCTTGACGCCGGACTCGAAAACAAGCGGTCCAAACATGAGGGCGAGATGGAAGTTCCCTGCCGGCGCAAAGTGAGACTTTACCATCAAGCCGACGGGCCGCGCTGAGCTCAGGAGTTCGGATCCGGAATCTTCAGTGGCACGAACCGTGTTTTCCACAAACCGTTCGTGCCAGCGTTGCTTGGGTTGAGCTTTGCCCTCGTTGGCATGGGCCTTTTTGATGCGGGTCTGCGCCATCTCCAGTCGGGAGAGGCGCATGCGCTGTCTGCGGGAGTCTGTGTTGGGCTCTTCTGTCAGCGCTCAAACTTACGTGTAGATACCTAGGTAGGCAAGAGATCCAAGACAACCCACGCTCGATCCCGGGGCCCGGGCCCAGGTAGAGGACTTGTTTCATGTGTCTTGGACTGCAGCATCCTAACTCTCTGCACTCAGCTTCCGCCATACAGATCGTGCAGAGGCGGTATGGTGGGTTGTGGTGATCTGCTGGAGTATTCTGAGTCTGCATCCCCTCGGTCGGCGGTGGTTCGTCGGCCAGCTTCCTGACAAAGACGCACAACGTGTTGTTAGTAATGAGACCGTTTGGGAGAGGTGGCGGTGTATGGGTCAACACACTCATCTTGAAACCAACGGGGTTCGCCTTTGACAAACTCATACCACGATCCAGCCTCGCAGCCATGCTCGCATTCGTAGAAGACGGCCGATCGGATGAGGTTGCCGCATCCGCCACAGAGAATGCCGCGGACGACTCGACGCACATGGTCGCCGAAAGAGTTTACCTCGACTTCTTCAACTGCATTTCAACATGTCGTCAGCTACCGGCTCTACAATTCCAGATAGCTGTGGTCCTAGATAACTATTGGGTAGATTTTGCTGAGCTCGGAGATATCCCTGGGAACCGTCTGTCGGCTCGTGAAGGATGTCGATATCTAGCAACCCTAGGTATCCTAAATCAGTCTCTAGTACATGTAAATAGCGCTATCAACGACCCGACGTGGAAATATTACCATGGGACTGGAGGATTAACCGAGAGACGTGGTAGCTGCGGTCGTTCGAGGGCTCCTGAAGGTTTTCTGTTTATAGTCGGTCATCATCATCTGCTCAATTTTCGTTCCACTGCTCACCTTGAGCACGCCGTATGGTTTCATCAAATATGCTGTTCAACTCGGGGGGGTCGGTAACGTCCGCTTGTCCACCCACTGTCAGGCAGCGTTAACCTCGCCAATAGAATACTGCAAAGTTGAAACGTTCCGGGATGTGACGGAGGAGAAAGGAGGCGGCAGACTTACACCAGATGTTGAAGATTTTCCTGAAGCTATCGAGGTATGAGCTGTCAAGGCGGTCCCCGTGACTCAAATCATGCCTCAAGCCCATCAGCTCCCGGTGGAATTCAATCATGTTTCGGGCTTCATCTTGGAGTGTCGACCAGTAGAGTTTCTTAAAATGCTCAAAGAGAACCGGGGGAGTTGCTTGGATGGGTTCATCGGGTATCCCGGGCGCCATGACGGAGATGTGGTGCCCGTGACGATGTAGAGGAGAGGAGAGCGAGATGGTAGAAATTCGTTCAGCTAACACTCCAAGGGCGTAGGAGCATAAGTGTATCTGATGGTATCTGATGGGGAATTTATTCTATTGCTCCTGAAAAGAGTGTTGTGTGTGGAAAAGAAGGGATCCCACAATCTGAGCCGGGCTGGTTGGTAAAGATCATGTAATTAACTTGCTTTCATACTCTAGTACTCCAGTATTGCTCGAGTAAGTACTAGACGAGTACTAATACTGGTACTAGAGTACTGGTACTCGGGTAGTACTAATGAGTATAGTACTAATTTCAAACCCTACAGCCTCGCAGCCCATGCGCCCGGCGTTGGGCGCCAAACAGGGCTCAACAATATCTGACGGCAGAGGTACCCAACGCGCCAGACGCGGTGATCAAGAGCGGGCTCGAACTTGGCCAGGGGGTGATACGGGGCATGTGGTGATTGGTAAAGCGTCCTAGACGGGACAGGGAGATGAACACGTCAGCTCCGTCCAGTCCAGCCTTGTACCACCATACCGGGAGACATGCTGGGAAAGTGAGGCATAGGGCTGCTCAGTGATGAGGGGACGTAACCATTGGCTGCGGTGTATTGGGCCATGCATCCCATCACCGGCGTCTTGATTCCCAAGGGAAAAAGGAATTACCAAGAGACGGAATAGCCGACAGAGAATTGAAACCTGAGGTAGGTAGTAACTCATGACACTATAAGAGCTGCCTCTAAATGCTGACAACTCTATACATCACTGTAACCCATCTTGAGCAGACGTATTCTTGTCTTAACCCACAACGGAACCGTGAAGCCGCTCTCCTACCTACCTATCTAATGGCGGACGCAGAGCCCAAGAAGAAAACGCCCTGGGAGCGTGTCGGTAGGTATCTCGGAAAAAGCCCACGGATATCAAAATATTTATCGCCTGCACTTGACTCCAGTGCTAAGGGCTCAGCGTCTTCTTCGCCTTCGGCACCCTCCTCTAAGCATTCGGCGGGCGCTTCAAAAGTGGCGGCACAGGCTTCACGGTTTCTCGCCGACGTGCTCGCATCTCAGGACGACGTAACTGTCCATCAGCAGCGTGATATCGATCGATATCTGCAGGTTATCGAGAAACAGCGGATTCACAGGATTCAGGATACGGACAATCCAGAGACATTTATTGGGTAAAGTGACAGGACTCTGGCCCCATTATTTTCCGTCTTGATACAATGTAACTAACATGACTGATTGTCAAGGAGCCCAGAAACATGGCAGCTCATCTGTCTCGCAGCCAAAAGATCCAGCGATGCATACAGCCTACCCAACAGCGAGCCGGACTTTGTTTTGAAACCCGGATTCCCTCTCCTGCGTCATGGTGCTGTCAAGAGGACGTTGGTGTCCACTCGCCCGCATACCGATGGGAAGGTCATGATAGTTGCTGTTCGGGGGTCAACAAACAAGATGATGGATTGGTTGGTAAACTGCAATGCGGAGACGACGATGGCTCCCGAGGTTGGTTGTCTCCTGGAACCACACGTCGCTGTCCTGGACACTTACACGCGTCAGGAATTTCCCAACATCCCTGCCGAGTGGCACAAGGGCTTCCTCGCCGTCGCGCAGGACATGAAGGACAGAATTCTCCGAGCCATCGACAACGCCCTCCCTGCTACAGCCACGGCAGGGGGATCAACCGACGCTATCCACCTCCTCTTCACAGGCCACTCGGCCGGGGGCGCCGTTGCGAAGCTCCTCTATGCCATGAGCGCCTCCCAAGACCCTAACATGTCTCGTGTAATTGCCAGTATGTTCATGCCCTGCCCACCAAGTATGAATAACCTACATACCTAGGTATGCTGCGGACAGTGCTAATCATGACACACATAAGGATTCCGTAGCATCCATTGCATCGTCTTCGGAGCGCCGCCAGTGGCAACGGTCCCCATACGCCAACCGGCTATGCCCTCCTTCCAGTCCGGCCTGTTTCTGAGCTTTGTCAACGAGGGGGATCCGGTGGCCCTCATCCAGCCGGAATATTTTAAGTCTCTCATCATCTTCCTCACGCACAATGCATCCGAGGTTGAAAAGAAGTATCCCCCACCGGATGGGTTTACACTCCCTGATCCCATCTTGCGTGTCAGCGGTTCGTGCGTTGTCTTGCGAGACATTGACTGCGACGACGTCGAGGTGGAAGGGTGGGATGCTGTTGCGGTTCCGGCTGAGAAGTTGGAAGCTAAGCTGTTTGGGAATATCGCGATGCATGGGATGAAGAATTATCTAGAGAGAGTGCAGAGCTTGCGTGGATTGTAGATACAAGCCCGCAGCCCATCTCTTTTGACGTCGAATTGTTTGGATGGCTAAGCGGGCCGTACAGGATCGAGGGTTCGAGACATTGGACGCTGTCTTCTCGAGGTCGTTGTTTGTCCGCTCCATGGGGCTTAGCACCGGCAGTTGGAGGGACGGGGGCAGTTTTGACTGGCAGTAACAAATGGCTGTCTAGAGGACCGTGTTTCCTTCCGATTCCCGAATTCCGGCGGTCATGATCGACGACACGGCTCGTTGGTCGGCAGTGGTCAGGTCCTCAATATCGAGACACTGCTTCTCGACCCCCCTTTCCCTTCCAGTCAGCCCTCCGTCATCACTCTTTCGCCCGGATCAAAAGCACATGAGACGCCACTGCCTCGGCACGGTTTGGCCGTGGCGCAGCTATTGAATATAATAAGACGGGCAGAGACTCCTATCCCTCCTCCTTACACACCCGCCGCGCTGTCCGAGCGCATTATACCCGGCCCCGGGCACTCGCAGAAAGCCACCTTGACGGCCCCTCATGGCGGACCACGGCCACGTATGCCATCATGCTCTCAGACGTTTGGGCATGGCCTAAAGGTTAGGCTACTGACGATATCTACCCGATGTATTAGTTCACGCCGGGCGGGTTATTAGCTCCGCGCCCTGACCCCGATCTGGAAACCTGCTCTCACCGGCACGATATCCTCGCCGTGGGTGTTGAAGCCGACGCCGACTTCCCCGTCCCCATGACGCTATACCGCTGGTGTCCGCCCGCCGTCCGCACAATCACTAGGGTTGTATTATCTCCACGTCTCTTGTCTATGGTCGGGGGCTTTACCCCGTTGGGTGCATTCTTTCTTGGCGACGAATTCGATTGTTTGAGACCTTTACCAAACTCCTTACCAAAGGAGGTGGAAACCCGGAACCAACGCCCCAGATAGTTGCAGATTTGATGGCCGAGATGGTTGAACCCAAACAGGGGGCCTTTATGCGGTTCTTCTCCTTCCCCGTACTCAGCAACGAGCCGTCTCGTATATTGGCCGATGGTTTCTTCCCAGTGTGGAAGTGGGTGAAGCCCGAAAGCATATACCGCAGGGGCGGCCTTTGGGAGCCGGACTTATCCAGCGTTCTAGGTCACGGGGAGTGGGATGCGGGTAAGGGCCTGGTGATATTGGCAGTAGGGGTGAAAGAAGAAGCATGGCAATTCATAGTGGCTGGAGACCGCAAGTTCCCGACTCTTGGAGGGCTTTTAACTAAGTACCTGTAGTGTATCCGTCGGGATATTTGTACGTTGTTTTTACCCATAAAGGTTCCCTGTCTGCTCAAAAGCGTACAGAACTCGTAACTATGAGGACAAGGAACCGCACCCTTTGAACGACAACGGAGACCAGAAGCTGTCGTTTTCGGGGGGCCCGGTGGGGGGGGGGGGGGGGGGGGGGCGAAAACGTGAACTTGGATCTGGTAGTTCACTTTCTTTTTGGGTCGGAATCGCCGACTCAGTCGACCCACGCAACCCCCAAGTAAACCAGAGGACCAAGTAGAAGCCAGGGTACCAGGGTATTTCGAGGGGGTAAGGGCGCTCCGAGATGTACTGCCGTTAGCTGCATTGATCAGTGTGGACGCGCTCTGCGCCGGCGTGCGAGTTCAGCGGGTTTCATGTCTCATCTAGATGGGTGCTGTATTTATCCCGTACCGTCTTCGTAACCTTCTCAATCTAAAGTAAGGGACGCTTACCTGCTCACTTCCACCACTCTACTCCCGTTATCTATCCCTGGGACTTCTTAAGCAGGGCCGCCTACCCAAGTATATGCCGCATCATGCTACTTGGTATCAACCAGGCACTACCGCGTTCTTGGCCGCCTCGGGATCCAAGCGCTTCCAACGGCCCAACGCGCCAGTCACGAGAGCAAGGCCGCTCGCGGCAATCGCCAGGGCGAAGGCGACCTTGATCCCCGCCATGTACGCCTCGAGAATGCCCCTCATCTGATCGGCGGGGAAGACAGACCGTAGCATGGTGGCGCCCGTGTGCAGCACGGTGGCGGGATCCACGCCCGGAGCCGTTGTGGGCAGCGACGCGACCATGGTGTTGGCAAAGGCGGATTCTGCCGCGCTGAGAAGGATGCCGCTGCCGATGTTGAGGAAGACTGGGATAGTTTTGCGGGTCAGTACCTAAGTTGGGCATCCAGCTTTTCCACAAGAGCAGCCTGGGGTTCTTCGGCGGCACTTACACAGGATGATGGCGGTGACGGAGGGGATGTCTTCGGGCTGAGCAAGCGCCTGGCAGATGATGGTCGGGATCTGGAACCCCGCACCCCAACCGACGGCGCCAATGAGCTGGTACCCGAGGCTCCGGCCCAGGGAGGCGTCGACGTCGAGGGTGTACAGCAGGCCGGACCCGATGCAGGCGATGACGGAGCTGCACACTTGGAGCGGAACGGCGTGGCCCGTCTTGGTGATGAAGAGCCCGGACGAGACGACAGCCACGGTGGCTGCCAGGATCAGAGGCAGGATGTATACGCCGGACATGATGGGGGTTGCGCCTGATGTGCGTTAGTGGACGGCGGAGTTGAGCGCCGAAAGCACTCTCGCGTGCTCTTCTTGCTAAAGGGGGGTGGACACGCAGGGCAGGCCTAAGGGCTAAATCAAGCACTCACCATCGACACTCTGGAAATAGAGGGGAAGGTAAAAGATGACGAGATAGTAAGACCCGGCAAACAGAAAAGCATAGGCGCCGCCGAGGTAGACGTGGCGCTGCCTGAGCAAGCGCAAGGGGAGGATGGCTCGCTCGCCGGAGTACCACTCCCACACGGCAAAGACGGTGGCGATGAGAACGAAACCCACGATCAGACCGATGACTTCGCTGCTGTTCCAAGCCTCGGCCTGCCCCCCGTATTGCATGGCCAAACTGTACGAGACCAGTGCGCCCATGACGAGGATCACACCGATAGGGTCGGCCTGCAGGAACCTTTCCCTCCAGCTCGCGGGGACGGGCTTCGCGGCGGGCGGGGTGCGGAAGAAGAAGAGGATGATCAGGACGGTGACCTGCAAAAAAGCACACATTTAGCTTGGCCTGGTCTCTATAAGGTATGCGGGCTCGGAAGACCAATACTCACCGCGCCGATGGGTAGGTTGATATAAAAGCACCACCTCCACGTCGTCGTGCTCGTGATGGCGCCCCCCACGAGCGGCCCGACGACCGAGGCAAAGCAGTAGGCAACCCCGATGATGCCCGTGTACGAGGGCCGCCTCCGCGGCTCGACGATATACGCAATGATGACGTAGCCGCCGGTGGCCATGCCGGCGCAGCCCACGCCGGCGACGGCGCGGCCGGCGATCAGGGTGTTGGCGTTGGGAGCGGCGCCGCACAGCAGGCTGCCGAGCTCGAAGATGGCGATGGCGACCAGGAAGGTGATCTTCAGGTCAAAGTACTTGTACGCCTTGCCCCACAGCGCCTGGAAGCTGCCCGAGGTCAGGAAGAAGGCGGCGCCGTACCATGACGTCTTGTCGAGCCCGCGAAACTCGTCCGTGATCTTGGGGATGGCCGTCGCGACGATCGCCTAGGTAAGGTAGGGATGGGAAGCGATCAGCCGTCTCGTTCGACAGAAGTACAACATGGGGAAGCCCCCCCGAGGCGTACTCACAATGTCGAGCGCGGACAGAAACACGCTGAGTACTAGGGCGACCACGACGATTCCGAGGGCGACACCGCTGGGATACGTGATGTCGTCTTTATCGGCGGGTGCGCCGGATCCTGTATCACTGCCCGACCCGGCTACTTCGACCTTGGAGAGGTTGGTGAGAGAACCATCGGTTTCGTTGGGCAGATCCTCTCGAAAATGATGCGTCGCATCCGAGGGCTTCTGCGGGGCGGGATGGTCGTCGCTGTTCAGGTCTCCGGGTGGCATACCGGCCTGCGAGCTCGGCATCTTGGGCTGGTGGCTTTGGAGGAGGACGGCACTCGAGGCTTGCTGCTTGCATCGATGGAAAGGAGTCACAAGTGTTGAAGACTTGAAGTGTCCCAGATGCAAGGCACGAGACGGATCTTCTGTCAAAGCGCACTCCGTCAAGTCAAGAGCGTGGAAACGATTTGCACGATGTTTAGGACTCTAGGAGACGGAATAAATGCGAGTTGTCTCTGCAGATTTCTATTTATGTGCCCGTTGGGCGATGCGCCGCTTGCAAGACGACAAACGGAGGCCTGCCCGGATTGCGCCGTGACATTTCTGTCCAGTAAGAGGTGCCTCCTCAGATTCCTGCACGGGGAAATCAAACCAATTTCCATCCCAGAGTAACGCCGTAAAAAAAGAAGAAAAAAAAACGAAAAAGGTGTTGTGTGGTCGTCGACAAGTGGGAAGACGAGAGAACTTGAAGTCAGGGGGCGGCCAGCTTATCGAAGAATGCCAGCAACAAATACCTCGACTCCGGGCCAATCGGAGAGTTTGCCGCTCGGGTAGATCCGCCAGAATGCTGACCCGGCATGATGACCCGGCATGATGACCCGTCGCTCCGAATCGGCATACGGGGCAAACCGCAAACATGTGAGATGTGAGGCTCAAGCCGGAAACATTCAAGTCGGCCAGACTACCGAGGCGGTTTGAAATGCCGGAGAGACCCTTGATCCAGGGCACGGCCGTGTCGGAGTTAATCACGACGTTGGTTCGTGACTGTGCCGGCCGCGGGGTCACGGGGTGTGCATGCCTGGCAGCTCACGGCAACTGGAAACCATGGGAGGGAGGAAGGAACAAAGACGACCAACAGCACGAGGGGCAGCCAGAGAGCTTTCAGTGCTGCCTACCAGGGAGTTGATGTGGAACATGCTCCGAACGCGATAAAAGTTCTCTTCACGCACCTTTCTCTTTCGGTATTTCCCTTTACATCATTCCATGTTAAGCAATCATCACATACCACCTTGATACTCGTCAACTACCTACCTAGGCAACTTCCAATTTCCCACCGTCTCGCCCACCATGACCCAGACCATCGTCCTCATCAGCGGCGCGAACCGCGGCCTCGGGCGCGCCTTCCTCGAGATCTTCCTCGCCCGGCCGAACCACACCGTCATCGCGGCGAACCGCGACCCCGCGGCCAAGACGTCGCAGGAGCTGCTCAGCCTGCCCGCGGCGGCCGGCAGCAAGGCGATCGTGGTCAAGCTGGACGCGACGGCCGAGGGCGACGCGGCGGCGGCCGTGGCGGAGCTGCAGACGAAGCACGGCGTGGACCACGTCGACGTGGTGATCGCCAACGCGGGCGTGGCCTGGGTGATCCCGACGGTGTCGCAGCTCAAGATCGCCGACCTCGAGGAGCACATGAAGACCAACGTGCACGGCGTCGTGCGCCTGTACCAGGCGGTGCTGCCCCTCGTCAAGAAGTCGGCAGCGCCCGTCTGGGTCAGCATGGGCTCCGAGTCGGGCTACCTGACCAACTTCCTCAGCTTCCCCAACGCCGCCTACGGCCCCACCAAGGTCGTGCTGCACTGGCTCACCTGCGCCATCCACGCCGAGGAGCCGACCCTTACGGCCTTTGTCGTCGACCCGGGGTGAGTTCAATTCTCGTGGGAGGAGGTTCCCATTCCCGGAAGTGGAGTGGACATGGAGCATGGAGCAATCGGTGACTGACGTTTTGTTTCTCTCTGTAGCCGGGCCAAGACCGACATGGGCAACCGTGGCGCCAAGGCGGCCGGCGAGCTGTTTGGCATGCCCGAGCTGACCGAGGCCGAGGTCCCCGTCGACGAGAGCGTTGGCGGGCTCATCAAAGTCATCGACGCCGCCACGCGCGATACCCACAGCGGCAAACTGTGGAACTACAAGGGCGAGCACGTTGCGTGGTGAAGAAGAAGTTGGGGTCCTTTGTGTGCGGCATACGGAAGGAACAGGCAGCATTCTTCGGCCATGTGGTTGACAAGAAGAAAAGATGACTTTGTGAAAGTGGCGAAACATAATGTATTCTAAGCAATCCTTAAGAATAAGAATTTGATGTATGTTGTTGACCCGACTATTGATTGTTGCTTGGTGGAGGTTTTTGACGTGTTTGGTATCGTGCTATCAAGGCTATTTTTGTACTCCTTGCTTGGTGCTTGCCAGGACTTTTCAATCGACACAAAATGTGGAAGATGAAGCGCAGTTGCAGAAATGTTTTCGGGCTTTATCCTCCTTCCAACCACGGACGATATTCCTTTGGCAAGTGCCGTGCCCTGGATCGTCTATCTTGTGCTCAAACGAACCTCCGACCTCTTAACTAGGTACCTTAATCTATCCGCCAACTATAAGGTGAAGAATTCGATCGCCATGAACTTGCAAGATCATTATTATTAGTACAATCGCTTCATGTTGGAACGCCGTACCAAACCAACGGCGATTTGAGTTTTTCGGTAACTACAGCCCAACAGTCCACGCGGCGGACGTCCTTCTCTATTCGTATCTATTCGTATAGGAGCTGGCTTTTCAAACAAACAGTCCAGGCCTTCGCGTCCCCAAGGGCGTCCGGTTGCCTGTATATGTGCCTTCTTAGGCGCCGGATACTAGTGGCCCTGCTGGGCTCATTCACATTGTGGTGGTGTTTAACGATTTGTATTACGAACGATGGGAAGGGAAAAGTAAATTTGCGATATTTGACATTTCTAAACTTAAGAACAGGATAACCAAAAGAAGATAAATCAAAGAGATGGGACAACAAATGCCGCCCCGTGCGCGAGCAAGGAAAGTCTATAGATACGAATACATGACACCAACCGCCGTCTCTTCTACATATTCACATCTTACACGCGCCCCCCTCCAGAGTCCAGAGTCCAGACTACTTGCGGCATAGCCTACCATCGGCCTGGGGCACCCACCGGTCGCTCCCGACGGACGCGAGCCCGTACAGCGCAGCATCGGGATCATGCCTGCGCTTAACCCCAAGCAGGCGCTCGTAGTTGGGGCCGTAGTACTCCTCGCGCCAGTGCGGCGACCCGAAGGCGCCCTCGTTCATGTACCCGCCGCTGCCGGGGGTCAGCCCGCGCAGCAGCTCCTGGCTGGCGACCATCTGGCGCTCGAGCGCGCGCAGGTCCGCCATGGGCGACGCCGGGTCCCAGTAGACGTCGATATTCACAAAGAAGAGCGCGTCGCGCCAGGCGGGGTGCACCGCCGTGGGCGCGGGCGTCCCGCCCACCCCGCCCGCCACGCGCGCCTGCGAGACGTTGCCCGCCACGCCGTTGACCACCCACGCCGCCGTCGACGCCTGCGTCGTGATGCTGCGGAACCCGGCCGTCAGGTTTGATGCCGACCGCGCCACCGCCTCGCGCGGGATTAGTCTGCCGCCAACGAGGTCGTTGGTCGGGTGCGTGCCGTAGGGGAGCCCGGCCACGTAGGTGTTGAGGTGGCCGTAGAAGTTGGGGTTCAGGCTCGTGGTGTTGGTGAAGGGTAGGCCGAGGTCCGTCAGGGTGGCGAGGAAGGGCGCGACGAGCGCGCCCGCGCTGGCGGCGTCGTCGCCGTCGAGCAGCGTGAGCATGATCTCGAGCGAGGTGCTGCTCAGCGACCACAGCGTCGTCAGGCGCGGGACGGCGTCGAGCGTGGACAGCGCGTGCTGCCACTCGGTGACGGCCGACCAGAAGGCGTCGTCGTCGTCGCCGCCGCCGCCGCCGGTGCTGTTGACCCTGACGTGCGCGCCGGCCACGGGCCCGTCGGCGTGCAGGCGCGTGGTCTGCGAGATGACGACGGCGTAGGTGCCCGCGCCGCCGCCGTTGAGCGCCCAGAACAGGTCGGCGTTCTTGGTGGGCGTCGCCACCAGGTGCTCGCCGCGCGGCGTCACCACCTCGAACTCGAGCGTGTTGTCCGCCGCGAGGCCGTACGCGCCCATGGTGGGCCCGTGGCCGCCGCCGCCCACGTACCCGCCCGCGACGCCCACCGTCGGGCACAGGCCGCCGACGAAGCGCAGGCCCCGCTCGGTGGCCGCCTTGTAGATCTCGAAGGCCTGCACGCCGGCCCCGATCTTGACGGCCGGGCCCGTGTACCGGTCGCTGGCGTAGTCCAGGAAGGTCATGTCCTTGAGGTTGTGCGTCCACAGCGACAGGGACCCCTGCCCGTTGGAGCGGCCGAGGTAGTCGTGCCCCGTGTTCTTGACCACCAGCCGCACGTTCTTGTCGCGCGCGAACCGGAACCCGGCCTTCACGTCCCCGGCGCCGCGGACGTTGATGGCGTAGACGGGCACATTGCCCATCTGGCACGCCGCGGTTGACTCGAACACGCCCTCGTCCTCGGCAAAGGGCGTGCACGAGTTGTTTTGGAAGTAGGGCGACATGACGTTGACCGGATCCGGGAAGCTGCAGGGTGCGGACGCACGTGGTCAGCAACACTATAACATCGTAACACACGTGCGAGGGTAGGGGGGGGGGGGGGGAGGTGGGTCGAAGAAGCAACTCACTACGTCTCTTCCTTCGTCCACTGGTTGCGGAGCCCCTCGCAGGCCGCCTCATCGCGGTTGCTCCCGTAGCACAACTGCGCGAGGGGCTGTCCAGCAATCAACCGGCCGCCGACTGATTGGTTCAGTGCTCGCCACTCTGCAGCGGCAGGCCAGAGGGCATCCCCCGGCATGTACCTGCAGCTCGGTCGAGCAGGTGGGATAGTCGCCGCGCTGACAAGAGGCAGGGATGCCGCGAGGACCTGCAGCCAGGTCGCAGCTGAGGCCACGCTGGGGCCGTGGAAAAACATGGCTATTTTCGGACACTTCGAGGTTGGGATGAAAAGGAGAGTGGAAGACGAGACGAGATGTCGATAGAGACAGACTGTTTGGACGAATCTACGAGTACAACACCGCCAGGCGATTCATATATGAGATGGAAGCTTCCTTCGACGCCCCTTACGCCCCTTACGCTTCAGATGCTTCGTCGTGCCTCCGCCATGCGCAGCCTGGGAAGCCTGGCCGGTGACCCCGATGTATCATGTCCAGGATCCCTCGCGATGGATCAAAGCCTCATTTCGTTCCTTTGCCGTTCTCGTGCCATCCCGGGAACTTGGGAACCTGGGATGCGCCACGCCGTACGTTCCGCGCCTCGTGTCGCCCTCAACGAATGGTGTAGTGCCATCTTGGCTCAGCCGGAAGGGGGGGCGAAGGAAGCCGAGAGCAAAGGAGAGTCGTTACGCGTCGACGGTAGCCCCATGTCGTCTGGTCTGCCTAATCCAGATCACAGCCTTTCTCGCTGACCCCCATTCGGTGTGATGATATTCCGGAAGGAAGCCACACTTAGGTCGCTTGCCTCGCTTGCCTCGCTCGCCTAGGTAGGGTTTCGGATTGAAGGCTTATTGCCGAGGGGCGCATGGCGTATGACTGTATGCATGTAGTACATAGAATGGACAGCAGGCCAGAAGACGATACAACTTTCACAGAGGTCGGGGGCCGAGTAAAGGATTCCAAGAGGGGAGGGGGTATGAGTTTCTCCGAGTCCGCAGTCGGACGGTGCATGCTCACCGTGCATTAATTGGCTGCTTACCTACCCGGGGGAGTTATGCAAAAGATCCTCCCGCGGGAAATCCGGAGGTACCTTTTCGACCACGACGGCGGCCTTTTGGTCCGTGTGCGGCTCGGAGTGCGGTCTAACCATGAGGCAGGGAGAGATGTGAAGAATGGTGGTTCGAGAAGAGAAAGTTGCACGGTACCGAGTGACATCTGCGAATGGGTTCGGGTCTTGTGTGCGGCGCGCAATTGGCATGGCAATGTGAAACTGTGGATAACGTACCCACATGTGCAAGAACCCGAGTCTACGAAGAGGTAGCACGTGGGCAGGTAGGTACGTACCTAGGTACATCGTGTGCCAGCACCAAGACGCCCACAATTTTGATTTTGGCTTGCCACAACCCCTAAGTTTGTGTATTCGGAGGTTGACGGTCGGGAGTGTAGGAAGCCAGAAAAATGGATTCGGCTCTACGAGGCCTCGTAAGGCCTGAGCACATCGGCTGGACTTGTAGAGTAGTATATCAAGCTACCTAGTAGTACCTACGTAGAGGATGAATCAACCTTGCGATTGAGAACCCTGACATGATCGGACGCCGAGATATATCGTAGATCTCCTCCAACCGCCAAGAGATGCCAAGAGACTTAAAGAAAAACCTAAAAAAGACAGACCAATAGCTAAATGCATTTTACCAGACAGGGTGTCCCACGAACTTGAACCGCGAGCGAGCCTTGGTGGAGATTCTCTGGGGTTGAATACCACCTGAGGTAGGTACCGTGCAAGTTTAGCGAGTACATGTAGGTCTCGCGAGGCCACCCCACCCGTCCATCGGCAACCCAAAATCAAACTTCGATCCTCATCACAGGTTGCACGGCGCCCGCGAGGACGGGTCCGCGCCGTTCTCCAGCAGCTGGCGCACGCCGGCCTCGAAGCCCATATCGATAGCCAGATGCAGGGGCGTCTTCCCCTCACCATCCGGCCGATCCAGCAGGCCCAGGCACTGGTGGGCGCGGCAGTGGTCGAGCAGGCGGCGCAGCAGGGACTCGCGACGGTAGGTGACGGCCCAGTGGAGCGCGAAGCGGCCCGCGCGGTCGGCGTCGGCCACGCGCGCGCCGTGCGCCAGCAGCGTCTGCAGCACGTCCTCGAAGCCGCCCGCGACCGCGTGCATTAAGGGGGTGCGCCCGTGCCCGTCGGGTTCGTTGGCGTCCGCCGTGTGGCCTAGTAAGATGCGCACGATCCGGTCGTGGCCCTTGACCGCCGCCATGTGCAGCGGCCCCTGCCACGGCTGTTGGTGGCCGCTTGAGTCGTCCCGGTCGTCGTCGCTGCTGCCGGTGCTGGTGCCGTTTTCGGCGTCTCTCGGCAGCTCCGCGGTGGCCGTTGATGCGCGCCGGGAGGGGCCAGAGGGTGGCCGGGTCACGCCGTTCCTGACTGAGGGCGTGGCGCGCGTCCGCCTGGAGAGACGTGAGTCGTCTCGGTTTGCTTCGGAAAGTTCGGGGCCCGGCTCCACGGGCGAGGCGCTTCGGTGAGACGGCGGTGGGAGCAGTTGGGCCATGTTTGGCGGCGCGTGGGTCTGTTCGTCGGGCGCTGCCACTTCCAGGTCGTGACTGAAGTCGAGGAAGCCGACGTCACCCATGAGGAGGCCTTGGGAGGTCAGGAGGGCGCCCTTGCTGACGCAGTAGGCTGCTGTGACGGGTGTTGATCCCGAGTTTAGAGAAGTTGTGCTGCCATGGCTGGTAGGCGGGGAGGGGTCCATGGTTTGGTTGATGGTGGCCACATGCTCGACCGACCACCACCCGTCTTCCGGTCCGGGCGAACTTGCCCACTCGCAGTGGTCTTCTTGGGCGGGGGCGGGGGCGTGTGGGTGGTGGGCGTGCTCGGGCGCTGGTGGGCTGTCGTTTTCGTGCCACGCAGTTGTGTTTCGACGGTTCTGTTTCTCGCGGAAACGGCGCTGAGCGATGCGGTTCTGGGTGCGCCGGCGCTCCAAGGCAAGATCGGGAGCCACGAACATCATGGTTGCATGTGCGTAGAGGCATAACTAGGTGGGTGGCATTTGGTCGGTGTCGCGACGGAACGCGGGCAGGCGCGGGCCAAAATACTTTAAACATGGACCCAGCCCCCACCCCTCACGGCCCGCGCATCTTTTCCTTTGTCGCCCCCAACTGGCCCGGGCCGGCTCTGCCCTGCGCCCCGTACGTCAGCACGACGCTTTCGGTCGTCGGCCCCCGTTTCGCACCGCACCGTCTTATCGTCTGGGCCATGACGGCGAATGGTGGACGAACAACGTATCGGTTGACGGTTGTGACTCTGTTTTCCTTTGGGCAGGGAATCTCCGGTGATCCTCTACTACGACACAATGTATGTAGAGACGTCGGGTGCACGCCCTGCATTTCAAACCCTGACAAATTTGATTGACGACTCAAGCTTTGAGTAATTCTGCAGAGGCCGAGACCAGGGTTTCAGCCAATCGATGCCACGTGCGTGCAGAACACACTGGCTGAGCAAGCTTGAGTGGGAGCCAAACCCCGGTAAGTCTTGACATTTGTACAGAATACAAATGGAGTTACACAGTAGCCAGGTCGAGAGCCTTTTACTGATCAACAACACAACAATGTATTGTGAAGACTAAAATAAAATAAAATGCATCTAATAGATTGTATTTCCTAGATCTCAGCTAAAGATGCTATTCTATTGCGTTGAGGTTTGGGATGTTGAGGTCGAAGTTCTTTCGGCCCTTGAATCGGCCCGTGAATGGTGCAGTCCTGTGGAACCCAACCTTGGTACCGACGGAGATTTCCCTTAAACCCGGCGCTCGCCGCCCCCATACCGCCAAGCCTTTTACTGCGAGCGCCAGACACTCCAGTCAAAGAAAAAGAAAAAAAAGTTTGAAGTGCCAAATGGGCATCTTCAACGCAAGGATTTTCTCGTCGCAATTGGGTGAAGCAGCCAAATTGGAACAATTGGAATCGGTTAGGTATAACTCTGTATCCCCCCCCCAACTTTTTGGTGGGGAGAAATATCGAAGTTTCAATCTCGAACAAATCGGCGCCAAACGTCTTGGCCTGCTACACGAACAGATCGCTCTCGGTTCGCTTTACAGTTCTCTTGGCAACTTGGTGGACAGGCCGTTGAGATCGGGTCCCGCGGACCTCCGAGGTCGCGGCCTCTTGAACCCGATGTACATACAGACAGACATACACGACATACGGAGACCACACCTATGCAGGGTTTATTCCAAAGATCTTCGCGTGTGCGGCGCGGCTGATCCTCCCGGAGTTCGGGAACTAACCAGTTATTGTTTAGACGGCGGCGGGTGGCTCCGGGAGGACCCTCCATACATAATTAGCCGATCGCGGGCCATGGAAACAGAAAGTGACCTCAGCGAGGAGGGAACGTGGGGTCCATGGGATTGCTTCAACTACTGGTGATACGGAGGAGTGTCCCTCTGAAAGCCACCTAATGGGGAGCTATCTTATACGGCGGGTGTCCCTCTGAAAGCCAATCGGGAGCTATCGAACACGGCGCACAGAACTCTGTTTTTACCGACCCCCTTATTTGCACGGAGTGAAATTTTAGGTGCACGGAGTACAGCAGCACTACCAAAAGGGCCAGTGCACCACCCACTAAGTTGTTAGTGCCTTTGGACCTTTCTCTGCCAAGACCTGGCCCAGCTTACAGCTTAAGTACAGCACTTACACAGTCGCTAACCTTCACCCTCACCCAAAAAGAGGAGGGTAACTTAGCTGGTAGCAAGGTGATTTTGATGCAATCTGGTCAGTTTTACTCTAACTAGTTTTATTTTTTTTAAAGTTTTACCGAGAGCTGCTTGAGGTGAATTGTATTGTAAGTGTGGGAGTTTGAGGGGTGAATTGTCCTGCGCGAGTCAAGTGCTAGGCTGAACTCCCCGCCAAAACTTTGGGACGCTTTACCGAATTGGGCCTAGTTACTCCGTGCACCTAAGATTTTACTCCGTGCAAATAAGGGGGTCGGTTTTTACACAGTTGGCACGTGCCCACACTCTCCGTACTCTCCCGTGTCTCCGCATTCTCCGCATTCTCCGCACTCTCCGGTGTGTTCCAGGTTATGGACCCCAAACTTGATCTCATGGAAGGATCGAAGACGTGCTCTCCTACCTTATTTACCCACAACAAATAATTTAATGCTCTTCCTCGCATCCCCATCCTGCATGATGCATCCCTCCGGTTTTCCCGCTTCCACCCGAAACGGGACGATCCGAATCCGACCAAGAGACGGCCGGGCCCTCACCGCCGCACGCGCACCCTCAACCCGGGACTTCCCTTGGCCGGCATTGGGATGATCATGTCGTAATTCGCATCGATGTCTCGCTCGCGTGTCGTGTCGTACAGCTCGAGCGTCGGGCCGCGCTGACCTTCATAGATGTCGTAGCGGAGGAGCAGCGTCGCCAGCACCTTGCCCATCAACTTCTTGGCCATGTCCTTGCTGTTTCCGCCCCCAGCCTGTCAGCGCGGCACACACTTGACAACAAAAAATAAAGAAAACAAAACGAAGCAAGGAAGAAGAAGAAGAAGAGAAAAACACGAGATGACGTACCCGATGCAGTTCCGCGTGCCCCTCGCAAACGCAATAAACGCGCGCCCGAGCGTGGGATCGTCCAGCCAGCGCTGCGGCCGGAACGCGAGCGGGTCATCGAACACGTCGCCGTTGAGGTGCATGGCGCGCGTCGACATGCTGTGGCACATGCCCGGCGGCACCACGTACGTCTTACTCTTACCACCAGCAGCAGCAGTAGTCTTGCCCACCTCCCCCACACCCACCAACCCCGCGGCCGGGGCCTGGTAGACGATGGGCTGGTCCGGCGAGATGCGCACCTGGCGCGACACCACGCCCGGGTGCAGGCGCATCGTCTCGTGGATGACGGCGCTCAGGAAGGGCAGCGTCTCGACCTGCGCGAACGACGGCGCGACTTCGCCCGCGGGCAGCGACGCGCGCAGCTCCTCGCGCGCCCGCCGGTACTCGGCCGGGTGCGCGAGCAGCTCGTAGAGCGCTGCGTTGAGCGTGTAGGCTGCGAGAGGGTTATTAGCTTGCCCATTTCCTTCTCGTTTCTTTTTTCTTTCTTTCTTTCTACCACTGGGAAAAGAAGGCTGTGTGGCCGCAGACTCAACTCACCCACTGTGCCCTCGCCGGCAAACACGATCAGCTGCGCCTCCTGGGCCAGCCGCGCGTCCGTCTTCTCCTCGGCCGGCAGGTTGCTGCTCAGGACGCCCTCGAAGATGGTGCTCTTCAGGTGTGCCGGGTCGGGCGACTCCCGGATGGTGCGGACCTTGTTGACCCACCACTGTAGGGATTGTCAGCCATATCAGCATATATTTCCGACTTCATTTTCTTTGGTGAGGAAGTGAGAAAAGGAACAAGATCGAACCTCCTTCCTCTCCATCAGGTCGTCCAGCTCGCGGGACGGGATGAAGAAGCGGAACGCCCACTGCGGCAGGTTGCGCATCACCAGCAGCACGACGGGGAACGCGGCAAAGACGTGCGTCAGGTTGTGCCACGTGTTGCTGCCGGCGGTGACGGACTCGCCCCAGTCGTCTTCGCCGAGGATGTCCTGGTTCTCGCCGAAGGCGTACGTCGTGATGATGTCGCTCGTGCACGCGCGGAAGACCTGGTGCATGCTCAGGACGACCGACTTGGCGCCGCTCGCCGCGATGCTGGCGTCGACCCGCCCAAACATCTTCTCCATGTGCGCCGTGATGATCGGCTCGAGCCTCCGGATGCTGGCGACCGAGAAGAAGCCGCTGATGGCGTTGCGCCGCCTGCGGTGCACGTCGTGGTCGATGGTGCCCGTGATGGAATCGGGGACTGCCAGGGGGGAGGGGGGAGGGGTATGGTCAGCGTTGGTTCTGGTCTCTAGACTCGGGGTTGGGTGCGTGGCTGCTCTCACTGCCTGTTCTCAGGCCCACAAGTGCCGGCTTCGTGGTCCTCCTCCCGCCCACGGGGCTCAGCGTGTCGATAAAGTCCGGGTCGTTGAACGACACTTCGTCGGGCCTGATGCGGACGACGGGGCCGTACTGCCTGTGCATCTCTTCGATGCGGCGGAAGTACTGGGCGCCGAGGAAGACATCGTAGTACTTCTCATACCACGTCGTTATTGCTGCCGCTTGTCAGCACCAATAATGGCACTGCTGGCCGTGCTACGTCCGGTCCTCACCTGCTAGTTTGGGTCCTGGGATGCTTGCCAGCGGATGGAAGAAAACTGTCACAGGGCACGTCAGCTCTGTGCTGCGCGTGGCAGTCCGCTGATACTACGGACCTCGATAGAGCGCAAGCCACACGCCGTAGACGACGACACTGGCGATGGTGAGATAGGCTGTCTGGAGAATGTTGTCCCAAGTTGCATGCCGCTTCGCGGCCTCCATCCCGTAGGTCAAAGCGCGTATGGCTTGACTCTGGCTGGTCGGGTGATGCACGAATAACTGGCTCGAAGACATGATCTTTGGGAAACCAGACGCGAGGGGATAGGGGTAGGGAGACAAGAATCATCACGATTTTGGTGATAGACCATAGTCTGCCTGCATTTTAACGTGCAACCCATACCCCGGCGCAAAGACGCCTCCGGAAGACTCTAGGTCACGGAAGTGTGGGACGCGTCCCCAGCCGCCCGAGGTTTCAGCATAAGCCGCTCCTGTGTAGCGAGATACGGTCACACCAACCCTGCAGCTTACCAGTTACCACATGCAGGAGCGGCTTTTTCCGGAACTGTCACTGATGCAGGTTGTATATGTAGCGTCACGCCGGTCGCTGCATTGTCATCCTGTATCCGGAGCTGGAGAAAACAAGCTTGTGGCTGGCTACAAACCGAAGCCGCCGAAGCCCGCTGAGCTTGCCGGCCTTCATGTTGTCAGCCAAGCAGGTGCAAGGTTCCTCGGCGCAGTAATACCTCCCTACAGTAACCTACCTGCCGACCGACATGAAGCCGTCATGCCTCCCTCACCTCCGTTACCGGCAGCGACTTGTCCACCTGGCCGCCGAATTCCCATACCCCAGACCGTACACTACGTAGTAGATACTACCGTGGCAATTGCCGTAAGGTTTAGTCATACGTCCGTTCCCAGTCTATGGAGGTGGTTGGTTGCACTCGATGTCGCCTTTAACGGCGTAGATTTCCCCACAAAATCCATAAAAGCCAAGGTTAGGTAACTGGTAAGCCGTTGGATACAACGGTTACAAGCTACCGAGTAGGGTGTTGATCTTGCAGTTGATTGGTCTTCTGACTGAGGGCGTCACAGAGGCCGAATTGTGTGTTGCGGGGGAGGTAGAGGCTACCTACCTACCTTAGGGAAGGGCGACAGATAGCTGCACACCGCAGGCCGTGACAGTCCGGTTAGCAAGCTAAGCTTTGTAACGCCGTCTACTACGTTCGCTGTAGTCCTTAGTGCTACCATAATTTCGGTGCTATTGGCCGGCGTTGATTTCTGTTAGAAGATATCAAAGACATGGACATTACGGTTTGCGGCAAAAATCTCCCTTTCGAACAATTTGTTACCATTAACAGTACAAGGTAGAACTCAGTCTAATTATACGATAATTGAGTGTAATAGGCGTCAGCATTCAAGTTGGCAGTGGACATCAGCCTCTCGATACAGTAAACGCAACAACCCCCCGGACTCCTGTAGACCGCTCACGAGTCGGACACAAAGCGAGACTCGGACACGTCGTCAAAAAAGCCGACCATGGCCTCGAAAATGTCCTGGGTTCCCTCGCCCGTGAGGATGGTCATGTGGCCCCTCCCCTTGGCAAAGTGCATCCTCTTGGGCGTCTGCAGACGCTCAAAAGCCTCCTGCTGCGCTGCGGCCGGCGACATGTCGTCGAGCTCGGGCACCATCATCATGACGGGGACGGTCTCAAGCAGGTCCATGAGCGGGAGCGGCTGGAAAAGGGCGAGCTTCTGGTAGGTTTGCAGCGTGATTCGGTCGCGGAAGCTGGGATGGCCGCGTTCGACCGCCGTGCGCATCAGCACGTAGGCCTCGCGGCCGCCGGGGCCACCGGCGCCGGCCATGCCGATCGGGTTCTCGCCTTTGCTGTTGAAGGGCTGCAGCGTGTGGGGCTCGTTGCCGCGCAGCTGCGACGCTCGGTCGCGCATCAGCTGCCCAAAGGCGCGCGCCCGCCGGTCCGGCCGTACAAAGTGGAAGATGGGGCACACCATCAGCACGCCCGCTACCCGCCGGTCCACGATGGCCGCCACGGCGCTGACGGTGCCGCCCAGCGACATGCCCCAGAGGAACACCCGCGCCGGATCCACGGCCGGCAGCGACATGACGTGGGTCACGACGTCTGCGTTCCGGAGTCAGTTGGTTCCATACATGCCCGCGGCACGAGGCGGGAATGTCGGGGAATTCGAGTATTCGACGAACGCACCGGAGATATCTTCGGCCATTTGCAGGGGGTCGATCTGGTTGCGTGGGAGCCCGCCGCTGGCCCCAACACTGCGCGAGTCGTAGAGGTACACATTGTAGCCTCTTCTCTGAAAACCTTCGGCCGTATCCGAGAGGCTCATTTCCTTGACGCAGTTGAACTGCCCGAGCAGAAGGCAAACGCATTAGCAACTTAGGGAGCAAGACAGTAGACTTTGCCGTCCGCATTCACTCACGCCGTGGGTCATGACAATGGCGGGCGCAGGGCCCTCAACCGGGTAGAACCACCCCTCGAGCGTGATGCCGTCGATGGTTTTGCACGTAACGGCCTCATGGCGCGGTTTGGAAGACATGACGGCCATGGCGCAGGCGTTGTCGATTTCCTCGCAAATACGGACAGGGAAGGTAATTCCATGTATAACTATAGGCTGAAGTAGAAAAAAGAGCTGGCGTTCGAGCGAGCCGAGACTGGGGTCGAATCCTCTCCCGGCCTCCGCCGCACACACGACGGGGGGTCAGTAAGATACGGAGGAACTTTTTGAAAAACAATCTTTTGGAGCAGAGCACGAGTGACACCGAGGTCCTACGTCTCGGTCAACAACCATGCGGGCTTTCGGACGTTTCATGTCGCACCTAGGTATGCTCACATCTGCAAGGTCAGCCCGCCCAGACTCTCACCACAACCTCACTTCTGCCGGGTAATCCATCCTTCAGGAATTCTGACCTGAGCGATAGCATACCGCCCTTGCAGATGACGCGACGTGCAAGGAACCATACGGTTGAGTCTCAACAACACCGACGACACTGCAGGTCGAGCAGGGGTGATGACGCTTCACTCAACTCCGACTGCCACAAAGAAATCCGTCGAGATGGCAATATCGACATGTGAAGCGGATATCGTCGACGGCGCGTTTTGCACATATGCTGCCCTCCCGCCGCCCAAATTCCAGACACGGTAGGACACACACACACATCGCACTCCTTTTCCACTGCATCTTCCCCTTTCCCAGGCTTGAGACACACCAGTGCACACCATTCACCATGACCAAGCCTCAGTTTCGCCAGGAGCCCATCGCCATCGTCGGCTTCGCCTGCCGGCTGCCCGGCGGCAACAACAGCCCCCAGCGACTATGGGACTTCTTGGAGCGCGGGTCGGTGGCGCCCAACACGGTACCCGAGACGCGTTTCCGCTTCGAGGGCCACTACGACGGCAGTCACAAGCCGCGCACGATGCGCCAATGTGGTGGCATGTTCCTCGGCGATGTCGACCCGGCCGACTTTGACGCCTCTTTCTTCGAGGTGTCGACGACCGAGGCCATCGCCATGGACCCGAACCAGCGCCAGATGCTCGAGGTCGTGTATGAGGGCCTCGAGAACGCAGGCATCCCCCTCGAGAGCCTTGAGCGTAAGCCCGTCGCCTGCTTCGTTGGCTCGTACGCGTCCGACTACGGCGATATGCAGAACCGCGACCCCGAGGATCGGCCGGCCAACAACGCGCTCGGTGTCGGGCGCGCCATTCTGGCCAACCGCCTCAGCCACTTCCTCAACATCCGGGGGCCCAGTGCTACCATCGATACGGCCTGCTCGGGCAGCCTAGTGGGGCTGGATATGGCGTGCCGCTACTTGTCGACCGGCGAGGTCGACGCCGCCATCGTCGCCACCAGCAACGTCTATATGAGCCCCGAGCACATGATCGACGCCGGCAACGTCGGCAGCGCACACTCGCCCACCGCCCTGTGCCACACCTTCGACGTGGCCGCCGACGGCTACGTCAAGGCCGAGGCCGTCAGCACCGTCATCGTCAAGCGCCTGTCCGATGCCATCCGCGACCGGGACCCCATCCGCGCCGTCGTGCTGGGCACGGCAAACACCAGCAACGGTCGGACCGCGGGCATCGCCAGCCCCAACTCTGAGGCCCAGGCCCTCGCCATCCGCCAGGCCTACGCCAACGCCGGCATCGTCGATTTTAACCTGACCACCTACCTCGAGTGCCACGGTACGGGCACCCAGGCCGGTGACCCTACCGAGGTGCGCGGCGCGGGCTCCGTCTTTGCGCCCACGCGCCCGGCTGACAAGCCGCTGATCATCGGCTCGGTAAGCTTTCAAGAACCCACCACCTACCTAGTCTTCATCCCACTTACATGGTCGCTACTAGATCAAGAGCAACATCGGACACTCGGAGCCGGCCGCGGGGATCTCGGGGCTGCTGAAAGCGGTGCTAGCCCTCGAGCACGGCGTGATCCCGGGGAATCCCACCTTTATCAACCCCAGCCCAAAGAGTACGTGTTCACGCGCCTGACCTACCTCCATTGCACCGAAGTATACTGACCCTATGCCCAACCACCCGCAGTCGACTTTGCCGCCAACGGGGTCAAGGCGTTCCGCAACGCCATCCCCTGGCCACAAGACGCGCCGCGGCGCGCGAGCGTCAACTCGTTCGGGTATGGCGGCTCCAACGCGCACGCCATCGTCGAGCAGGCCGTGCTCGACCGCACCCACCACGTCAAGTCGTACACGGCGGCGGACGAGGAGGCCGAAGAGGAGGAAGAAGAGTACTACGAAACCGACGACAACAACAAGACCGCCGGCCGGCCGCAGGTGGTCGTGCTGTCGGCCAACGACCCGCACTCGCTCAGCGGCAACATCGCGGCGCTGACCAAGCACCTGCTCAACCCGCGCGTGCGGGTGCGGCTGGCCGACCTAGCCTACACGCTGTCGGAGCGGCGCACGCGCCTGTGGCACCGCGCCTTCCTCACCACGCGCTCGGCCGAGGGCGGCGTCGACGAGAAGGCCTTCGTGGCCGCCAAGAAGGGCGCCCAGCCGCCGCGCGTCGGCTTTGTTTTTACCGGCCAGGGCGCCCAGTGGCCCCAGATGGGCGCCGAGCTGGTGCGCCTGTTCCCCCGCGCGCGCGAGCTCCTCGAGGAGCTCGACGCCGTCCTGCAGAGCCAGCAGGCCAGCGCGGGGGCCCCGACGTGGTCCCTGGTTGAGGAGTTGACCGAGGCGCGCTCGGCCGAGCACCTCCGCCAGCCCGAGTTCTCGCAGCCGCTCGTGACGGCGCTGCAGCTGTGCCTCCTGGACGTGCTGGATAGCTGGGGCGTCCGGCCCGAGAAGGTGGTGGGCCACTCGTCGGGCGAGATCGCGGCTGCGTATGCCGCGGGTTTGTTAGACCGCGCTAGCGCCATCAAGGCCGCCTTCTACCGCGGCCGCGCTGCCGTCAACCGCTTCCACGAGGCCGAGAAGGACGTCGGCATGCTGGCGGTCGGCCTCGGAGCCGAGGTCGCCCAAGAGTTCCTCGACAATGGCGAGTACACGGGCAAGGCGTGGATCGCGTGCTTCAACAGCCCCTCCAGCGTTACCATCTCGGGCAAGAAGGCGGCCCTCGAGACCCTGCAGGAGGAGATTAAGGCCGCCGGGCACTTTGCGCGCCTGCTGCAGGTCGACCTCGCCTATCACTCGGCTCTTATGGGTCCCATTGGCGAGGAGTACGAGGAACTGCTCGGCGAGGACCCGGCCTTCGAGTCCCGCGAGACTGGCAGCAGCGTCGCCATGTACTCCTCGGTGACGGGCGGTCTCAAGACGGGCTCTGCCGACGCCGCCTACTGGAAGGCAAACATGGTGTCCCCCGTGCGCTTCGACGAGGCCCTCAAGGCCATGCTCTCGGACCGCAACCCGCCGACGGTGCTGATCGAGATCGGCCCCTCGGGCGCGCTGGCGGGGCCCGTGTCGCAGGTCATCAAGTCGCTCCCGGCTGCGTCCGGCGCTCAGGTCGTCTACTCCGCGGCATGGTCCCGCGGCGCCGACGCGGTCAAGTCGCTGTTTGACGTCGCCGGGCGGCTGTTCATCAGCGGCGCCGACATCGACCTCGGCGTGGTCAACGGATACGACCAAGGCGTGCGGACGGTTGTGGACCTGCCCAACTACGCGTGGAACCACACGGTCAAGTACTGGCACGAGAACGCGGCGAGCCGCGACTGGCGGTTCCGCAAGTACGTCGCACACGACCTGCTGGGAAGCAAGATCCTCGGCACGCCGTGGCAGGCGCCCATTTGGCGCAACCGGCTGAGCGCGGCCAACGTGCCGTGGCTGATGGACCACAAGATGGGCGGCGACGCCATCATGCCCGGCGCCGGTTTTGTGACCCTCGCGCTCGAGGCCTTGTGGCAGAAGCATTGCGCCGTCGAGAATCTCGAGGGCGTCGCTCCCAACGATCTCTGCTACCGCTTCCGCAACCTCAAGTTCAGCCGGGCGCTGGTCATCGAGGAGAACAAGGATGTCATGCTGACCGTGTCGCTCGCGCGGGTGCCTGGTGACAAGCACTGGCACGAGTTCCGCGCCTCGAGCACGCTGCCGGGTGAGGACCTTGTACGGGAGCACTGCTGGGGTCTCGCCCGGATTCAGGACGCCATCGAGGACGAGGTGGCCGAGGGGGCCGACGCCGCGCCGCTGCAGAGCCCCCAAGGGCCCAAGCTGTGGTACAAGGCCGAGCGTGAGATCGGCATGGACTTTGGACCGGCCTTCCAGCGGCTGCTACAGATCGACGCCGTCAGCGGTCAGCGGTCGTGCCGCACCCTACTGTCGCTCGAGCCGCCGGCCTCCCGCTGGTCGCCGCAGTCGTACTATCCGGTCCACCCGGCCGCCCTCGACGGCTGCCTGCAGACGCCCATCCCCGGAAACGCCGAGGGCGAGCGCGGCAACGTCAAGGACGTCATGATTCCCGGCGTGATCGACGACTTTGTCATCAACAAGGTGCCCGCCCTCCTGACGACGGGCCGCTCCATCGCCCACTCGACCTACTCGGGCCGCGGCCGCCGCGACCAGGACAAGAGCTGGATCGCCGACACGACCGTCTACGACTCGGAGACGGGCCGGCTCGTCATGCGCGTGCGGGGCCTTAACTATCTCAAGCTGGACGTGCCGCCGCGCGCGGACCCGCACACCTTCGTCCGCGTCGAGTGGAAGCCCGACGTGACGCTCTTGTCGCAGGACCAGCTGCTGCACGCGGCCGGGCTCGACGGGCTGGTCGACCTCATCGCGCACAAGACGCCCTCCCTCAGGGTGCTCGAGGTCAACCTGGACGCGGCCGACACCTCGAGCCTCTGGTTCCCGCCCGCTCCCACGCCGGCCTCTGCTGAGACTCGGTCGGCGTACGCGCGCTACGACTTTGCCTCGGCCGACGCGCGTGCCATGGTCAACGTGCAGGAGCGGTACCAGGACCGGGCCCAGGCCTCTTTCTTGCTCATCAGCCCGACCGAGACAGGGGAGGCGCTAGGCCTGCCCGCCGATGCCGTGTACGACTTGGCCATCATCAAAGCGTCTGAGGAGACCAGCTCTGGGTTGTTGCGGGACTTTGTCGCCAACGTCCAACCGTTCCTCTCGGGCGCCGCCTCCACCCTGCTGGTCCGCCGCGGTGACGCAAAGAACAATATCAGCCACCACGGCGAGATTGTAGACCGGTCCACGCCCATCATGACATTGTCCACGGCGACGTCCAAGACGTCCTCCGAGTCGGGAGACTCGGGGCCGACGTCGCGCGTTCTGTCCCCGGTACGGGCTCCCGCCAGCTCGGCCAGCTCCATTTCGGATGCCGACGCCGAGCACGCCGTGAAGCTTCTTGGCTCGGGCGGAGGCTTTTGGAGCCGCGGTGTGGTGCAGCGGCTCGTGGACAAGGCCGGTGTCCCGGTTAGCTCGATTCTAGAGGTGCCCACCGCCCACGACGACGGGACGCAGGCGTACCTCTGGCAACACGGGACCAAGCAAGCCGAGCTCGAGACCAAGCCCGGCAACCTGCTTGTTGCCCGCCTATCCGAAACCGGCCCCTCTTCGCTCGGGTCGTCGATCCAAACCGAGCTGCAACAAGCGGGCTGGAACGTGAAGCAGCAGGGGTTCCCCTTCTCGCAGCCCTCCAAGCAGGACGCGGACGTAGTGCTGGTGCTCGACGAGCTCGCCGGCCCGGTTCTCTCCAAGATCAGCACGTCGCAGCAGTGGGACGCCGTCAAGGAGCTCGTCGGCTGCGGGGCACCCGTCGTTTGGGTGACGCAGGGCGCGCAGGGCCAGGCTGGGACCGGGCAGCGCGTCACGGAGCCCGATAGAGCCATGGTGCAGGGGCTCTTCCGCGTGGCGCGGCGCGAGGACGAGCTCGCGCGCCTCGTGACGCTCGACGTGCAGAGCGGCGTCGGCTCGGCCGACACAAGCCGGGCCATTCGGCAGGTTCTGGATGCTGTCCGGCGTGGTTCCGAGACCGGAGTGGATGCCCAGGAGGACGAGGACGAGGTGGAGGAGGTCGCGGGAGTCCTCCAGGAGACCGAGTACATGGAGCGCGGTGGCCTGCTGCATGTGCAGCGTCTGGTGCCCGACCGGGCCGTCAATGCCTTTAAGCGCGCCGAGGTCGAGGGCCTTGAGACGGTCTTGACCGACTTCCACGGCACACGGGCGCAGTTGCAGATCCACGCCGAGAGAATCGGCACGCTACAGAGCCTGATGTGGTGTGAGACGGGCGTGTACGACGAGGACCCGCTCGAGGACGGCCATATCGAGGTTGAAATTATGGCTGTTGGCGTCAACTTCAAGGACGTCGCTACCACTATGGGCATTGTCCCCGAAGACGAGCACATGATCGGTTTCGAGTGTGCCGGTGTCGTGAAGAAACTCGGCAGTGGCGTCACACGTTTCCGCCAGGGAGATCGCGTGTGCATTCTGAAGCCTGGCAGCTATGCAAACCGCGTGAGGGTCTCCGTCGAGCGGTGTCACGCGATCCCGGATACGATGACGTTTGAGGAGGCGGCCACTATACCGTCCGTCTACCTGTGCTCGTTGTACTCGCTCTACCATATGGCGAACTTGAAGGAGGGCCAGGTATGTATTGCTGTCCCGTTTGATGAGCTGGACCAACTGACTGACATGATAATAGTCGGTGCTCATCCACTCGGCCACCGGTGGCGTCGGCATTGCCTGCATCGAGCTTGCGCAGTATAAGAAGGCTGAGGTCAGTTCTCATTTTTCACCATCCTAGCTGGGTGCCACTAACAATGCCGTCAGATTTATGTCACCGTGGGCACCGAAGAGAAGCGGCAGTTCCTCGAGACTAACTACGGCATCCGGCGCGACCACATGTTCTCATCCCGTAGCACCAAGTTTGCGGACGAGGTTATGCGGCATACCAACGGTCGCGGTGTGGACTGCGTGGTTAACTCGTTGATCGGGGAGCTCCTGGATGCGTCTTGGCGTATTATCGCCGATGGAGGTACTATGGTCGAGATCGGTAAGCGCGATATTGTCGACCGCAACACGCTGGCTATGGAACCATTCGACCGTAACTGTTCGTTCCGCGCGGTCGACATGTCCTTCACCAAGGATATCCACGACCAGCGCATCGCCAGCCTGTTTGCAGAGCTCTTCGTGCTGATCGACGGCGGACATATCAAGCCGATCTTCCCTATCACCACGTTCGGGTTTGACGACGTGCCAGCGGCGCTACAGTACATCCGCAGCGGGCGCCATCTTGGGAAGATCGTTATCTCAAACAAGGAAAAGGAGGACATCCAGGTTGTCGCCCGCCCAGCCGTCCGTAAGCTACAGCTTCGGCCGGACGTGTCGTACCTTATCGTCGGCGGCCTTAAGGGCGCATGTGGTACGCTAGCCACCCACATGGCCCGCCACGGGGCCAAGCACATCGCTGTCAGTAGCCGGAGCGGCATTGCCGACGAAGCCTCGGCGCGCATCGTCCGTAACTGTGCCTTCTATGGATGCGCCGTGTCGGAAGCCAAGGGTGACGTCGGTGATATCGAGTCGGTCCGGCGCCTATTCCAGACGGTCACCCCACGAGTCGGCGGTATCGTCCAGGGTGCTATGGTCCTGCGCGACCGGCCGCTCGAGAATATGACGTTCGACGACTACCGCACCGCCATCCACGCCAAGGTCCAGGGCACATGGAACCTGCACCTCGCGTCGCAGGAAGCCGGCCCCAAGCACGCGCTCGACTTCTTCACTATGCTCTCGAGCACGTCAGGCATCATCGGTAACAAGGGCCAGGCCAACTACGCGGCGGCCAACACCTTCCTCGACGCCTTCGCGAGCTACCGGCGCGCGCTGGGCCTGCGGGCGCACACGGTCGACCTCGGCGTGATCGAGGACGTCGGCTACGTGGCCGAGCAGGACGACGGGCTCGAGGTCCGCTTCGACAAGCGGCAGTGGACGCCCATCGGCGAGACGATGCTGCGGCGCATCCTGACGCACTCGGTCCTGCAGCAGACGCCCGACGACGAGCCCATCAACCCGCTGAGCGCGGCGCAGATGATCACGGGCGTGGCGGTCCCGCTCCAGCGCGCCGACGCGAGCGCCGACCTCACGCGCGAGCCGCGCTTCGCGTACCTGTTTGCGAGCAACGGCGAGGACGCCGGCGACGGCGCGGCGGACGAGGGCGGCAGCGACGCGGCGGACCAGGCGGTGCGCGCGCTCAAGACGATGCACAAGTCGGGCGCCGAGGGGCCCGCATTGGTGCAGGCGTGCGTCGACGCGCTGGCGGCGCAGTTCGTCAAGATCCTACGGCTCGAGTCCGAGGTCGAGCCGGGGCGGCCGCTCATGGCGTACGGGCTCGACTCACTGTCGGCGGTCGAGCTGCGGAACTGGATTCGCACCAAGCTGGCGGTCGAGCTCACGACGCTGGATATCACGAATGCGAGCTCGCTGATTGCGCTGGGTGAGAAAGTCGTGGGGAAGTTGCCGGAGCCCAAGGGGGCGGCGAAATAGAGGAGTTGCGGGCCGTGGCAAAAGGTGGCAAAAGATTGAGAACTTGTTTGGGTGTTGGGCAATAGCAATTTTGTATGTACTTCTTTCTTTTTTTTTTTTTGTCATGGAATTTCTCTGGGTCTTCCTTTATCTCTTACTTATCGTGTCTCTCGCAACCGTGTCGATAGAATCACACCAATAAATAGTATTGATGTTACCTTGGTTGCTCTGCGGTTCAGTATTATTACATACCAACGTGTCTTTGCCGTCCAAAGCGGATATGACTTCATTTGCTGTCCGATTAGAAATAGGTAATATTGAGTTGAACGTACCTAATTGTCGCCCACAAATTCGACGCCAAGCGGTGCTTGACTCCACACGAGGGAGGCGGGGGCGGTTGGGAGCTGAGTGAAGGTTGCGGTTTAGAAAGAAACAAGCTGGGAAAGTTTGACTTATTAAGGGAAGGAACCATCAACGTGCGACTTCCCCGGATGAGCCGCATCCCCAGGCAGCCACTCATTTGATTTAATTGTTCATTATCCGTCCGAAACGATCGATCTCTTTGTAAAGCCGTTCAATCTCTAAGTCGTAAACGCAAGGCTTAAACGCCATTGAGTGGGCGACTTGGGGCTTATATGGAACGAATTTCTCCCCCGGGCAGTGGGGAAAGTTTAACTCACCGGATGAGCTATCTTGCGTACAGCATACGCAACCACAACCCGCCCATAGGGTAGGAGGCTGTCTTGTCCCACTGCCCGATTGTGTGTGTGGGAGAAGGGGCGGCTGAGGGAGGATGCCTGGGTGATGGAAATTCTTACGGTGGAGCAGGAATCCGTGATGTGGAGTGTTTTGGACGGATGCTTTGGAGTAATTATTGGTGGTTTAGACCCGGCGTGTTCAGATAGGGGTTGGCTCGCTGTCTGTGAGTTCACGAAAGGTGCGCGTCTAAACAATTCAAAGACGACGCTATGCTCGCATAAAATAAACCGGAAACAAGTCTAGGCAACCCGTTTTACGGTGTCGCTTGGGTTACCCAAAGAAAGAGTTATGTAGGGAGACCCCAGCTGTTACATGATTATCTCGCTCAGCTGAGAAAGAACCCCGCACCCAACAGCACATAATGCCGGTGCATGACCGGGAATCTTCCTCTTCTTTGCGAACACCGCTGGCCTGTGTTGCCAGGAGTATGCTTTAACCTCCGTTTATCACCGGGTTTCAAGTCATTGCATCTGGTGATATACAGCTAAGTGGTGGTTGTGGTCGTGTCATTTGTTTCTATTTAAAACATCCCACAACGGCCGGTATACACGCTTCTAAAGTAAGGCGATGGCATCTCACCCTAACGGGTTGGCAGAGCAGGAAATGACCAGAGGCAACAGAACACGATGCAAGTGGCAGGTTTAATGGATAAAGAGTTTGGTCAGTCAATCAAGCCATTGATAACTCTGACGCGAGAAGCGCGAAAGGAGATACACAATACAGGGGGTGTAAGGTAACAGAAATAAGACAAGATTAACAAGAGGAAGAAAAGGTTTTTTTCCCCAACCCGCCGAGGGCCGAGCACCATCTCCTCTACTAGGATATCATCACTCTCCTCCCCACCCAAGCCCACATCCTTCCACCAGACCAGCCGACCCGAGCCGACGGCGTGAGCCGCACGCTCAGGAGGAGCCAAGCCAAGACATTCCCTTAGTCAGAGGGCTTGATGGTAGTGAAGGTGCCATCGGGCGACTTGACGATGGTGATGCCGCAGCTCTTGAGGAAGGCGACCAGCTTCTCCATGATGATGCGCTCCTCGTGCGTGTGCTTGTCCTTGTGCATGAGGGTCTGGAGGGCGATCTGGGCGCCGTCGAGGTTGGGGCACTTGGTGACGCTGCCGCCTTCGCCAGTGCCGAGGTTGAACTCGTCCCGCTTGCCCGGTGTGAAGGTCGAGCCGGTTCCGGGGGGCGCCGAGATGTGGGTGATGCCGGCGAGGAACTTCAGGGCAGCCCGGATGGCCTCAATGTCTTCGCGGTCTTGCTTGGTCTTGTGCCTCTTGTTCTGCAGCCGGATGAGCTCCTTCTCCAGCGTTATGATGACCTTCTTCGGGTTCGTGGTGGCGTCGGGCGGGAGGACGAATCCTCGCTTCTTGGTGCTTGGCTCGAGCCCGCCCACGATAGGCGGCAGCATGCATGGGGGCTGCTCGTTGAGGGGAACATCGGTCAAGCAGATGGGCACCTCGGGCTGGCCAGGGATGAATACGCCTGTGCCATCCCCGATGGTCACTTGCCGCTTCGTCTTCGTGCTCGGCTTGATCGGGCCAACGATGGGTGGGAGAAGGCAGGGAGGTTGCCCTTGGAGGGGCTGGTCCGTCAGGCAGGGAGGTAGCTCACCCGGGCCAGGGATGAGGGTGCCGGACCCGGGCCCGACCCAGATTTGCCGCTTCCCGATTTCCCTCTTCGTGCTTGGTTCGATCGGGCCAACGATGGGAGGTAGGAGGCAGGGTGGCTGGCCTTGGAGGGGTTGGTCGGTCAGGCAGGGAGGCAGCTCACCCGGGCCGGGGATGAGGACGCCTGTGCCGGGTCCGATCCAGATCTGACGCTCCTCGACGGTCTTCCCTGTGGGCAGGGCCTGGACGGCGCTGAGGCCGATAAGAGACATAGCAAGGGCCGATCCGACCATGGTTGCGGCGTGGGATGCGTCTGCTCAAGGGGTGATTATGTGGTGGTGGGGTCCGTGGCGGAATAATGGGGTCGAGTCTCTTGAGATGTCGGTGGGTTCCGTGTTGTTGATATAGACTTCGTTGTCTATCACCGCCTGTCATATGCAGTGCAATCTACTCCCGTCGTGGCCATTGCCACTGGCCGAAATATTTATAGAAGTTAGCATCGACATGGCGCTGGGTAATCCGCCCGTTCGCAACGCAGCGTGGGAAATGGTGACATGAACCGGCCGCATCACGACGATTTGTTTGGTGGCGACAATCTCTGTGCAATATGGAATAGATGAAAGCGCGAGGGCAAGACCCAAAGTTATGATATGGCTCGGCATATTTATCCGGGTACTTGACGGTGCTGTCGGCCCCCTTCGGCCAGTCTCGGTGACGCCCAGAGTTTGACGGTTCGGAGGCGAGCCAAAGCTGAGGTTGCACCCTCACAATTGTGCCTATATCCGCAGCTCGAACCAGCCAGTTTGGGCCGACGGCGCTGCAGGACCGCGATAAACCGAGTCCGTTGGAACTGAGGTTCGGAAATGTCATGTCTGGCTATTTTTGGACTGACGTGGTGTTTTGGATTTTGTCCCAGGTTCGCATTACCCATGGGGAGTTGGGCAATTGCTCGTTCCCTGGTCCACCAACAAGCACAGATGCGCGGCGATATTGCTGCAGTTTGGCGGGGAGCCAATATGGTTTGGCGCCATGGCTTGGATGCGATTCTGGAGTCGTATTCGACGCTCAGCGTGGCCTGTCATGGTCGTATTAGGGACAGCCTGGCCAGAGGGCCTTGACGGCGACGGCCTTGACACTCGCCGGAGTCGCGGCACGACCGAGGTAAGTCTCGATTCGGCGAGAGCTTGCCTTCATCGTGAGTGGCTGCTGCGTGTTCTGGCGCCAACACCACCATTTTATCCGGGTCCGAGTCCTCTCGCCGTCGTCTCTCCGGCTCTATTTTAGTTGACACTTGTCGTACACAGCAGAGTGCCGTTGCGGTATCTGATGATGCAGAGGCATGCGACGTTGGAAGGAAGCTCCAAGAATAGAAATAAAGTTGGTCGAGCACTTCGCTGACCCGGGTATCTGGAGACTTGGGCATGGTGATAAGCGGTTCCAGCTCCATGCTGTTCCGGGAACGAGGAAATTGACCCGCCGTGAACGGCTGGGGCCCCGTCCGCGCCCACACCTTCTCTTCGGGATCTGCAGGCAATCTGTCAGGGGCCAGGCGCAACGTTGACGTTCGGCCCTTGTGCGGCTTCACTTGCTCTTCATCTCTGCCGAAGAGTGGTGTCGCACCGGGTCGGGTCTCAGGAATGTGCTCCGCCAGCAGGGGTTTTATCGTAGCGTGATGATCTGATTAATCAAACCATCGGCCGCGGAGTGAAAATTCCTTTGGAGTTGGATGAGGACACCATCAGCCGTGAGTTAACTCAACCTGCAGATCGATCGACACGGCAAGTCTGCGGCGGGGAAAAAGATGGCATTTGCATGTGAAGGAAAAATCCCGTTCTGGCCGCAATGGAAAATGCCAGATCTGCCTTGGCAACGGCCGGCGCAGTCGATTGAGATAGACGAAGCGCCGATGAGATGGAAGGAGGAAGGAATGAGGTGATGATCGTCGCGGGTTGGTGTTGAGAGTCCTGGCACTGGCACCGGCGCTGCAGCGGGCACCCCCAGGGCCGCAGACATGTGGCAGCTGACAGCCAGCTGTCCACAGCTGCCGCCGACGTACCTCGGCCAAGCAGCAAAGTGGAAACCTCGTTCCTGCTTGTGATGACGGGAATCCCAACAAAAAAAGGACGAAGGTCAAATTGCGTCGCAGGGTAGGGGCCCGGGATTGAGCCTGCCGTTGTTGGGAAGCATAGGGCGCGGTACTAATCCACAAAAGCCCGGCGCAGGAGCCCGGAAGACCGCAGGATTAACTCACCAACATCAACGCGGTCAACATCAACAAACGGCACGACATTGGTAGTACCGGGCAGCTCTCTGCACCTGAAGATTCACTGCCCTGCCATAAAAATAAAGAAACAGCTTCCCGGGACGACACCAACCAAAACCCGCGCCCACCATGAAGCCAACCAACGGCACCACCCCACCCTACCGCGGCCCCGACCCGGCCGACCCGGCACACCCGGAGCTCCGGCACCGACAACACCAACACCACCACCAACCCACCAAACAGCAGCAACAACCCCCCTCCACCCCACCAACCCTCGAAACCAAGCTCACGCAAACCCTCACGCACCTCCTCCCCTGGGACGCCCTCCCGCCCTGGCGGCGCGACAACCCCTCCATCCTGCACGGCTACCGGCACACGTCCAACTCCCTGCTCCTCTCCCTGCGCAGCCTGGGCTACCTGCACAACGAGAGCGTCAACATCTGGACCCACCTCCTCGGCGCGGCGGCAGCGGCCTGCGCAGCGGCCGCAGGCGCGTACGCATACCTGGGTGCGTTGTTGGGGCCGCGCTACGCGACGGCGAGTGGGGCGGATGCGGTGGTGTGGGGGTGTTTTTTGGGCGGCGCGGTGGGTTGTCTGGGGATGAGCGCGACGTATCATTTGTTGTGTAACCATAGTGAGGAGGTGGCGAGGTGGGGGAATAAGTTGGATTATACGGGGATTGTGTTTCTGATTGTGGGGAGTTTTGTGCCGGCGCTGTGGTATGGGTTCTTTTGTCGGGCGGCGTTGTTGACGGGGTATTTGGGCGCGGTGAGTTGCTCTTCTTTCCTTGCTCCTGCGATTTGTTGGTTTGGGTTGGGGTTGAGGGCTGACGGCGGGGTGGTAGATTGTGCTGCTCGGCGTGGGGTGCTTGGTGGTGTCGTGGTTCGAGCACTTCCGCACGCCGGCGTGGCGGCCGTATAGGGCGCTGATGTTTGTTGGACTGGGGTCGTCGGGTGTTGTGCCGGTCTTGCATGCCCTCAAGATCTACGGGTACAAACAGCTTGACGAGAGGATGGGGCTCAGTTGGATCCTTCTCGAGGGCGGCCTGTACATCTTTGGTGCCTTCCTGTACGGGGTGAGTATCTCGACCCTCGGCGGTAAGCCGCAGGGTGGATAGTTGCTAACGTTGGACGTAGGTTCGTTTCCCGGAGTGCAAGTACCCCGGCGCCTTTGACATATGGGGAAGCTCACACCAGATCTTCCACGTTTGTGTTTTACTGGCGGCCGCCTCACACGTGTACGGCATGAGCAAAGCGTTTGACCACCACCACAGCGTTCTCGGGTCACAGTGTTGAATGGCTAGCAAACAATACCGGTTTATAGAGGAATAGACGTACAAGACTTCCTACGCTGACCCGGAGGTCGTGTTCGATGCCTGCAATGGGTACTGAGCCAACAACGTAGCTTGCTGATCATGCTGACCTCGCTGCGAGAACATCTAAGGGGGATTACTCCACCCCGAGATCCATGACCTTGACCAGGCCCGAGGCCATGGCACACGCCGCCCAGCAGCTAAACTGCACGTTGGGATTCCACAGGATAGTCGTTACCCGTGTCAGTGGCTCGTGGATGATCACCCGGGATGCGAGCTTCTCGTCAAGCTCAGCCTCGCGGTCTTCCGCCTCGTCGTCGGCTCCGGCCTTCTTCTTCCCGGCCTTTTTCTTTTTAGCCGCCCGTTTCTTCCTATCCATCTCTTTCCGCTTCTCCGTCCTAGGATCGTCGTTTTCTTCTGGAAGGAAGCCCTGCAAAATCCTCGCCGCACCCCTCAGCCCCGCCGTTGCCAGCCCATCAGGCTTGCCCTGTGCCCCCTGGTCGATGGGCCGGTACTCGTGCTCAAAGATCTTGAGCTTGCGTAGGGGCTCGCCCTTCTGCTTGAATAGCTTTTGCAGCGCGTTGCACGAGAACACTGACCCATCTGCGCAGCCGACTAGGACGAAGGGATGTGTCGCCCCCGAGGAGACGCAGGTGAGGGTGTTCGGCCCCGTGGTGATGCTGCGTGCCTGGCAGAAGTAGCGGTGGTGAAGGAAAGCAATGGTCGTGTTGGGGGTCGATGACGGGTAAAGCGCCATAAAACCCTGCATTGACTCGTTCCAGCAGAGCAGGTTTGGCTGGAAGCTGATGGCTGGGACCGGGAAGTAAGTGACCTCGGAGCTCGGCTGGGACAGGTCCGTGAGGGTCGCGCAGCCGCCCACAGGGATGGATGCGACGAGGTAGGGGTTCGACGGGTATGCCGAGCAGATGTCGATAACGTAGGTGGTGTGGGCGCCCACGCGCTGCAACAACTGGCGCGGGTAAATGGACCACAGGGTGATGGAGCCGTCGGAGTGGCCTAGAGCAATCCGGTTCGTATTAACCCACGTGAGGCAGGTGACGCTGACGTCGTAGTCTTCTGTCAGGCCAAGAGTCACCAGGGGCGATTCCATCCATTCTGTGCTCGATTAGCGGGGAACATTGGCCCGACCGGCTCGACGTACCATAAAGGGGGGCGTCCTCGTCACCAACAACCCTGGCGTCAATAACGCGAGCGCTTCCGTCATCGTTCAGAAGAGCCAGCAACCCATAAATACCGGATGAGTCTAGCGGGATCGGGCAGAACGCAACGCGTTTAGGACGGCCCCAGTCGAAGCATTCGACACTCCGTAACCTCGGAGGCTGTGCGGATGGGGAGGCGAGCTGCCCAGGACGCTTTTCGGGCACGAATTCCCAGAGCTGAATGCACCCGGTCTTTTTTGCGGCCGTGTCTTCATCCGACCCATCCCGGGGGACTGCCTCCTGATCGGAAAAGGGTATTGTCGCCACGGCAAGAACCTGGATATCATCCCGGGACAACGGGGCCCACGACATGGCAAGTGGGATGCCGCCCACATCAAGCGTCCAGCCGCTTGGCGTCCTGTCACTTGAGTCAGGGTCGTCTACCGGAAGCCCCGACGGTGAGGTCGATAGGCTCCCGCCCTGGCTGAGCCTAAACTCTTTCTGCCTATCCCAAGCCCCAACGAGAGTGACGATGTCGCCCCCGGTTTGAGGGACCAACCGCTGGCCCTCATCGGGCGAGAGAACATGGGCATGCTGGATATCGGGGACGTTAGCCCGGACATCCTCGTACCAACGGAATGCTCTCTTTTCCTGGCCGCGCTCGTAGCCACTTGGCAACCAGGGGCTCGGCAGGACGCCCTGCGGGTCCTCGGGCGGCAGCCTCGGGGGCAGGACCGGGAAGTCTGCCCAACGGATCTCGAGGTCCCAAATAACCTTGATGCGCGCGTACTCTGGGCCGTACATCGCATCGCGGAGGGCGCTGTAGCGGGCATAGCGTCGCAGTGGCCCGGCATAGACGCGGGTGACGATGCGTGTCTCCAGGGGGTAATGGGGGATGTCGTGGAAGCCCTTGCGGCTTTGGATCATGCCGGCCCCAGTGTTGCGCTGCTTCTTGGGTTGACCTTGGTCGGTTTTCGTCTCGGCAATACCCCCATGGCCTGGGGTATCGTCGTCACAACTTGTCGCATCACCGTCGTCCGCCCTGTCGTCGTCCTCGGCTCGTGGTCCTTCTGACTGTTCATCGAAGTCGTCATCATCCTTGGACTGGTCGTCGGGCGCAATAATGGGCTCATCTTCATCATCAAAAGCGGCGGGTTCTTCGACATAGCGCTTTCTCACGCCTCGAGTGCTCCGGAGGCGCATCGTCGGGGATTCGACGACGGGCCAATTGCGCGTGTCAGGGGAACCGTCGGAATATCGAGGGTTGGTTGAGATCTGCGAGGGTTGTTTGTGAGGGTTGGCGATGGCCCCACTGAAGCAGTCGCAGTCGGATGGAAGGAATTGTGAATCTTAAATCTAGTAATCCAAAGTTGTAGGAAGAATTGTAAGTCCAATGAGAATTAATAATTAACCCTTTCCACCCCTAGGCTGTGAGGTGACGTGGGATGCTGTGATGGTTTGATTTGGAAGTTGAAAGGATCTTGAAGTGCAGGGTGGGGGCGTGCCTGGGCTTTGCAACCTGTGAGAAGGGTTAGGGTTTGGTTACAGCTTCAATACGCCTGACTCGGAGCACAACCGAGTTGAGTTTCGACCACCTACTAGGCTGGATACTATGAAATTAGGGTGAGAGGGTTCCTTTCTTGGGTAAATTCCTGGATTCCACTATACTGTACTTGTGGCGGACGTCATGATGTACCGCAACACGGTGAGGAACATGGCCAACGGAACCTGCGAGCTACCTACCTATACATCCCACTGATGGGCAATACTTAATGACATCTTGGTCCCGAGATGGGGATACGAAGGGATTGAAGAAAATAACGGATCAAGTTGTCTCATTGATTAAAAAGCCATGTAGAAAGGGTGTTATGGTATGCACACCGCGTTGATCATGATGTAAGTTGCGAGATCCCCAAGATACCTAGTACACGGGCCTCAGTCTCGAGAAACAACTGCCAGATATGACCTTTCCGTCTCGAAAAGTGGCAGAGGCTGGCAGCTTCAGCTGGTTCATGGTCGTGAGATAGTGTCTAACCCCCCAAAACCAAAGCTGGCCAACTAGTCACTGTAGTCTCGGTTCAAGAAACCGTTGAAATGTACCTCTGTCGACCACTCACTGTCTAGGTAGTTGATTCCCAAAACGAAAGCCTCCGGTAGCTAGGTAGTTAAGAGCCAGCCAAAAGAGGCGCCAGCAAAAGAAGCCCCAGCCAAAATCGGCGTCCGTCGGCGTATGGGAAGCAGCTTGGGGGCCTTCGCCGAGTCGAACACAACCATGAGGTTGATCATATTGCTATTCTGCCTGTCGATAACGGCACGTAACAGATGTTCTAGAATATGAGATCAGATGGCACTATATAGCACTTTACGTCAGACCACATATGATGATATCATGACTATGAGAGAGTCCATTGAGATATAGTACTATAATGTAAAAGATACCGTTGCTCTAACACTACAGCTACCCTAAAGTCCTAGTCGCCTCCTAAATAACCGTGTTACCGCTATGCTCCCGCCACCTTGTTAGAATAGAGAGAGTAGAGACCGTGTCTGGATGATCTTGACCTAGTACTTGCTGCTGGTGATGAAAGCAGGTCTGCATCAAGTCTAGAGCGTCTTCAAGGCGGTTCTGACTCTTCCAGGTATAAGCAAGGTTGACCATGCTGTTTAGCGCATCGGGATGCTCCTCTCCCAGTACCCTCTTTCTCGTCTCCATCACTTGCACCTCTAGGGGTTCGGCCTCCTTCCATCGGCCTTGAATCCAGTATGTTGATGCCAGGTTGGCTATACTAGTTAGTGTACTCGGATGCTCCTCTCCTAGTACCCTCTTTCTCGTCTCCATCACTTGCACCTCCAGCAATTCGGCCTCCTTCCATCGGCCTTGATCCCGGTATGTTGATGCCAGGTTGGCTATACTAGTTAGTGTACTCGGATGCTCCTCTCCTAGTACCCTCTTTCTCGTCTCCATCACTTGCACCTCCAGCAATTCGGCCTCCTTCCATCGGCCTTGATCCCGGTATGTTGATGCCAGGTTGGCTATACTAGTTAGTATACTCGGATGCTCCTCTCCTAGAACCCTCTTTTTCGTCTCTATCACTTGTACCTCCAGCAATTCGGCCTCCTTCCATCGGCCTTGATTCCTGTATGTCCATGCCAGGTTGCCTATGCTGACTAGCGTATCGGGATGCTCCTCTCCTAGTACCCTCTTTCTCGTCTCCATCACTTGCACCTCTAGCGATTCAGCCTCCTTCCATCGGACTTGACCCCTGTATATCGATGCCAGGTTGCCTATGCTGACTAGCGTATCGGGATGCTCCTCTCCTAGTACCCTCTTTCTCGTCTCCATTACTTGCACCTCTAGCGATTCAGCCTCCTTCCATCGGCCTTGATCCGAGTATGTCGATGCCAGGTTGGCTATACCGGTTAACGTATCGGGATGCTCCTCTCCTAGAACCCTCTTTCTCGTGCCCATCACTTGTATCTCTAGCGATTCGGCCTCCTTCCATCGGCCTTGGTTCCAGTACGTGGATGCCAGGCTGCCCATGCTGACCAGCGTGCTGGGATGCTCCTCTCCCAGCACCGCCTTCCGCAACTCAGTTGCCTGCTCGTAAAACTTCTCTGCATCCTTCCATTGACCTTGGTAATGGAATAACCTGGCCGTGCGATGCAGTAGCGACGCCCTTGCCATTCTCTCACCCTTCGATCCAGTACCATCGATCTTCAGCACGGCATATACGTGCGGAAGGTACAAGCTGCACACCGCCCGATTCTCATAGTTGCCGGGCGGGTAAGCCTCCGACACCACCAAGAGCGCCTGTTCCGCCCACTGGCGTAGCCCACCCTTACTGCCGAGCCACTTCTGCGTGACCAACTGTACAAGCCGGTGCATAGTGAACCCATGGTCCTTGTCCTCAACCGCAAAGCAAAAAGCTTTGAGAACGCCTAGCGCCTTCGTAAGCTGTATGTCCGCCCTCTGCTCTTGGCCCTGCTGCTCGCTATAGCGGGATAGGAACTCCAGCGGGATAGCCTGCCGATCAAAAAGACTCATGAGTGAGAGAAGCTTGCCTGCAAAGGCATTCTGCCGTTGGATCTGATCGAACGAGAGAATCCATGTCTCAGCCACTGCGCGAGGAGTCTCCGAGTCTCTCCCGACCGTCTCGAAGTCCTCGCTGAGCAGATCAACGACGTGCTCGTCGCTCTTGTCCATGAGCTGAAGGTACTCGCCGATCGTTATGGTGTTTTCTTGGATAAACGCCGCCGCCTGGACGAGAGCGAGCGGAAGGTGCTCCAGCCGAGAAGAAAGCGCCGACGATTCACTGGAAGCGGCGTCGACTCCGTCAAGCCGTCTACGAAGAAGCTGGACCGTTTCGTCATCGTCCATCTTCCCGACCTCGATAGGACGTTTTCCCTTGGTCAGCCTCGAGCCCGCCTGCTTGTTCCTGGTTGTGACAAGGATGGCGCCGTTAGGGCACTCGGGGACGTAACGTCCGAAGTTTCCCTCATTGCTGGAGGAGCTGGCGTCCGCGGGCCCCGTCTGCTGCTCGAAGAAGACGTGCATATCATCGGCATTGTCAATAACCATGAGCCACCGGCCGCCATCCTTCTGCTCCAGCCACTTCTTCACCAACGGTAGCACGTCGGTCTCCGGATTATCATAGCCAGGGATTTGGCATTCTTGTGCAATCCAGGCATATGCTCGGCGGAACCGCTCAGCGTTGCTTGCGTGGATCCAGAAGACCGATACTTCCGGATGTGTCTCCCGCAGCCAGAACGCGTAGGCTATCGCAATCTGCGTTTTCCTAGTGCTGATTTAGCAGAATATACGGCAAGCGGGACGACTACATTTACCCAATACCGCCTAAGCCATAGAGGCACGCTATCGGCTGCGATGTCCCGCCCGCCAAAGGCTGCCCGTGGCCAAGCTGGCTCTTCAGGCGTTCGAGGATCTCGGAACGCCCAACAAAGTCTGGATTGCTGGTGTACGGCACGAGAACTATTCTGGTTAGTTAGAGCAATGAGGAGTACGGCGATTCTACCTACACTGTACGGCCGAGCTCGTGCGTCCATCCTGTCCATCCCCCGGGCTGTGAGTAGGGCTCGAGGCCGGTGGATACCCAAAACGTCTTTCAATCGCATCCATCTGCTTGATCCACCGACGGAGCTCTCCACAAACCGCTGTGAAACCCGGATCATCTGCAGAGACAAATCTGGCCATGTCCGTATGGTTGCTGTGGATGCCGATCGGGATATACCCAGGGAGGATGGCTGAGTGCTGCGGCACCACCTGTGCTACTCGTTAACCAACCACGCACTATGAAGCCATACATTCGGGCCTACCTCGCCAATGCCTAGTAGAGGCAGCTCTTCGTAAAAGCAGCTGATGTCGATTGGCTGCAACCCCTCTCCGCTGCGGCTCAAGACCATCGTGTGGAAGCTGTCCTGAATCCGCGCAAGCACCTCCGACTCGTGTTTGAGGACCGCCACGATCTCGGTATTCGTCTGCTTGATTACGCCGATCGAGCGAGCCAACAGCTCGGCCCACCGGGCAAGGCCGGCACCGTGGTGCGGCGTTCCTAGGAATGCAATCCCTCGGGTCGATCGAAAAATGTTCTGGAGGTGTTGCTCCGGTCGCTCTTTTGACCTAACCAAGGCCTGCTGCAAGTATCAGCGCAGTACCCCGGGACTAGAGCAGGGACCATACATCTTCGCACACGAGGCCGCCCAAACTGTGGCAAACAAACACGACCGGTCGTTCATTCTACTCCTGTCAGCGTGGTCGTCCATCCGCAGGCCGCGAAAGCTCCCACCGTATCATCGTTCTCTCGATACGTCGCGAGCGACGTCAGCAGATTCCACGCGTGGTTACCGATCCGGTTCTGCGACACCACTCCTCGCCAATCCGCCACATATGCATCGTATCCGAACGTAAGCACGCGTGCGGTCGGGAGCTCAGACGGAAGGAGGGCCTTGGGCCACGGTTCGGGCGCGGCGTGGGCGGTCCACGTCTTCTCGCGATCGCCAGTCAAGCCGTGGACGAAGACGATGCTGAGCGGGGATCATCAGTCGTTGTGTTACTTGTAAATTGAAGCCGAAGTGTACGTACTCGACGGTGGCGTGTGCCGCGCTGTGAAGCAGTTTGATGCCTGTCGGGAAGGTCTTAGTCGAGGGCGAAGCCGAAGCCGTCGCAACCGATTGTCCCGACGGGTCCTGCTCAGCTGCCGGCCCGGTTGCTGCGGCTTTCGGCCGCCAGCAGAAGAATCGTCGCATCCCGCCGGGAAGGGAACGTGCGTCTTCGGTCCGTCAGATAGTGATCCGTTGCCTGCCTGGTGGGGTTCGAGGGTGGGCCGAAGCGCGAGGCTCCAGTTTCTGGATCCCCTCTTTGCGAACGTTTTCGCCCGATTTACAGAAAACCTTACCAAAAGAGATTGGCTCACCGCCTTCCTAATTCGAGTGGTTCTGTTGGGCTGAAAAAGGCCCAGAGACACTCACAGTTTAACGCGCGGTGAGCCAATTCTTGTTGGGAGCGTCATCCGTACTTCGAACTGTCTAACGTCCAGACCTCTGCACCATCGGCACGCTGGCTGAAATGTCCAGACCCCTGCAACACGAAGACCGACCTCAATTAGCGATCGAAGCGCTAACTAAGTTCGGGCCAAATCCCAAGCATTCGGAAGGCTGCAGCGGTGTTTGACGTGCCAGATGTAACCTTGAGAGGACGTGTCCTCGGTCGACATCACGGATTACTGAATGAAACAGACGCCCGAATCTTACTTTAACATCTCATCTCACATTTTACAACCGACATACATTCGCAGATCCTAACCCCAACCCCCTCGCCCGTCCCTCACGCAGGCAACTCCAACACACCGCCCTGACCCGTCCTAGATCCCTCTGGCGCCGGAACCCACCGCCCCTGCTCCTCGTTCTGCGCCATATAATAGGCTTGCTGACTATCCCCCTCGCTCTGTGCTGCATGATAAGCTTGTTGACCATGCCCCTCACCCTGCACCATATTCTGATAAACCTGCTGCCCATGATGCTCACCCAGCCCACCCGGTGCAGCCGCCCCACCACCCTGACCCTCCCACCCTCCACTCCCAACCGTCCCCGGCGGGCTCCCCGGCGGCGACACATCCCCCAGCAACTCCGGCCTAACCACCCACGGCCCACCAGCCCCCCCACCACCCGGCAGCTCCGAGAACGCCGGCCGCGGCGGCACCTCCGGCGTGGGCATCTCCGCCGCGGGGAGCTTGTCAACGCCAGGAGTCTGCGGCAACAGTAACACGGGGCCCGGGCCCAGGCCCGGACCCACCCCCGTCTCTGCGCCCGAGAGCGTGGTATCGACCTGGCCCGTGTTGTTGTTGTTGTTCTTGCCGCCATTGCCGCGGCGCCGCCGCCGTCGGAAGACCAGCCATAGCGCGGAGAGGGCGCCGAGGAGGAGGATGGCGCCGACGGCGGCGCCGGTGCCGATGCCTGCTTTTGCGCCCGTGCTGAGGCCGCTGCTGGTGTTGTTGTTTGGTTGGTCGGTTGAGGGGGAGGTTGGGAGGGGGAGGGTGATGCCTGAGGGTAAGGTCGTGGAGGGTGGGGGGTTGGGGTTGGGGTCGGAGTCGGTGGTGGTGGGTGATGGGGTGGCGGTCGGGAGGTGCCCGGATGACCACTCGATCGTGCCTCCTGATGTGGCGGGCAGAACGCCGACGCCGGGGATGATGGATGCGGCTGAGAAGGCGACGGTCATTGATTCGGAGTCGGAGGGGCAGTCGCACTCGTCGCCTGTCTTGACGAAGGCTGGCCTGCCTGCCTCTTCGCATGCCATCCTGGATTGATTAGTCGCTATGTTAGCTTTGGTCGGGTGGTGTGGGTGATTTGGGAAGTCAATGGAAGCTATTATAGTAGGTGATACGCACCATCGGTTGAATTTGCAGTAGACTAAGCCAGCCCACGGGTATTCTGGAGGTTGTGGTCTCTCGTCAGTCATGCAACACCATAACTGGGCATCGTCGTCATCGTCATACCGGAGTACGACTTCTTGTCCGGACAGCTCGCATCTTTGTAATCGGGGTCGGTGCATCCGGTCAGGTAGGTTGTGCCGTATCTGTCGTTGTAGCAGGCGTTTTCCTCGAGGCAGTGATCACCCGCCTGGCAGCAATGAATATGGCCCAGGGCTGCGTTGCCGCAGGGAATAAATTTGTAATGAGAGAAAAATCCCAGAGCGTAGAAGCAGGTCCCATTGCTGACCGACGGGTCGGGGTCGACCATCTTGACGGTGAATAATATCAACACTAGGATTGAGAGTGAGGATGGGGGTGGGTAATCATAAGTGCCATGGAACCTAGGAAAAGAGGAACGGAGGCACCCGAATAAGTTGGGTAGAAAGGGTGCGAATGTGAGCATGCAGAAATTGCTAGTGAACTAAGTGAGCTTTCCGGATCGAAACGCAGGAAAGAGCGAAGGGCCGCGTTTTGGCTTTTCCCACTTTGTGTTTGCTCCCGTCGGTGAAACCACCCCCGCGCATCTTCACTCGCACACGTTGTCCCCTTGATCGTGTACTTCTTGGATTTCCAAATTTCGTTACGCCAATTTACGAGTTTACGAGAATAGAGCGGGTTGTAGCTTCCAAGTTGACTTGTCGCTCGACTCGATGCATCACACACGTAGGTACTTTGTCAACTTATGCCATGCAAGGCTTTTCATGGACTCGCACAGTTTCATCGAACTATTTCAATTAACTCCCCGAGTACCTATGGTACCCAGGAGTGAGTGGTACTAAACAAGGATGTACGCGGCTACCTACACCTTCCTGCAAAGCCGCCCATTCTGCGTGGGGATCCACGGCAGCTGGTCCGTCACGTACCAATCCTCGGAGCCGACCGCGGTCGGGGCGTAGAACAGGCCGGTCGGGTCGTACTTTTTCTTGAGCTCGAGCAGGCGGGCGTAGTGCGCGCCGTAGAAGGCCTGCTGGAAGTCGGGCTCGTTGATGTCGCCCTCGGACATGTACGAGCCGGCGCCGGGCGACACCTCGCGCCAGCGCGCCATCCAGTCGGTGGTCAGCGTCTCGCTGACCTGCTGGATCTCCTCATCGGTCGCGCCGGGAGCCCAGGACGCCCCGAGGATGAAGAAGCCCGTCGTCTTGCGCCACGCCGGGTTGATGCTGTTGTCTTGGTTGATGCTGGGGTTCGGCGCCGACCGGATGTTGTAGCCGACCAGCGTGCCGCCGCCCTCGACTGCGTGCCGCACCGCCGCGAGCGTATCGGCGAGCTTCGCCGACTCAAAGTTCTCCTTGGGGAAGAGCCGCGAGGCCGCGTGGCTATCGTAGCTGCCGACCGACTCGGCACCCGTGAAGGTGCCGTTGTAGGCCTGGTACATGGTGGGATACTCAGTAATGACGGGCGTGATGGCAATGCCTAGGCCAGCCAGTTCGTCGAGGAAGGGGGTCACGAGCGAGGTGAACTGCGGCTTCGTCATGTTGGCTCCCCACATGGGCATCATGTTGAAGACGAACTCGCCGGGGCCTGAGCTGACGACGAGGAAGTAGCCGAACGCGCCGGCTGAGGTGAAGGCGTCGAAGTAGCTCATGTAAACCCCGAGGGCCTCAAAGAACTTGTCGGCCGGGAGGTCCGGCCCCGTGGTGTACGAGTACGTCATGGTTGTAGTGGGCACCTTGGGATAGGCCCGGATAGTCACCGAAGTCACTACACCGTACGTGCCTGTACTCAGTTTGTTAAGAGGATTCTTCTGACGCACAGGGGGCTAGGTATTGGAAACTTACTGCCACCACCGCCACGGAGAGCCCAGTACAGGTCCGGGTTTTCATCCTCGTTGGCTGTGACGAACCGGCCATCGGGAAGCACAACGTTCAGTTCCAGAATTTGATCAGCAGCCATGCCAACGAGAGCCGCCATGGGCGAGTGGCCGCCTCCGGCAGTGTACCCGCCAGCGAGGCCCACAGTCTAAGAAGATGTGTTAGCAATCTGCACTAGGCACCTGCGACGGTCTCACCAGGGGCAAGCCATAACCTACCCGGCACATGCCGCCAACGACGGTGACATCGTTCTCCTCGGCGGCAGCGTACGCCTCTTCTACCACCACACCGCTGCCCATCCGGAACGCGGGCCCGCTGTATCCCCTGCAGTTGTAGTCGGCCAGAAACTCAATGTCCTTGAGCTCGTGCGTCCAGACGGAGAGCGCACCGGCACCGACCGACTTGGCGGCGAAATCGTGGCCCGTGTTCTTCACCACCAAGCGGAGGTTGGCGTTGCGGGCAAAGTTGAGGGCGAGCTGGATATGCTTGACCTCGGTCGCCGCGACCGAGTAGGCCGCGTAGCCGCCCAGGGTGCAGTTGCTGTTCGGGTCGTCCGTCGGCAGACACGTCCGCCCCTGGTAGAGGGGCCACATGATTGACGCAGGGTCGTTGACGTGCGTGTAGGGGCTGCTCCAGTTCTCCGTGATGTCCGCGCAGGCCGCCGCGTCGTATTGAGGCCAGTCGCTGTAGCACGACGCGGCGAGAGGTACTATCTCGGTGAGGGCGCCGCCGAGGGCCGTGTTGAATTTGTCCCAGGTTTGCTGGGAAGGCCATGAGGCATCGCCGGGCATGGCTTTGCACTCCTCATCCTTGGAGTTGAAGGCGTCACCAAAGCCAAATAGGGGGTCGTTGTTGGCGACGGCCGCGTCCGTTAGTTGGGCATTCTCCCACGCAAAACGCGTCGGGCACTTTTCTGCTGCAATGGCCGCAGCGCTGGTGTGATCGACAAACACGGCCAAAAGGGCTGCGATCGCCGTAGACCTGAGGGCAGAGGCCATTGTGGCGGCTTTAAAAAGTGTATTTGGTGAGCAACTTGGGAAGCGTGACGAGAGGCTGTCCATGAAACACTCGGAAAACGGCAACTTTATATAGACCTCCTCACTCCCAATTTAGATTTGAACGTGCCGTGAGAGGGGAAGACGAGCCATCCGGTTTCCGAAAAATCCCAGCTCGTGCCGGGAATCCTGGGTCATGGCATGGTGTTGAAGAACCAACCATGCCGAAAATGCAACCTGCCACATGTGAACCTTGTCTGTCCTTGCCGTTTGTGAGCCATGAGCCGTTCTCTTCCCGGCATTCCCCCCTGTAAGCACCGTGCCACCGTGACCACCCAACTCGACCACCTGGGGGGCCGAATGCAAGGAACGATTCCGAGCCAATAGACACCCCCTGAATCCATGCAAACCGCATGGCAACCGCAGCAAGCTCCCACGCTAGGGTTGAAGCCACTGTAGCGTCTCACCAGGTAATGTCCGAAGGCTCTCGCATCACAACAGGCCATGCACCTGGTAGAGTAACCAGATTGCTATCTGGGGGTCTCGTCTGCGAGAGAAAGAGAGAGAATACAACTCCTGCTTCAGCCAAAAGCAAGTTCGCCCCAAAGTCCGACGGTTAAGTACACAGTAGCGTAGCAGAGCAGCTGCAGCGTCAGCCCCGCGCGCCCAGACGGCCGGGCATCCAGGGATGGTGACTAGCGGCGCGGGGGTGACGAACCCGGGGACCTGGGGTGACAACACGAGGACCCGAACGGCTACCAGGGGAAAGGCGGGGGAAGGCGTCCTGTCATCTCCTCGGTCAGCATTCCAGTTTAATAATCTCGGGGGCTTACCGAGACCGAAGTCATCAACTAACCTAATGTGATGAGACGAAGGATGGAGTTGAAGTTGGGAATTTTATTGAGAGCGAGGGATTTGAAATCAATGAATCCTCGGAGACTCAAACTCTCTTATGTAGGTCCCGTCTTAGTCCCACAAAGGCCTAGTAGTTAGTTAGTCCGACATCTTAGCTGGGGCCAACTTGCTTGCCCGTCCTGGGTCTAATCTCTGCGCATTCGGCCAAGTGAATGGATGAATTGGCCAGTGGTTTCAAGACCGCGGGAGCAGAGCGGAGGCAAGTTGGCGATGTCGAGTTAAAGGAGGGGTTAAACATGGAAAACGGACTGTCGAGCTTATTACTTACAGGTTGAAAACAGTCATCTGTAACCCAAAGGTTTTCGTACTTGAAAGCGCATAGAAAGGTTAGAGAAGTCCTAGTGGTGGTGCTTGAGCAGAAAATCAGCTGCAATATAGTTCTCGGGGAGTGTCAAGTGGACGATCGCCTCACTCGAAGGGTCGTGCATGACGGAATGAATATCACCAAGTAGAACCCGACACCGGAGCCATTGAACTTCGACGATGTAATACAATTCATAATCCATATGACAAGAACCATGTCCATGAGCGGCGCTATCGGAGGACTCGGACTCAATCAACGACAAAAGTCCCGAACCCCCCATCGTTTGGTTCAGAGATAGCTTATCTCCGTCCCCCTATATAGGCTCAACCAGACTTGGATACCGGCTAGTCCTCTCCAGAGGATGGCGTGCTCGCATTCCCCACGAGACACCGCATGGGGGTCCAAGCACATGTTACCCGAGTGTGTGGACACACACGTATAAGAACAGTAGAAGAACCTCCCAACACGCGATGACGCGATCCACTCCGCGTCTAACATCACCTCCAACCCGCAACGGAGGTCGCCGACGTACCAGAAAACCCACAACTTCTCAACGCTGACGTCCATGTCTCCGTCCTAAACCCGTGAAACTGCCTGCCGCCGTCGTGGGTTATGGAGTAGTCGCGTGGTTATCAGATCGGACCCCTCCGGCCGGAACCAGCGTTGCTGCCCAGATCGGCAACGGTGCGGGAGGACCTCACTTTACACCATCCGCGATTGGGACGGAACGAGCTCGCGCAATTCTATCCATGTTGCTTGCCATTCTCAAACCTCCGACCCCGCAGGCCGGGTAGTCGTGGGGTGACGTCGCCGAGAGGTTATAAAGGATGGGATTGCCGGGTTTCTGGACGGGTTTTGAGAGACACTCGCATGAGAGCCTGGATTCAGACACCTTGCCAGAGCAACACCATCACCAAACATGGCCCCTTCCGCAGTTGAAGTCGAAACCACTACGGTCCCAAATCTGGCCACTTTGAAGCTCCAAGCCGCCGGCCCGTATAAGGAGCTGGCCGCGACAAAGTATGACGCAGATGGCGAAGCAGGATTGAAGGGCCATGAGGCAGCCAAGGTTGGCAGCACCTCCGCAACTCGCCTCGTCTACCCAACCGCCGCTAACCTGCCTAGTACCCCCATTACCTCCCAACCTGGGACCGCACGCAAAAGTACCCACCACTCGAGCCCTTCGAGCACAAGGAACACGGCAAAGACGCCGACCCGTCGTACCCGAACCTGCTACCAGACGGAGCCGTGACGGTGACGAACCTCACGCCGACCATCGGCACCGAGGTCCGGGGCATCCAGCTGTCGACGCTCACGGCGGCCGGCAAGGACGAGCTGGCGCGATTCGTGGCCGAGCGCAAGGTGGTCGCTTTCCGCGACCAGGACTTTGCCGACCTCCCCATCGACGAGGCCCTCAATTACGGGTCATACTTTGGCCGGTAGGTGTCCACGTTTCGTTCTAATACCCGGAAACCCCACCACCGGAGATGTCAAACAGAGACTAACCCCAACCCAGCCACCACATCCACCCGACCTCGGGCGCACCAGCAGGCTACCCGGAGATCCACCTGGTGCACCGGGGCGCGGGGGACCGGAGCGCGGAGGCCTTCTTCGCGAAGCGAACATCATCGGTAGCGTGGCACTCGGACGTGTCGTACGAGCGGCAGCCACCCGGGACGACGTTCCTGTACGTGCTGGACCGGCCGGCGACGGGCGGCGACACGCTCTTCGCCGACGCCGCCGAGGCCTACCGCCGCCTCAGCCCCCTCTTCCGCCAGCGCCTGCACGGCCTGCGCGCCACCCACTCCGCCGCCGAGCAGGCCGCCTCCAGCCTCGCCCGTGGTGGCGTCCAGCGCCGCGAGCCCGTCATCAATGAGCACCCCCTCGTCCGCACACACCCTGTCACGGGTGAGAAGGCAATCTACGTTAACCCGCAGTGTATGCTTCCCCTCTCCGTCCTCTTCGAAGCACCCACCCTTGTTTTCAAGAACCCCCCACTCCCCCTCTCCATGGCATGAAACTAACAAGCCCAGTCACGCGCGACATCGTGGGCCTGAAGAAGGAGGAGTCGGACGCGATCCTCAAGTTCCTGTACGACCACCTCGCGTACGGGGCCGACTTCCATGCGCGGGTCAAGTGGGAGCCGCGCACGGTGGTGGTGTGGGATAATCGCGTCACGCAGCACTCGGCGCTGGTGGACTGGAGCGACGGGCAGCGCCGCCACCTGGCGCGCATCACGCCGCAGGCCGAGAGGCCGTTCGAGACGCCGTTTGAGGGTTGATTGGTCGGGGTTGGTTTGATTTGGGATGGGTTTCTTATGTGTGCCATGTACAGTTGTGTCTGTTGTTACATGAAGGGAATCGAGTTGATTGCTGCTGCGTTGGTTTCCGAGGATCTAGTGTTGCTGTCCTGAGTTTTCGTCTCGCGACGCCGTCGTTGTTCTGCCCTCCTGGCTCGCAACCTCGCAAAAAAGTCGTCGTCCTCGCCGTCATCCTTGGGGGCGGCAACCGGCTCCCTTGTAGACGTTTCCTGGGCCAGGGTCTGTAGCCGTGCGGTACCGGTTCTTAGAAATGGATTGCTCACGTCGATAACCTCAGGCTTTGCCCTTGTCTGTGGTTCTGAGGCTGGTGCACGTTGGGTCGGGGGTTTTCCGGCTCTCTCCTGGTGCGGCAAACCGCTAGCATGTTTCCGAGGCCAGGAGGGTAGGCCGTCGAGGTCATCGTCTTCGTCGGAGCCCGATGTAGTTTCCTGCTCAAGCTTTACGGATGGCACCCTGGTTGTCCGATTGGACATATCCATGCTGCTGCTCCGCACTGTTGTCCGCGGTCCTTGCCCACTCGGACGGCGTCGAGACGGACTGGCATCTACCACACCGCGGTAGCTCGAGCCCGGCCGCGAGCCGGCTAGCGAGGTCAGTGGAACGGTTGGCTTCCTCGGACTGTCCATCAACCCCTGCAGCGACGTGGCCGGCCGCCGGGACGACTCTTCCTCGCCCGACCCATGTCGGCCAGCCCGCTTGCCCAATGTCTTAGCGATGCCCTTACGCTGCTTGGAGGCTATGTCAAGAGCGGCATGGCGACGTTTCACGAGGTCGGTCATCTCGCCAGTAACGGGTCGCGATATGCTTTGGATGGTATCGGCGTTCTGCGACTTGGCTAGCCCCTTGAGCCGCTGGTACTCGGCGGCGTGCAGGTGGCGTGTGAAATCCCCTGCCACAGCAAGGAACTCATCCTCTACCATGCGATACTGATCATCATGAGCAATCCCTTCGATCATGAGCCTGCGCGCAGTTAGCTGCTGTCACGGCTGGATCGAATCGGGGCTGAGCCATACTCCTCCTTGAGCGGCTCCGGCGGGGGAGAGGTGGATGGTGATCGACCTGAGAAGATTAGCCTTTCTTACCGCCAAGAGACGTAGATGCAGGATGTATACCAGAAGTAAGCCCTAAACTGCGCCTCGCCTTCCTGGACGTATCCGGTGTCCCCTGTGTCTTGCGCGTTGGCGTGGGGCGGTGAGACGGAGCAGGACTGCGGTTGGCAGATGGTGCAGGGCTCGCTGTGGCTTTGGGACGCGATGACGACGTTTGCTTTGCCGCGCCGATGCCGACCTTCCAAGGCAGTTGTCGGGGCATTTTGAGCCCAGACCTCTCAATTGCAGCGTGGTATCGGTGTTGAATTCGAACTTGGTCAGTTTCTTCAATGAGTGTTCACATCGCAATTGATTTGAAGCAGTGATCAGCGATGAGTAGCGGCCGCTGCCTGGAGGACCCCAAATAAACAGCGCGTGGGAAATCGATGGAATTGTTCGAATTCTTCGAAAGCCGTAGTGGATGGCGTTTGCTGGTTTATCGACTTTGTCGACCTCGCTCTTGTCTGATGAAGTTCGCTGAATGTGGTGTTTTGGTAAGAGTTACCAAATGAGAGTAAATTGAGACGATGAATTCGAGGTTCGTGGGTTGATAATTACCGTAACTAGGTATGTAATTGTTACAGCCTGTGTAAGTGAGTGCCACTGTGCCAACCAACCCTTGATACATAAATACATATTTTTCTTGCTACGATGAGCAAACCCGAACCACGAACATGGACCGTAATTAATTCGAATTTTGATACTTGTGACTATTACGGCTCGCCAAGTCAGGACAGCAGTATCGACCTGGTGTATCCGAATTCCGATGATTTTGGTTAGTTGCCCTAACCAAACGGCTCGACCTGCAGACTCCTAGTCACCAAAGAAATACCACACAGAACCGAACGGGTTTTCGCTCCATAAAAACGCCCACTTCACACATCAACTTTGCCGAATGTACTACGAGCAACGCTATCTCGACCGCCAGGATGAAGGGGGGCATGTCGACCCGCCATACATCCTTACAATCTCAAAAGGTACCTACCTACCTTAGTTACCTGCCTACCTAGACTTCTTTAATTCCGGATGCCGAAACTAACACCGCTACAGGGACCCAAATACCCAGCCATTTCATCCTATCGAAACGCCACTCTGACTGCTTTTGCCTCGAGCCTTCACACGGCATGACACTAGATGGTGAGAACGGTCCAATCCATACTATTCGATGGTAAGCTAACCGCCTCCCAAACCTGAACAGTTCGTTGGACGAGTTCTACAATAAACACGCGGTGGAAGAGGATGCATGGGACTTCCTCAACAAGTATCCGGATTGGTACAACATGACTTTTGAGGACGGTGAGGATGAGGCGCCACAGTGATGCGAGAATGTTAGCAGGGGCCTGTGCAATGGCCTACTGCTCGTACTGAGTATGGAACATAGCCGTAACTTTTAAAGCTTGGAATTAAGTAAATACGAGTAAATAAGTAATGGCTCAAATCCCCATGCTCTAACTCCATAGCAACCATTACCCAGGTGCCAGGCACGCCTCCCATGCTCCTCCATGCAAGAAAGAATTAAAATAAAAGAACCAAAAAGAATGAAACGCCCAACCAGCCTGCCCAACCAGCCCACCCCAACCCAGCCCCCATCACCCACTCACTCACTCCCCCCGCCCATGCCCCCTCCAATGCTGTTCCCAATCGCGATTAAAGCTAAACGCACTCATGCGACTCCTGGCCTTGCCCGGCCCAAACGTCGCCACCCTCGTCCGCTCCAGCACCTCGCGCGGCGCAAACCCGTAATACACCTTCCCGCCCACCACCGTCGGACTGCCCGCCTCCGGGTGCTGGCCCGCGCCCATCCCCATCCACATCCCCGGGCCCGCACCCCCCATCGCCACCGCCATCGCCGCGGGCGTGCCATTCGGCCCCGGCTCCGCCACGACCCCATAACCAAGCTTGATATCCAGAATCTCGCGCGGCACCTCGCCCCACTTACTCGCCTTCCACGGCAGGGCCTCGAGGCAGGGTGCGCGGGTGGCGGCGACGACGCTGGAGACGTGTGCGTCGCGGACGTGGAAGTTATTCTGGCGGAGGGCGGCGGAGCCCAACACGACGGCGAAGAGCGCGGCGCCGATGGCGACGGCGTAGGCGATCCACAGGTCGCGGCGGTTGAAGACGTAGGCGTTGGCGACGCGGGTGCGCGTGCAGGGGTAGGCCAGCGCCGGGTCGGCGTCGTTGGGGTTGCCGACCGGGTCCGTCACGCCGCTGCGCTGGTGCGGCTTGGCCGCCCAGGACACGATGACGAATTGCGGGTTGGAGAGGAGGGATAAGGTCATGTTCTCGTAGAAGTCGCGGACGTCGGTCATGAGGTTGGGCTGCGGGAGGTAGGTTTCCGTGTCGATTAGGCGGGTTTTGGCGGCTTCCGACTCGACGAGGGCGAAGGGCGCGTATTTGACCGTGCCGCCGAGGTAGCTGCGCATGCGCTTGCCGATGGAGTGGTAGGCGGCGGTCTCGCGGTAGGTTTCGAGGTCGCTCGGGAGGATGTAATTGGATTCCGGGATCGCCGTGGTGTTGTCGTTGGTGCCATCGTCGGCGGTTTCGCCAGGGACGAATTCGGTATCCACGATGGGGTGGAGGTAGTCTCGCTCGATTACCGTTGTGGTTTGCTGCGAGTAGGTGTGGTTAAACTGGACCGTGTAGTTGACGAGGTAGTGCTCGCAGCGAAAGACGGCCGCCTCGAAGGCCGTGTCCCAGCCCGGAACTGTCCTGTTCTCAGGGGGGTTGCCCGAGCCCGTGTGGATCGAATAGCCAATCCACAGCAGGGGCTCTGTCCTGAAGGCGCCAAAGTGCTCTGGATAGGGGGGGTCCATCTCGGGAATGCCCCCAGCGGGTTCCTTGACCACGTCGACCTGATTGCTGAAGTATTCGCCCTCGTTGACCTCGGCCATGTAGCCATAGTCTCCGTTGGGTGCCAACTCACCGGCGTTGAACGGCACGCCCTGCCGCTTGAGGTCGTCCTCGTCAAGCTTCCGGCCCCTCGCCAACTCGTCGCACTTATACCCGGGGCCCTTGAACGAGATGGTGTAACTGCAGTTCCAGCCGCCACCGCACGTCTCAAAGGCGACGCCATCCCTGGGGATGACGGCGCCCGTGAGTGCGCTCTGGGCCACGACAAGCTCGACTTGGCCGCTGCTCTCGGTCCAGTAGTCAAAGTAAGTCTCGTTGAAGGGCGTATCGACCAATTCTACCGAGTTCGCCACGGTGCAGTTCCACAGCGAAAGAGAGACGCCCCGGACACCGTTGAGTCGGTCGACTTTCCTCCAGTTCTTTTCTCTCTCGGCGTCGAAATTGAGGGTGCGGACGCCAAAGCACTGCTCCTCCTTGGCCTCAGTGACGGGGGCCACTGTCAGAGTGGCCGGCGTCAAAATGACGGTCAAAGGGAAGAGCCTGTGGGGGTCAGCAAAAGTTGGCAAGTGACGGGGCAGGGGTAGGACTGAAATCAAGTGCATCAAGGTGGCGAGATGTGCGGGAAACATGGTCGCTTACCAGGCCAGGATAGCTAAGCACACGGCCACGCGAGCCTTCTTGACAAACTCCCAATTCAGCAAAGCCTGTGGCTCACTCACGGCTGAGAACAGGCTGTCGATGGATCTGAGCTGCAACGAGTTGTTGATAACTGTCACCCAAGCATGTTGCTGGTAGGCAAAGACGACAGCAGCCACGAGCGACGCCTTGGCGGCATATGACAGGAGACTACCAAAGCGCATCATGCGGATCTGGTCGTCGGCGGGCTTCCCGTCCAGACTGTCATAGAACGCATGATGGCCAACGGCGAAAGCGAACCCGGCAAAAAACAAGGCGTACATGGTCCATCCGCCTCTGATCATCTTCCCCCCGTTCGAATCGGCCAACCGGGCGAGGCGGGAGTTCCCGGGGTCATCGGGTGGTGGCGGGCCGCCATAGGGATGTGATTGTGGGTAGTAGTAGTGTGGAGGAGATCCATTTGGGCTGCCGATCGGGTATTCGTGCGGCGTGATCTTGAACTTGGACGAGTCGGTGACCGGCGGGGGCGTCGTTGGGGGACTGTCCGAATTCTGCTGGAGGGAATCCCTCGAGATGGAGTGATACCCCGGATATTGAGCAGCATGGCTGGGAGACCCAATCCCAAGGCCCACACTGGACGGGGTAGCTGGGCCAGCCGCCGTCTCTTCGGGTGCACGAAGCGGCGGTGGGCTCACTGGTGCAAACGATACCCCCGGACGCGGTGGCGGCGGGGATGGCGAGTCGAGGTCTGGTGTTGGCGCCATTGGGTTCCACCCTCCATTTGCTACCTGGTCGGTCTGGTGTTGAAAGTAGGGCTCATAATGTTCTGGCCGAGCCCGAGCTGATGAGTGTTGTTCCATCGTGGCGGCGAGAAAAGTGGGAGGTGCATGAGCTGTTGGGCGGGTGGCTTGGAGCAAAAGGAAAGTTTGTCAGATCCTGGAGATCGACGAGGGATAGGATGGAAGTACAGTTAAAGCACTGGCAGCTATGCTAAGAGGAGGGGAGTCTGCACGTCATGGGGTCGAGCTCGCTAATAGGTAGTGGCGGCCCTGGCTGCGACCCGGGTGTTGGTGCCAGGTTACACGGGTTGAGCAACATTAACTCGCTTGATTGTTGGGTAATGTTGGGGTTGGGAAACGAGACTAGATAGCACCTGTTTATTTTTTTTCCCACCAAGCCGTTGTGTGGGAGCTTCGGACGTGGGAGCACATCCCGACCGCACATCACCACTTGGCACTAGCACAGCTGCACCACCAGTGCCACCACCAAATGTCCGCCACTGCTGGGTTTGTGACAAGTCGCACGCGAGCCCGATGGGGGCCGAGTATATTTTGAAATAGAAACATGCTGCGGGGCTGATCCGAAATGCATGGTTTTGATTCCTCGAAATTGGAATGTTGGCAACGGTGCCGAGCACTTCAATGACTTGGCGGAGGACGCGGAGGAGCAAGGCTGGGTAGGGTGGTGGCTGAGCGGGATTTGGTGGAGCGTTGGATGCAGCTGGGGGCCGATCATGCAAGCTTGCAGTCGTTGGAACCAACAGCTCATCAGAGCTGCAGCGGTGAGTGGTCGTTTTCGAGCCGCAGCTCGCCAGCATCGACTGCACCTTCCCATGCCCGCCCCCGCCCCCCGAGCTTAGTCGGCAGGCGCGGGCTGGAATCCGCGTTCTGGACAGTGTGTTTACTCTGCGTAACATAAATCTGCGGGAACGAGGCCCTGTGCCTTGGGTCGGATGGAACGGGCCACGCCGTCGCCGGATTTGAGTTGCACGAAACGGAAAAGCGCAGAAATGAGACGAAAAAGAAGACCCGCCTCGCAACTAAGTCCGAGCATGCATTTGACAGCTGGCGACAAGAAGCGGAAGTATGATTGGTTCAAGTTACGACTATCAAAAGTTTATCAAAAGTGAGAGGACGAAACGCGATTTGAACGCGTGACCTACCGGACTGCAGCCGGTTGCTCTACCCCTGAGCTATTCGTCCTGGTCAGAGCCGATCGTAGACGTTGCGGGCAAAATGTGGGTCTATGATGGCCAAAGCTCGTTGCCAGCTGCAGGGAGGGAGACACGTGGGCGGGACGGACAGATTACAAAGAATGGTTGCGTTAGCATCAACAAACATTTGTAAACTTAACATAGGTAGGCCATTTCCGGAAACGGAACGGACTAAGAATATTAGAGAGGAGGGCCACAGGTTGACCGGAGATTATTTTGTCTTTCTAGGGAATAGGAGGTTTTCAGAGCACAAATTCACAACTTCCAGAAACGGACCGAGGTAGGTACCTCACCTATGGAAGTTTCATATTAATATCAAGACATGGCATTCCAGGACGCCAAGTGTAGACTTTGTTTGGGTTGATTGATGCCCGTTGTGCTGCGGGTTTCTAGAGAGGTACATTTCCCGCCGAGCTTGAAAGACCGACACTAGAGCAGTCGAGCTGGTCCTTTATTACCAAACATTAGTATTCACATGACAAAGAAGATTAAATGAGCTGTCATGTGAGAAATAAGATGGCCTTAAATGGGACTTTGACTCCTTGAGCAGGTGATACGAGATTAGAAGATAAGGAAGAGTAACGGACTTGAAGTATCAATGCAGAGATATTCAAATATTGAAGGTACCTAGGTAGGTACCTAGGTTGCGTTGTAAGAGCAGAGGATCACAGGAACTCCTTTCCTAATTATGTAGTAACATCCCTCGCGGACATTCCTTCTTCGTCCATGATTGAAATGCGCCCAGGAGTGAATCTTTCATTATCTACATCCAATATTAGGTGGTTCATCATCCGCCCGCTGGTGGCTAGCGTGACAAGGCAGATAATGCCCATGGACACCTCTACCAACACAGTTCCTCGCCGCCACCGCAACCACCCTTCTCATCCTCCCGTTTGGCCTGGTTATACAGCCTACCCGCTTCGCGAACGAGCCTTCATCCCACTACACGCCCTCTAGCGCACTCTCCACGCCGACCTCCAAGATCGGTTTCGACAGCTACTTCCCCGCCCAATCTAGAAACCGCATGTACTCATCCAAGATGAGATAGCTCTTGGCCATGAGTCGGTTGGGCTCCGGAGCCTGGCACTCCTGGACTCTGTGTCTCTTGCGAAACTCCTTAAACGCCCACGTTCGAGATGGCGAACTCGTGCCCGTTGCGCAGCGTCGCCGCCGAGTCGTTCCACCCCCGCACGATCAGTACCTGGAAGCACTCAGCTCCCAGCGGAACGGTGGCAGCGCCGCGCTTTGCGCGTTCATATCCTCGGCCGCGTTGAGCATGTTGACGGATCGTGTTGAGCTTAAACGGCACGCCGCCGGTACTGCCGGCAACAGTCGGCGATCTGGTACATTTTCCGGGCTTTAGTCACTGCTATCATCGCTGATGGCGCTGTTGGTTTGCTCGTCGAAGGAGTCGCACCTGACGGCGAGGATGTTGGAGTGAGCGCCGTGTTGGTGGAGGAAACCCCTCCCTGATCAGGCTAAGTACCGCTGCTAATGATTGAGACCGACTCTAGGCCCAGCTCGACCTTGGAGTAGTTTACCATGGCGCCCAGCACCTCGGGGTGGAGGAAGGGCTCGCCGCTCGCGAAGTTGATCTTGCGCATGCCGGAGCCGGCGAGCAGGCGGAGGGCGGGCTTTGGCCGTGTGGAAGCAGAAGTCGCAGGCTTCGTTGCAGCGGCGCGTGAAGTCGTATTACTTGACGGAGCCGGGGACGTTGGTTTTGGATCGCTGGATAAAGGGAATTCGGAAGAGAAGCTGGTAATCTCGCGGCATGTTTTCGTAGACGTAAAGTGGAAGGTAATAGCACAAAAGCAAGGTAATGAAGAACTCGCTAGTGCTCTCTAGTAATAGGTAGTAATAGCACACGGTTAAGTAAAGGAGGAAAAGAATAATGTCGTCAAATATGGAGGGTATCATTTTGATTGATGTCTAGCAGAAGCTGATATGTTGGTAGGTGTCGATACGATAGGTAGAGCTTTTTGAGGGGTAGTAGGGACTCGGAAGACCTGAAGAGGCGGCTCGGTGCTGGGAAGGCTGCCCCTTAAAACCATTTCTCAATAGGGGGTTGCAGGTGCATGGTGTGGGCTCTAATGTCATGGTGACGCAACAATGTGGCATTGTTCCGGTGCTTTCTTTGTAGTTTACCCTGAGAGCCAGCCCCTTAACCCCTTGCTTGATCGACGGGTGGACCACTGCTGGCCGTGCTTGACCTTGCTAGTATTAAACCAACCCACCAGACAACATCAAACGCGCTGGCCTGGCAATCCAGAGCTGAAGCCGCACGATAAACCTGCTTGATAATATCTGGAGTCATACACGCGGGTCCAAATGATGATAAGGTCCCCATGTTATCTAGACTTCCCTACCTAGGTACCTAGCTTGATCCTTCACCTTCTTCAGCTCGGGATTGTACTCGGTGCATTGGACCACACCCAGCATGGGCGAGTACGATTGTGGCGATCATCCTTTCATCTTCGTCATTGGTAAGTGAAGCCCATGCCGTTCTTTCAAGTTATTTCTAGCTAGCAACCCCCCGTTACAGGCGCCCCCGGAGCAGACAAAGGGACTTTGTCAAAGCGGCTCGCGAGTGACAATGACTTTGCCCACATCTCAATCGGCGACCTGCTCCGCGGCCGTAGTAACGACAGCTCGTTGCCGGGCTTATGAAGGATAATGAATTGTTACCCTAGGTTTGGCTAAAGATTCTTCTATTCGAGCAAGCTCGAGTACAAATCGTCCCGCGACTGTAACCATGACTCCCAATCACATTATCTGAGACACTCTTCCGACTTCCAGCCGTGAGAAGGCGCCGAGAAGAGCCCTTAGACATCAAACGAACCCCATTTCACCACCATCAAGACGGCAGGTATATTCCCGCATTACTTGCAAGTGCATTGGCAGTTCTTCTTCTTGCAAGTATCGCAGGAACCGCACAACACGATTTCGGTAATGACGTTCTGTTGGAACCGTCAGCATAGTACGCGGTGTCGCGCTTCGTTTACATGGGTAGGAGGCAATTGAAGCCGGGAATAGGCAGTTTCTTACATTCGCATCCTTGGTAATGGTGCAGGTGTTGACCAGGTCGGCTGGGGTGGTGATGGTGTAGGCCATTGTGTTTCGTATTTGGTATTTGTTGATGACTATAGGGAGTTAGGAGAGGACGGGCAGTCTAGTTGAGAAAAGTGGTTTCTTAGCTTGAGAGGGCCGGGGACTATTAATACGAGCGACGGGAGGAGATGGATGAAACTATCAACATCTCTTTAGCAGAGCCTCATCGTAGACAAACACCACCATGTTGTGGAGAGCCCCAATGAAGAAATTGCCGGTCAGCTTTCAGAATTCTGACACGTGTTTCATCATGATATACTCATCCCTTAAGGACCAATAGATAGGGTTAGAATTGCACTTCAGCCTCATCTCAAGGACACAGGGTAGCAACTGTCAGCACACTTTGTGCCACTGTCATACCGAGAGTCCGAATGAAGAAACTGCTAGTTAGCTTTCAGCATTTTGAGGCGGCTCTTGTGATATTGCAATCGTTCCTTGAGACCAACAAACGCAGTCAAAATTGCACTTCAGCCTCAGGAGTGGGCGATCATTGAACGAAGGAACAGGGAAAGGGCCGAATGAAAATGACCGAGCTCTAGAATGGGTGGTCTCACATCCCAGCCAATGTGTATATCTCTACAGGGAAGAGAATGGGGAATCATGATTATACCCTATCAGGCTGTGGATAGCATCACAACCACCAGACCCGAGATCCCTCAGCCCCCATCACCCCTCCCTCCTCTTCAACATCTCGAAATAAGCCGTCAACTTCCCCACCGGCTCCCCACTCTCCCACGCCCACGCATACCTCTCCATGAACCCCTCCACCCTCCGATCCATCGCCTCCATCATCACCCTCTTCTCCTCCTCCCCCACAGCACCACCCACCTCAACCTGCAGCTCCACCTCACCGACCTCATGCCCAAAGTCCATCACATCCCTCACCACCCGAAACTCCCCGTCCACCAACCACGCCTCCCGCTTCGTAACCAAATCCGCCATAACCACCAACCCAAAACACTCCCCCCTTCCCACCCCCACTCCATCCCCTTCTTGTTTACTACCCCCCACCCCATCCCCCTTCATACTACCCACCACCACATAGTCCTCATCCCCCTTACCACCACCCAACACTTGGCCTCCCAAAAGCTCCCTCACACAACCCCCCACCGCCTCCCTCCCCCTAAGCTCCTCAAACCGACTATTCACACGATCGCCGCCCCTGCGCAGCTTGGCCTCCCAGAGGCCGTCGCGGCGGCGGACCCAGGCGCCGGCGGCGCAGAGGGCGTGGTGGGGCGCGTCGTAGTAGGTGTCGTGGATGGTGCGCGTGGGGAGGGGGAGGACGGAGTGGAAGGGTTGGTGATGGGGCCCGTGGAAGGGTTGGGGCTGCTGGTTTGAGGGGTGGTTTGAGGGGGTTGTGGTGAAGGTGGTGGTGGTGAGGTTGGTGAGGTTGGTGAGGGTGGGGACGGTAAGGCGGCGGAATTTACGCTCGACTTCGAGGATTGTTGGGGGCGTGGTTGGGTTTGTGGTAGTGGGTGTTGACTTGGGGCTTGGAGAGGTCTTGGGGAGGGCGGTGAAGAGGGCGCGGGTTGCGCGGAGGGCTGTAGCCATGGTGGGGTTGTGGTTGGCGAGGTGTGGTGTTAAGAGGTTGATGGGTTATTTGGTGGTTGGTGTTGGTGATGATGAGTTGGGATGGCTGTAATTCGTACCGCCAGGTGGGTGAAGTGATGATCGACGAATTGCCAGTTTATTCGCGGTAGTTCGGGTTGAATTAAGACGGGCAGGAAGGTGTTGGAAGTCCTGGTATTACCGTAATAATAGGCAATGTTCCTCTCTATTCAGGTCATTGATTCAGTTTCAATATCAGGTAAGTCTCGGCAGATTAATGTTGAGGAGGATTGCTCTTGATGGCTCAGGAATAATTGTTCTCGAAAAAAGAAAAGAAAATCAGAAAAGCAAACCCGCCTCGAGTCGCACGGTGCCCTGCAAGGAGGCCTACAGCTTGCCACACCAAACGCCTTATCACCTGATATTGGAAGACCCCCACAACAGTGAGAAAGGGACCTTACGGAACTTCATTAACTTGACTCCTATGCTCGCCCTCGTTCGAGTCCTTTTTCCATTTACAGAGAATATTGCAAACCGCACATACACACTCTTCCCACACCCGGAGGCTGAATCCTCTTTTTTATCTACACTCGAGGACCATGATGCTGCCAGCCACTTCTACCGGCGACGGTGATGGTCAGGGCCAGGGGACTACCGTCCTCTCCAAGGCCAACTCTTCACATCCGTCGAGCGATGCCATTACCCCTACACTCTGCGCTGTCACTCCCCCGGTCATAGAGGACCCCAACGGCGGCTCGAATCTCGAGAAAAATGCTAACGACACCGATGACGCCGAGGACACCGACCCAGACACCGACCCAGCCACCGACACTGACACGGGCGGTGAATCTGACGGCGATGATGATGGCCCCGACGGTGTCGATTACCATATCGACGTGCCGTCGGATGGAGGACGCCCAGGAGGTTGGCGCACAGGGGTTTACACGACCTTGAAGATGGTTGTGGCGGAGGCCAAAGGCGCAGCCTCCAAGTCCGTCGTTCGGTATATCAAGAAATAGTCAGGACCCCTTCCTGGCATTGATTGCCTAACCACGAACTGGCCCGATTGCAGTCTCAAAGGCACCAAGCTCATCTTCGTAGTCGGCCAGACCGGGACCGGAAAGTCAAGCCTGCTCAGGGAGCTTACTGGTCAGGACATCACCATTGGCGAGACTCATAAATCTGGTTTGTGAACGCCCCAGGCCTGGAAGATGGGAGATGGAGAGCAAGACTGACATTTCCTGCCCCTAGGGACGAAAGAGTACGGAGTCTGTCCGGCCATCATCCATGGGGAGCAATACCTGTTTGTTGACACCGCCGGGTTTGGGGCCAGTGATATCAAGGACATGGACAACTTTTACGACGTTATGAGCTGCCTAGACGCCCTTGCCCCCTTTGTCATCATTGCTGGCATTCTTTTTGTCTACGGTGGCACTCAGGACCGGATGCATGCCCACGACCTGACGACGACGCAGTGGGTCAAGTGCTTCTGCGGTCCCGAGTTCTACAAGTACATCACCATTGTGACGACCAAATGGGATACGCTGCGAGAGGAGGCCTTCACAGAAGCCTGGCGGAGATTTACCGGCGTCATCGGTGACCCGGTCGTTGCGGATATTCTCAACCGGGCCTCCGCCGCCACGCAACGCTACCACGGGGGTTCTGTTTACCACCATGGTGTCGTGATGGACGACGCTAACCCGGGTGTGCCACTGCGATGCCTTCCCAAAGAAACCTGCGCTGGCGGGCGGGCATCATACGCGAGAGATATGATTAGGGATCGCTACAGCGGAAAGCCAAAGGTTGAGCTCCAAGTCCTCCGAGAGATGGCGGTTGGGGTTCGTTGGCACGAGACCGAGGCCGCAAAAGTGCTCCAGAACAGTCACCTGACCATCAAGCTGAACGTCCGTGATGACCTTCTCCGTGTCACTGTCATCCTGGACAAGAAGCCGGTCGATGAACTCAACACGGAGCCCGAGGCTCGGAGGACCGCCAGCACCGTGCGACCTGCCCCTGCATTAGTCGACGTCCCTCTGTCGAGTGAGTTTGAAAACCCTCTGACGGAGAAGCCAGTCAAACGCAACGCGAAGCCCAAGGTTCGGAGAATAACCGCCAGCGCCTTGCAGCCTGCCCCTGAACCGGTCATCCCTCTGTTGAGTATATCGGAAGGCCCCTGGACGAGGAAGCCGCAGCGCTCGTGGTATGATCGGCTCTGGGACTGGCTCGAAAAGGCGAAAGAGCTAGCTTCCTTCTTCCACTCCCACCAGAAACAACGAGGAAGGGCTGGTGGGAATGGAGGTTTTCAACCAAGGCCCACCACTTGGGCTAGTCTAGTGGGCACACTGATGCATTGGTGGTTAGGGCCGAAAGCCAAACGTAGATGAAGGAGATGCCTAGGGTGGCACGACGAGTCTTTTCGTTGGGGGTCAGAGCCCGAACATCACCTCTCCCCCCTTGTCTTTCTCATCTTTCTCATCTATTTACACTCCGTTCATTTTTCTAAATGCGATTTGTGATCTTTTCATAACAACATCAGGTCGTTTCCCTGGTCTGCATCATGTCAATATCTTGACTTATGGTACCTACCAATGAGTCAATCTTTGCTATACTTTTTGATCTCACATGAAGGGTCGTGGATGTGACGTGCCCCGTGAAATATCCCACCCTACCACATTAGCCAAACCTTCAGCAGGCGCCTGATCGCTATATGCGGGCGGCAGTGAGTTGGAGATGTGACAAAACCTTTCCGCCCAGTTGTCTAGCCTCCGTGGCTCCTGACCAGAGCGAGGCTTCGAGTAACTATAGAGCTCGAGCAACGTATTACTGACACCCTTCCCCTGGTGCCCAGATTCACATTTTCACTTTCCCCACAACAAGAACAACTTCCGGTTTTCGTTGTTGTTCCAAGGGCGCGGCTTCTTATCCTCGTAGCTGCCAAGTTTGGACTCTCGTAGGCAGACAGGGAAGTTTGAGGGGCAAAAGTACATTTCTTGCCAGCCATACATCATGACCGGTAGTGCCCCCACCTAGTCTAATCAACGCCATCTTCTATCAAAACACAACCCACACCAGACCAACCCAGCCCTCTAAAAGCTATACACCTGATCCGGCCGGTACCCCAACTCGGCCAACACGCCCGTCTTCTTCCCCTTCAGCGCCTTCTCCATCGCCGGCGGCCCACAAACCAGAACCTTCCCATCCCGATTCTGTTCCTCGCCAGCCGCCAACCCCACCCCCTCCAGCAACTGCCTCGTGACAAACCCCTTCTTGTGCTGCGACCCAACCCCCGGGTCCGCCACCACATACACAGCCCTAAACCGACCGGGGTGCTCCCGCTCCAGCGCGGCGAACTCGTCCCGCAAGAAGAGGTCGGCGTCCGTGTTGACGCCCCACACCAGCGTCACGCGGGTGCGGTCGGTCGGGTCGCGCAGGATGCCGCGCGCCAGCTGGTACATGGGGCTGATGCCCGCGCCGCCCGCGATGAGCGCCACGTGCGGGTGCTGGTTGGCCGTCCAGGCCAGGCCCCTGACGGGCGCCATGGTCAGCGTGTCGCCGGGTTGGAGGGAGTGCAGGTGCGTGCTTTGTTTGCCGTTCGGGTAGAGCTTGACCATCAGCTCGACGTAGCCTGGCTCGTCTGGGGTGGTGGGGGGGTTGGTTGGTTAGTTTGGTCTTGTGTTGGGGGTGGGTGGAGCGGGTAAGTTGTTTGGGCTGGGGAAGAGAAATACGTACTGATGTCGTTGACAGGGGTGTACGGCCGGATGACGGGCAGCCAGCGGCCGCTCGGGAAGGCGACGGTCAGCAGGGCGGATGTGAGGGGAAGGCCGCTCGGTTTGGTGGCATCTGGCAGCGCAAAGCGCAGCTTCTTGGTGTTGTGGTTGATCAGCTCGGTGCTGTCAAGGCGCAGGGTATGGAAGCCGAAGCTGCTGAAGACGGGCTTGTCGGAGCTGGTGCTGTTGCTGCGCGTGTACCAGGCATACGCGCCAATGCCAGCGACGGCGGCTGCCACTGCGACTTGGGTCGTGCCCATGACGTTTGCACGATGCGTCGCGCGCAGAAAGGGTCGGAAAACAGTGCCTGGAGGCATTGCGAGAGGCTAGAAATCGGACCACGGACTTTTTGGCAGAATTTATTTTGAGCGAGTCGGTGGCTGTCGGTGGCTGCCCGTTTGGATGTCCGGACTACCGAAGCTCGCAGGCACGGAGAGGTAGGTAGTACAGTATTTCCTGCGCTTTAAGCGTGGCCGGTAGTGAGGTGGTTAATATGGCGATCGGAGTTGGGCTTTGGGGAAGTCCAAGTGCAGCCACTCCAGTCAAGAGAAGTGCAGGCAGGAATTGCTTGTGCCACTCTTGCCCGGGATCATCAGCGATCCTTTAACTGAGTGGTTCGGTCCCGACCTTGTCAGCGGGTTCCTGCGGTCAGCTTGGGCAACGCAAAGGTAACCATCGGTCCGAGGTTGCCCTCAAATGGTTGGAAACGTCCATACGGCATTTAGGATTTAAACCCGATTGGCCTACTGTTGAGACATTTTTGTTGTGCACTCTTTGGCACCGAACCGAAGCACCTTGAGATCACCTTCGATCGACGCTGAACCCTAACAGGACAGGGTTCTGAGATATGTAGGTTCGTCACACTATGCGGGTGGGTGCTAAGATGTGAAGTGTGAACTTACTTTTTGACCCTGATTTTACCCATTCGTTGAGGTAGTATCCGTACACAATCACGTTTGATTGCTCGCTCGGGGGGTTAGGGTTGCACCGATGCAGTTGGGTGTCCCTGAATGCCTCAACAACACCTTAACACTACTTGCTTGTTTGCTTCCCGCGACTAGCAGCTGGCCGATACCCAAATACATCTACGTAAGGCACCTTACTTACCTCTGTCCTGTCCTTCTTTTCTAGGACTACACCACCCGGTTCCGTCTTTCTCACCCCGGTAGATCAATTCCTCCCTCATGTCACTGACACTGGATTTTGAGGGACAAGACAAGACGCGCAATGCAACATGGCCCAAACCACAGCCTCCGTCCGGGAGGGCACAGATGATGGAAATGCCCAAGAATCGATAAGCACCGCGGTCTGCGAGAGCGCAGGACCCCCGGCGCCGGAAGCGTGCGACCATGATCGGGCAGACCACTTTGACCCAGCAACCACAAATCTTCCCGAGCACAGCGACGACTTGCACTCAGCCGACTCAGACCTCGGACAGCTCGCGTCTGCGTCAGCTGATGGCACGGTGAAGATCTGGGATCCGGCGACCAACCAGTGCAGAGCAACTCTCGAGGGCCATAACGGATCGGTCTTCTCGGTAGTCTGGTCGCCCGACGGAGCCCAGCTTGCGTCTGGATCGGCTGACGGGACTATCAAGATCTGGAATCCGGCAACCGGCCAGTGTACAGCAACCCTTGAGAGTCATGCAGGCTCGGTCTTGTCGGTGGCGTGGTCGCCCGATGGAACCCAGCTTGCGTCGGGATCGCGCGACGGGCCGATCGAGATCTGGAGCCTAGCGACTACCCAGTGTGTCGCAACGCTCAAGGGCCATGACAGCTCGGTCCTTTCGGTATCTTGGTCGCCTAATGGATGGGAGCTCCTATCAGGGTCAGAAGATCAAACAATCAGGACTTGGGATTTGACAACCACCTGGTGTAGAATGATTCTCGAGGCCTTTAGAGAGTCAGTCTTGTCAATAGCGTGGTCGCCCGATGGATACCAATTCGCGTCAGGGCCGGATGACACGATTATAAAAATCTGGGGTTCGGCCTGCACGAGTTCACTGACTCTCGAGGGCCATACAGCCTCAGTTGGGTCAGTAGCATGGTCGCCCGATGGAGCTCGTCTCGCGTCAGGCTCAGACGATCGGACCGTTAAGGTCTGGGATCTAGACAATGCTCAGTGTACAGCGACGCTTTCGGGGCATGATAAGTTCATCCAGTCGGTAACCTGGTCGCCCAATGGAGCCCGGCTAGCATCGGGATCAGACGATGAAACTGTCAAGATTTGGAATCCTGTAACAAGCGAGTGTATAGCGACGCTCAGAGGCCATAAGGACACGGTCTACTCTGTAGCCTGGTCGCCCGAACCTGCCCGGTAAACAGCAAACCACTGAGCAGAGGGTACTGAGCCTGCGTCGTGCACGCAGAATAAACAGAAGAGAGAGAAACTGGTGATTTTCACTGTCTGGAGGATGCAGGTTGGCAGGCCTTGCAGACCGTCCCAGTTTACTTTTCTTTCTCCATCTCGGCTACTCGTACCGCTTCCTCTCGCGCGCGTATTATTGCCGCAGATCTTGCCATCGCCCTCTCCATAATCCTACGTTGCCGCTCCTCATCCGAAAGCCGGGGTTGATCACTTGCAGGGCGGGGCACGGGCGGCTTCTTGTGCCACCAGGCCCACTTGTCCTCATGATCAACGTATAACGGGCCCGGTCCGAGATTCACGACAGCCAGCTTAGTCTCAGGCGGCCACTTGGGCTGGTAATCCATCTTGCCCCGGGCATCCAGGAGGGTATCGCGCATAGCCATCAGCCACGGGTGCACGGCCGAGATATACTCGTGTACGGTAAGGAATTCGCCTTGGGCTACGACTTGGAGATATACGTTGTAGGACCAGGGCCGCTTCTGCCCGCAGCATTCCAGTACGAAGATATTCGGGTCGAAGCTCTCGTCGCCGGGGCGGGGCCCTAGACGTCTCGGGTACCCTTGGTAAAGGGGGCCGTCGTGGCAGCGCGAGTGCTGGTCGACCCAAACCCGCTCCCGCTCGTCGATGCACTGGATGCGGACAGTATCGGACGATATCGGGGGCTCTATAAGGGACGCTTGCGATACGGGGTGGAGAGAGCCGTCCGGGCCGAAATACGGCTCCATCACGGCGCCCGGCTCGTAGTATTCCGACGGTGCAACCTCGATAGCGCCCTCGAGTGGGCCGTTGAGCCTCCAGAAGAGCCGCTTGCCGGCTGTGCTTAATTGTCGGAAAACCCATTCGCCGTTGTCGGCGGATGTATTGGCCGTGTCCATACTGTGAATCTGTGATGGATGCACGGAGGAGATGAGATGGGGTGAGGCTCGGGCCGGGCGGACCCTTGGCAAGTCCGAACGGTGCCTTCAAACCCCACAGGGTCCGCAGATCAGCGGTCGTGCGGGGCATCACCGAAGGACGGCGCAAACCAGTGAATTGAAGCACGCACACGCCACATTTGGTAGGCGGTGAGAACGGCCAAGCGAGGGCCCCACTCTTCTTGGGTTGGCGTCGAGGATTCTGCTTGGCGGTCAACTTTTTTCTGCCGGACTCACAACTCCAACACCATCGGTCTCGCCGAACCACTCGCAACTATGGCGGACGATGGCATGCTCCTCAATTTCGAGCTTGGCGATGCGCCCTTGAAGAGCCAAGTCAAATTCAAGGGCGGTCGCTGGCGCGATAGGCTCAAGGCGCAGAGGAGCGCCAAACAATCACACGAAGAAGGTGGCCCCTCGTCAACCCCGCCAAGGCAGAGGACAGGCGCTGGTGGCTATGATGCGGGTAGATTGGCGAAACGGCCGAGGACTGAAGATGGGGAGTCTCACAGATACGCAAAGGTACCGAGAACGGCCGATGCCACCCCCAAGGCACCCAGTCACGCGATGAAGACCGGCCAAATCTCCTCGAGCCTATTCACCTCCAATCCATCCGCCGTTACCGACTTCGACCAGCCGCCAGCGGAGGAAGAGGCCGAACCGGCGAAACCATCCAACGCGCCGCTGTCCGAAGAGGCTGAGAACTTCCACTCCCTGGGCATCTCGCGCCGCGTGGCCCAGCATCTGGCGACGAAGCTCGAGATGAAGGCCCCGACCGCCATCCAGAAAAACACAGTGCCACAGCTGATAAATGGGGATAGCGACGCCTTTCTCCAGGCTGAGACTGGCTCAGGAAAGACATTAGCATATCTCCTCCCGATTGTCCATCGCATCATGGCCCTCAGTCTAAACGAGGACGGCACGCCCAAGGATACCAAGGTACATCGGAACTCGGGTCTCTTCGCCATCATCATGGCACCCACGCGCGAACTGTGCAAGCAGATCTCGGTCGTTCTGGAAAAGGTGCTGCGATGCGCCCCGTGGCTGGTCTGTACCACCGTCATCGGTGGCGAGAGCAAAAAGTCGGAGAAGGCGAGGATACGGAAGGGAGTCAACATCTTGATTGCCACACCCGGTCGGCTGGCGGATCATCTCGACAATACCAAGGTTCTCAACGTCGGCACGGTGCGATGGCTGGTACTCGACGAGGGCGATCGCATGATGGAAATGGGCTTCGAAGACGACATCAAGACCATCGTCGGCAAGATCAGGGCGGACAAATTGGAGAAAGAGAATGCCGAGGGTGTTGTGTTGGATGGCGTCCTTCCTTCGAGGCGGGTGACCGTTCTCTGCTCGGCAACCATGAAGATGAACGTGCAGAAGCTGGGCGAGATCAGTCTGGAGGACGCCATCCACATCATGGCCGCCAAATCCGAGGGGGATGGGGACACCGACGCCGCATTCGCTGCCCCGTCGCAGCTGAAGCAATCTTGCATCATTGCGCCAGCCAAGCTGCGCCTGGTGACGCTGATTGCTCTGCTGAAGTCGACGTTCGCAAGGAGAGGCTCCGTCATGAAGGCCATCATCTTCATTTCATGTGCCGATTCCGTCGACTTCCACTACCAATTACTCAAGGACACGAAAGCGCTGGAATTACCGACCCCTGATTCATCACCAACTAGACCGGATCGCAACCCACACACAGACACAACCGTGGCCCCGGCTGCCTACGTAACATCACCAGCAAACCCGAAGGTGATGCTGCACAAACTCCACGGCTCACTGGCACAGCCGGTGCGCTCAGCGACATTAAACGCCTTCTCCACCTGCAAAGACCCAGCCGTGCTCATCACCACCGATATCTCCTCCCGCGGTCTCGACGTGCCGGCCGTGGACCTCGTCATCGAGTATGACCCAGCATTTGCTGTACCAGACCACGTCCATCGCATCGGCCGTACCGCCCGTGCCGGTCGTGCGGGTAAAGCAGTCCTCTTTCTCCTCCCAGGCTGCGAAGAGGGTTACACCACGATCCTCAACTCATCAACGCCCATCGCCCCGCAGCTCTACGAATCCATCCTGCAAAAAGGGCTTGCATCCGTCGTCAACCTCCCCTCCACCCACACCACCTCCGAGACGGACAAGCAGACCTGGTCATCCCGCGCCGAAGCCCTCCAGCTGCATCTCGAGCAGCGGCTGCTCGCCAACCCGGCCGCCGCCGACGAGGACGCAGACGACAACAACAACCCCAACCCGTTCAAGGGCAACAAGGGCAACCACAACCACAACCATCACAACAACAACAAGGCCAAGCCCAAGCAATGGAAGCCGAAGGTCGACAACCCGCTGCTCGACGCCGCGCGCCAGGCGTTCCGGTCGCACATCCGCGCGTACGCCACGCACGTGCGCGAGGAGCGCGTCTACTTTGACATCCTGCAGCTGCACCTCGGCCATCTCTGCAAGGCGTTCGCCCTGCGCGAGCCGCCCGGCGGCATCGGCGGCGGCGTGGCGCGGCGGACCCATACTGCTGCTGCTGCTGCTGCTGCTGCTGCGGGCAAGGCGAGCAAGGCGGCTGGGAATCACGGTGGGGAGAGGAAGTCGAACAGGGTTTCGGGTGGTGGGAAGGTTAGTTCTGGGAGAGGAGGGGCGGATGATGATGGGGATGGGGCGGGCGCGGTGGATGAGGATGCTGCGCGGCGGATGAGGGAGAAGATGCGCATGGTTATGAATGCGTCGAGCGAGTTTAATATTGGTTGAGTGGAGGGGTTGGAGTGGAGTGGATTGGGTGTGGGAAAAGCGTGGATGTGGACGAGGTATATACCCCTGGTGTGTTGGTAAATACGAAGAGATGTTTTGTAGTTGGTTTTCGCTTTCAAGTGACGATGGGTTTCACTCGTAGGTGCATGTTCGTTTATACTAATGTTCGCGGTCTTCGTCCTAGATAGGCAACGAAGGCGGACTGTGATGGCCAGCTCCTGCATACCGGCCACCCCCGCTCCCCCTTAAATGGTATTGTTACAATGTTTAACTGATGAAGCAGACAAGGAAAAACAAATGTACAAAAGAACATCCACAACTGTACATGCAGAACGTATAAGGTATCACCCCCCACCTCCCTTCCCCAACCCAACCCAACCCAGTCAATTTTCCCCCTCCCAACGCCACCCACCCCCCAAACACCCCAACATATTACACTCCCCTTACACCTCACCTCGCCGGCGTCGAATCCAACTCATAATGCCTCGTCCCCTCCCCCAACTCGCTCGGTCGCCCGTACGGACCCAGCTCGGCCACCGCCCCCGCCGGCGGATGATACGGACCACCCACGCCATACCCATACCCGGCGCCCCCGGGCCCCGCCAGCTCGGAATACCCGCCCCCGGCCCCCGCCCCCGCCAGCTCGGGATACTCGTGCCCTGTCCCGATCTCGGGGATCTTGTCCTCCTTGGTCTGCGCTCCGTAATACCCTGCGGCCGCATCCGCACCTAATGAGACATCCAGGCCGGGGTTGTGGCTGTGTGGGCCGGGTGGGTAGGGCGAGTTGGGGTCGGTGAGCGTGGCGTCTTGTTGGTTTTGTTGTTGTTGTTGTTGTTGTTGTTGGCGCCGCCGGCGGAGGAGGAACCAGGCTGCGAGGCCGATCGCTGCGAGCCCGGCGATGCCGCCTATTACGCCGCCGACTATGGCGCCGATGGGGGTGGTGGTTGAGGGGGTTGGGGTTGGTGAGGCGGTGGGGTTGCCTGTTGGTGGGGGGGTTGTGTCTTTGAAAGGGGGGGAGGGGGTTAGGTTTGGGTTGCTGGTTATGGAGGGGGTGGGATGTGATAGGATGGGATGGGATAGGATGGGATGGGATGGGATGGGGGCTTACCGGTGTTGGTGGCGGTTGCGCTGGCTGATGCGGCGACGAAGAGGTTCTGGATCTCGGTGGATGACCAGTCGACCTCGTCGAGTGTGCTGTTTGTGGTGGTATGTGGGTTAGTTCGCGGGGCTTGCGACGACGCGTCTAGGGTCTGGGGGGGAGTGTGCACATACTTGTCGTCGTACCAGTCCTGGATGGTCTTGCTCCGTTCGTAGGCGGCCGCTTCGGCGTCGTACGAGTCCTTCCACTCCAGCGTCGTCATGTCGAAGAGCAGCAGCCCCTGAGACGCCGGGTCCGCCTCCGACTGCGACCCGTCTGATCCGCCTATGCTCAGCACCTGTCGATTGCCCACGCGGACACAGCTCTAAGAGACGGGGGGATGTTAGTCACCGGGAAGGATCATCCGGGTGGGGGAGGGTTGAGTTGGACGTACGGCTCCCACGCGTGCACCCCCTGGAGGATCGGGGAGTTTCGTCCACACGAATCCCGGCAGGCTCAGGATGTAGGCATCTCCGTAGTCGAACTGGTCGCGGGCGTTGATACCGCCGAATATGAAGCTTGGGGTTTGTCAGTCGGTTGTGTGTTGCACCTGAGCCTACGAACAACTCACATATCGTAGCCTCCGTCAGAAGTTGGGAAGACGGCAGTGCAGAATTGGCCTCGCGGTGTCGCAGGAATGGTCCCGGTCGCGGTCTGCCAATATGTCGTCTTTGTCTGCGGGTTGAACAAGGTCAAGTTCCGAAGATCTAGGGGCGGCCCCTCCGACTTGTTCAAGTCGCCGTCGAGGGGCGGAGAATATCCCCCCATGGTTATGATCAAACCGTCCGGGCCGATGGACGGCATATACGCCGCCGTTCCCTTGTTCAAGATGCCGCTGCCGAACGGGCTAAAGTTCGCGGTCCCGTTCTGCCAGATCTTGCTCTTCATGTCAAAGGCAACCATGCCCGGGATCGGATCGGCCGTGCTGTGATCCTCCTCGGTCCACGCGTGCGCCGCCCCGCCGATCACAAACCCCGTAGTATCCGTGTTGACAAAGGCGCCGTACTCGACCTGGTGCAGGCCGTGGAAAAGCACCATGTTCTCCGGTTCCTCGACCGCCCAAGACCCGCCTCCCTTGCCGTCGGCCCTAAACTTCCAGAGCGCGTTCTTGGTGATGTTCTTCCCCCCCGGCCACCTGCCGCCCCACGAGTAAAAGACGCCGGCGGCTGTGTCGGTCCATAGTCCTACGTTGGTCTTTGCGGGGCCCGGTTTTGGGATCGTTCGGATGGTGACGTCGAGAGATTTCCACGACTTGGACATGTCAATTGAGAGTGTCGAGTTCACTACGGTGATTATATAGCGTTAACAACGTCCCCAGTTGGCCATAGAGATGATCCCTTACCTACGTCCGCCCCGTGGCTCTGCCCGTCTACTATTTGAGTAAGTTCCCCTCCATCGACGTAGACATAGTCGCCCAGGACAGTCGCTGTCGCCCAGACCCTGCGTAGGAAGTCATCGGGGGCTGGCACATCTGGCAATGCGGCGCCCAAAGTGCAACTGAGCCCGAGGAAGGCCAGCAGCCTGAGCGTCGTCGAGCTTTGTCCCCCGTGAGGCATGGTGGGCCAGCGGCACTTTTACTCGAATTTATCGGAACATTTGAATCGCGGGCTCGGAGGTTCGCAATGATGATTCGGGCTTCGTTCACAGTGTGCTCGGATTGAATGTTGTTCTGTCAGGGGCGCCGGCCGGGTTGGGGCGTCCACCACTTGGTACACAATGTAGTAGTTACACAATAACTCGGAGCTCGGGAAGCAGGACGGGGACGGCGAAGCGGGAAACGGTCGGAGACGGATCCGCGCCATCGCGCGTTGACAATTACAGAGTTACATCGTAGGATCGAGTCCATGCCACCCCCCCCACCTCGGCCATGTTGCATGGCTGCACGCTTCCCGGCTTTGGATGCGACTTGACCCAGTTTTCCATTGGAACCGATCGGCCGGAGCGGGGCGAGAAGTTTGAAGACCATCATCTCGACGGCTCGGAATCAACGGGAAAGGGGGGAGAGGGGCGAAAAGGGGGGAAACAGGAAAAAGTACTGTGAAAGAAGATGAGAATTACCACATGGGGACCGCGAGAGTTGACTTTACTGTGTAAATCTAGTCTTGTTGAACTCTTCTCAAGAAACAGAAAGCAGGCCTGTGTGCCTGGCTCAGGACGAGCCAATGATCGAATCGGGCAAGGCCGGAAAAGGATCGACGTTTCGTCCTACCCCTGACCGAATCACGGGGATTTTCAAAGCAGAACCACGCACCCACGCCAGGCTCCCACGCAGCCACGAGCTCTGCTGCCTCGGGCTTGGGTGTAAAACGGGTGTAACCCAACCAGAACGACGGACACGTGCAGAGCTGCACCAGCGAGACCAGCAAGCCACGCTCATTTCTCTCGCACTGGCTCTCACTGGCTACTCATTTGGGCAACGGACAGACATCGGATACAACAAACTATGCAGCACAGCATAAACTTCGCCCCCCTGATCAGCCCGGAATAATAAGCTGAGGTCAGCATCACGATTGCGTCACGTCCTATCAACATGAACCCAGCTGAACAGCTCAAGGCCACCAGCGGAGAATCTCGAATAGAAAACCGAGACGTGATGATTAAACCGATAAAACCATACCGACACAAAAATCCCGAATAAATAGGAATAATAGCTCGATGCAGTAGAAACTATGCTTCCTCGTACAAAACTACCTGTGAGCTGTCTCGGAGACCTGTACTCGTAGCTGATATTAACGGTCTGCATCGGAGAGGGAGCTTGTCCCAAAGACACAGCAAGACCCCGTGTTCCAACCCAGTTCTCTCGGCTGAATGTTAGTCCCAATGATACGCGGCGTAGCTTGGATGTACGAAACGAAGAGACTTAATATCTTTTTAAAATTAGTTAATATGATGCGCGCTACGGTTATCAATATCATGCAACATAACAACGCAGGCAGCCGAAACAGGAGCGGTTTGGGTGCCTGGGTACATGTGGAACGACCTTTCCTCTCGTCTGAGCGTTTCAATACTTAATATTGGCCATGTGAAACCCACCTATCTTGAGTTTTCGTTGATGAGCGCGCCTTGTAATCGGGTGTCTTGCTGAAACTACCCAATAGCCGAGGACACATTGAGCTGTGAGGAGGCCGAGAAACAAGCAGGGTAGCCCATTCTGGAGCAGGGCCCTTCTTGACTGCCTTTCTGGGTCCTTTCGGACATTGTGGATGAGCCGATGACTTGGTGAAGTTGGTTACTTTGTAGCTACGCCGGACCCCGTCATCGACAGAGACCCATAACTATCACACTTACATTCTCACCGAGGAACCGCGGGAGCCGCCTGGTCCTACTAGCAGTATTGCCACTCTGACGCAGGGTGTAGATTAGGTACTTCGCCGGGATTCCCGTGGAGCTCCGCACGACCATCGCCATCATGTATCTGTCGACGGTCGAGGTACTGTTATGGGAACCGCCATTACTGGGTTATATGCCACCTAGCCAGCTACGCATGTCTTGAATGCCACACTAGACTGGTATCCCGACTGACTTAGTGACGTTAGGCTTTGTTCCAGTACCCCGTAGCATAATATTGGGTGGCTGCTTTAGGGGTAGTCTTGAAAGCGATTGACACGGTAAGGGGTAGTGATTCGGACTGACTCGACCTGTTGATAACGTACAACAGAGTTAGCTAGTTAAGGCACTTATTTAGTTAGTTGGCGAAGATTGCCACTATCTATATAAGGCTTAAGTTACTTGCTCAGGCACTTGAATACTTAAAGCATAACGATATACTCAAGTTACCCTTGGTAAAGAAAACTTGGATTTCCGTGCGTGCAGTCTTCCAAAGGTTTGCTACTCCTACCTTGGTAAATCAGCAAGTTCTCTCTGTGTTGCACCCTGTTCCAGCCGACGTGGCGCAATCGGTTTAGCGCGTCAGACTTTTAACTACGTCATCCCGAATTGAGAGATCTGAATGTTGCGAGTTCGAGTCTCGCCGTTGGCGTCCTTCTTTCCAGATACGGACAGCAGAACGCATCCTTGCTTTTTGACTCTCCAAACTACCGAGACGGATTCATTCCTTTTTTTGACTACAACTACCCTGGGTATCCATCCAAGTGAACAAATTCAGACCTAACCACGCCTCTTGTCAATACAAACATGACATGATTGACCCTCGCAAATTGCCCATCATCATCAAACATCGTCAATTTCGTCATCCGCCCAGGGTAAAGCTGTTGGAGCAAAGAATACCATGTACATGTACACCCAGTCATGAATCCCACCGTTGGGTCTTCCCGCTACATCCACATCAAAAGAGCACCGTGATATAATATCCGCTTCCCAGCCCGTAGCCAACCCGATTCCGCAGCCATGTACTGTACTGTACCGATGTGCTGGTGTATACCGTATCGTAAATGTTGATATTAAGAAAAAAAAGAGGAAACCCGCTGACCAATGCAAGAAAAAGGAGTTCAAGGGAAACATAAAACCCGTCACCTCACGCATCCTCCGCCGGCTGCTCAAAGGTGAGTGTTTTCGGGGGGCAGTCCGGGCCAGACGTGGAGCACGTGACCATAGACTTCGGCTCGTTGCTGCAGCCGTCAAAGGCCACACGGATCCCAAGCTCGCGCATCACCGTCCCCCGCAGTTCCGCCCTGTCCGGGTCGTCGCTGCCGTCCAGGGCGATCTCCTTTAGCAGAGGCCAGGGCGTGGTGTCGCTCGAGCACTTCTCCAGCAGTAGCCTGGCCGCCTGCAGGAGGCTGATGGCGACGTCGGGCAGTCGCGGTTGGTCCCATACGCGTCGGATGAGCGCCGCGGCCGGTGGGTTCGGACAGTTCTTGCCGCCGGCGGGGTCGGCGCCCTTTTCGAGGAGCAATTTTAGGATCGCCGGGTTGGGGTTCTGGCTCGCGCGGTGCATGTAGCTCGACTTGGATTTGGCAGGGATGTCCGGCAGCGCGTAGCGCGAGAGTATGTCCTGGATAATCTCGACGCGGTCGTCCCGGATAGCGAGGTCGAAGGCGGTGAGGTAGCGCCGCTTGATAAAACGCCATTCGTCCTCCTCTTCGTCGCTGAAGAGCTTCTGGAGGAGCTCATCCGAGGGGGTGAGAAACGGGTCGGCAACTTCCTTCATCAGCGTCACCGCGATGGACACGTAGTTCTCGCTGACGGCGACCGACAATGGCGTCTGCAGTTCCCGATCGAAGACGTCGACATCGGCTCCACGGTCTAGCAACGCCCTCACCACCTCCACGTCTCCCCAGTGGCACGCGAGATGCAGGTACGTCTGGTCACCGTGGAACCGGGGCTCGCTGATAGAAAGCCCACGGCTCATGACCGCCAGGCTCAGCTCCCGGTTCTGCTGCATGATGGTCTTGAGCAGCAGCATTTCGTTGGTGTAGACGGGCCTCCCAAAGTCCATCATGCAGTTGAACGTCTCGATCTGGTTCCATGGGTCGCTCTGTTCGATGATACGGCACAGGTATTCCTTCACATCGGCATCCGTCACCTCGTATACCCTGTCAGCAAAGTCGAGGAGCAGTTTTAGCGCCTTGTGGTTCCCGCATGAAGCGCAACTCTTCAGGGCCTCCTTGAGCTTGGCCTCCGTCAGGTTGGTCCGGTCGGCCACGGTCAGCATTGCCTCGAGGACATCATCCTCGGCCCACCGGATGTGCTTAATCGCGGTGTCGAGAGGGCTGCAGTTTGGCTCCTCTTCGATGTCCATGCGTGCCCCACGCCGGAGCATAATGGAGGCGATCTCGGGCACTTCACCGCGATGATCCACTCTAATCGTCACCGCATAGCATAGTGGGGTCCGCCCGTTGCGGTCTTGCGCGTTGATCTCGGCGCCGCACTGCACGAGGGCGGCAACGGCCCGGGGTTCGGCCAGCTCGCAAGCAAGCATGAGCGGGGTCACCCCGCGGTGGCCACGCTTATCAAATTTGGCGTTCACGTCGGCCCCGCCATCGACCAAGGCCTTGATCAGCGTGACCCTGTTTCCTTCGAACTCGTCGTGCTTAACGGGTGCGTCGTCCATGTCGAAAAACTCGGATCGCTGCAGCATGCAGTAGTACAGCGGACGGTAGTCCCGAAAATTGGGGATGTGCCGATGGGGATCAGGGTTCGCGCCGATGCTGACCAGGCGGTGAGCTACAGCGTAGTTGCCCCTGAAGCATGCGTTGAGAAGAGGGGTGTAACCGGCATCGTTATGGGCCTCTAGGTCGGCGCCCAGGGCGAGGAGCTTTGTAATGGTGTCGCGAATGTCGGCCGAGTCGCGCGCGCTCCAAATTTCCGAGATGTAATGCAGCGCCGTATTGCCCCACTCATCGCGCTGATTGACGTTCAGGTTGAGGTCGTTTAGCGCCAGCAGCTTGATGACGGGGATTAGGCCGTGGGCGGCAGCCGAGTGAAGGGCCGTGTGCTGGTGCTCGGATTTCGTATCCAACTCGAGCGACGCGCCGCGGTGAATGAGCAGCTCGGCGACCGTCCGCTCCTGGCTGCACATGGCGGTGTGCAGGGCGCGCCAGCGAGGCCATTCCGAGAGGCGGCGCGAGGGATGCCTCCCGGACTTGAGGGACTGGCATTCGCAGACCCGGTACGATGCGGCGTCGATGTCCGCACCGTTGTCGAGGAGCCATTCCACAATCTCCCGATGGCCGTTCTTGGCTGCCAGGTGAAGCGGGGTGCAGGATGGCTGGAGGGTTGGGTCGGGGGGTTCTTCGAACAGCTCGGGGGCGGGGTCGGCATCAACATTCCCGTCGACGTCGTTCTCGGTATCGCTGGTCTCTACCTCTCCGGCCTTGCGCGGCAGCGGCCCGGAAGCATTCAAATCGGCGCCTGCGGCCAGCGCATGCTTGAGGGTGCCCAACTGGCCGTTCTCGGCGCCCCAGAAGAGGGACGACGCCGAGGCCAACTTGACATTATCGCGGTATATAACAGGGTTAATGACGGAATAGAACCAGCGATTCGTGCGTCCTAGAGCGAGGCGATCCTGGAGGTCGAGCAGCTCGTCGATAAGGAGGACGATTTCGGGTGGAAGGCCTAGGACCGGCACGGATAGGGCCTTCTTCGCCTTGCCCTTGCAGGCCTTGCCGTCGGGCTTTTTTGTTTTCGCTTTTGCCGCCGGCTTTTTGAGCATTCCTGCTTTTCTGTGTGAAGCCATCTGAATCGGAAAGGGGGGGTAGGGTATAGATGGGTGATGACGCGGGTGGAGAGAGAGGGTGTTGAAGTTGAAGTTAGGCTGGGATTATAGCTCAGGAAGCGCTGGAGAACAGGCGGGAAGCCGCGGGGCGTTTTTGTGGGGCTGCGGAGGGCGATGCAGCTGGATTAATGGATTCTCCACCGCCAGGCGGCCGGCGGGACCTGCACCCAGCCTCGCCCGGCCTGGAGACCTCCCGGAACATTCACCAAGCACGGAAAAAGCCTGGAATGCGAGGTTGGCTCGCCGGGCTGTGAGGCCACTTTCCCGCTTCTCAGTCGCAGAACGGCAATCAAAGATGGGGATCACTGTCAAGGCGAATTCGTCGATTCGTTCAACCGTTCTGTTCAAGTTGCCCCTCCGCAAGCGCCGTGATTGTGCATAACGGGGCCCTTTTGCAGGCCGCTCCATCGCCCGCTGTTCGCGCCGGCGGCCTCGCCACTGGCCTCCCGGCTGTGCCACCCAACATCGGACGGAGAAGAAAAAAAGCCCAACAAACCACTGTTGTCGGATTGGAGAACTGTGACCCCCTTCCTTGAAAACCCGGTGCCCTCAACGGGACGAGCGCACCCGTTCAACGCCGAACTCGACGGGCAATTCCTGTGGTGCTCTCCGGCGGCCATCTCATGACCTGTAGCCCCACTCTTGGAGCCTGGAATTGCAGATCGAGATGTCTCGATCGGGCTTGGGGTCATGCACGCCAGGGACAACTCACCTGAGGAGGGGGATGCTTCAAAGAATTTCAAACTTGCGTGATGAATCCTCCTCGGGTTTCCCAATGCTTGGCTCGGACGATAGGGTTTTGTTTTCAAGGATAGAATAATAGAATACGGAAGACTGTTACCGAGCTTCTGAGCGCATGGAGCTTTCTCGCATCTCAGGGTCCGCGCTGGCCGACCCCAAGTGCGCCGAGCCAAGTATTGTGACGACACTTTGGGTAACGCCGTCCCTGAAACAACGCCCAAAGGTGTGCGTACAGATTACACATCCTATCATACATACATCCAGACTGAGATATGCGGAGTCTCACGGTACACGAGCCGGCTCAACGACTGCACAGGCCACACACGGAAAGCGGTCCTTAGAAGGCGCAGAAGGCCCCTGTTCCCGCGTTTGGTGGGCGCCTGAGTCAAGTATCAAGTACCTATGTACGAAGTATGTCCATGACACCGAACCCCGGGGTGGTGGGCGATAAACGAGTGCAACATGATCAATCACGACTGGGAGCCTCCTTAGTAAGACGGGTGAAGCGTCGTTGCCCAAAGAAGGAAAACGACCAGCTACTCTAAGCTTTTGTCTATGGGCAAGGGGAGCAGCGTTGACAGGCAAAGGACCGCATTCCGACATCTAACAATATGACGACTGGCTCAAACATGTCCAAACGATGGGACGGTAGCAGCCCGCATGGCGCACCTGGGCGTTTCATTATTTTATGCGAGATCCGATGTTCTGCGTGTCCTTCTCGAATCTGGTTTCCCCCTTTTTACCACTTCGCATCGGGGGTATCCAGGAAGCCCTTGAGAATGCCGACAACCTTGTCCAACGCCTCCAGGTACAGACGCATCTCCTCCTTGACCTTGCCCTCGTCCGAGCCGAGCTTGACGTAGAAGTCCTTGCGGTACGGGCAGGCGCTCATGGCGGCGCTGAAGACGGGCTTCACGAACATGCTGTGGTGGGGCTTGAGGGTAACGCCGTAGGCGCCGCGGAAGGAGTCGGAGAGCTCCTCGGCATGGTTGGCCAGGTTCTGGCTGAGGGCGATGCAAGTAAACTCGAGGGCTCTGGAGCGTACCGGACGTATTAGTAAATATAGCCCCTGGCCCGCCCATCTGGCGGCGTGAAGGCATCTCTCACCTGACGAGCCATAGCAAACCCTCGGTAGCGGTGTGGGTCTTGTTCTTGAGCTCGTTCCGCACGAGGTCCTGAATGTTCTGAGACTCCAGGGGGGCAGCAAGTTGGCGTTTCCTGAGTTTCTATGCCGGGACAAAACATTAGCCGTTGGGGAGCAGGGAGACTTGCTTGGCGCTAGGGGCCACGCACCTCGACGTTGCCGAGCACGTCCTTCTTGACCGGGGAGAAGGCAACAGAGCCAAGGAGATCTTGGAGGGGTTCTGTTAGCGAACCGGAATTTCTATCTCTCGGCACGAGGGCCAGCCGTACCGAACATGGTGGTCAGGGACTCGGCGGCATCGAGGAACTCGGTGGTGGAGATGGCGTTGGCATTTTCGGCGTCGATCGGGACGGTGGTGAAGGAGCCCTTGAAGGTGTCGATGTAGGTGCCACCTTCGGGAATTTGTGTAGCAGTCGCCATGGTGTCTGATGTGGGAAAAGTAAAGATTTGTCGGGGAGAGCAAGTTTGGGTTGTTGCGAGGTTCAGGTTCAGGCAGGTTGGGATATGGATGGGAAGTGGTCAGGTCCCGAGGACCCTCACGAAGACGGGATCGGGGTTCCAGGCCGCTTCAGAAGTGCCCCGCCAACATGTTACCCCGCCCCCGCTGGCACCACCAGCATATTATTATACTGCGTACACAGAGTACCTAAGGGTCACCGGGGACCGCAAGATAATTCCCTTTCGGCCATGGCCATTAGATGAATCTGGATATTTTCAGACGGATCGGAAACTACCTAGACGTACAAGAAAGAGGACGGGAGTCGTGGGACGGATGAATGGGAAGACTGAGAGTTGAGCGATGAGGCAAACGGGTTCCACTTGCACCTGGGCTCACCACTTTCTGGCAGCTGGTTTGGCTTGAGCTTGGCTCGAGCTTCGGATGGCTAGATGGTCCAAGCTCGTCGGGAGTTTTTCCATGCCCCACATTAAAACGGGGACGGGAGCCCAGCCGGGTCGCAGTCAATCCCGGACGAGTTCAAACCTGATGAATTCCCTTGACGAACGGGCCACTCCAAGAAGAAAAGGGACCTGAGTGCCTGCCCAGGCTCGGCATTTTCAGTTTTCACGGGAATAATGGACGGGTCAGGGTTTTTACTGTTATTTTTTTGATTCCCTCATTATTTCCGGGAACCGCAACCAGCATGAACCAACATTCAAGAAGCGCAGCCAAAACTCAAACCTCGGCTGCATGACGTCATCCCCGTTTTCGGTTCAAGTTCTTTACTTCCATGCCATGACCGTTCGCAGCGCTTCACAAGTGAAAATGTTGTTGTTCCTCGAGCAATTCATTGTTGGCCACGAGAAGAGACCGAAACCACCCCCGGCCACCGTTCATGCATATCATCGCCGTGGAGAAACCAATGGCCAAAGGGCGATCATCTCCGTCATAACAACATAATTCATTCCCTCGCACCATACGATTCAACAATAACCCGATCCATTACCCGGTCCATACGGAATATTCGTACTAGGGCACCAACACCCCACCGACGGGAGTCCATTTTTCAAAATGACGCCCGGATCGACAACCGATGAACCCAGCAAGCACCATGACCTGGGGAGCAAACTGAAGCTTCCCTTCCGTGAACTCAAGGAGAAACTCAATCATAGCAACCACTTGACCAATGCGAAGATCCACTTGGTTCACCAGAAGTAGGCATTCCTGTGTCTAGGTAGTTACCAAATACACATGCATACTACACTACCTCCCTACGTAGATTCCCTATATCCTAGATACATGGTACTGACTGCCCACCAAGACACAAGATCGGCAAGTTTGCCAACCTGGTACGATGACCCCTGAATAATTACCTAGTAACACGAGCAAAACTAACGTTTGAGCTAGTTCAACCCCGAACATCGCCATGACGAGGAGCACGAGAAGGCCTGTGACGAAAAACGGACCAAGATCGGCGAGTCACATCGCTTTGATTCCTACTTCCCTGAGCGGGATGGGAACATGGTGAAGTGGTATGTGGACGGGAGGGACTACTTCTGGGTATGCAATCACTTCCCATATTGGCCAGGCCAACCTGGATTACAAATTACTGACACGAGAGCAGGCGGTATCGGCTGCCCTCGAAAACGCCAAAGAATCAATCTACATTGCTGACTGGTGGCTGTCGCCCGAACTGTTCCTCCGCCGCCCTCCCTATTTCAACCAGGAATGGCGACTCGACCAGGTCCTCAAACGCCGGGCAGAGGCCGGCGTGAAGATCTACATCGTCATCTACCGTGAAGTAGAGGCCGCCCTCACTTGCAACTCGGAGCACACGAAGCATGCCCTCCAAGCCTTGTGTCCGGAAGGCTCACCCGGGTTTGGTAACATCAAGGTCATGCGCCACCCGGATCACAACGTGTTTGAGAACGCCGCCGATATGACCTTCTACTGGGCCCATCAGTATGTCAACCCCGTCCCTTTTTCACCCCCCATGGCGGCCAGTGGTCCTGAGACTAGGCTCCCGCTCGAACGGCTCCGGACGGTGAGGTGCTAACATTTTTGGCAGCGAGAAGTTCATCGTCATCGACTACGAGATGGCATTCATTGGCGGGCTGGACCTCTGCTTCGGACGGTGGGACGACCACCAGCATGCCCTGTCCGACATGCACCCCGAGGGTGTGACCAACGAGGTGTGGCCGGGCCAAGACTTCAACAATAACCGGATAATGGACTTCCAGAACGTCCAGGATTGGAAGGAAAACGAGCTGAGCAAAGAAGACTCGGGCCGCATGCCCTGGCACGATGTAGCCATGGGCGTGGTCGGCCCCTGTGTCTACGACATCGCCGAACACTTTGTGCTTCGGTGGAATTTCGTCAAGCGCGATAAATACAAACGCGATAAGCGATTCGAGTGGCTCGAGCTGAGGGGGCGTCAGGGAGACGATGAGGACCTAATCGGCGTTCAGCGCCCAACTCACCCGGTCGGTGGATACCAGCTACATCCGCTGTCTCCTCTCGAGACTAAGCCTCTCGAGAACCGCGGGACTGTCCACGCCCAGGTCGTCCGCTCCAGTGCCGACTGGTCTAGTGGCATTCTCACCGACCACTCGATCCAGAACGCCTACAGCGACATCATCCGCAAGGCGGAGCACTACGTCTACATCGAGAACCAGTTCTTCATCACGGCCACCGGGGACCAGCAGGTACCCATCAGAAACACCATCGGCAGCGCCATGGTGGATGCCGTGCTGAGGGCCGCCAAGGAAGGCCGCAAGTTCCGCATCATAATTCTCATTCCCGCCGTCCCAGGATTTGCCGGCGACCTCCGGGATGACGCGGCCATCGGTACACGAGCGATCATGGACTACCAGTACAAGTCGATATGCAGGGGCGAGCATAGCATCTTTGGAAGGATTGAAAAAGAGGGCGTCGATCCGACCAAGTACGTCTTTTTCTTCAACCTTCGAAGCTACGACCGCCTCAACAGGACATCGGCAGTCCAGAAGCAGGAGGAAGAGTCAGGGGTCAAGTACCGCGACGTCCAGCGCGCCCAAGCCGAAGAAGTGATGGGTGAGGGGATCCACGGGACCATCGATGCCCATGGCGGCCGCGATTCGCACATGGGCAAGAGGCGCGAACAGGGGAAGCAGCGCGGGGCCGCCGACGGCGAGCTCAAGGACAACCTCGACGAAGAGCACCAGCCGGACGACGCAACCCGGGACATGGACGCTAGGCGCAAGTTTGAAGCGGCCGCTACTAACGGGGACAAGTCGCAAAACAACCGGGACGCGACCGTAGCGAACCACGCCATGGCGGACCAAGGGCCGCTATCCGAGGTTCCCTGGGACGGCGAGGAGGAAGATGAAGTCAACCACTGGATTCAGGAGGAGCTGTACATCCACGCCAAGCTGCTCATCGTCGACGACCGCATCGTCGTCTGCGGGTCCAGCAACCTCAACGACCGCAGCCAGCTGGGCTACCACGACAGCGAGCTGAGCATCGTCATGGAGGACACGCGCCGCTTCGAGACCACCATGGACGGGCAGCCGTTCGAGGCGGGGTGGCACGCGGCCACGCTGCGCCGTTATCTCTGGCGCGAACACCTCGGCCTGCTCCCGCCGCAGGACCTTGATGCCGACGGCGACCCGAACGCCCAGCCGCCCGGCGACGACTCGCCGAATGATGTCCGGGACCGCGACGACTCGTGGAGGTTCGTCGAGGACCCGTTGAGTGATGAGCTCTGGGACATGTGGACCGCGAGGGCGACGAAGAATACCGAGGTGTTTAGGCAGCTGTTCCACGCCGACCCGGACGATCATGGTGAGACATGAGCCCCTTGATAGTGTCAACACACATACATACATACACATTGCTGACTGGATGCCATAGTCAAAACGTTTGACGACTACAACGGCTTCATGCCGGCCAAGGGCGTCAAGGCGGGCCACATCTTTGACCGCATGATCCCGCCGCACGAGGTGAGACAAAAGCTGGAGAAGATCAAGGGACACCTTGTCTGGATGCCGTTGCAGTTCCTCAGGGATGCCGAGATGGCGGAGAAGGGGCTGCAGGTTAACCAGTGGACCGAGAGCGTCTACACCTAGAGGGGGTCGATCTGTTCGGTGCCGGTTATCCATCCGTGTACACAGTTTCCTCACTATTGGTACTCGGTCCGCGGATCGGCGTTCATGACAACCCAACTTGGATCGTTTCTCGTGCAAGATCCCTCCTCACCGCAACAGAACTCTGAGTATCGCCGAGTATTTCTGTGTAGATCCGAGTCCGGGTCCGGCCTTGGCGTGAGCGCGGCATCCGCATCCGCCTCTGCCCTGTCGCCGATCCCTCTGCCGATTGGCCTCAGAAAATGAACGATGCTCTGTTGAGCAGCTCAGCTCATGCAGGAACGCCAAGCTAACATCGCAGCCGTGAAAGCAGCCACTCAGATGTTGGGATGGGTGAGACAACATCCGTGCAGTCAATATCACGTACATGGAAGTTTGTCTCTTCACCACGTGGAGCGCGGTGAGAGCGGCTGTCTTCGTCTCCACGGCAGCGAACGATGCAGAAAGCATGAGAGGGAGGTTCGCAGCAGGGCAGGGCGTCCGGGTTATAAGGACCACCCTCGCCGCCGCTGCCGTGGACCGTGAGTCCGTGACACTTGTGACACTTGACACTCGTCCCCAACTTGCACCTCTACGCCTCTGTACACACCCTCCAGGCCAAAACCAAACCAACCGGCCCTCAGCCAACCCATACTACATAATCATAATAATCCCTAGTTAATAGCCACCGCCACCACCGCCACCATGAAGCTCACCCTCCTCCTCCCCACCATCCTCACCCTCCTCACCCCCCTCACCACCGCCCAGGATCAAGACACCAACCAAGGCCCCTCCTGCGGCCGCCGCAACACGGTGCGCTACTGCGCCGGCACCAACTACACGGCCGAGCTCCTGCAAGACTACCTCTGCGGCGACGCGCGCCTGGGCCCCACCCACCTGCCCGCGCCGAGCGACGACGAGCCCGTGGCGCGCGCGCTCTCCGTCGCCGTCGCCGGCTACGACCGCCTCGGCGGCCTGTGCCCGGGCGCCTTTCTGGAGCGCTGGTACGACGACGAGACGGCTAGCTGGCGCTACCCGCCGCAGGACGGGTTTTTGATGGCGGACCCCGAGGGGGGCCCCCAGGCGGGCGTGCCGGGGCTGCCGATCCGCGCGAATGTCACGCTCGCGCCGGAGACGTTGCTGGATCGCTTCGGCAGCGAGTGGGGGTCGTTTGTGAGCCCCGTGGGCGCTCCGTTTGTGCAGAGGGCGCTGCCGCCGGGGAATTTGGTGGCGGGGGATCCGGAGTGAGTTCTTTTTCTTCTGGTTTTTCTGGTGGTGTTTCGGGAGGGATCCTGGGATGGACGTTGGTGTGATACACATGACTAATACTTCGTGCTATAGGTTCCCCTACAACTACCACGTCTACAGTGTCGTGAAGCCGCTGGTGGTGTCGGCTGGGCCGATTGCGGCGTGGTTTGGACAGGCCGGCGCGGGCGTGCAGTACAAGCTTTACGACAGGGTTAACACGCTCATCACGGACGGATACCTGCGCAGGGAGGACCCGTCGGTGCTGTTTGACTGAGTCCTGGGGGGTGGATGCCGCCCTGATCTAGGGGATATGTCACTACCAATTTAATTTGAACCTGCTGCGTTCTCTCACCACTTACCATACCTGATATCATTGCACTGGGCGAGTGAGGACTGTCACAAGATGTGATGGGATGACTGGGTAAATACACCCCGTTTTGTTCGTATGATGTGTGCCTTCCCTGCCCCCGGACGGTTTGTCGAGATTCCGACAACCGAAGAGAAAGCCCAATCTCACGAGCTACTTAAAATAGCTCTCCATCAGTGGGAATCATACCTGTCAGGTATGTTGCAGCGCCGAGCAGGCCGGGGAACTGGTTTACCGCAAGACTCAAACTGAGACTTACGCTCTGCTGGGAAGCCGAAAGAACCTGTTAAAGGAAGCTACGGCATTTAGGGGTACGGAAGATATGGCGCAACGCCACAATGACAAGTTCATCCGGGACGTCAATGCAAGGGGCAGAAAAGGCCAGGTACGGTCATACGAGACACGGATACCCCACTGCACCTCAGCAATCAGCTGTGCCGGCTGAGCGAGACTTGGTGTATATGACGAGGCCTCTGAGGATTTGACGGAAAACGAAAGCTGGATTTGGAGTGATAAGCATCACCTGTGGTATTATCTGAAGCATAATGGGTCTCCCGTGAGGGAAGATGAGACGGAGGACTAAATCTCCGTTGCCCGGAATTATCAGCACTTTAATTTAACTCAAAATGCTATTATGCCACGATCTCAGGTATGTCGTAAAATCTCTCCGGCTTAGCACACGGGGTCCAACTGGTCGTAAATATAAATATGGGATAATGGCCATATCCAACCATGTTATTCGTTCTTGGACTTGATCGGGGGCTGGTGTTTAAACTAGGCAAGTCACTAGAGCAATCGCCGTACTGCTCTTGAGATTATGGGGTTTTCCGAGCTTACGCTGTGAAAATCTGTACTTGGCTTTATGTGACGGGGTTGTTTGGGTGTTCTGAAATGGGGGGTTTCGTTCATTTTGAATTACAATAAGGGGTGGAAGGACAGGACAGGGTACCTAGGTGGTCAAAGTGGACGAAGAAGGACGTCTTTACCACACTGTGAGGCATGACACTCGCAGTGTACATGGAAAGGGGGCTGGCCTTTCCGAAGGCTCATTGAGCAAGTTTGGATTCAGCCTTCCGCTAGTCCGCGCTCTCATATGCTTCATCCTACTTATCTTGGCTGTTATCGGCGGATTAATGAGTTACCCCGGAGATCAAATCATGCTGAGAAAACTCCGGGTTGGGTTTCTCCCACTGCCTCCCCGCCAGCCCAACTTGCTCCAACGAGCGCACAATGGAGGGCCCATGTAACCCGAGTTACCCAACCTACATGCATAAAGGCTGGGGGTCGGCATCCCCGTCCGGAAACCGGTTCTCCATCCCGATGGAGCGTCGGCATGTTAGATCCGGATCGGAATCCTCTGGACTGGTCCGGGCCGGGATACTACGCATGGTGCATCAACACGCAAATCGGTGGTAGGAAACCACCTTCTGCAGCACTCCCGAGTCCCGAGGTTATATGAATGCCACGCAGGACTGCGACTCTGGATATTGTTGGTTCTTCGGGCATGAATCTGTGCGTGGGGGTATTGCCGGTTCGACGGGGGAGGGGACGGCTGAGCGGTGAGAAAACAACTTGAAAACACTTTATGAGACGGCTTGGGCGGCTTCAACTCCTGTCGTGAGCATGACTGACGGGCCATTTCTTTTTCGGGTCTCGTCAGTCTCGATTCGGCTCCGTGGCCTGTTCCGAGAATAGCATCCTCGTTGCCACCCAGTATCCGCCTGACACTCAATTTTTATTTTCCGATTCGAGAATACAATTTTGGTGTCAAATTGACGAGCTGTTGATGATGCCGTCCCGTGTTGGTTGTGTTGTTATGTTTACGTCCCAACGGACCAGAGGCCATGGACTTTGACTCGGCCCGTCTTGAGCTTGTTTCACGATGGGTCAAAAGAGAGCCGGAGGGTTGCCTGAGATGGGCGAAGTGCATCCGAGTTATCACCATGTGAATACCCGGGGATGGCTCCGACTGCTCGTCCCGGGGCACCTTCAAGGTGCTTGTGAAGGGACTTGGGGGATATCCTCAGTCCGGATCCACCTGGGCTACCAGCGGCGATGTGTTTTCTCCTTCTGTCGGATGTGGATGTGAATGGATTGGCGGAGGAGAGGTGATGAGGGAGAACACAAAAAGAAGCACAGAGCGTCAAGGGCTGAAGAAAGGAGTCGAATAATCTGTAGACCCCCCCCCCCCGGAGAACGATAGACTGGCGGTTTAGTTCGGCAAGGCAGATCAGAAACCCCGAGATGCCGGTCGGGCCCGACTACGCCCGACCATTGCGGTTGTATCGTATCGTTAACGGATCTCGCGGCACAAAATGAAGGAGCTCGTCAGGAGAGGCAGGTGGATCGAGCTCCATGCAGACGCAAGCGCCCTTTGGCGGGGAAATAATCCGAAAAAGAAACTGCCTCACGCGGAGTCACGCCCCCTCGCGATGAAACTTCTAGGTGGCTACCTAGACAACCTAGACCGTGCCAGTTTGGAGGTGGCGGGAATAGGGATACCGCGACCCGCACACAAATGTCGACGTGTTTCTCATGTTTTCCGCAAAACAGGACGAGGCAAGAGCATGAAAAGTCGCAGGTGGAGTGCAATCGCGCGTGGGCCAGAAAGGAGACTACCGACGTCGAAAGCCGTTGAACCACCCTCGGAGACTTGGCCTGCTTGGCCTGGGGAAGGGACGAGCCCCTCCCCCCCACCCGCATGCCATGCATCCCGTGTTGTGGAATTCGAAGGAAGGCGCGGGTGAAGCTTTCTGGTGTCTTGTCGCGCGGCTGGCGGGCTGGGAGGGGCCCAGAACCAGCAAGTCCCACCCCGATCCGTTGTGGGTTGCATGCGCTAGGCCTTTTTGGGGGGCAGCGGAGTGTGATTTGCGGTTTGTTCGCAACGCACCTGCTGTTCGTCTCTCCTCGTTGCTACCGGGTTGCACCTGGTGATCAGCGCTCAAGAGGCCGAGTTCGTCGCGCCTAGATGGTCAAGCATTGCGGACGCAATATAGCCAAATTGGAAGAGCACCAGCTCCCCGGTTTTGCGTCCCAGCCGCCCGGGAAGGCGATTCTGGCCACTTGAGCCTCAGGTCTAGGCGCGCCGGGGATCGAACGACAAGGGAAAGAAAGAAGAAAAAGATCACCGAAGCATGGGATCGTCAGACCCTGATCGCCCAGCCGAACGCGTGGTCCCGATCACTCGCCATTCACGCAAGCCCCAAGACTCCAAGAGTCCGGGGTTGTGGGCCATGCGGACTGGGTGGAATGCGGGGAGAAGCGAAGCCGTGGTGGAACCTCCTGGAAGCCTGGGGCGTTGGGCGGCTTCCTCCGTGAGAGGGAAGTTGCAAAGAAATCGTCGCCTTTGACACCCTTCCGGATATCTGGAACTGAAGCTCGCGTCCGGCACTTCGGATCGCTTTTGCCTTTTGCCTTTTGCCTGGAACGGCGGGTGACGGCGGGAGAGACTGGACTGTGGCCGCCGGGAAACCAATCGGTCGGTCACCACTCATCGGACGATTCCTGCATCGTCGCCCTCTCGTGGAACCATGGATTGAACCAACAAAGATGGTTGTCGACAGGGCGAACTGGACACCCCAAAGTTGTACTCGGCGGACGTCCTCCGTGGCACCCCTGGCAACCTGGTTCACGGACCAAAACCCCTCCAATAGGCGGCAGTTGCCCCTGTTGACCCTCGGCAACCTTAATCCCTTCCATCACTCGGCTCCGCACCCTCCACGAGGCCCTCAGTCCGTGCCCGGGCTAGCCTCCGCTGTGGCAACCACCATGTGACATCGCTGTCCAGTCCACCGGCCGCTATCGACGGTTTGGGCCTGTGGCTGCACGCGCGGCTCCATCCGGCCCTCTCCTTCGCTCCACTCCTCGTCTGACCACAAGCGACATGGCTCACCAACCCTCGCCTTGGACTGCCCCGAAAGTGCCAGCTGCGTTGCTGCCGGTCCCTTTCCTGCTGGTCCTCACGGCGCCCCCAGCGCCGAGATGACTTCGTCCGCTCGTCCCTCTCGGCTCGTGTGCGGCTGAGCACAAAGGTGCTCCAGCGTCGACGGGCCGTGGGCCGTCTCCTCGACGCGAGACCTGCTCGTCTCTTTGGTGGCGATGGCGACCGGGGGCCAAGTGCTGCGTGGGCGGTGTTCCCGGCAAGCCGGAAGGGGCTGGCTGGCTGCATAGAGTTTGGCGATGGGATGAGGAAAGGAGCATGGCCATCCGGGGTGCTTGGAACGGTCCTGACGACCGTCTATATAACTTGACGTTCCCAGCATCCACCAGGCTATTCTGATCTCGCAACCCCCATCGTCCATCACGCAAACACTCCACCATGTATGCCAAGTTCGCGACCCTCGCCGCCCTCGTGGCAACCGCCTCTGCTCAGTCCGTCTGCTCCCTGACGGCTGAGTCGCACCCTTCCATTCGGTGGTCCAAGTGCACGTCTGGCGGCAGCTGCACCAACGTCCAGGGTTCCATCACCATCGACTCCAACTGGCGGTGGACTCACCGGACCTCGGCGGCGACCAACTGCTATGATGGCAACACCTGGGATACTTCGTACTGCAGCGATGGTCCTGATTGCGCCTCCAAGTGCTGCATTGACGGTGCCGAGTACTCCAACACCTACGGCATTACCACCAGCGGTGACTCTCTGAACCTGAAGTTCGTCACCAAGGGCCAGCACTCCACCAACGTTGGCTCCCGTACCTACCTGATGGAGAACGAGACCAAGTACCAAAGTGAGTCCTCGCACTCGGCCAATTAATAGCGTATTAGCTGCTAACCGGACGGTCAGTGTTCGAGCTCCTCGGCAACGAGTTCACCTTCGACGTCGACGTCTCCAACATCGGCTGCGGCCTGAACGGCGCCCTGTACTTCGTGTCCATGGACGCCGATGGCGGTCTTTCCAAGTACTCGGGCAACAAGGCTGGTGCCAAGTACGGCACCGGCTACTGCGATGCCCAGTGCCCCCGTGACCTCAAGTTCATCAACGGCGAGGCCAACGTGGAGGGCTGGTCCGGCTCGACCAACGACCCCAACGCCGGCGCTGGCAAGTACGGCAGCTGCTGCTCTGAGATGGACATCTGGGAGGCCAACAACATGGCCACTGCCTTTACCCCCCACCCTTGCACTGAGATCGGCCAGTCGCGCTGCGAGGGAGAGAGCTGCGGTGGCACCTACAGCACCGACCGCTACGCCGGTGTGTGCGACCCCGACGGATGCGACTTCAACGCCTACCGCCAGGGCAACAAGACCTTCTACGGTAAGGGCATGACCGTCGACACCACCAAGAAGGTGACGGTCGTCACCCAGTTCTACAAGAACTCAGCGGGCGAGCTCTCGGAGATCAAGCGTTTCTACGCACAGAACGGTGTCGTCATCCCCAACTCGGAGTCCACCATCGCCGGCAACCCTGGCAACTCCATCACCCAGGACTGGTGCGACGCCCAGAAGATCGCCTTCGGCGACGTGGGTGACTTCAACGCCAAGGGCGGCATGGTCCAGATGGGCAAGGCCCTCGAGGGCCCCATGGTGCTCGTCATGTCCATCTGGGACGACCACGCCGTCAACATGCTCTGGCTCGACTCGACCTGGCCCATTGACGGCGCCGGCAAGCCGGGTGCGGAGCGCGGTGCCTGCGCCACCACCTCGGGTGTCCCCGCCGAGGTCGAGGCTCAGGTCCCCAACTCCAACGTCATGTTCTCCAACATCAAGTTCGGCCCCATCGGCTCCACCGTTGCCGGCCTCCCCGGCGGTGGCGGCAGCCCCGACCCCGGCAACGGCGGCTCCAGCACCAGCGCCAGTGTCCCCTCGGCCACCTCGTCGACCCCTACCGGCCCTACTGGCGGCGCGACGTCCCCCCACTACGGACAGTGCGGTGGTAACGGCTACACCGGCCCTACTCAGTGCGCTGCCCCGTACACCTGCAAGAGGCAGAACGAGTGGTACTCCCAGTGCCTCTAAACGACTCGCATTCCGCCCGTGATGATGACCCGGGGGCCCGGAAGGCGCCTGATGAAGATGAAGGGGGACTAATGAACGCGCCGTGTGTATCGGCATCCTTCAGCTGTACATAGTTTGTTCCTGCTGCATCGTGGAGCTTTTCTTCTTCGCTTCATAGTATATACATTGTTGCATTCATGGTCTTTACGGTGGCAGTACATTCGTATGTGATCGGTCTTGGTGTCTGACTGCAATTACCCCTATCCTTTTGAATCATCACGATCCCAACGGGTTGAGACGTCTCACCTCACTCCAAGTCAAGGAAATGAGGGGGGAAGGTTGCCTCTCCATCCCAGGCCGCCACATCCGCAGGTTCCATATCCGGGTTCTGAAAGTACTGATCCAAAAGGTTCTACAGCCGGTCATTAGCACACGTCTCGCCCATTTCCCCAAGCCAAAGGAAACTCACCCAATCCGGCGCTGTCGCGCCATCAATGACATCAGACATGAAATGCGCGTACGGCAAGCCAGCGTCGGCGGGGGACGGCGCCGCCTCGTCAACCACCACCGGGGACGGCTGTGCGCCGTGCTGTCCCAGCAGCGCCTCAGCATTCCTCTTCTCCGACACCTTCCGCAGCATCAGGTCCAGCGCGAACGTCGCCGTGTGCGCCTCGGGCGACAGCGCACTCGTCTCGGCCCACACGCCCCGGGACGTCTGCAGCGCGCGGTACGTCCTCTCAGCCAAGCCCCCATCGTCGCCATCATCACCATCATCATCATAACCACCACCACCACCACCACCACCCTGCCGCCGACGATGACGACGACGACGATCACGACCCTCCACCCTCCCCAACCGCACCGACAGATCCAAGCACAGCACCATGGCCGCCAACAAGAAATCATGCGCCATCAGCGACAACAACATCCACCGATCCCGATACAGCCTCCCACCGACCCGCGACGCCTGCGCTAAGTCGGCCTGCCGCGCGAGCATCTCCAGCGCGGCTTCGACGCACGCCCGCCGCGACCTTTCCGCCCCCGCCCCCATCCCCATCCCTGTACCTGTACCCGAGGCCCCCCCTCCTCCCCCTCCTCCTTCCGGTCGTCCAGTGGTGTCGGCGTCGGTAGTATTGTGGTAGCGCACGAACCGCCGGTGCAGCACGACCAGGCTCTTGAGGTGCAGCAGCTCGACGCTGGCGCGCTCGACGATGCGCGCCGCCGTGTCGAGGACGCCGCAGCGGGCGGCGTCGCGCCGCTGGAGGAGGGGGGGCACGCGGGCGTAGACGTCGCGCGCTTCGAGGTCTAGGGCGATGGTGTGCTTGTGGGTGTCTGTGGGGTCGTGGGTTGTGGTTGTGAGGGGTGGGGTTGTGGTTGTGAGGGGTGGGGTTGGGGTGATGGTGGTTGTGGTGGTGGTGGGGGTGGTGCTGCTGCTGGGGAGGCGTTGGGTGTGCGCGACGATGCGCTTGAAGGTGCGCATCACGCTCGACTTGGCGATGATGTACAGTACCGGGGTGTCGGTGGTGAGGGGCCGCGGTGGGGGGAGGGTGGGCATGGTTGGGTCGAGGTCGGAGTACTCGAGGTTGAGCGGGGGTTGGGCGTCGCAGTGCTCGGTGGGGATCATGCTCGGGAAGCCCATCTGGAAGGAGAGTAGGGCGTCGACTTGGAAGATGTTCACCCACACGCGCCGCCGCATCTCGGCTTGGAAGGGGCTGATGCTGGCTGTCTTGCTCGGGTCGCGGTGGTAGCCCATCCGGATGGCTAGGCGGATGACGGTGCCTGCTTCGAACCAGAGGTGCACGCTGGCGCGGCTCGACCGCCCCTCGCTCAGGAAACGGCTCTGCAGGTGGAGGATGAAGGCTTCGAGTGCGTAGGCGTTGGCAGTGGCGAACCCGCCGAGGATCAGGCATTCTGCGGCTCGCTCTTGGAGTGTTTTCACGGGGGGTAAGGATTCGTGGTCGGGTTCGTGAAGCCTGGCCAGCCGGAGGAGTATGGTTGCCATACTGAGAAGGGAAAAGAGGAGGGCGATCCAGAGGACCGGGGCTTTGGTTGGTGCTTCCCAGAACGTTTCATACTATGACTTGCGTTAGCCATACCAACTCGGCCGTGTTCGGGAGACACACATGGTATGTACTTCTTTCTGGAACTCGAGTGGATGGACAATGCCTTGGATAACGTCCTGGGTGAGCCCCGCAGCCTATCATAGGGGTTGTCTATGGGTTTGTGGGGATGCACTCACCTAGAACGAGATATCTGGAGTTGAAGTAGTGTGAGAGCAATCGATCACATGTCGGCCGAGGCGGCAACGAGGTGAGGATATCGTCGAGATTTGAACTGGCGTTCAAGCCCAAGACGGAGCTGACTTCGGGGATTCCGGGTTCCCAACCGGCCCCGCTCCCCGTTGGCATCTCTTGCTGCAGAAAGTTCCCTTCCGGCGAGAGGTGCTCGCGGACTTCCCTAATATCCTCCAAGATGGACAGCCAATGATTTGAGTCGACGTAGTTGACAGGGCCATCGTAGGTCTGCCGTATGCGGGGCGCTTCCGTGTCCAGTCCCTTCTGGTCTTGGTTTTGGTTAAACTGGCTGTCGATATTCGGACTTGCTCCGGTTTGGAGACCGGGGCCCTCGTTTGGCATGGCGGCGGCCGCATCGCTGCTCCCATCGGTGCGGCTTCGCTGTTGGACGACAAGATCCCGAGATGCAAAGGAGGAAACTAAAGCCTCTAGATTTCTCAGACGGTCCGTGAGATTGGTCTTCTTGGAAGAACTGGCTTCACTGCGCCGAACGTTCGCTGCATAGTGGCACGACGATGGCTGGTTGCGTTTTATGCAGCTATCGCAAGGAGTCGCACGGTTGCACTTTGACCTGGATATTGTATTAGTGAGCTAGCCATGGGTAAAACCACTCTTTGGTGACTCGTGAGACTCACTTGCGAGTGCGGCATGGTTCACAAGATAACGGTGGCCTGTTTCGTTTCTCTACTCTCCTGGAGACAGCATCCATGGCCGGGAATGGAAGGTTGAGAAGTGGATAGCCTGTTTTATTTTTGATCTGTACACGGCAAGGGGATGACCGCACGGGGTTTATGTGATCAAGTGTTGTGAGTGAAGGATGGTGGTCATCATGGCCGGATGAGGAGCGGAGCGGAGATATTATCCCCGCCCCGGCGCCATTATCCCCGGACACGGTTGACACGCAGAGTGGGGCCGTCAGCTTGCCTTCTCCCGGCTCCGAGTGACTTACACGAACAGGACATAATAAATCCGGCGGGTTCTTGATCGAATAAGGAAACAAGTAGCGGATTTGTTATTCTATATAATGGCGTTACCAGCTCCCGGGTTGGATTCCCGCTTGCTTTCTTTCCATCATCAACTGAACCATCTCAATATCTGCCTACTCCTCTAATCTACTACTCGATACCTACTACACACCAACTCACCACCAACACAAGCACCACCTAAACCACCACCACCATGCCCGTCCTCTCATCCCTCTACGGAACCAGCTCCGTCATCCTCTCCAACCTCTTCATCAAGCTCCCCGCCCCCCAAGCCCACCCGGACCTCCCCAACCAAACCATCATCGTAACCGGCTCCAACACAGGCCTCGGCCTCGAAACCAGCCGCCACCTCCTCCGCCTCGGCCTCGGCAAGCTGATCATGGCGGTGCGCAACCCCGCCAAGGGCCGCGCCGCGCGCGACGCCCTCCTCGCCAGCACGGGCCGCGCGCCCTCCAGCATCGACATCTGGCCGCTCGACATGGCCGACCCGGCCTCCGTCCGCGCCTTCGCCGAGCGCGCCGCCGCCCAGCTCCCGCGCCTCGACGGCGTGCTGGCCAACGCGGGCCTCATGACCGAGCACTTCACTCTCACCGGCGGCGGCCACGGCCACGGCCACGAAACGACGCTGGCCGTCAACGTGCTCGGGCCCTTCCTGCTGTGCCTGCTGCTGCTACCGGCGATGCGCGCGAGCGGGCGCGCGACCGGCCGGCCGTGCCGCTTTGTGGTGCCCAACAGCGCGCTGCACTACCTGGCGCCGCTGGGGGAGCTGGAGGCGGCAGCGGCGGCGGCGGCGGCGGCGGCTGGGGGGGATGGTGAGGGCGTGCTCGCGCGGCTGGATGATCCCGCGCGCGCGGATATGGCCGGGCGGTATGCGGTTAGCAAGCTGCTGGTGGTGTGGGGGGTGCGGGAGCTGGCGGCGCGGTTGGGGTCCGGGTCCGGGTCCGGGGCCGGACTGGGGGCGGCGGCGGCGGCGGCGGCGCCGGGTGAGGAGGTGGGGGTGATTGTTAATACGCCGAATCCGAGTTATTGCGTCTCCGGGCTGGTGAGGGAGAAGGAGGGGAGTCTGGGGTTGCGGGCGATGGAGAAGCTTCTGGCGCGCACGACGGAGGAGGGTAGTCGCACGTTGTATCATGGTTTGTTTGCGGGAGAGGAGAGTCATGGGCAGTATTTGACGAACTGCCATGTTCAGACGTGAGTTTCGGTGGTCGGTCGGTCTTGGTGTGTCAGAGCTAACATCTTCGAGCAGGCCGGCGTGTCATGTTACCAACGAGTGGGGACAGCGGATGCAGAAGAAGTTCTTTGATGAACTCCTGGCCGCTCTGGAAGAGATCCAACCTGGGGTGTCGAAAAATATTTGAGCAGGAGTGGTTGATCAAGAAACAGAGAGGTGGAAGTGGAGGGCAGCTTGGCTTGTTGTTTCGATTGCGGTTTTGGGAGTTGGTGCTTTTGTGTGTAATAACATGTTTGGATTTAATGAGGTTAAACCTTTGTTTCGTCGTCTCTGGAGAAGTCAGTGTGAACGGCGAATCGAGAATAAACTGCGGGGAAAACGTGCTGAGAAAAAAGGGCCGTTATTCTTGCGACTACAGTTCATATACAGCCCATCAACCATCAACTGCTTCTGCAACAGGGAAATGCACAACCAACACCCCGTTACCGCCAACAAGAACGTACTGTGCTCACATAGAATTACACGATGCGGGAACACTTGCTGAGACCCTAACACGGACAATAACAAGAGGACCCCTTCTCGCACCCATTCCCTTTTCCCACGCCGACAAGTCCCGTCCTGTCCTGTCCTGTCCCGTCCTCAATATAACCACTCCGCTAAACAAAACACGCCCCACCATCACCGCTTAAATGACGGCTCGCGCACCGACCGGCGAGACTTGCGGGGCGTGGTCGTGCCCGTGCCCGCGCCCGCCACCCCGTCATCCGTCGAGTCCTGCCGGGAGCCCTTGCCATCCCCCTAGAACGGCCGGGCATCGCTGGCGTGGAGCATCTTGGTCCAACGGGGTAGCTTGCGGTCGCGCTCGTACATGAAGCCGCAGTTGTTGCAGAGGGACTGCGGGCGCTCGTTAGCAACCGCCCCGCTCATTGGGGGGAAGGGGGGAAATAAATGATTAAAAGAAAATAAAACAAGGGAAAGGAAGCGGCTTACTCTCGGCCCAAACGGCCCGTCCCTCACCGCCCACACACCGGTACCCCACACCCGACAATGAGCGCACCGCCAGCTCAGCCTCTCCGTCTCGGTCAGCGTGCCACCACCGCCATAACCCTCCCCGGCGGCGGGGGTTCCGCGTCCCCCCGGCGTGCCCGACCTCCCCGCGGCCGGCGGCGGCGGCGAGAGGCTCCTGAACCGCTTCTTCTTCTTCTTGCTGCGCTCGCCGCGGCCCATGCGCTCCTCCTCCTGCTCGATGAGGCCCGAGAAGGCGAAGCCGGCGGGCATGCCGCCGGCCATGCCCGTGTTGCTGCTGAAGCGGGCCGTCTCCCGGCGGAGGCGGCGGATCTGGCGCTCGCGGTCGCCCTCGCGCTTCTCGATCTCCTCCTTGCTCAGCACCTCCAGCTTGGGCTCCCACTCGTCGGCGAGGTGCTCCGGGTCGTAGCGCCAGCCGGCGCCCTCGCCGCCCGCCGTCGCCGCCGCGTCGTTGGGGAACTCGTTGGCGCCCGACCCGGCCGGCAGGGTGCCGCCCGCGGCGGCGGTCGCGGCGGCGGCGGCCGACGCGCCCCACCCGGCGACCAGCCCGCCCGACTCGCAGGCTTCCTTCTTGAGCTTGAGCACGGCCTCGTAGATGGCGTGCGTCATGGCGGGGATCCACTCCCCGTGCAGGCCCAGGTCGGCGCACGTCTGCTTGGCGAAGATCTCGGCCGTGCCCGGCGGGTGCAGGAGCGACCACTCGAACTTGTCCGTGTAGACCTGCGACGAGAGGTTGATGTTAAGGCTGATGATGCAGCGGTACGTGTCGTCGGGGCTGCCGTCGTCCTCGGTCGTGTCCGGGGGGATGGGGGTTGCCGCGGCTGTCACTTCGCCCTGGGCGGTTTGGATGACGGCCGGTGTGGTTGGCCTGCCTCCAAGTCTGGACGGCGTCGAGGCAAAGCCGAGGTTGCTGCCCATCGGGGTGTCGGCGCGGCTGAGGGCCGGGTTGGGCGCTGGCGTAGAGGAATCGAGCCGGCTGGGTGCTTTCGGAGGTTCGGGCGCATTCGTGCGGGTAGTGTGGGAGTGAAAGAGGGGGTGGAGCGCGACACCGGCATACTCTTCTAGTTGGGTGCGTATTTGTTTGCTAATCTCGTTGATGGTGGCCGTGCGGTTGGGCAGGTCGAGGTCCTGGACGAGTTGCGTCGCAAACATGTCCGTGGTGATAAGGCTCTCGTGTAGGTTCCACAGGAAGGTATCCCGTAGCCGATATGGTACTGTCGTTTCCTGTGGCTTGTAGAACGGATGGGTTGGATCCACTGGCCCGGGTGTGGGGAGGGCGGGCTGTGGCGTGAAGGCGGGAATGTCGAGGTCGATCCGGATCGGGATCAGGGTGAGCGGCAGGCAAGCCTGGACGTAGTTTTGGGCATCGGACCTGTTTGGGCGCACCTTTCCCATCCAGTCGCGGTAGATCCCCTGCAACTCGACGGGTTCCGTGGTGTCCTTGCCGACCTTCTCGCTGGGGTCGATCTTGGCTGTGCTGTCGTCGCGGCGCAGGCTGCGCAATCCCGTAGGACGCCGCCTACTGTCGTCGTCATCATCATCGTAGTCGTCGTACCCGTCTTCGGCATAATTTATGATGGTCGTCCCCCGCTTGGTGGTGCGAGAGAGGGGGTTCGCGGGGGCGGCGCCGGGGAGGACAGGCTGTAGGAGGGCATTGTTGTAGGTGCGCAATCGCGGCGCGTAGGACGAGAAGATCGCCTGCTGCGATTCAGATCGTACCGCCATGATTGAATCGAAAACAACGTTGGCGCCGTCGCGCTATTTCATATCGGTCGGCCACTTGCGCGCCGAGTCGAAATGGGGGTTGTGGGCGCGCAAAAAGTATCGAGCAGCGGTGGTGCAAACTTGATGTGTCAGCAATTGACAGTTGCAGCAATTCGGCCGAATAATTGGATTGTAATCGAGTCAGGGTGGGCGCGAAAGCGGGGGGTTGGGGCGGATCGTGTTTGCGGATGGAAACGCAAAGGCGCGATGCGATCTCTTGTGAGCTGCTGTGAGGCAGGAGCACTTTCCTCCCTCGAGACAAAACGCGACGCATCTGAAATGTGGGTCGAGAGCAAGAATGAGGTTAGCGCCAAATAGGGATCCACAGAGCCACAGGGTGCGGAAGAATTCATCTCTTTGAGCGTGACTGTGGCCCGTGCGTGAACCTTCTCTTGACTTCATCTGTCCTTCACGCTAGTCAAGTGTTTAGTCTAAAGGCTTTGAGAGCCATTATTATCTTTTTTATTTAATATTTGACATCTCTATGGACACCTGAATACCATTCCCATGTTCCTTCCCGTGGCAGACACTCTAGAGCCGAACACCCGCCCCCCAGGTTGACCATTACATGACCCCAGGGGGCCAGTAGCTTCCCAGTGATCATCCTATCCGAGTCGTGATCTGTTGGGTTTTCGGTAGGAAGTGCTTATTATTCTGTATAGCAGTATGTTACGGCAGATAACAGCTTGCTCATTGAACAGTAGAGAGCATTTAGCACGGGCATGCGAGTCAGTCGAAAGTCACACACAACGCAGGGCAGGCAAGTCTTTGTTCGATGGGATGTTTCCCGGCCTTGTGAAGCCATGTACGGGTAATACCCTGTTTGCTTTTCACGATTGTGCTTCTCAAACTACCTCGAGGTTGTGGAAACTCCTACAAGTCCTTAGGCTGACATGAAGGATGCTGGGGAGACAAATGACCAAATAGATTGCGCACTGAGGCTCTTAGGCTACCACCCATTCTTTTCCTTGACCGTTCTCCAGTGCTGTGATGCATGGGCCTCCTGTGATATGTGCCGGGGATTAACGAACAATTCCTGGCGACCAGTCTAACCCGCCAACACTCTTACACCCCTTGGCCGGGCTCGCTTTGTTGACCCTGCCTCCAACCGTTTCCTTACTTTTCATCTCACTGTTATTCCCACACAACAGATGGCTTTTAAGCAGAGGCCTCTTTAAGCAAGCCCTAGAGTTAATCTTGGAATTCCCCAAGCCACTTTCTGGCTGCCTACGAACTGGGGAAGAAATCGCTTTCGCAGTTCTTCCTTTCCTTCCCTTCTCCTTTTCCACTTCACCCACAATTCGACTTTCTCAATACATTCATTTACCTTCTTTATCCTCCCACCCAGCTAGGTCCGTTCTCTTTCGACGCCTCCCTACACAGCCATCACTATGGCCCAGGCCGATCTGCGCGGCTGGCTCGAGGCAGCCATCATCGATTCTGATGCTGGTCTTCTCCCCGCTCCCTCTGGCTCTCCCGGCTGCTCTGGCGCTGAAATAGCGTCAGAGCGCCCTGAAGCAGCCTCAGAGTCTGCCACCCTCGTGGGCGCCGAAATCCCCGAGTATGACCGCAAGTTGGCCACGGTCCGCCGCATTGCAGCCGTGACCACGATGGATGAGAACTACGATATCATCGCCATTGACGGCTGGAGGGTGGTGGCCAACAAAAAGGACAGATTTTCCCAAGGAGAATATGTTTTGTTTCTGGAAGTCGACGCTTTTCTTCCGCAGGTATCTAAAGACAACCATCTCTTCGCACAGATCGGTCCTACTATCGAGTTTGATGGTAAAGTTGGCTATAGAGTCGGTACCTCGGTGTGGACGGACTCGAACGGAAATAAGGTCATCTCACAGGGCCACATCTTCCACCTCTCCGACTTCCCTAACATCGATAAGAAGACCTGCGGCTGGCATTTCGCGTACATCGAGGAGACCAAAGAATACTTTGCCGAGCACCTCCGCGGCTTCGACTTTTCGGGCCAGTTAGGAATCAAAAAGTGGGAGAGCTTCCCAGAGGAGATAGCAGAGGACTTAATGGACGCTCCAGCCTCGGGCCCTGAGGTCGACAACTATACCCCCTTCGCCACATCAAACCCCAAGCCCCCCTCCTTCATCATCAAAACCGACACCAAGCGCGTACAAGACTGCCCCAACCTGTTCATCAGCCCTAAATACCAGCAGTTCGTCTTCCAAGAAACCCTCAAAATGGACGGCGCCACCACCGCCATCTACTTCATCAACAACAACGCCATAGGCAGCGGCAGCATCGACCTACCCACCCTCCCCCCGCTCAACCACAACAACCACAACAACAACAATAACAACAACAACAACAATAACAACAATAACAACTACCTCCCCTACGCAATCCACCCCAACGGCCGCCTAGGCGTGTGCACGCGCAAGCAGGACCTGCTCCCGCACCTGACGCCCTCGGCCGGCGCCGGCGCGCCGCAGCACCAGCTCGCCCACTTCTGGGCCGCGGCCGTCGCCGCCGGCCTGCACGCGACCCTCCCGCGCCTCGGCCGCAACCTGGTCGTGCAGGCCGAGCTGGTCGGCGCCTCCGTCCAGGGCAACCCCTACCGCTACCCAGACCCAGACCCAGACCCGGCGGTGGCGGCTGGTCGTGAGGGTGGCGGTGGTGGTGGGGGCGGGGGACCGACGCATGAGTTGTTCGTGTTCTCCGTGAGCGACGTGGTGGTGGAGCCGACCAACACCAACAAGAAGAGCAAGGGCGGGGCGGTGTCGGTGTCGGCGCGGCGGTGGCACCCGCGGCGGGTCGAGGCGTTCGCGGCGGAGCACGGCCTGCGGCACGTGCCGGTGCTGGGGTATGCGACGTTGCCGGCGATAGCGCGGGATCATGAGGACTTGGTGGTGCGGGCGGAGCTGAAGAAGGGGGAGGGGTTGGTGTTTAAGAATGTCGTGGATGGGCGCTGGTTTAAGGTGCTTTCGAGCCGGTGGCTGTTGGAGAAGGGGGATGAGATGCAGGCGCGGAAGCAGATGGGGAAGAAGGGGAAGGGTGGGGGTAAGGGGGCATTGGAGGAGAAGACTATGCGAATTGGGGGTTGGCAGCTTAGTAGCGAGGACGCGGCCATCATTGTCAAGGCTTTTCAGGACGTGGAGAAGTGGATCGAGAGGGATGATGGGCTGAGGCAGTGGTTGGAGGACTGGGAGAGGGAGTTTCATGGCGAGGCTGCCGGTGCTGCCGATGGTGTGGTGGCCAATGGTGAGGTGGTCAATGGTACGAAGGTGGCTAGGATCCCCGAGGTGAAGCCTAGTGATGGCGTGATGGACTGGCTCGGAGCCAAAGGGTTTGGTCTCTAAGGTAGGCTCGCGTTGGGGCACTAGGCGTACCGACGATGGAGGTCGGGTGGCAGGCGGTGAATTTTCAGTTTCCTTAGTTATCGGATATATGGGACGGTGTAGGTAGCGATTTCTGGAGGCTTCTAGATATCTCGAGCAAGTGGTTCGTACGTTGGGCGGAAAATACAGCTTGGTTTGATTCACCCTTTTATTCCCAGGGGCTAGTTGCTCACACCTCATTTACAACCTAAGGGTTGATTATACATCTCCGTAAACACTCACCAACGGCAACCGATAGAACCGAACTATTGCCAACATAATCACATGTATTGACTGGAATGCGCAACGGACACTTAGCTTATCCACAAACATTATCGTGAATTCCGGCCGAGACCGAGGCTATCTAGGCTATCTAAATTACAAAACACCCCCCTATTACCCCTCTTACCCCTAAGATCCCAGCAGACCAATACCCACCCCTAATAAACCTGCGCAACCCTCTCGCCAGTCGGGAACGCCACCTCATACTGCAGCAACAACTTAACGCTGCGCCCAGCATTGAGCGAGACCTCCCACTGGACCTCGCCCGCCTTCCGCAGGCTGGCGGTAGCCTTGCCCCAGTCCGAGTCATCCTTGCCATCGCCGGCGGGGACGCCGGCAGCGACGAGGCGGCCGCCGTTAGAGAGGCCGGCGGGGTGGAGGACGTCGACGCGGATCTTCTCGTCCTCGGAGACGGGCACCTGGTCGAGCACCGTCATGGCGACGGGCTTGCCGGCGGCGGCGCGCGTGTTGACCAGCGTGACGGACCGCGTGTATGCGCTGTTCTCGCCCTTGCTGAACACCCCCGTTGTGCTACGCGCCACCTCGGGCTTGGGGTACGACACGCGGATGGCTGGGTCCACCCCCAGGGGCACGTTGAAGCTATCGCCGGCGCTGCACCGCGGCAGCGTCGACCGCCCCAGGAAGGTCCCGTCCAGCGTAAGCCCCGTCGGCCCGCGCAGCAGCGTCAGCTTGCTGGTATTGCGCAGCCGCGCCCGCAGGTACGCGGCCGGCTTATATTTGGCCACGACGGTGCGGGAGAAGGTGACATTGGTAAAGGACACGCGCGCGACCCGCTGCTTGGAGGGGGTGGGCGAGGGCTTGAGGGTCTTGGTGTTCGGCAGGTCGTAGGTGGCCGTCAGGCCCGTCTCCTCAAAGGAGGAGTCTTGGAAGGTGAGCTCGGGGAGAGGTTCGAGCATGGTTTGGGCGTCGAAGTCATCCGAATTGCCGGCGTCCAAGGTAGGAGATGTGGCACGCTGTTGGGGGACGTGCTCCTCGTTGACGGCGGTTACCTTTACGACTGGTTCTTGAGGTGCAGCTCGGTTCGCTGCCGCTCCTCCAAAGAGACCGCCCCCTCCGGGTGCGCCTCCGGGTGCTGCTCCGCCAAAGAGACCGGTCCCTGAGGGTGGACCTCGGGATGCTACGCTAAAGAGGCGCATGCTATCGGAATGAGTCTCGAGGTTGGCTGGGCGCGCGCCGAAAGCACTCGCGGTAGGGGCATTGGAGTTCGCATTGGCATTCGATGCGGGGGCGCCGAAGCTGCTCATACCGAAGCCCACACCTCGGGCGCGCGAAGCGGCCTGTGCCTGTGCCTGTGCCTGTGCCTGTGCGCTGGCTATGGCGTAGTTATACTTGGGCTGCGGCGCCTGGCTCACCCCGAACAGCCCGGCGCGTGGTCTCTGCGCTACCATGGAGTTTTGCTGGGCATTCCAAACATCCTTTTCGTTCCTTTCTTCGTGGCTGTGGGCAATGTCGAACCCGTCCCAGGGGCCACCCCTGCCCACAACCTTAAGGCGCCAGGGTACGAGCTTCGGGGTGTCGTCCTGAAGGCCCGAGAAGTTGGCCTGCGAGGTGCTGAGTGTCACCTTGCTGTTGGCCCACGTCTCGGACGTCATATTAGTGAGGCGTGCGTCGAAACTTAGCATAGCCGTACTAGTTGTAGATGACAACGACAGGTCGTAGCTCGGGGCCCAGAAGGCAGACGACGTGACGTACGAGACTGTCAAGTCGCACACCATGCTGGCTTCGTCGTCCACGGGGACCTTGTTGGAGGCGATTTGTACGTCGGCGGCGCTGGTGATAGAGCTGCGGCGAGACGAGCTGGGGGTGAAGTTGGCACCGGCATCGAGAGTGATACGGACGCTGTAGCATAAGCGCGGCCAGAACTGCTCGCGCTCCTTTCGGATGCGCAACTTCTCCTTCCTCTGTTCTTCGTCGCGGCGGCGCTGTTTCTCCTTCAGCTTCTCCTTAGCCCTCCTAACCTTGGCCTTAGCCTTGGCCGCCTTCCTTTCTTCCTTTGCCCGGAGCTTTTCGAGACGTGTCTGTTCGCGCACCAGGATGGTCATCTCTTTTATTAGGGCACGCTCACGGACCGTACCATCCATATGGTCCCGAAACACCTTCTCGCGCTCCTTACGATAGGTTTCCACGCTGGCCTCGATGTCAACGCCGTCTTTGGGATGGAGGGAGTTGCTGTACGAGTCGATAATCTTGAGGCGGCTCTCGGCGCTGGAGATGATTTCCTTGGCGGTCTTTTGCTCATCCTTCAGCGCTACCAACTTCTCGCGCACTTCTTCGAGGGCGGTGTTGACCTTATCTTGTTCCTCACTGTCTTCGTCCGACTCGTCATCATCCTGCTCGGAGTCAGAGTCGGGATAGATCTCCTGAAAAATGTCCCGGTTCGGCAGCAACTCAACAGCGATATCGGTGATGGTAGCCGAGCCAGTGCCCTCGACCTTGATGGAGTGCTCATCAGCGGTTGGAGTCACGCCAACGACAGTGATTTCATTGGAACCCGGCTACGTGTCTGTCAGTATGGACTTTGCAAGTTTGAAACTTGAGGAAATTAGTAGCGAGGGAAGAATACCTTGAGGGCGACTTGTTTGATTTCACGAACAATCTGAGCTCGAGTCGGGAAAAGAGTGACGGACCGGGTAGGCAGGTTTCGGACATGAAAGTCCTGCTTGTAAGGACCGTCCATGGTTCTCAATTCCTACAGGTGAGCAGCGTGCCGGGCAGCTCAACGTTGTACAATCTGTATTGGCAAGTCGAGATGGTGGTTTGGAATTTGAATTGAAGAGTGAGAGATGGCAGAAGAACTTTAGGCTACGAATGGTCCAGGCACCAGGTGCTTTATACCCCGCAAGTTGCTGCAAAGGATCAGCTTCAGTGAATTTGCTAATATGGAAGCTGCTGAGCCAAACTGCGGCTGCCTCTGGGGCCTGCTGAGGTGCTGCGTCAGCTTTCGGTGCAATTGAGTGGCTCGCCGGCCTTGATTGGCGGCTACAATAAATGAAGTCTTTCATCCCTGTTTTCTGAACAGAGGTGACTCAAAAAGCTGACAAATGGTCCGTGTGTGACTCCCTCTGTGTGATTGGCGCCAAGGCAGCGACTTGCGAGTTTTGCTCAACTGGGCAAGAGGTACGAATGAATCTCGAGGTGAAGATGTGAAGAAAGCCTTGCGGTCGCTTGCGCGGCGGGTGCCTGGAATGGGAAACAAAGCCACAGTTTCCAAAAAGGACGACGGGGTTGACCCCGATATCCGTTTGGGGCTCGAGCCCATCTGGGTGGCCACGGTGGCGTTGGTGAGGATGGATCTTGACCTGCCATGCTTGAGGGTCTCCTTCCAAGTTTCAATTGAATTGATGAGAAAAAGCGGGGAATTCAATGCCTGTCTGGCCCCACAGGTCCGCTGCCACATGCTCTCCTCTGTCTCTCAGCTGTTGTCCCCCGACTCCCCACCTGGCAACCCAACATGATGCCCTCTGCTCTGGTGTTGGCATCAAAATCAATATTTATTTGAGACGCATCGCAATATTTGACCGAGAATACTCCTACCATTTTTTCTTATAATACCCTCTCACCTTATCATTCCGAGCACCGCATTCGTGACACCACCATGGATTCCCCAATTCAATCCCGCCCTCCTCGTCCTCAATCTCAACCCCAGTCTCACCCTCAAGACGGTCAATCAAATCAACGGGCTGCCGACCGCTATGAAACCAACCCATTGGCGAGGAGCCCTCCTGGCCCTCGAGTTTCCGATCTCACCATCGACCGCTATGAGTCCAATCCCGAACCCGTAACCTCCAATTCCCGCAGGCCATTGTACAACGACCGGTCCGACCCTCCTCCCCGCTCCTCGACCCTCCCCTACCGGCCCCGCCCCGACGCCCCAGAAACCACCTCCGCTCCGGCCCGGACTCACCGCGCCTCAGAACCCCCTCCCGCCTCCTACTCACACCCACCGCCCCCCGCAGCACCAACCCAGGGACCCCATTACACCACCACCTCCCCAACCCTGTATCACAACCCCTTCCAAACGGACCTCTCCCGCGTCTCCCCGCGACCCATGTCCGGCCCCGACCCCAAGTTTGAATCCATCGGTCCCACCCAGCCCATCTACCCAGCCCCAACCACCAACTACCTACCCCCCACCACCAACCACCTCCCCACCCACAACAGCTACAGCGGCCATGCCCCCACGACAGCAACAGCGCCACCACCACCTCCAGCAGGACCTCCCCTAGCCAACGCCACCACCAATGCCCTCCAGAACCCACAAGCAAGCAGCAACCCGCCCACGCTGCGCTCGACGCTGGACACGGCCGAGACCGCCCTGCGTGAGCTGCTCGCTGTGCGCCGCCAGCAGGCCATGTTGGCCACAGTCGGTGGTGGTGGTGGTGGTGGGACGGGGCTTGGGATTAACGGGGTTGGTGGTAGTACTGGTGGTGGTGTGAACGGGGCTGGGGTGGGGGTGATGGGTGTGAATGGGGAGGGGGTGGGGGTGATGGGTGTGAATGGGGTTGGGATGATGGGAGTGAATGGGTATGGGAAAGTGGACCAGGCGGCCGAGGTGGAGGGTCGGCGGCGGATGCAGACGGGGTTGGTGTTGATGGGGTTGAGGGGCTTGCAGGCGAGGGTGGAGGCCGTGGTGGGGAAGGCGGAGGGGGAGAGGTGGCGGCGGTTTGCGGTTGGGGGGGTGGTGTAAGTTGCCTTTTTCTTTTTTTACCTTGTGCTCTGGCGTGATTCCCTCTTTCTTTTAGGGGGGGCTAGGATAGGAGAGATCGGACGTGTGTGGCTGCGGTGGAAGTGATGACTCGACCTAGCTCGTGCTGACCCTACCTGCCAGTGCCTCCTTCCTTCCCCTCGTCAAGCGGCTCTTCCGCCGCCGCAGGGGGAACGAGGACGCGGACGAGTCCTCCAACCGGACCGAGTACGCCTTCAAGAAGAGCAAGAGCCTCGTCTCGCGGATCCTGGCCGCGACCCACCGCCCGGGGCTGGGCACCATCGCATTCTTTGTGTTTGCCGTGTTGTATGTCTTCCAGAACGAGGTCTCCTTGCGCGTGGCCAAGACCGTGTCGAAGCGGCTGAACCGCCTCATGGCCAAGGTCGAGCACGGCCATGAGGAGCTTAGCGAGGACGATGTCAAGATGCTGAAGGGCTGGAGGTGGCGGGTCTTGCTTTGGAGCGAGTGATGATGCGGGTGCGATATATATGAGGACACGAAGCACGAAATCATGAATAACTAGGTAGAACGGCGTTGAGGATGGCATTGCACTAAAGGGCCAGCTTTCCAAAGAACTTGATGTGATTCAGTGATTGAATGGCTGTTTGTGACGCTGTCTAATCGAATCATTCCTGGATAGCGCTCCGCAAATCGGACAACTCAAACTTCCTGTTGGTCGTTGGTATTATTGCGCAGGTTCAAGTCCCATGAACATGTTCCTTCGTAGTGCAGCCTCTCCCTCCCGTCGTTCCTCTTCTTGCGCGTCCTCCGGGTTAGTTTGTGCATCCTCTGGTTTAGGTGCCTCGTCTCGACTCCTAGGTAGTGGAGGATTTCTCGCAAGCCACAGCGCCCTGTAAAACGGCTTCAGCGCGAGCAGGTATGCGGCGTACGCTCTTCGAGTCCTAGACCGGTCCGACCGCCGCTCGTCGGCGGTCCGGAGAGGGGCCACAGCTAGGCGCGCGTAGGTGCCCGCCTCGGCGAGATGCAGGACCGCGCTGAGAAAGGGCTCTATCGTGCTAGGCGGCATGGGAACGGCAATCAACGAACGGAGGCTTCTGATCTGGGGAAACATGGTAGCATAACCGCAGCTTCCGAATACTCACAGCCAACATTATGTCAGGCCCGGGCCATTCTCATCTCTCTTTCTGAGCAGGTACCCCTGCGTTCACCAACGGAAGCGACAAACCAGTCGGCCATAATTAGGGGTTGAAACGGATGGTGTATTAATAGTATTTGTACCTCTCGTCACAACAGCGAAGTCCTACAGCATCCTTAAGCACGTAAAAGGAGACGATGGGACAGTAGTCTATTGATGTATTGCTGAGAATCCGTGGGATTTGGGCTTCCCAGAAACTACTGCCTTTGTCGATATGTAAGTAACCCATGTGAGTGCAAGAATTCCATCCTAGCCAGCTAGCCGTGTGCATAAATCTCAAGTGGTTGTGTAGTTGCCAATAACAAGCCGCCTCTTCAGACGGCTCCAGTGAACCGGTAGTGATGTCACTGGCAAGGGCCGCGGTCGTGGGGACTCAAGCCACTGCCTTCCCCTTGGCTCCTTTCTTGGTTCGTTTCTCGTCTCTCGCTCGTTCTTTAGCCACGTCCTGGACCTTGTCGCAGTGCCACAAAAAGCTCTCAAACCTATCATGCCAAATATCTTCGAGATCTTCCGACCTTTGTTCACAAAAGAAGAAGGATCTCGCGTCGCGCCACATTGTCCGTCGGGCCAAAATCATAGTCCTTGTTTTCGTTCGGCTCCCCCCTGTAGCTGTTTCGATATCGGATACCTGGTCGTTGCAGGTATCAACGCGGGCTCCGAGGCGAGCTTGCACATGTTTCGCCAGTTTAGGATTGCGGAGACAACTTTTGCAAAATCCGGGGTAATATTCGTCGTCATCGTCGAAAGTGTACGTTGTTGGCTGTTCTGTTGTTATGTTGTTGCATGCTTCTACCGTGTGACCCCGCCGGTATGCGTTTTCGCAGTAGGCAAAGATTCGGTGCTGGAAATCTGGAGCGACAGACCATTCTTTCCCGCAACAGTAAATTTTGAAGTTTGGTGTATAACACATGTTGAGACGGAGGTGATGAAGAAACTCGCTGATCAATGGTGGGAAGGTAGTATGGTTGTTTGGATCCTGCCGTAGCTCGGTGGAACTTGGTACATAAAGATGTGGGAGGTAGGTGTGATATTGCTTTATAGCCAGCTCTACTTCTAGTGCCATCCCCAGTTGTGTACCTAAATACTTGCTTCCAGAGCCGTGTGGCTCCGGGGCTTTGTGCCCGCGAGGAGCATGATACTGGTCAAGGGGCCCGCCATCACGGGGTTCAAGTCTGACCTCGCATTTAAACGATACAAAGCCAGAATATGATGCAGCCGAAGTCGCGAGTTATGGGTTGTCACGAAGCCCTATAGCGGCTACCTGGTAGTTGGCCTGGCCGCCTTTTGATGGGAATCATTGTTCCGATATCCCGCTTTCCCAAACCCTCGTGCAAATACAACCACTCATTGTTTAGAATTTGAAGTTGTATTGGTCACTACTAGCCACAACCACGAGCAGAGTCTCGGTCATTAAACATCGTTAAGCTCACCGACTTGTGACCACGTTTACAGTGAGGTGCGTCACCCTTGTTGTCCTGCGAACCATCTCGTGGTCAGTGTTGATTTTCTTCTCTGGATTAATCATCAAGACAGGAGAGGAGGAAGGGAGGAACGGGAATCATATGGTTACAAAGGACTGATCAACGAAATAGGGGTTCGACTCCGTAACAAGCATGACGACGTGTTCAATCGTGGGGCTTGCTCAATAAACAAGCAGAATACGACGGATAGGGGAGGCAACAGAGGACAATTATTAGGTACGTAGTAACTAAAAGTGGGATATAATATTAATTATATCATGATACGAACCTGAGAAAACATGATTGGACGTCGATACTTCAAGTTGTTGGCTACATGATCAGCCACACCGAAAAGAAGACCTCATCAGTCTCATTTTATTAGTAAGGAAGAAGTTGACGTGTTTGACTACCTATTTGCCACCGAGACCAGTTCATGTTCCAGAGCCAAGTCCAGCCGCGTGCAGCGAGGCTCGGTTCTCGGGTCTTCCTATCCAGGGGTAGTAACCCTGTATCACCCTTCTTTGCCAGCTGCTTAATGGCTCGGAAATGTTTACGCGTGAGCTCAAGAATCTTTTCGGAATTGTACTTCGCTCTTTCTTCCCACGTCAGGCTCTGCATAAAAGAGGAGAACTGCCACATCCGCTGTTGACGGTGGATTAAGGCCTCGGCGAGGTCGTCGCCCTCCATTCGGTCCTTGCCGGATATATCGTTCTGGTATTCGGAATCCAGCTTGTCCATCTCGTCTTCGAGTGTCTCGATCTTTGCAGGGGTAAGACATGTACTACACCACCCGGGGTGCTCCACGTACGGTGCACCCGAACCCGTTGGTGGCCGTCGTTGTGTCGGGATTTCGCATGGACGATTGTCTGCGTTGCAAAAGGCGAAGATTGCGGAGTGGAACTTTCTCATTTCGCTTGGCTCCTTGGGTTCCCAGGCCTTTCCGCAGCAGAACCACTTGATAGGCCGTACGTAGCACATATTGTTGGATGTGAACTGAGTAGCGTGGTCGAATCGATGAGGGAGAAGTCTGGCGACGAAAGTGCCCTTGGGCTATCGTTGGTCTACTTTTGTAATTCTGGATGGATGTTGGGTTGTTGGAAGCCATGGATGCATGAGGGAAGGGGGGGAACTGGGCCCGGGGGTACTTAACTAGTTGCCGGGTTTACCTTTTCCGTTGTCTTTGTCACAGATTTTCAAGCAGAAGCACCATGTTTCATAATCATATGATGGTAACAAGGCTGATAACAATATCACTTGAGGTGTAATCCTGAGTTTAGCACAAAGAGATGGTGTGGCATGGCCACTTGCACTGGGTTGATGTGCAAGGTACATTTGCAAACTGAGCCTAGCACACTGGATCCTCGGAATTAGGAGCTAGAAGGTTCATCACAAGGCGCTGTCTTTAGTAACCATTCGCGATCTAAACACACCTGGATATATTCCCTCGTTGAGATGCTGACAGTTATATCCTGGCAATATAACAAAGACCAAAGAGTTCGAAGGTCAATGGCGGTAGTTTCTGGCATCAAAAAACTCCGGAGAATTGGGCGGAGAACACACAGCCACCTATCTCGCCGTTACAGTGGCCATTATCCCGTTTATACGAGGCGCCGACGGCCAGGCCGAGCAGGATGGGATCGGTATAGCGGCCGTCATTCTCTGCCCCTACAGCTTTGAAGGAAGCCCGAGACCGGACAGCTACCACGATGCGAACAATCTGCTTGCTCTTCGCACGAACCTTGCGGATGCCGTTCCTAAGAGCACTACCCTCCCCCACGAGGCTTTTCACGCCATATTTGGTACCGCATTTCTGTCAGGCGCTGCGGAGGCGTGTGAGTAGCCTACAACCATGTCCCAGTTGACTCGTATGCTGACCAGGAACTGGGCAGTCGACATCGCCCGCTGCCTCAACCTTGCGACGTCAAACGTCGAGGCGGCACGGACAAACCCCGAGAACTACGTCTTCTTCATTGTTCACATGTATCACTTATTTGGAAAGAAGTCTGGCAACAGCCCCTGGTCTATCTCCAAACAATGGGACTTTAAGGTCCATGGCACGGCTAGGGGTCGGATTTACGGGGCAATTGAACCTCCGGAGCCGGAGTAGTAGAGGAGAATAGAAAGATGTCTGCTCTCCAATACGAGTAGACAAAATTAGCGGTTCTTGACATGTTAAAGCATAATATTATTAAGAGGTAGAGAGCACGCCCACGTAGGCTGTAAGTCATGAGTGACCTTTGCCGGGTTTCGTCTGGAGAAAAAGCAAATATCTTGAAAGATCTATCAACCCCGTGTTTAAGCCCGGCACAACCGAGACTCAACCTTTTTAAACTGCCACCAACTACCATGGTCGACGGTAATAACTCACTGCGACTTTTCACCAACCCTGGAATCCCGGAAAAATCCATCCCGCATTTTACGCAGCTCTATTTTGTACTCAGGGTCCTCCAGATTGATGTCGGGCTCGGGGGGGTAAACGCGCGGCACTCCCCGCATGTCCCAGCGCTCCTGCGCCCAGGCGGTGGCCGGGGGCATCACCTTCGCTATAGCCTGATTCCACGACTCCCTCGCCTGGGGGTCTGCCGCCACTTCCGCTTCGTGCTCCGGAGTAGCACCAAACTTAGGCGACCAGAGGAAGAAGTGGCAGAAAATGGTCCGACCCGGGCTCCCTTCCTGTGCCTGCTGCTCCGGCTTCCCAAACTTCTCCCACACCCAGTGGTCTTCGGCAAGTAACCAGAACCACGCGTATGTGGATTTGTACCAGAAATTGTGATGCCATAACCTAGCGCCGCGAGGCATGAAGGCCGCAAACGCGTACCTGAAATTGTCACGCCACATCCGGTACTTGTCGTCGACTTGGTGCGGTACTAAAAAGGTTGTTACGGTCACGAGACCGTCTGGCTCGGGTGTCACAGCGGCGAGGCGTTTCAAAACGAGGAAGCGTGACGTCGCCGGCAGTGGCGAAGAGGGGGTATCGTCCAAGGTTAGCTGCTGCAGTGCCGAGCCGGACTCAATACAAGCTCCTGGGTTGTCGCCCGGGTATTCGGGAAGGTTCCGCAAAAACCGAGCGCAGGCGGGAGAGGACTGAAAGTTGACCAAGTCCTCCAACGTACTCCAGTCTGCGCAGTTAGTATATATTAGTATGCAATCCATTTCTTATGCGGCGTGATGACACCTACTAAGGATATAGGCGGCCTGCTCGGGGTTGTCGACCATTCTTCCCAATGATATTGTCAGGAGACCTTTCACGTCGGCAAGGGGCCCGGCATGAACATCCTCGTGGTGCACAACCCACGTCGGCCACTCCTGCTCCCGCGGTAGGTAAAACCGCGTCCAGGTTATCAAATGCTCACGGCCAACAATCGTCATGATGCAGGTGTGTGAAGGCGGTAAATGAGGATGGCTTTGTTTCTTGAAGGAAAGGAAACGAGTCACAATCCAAGTGGCAAAGGCTTCAGTTTTGAATCAAATTCGGCTGAGCATTCTCAGATGGATGACGCACGAGAAGCGGGGTGGGAGCACGCGTCGCACCTGCCAGATGAATCACCACCAGGCAAAGTTTACGTGCGAGGCTAGAGGTAATGTAACATCTTACAGTGAGCTCTGTACAAAGCAAACACCTACCTACCCACCTAGGTACCTAAGGTGCAGTTGCAGGTGGGCATCTTGCCGGGGAGGGGGTGTGCTCGGTTGGGTATACCGCATCCGGAACAACACAGCAGAAGGGTACGCCTGCTATAATACGTTCCTATATCCGTGTACTAATATTCCTATCATAACGCCGGTCCGTTATAATACTCAGGCTAGTCTAGTACTGATAGTCTTGCCAACCGCACTATCCCATCGCCCAGACCTTGACGGAAGCATCCACCACCGACCGTCGGCAACTTCAAAGAACACCCAAACAGTATATCTCATTCCGACCCCATCCAGCCTGCTGAATCCCCCCATCCGCCCAAACACACCACCACCCTCGACCAACACCATACCGTCCCTAAATCCCTAAATTCGTACCCCAACAAACCAGATCACCACCACCACCTCCTCCCCGCCCTTGCCCCCATACCCCCCGTCCCCGTCCCCGTCCCCATCCCCATCCCGTCCACAAACCTCTCCACCTCCCCCCTCTCCCGCTCCCGCCACGCCTCCCAATCATCCACCCACCCATAGCGCTGGCCCGGCTCATACCGATAGTAATACCGGCCCCCCACACAGCGGCAGGCATGCCGATCACAGGTGCGACAGCGTGGCCGGCCGAGGGGTGGCGAGGTGGGAGTGCGTTGGTGGTGGTAGGTTGTGGTGTTGTTGTTGTGGGTTCTGGTTGCGGTTGTGGTTGTGGTTGAGGGGGGGTAGTATGTGGGGTGGTATGGGGTGGTGGTTGGGGGGTATGAGGGTAAGATGGGGGTGGTGGCGGTGGTGGTGTTGCGGATGGGGGTGGTTAAAGGGTAGATATGGTGGCATGGGTTGCTGCCGCAGCGGTGGCGGGTGATGTGGATGTTGTTGGGGGTGGTGTGGCGGCGGTGGTTGGAGGAGGAGTGCCGGGGCGAGGAGCGGAAGGACCAGGGGCGGGGTTGGTTTATGGTTAGGGAACACATTGTTGGCTGAGTGACTCGGTGGGTGGCTGGTGGTAATGGGTGGTTAGTTGGTAGCTATGATAGATGATCGGGGGAGAGCTTCATACACTTAGAGCAGGCGCAGTTTATGAGGATAGACGTGTGCGACCAAGGATTCCAAGCGACGAAGAAGAGTTTGGGAACAAAGAAGCTTTGGAAGGGCAGGAGCAGCCGAGTCTTAAATAACAGCAAAGGGTCGGAGCCTTGGGGCCGAGATGGCAAACACATCCGGCCGTGTTTCGTGAGACTGCCCAACGTCCAGTGCCCACAGTGTGAAGCAATAGATAACGACATCACATGAACCCGGCTGGTCCAGTGACAATCAGTCACCGGAAACCGGGTATTCGGGTTTGGTAACCCAGGGTGGAGCCGTGAATAACCTGAGACGGCAGAATGTGTAACACTCAGCCTCCTGACGGCCGTGAACATGACATTAGTATCGGAGGGACCAAGCTCGGATGGGTTGATGCCTATCCTGTGTTCCGACGAGGCGTAATATCCGCACCACTTGAGGTTAGGAGGACGGAACAAATCTCGTTCGTGATACTCTGCTTGTAGCACCCGTAAACCCATAACGCTGATATCATGTTACGAGTCGGCCGCAGTCAGCAGACTACCGAGACACTCCGTAGAACAGCATCTTAAGATCGATAATGGTCTGACATCGCTATCAAGCACACATTTCCAGAATCAGCTCTTCTCCTTGTCCTCCTTCAGCGAAACTATGCGGTTGAGCACAATCTTGTCGTCTGTGCTATCCGAGTCCATAGCCTATAAGTAGGTTAGCGGAATCCCATGGTTTGCCGAGTGTTGGACTTACAAAGTATGCAACACGCATGCCCTGGAAACGGACCGACTCCGGACCGCCCTTGCCTAGCTTGTCTTCGCCGGCCGCCTCGGGCCAGGGTGCCCGCGCCTTGACCTCATCAAAGCCCGACTCAATCACGGCATTGGGGTATACCACTTCACTCTCGGGGTTGAGATCACTGAGGAACCCGCCTTCGGCAGCCGCTGGGTTGTCCGATTTGAACAGCGGGTTATAGATGCGCACCTCGCACTTGCGGGACCCTGAGCCCTCACCGGCAGCAACCCACTGGATGAACGTCTTGGGTTTCTTGGTCTCGCGGTCAAAGACAGCGCGAATCTCGGTAACTTGGCCCGTCGCCTCGTCTTTGGTGAAGCTGGTCGCCTTGATAGGGAATGGCGCCTGGAGCAGGCCGACCGACTTCCCGGGTGCCAGACGGAAGTAATCCTTGCTATCGACCTCGCGGAAGTCGGATCGGTCGATGTAAACGGTCTTGGTGAACTTGATCTTGTGCTCGCCCATGGCGGGGTTCTTTGGCGAGAACGGCGCCGTGAGCTCGGTCCCTTCGAACTCATCAGCATCCTCGATTACCACGGGTACCGGATCGAGGACAAGCATCAGTCTCGGTACTGTCCGCTCGAGGTAACGCCGGATAGTCTGATCAAGTCGAGACGCCTGAATGATACTGTTGGTCGTGGTCACGCCGAGCTCGTTGACGAACTCGAGAATGGCACCCGGAGGTACACCTTTCCGGCGGACTGCAATCAGCGTGGAGAGGCGCGGGTCATCCCACCCCCGTACAATTTTCTTCTCCACTAGCTCTTTCAACTTGCGCTTGGACATGATGGCGCCCGAGACGCTGAGGCGGCCGTATTCCCGCTGCATGGGCTGGAACTCTACGAGCTGCTTGTTTAGCCACTCGTAAGAGGTTCTGCTAAGGAAGAACTCGACTGTGCAGAGCGAGTGGGTGATGCCCTCGAAGCTATCGCACAAGCAGTCTATCGCCGTCAGCAACTGGAATAGCACGAGGTAAAAGTGTACTAACGGGTGAAGTCGTAAGAAGGGTAAATCTTCCACTTCGAGCCTGTCCTGTGATGGGGCTTGTCGAGCACCCGGTAGGCGGCAAGATCCCACATTTGGGGGTTGCCGTCGGTGATCTGGGTCTGTTAGCCTGGAACGTCTGGGTCGCTGCGGATAACGTACGTCCTGTTTCATGCGCAGGAATGCTTCCCTTGGCTTGTACTTCCCGTCACGCATGTCGCGGAACTTTTGAAGGTTTTCGTCGGCTGGCTGCTCGGCGTGCTTGCACCGATAGCGCGGGCTCGTCCCTTTCTCACCACCGCGCTGCAGCTTGATCTCCTCGTCTATGGCCATCAGTATCGCGAGACTCATGAGTACCTAAGAGCACTACATACCCCCGCAATGGCAGACGTAAGCCTTGTCGAGCGTGATAAGCTTTTCGGCCAACTCGTAAAGCTTATCAAAGTTGTCACTCGAGTACGTGATCTTGTAAGGCTCAAACCCGAGCCAGCGTACCATCTCCTCAATGGCGGTAAAGTAAATTTCTTCCTCGGCCTCGGGGTTGGTGTCGTCGAATCTCAAGTAGCTACGATGGCGGTTGGGGTTAGCCCGAAGCTCGATGGTTGGCCTTAGACAGGCACGTACCATTTTCCTCCGTGATATCGCGCAAAGCCAAAGTTGACGGCAATGGCCTTACTGTGTCCAATATGGAGGAAGCCGTTAGGCTCGGGCGGGAATCGTGTGAAGACTTCCTTTTCGGGCCGTTCGTTGTAAACGTCGTTGAGGAAGCCCTGCTTGAACATGGCGTCGGTGTCGATGGGAGCCTCCTCCGTCTTCTCCTTTGGCTTCTTCGGCGCGGCAGCGGCCTGAGCTGCCTTGGGCGCGCCACCAGCGTCCTTCGTATCCTTGTTCTTGTCCTTGAGCGCCTTCTTTGCGCGCTTCGCCAATCGCTTCTTCAACTCTCCCTTGGAAACCCACTCGCCTGTCTCCTCGTCTAGCTGAAGCTTTGCGCCGTTGTCTGCCGGCGCATCGCCGAGCTGCAGCTTGGCAGCGGCATCTGCGACAGCATCCGCCATGATTCTTTAACCAATTGGTCGTCGAGAGGATCGATCGGGGATGAGTCGATTAGTGTTGTCCGTTCCCGTTGTGTACACAGTGTTATTCGAAGTCGAATATCGGATACTGATTGTCGAGGTTAGAGCCTACAACACAATCAAAATGCAGTTTTGGTATTTTGTTCACTCGAATACACACACCTTAAGCCTCAAGTTGCTGCTGTCGATTCACTCAGAAGGTGTTATCAATCCGAAATAGCCCCGGTGAGTCAACCTCGAAGCCGTTCCTGTTGGGCCTGGCAAAATCACCTATTGGAGGGGCACCAAAAACGAGGGGCAGGCCGTCATTGCCCCACGCGACTCCGACAGGGGTTCGAGATAAGATAAGCGCACGGAGGGGCAATTGGCTGCCAGTGGTGCGTGGATTCCCCCGGCAATGCGACGAGTTGTGACGAAAGTCCAGACCCTCCCGATTTCGTTCTTGTGTTCAACAGAGCAACAAACTTATTGTTCATGTGGTACTACTTTTATGGTGACTCGATACGTAATAGTCCATTTGAATTGAGCTTTAGACACGAGAATGACAAACTGCAGCTAAGTCCCATCCACAGAGCTGGTTGTATTGGAACAACCCCGCCGCTTCGCTCCCGATTCCTTCAGTGCCGCGCCGCAACCCCAACACCTCTTTTTCCCGTACCTCTTGTAAAACCTACCTAACCTTCCGCATATTTCTCTCGCTTCGGCGCATGTGGAAGCTTCCGAAGTCGATACTTTTGCCAATCGGAACCACGCTGCGAGCATCGACCAACACCACCAACACTAGCACCAGCTCCAGCAACCAACCCAGCCGCTGTCGCATGCCCCCCAGCCGACCAATTTCCAAAATGGCACCCCTCACAGCCTCCGACATCCCCTCCCTCTCGCTCCTCTACAAACTGCGCAAGCTGTCGGCCGCGCCCCCGGACACGCCCCTCCCCCCGACCCGCCTGGGGCCCAACACGGGCACCACGCTGCCGACGCCGTCCAAGGCGCTCAACGACCGGGTCGGCCTGATCCGCGGGGACATCACCAAGCTCGCGGTGGACGCGATCGTCAACGCGGCCAACCAGTCGCTGCTGGGCGGGGGCGGGGTGGACGAGGCGATCCACCGGGCGGCGGGCCCGCGGCTGTACCGGGAGTGCCGGGCGCTCGGGGGCTGCGCGACGGGGTCGGCCAAGATGACGGGCGCGTACGCGCTGCCCGCGCGCCGCGTCGTGCACGCCGTCGGGCCCGTCTACAACCCGTTCGACCGCGCCGGCTCGGAGCGCCTGCTGACGGGCTGCTACACGCGCAGCCTCGAGCTGGCCGCCGAGGGCGGCTGCCGCACCGTGGCGTTCAGCGCCATCAGCACGGGCGTGTACGGCTACCCGAGCCGGGACGCGGCGCCGGCGGCGCTGAGCGCCATCCGGGCGTTCTTGACCGGGCCGGATGGTGAGAAGATTGATAAGGTGGTGGTCGTGACGTTTGAGATGAAGGACGTGGAGGCGTACAACCAGTTTATCCCGTACGTGGCTCCGGCTTTCTTTCATGGTGGTCGTCTCTCGATAGCTACTGACGACGTTTTATGAATAGGCTTTACTTCCCGCCCGTTGCCGAGGACCAACCCACGACCGACCGCGAGGAGGAAACGAGAGAGACGGAAGCCAAGCTGACGGCCGAGGCAGAGGCGATCGCCGCCGAGCTGCCCAGCGCTCCGACGGCTGACCCGTACGATCTCGGCCATGCCGGCAAAAAGCAGAAGCAGAAGGACAATTGAGATGGCGGTCGCGCATGTGTTTTCGCCGGCGTTCCGGATGGTATTGGTTTGGGAGTGTGACGAGCGCAGCGGAGTTCGTAATGATATATTTTGCGGCGGGAAGGACATCTCGATCTTGCACGATAGTTACCCAAGTAGTAATGAACACTACTTCTCCTCTTCCTAACTAGGGCATAGCTCAGTCAAGTAGCCTCTGCCCAAAGACATGGTGACTTCTCAATCGTTCCCGCTCGCGGCCAACAACAACGAGCCTGCATCCATTGGAACACGACTCCAGCAAGACTTGTCTGACGGCAAACTCATAGGCACCGGTAGGACCTCCATGAACACTGGTATAGTCATCATCTATATTGTCCTCTATCCATAAGAGAACGCCCGCACATCCGTGGTATCTTCCCTCTCGTCCGGCCAATGGAGGATTCAGACCAACCGTCCCAGGGTCTCCAGTCCTGGGTCGGCAAGTCCTCCCCATCGCCAGCCATAGACACATTGCGGCGGGCATCAGCGGCGTTACGATCATCCTGACTAAACATGAAAGACATAATCCCATTAAGGCCAGACCATGCAACCCCGAACCAGAAAGAAAGAAAGCAACTTTTGTATACCCGATCGTCGCGCTAAAGCCATGAGAAAGATCAGAAAGCGAGGCATTTAGTCCTCCTCGTCGCTGAAGACCTATTGGGCTGGTTAGCATGTGCTTTGTACTCGCGAGCATAGCAGGGGATCGACATACCTCCTCACCGCGCTTGCGACGGGCCATACGCTCCTTCTTCTTCTTGCGCGCCTCGGAGCTGGTAAGCTTCGCCTTCTTCTTATTCCCCTCAATCTTGTTACCCATGGCATCGAACTTGTCTTCCTCCTCTCCGTCATCGCCCTTCAACCGGGGACCGGTGCCCTGGCCCTGGACCCAGTTGTGACCCGAGGGCGTCATCTGACCATCACGGACAGACCAGACTTCCTCAGTAAGGTTCTGGGTGAACTCTTTACTGTGCGTGATGATAATCACGCCACCCTCAAAGGCCTTGAGAGCGCCGGACAGGGCGCCGAGGGAGTCCCGATCGAGATAGTTCGTCGGCTCGTCGAGAACGATCAGATGAGGGCGTTGCCACGAGCAAGCGGAAAGCACAACCTTGACACGCTGGCCACCAGAAAGACCACGCATGCGCGAGTGGGAAACCAACTCGGCATCGAGGCCGAAGTTGGCGCAGTGAGTCTCGATCTCCTTGCGGACCAGAGGACGGAACTGACCAGAGGCGAGGGCCTCCTTCATGTCGACATCAGCGACCATCTTCTGGTGGGAGGCGAGCAGCTCGCTGCGGGGCAACCAGGCGTTGTCCGCGGTCATCATGGGAACCCAGCGCTCGTTCTTCATGCCGATGTTCTCGCCGAGAGCAAACGAGCACTCGTACTCGTAGCTGTTCTTGAACTTTCTACGGCTGTGGATGCCGAGGATGCGGCGCTGAGTACCCTCAACCCTGAAGACCTTGTTCATGGCCTCCTCATCGGCCTCGGTGATGATCTTGTTGGCACGGTCCATGGTCTCACGATCCTCGCCGGTCTGGAAACGCCACTGGATGTACTCGGACGGGGTCTTGTCCAAGTGGTTATCGATATGGGCGAAAGCATGCTGCTTAATGTAGGCGATGCGGATGTTCTCGTGCTGGTAGATCTCACCGCCAGTCGGGATGAGCTCACCAGTGAGGACGTTGATCAGGGTAGACTTTCCGGCACCGTTGGCACCGATGACGGCAATACGCGATCCGAGCGAACACTGGAAGTTAATGTTGAAGATCTGGGGCTTCGAGGTGCCCGGGTATTGGAAGCTCATGTTGGTGGCGCGAAGAATGGCCTTAGCCTTTGTCTTGACACCCTCGAGGAAACCGGGCTCCGGGAACCTGAACTCGACCTCGGAGGCGCCAAGCTCGTAGTAAGACTTGGCCGATGGGACACGGCGGACGAAGTCCTTGAGATTGCCCTTGTAGCGCTTGAGCTTGAAGCGCTCGTAGTGAACAATGTGCTGGCAGACATTGTCGAGGAACCCACTGTCGTGAGAGACAATGATGGAGGTGCACTTAGAGGTCTTGAGGTACTCCTCGAGCCACGCCACGTTGACCACGTCAAGATGGTTAGTTGGCTCGTCGAGCAGGAGAATATCGGGAGCCTCGAAGACAGCACGGCACAGCGCAAGCTTCATCTTCCAACCACCAGAGAGGGCAGTGATCTCACCCTGGACCATCTCGTCGTTGAAGCCGAAGTCGTTGAGCTGCTTGATGACATCTTCCTTTGTCGTCGTGACGCCGGCCTCGTTCAACTTCTTCATCGTCCAGTCGATGGTGGTCATCTCGGTATCAGCAGCATCCAGGTCGTGCTCGACGAAGACGGTCTTGACCTCGCTTTGCTTGGGGAAGCCCTCCACCTGCTCGTTGTTGATGGCACGCATCAGGGTGGACTTGCCAGAACCGTTGGGGCCGCACAGGCCGTACCGCTGGCCGCGCTTGAGACGCAGGCTGGTCTGGTTGAGCAAGATCTTTGCGCCGTAAGCGAGAGAGAATGTGCAATTGCACAGGTCCTCTCCCTCTTCCTCGTCGTCCTCGACGGCGTCAGCGTCGGCGGCGCCGGGGATGGCCCGCTTACGGAGGGCGTCGACGACGCCATCGGCCTCAGAATCGCCGACAACAACGGTGATGTAAGGCTTCACGCTCTCGGCCCAGGAAGAAGCGTCGGTGGCCTTTTCGTCAACGAGCTGGCCAGCGATAGCGGAAGCGTACTCCAGAACAGGGGCGAACTTCTCAAAGGCAGCAGCGTGCTTGCCGGTAAGGATCTCCTTTAAGTGGCCCATGATGGTAGAGATGTCGCCGTGGTTGCGCGCCTCGGGAATCTTGCCATCGACAACGTTGCCAACACGGACCAAGGTGTCGAGGGCCTGCTTGGTCTTTTCACGAGCCTCGGGGTCAGCGAGGTTGTCGTAGTTCTTCTGCAGGCCGGGCATCATCTTGGGCAAGAAAGGGGCGACGATGTTGGGGTCATCGACGAGCTTGCACATGTTGTCGACAATAACCGCAGCCTTACGCTTGATCGCAGTCTCGCGCTCGGCGAGACCACGATCCAGCAGGGGGACCATCAGGGCCAGGGTGGGTTCCTGGACCTCGGTGACGAAAGTAGTGGCACCAAGCAAGTGCACCGTCTCGGGGACGTTCTCCGGCTTGGCGACACACTTGATGAGCTCGGGGATGAAGCGCTCGATATCGCGGTTGACGATGAGCTGGCAGACCTTCTCCATCGTCTTGTAAGCCCGGTCCTTGACTTCCTTCTTGGTGTCCCACATAGCCTCGGACACGACAGGGATCAGGTTGGGGACAAGAAGCGACGTCTGGGAGGGACATGTCCGGACGAGGGTGTCGATGAAGTCGAGCACCGTCATCTTCTCGGGCCACTTCTGGGCGTTCCTCAGGGAGTCGATCAGGGCTGGGAGGGTAGCCTTGATCGCATTAGGGTTTACCGCCTCGGCGATGGCGAGGGAAGCTGCGATAGCGGCATTCTTGACAGCGGTGATCTTGTCACCAGCACCCGCTAGGACGGCGGGGAGGAGAGCGACGAGGTAGGGCTCGACGCTGGCGGAGACCTCGGAATGTTGGGCGATCGCCTGGACGGCGAGCAGGGCCTTCTCACGGGCGGCAGCATCCTTCTTGTTCGCGAGCTGCTTCTTGAGAGCCTCGACGGTCCTGAAATGGGCGTCACATGTTAGCTCCAATTTTTCCCCAAATCTTTGGTGCGACGGCTGAAAATGGGTGAAAACTTTGCTCCGAAAAAGTGTGGTGCCGGCCGCAGCCCATGGTGCCACCTGATTCGAGGACGCGGCTCAGCCCAACCTCTCTCTGGGTAGCAGAGGCGGCGGTGAGCATGGCCCGGATCATGACAGCGCACAAAGCGGCCGTCGACGATTACTGAAACGGCGACAAAGCCGAAAGATAGTGTGTGGAGGGGGGAAAGCGGGGTTGGGTTGCAGAGAGCGGGGCGTTCTCTTACCTGGTGGGGGTCTCGAGGTCCTCGATGCGGCCGTTGATGAAGGTGGCGAGTGCGCCGGCAGACTCCTTGATAGCATCGGCCTCCTTGGAGATGGTAAGCTTCTGCATCAGCTCGTCGAGAACCTTGACGCTCTGGGCGTTCTCAGAAGCGGCAGGCATGATGGCGGATAGATGTCGAAATAATACGCTTCGAAAGGAGACCGGAAGTCTATGAGTTTCGCGACCCGAGAAGGAAACTAATCCCACCGTCTACCCGGAGATGCGAGATCGGGTCTATTGGGTATTTTTTGAAGTGGTGGGTTGTGAGGACGAGCCTGTAGAATTTCGACGGAGAATCGAAACGTCTACTCTATCTTGGCCCTTCTAGATAGAAGTCACAAGAAATAAAGATTGGACAAGGAGCGTTCTCGTGGAACGAAACAGTCGGAAAAGAAAGAAGATGGAGGAAGGAGACCTGAGGGAGCAGGAAGGAGGGAGGATTCTGCGTGGTGGGTGTGGCAGGTAAGGTATTTAAAAAAAAGATACGCTGTGGTGTGCACAGCCCTCCGTCAGCCCAAAAACAGTTGCCCCACTCAGGCCAAATGGAGGGGTAAGGCGGCGCCGAAAACTTTTTCTCGCCTTTGCCTCAAAATTTCTGCATTCCGCCGTCTCACCGCCTTCCCGCATGGCTAAACTAGGTTTAGCGCATTCTGCGATAGAGCGATAAGCAAGGATCAAGGAGCCCCGGAGCCGTCGGCCACTCGCCAATGGCGGGGAGCGCATTGTTCACAGGGACCGCTCACCAGAGACGGCGGCCGTGCTTCGGATGCAATTTGGTCATTGATGATTCGGACGAAGCTGGTATTCTCCGGTCTAGCACGAATTCGGCAATCAAGTTGAGCGGAGGGGCGAGTTTGAGCAGCAGTAAGCGTGTTGCCCCGTGACGACGGGTGGACATACACAGTTCAGGGAGTCATCGATCGGACACACTCGGCTTTGGGCTGCGTGAAAAGGTTGACCAAAGGTCCATCTCTCTTGGTATACACAGAACATCTAGGCCTAGCCATTTCTAAAGGGCGATGTTTAGTTTGTCGCCACCCTTCCCTATCGTCATTGCACAAGAAGTCGGGGGCTACGTTGTCCGGCCGAAGGCTGTTATGGCCGGGAGCATCCCTGAGTTTGCGCCGCCACCAACATGAGAAGGAGTTCAAGTGCACAGTAGGGTGTGCATGATGAGACTCGAGGGATAGTTTGAGGCAAACTAACGAGGAGGCGAGATACCCCATCGAATATCCAAGAACAATCCGATGGGTCGGGGCTTCCAACCCGTCGTCGAGCCTGGATAAGTTGAACCACGTGGGGCATCTAGTGGGCAAACACGTCCACGACGAAACACCACTTGGCCTGCAAGGCGGGGCTCCTACTGACTGACATGACGTTCCCAACAAATAAGAAATGAAATGCACATTGCGACATTTATCAAACCCAAGTTCGGGTCGGCAACTCGCCCATGTCCTCATCAACTCACCCGGCAAGTCCCCTTCCGCCAAAATCCGGGGCAAGGAACGTTAAAAAGATCCTTGTTGTTTCTGATAAGATTTTGGCGGGGTGATTCGCTTCACCCCACGTTCGCCAAGGCGAAGAATCAGATCGTGGCGCTGGTGGGTCTCACGATTTGCCATGCAACCTGAAAGGCCCCTGCTGGGTGTGGGCACAGAGCCAAGGACCTCACTTACGTGCTCCTTCCCGATCACCTCCTCGTAACCGAATAACTCGACTCTAGGTGGCGGGCAACCCGACCTCCTGACAAAGCCTACTGTGTACTTCAAGTTGTAGATTGACGATGCACACGCCGTAACACCATCATCAAATGCCCACGATGGCCCCCCCAACCTGGCATGCCCGTGCCTGGCAACCACCTCAAACCTTCCACTCGCAACAGCTGCCTGCTGCCTGCTGATTACTCCTAAGTACCTACCTACCCAACCACGACACAGGGTTCTTCAATGCGCGATAGGTAGGAATGAGACGCTCATGTTTGGCACGACCACTGCCACAACTCTGATACACCCACTGTTCTTTGAAATCGGGTCAAGCTACCCGGAGGCGGGAGCGACTAAAACTATGAGCTGAACTGGACGACTTGAAGTCCTCAAATTCTCAAGGCGCCATCTTCTTGCAGGATATCGAATCCACAAAATGGTAAACCAATCTCTAAGCTGTTGTTACTAACACACTCCACCAACTTAGTCATGTTCAAGTGGCGCGATACGATTATACGGCGTACGACTCGGAGTGTTCCTCGAAAGTTGGCAACGGTAAACACTGCTCAGTCGGCGGCTTAAGGTCTGGACTGATTCTCGGTGGAAAATGAGGTTTCGACCAAGAATTTGGTCATAGTTAGACGGCGGTCATGCAAGACAGGCTTTAGGCATGAGTCCCGTTTCACATGTAATCAATCATGGACGTTCGAAACAGACGAGAGGAGGGTCCGATTCATTGAACCCGTCTAGCATTACCTTGACCTCTACCATCTAGAAAGTCCTCGGGTCATCGTCGAACGCGACGTGATACCCCCATTATTTAACTCATGAGAACCGTCACATGGGTCATCAGTCGTGCCCAACCATCATCGTCCATCCGTTGTGCCGTGCCACTTTGATAACTAATAACCCGGTAGTTACCAAAGTCATAGTAGTAATCCATCGAACCACCAACCCTTCATTACGCTCTTTTTCACATATCCACACTGGCCGAGAACTGAGAAACGGTAAAAGTAGCCGGCCCACCAGTGAAGGCTTCTGTGCCAACTTGAAAGACTTCAAACCGATACCACCGCGGTCAGCATCGTCATGAAAAAGCAAAGCAAAGCAAAAGCAAAATTCATCTTACCAATGAGATTCTGGCTTTGGGCCGGAAAGCCATCATTGTCCTCCAGGTAGCTGAAGAATGGTTTGACGTCGGCGTTGAAGCTATTCATGTTTCTCGTGGCCACGAAGCTGTAGACGCTCATGCCGCCATTGTTGCCGACATAGAGCTGCCAACTATGCTCGCCGACCATGACGGTGCCCATTGAGGAGCCTATGGGAGCGACGTCCCCAAACACGGCAAGCCTGCAAGGACCATCAGCTACAGCTATTAGTCCACCCCCTGATCACTCACCATATCATTAATTCGTAGTCCCCGCCACTGTTCGAATGATTCGGGTCCTCGGCAGTGAAGAAATCGTAGGCAACGTTTGCGCGAATGTCGCTAGTATTGTAGTTCCACGATACTTCCGTTGGCATGCTGGTGATGGAGGAAATGGTGTTGCCCCTCGCGACCTGCCTACCGGAATACGCGTAGCTTTTCACCCGACTCTCATTACCTTCCCAGGTCCACGTCGTGTGCCACGAAACGCCGGAGCTGGAGCTGCTGTCGACGTATGTGCACTGTGAGCCCGAAGACGCCGACTCCGCGCCCCAGTTGTTGTTGTTAACCTCGTACCCGTTGCCGGACCAGTAGCCGTTTCTCTCGCAAAGCGTTGCCGTCTGTCGTCTGTGTAACGGATAGCATCCCGTAGGCGCCGCGGCTGCGAGGGCGGCCAGGAGGAACAGAACCAGCCTCATCACGATGGTCAATAATCGACTTGGATGACAAAACCAACGCCTTTCAGTTATGGATGTTTCGATTTGCACACATTCCTGCTTTTTAGGGGTTCCGCCCGTGATTAAAGTACACAATTCCGCCCCGAGCTATGTCTCAGCCCGCTCACCTTCCACACACACAGTCCGGGAAAGGAATGTGATACACTTCCTAACCCGAACTCTTGGTTACGTGGCCAGACAGCCGAGGGCCATTACCTAGGACCAGTCCGTGACGTTCCCGCGTCTCACCCCAACCCTCACCGTCTCGGGACTCGAGTGAACCCCAAAGCGCCAACCCGGGGTCGGGATTCCCACTCATTGTCCGGAGTCGAACGCCGTGCCACTTACCGGACCAATAAGCTCGTGGCCCCCATCGGCCTTTCTCAGTTGACCGTCACCGGTTCCGCCGCTTGGGGTTTGCACATGCAGATCAGCTTAATCCGAGACCTTTTCTTACTTCTATTCGTTTGTCATAGGAACGTTGTACCTAGCCCCCATCAAGCTACCAGGGGAATACTCTGCTGTATCACCTGGCCGCCGTTTATTGAACATGAAACCCTGGCATATTGTTAATGAAGACCACGCTTCCACTAACCGGCAGATCGAGCTCATACAGCCCCTGTATCAATCATGCTCAAACCAGGGGCCCGCGCCTGATGTTTTAACCAGTGGCATCTGTGGTTAGTAGAATAAACGGACTGCCCTGGGCGGGAGGGGCACAATGTTACGACGTGCTTGAGACTTATTCATTGTAAGCTAAGATTCTAGTACTATAAGGTAAGACACTTTATAACTAAAAGCCATACCCAAAAGCAATGCCCGAAGTAGTTGAAACGAAGATGATCGTTTTATCTCGATACGTAGGTACATTTGAGTGTTTCAAGGCTCTTTCACTCTGACGATGCCTTGCTCGTATTAACCGGACCCAGAAAGACACAATGGGGTCTGCTAGAGCTCGAATCAGCAACTCCTTTCGTGACGTCACAAACTCGACGTCAGACATGCTTGACATCGTCACCGCGCTCCAATCACCCTCTCCTCATTTTTGTAAAGCCTTCGCAACCATAATCCCCTCATAGAACCCAAGATTCACACCAAGCTCGCAACCGTTGTGACAAGAACCACACCAGCACCACAACCATGTCTTCGCCATCCAACAACCCCCAGAACCCCAGCCGCCCTGAGCAGCCCGGTCTCTGGACTGCACACGCCGAGTACATCAAAGGAGCCGCCGAGGTTCGTTGTCCATCCTCCTTTTACTACTTCCTCTCTCAAACTCAACATCCTCACTCTTCACCCATCCCCATAGCCGCCATAGCCCTTTCGCCCCATCTCTTCACCCCCTCCCAAACCCGCCTCACACCAGCCCCCCTTCCCGCCAACCCCTCCTCCCACCCCCAAAAGAAAACCCCCCAAAAAAAGAAGAAACCCCACTAACCCCCTCTTCCTTTTCCCCACCACGAACAGAGCGCCGTCGGCGCCATGACGGGCTCGCAAGCCTGGAGCGCCTCGGGCACGACCGACAAGGCGCACGCGCGCGCCGCGCTGCAGGCCGCCGCCGAGCGCCGCGACCCGGCCAAGAGCGGGTACGGGCGGGCCGAGGAGCTCGCCGGCAAGCTGACGGGCTGCGAGGGCATGAAGCACGAGGGCGCGGCTAGCAAGGGCGGCAGTGGTGGTGGGCCGAAGCCGAGGAGGGATTAGGTTGCGTTGGGTGAGTTGCGTGGCTGGGAGGAGGAAAAGGGGGTCGGGTTGTTGTGGCCCCCGAGGGTTGGGTGGCTGCTAGTATGTATGTAAAAACAGCTTTGATGCACGTTTCTTTCTACTCCTGGCTATCATTCGTTTGCATGAGTGCCCAGGTTCATCAAACATTGGACCGCAAGCAGAGTCACATGCCAGACCCGGGACCATTTCTCAGACTTGAACCAGGAGGGCGCTGTGGAATCGTCACTTCTCAAACCCGCTGCCAAATTTCCAAATACGAGTATGACCATGTCTCGCCCAACGCTACGAAACCAACCTACCGAGGCCCAACCCCTATTTTACAGCCCCTTCTCGACCTCCATCAACCACCCCTCACACACCCACCCCGGCCCCCTTCAGCGCAAGCTCAACAACAGCATGCGCCGTAGCGGCATGCCTAAACACGCCCGACACCCTCAGCCCCGCGGCATCAGCGAGCGCGGCAAACTGCTCGAGCGACCGCTCCTTGCCGCCGATGGAGAGCATCGAGAAGTCCTTGAAGGCCGCGTACAGTGGCAGCGGGCCGGGCGTGCTAGCCATGTCCGGGTTGAGCTGCTCCGAGATCAGCACGCGGCTGTCGGGGTACATGGCGTGCGAGATGTTGCGGAGGATAGTGGTGGCCACCGGGTCCGAGTAGTCGCGGATGATGTGCCGGAGGTAGTAGACCAACGCGCCTGGGGCCGGTGATTAGTAGTGAGCGACTGAGCAGGAGCAGGACCGAAACGCCAAGAATAAACACACCTTCAACAGGGGCCTCCTTAAAAAAGTCCATCCCCACCCAGCGCACCCCCTCCAGCACCTCATCGCCCTGTTCCCTCGCAGCCTCCACCACCTCCTCCATGTCCTGCACCACACACTGACCAGCGCTCAACCCGGGATACTCCCGCAGAAACTCCTTGGCGGTATGCCCATCCCCACCGCCCACATCCACCCAAACGGTCTCCCTCCCCGCCGCCGCCGCCCGCAGCACCCCCGTCATGTCATACACCCCCGTGACGGGCACGCGCTTGCTGGTCATGCGCATGGCGAGGCCAAAGTTCCGCAGCGCGGGCTCGTCCTTCTTGAGCAGCGAGAAGAAGTCCTCCTCCGGGCGGCCGGCTAGGTACGAGGTCGGGATGTGGGCCGGGCCGAGCGGCTCCGTCCGGCCGTAGGTGTCGAAGTAGGACGGGAGGACAGTGGAGACGGCCGCGACGTGGTTGTACATGAGGGAGAACATGGCGGACATGGGCTGGCCGGAGATGAGGAGCAAGGAGGTGGGGGTGTGGGAGAGGGACGGGGCTGGGTGGGTGGGCGAAGTGGGATGGTGGAGAAGGATGTTGGAGGAGGTGAGCATCGATGCGACGCGGGCTTCACCGTGTTAGCTGAGGTCTTGACGTCGGCACGGGAGAAACAAAGGGGGAGGTAGGGGACTTGCCAATGAGTCCCTCGTCGGCGTTGACTCGTGCAGCCAGCCCAGCATATGTGATACTATCCCCTTTGCTCGAGGGGATAATATCAAACGCACCCCAGTGCATAAAGAGACGCACGGCCGAGATGACGGACATGTTGGCAAACCAGCCCATGATGGTGTCGCCGGGAGGGCGGAGAGCAGTGGCCAACTCAAGGGTGTCTGTGACGGGTTTGATCCGAGCGGCGTCATCGGTTGCGATTTGAGAGATGCTGTGTGCGATGTTTGCGGTGAGGTCGAGGAGGTCTTGGTTGGGCTGAGGGGTGCTAGAAGGAGGCGATGCTTTGGTGTTGATGCCGTTGGCCTTGCTGTCCCCGTTGAGTTTACGCGTACCAACCCCATGGGACTCCATCCTATCGGCACCAGAGCTGGTGTTAGTCGCTGCAGAGTTGCGCGCACCCCGATCTAGTTGGTCAGTTGCCATGTTTTGGGTGTTGAGAGGTGCCTGGGCGATGTTGCTGGTGGGTTCGGATTCGACGGCCTTTATATCCGTCTGCTGCTGTCCGCTCACTTCGTCAATGTCCTTCCCCGGGCTGCTTGTCAGCACTGCTTCACTCAACAAATCCGCGGCTTCCCGCACAATTTGTGCCTGGTATCCGTTCATATCGTCCACCTTTCGTTTGTCAACCTCCAAACGCTTCGGAATTGCACTGGATTCAGGAGTTGGAATCCTGCTTCGGCCACCTGTTGTACCATTGGCAAGGTATGTGCCGATGATCCCTTGGACAGCTTTGAGGGTCTCGACGGCATCCAGATCTGAGGGCTGGGTTATGCTGATGCTGTGGTCGATGAGACCTGGCGTGGCATGGTTGCTGGTGAGATGAGTGGCCATCGTGAGGTTGGGAAAGGCCCTCCTAGGAACGGGGGAGATCCGGGAGGCCGTTGAAGTGAGACGCAGAAAACAAGGAGCGCCCCTGGAAATGGCAAGACGGTTGAGGTGCGTCGTAGACTATGCAAGCGGCCGATGTCACTTGTCATGGGCGTGAGTTCCAGTTGATTTGGCCGACCAATTGCTTACCGAGAGCGAGGCTTTATGTTCTCACCACTCTCGCCTACTTCGTAAATTGAACCCCTCATGTGGGTAGCTTATGAGTAGTCATTCCAGAGCACTGGTTGGTACCCGTATCCGGGTGCTGCCTTTGGCCGCCACCCTTGACGATATGGCTTGTGCTCGGCCCCTGTCTCCGGGACCGAAGCGACGGGTCGGGGACGTGACGGCTGGATATACCCCGAGCGACCACCCCAATCCGTCATCCAGCCTACACATGCAGCAGACCGCTCCAAATCCCACCCTTATTCCTTCCATGGGAGCCAATTATGCCCATCCTCAGCCGAAGGAATTCACCCCACGTGCGTGGTGGGACCGTTCCATGGCTTCAAACGTCAACATGCAGGCCGAATTTCGCTGCCATTCCAGTTTGGCCACACGGCGGCTCGGTTGTCCGGTATATCGCATGTCGTCTTGTCGTCATCCGTTACCCGTCCGAACGAATAGACAGCACGTCGCAACTGGTTCAAGCACTCTTCCTTTTACTGGCCTTGTTACCGGCTCGCCTCTTGTAGACAAAAGCCGGGAGTCCGGAAGAAGCCGTTTCGATCGGGAAGGGCGTGAAGATGGCTCATTCGTACACCGCCGATGACCGTCCGCGATAGAGCGGCAGCCGGTAGGCGGCAGGTGCAATCCTTAGTTGCCAATGTCCCTTGCGCGAAGGATCAAATATTCCATGCCGTCAACTGCTAAGAAAAATCCTCCAAAACGCTACGCAAAAATGCCCGAAAATATGAGGAATTGAGTTCACTGCTACCCGAGTTCCCCGAAGCTCTCTCAATCTCCACCAAAAGCAAACACGAGCTGGGACCGCGGAAGGTTACGCTTGTTCCGTGCCCCGTTCCCCACCCGAGCCGACTTGTCGCTTGACCGAACTGAGCCGCTCTCGAACCATGGCGCTAGACCTTCCCCCGTACCCCCACCTCCACCATCCACCCCAATCCACCCCAGCCCATCTTTCGGTCACGGTGTTTGTTGTTGGATCATGTTGGATCATTCGGGACCGGAACTAAACAGACTAAGCTCCCGGTATGGGTAGCCATTGGCCCGTTGGCGCTGGGTTTCTCATGGCTTGTCTGGTCGTGAGGTTCTTCCACACCTCGGCTGACAACCCCTCGAAGTTCTTCAGACAGGACAAGGCGCTCTCCCACCTATCGCCATACAGCCTCAAGGTAAGCTTCACTCTTTCTAAACATCGCACACTGCGATCTAAGTCATCACCGGTACCCCTGTCGAGCCTCACTGGCCGCGGGGGAGGTAACACTTTCCCCGGCGCGGGGGAAGGGATGGATGACCCCGACAGAATCAGATCGCCGATCTCCTGCAGAACCGCGACGAACTGCGATCCCATGAAAAGTACTCTGAGAGCATCGTGGTAAGTGTAAACGGCAGCGTTTTCCGCGAGTTTTGCGATGTCATATATCCTGTCAACGTACGAGATGACGTGGTCAAAGATCAGGAGCTTTCCATAAGCCGACACTTGAGCTCCTCTGGCGTTAGAAGCAATGCAGTAAACGTAGCTGTAGCGCAACTCCAACTCGAGCATCTCGCGGATGGCCGCCGGCATATCGGGCGGCAACCTCTCGGACCATTCCCACATCTCACGGTATTTTTGCCAGATGAAGGAGGTGATGTCTGGTAGGTGTTCGTTTGGGTTGCCTTGGTAAAGCGCCTGATACCACTCCGACTGCAATTGGCGTAGCCTGAAAAGAGGAAGAGAGGCGTCCGGGGATCGTTTGGCTGTGGTGCTGCCTGAGAGGGTGCTACTTGCCTGGAACGGCGAGGGGAGAGCCACGCACACGGCCTCATCGTAAAAGGAGAATGCGCGGGCATGAACCATGCTTATTGCCCTAGAAGCCATCGTTAGTGGCGTGAATGGCAAACATGAACAACAACTGCTAACCTATCGAGAGCGTAGGTGCAGTAGAAGGTCCTGCGGCGTTCATTTAACGCATCTTGGCCCATTTGCTGGATGTGCGGCGGATCCTGATGTAAACCTTGGTCGACCACAGCACGGCAGGTGAAGCCAATTGGATGCCAACTGTCAAAATGAGCAGGGTCGAGCATCGAGTACTGCGTAAGGAGCAATAGAGATTGGACCTGCGTTCCGTATCCCGGCCGCAGCGCCCTGTCGGCGTGTGGCAGCGCTCGTCCAACGAACTCGACAGCATGTTGGTAGTGTTCATCCCGCCGGCTCCGGCTCTGTGACGCAGAGCTGATGGCGAGGACCATCCAGAACAACCAGTATTCCGAACTCCTAATTTGCCGTCGGTGTTGTTGGTACAGGTCGCTAACCAGAGCATGTAGCAAAGTGCCGGGGAACACCGGGTAGATGGGTATGACATTGGTTTCGTAGAACTGAACAAGAGCCCTCGCGGTCGACTCCGCTGGCAGGTCCGCTGTCCTAGGCGTTGGAACTGGCTCGTTGGTCGAGGCCGCGAGGACCAGGCGGGCAAAAGTCATGTTCGACTCGGACGGCTCGAAGTCGCGGGTGGTGGTATTTACGGCTCTGCAACAAAGTTCAGTTGATCTTCTTGATGCGAAGCGCCACGAAGGTAAACTCACAGGTAGCCAAAGTCTGACACCAGCGTGTTGATATCTGCATCCTCCTGTGTCTGCACGGCTTTTCGGTGGATGGCGGCCCGAATAAACGCCATCGAGTCTTTCCGGTTCGGGTCACCGGCGGGAGGTTCATCAGGACCATTCAATGCTACTGAATCTTTCATGGAGCGAGCATAACCGAGTCTCCGCTCCAGCTTCTCTATCCTGAGCTCCAACGCCGCGACATAGCTAGACAGTCAGGCATGGGTTAATCACGAGAACCAGTATGTGTCACGGGAACGCCGCCCACATACCTCCTTTCCTTCCCACGAGCAAACTGGTCGTTAGCCGCGGTGCACTCCTTCTCGCGCCCGGCTTTTTCACACGCCGTACATGCCGGGAGCTTATTATCACACTGGTTAAGTGGTCAGCCAGGGGTGCACGTCAGCAAGCGGCTTCAGCCTTGTCACCTTGACTTTAGCAGAGCGACCTGAAGTGGGTAGGTTGTCAGCAGGAACAAGATCCGCAATTATAAGGTCTTTACTCACACCTTGAACATGCGGACACTGGCCGAGAGACCTTGAGGAGGGGACTGTCCGTCAACTTTGACCGGAGCATGGCGAACGCGGCAGCTCCCCTGGGGGAAAGCTTCACTTTTCCCTCGACCAAAGACGAAAGTCCTCTGGAATACAATCGGGCACGGGAGAGAAAGAACTTGGCGCTCGATCGGATGAGATTGCGCGATGTCAAGGGTTGTTCTTGCTCTGAAGTACCTCAGTGCTGGTGGGGCAAATAATTGTGAAGCTGATTTGAGCCCCACTGGACGGGAGCAAGGAAGTGGGGTTCGGAGGCGGAAGCAGGAAGGTTGAAACGGGACTCGACGACCCCACTGCGCAGCAGTCCCATGAACCCCGCATCAATTGGAGGTTTCGAGTCCTCATCTTGTGGGCTCTCGAGTCCAGACAATGTCTGATATTCCGATAGTGATCGCCAGCTAGTTTATGACGGCGTGAGTTGTCGGGTCAAGTGATAGACGGTTATCTTGCTTTTTACATTGTCTCCAAAACTTAGAGGTATGCTTTTCACTCCTAAGGCCTCCGTGAGCTCCCAATGGGTACCTTCCAGCACCGGGTCGGCAGGGGTCCAGCTGTGGGAACGGCAGCTGGATAACGAATCAGGGATAGCGCACGAGGCTGTCGAGTGCCCTTGAAACTGCCCGCCCTCAACTTTGACATGCAGTGCCATTTGTTGGGTCCATCCCCTTCCATCCCCAATGCCTCGATGGAGTCGCCGCCCGATCTCATATCAGACGGCATGGGCCCGATCCCGTGAAGCTTTCAGATGATTTGGGAAATACATCAAGTGCCCACACGCCAACCAATAATATTCTCGCAGCTTGCTTCCCCGACATCGTATTGCCTGGACTTGAACAACTTCCCGTATCTAATCGATCGCCGCAGTCCTGATCCTTAACGCTCCTCTCGAGCACTGCAGTTACCGCCAGCAACGCTTCGAGGCTTTGGCTCCTCGGGTCGGACGGGATTAGCGGCAGTACCAATGGACCCTGCCACTGTCTTCCATCAATCTCTGGGCTCAGTACTTCCGCCCCAGCACTTCTTCCCGGGTCGAGCTCCGGTGCCCGGGCCGTATCCATGGGACAACCCGGAGCAGGGTTCGCACGATGCACCACACCGCGTCGCCCATACTCTAACGGCATGCCATAGATGCCGCAAGGTAAGCCGCCTCTCCCTCCGTTTGCGTCGGCTCTCGAATTCGTTCTTTTCTGACCGCCTTCGCCGCCGGGTAGAGAAAGACGAGGTGCGACCCCGCCCTTCCGCGATGCCTCCCCTGCGAACGGGCGGGCTCGACGTGCGAGTACTACGACAGCGCCAAGGGGAGGAATGTGAACCGCTCCCACGTTGTCATACTCCAAAAAAGAGTGCGCGAACTCGAGGCCGAGCTTGCCCAATACACCGACCAAGACAACGATGACCCGTACAACTATGACGACATGGTATTTCCCGGCGGCATTGTCCGCCTCAACGAGACGGACGAAACGCCACGCTACCTCGGGCCGAGTAGCGGTACGGCCATGACCCGCCTGTTGATGGAGGAGGCGAAGAGATATGCCGAGTCGCGGAGGATAGCCAGCCTGATCCCTGCGGTGCTTGCGAGGCGGGCTGAACAGAGAGACCGCATGCAGAGTGTGGTCATGGGGACTAGCATCAGCGGACCTTCCGACAGGACCAAGAGCTATCCCCCCCACAGCATCATTCCGGCGTCCGGCTTGCCAAGCAGAGAGATCGTCGACGGCCTAGTACGGGCCTTCAACGACAGAAGTAGGCTTCCCGCACCACCTTTCTGCGCAGCAGCGGGGATATTCCGGATGCTAACCAAGGAATATTAGTCCAAGTATTCACTCCTATTCTTCACGAAAAGATGTTTGAGGAAGACGTGAACTCTGTGTTTGCCGGGGATACGGACCCCTACAAGCACTTTGTCGTGAATATGGTGGTGGCTATCAGCTTGCAAAAAATGGGCAAGTACGCCGGCCTCCCTGACAGCTATTATCTCAACGCAATGCGGCGTTTTGAGGACGTTGTCTGCCCCCAGGATTTGAAGACCCTCCAGTGTCTGGTTCTGATCGGACAATATTCTTTTATGACGCCAACCAGGACCGCCACGTACTACGTGACTGGGCTCGCAACCAGGATCTGTCAGCAGATGCGCCTCGGGGACGAGGGGACCATCGGCATGGGTGTGACGGACCCGCTGGACCTTGACATGAGGAGGAGAGTGAGCTGGATTGTTACCGCGCAAGAGTTGGGCTTGGCCAACATTATGGGTAGGCCTAACGGCCTCGCTAAAGCTGATGATTTCATAGACGTCAAGTTCTTCGAACCCGTTCTGGACGAGGACATCACCCCGGAGGGCATCCGCTCCGGCAACCCTTGCGAAAAGAAGATAGCCGCCATCCACTTTTGCAAGATGAGGCTTCTGCAGGCGGAAATCCGCCGGGTGCTTTACGAGAAGAAACGCCCCCAACCTTCTCAGGACCTTCAGCCTTGGTTCGTTCAAATGGAGCAGAGACTCACGGAGTGGGTCGATGCCTGCCCCACGAAGCCTGCTTGGTTTAAACCTTGGTGAGTCCATCCATTACCGCCTACCTTTCGAGCATTCGGTTGATGTCTATGACAGGCTCAATGGATGCTACCACAGCATGATCATATCCCTTTACCGCCCCTCTCCGCAAGTGCCTAAGCCCGCCGCCAACGCAGCAATGAGGTGTTTCGAGGGTTCGCGCTCCATCATCGACTTGACGAATCGCCAGATCGAAGAGGGCACTGTTGATATTTCGTGGGAGTCTTTGTTGACTGTCTACGCCTCACTAAATGCGCTTCTCTGGTCTATCTCATACGCCGAAGTACGCGACACACACAACCGGGAGGACGTTCAGGATCTGGCAGCGACCGCTCTGGAGGCGATTAAAATCTTCTCCGACCGATGGCCTGGGTCCTCGTCCGCAGTCCAACTATATACCGTGATCGCCGATGCTTGTCTCCAGAGCTATGATGCGGGCGAGGAGACCCCTTCACCACCGCCGGGTAGTCAGCTCGGAACGCCAGTCACTTTGGCTGGTCCGAAGTCCCCCGAGTCGGATACCTCGAGGGATACTCCGACCCGTCAAACACAGCCACAGTCGGCCACCTCACTCTTCAATACATCCTCCCCCTTCGGGTACGTGTTCGATGCCGCCAATAACCCGCTAGGTGCTCAGTACGGATTCGAGAGTGAGGCCTCTCCCTTCCCACACCAACCCAGCTTCCGTTCCAACTCGATCTTCATGAGCCCTTCGACGGACGCGAACGGCCGTAGGTTATCGAACCTCGCGCCTGACTCAAACGAAGCTTCTGCCCCCAGCCGCATGGGAACCACACCTCCGCCGCTTCTAGCGATACCCAAGCCTGAACCTGCACCACCCGTGACCACGCCCTTGATCACCTCCTTGCCTTCGCCTCCAGAGTCCCTCGCTCCCACATCCGCCCAGCCCGGTATCCACCTCTCTCCGAGGCTGACAAGAGAAACAACTCCCATGCAAACACCAACTCTTCATAACACCACCCCGGTTCCGATACCCCACCATACCCCGGCACCAATAATACACGTGAAGCAGGAGCCCCTAGAATTGTTCCATTCCAGTCATTTCCAGCAACACCGGCCACAGGGACAACACCACCACCAACAACAGCAACAATCACCACATCCAGAACTTTCCGCCCAGGCGGGCCCACGACGTCCGCCACCCCCCTTCGTCACTCCACCACCGCAACCCCAACATATCCCACAACAACATCAACATCAACAACAACCCCAACAACCCCAACAACGGCCGCCGCCGTCTCACGGACCGGTAGACTGGTACAACCCCCTCCCCCAATTCATCCCCCCCCACGTCTTCACAAGCGGCATGGGCGGCGGGCCCTCCTTCTGGAACGGCACGCCCAACCCCTTCACGGGCAACCACCTCAACCCGAACGTGATGCAGGTGCCGTACGGCGCCGCACGCAACGGCGTGCCGAGCGGCGGCGGTCTGCAGCACACGGCAAGCTGGAACCTGGACGGTTTCGGAGCCGGCGGGCCGCAGGACGGAGGTGTAGGTGGTGGTGGTGGTAGTGGTGGAGGAGGAGGAGGAGGAGGAGGAGGAGGCATGTTTGCCCCCGCTGGACCGGGCCTCGCACCCGGTCCCGGCCCCGGCCCCGGCTTCGGTTACAGCCCCGGCATGGCCGGTGACTACTATGACTCGTTCATGAACGGTCGGCATGGGAGCCTCAGTCATGAGCAGCAGCTGGAGCTGATGGATGTGTTGGAGACGGAGGGGATGAGTGATATTGACAGTTTCTTGAACTTGGGTATGGGCGGTGCTGGTGGTGCGGGTGGAGGGATGGGTGGTCCTGGCGGGGTGCAGTGGGGTTGAGGTTGGTTTGGGAGGGGGAAGGAAGGGGGGATATATATATCGCGGGGGGTCGACTGCGTAGGGCGGTGCGATTGGATTTGCTCTGGTTACTGTCTCTGGTTGGGATACTAGAAAGAGGGCTTTTTTGGAAAGAGTTTGGGTTGGTATGGGTGCTTCGTCTGTGGATGCTTAAGCTGGTTATATAGGTATTTCTTTTTCTCTTGTTGCTTGCGTATTCCGGATGATTCCCCCGTCTTTTCGACAGTCTCGGTTTTAGCTAGCTGCGCAGCCAGTTGATCTGATCGGATGGTTCGAGTATTGAGCTACCAGTGCTGTCTAGGCGTGAAACACAGAGTTCGTTCTGTCCATTGGGCTCATGTCTTGCATTGGTCGGGGTCATAATCGGCTGGCTGCAAGGCCGGCACAAACTGGGTCCTCGATTCCAAGCAGTGTATACATCAGCAAGTCTCATAGATTTCCATATATATACCTTTTTTTGGCCGCCCTCTCTTCAACCTTAGGTCGTGCCCGTCCCCTCCGCATCCCCGACCGCGGACGCACCACTGCCATCCATGGCATTCGTCTTTTTCGCCGGCTTTTTCCTCCGCTTTCGCGACCCTTCACCCACGCCGGCCGCTGTGTTGGGAGCCGGGGCCTCGGTTACCCAGCGGGCGATAGCGCCTGCACGCTCGCTGGCGAGGAGGTGGTAATCTTTGTCGTCGGAGGCGGGGGAAGGTGCAACGCGACGGCCACTGGCTGACATAGCGCCCGACACCGGAAACACGGGAGGCAGTGCGGTGGGGTTTGCGGTATCGACGCCGGCGCTTGTGTTGTCCATCGCGGCCGCATCGGCCCCTGCAGTTGTTGGATTTCCCAGCTCACTTCTGACGAGCTGGGCGTCCAGGGCGGCGGCGGCGTTATCGAGACGGTAGTCGCGCTCAGCGCGCAGTTGGCGGGCGCGGATGGCTAGCCGGAGAGCGGCTTCGTCTGATCCGGCATCGTCGCTGAAGGTATCCACGGCGGCGTGCTGGGAGGCGAGGTCTTCGCCGTGCTCAGGGGTGCCGCCAGGCCTCGCTGAGGAGTCATGGGTAATCCCCAAGCTGTCGCTTCCTGGGGTCGGGAGGGCTTGTTGAAGCGGCGATGGAGATACGGGGACTAGCGTGGAGCCGTTTCCGGCAGATTGGAAGAGCGGGAGGGGTGTTGGTGCACAGAGGTCCTCCCAGGATCCAGCCAGCTGGATCCAATTGCCGCCCGCTCGTAGTACTTCAATCCAGTCCGCTCGGGCAGGGCATCGGCTAGATTGAAACACCGGGTAGCCATCGGCTAGACGGGCGAGGCGGGCTACCATGTTGGCGTGGCGAAGCAGTTCTTTGGCCGAAGTTTGGATCAGACAGTGGCACAATAAAAGGGCATGGAGGGCGTCGGTGAGGAGAGGATGACAGGTTAGTGTTTCAGTCGTGGTTTGTACAAAGCCGGCAGCTGGTGGCCCGCGGGTGGCCGTGACCATTTCCGTGCTTGGGTAAGGGGGGAGGCCAGCAGGTTGCGAGGATGTGAAGAGGTCTGATAACGCGTAGATACGGTGAGGCGCGGTTACGGTCTCACCTTCTCTAGCGTGGGGTGAACGTGGCCCGGGTGGATGGCTGTAGGACCGCGGTGCCCTGGTGCCGTTGACGGCAGAGTTAACCCTGCGGGCGAAATCCTCGGCGAGCCCGATAGGCAGGTCCGGCGAATAGTCAAAATGGGAAAGGTAGGCGGTGTAGTCTCGCAATGCCCGCTTCGCGTTTTGTCTCACCAACTTCCTGGCTCCCTCCATTCCGTTCTGTGCTGCCCTTCCCGCTGGCGATAGCACAGGCCGCGGCTCTTCCGCCGCATGCTCGGCCTGCGCGCTATCAGGGAAGTGAGCGTCGGCTGTAGTCAAGTCCCCCCCTAGGGCGGCGCCAACGTGGCGGCAGGCAATGGCCAAGTGAATGCCCGCCCTTTGGAAAAGCAACTGCAACTCCAAACTGCCTGGTTGTTCTCCCCCCTTCAACATGATGTCTTCCTGCCTTCGAGGGCTCCCGTACGGTTGGCCCCCCAAAGGCTGGTTTCCCCGGGCCGGTTTCGGCGAGGCATGTGCAGGCCGGTGCAGGCGATGAAGCTTGAGGGCTGCCGTCAAGTCGTCAACCGCGCCCTCGTCATCCCCCTTGAAAACGCGCACCATAGCCCGGGTCCTCAATGGCGCTGGGTCAGATGGTTTCGCGGCAGCAATCTCGTCGAGCGGCGTCAGGCTGGTGCACTCGACCAGCTGGCGGCTTGGGATCTTCTCGTGAAAGAAATGGACATATTTGGCAGCGGAGTCCTGGGGATTCCGCTGGAGCACTAGGGATGCCACCTCCTCGAGGGTAGAGGCGCCTTGCATTGTGGCAACGCTACTAGCAATCTCATCCAGTCGATATGCTTCCATCAGCTTCTGCGTTGCCTGCTCCCTCATCCTGTGTTTCCTCTCCGGGCTCAGCTTCGTCTGCGGCGGCGGACGGTGACCAAAGCCGAAACCTAGCATGGATGCAGGATGAGAAGCGTGGTTAGGGCCCCGCTGGCCGATGGTGGCCACGCCGCTAGCAGCACGCACGGCGAGGTCGGTGGCCTCGTCGACCAGCCGCCTGATCTTGACTAGATCAAAGAAAACGGAAGGGTCGATGGGCCGCGGTCTCGGGGCATTGTAGTTTACATTCGCGATAGTCTCGAGAACCTCTGGAGGTAGTTGGAGCCATGGTCCGTGGAAGGACGATATGTATCGCCAATGTCTGCGGTACCTGGGTCAGCTGTCCGTCGCCAGCACGAAAAGGGCAAGAACAGCAAGTGCAGAGAGGGCAAGAAGCCTAGCCGATGTAAGAGGGGGTGGATTGCACGACCGATGGCAGGGGTACTGTGTAGAGGTGACGGGGGATGCTGGAAAGCAAGCGCACTTGTTCCTACAGATTACAAGCACCTGTTGCGACAGCGGTGGTTGCGGGGCAACCTTGGGCTTCGAAAGCTGCTTGGTGGCAGCCAGTAGCTGTGATGGCGACGGCGATAGCGACAATGACAACGGTAATGATGGCGGCACGGAGGAGGGTGAGTGGTCACCATGATGCTCACCATCTTCGCCGAGCTCGGTCCTATTCTTGCCGGGCATCTCCGGGAGCTCGAGGTCGAGTCGGCCGAGATATGGCGCGATTGGCGGGCCGTGGCGGCGCAGCTTTCGGGGGGGAGCGATTGGCAATTGGCAGCGAGTAACTCCCGAATTTCGCAGCGCCTGAATTTCTGGATGCCGAGGGCAAGACGTGAATGGCCGGTCGAGTCGAGTCAGCGACAATCGCATCCGCGACCAACAGTTCCGGGCAAGGCTCGAGGCGCCGAACAAAGGAAGCAGAATGGGCCGTAGCAACCTAGAAGAAACCGCAACACCAAAACGGATTCACCTCAATGCCATCATCCGCGGCCGGGCAGGTACCGCGTGTGCCACTCGCTGAGGGCATTCGGGCGGAACATCACGTGCCCGGGCAGTGGACATGAGGAATTGACAATGATGGTAACATGCAATGCAGCGCCATTTTAATATGGACGAAGGAGGAATTCCTCAAATGTTGGAGGTTCTTCGCGACGGCGACCACCATACCGTCGGTCATGATGAGAACGGACACCGGTTGAGTCAAGGCGGACGGATGGCAGAGGTGTGCCAACCTGCAGGCACCACTGCAGGCACCACCACCAACATGCGCAACCCTAACCCGAGCATTTCCAAGAACACCAACACCAAACCCGTCATCACCATTTTACCTTCCCCCCATTTTCCGTCTGCGATTCTGACTTCGACTTTCATCAGCCCGACCCCGTTTGCCACGGCCTCTCTTACCACTCAGACTGGCTGTGAGAAGGTGGCACCACCGCCTATCTCCGTATTTCGTGACAGTGTCTAAGCCTATTCTGCTGCGGCACCTCACCCCAGTCCTCGAGATCCCAAGAACCTTGATATTTAGCTGGCTACGTGTTTGTTGCAGTATTACCCCACACGGCTCATGGAAAAGCTTTTTCCAGGTGGGCGTAAATACGTGGAAAGCCTGGATCATGTAACACCACAATAGGTATGTACCTACCAATAGACTAGTCACTGTCGGTTGGGCTGATATCATGTTTTATAAGATGCGGCGTACACCCAAATGGAATAAAACGAGCAATGAGGATATTAACGGAAGGGGAGAAAGGATGCAACTGCCCTTGGAGCCGTTGTCCGATGAGGAACCAGGAAACGACACAGTCAGGACAAGTGAAAGAAAGGGGAAGGGGTACGAGTACCTAGTCATCCACTGAGTATTTGCTCTTCGAACTACTGCACGGATCGATTCAATCGCATAGCTCAGGTAGCAAATCAGCATGAAACTCGAAAAGTGTCGACTTCCTCCCGTTGTTACATGTAGACTTACACTCTTGTGAATTACTCCATCAGATTCACTCGGCCGTTGCTCCCCCTTATGGGGCATAACATGACGTAGTTTGTAGGAAGGTTGCTGGCCCGCTTGGCTACTATGTACCCAGGCACCTACCTCGGTAACTTGCCAACTTCAAGGTTGCTTTGGAGCATTTCCCCGTCCCACCGCAATGGTACCTCCCCCCCACAAGCATCTTTTCCCCGCAAAGCCCGATTGGGCAGGACCGCCATGGGTTCGGGCAACGTTTTCCATTCTTGATAATAACCGTCGAATGATTAGTAAGGAAACACGATGAATGGGACTAGTATACTTGTACTGCCCTCGGTATCTATGTGGGTAGTTATCAATGGTTCAATGAGGTATTACGGTATCCGGATGGATGGACAGAAAAGAACCTTGCATACAGTTATGTTGTCCGGTTGGTGGATTGGGTTTCGAGAAACGGCGCGGTAAACTTGGGTGCTTGGGTACATAATGGAACTTACCGATATGATCAGCGAATGCTACCTCCGCCTGCCCAGCTTCCTCCGACTGCTTCATCCGTGCCAATCCCGTCAGTCGGGGTCACCGTGCCTCACCCCAGAGAGGAACCGCCAAGGTGGAACCGAGCTCCGGCATATGCTGGACGCCCTAGGGTCCTTAGTTACTTCGTGTCGTTTTCTTCCGCACGGTTAGACGAAACCGACCGAAATGGCGCCGAGCGAGCACGGCAGCCGCGGTCGTGTGAGAGTATAAGTTGGGGCCTTGGGGGTTTACCCAGGAGTCGGAAGCCAGGTTTTCTCACTTGCTCGACGTGCATCTTAGATCAGTCTTGTTCCGCTGTCAGCCTGTCTGTCAAAAGCCATGATGGCCAGTTGGTCCACCTCACTCCTAGGCGCCGGCCTCTGCTGGTTGGCGTCTATGGCGGACGCCTTGCCGTCCCACGTCTTCCAGAATTCTACCGCTCCGCCCGTCGTTGCGGTCAAGAATGGCTCGTATGCCGGGATACACTCGGCCGAGTACAACCAGGACTTCTTCCTCGGCATGCCTTATGCCCAGGTAGCCCCTCGGTTCACCGTCTCGCAGCATCTAAACTCGTCGTGGGAGGGTGTCCGGAATGCCACTGTATATCCACGGCACTGCATCGGCTACGGCGGCGACCAAATTGGCTATGAAGTCTCGGAGGACTGCCTGTACCTAAACGTTATCCGACCGGCCGGCATCTCCGACACTGCTGGTCTTCCGGTGGCTGTCTGGATCCATGGCGGCGGTTTGGTGAGTTCCCTTCCGCCCAGTTACAAATTCCGGCTGGGCATGTCTTTTCTGACAATTCCGGTTTCTCTACTGTTTCGCAGGCTATGGGCGGCTCGGCAGACAGGCGCTACAACCTCTCCTTTGTGGTGGAGAACAGTGTCGAGCAAGGCACGCCCATGATCGGCGTCAGCCTCAACTACCGCCTGTCCGCCTTCGGCTTCCCTCAGGGCGAGGAGGCCCTGGCGGCGGGGGTAACAAACCTGGGCTTCAGGGACCAGCGACTGGCGCTGCGGTGGCTGCACGAGAACATCGCGGCCTTTGGCGGCGCCCCGGACAAGGTGACGATCTGGGGCGAGAGCTCCGGCGCCGAGAGCGTGACCGCGCAGACGGTGGCCTATGGCGGCCGCGACGACGGTCTGTTCCGCGGCGTCATCGCCCAGTCCGGGTACGGGGGCTTCATCGGGCGGTACGCCGGCGGCCTGAACGCCAGCGGCGCCATGCAGGACACCTACGACAGGCTCGTGCGCAACACCAGCTGCGCCCACACGGTCGGCACGCCCGCCTCCCTCGACTGCCTGCGCGCCCTGCCGCTGGACGACTTGAACGAGGCGCTAAACGGCACGGCTGCCAACCCGTGGTCGCCGGTGCTGGACGGCGACTTCATCGCCGACTACCCCTCCAAGCAGCTGAGAGAGGGCCGCTTCCCCCAGGTGCACCTGCTACTCGGCTGCAACTCGGAAGAGGGAGCATCGTTTGGCACGGAAGTGGGCCCCGACGGCGGCGGCGTCAACACGGACGACGAGATGCGGAAGGCTGTCACGGTCATTGTGGGACCCGAGGTTCAAGAGACGGTCGGCAAGACGGTCGAGCAGGTAGTGGACGAGTTGATGTTCTTATACCCCAACATCCAGGCCGTCGGTGTCCCAGGCCTTGACAAGTGGCCCGTCATCCAGCCCGGCGACGAGGTAGCCCAAATCGTGGGCTCACAGTACCGCCGTACGGCTGCTCTGTTTGGGGACTAGTATGTTTTCCCGTCCGGTGCAAAAGAAGAAACGAGGAGGAGAGTACCTGGTGATTACTGACAAGCGGAACTTTGCAGCATGATGCACTTCTCCCGACGGCGCGCGAGCCTGGCCTTTGCGAAGCAAGGGATTCCCGCTTGGAGCTACCGTTTCGACGTTGTGCTACCCAGTATCCCCGACTTCATCGGAGCCACGCACTTCCAGGAAGTCGCCTTCGTGTTCCACAATATTCGCGGCGAAGGTTACGACAAAAAGCCGTTTGCCAACGGCACCGAGGCGCTCGTCGGGCTGGCCAAAACCATGTCGACCGGGTGGATCAACTTCGTCACGGGCCAGGACCCCAATGGCGCCGAGGGGTTGGGCCTTCCGGGCGGGGTGTCCTGGCCGGCGTATAATGCCAGCGTCGGTGGCGGAGTTGGCCAGAATCTGGTCTGGTCGGACAAGGGCAGCTATGTTGAGACGGACGATTGGCGGGTTGAAGGGATCAACTACTTTATCGAGAACAGTTTGAGGGTGTTTGGCATATAAGCCGTGATACCTGACCCAGCCACGGGGCATATAGAAGCTTGGGAGGCAAGAGAGGAAAGATCGGAGGCAGATAATTATTGCAGATATCGTAGAATTTGGCAGTCCCGGGGATCTAAAAACGGGTGCCACTTAGCCGATCTCAGTATGCTCGGTTTCCGTAGTAGAAAACGATGTAAACGGATGTACGGCTTCTAGAATAAATGGCATGGCGAGTTGGCTGCCTGTTGTGGAAGGTCGCGGTAACTTGAACGCAACTTCCTTTTTCCAAATGGCCACTGGCATTCAACCATACTTCGAACATCTTTCAACACGGTCAATACAACTTTGCTAAAACGTGCCAACACCCGATCAACACCTGATCGATAACAAGGAGAATAATTTGTGTAGTATTTTTAACTTGCGGGAGGAGTGATTGGCTGGCCGCATGTGTTTGGGCGCTTGCAGGGCCAATTGCCGCCGGACGCAGCGAATCTCGCGACCATGCGCCGTCTCTACGCGCCCGGCCCAGACCATCACCGGCATGCCCAGAATCCGCTTTTAGTGCCGTGCTACCCATTTGACGTGCCACTGAGTGGTAAATCATGCCGAGAAGGAGGTCCCTATTCACCTCTCCCTGGCCTCCAGACTTCATTCAAGATTCATTCATCCTTCTGCATTTTCTTGAATTCTTCTCTCAAAACGTATCCATTAAATAGTATCGTTGTTGTATTGTTGAAGTCGGACTGTCTCGGACATAATCTCTCACGAACACCACCATTGTCACAAGGGTCCGAATTTCGTCAGGTAACTTGGGTTTGGCCTGGTTCAAGGTTGGGTGAAGGTCACTTCCTCGGTTCAGCATGGTGTCAAACGCGCGGATTCCGAACCCCGGATGGCGGCTGCTATGGCTATTTCTATGTAAGTGCTTCCTTGAACCCGAAGAAGGCCTCATCGTCTGACACGACAAAGGTATAATGATACAACTCCAACTCGTCAGAGCTCAGACAGCTGTCTCGACGCTCTTCGTGCCCGACACGGACACCATCGTCTCCTTCAACCTACCCCCTAACTCGGATGATATCAACTTTTACGTTATAACCCCGGACTGGTATCAGTATACCGCCATCGGGTTCGGGACGTCCATGTCGGATGCTTTGATGCTCGTCATGTACCCCTCTGCAGACCACAAGGGTGAGCCTACCCGCATCAAATCCCCTCCGTGGCCCAAGAGTCTGACCCGAAATGACCACAGGCGTGACAGTCAGTCCACGGAGAGCGACGTAAGGACGCCTCCCCTTTCATCAACTCCCACGCATCTCACATTATCACTCAGGGGCAACACCGAGCCGGTCTACTCCCCGGCAACCCAACTAACCCTCCACGAAACCACCATCAATGACAACTTCGACATGATCGTCAACGCCACCTGCCGCGGCTGCCAGCTCTTCACCAAGGTTGGCACGGCGGCACCCATGTTGTTTGCCGTCGGCCCAGGCCTCGACCTCAGCTCAGACGACCCGGACGCGCGGATACGACGGCATAGCGCCTACGGTACGCATTCCCCCTCCCCCCGCCCTCCATCCCCCCCAACCAACAAGCAAGCAACAACACAAAGTAACTAACAACCCCCCCTCCTCTCCCCACACCACAGGCCGCTTCACCCTCAACCTCACCCGCGCCACCGGCCCAGGCGGCATCGGCAACCCCACCACCACGACCACCACCACCACCCCAGACGCGATCCTCTCCAGCGATGACGGCAGCCTGCTCAAGGGCGGCGACGCCAAGGCCGCGACCGCCCACGGCATCCTGTACGCCATCGTGGCGCTGGCCGTCGCGCCCTTTGACTCGCTCGTTGCCGGGGCGCTCGGCGCGCGCTGGGCGTGGGTGCACGGGGTCACCGCGACGGTGTATTTTGCGTTTGTGCTCGGGGCAATGGTGCCCGGGGTGCTGGTTAGTGGGGAGCATGTGGCGGTGGGTTTTTCTTCCTCCCCTCTTTTACTGTGATTTTGTTGTTGGTGTCACCGTGTATGGGATGGGATGGTTGCTGATGATTGATTTGGGTTGTTTTGCAGACTCAGCAGTTCCGCACCGGTCACCAGGTCCTTGGCCTGCTCACCGTTGTTGCGCTGACGGTCATGTTTGGTTGGGGTATCGCCCTGTCCTGGATCAAGCGCTCTGCTAAGAAGCGTGGGCAAGAACCCCCCGAGAGCACCCGGTTGTTGGGCGTCGTCCATCGGTGGGTGTGCAGGGGCATATGGGTGCTCTTGCTGGTCAATGTTGGGGTGTGAGTCTTGGTGGCCTTGTGGGTGGTGCATATGAGCTCGGCTAACGTGGCATGATAGGGGCTTGAAATTGTCCGAACAGAGGATGGTGTTGATCTTGGGTTACGTGGCGCTGGCCGTGGGTGTCATCGCCTTCTTAGTGCCCGTCTATTTCTGTTTGTGGAGGATCTCGAAGAAAAGAAAGGAAAAGGAGGAGGGGCTTGAGATGCCGACGATTTATGATCATCACGGTTTCAATTGAGCTTGAGGTAGGCCATGGCTACCATGGGCTTTTGGCTGGAGGCGTTGGTATGGTTTAACTTGATAATCCCCGGGCAGGTTCCTGGCGCGATATAATTACATTTTATTATTCATGTTTCGTCATGGGGGTGCCGTACCTTAAAGGAACAAGGCCGCGTGATGATAACGGAGAAATGGTCCGCACTCAAGTACAGGATTGTCGCCCTGGTTCTGTCCACGGCGTAATGCCCCTATTACCCTACCAGGGGCACCCGCCTCTATTTGTTTACTTTGAGAAGGACCTATCCATGTCCCTTACCGCAGCATTTAACAGGCGCAACCTGCATGTAACCATATACTCCGCGCGATAACCGGGCTAAGTGCAAAAGTAGCAGCGCTTGGATTGAACCCGGTCCCGGACCCGAAGCACGACTCCATGCGGGATGAATAATGGGTCAGCTGGTTATTCGGATTCTAAGCATGCTAAGCATAATTGCCTAATCATCGCTAAGGAACGTGCGGGAGAACTACACACGACATGCAAGTCGGGTTCTCAGGTCCCGCAACATCGGTCATCGGCCCATCCCCCTTCGGGGCATTTCCGCCTCCAATGCACCGACCAGTCTTCATCTAACCCGAAAGCGGGCCACTTCTGACCTTTTCATGACGTCCACCGCAAACCCATGAGCAAGCGGCCAAGACAGTGGAAACATGACGAACGATAAAACACAGCAGTCCCCGGCATCTGGTCAAGGGTCAGAATCAAACCCCAGACCCGACCATGAGCAACCCGGAAAAGGAACTCCGAGTCCGCAACCAGGAACCGAAACAGATGAGAAGTCTGCTAGGGATAACAAGCCAACTGCGAGCCGTATTGACGATACTCCGGCCTCGGGTGTGCCGGAGTCAACGAAATGGAGCACTCTCCAACGAGTGTGGAACTGGAAGCCCAAGGCGGCTCGCTATGATCCCGAGAACCCTCCCGAGTTCACCATCTGGCTGAACATGCTGTTTGGTTTTGTAAGCAACAGCCCCCCTCACGTAAGAATGGGATAAAACCATGTACTCACGCTCTTGGCCCAGGCATCCTGCTTCACCGTCGCCAACCTCTACTACAACCAACCCATCCTCAACCGCATCGCCGAAACCTTCCACGTTACCTTCGAACAAGCCTCCTCCGTCGCCACGCTCATGCAAGCCGGTTACGCCGGCGGCCTCCTACTGATCTGCCCACTCGGCGACATCTTCCCCCGCCGACCCTTCATCCTCGCCCTCGTCACATTCACCGCAACCCTCGTAAGTCAACCCCCCCCCTTTCCCCTTCCCCTTCCCCCACTTTCCTTCAACCCCCCCACAACAACGACCCCCACTAACCCCCCCACCCCCCCGTTCCTCTTTTGATTAGTGGCTCCCCCTCTGCCTAACCTCCTCCCTCCCGCTCTTCCAAGCCCTCTCCTTCCTCGCCGGCCTCACCACCGTCACCCCGCAGCTCATGCTCCCCCTCGTCGGCGACCTCGCCCCGCCCCACCGCCGCGCCAGCTCCCTGGCCGTCGTCGTCTCGGGCCTGTCGCTGGGCGTGCTGGTCGCCCGCCTGCTGTCGGGGGTGCTGGCGGCGTATACGCACTGGCGGGGTGTTTATTGGTTTGGGCTGGGCGTGCAGTGGCTCGTGGTGGGCGGGTTATGTGTGGATGCCGGATTATCCGGGGAAGAATGCTGCGTGTGGTGGCGTAAGGGGGTATGTGGGCATGGTGGTCGGGGTTGGGCGGTTGTTGGTGACGGAGCCGTTGCTGGTGCAGGTGGCCGTGGTGGCGTTCCTGTTGAGTGCCGTGTTTACGTCGTATTGGACGACGTTGAGTTTCTTGTTGGCGAGTGAGCCGTTTGAGTATGGGAGTGTGGTGGTGGGCTTGTTTGGGTTGATTGGAGTGGTGGTGATACTGGCCGCGCCCGTGTACAGTCGGTTGGTGATCGACAAGGTGGTGCCGTTGGCCTCGGCGATCATGGGCTTGTCGGTCGAGTTGGTGGGTGTGGTGGTCGGGACGTTCACGGGTTCGTTTCATGTTGCCGGGCCGGTGATCCAAGCGATTGCCATCGACCTGGGTTCCCAGTTCACGCAGATCGGGAACCGCGCAGCTGTGTATGATATCCAGCCCCTGGCCAGGAACAGGGTCAACACGGCCTACATGGTGGCCGCCTTCTCGGGGCAGTTAACGGGCACGGCGGTTGGGAATAGGTTGTATGCTCAGGGGGGGTGGGTGTATAGTGGGAGTTGCAGCAGTAAGTCCGGGTGACCTGGTGAGAAGTGTCCCAGCTGACACGCTTGTTACAGTCGCCTTCATTGCCCTTGCGTTGATTGTTTGTCTTGTTCGAGGCCCGAGGGAGACCGGGTGGGTCGGATGGTCGGGAGGATGGGCAATACGCCGGGATGATATACCAAGCGGGAGCTCCGAACCCGATCCCGAGGTTTCGGTTGAAGGGACCGAACTAGTAGAGATATGTAGCGAAGGCGGTTATCATGACAAGAACAAATGAACACGCCGTATCAAAGTAGTAAATCGCAAAGACGCCACTAGTGCACGAATTGAATTGCTAACCTAGCTCTCCCTAGGTCCTAAGCCACTAGGTTAACCATCACCTACCCCGTTACACTCATCTAAGCGGTCTTCTTCAAGACCTTCTCCACCAGCTTAATGCCCTCGGCTTCAACCTTGGCTCTCAGGGGCCCGCAGATCTCCTCTGTATACGGTGCTAAAACGCCGGGCTGCTGGAAGGGTGGAAATCCGTCCAGCAGCATCTGCGTGGCAATTCCACAGGTGACTCCAACGGACTTTGACATGGCAGAATATCCATTCGGATCTCCGTAGAGCTCAAGAGTAGACGTGATCGTTTCCTATTTGGAGGGTCAGCTCCATGTCGGGCACCGGGAAGAGGAAGGCATATACTGACCTCTGAACCGTCCTTCCATTTCACTAGAAACTTATGCTGCAGCACCACCACGTCACGCTCGCCAGGCTGAAAACTACAGCGCTTTTCGAGCTCCGCAGAGAGCGTATCTAGCAGATTCCCATGGGTCGAGGTCGCCTTGTCGGAGAAAAGACCCATCCACCGCAAGCCTGTTAGAATCTCTACCCGTTCGGCTGGGGAGGAAAATGTGCATAGTTCATCGATCTTCTTGATCAGATCTGGCTCTTCTCGCGAGTCTGCTCCCGTTGCTTGCTGCTGAATCTCGGCCCAGGTGATGCCATCCTTCAGCCAAGGTTTCTCGGAGGTGTCGAGCCATCCAAGGTCGATGAGGGCTCTGACCAAAGCCGGGTTACCTTCGTATCGCAAGGAGCCTCGAATGACAGTGTGCGCCTCTGGGATGTTGTAGAACTCGCGGAATGGCGTCGAATCCCGGTTGGGATACGCCAGGAATGAGTATCCGTCCAGAACATGATATGGCACGGCCTTGGCCATCAGCCCCGTGTTCGGGATATGGACTACTTCTCCTTTGTCGTAGAAGGTCGCGGAGTTGTACTGGGAAAGTAAGGCGCCACGGGGGGACCACGAAAACTGTCGAGGACTTTAAGCAACACGGAAGATCAGTATGATAGGGGGGGGGATAATACCTTGAACTTGAGTGGGTTGTCGACAGCTTCGGGAGCGCAAAGTCCGCCGCAGTACGAGTAGAACTCCAATACCTGGCCTCCCTTCGCGTGAACTTCTCCAATGGTCTTGATGGCGTACAGGTGGTCGACGCCGGGATCAACGCCGACCTCGTTCAAGATGGTGATGCCGGCCTCTTTGGCGGCGGCGTCAAGTTCTCGCATAGCAGGAGACACATAGCTCGTCGTCACGACCTGAGTCTTGCCCTTGATTGCCGAGCGTATCACATCGGCGTGGTAGATGAAGGGAACGAGGGAGATGACGACATCGTGGTCGGCAACGTGTGTATCTAGATCTAGAGACTTGACATCCAGGGCGAGCGCCGTCACCCGGGGTAGTCCTGCCGCCAACTTCTCGGCGGCAGAGAGGGTACGGCAAGCTAGAGTACAGATCCCATAGCAGGTCAGCCTGGGAAGCCTGCGGGTTCAGGGTGGTGCCAATATGGGCGGGTGGACGCACCGATGGTTAATTCGTTATTGGCGTCTCGGGCCAGGTAATCGACGCATGGCTTGGCCACCAGGCCGCTGCCGAGCACAAGGATCCTGTTCTGAGGCATTGAGGTTTCAGGGGCGGTTCAGGTCGCGAACAGAGCAAGTCCCGGCGCTAACTCATACGCAATAAGTAATGGCCCGGGTTAAGATGGTTGTTGATGCCGGTCTTGGATTGCTGGTTCAACCGTTCAAGGGATGAAATGCCCTAGTTTTGGAAGGAAAGGGAGAAAATACCGAAGCAAGAACTAGGACTTGTTGTACGAAGAATTTTCTAATTGCGAGACCGGCGTTTACCACCTACATAAGAGTCATAAGGCGATGGTAATGATTCACACCGAGGCATGGATCATGGTTGGGGAAACGGAGTGGGGAAATGGAGTTGGGAAACGACTCGGAATTTCCATTGTACTTGGTAAGAAATCGAGCGGGTACGAGGTCTAGTTACCGTTTGGGGACCTAGAAACCGGGTTTCAAAACATGCGGTTTCCTATCCTCTTGAGCAGCCAGGTTTCCATCTCTTATGGTCCATGGACAACCACACAACTACATAAGGGAGGACCTACTTCCCCTATTCGTGACTGTGGTCCCCACAACCCGCTTCAGTGACTTTGTTTATCGGGACACTCAATACGTGTCTAGGTATCTTTGGGTTCATCGCTTTCTAGGTAGGTACTTGGTGATGTTGGAGCATCCTCAGTGGCTACAAAAAGCTGTACTTATCAGGAAACAAATCGGGACCACGCACATACCATACTGCCACCGCCCCGATATCAAACAGCATCCCAAGGCGTAGCGTTTTCCCCTCTCTAACGAGCCAGCGGCCGAAAAAGAACACCGAAAGTCACTTATAGATGTCATAGCGTAAGTGCCACACCATCACCACCTGGGACACTTTTAATCGTGGGGGACCGACTTTGAATCCCACACGTTCTTCAAACACTCCGCTCGCGCACCCAATCAATTAAATAGTTTGGGATTTTGAGGCAGTGTACTAGCGGAAAGAGTAAAGTTCGTTTTCGCGTTCCGTTTCGTTTGGGGTTTCATCTCCGTCTTGCAGTTCTTAGCTCCACGGCTCCGCCAAGTTGAAACCCTTGTTCCCCTCACCCCCCCTGGTCAATCTGATACCGCTCATTCAACTTTCGGTGGAAGTCTTGATTTCACGACGCGGAGCAGAACTGACCGGCAAATCGTGTGGTCAACTGCCGTGATGCTTCCCGCCTAAAATCTATCTCTAGTCCTTGCCCGTTGGCTTTCAAAGGGGCCGCCCATCCTACCAATCCTCGCGCTACTCCTAGATGGAAGCGGAAGTGTTCGCAATTACCCAAGATGCAAGCCACAAGGCGCCGGTCGCGGCGTAGAATCTCAGCCCGGTTTATATCATCCCCGATAAAAGTCAACGCGGAGGACGGCAAGACCGTTTCTGAAGACGATGGCGATGAACTGGAAGACGATGATGATCGCCCAGGACTTGGTAAAGGAAGGGGCAAAGGGAAAGGAGACCCGGACAAATTTCCCAACCCAGCACCAACTTCGGAGGTTGTCACCCCAAGTTCATCCATAATCCAACCGCCGCCCCCGAGCGAGACGTCAAATCCACCGACCACTACTAGCAGCTCCCTAGAAATTCCCCAGTCAACTTCGCCGTCTTCAATACCAGTGCCGGTATCAGAGACTTCCTCCCAAGTTGAGACTCAAACCGTTTCTCAAAGTCCAGCTCCCTCTACCTTAGAAACTAGCATTACGACAAGCGAAAGCACTACTAGTTCTGAAACTACCACAAGCACAAGCACAAGCACAGGCACAAGCACAAGCCCGACCACCAGTACTAGTATCACGACAAGCGAAACCACCATCAGTGCCGGAACGACTACCGACATAGTAAGCCTAACCACCAGCATCGTAACGCCAAGCACCAGTATCACGACCCAAAGCAGTCCTGCTACGGCACATACCGAAAGCAGTCCGCCGTCATCAACAAATAGAGGTATTAGCCCCCGTTTTATACTCAAGTTACTCGTCCATCCATGGCATGAGCTAACTCTACGACGAAGCTGGATATGCTACCACATCTCCATCAAGCACACCACCAACTCAAGCTCTAACCAACGAGAGCAGGCTGCGTCCTGGGCAAATAGCAGGGATCGTCCTTGGTTCCCTCGGTATGGACCCCTTACATGTACTTGTCCGTGCTATTTGTTGAGAAACAGTATCTAATGCTCGTAATTCTGGCAGCATTCCTTCTCCTCGTCATTGCCTCGGTCCTGTTCGTACTTCGTAGACGAAGGCGAGGAGCCGATAAAGACTTGGGTTTCGAGGGCTTGCTCAACCACACACCACCAACAACACCACCCCCTCCAAATCCCAACAAACAGGAGATAGAAAATCCACCCACGGCGAAAGAACCACCACCATCCCCCACCACAGACACCAACACCACCACCACAAAAGTCATGCCCCCCACAACCCGCCTCTCCCAATGGCTCAACCAACTGCGCCATTCCCACGGCCCGGACACCACCACCACCACAACAAAACCCCTCCCACACATCACCATCGGCACCAGCAGCAGCACTACCCACGCCCCCTCCTCCAACTCCTCCTCCGACGCAGACTCCTCCTCCGTCCTCTCCATCCCCGCCACCTTCGTCACCCGCCACACCAACAGCACCTTCCTCCCCACCACCCCGCTCCACCACCCCCGGTATCTCGCCCCGCCACCGCCACCAGCACCATCATCATCTACGCACCTCCAGCCGCCCGCGTCGCCGAGGTTGAATGGTGGTGGGAGGGGCACGCGGCGGAGTAGTAGTCGGAGTGGTGGTGGTGATGGGAGTGGGAGTGGGAGTGGTGGGAGTGGTGGGAGTGGTGGGAGTGGTGGGAGTAGCACGGAGAGGGAAAGGGGGGAACAGCAGCTTCCGTCTACGCCGACTTTGCCGGGGGGGGTTTTGAGGCCTGGGGCGTCGGGTATACCGCCGGAAGTGCGACTCTCGGGGGTGGGGGGTGGGGAGGAGGGGTTTGTGAAGGTGCAGGTGCGGAGGTCGCCGTGATGGGTGTGATTAGATGGGATGGGGTTGATGGCTGGTAGGCTTTACCGGGTTGTGGGGGTTGGCATGTTGGCAGAACTGGTCTTTGGGATGTGCTCAGGGGTAGAATTGGGGGGCGAGGGTCTGCCGATGGAGTAAACTTGGAGGGCGGTTAGGTACACCACCGTATGCTATTCAAGCCGGTAAGAGCCGGTGGCATGGATTCCGAATGAATCTAAGCTAAGTAGGGCCAGAGGTTATTAGGTAACTTGGCCACAACTCCCGGGTTAGAGTTTGCCAACCACAAATAACTAGACCTCGGAACCCCTGAGAGGATCCCACATCAAGCCAAAATCAGACAGGTCCGCCTTCGGGGGGTTGTATATCTCCAGCGTATCCCGCACATTTGTCAGCTGCTCGAAAGCATATGCGGCACGCAGCAGCGTCCTTTCCGAGTAACGGTTGCCCGTGAATGTGATACCAAAGCTACAAGGCGTTGAAGTTCGTTAGCGCTCGCCTCATGCATCCGCCCAAGAACAGGGCAAGGGACTCACTTACGAAATCCCGGGCGCAACGTCAACAAGCGTGTCAGGCTCGCTCTTAAAGTACTTGACGTCCGTACCCTCCGGGTATTTGCCGAGAGGGACTACAACTACCGGCACACCAGCACGCGCGGCAAACGAGACGGTCGGCCCGTACATGGCTGGGGCCACAATGAGATCTAACCGATTGGCCTTCAGAGTGCCGGGAATGCCGCCGTCCACTGCGAAATACTCGTTCTGTTTGAGAGCAGCCTGAAAATCGGCGCCGGCCATGTCCACGGAGTATGCCAACTCAAAGAGGTCGATGCCACGCTCGGGGTATTCTTCCCTTGTATCCTGCTTGGTGAGTCGAATGATGTCTCCGAGGTTCTTAAGGGCATGGGGGTTGGTCTTTAGGTTGCCAAGGTATTGTTTGATGTCGGTTTGAAAAGACCCAGCGAGGATCAGGAGCTGTCTCTCTTTGGACATATTGTTAAACTCGTCCGAGCCGGCGTAGTTTGCAGCATGGACGACAGTCGCTCCAGAAGATTCCAGTAACCGCAGCGCTTCGTGGAATGCCTCCATCGGTGCATCGCTTGGTTGGAGAAGGCTGGAAGATGGGACTCCAATTCTCAGTCCCGATAGATCCGTTCCGGATAATGCTGAGACATACGAGACGCCTTCACGGCTTGGGTGTTCCTCAGCAAGGGCGTCGAGCATATAGGCTGTGTCGACAACTGTGCGAGTAATGGGGCCGGGCACGTCCTGCTTGAGCGCCAGCGGCACGAGTCCATCCGAGGATACTAGACCGAGCGTTGGCTTGAAGCCCACCACTCCGTTTCTGCTCGCGGGGGAGATGATGCTCCCGTCGGTCTGGTTCGTCCTGTCAGTGAGAAGTAGAGGAGAATACGACGGAGAACGAGAAGAGAGGAGAGCGAAGGAGGCGAAAGAAAGAGTGTACCTCGGAACCAACACAAGCGGCTGCAAGCCCAAGGGCAGTGGCAACAGCGGAACCACTGCTGCTGCCATTCGCTTTCATATTCGGACAAAAGGCGCCGAGTGTAAGACCGCCACGAGCACTCCAGCCGCCGCCGCCCGATATGGTCCGGAACGCTCCCCATTCCGACATGTTTGTCTTGCCGAGTATCACAGCTCCGGCGTCGCGGAGCCTCTGGACGAGCCTGGCCTCCTGCGAGCACCGCGTGCCGAGTAGGACGGTCGAGCCCGATGTTGTCTCCATCTTGTCCAGGGTTGTAGCGATGTCCTTTACGAGAATGGGAATGCCGTGGAGTGGCCTGTGCAAATAGATGAAGGATAAAAGGGTCAGAGTGTTACCGTAGTCGTTACCTAGTCCACATCCCGCATGGAGAAGATCGACAAACGTACCCACGACGGCCCTTTGTGCGCTGTTCGTCGTCCAGTGCTTTGGCAATAGACATCGCATCCGGGTTTGTCTCGATTACGGCATGAAAGTAGCCGTTGGCCTCGGCGATCCTCGCTAGGTAGGCGGCTGTAAGAGCAACTGACGATACTCGACCATCGCTCAGTGCCCTTGTCAGGTCGGTGACAGTGGCATTGAGAAGGCTGGGCATCTCGGTTGACGATCCGGGCTTTTGCGCGGTGTGACGCGATTAGGAGGCGTATGTCGGACGCAGACAAAAATACCTAGGTAGGTAGGTACCTAACGAGCATGCAAGGTACTCGCTTGGTGTAAGTCAATATTGCTTCAACCTTTAGGGAATTAAGGGAGACGTAGTACGCGCAAGAAAGCAGCGATATGACGTCCTCTAAGAGTCTAAATATAGTGCGGTATGAAAGAAGGAATGGCGATAGGGATTGTGTGCCCACGAAAGGGTAGGTACCTAACCTTGCGTTCTAGGACATAGTCTCACAGCTCACCACCTACCTATACAAATATCAGCCTGCTATGCGGTAATGTCATCCCATATTTCCAGACTATAGAAATGGGCACCCTGCGGAAACTCTGTACCTAATGCCCCCCAATTCTACGGCCCGTGGTCTGCTTTGCCGTCGGAAAAGGATTCGGATAGTGGAGGTGTCTCGGACTGTCAGACAGTCTCTTTGCATACTACCCAGCCACTTTCCCACCGCGGTTAAAGAGGAGCGGATGGCAAATGCGCCAATTCCCGGAAAGTTATTTCGCTTGACTGGCTGTGGCTGAACCCGCTTGTGTTACGCCTCACGTCATCCTCCTGCACGGTTGTGCCACAGGCGAACGCCAGCCGGGAGCCTGCAGATCTATGTCAGGGATCTATCTCAGGGGTTGGTGAGGTGGTCGTTCGTGCGCGGCGCCGAGAGCCGCCGACTTCGTAAAATATCCTCATTTTCTTGTTTACCACCATCTTTCAGGTTGGCCTCTTCAGAACTTCATCCACATTCAAAGTTCTTGCTCAAACCCTCGAACTGCCTGCTGGGACGTATACTACTAGCCTGGGTTATCGCAACGACTTGCACTCAACCTGCTGCCCCGTACACCCCGGGCCGGTGGCCATGACGGCGTCATCCGAGTCGGTGGTAGCCTCGAAGGGTCCGCTCGTCCTAGAATCCTCCAGTCCACGCTCTCCGTCACCCCCTCTTCCGTCGCAAGCTGGCCGGGTTTCGGAATGGTGGGCGCAGGCATGGCGAGATACCCACGCCGACTTCAAAGCCACGACGCCCGCCGGGTGGCGCCAGGCATTGCTACGGATTATTTTCTCTTGTCTTACGATGGGCCTGTTGGGTACCGTGATATTCGTCACGGTCCTATTCGCAGGACTCTCAGGTAGCGCATGGTATGGTTCGGCATGTCGACCGGACGACTCGTTTAGCGTGTACCAAGGCTTTGACTACTGGCGGATCGATGGCTTTTTCCAGATTACCCTTCCTTTAATCGGGCCCCTTGACTTCACTCAGGCCAAGGTTGTCGACATCATCTGGGATCTGGTAAGCAAACAGCCAAAGCCATGGTCCTAAATCCCTCATGTCTGAAGCCGTGGCTGATTACCACCTTCTCAATAGGCCGTGGGGAAAGGCGGACAGGCCTTTTTGGCTTTCTTTTCGTGGAAGGCCTTTTCTACCTACGTCAGAAGCGCCATGCATACCGGTCCTGTCACGTACAGCTCCTTCTTCGCCGTCTTTCTTGAAAGCGACGCCTCCCCGATGTCGACGTATCGGATCACACGAGACTTTACGACAAGGGGGCCGCTCCGCTCCAAACTGGCCATGGCCTGCATCGTTGCGACCATGGCTTTTATTATCGCATGGCCTACCCTCGCCAGCGCTATGACAGGTTATGCGCCGGCTACCCAGGCCTTTGTCCTCGATATCGAGAATAATCTCATATCTTTTGGTAGTTTCACTACAGTGGCCTATGTCATCCACGATGGGCAGCGGGTCAACCGCACCAAAGATTATCTCGTCCCATACGAACATAGAGGCCGGGCATATGGGTGCCGCTCTGGCGATGACGATTGCGTTTACAGTTCTAGTACATATTATGGTGAGCCAGCGGAAGCCGTGTACCCCTTTGTCCCGTCTATGCAATTCGTTGACGAGAAGCAAAGACGAGCCATCGATAGACCCAGACGGGTGGATTACCGATTACTGCGGGGACGACGTGGATACACCAGCGTGCTCTTTATTGGCAGCCGTCTCAGAATGTATGTCAAGGATAAAAGGGTTGGTTGAAGCGACTATTCTAACTCTCACTTGATCTAGATACCAAGGAATACGGCTTTCTGGCTCTCGATAAAGCTGGCAACCTCAACGACATTGAGACTAGGTGGATGAACCAAACTATCGGAAAGCCGGCTCTTAATATTTCTGCTTTCTACGTACCTCCCTACGGGGGCGCTGGCTATGGTAGTGGTTATTACGGATATAACTGGACCGACCCTCGAACGAACCAAACCCCGTATAATGTCAGCTCCAACCGGGCTTTCATGACGCTTTCTGGCAATACCGCCTACAGCGTGGAATACGTTGAGAAGAACGGCACCTGTCAAGGGGTTGGTAACGTAAGTGAAATACCGAGTACACCCCGTGTGGCCCACGCACTTCGCTTACCGCAGCCACTCGTGGCAGACATACCAATGGGGTTTCTCGTTCCTGCAGTTATTCATTGTCGAATTACTCCTACTGCTATGGATCGCGGTGATGTATACCATGTGGTTAAAGGGGCATCTCGATCTGAAACAACGGCACGGGGGCGAAGTGCCGGCCAAGTTCAAAGCGGTGCTCGAGCTGGCCGCGGCCCTCAACCACGGACTTGCGGATATCGGCGAGCCCCCCGACGGCCTAACCAACCGACAGCTCGAGCGCTACATCTCCAAACAGCTGAACGGCGGCAGAGTCGCGATGGAGATGCCATCATCAGCAAGCGGATACAGCTTTCGAAAGGGCGCATGGGGCTGGATCAAGAGGATCAAGAGGGAGAAGTGGTGGGTCGTATTGTTTATGGTGGCCGTCTTCATCTCGGCATTCCCAGCCGTATGGTTGCGGCCCTTGATACCGTTCGCCTTTTTTGCGATTTTCGCTGCTAGTGTTATTCTGGCACTCGCCATCGGGCGGACTAGGGCAAGTCGAGTGTTTATTTGCCTAGCTGGTCTCATTATTTCTCTGTGCTTGGTCGCCGGCGCAGGATTTGCAGTTACTACTTGGTCTCGCGTACGAAGCATAGACAGGGAAGGAGACATTTATGCGAAATTTCGGGATACTTTAATGTAGATAGTTGAATAGGATGTCAGAGGAGAAGATATATTTTCAACAACAGACTATTTACTAGCAGTCACAGGTTCAATTCCTCGCCAATCCCTTACTATACACCGAGCTCCTTATATATGAGGACAAAGGATAAATGGAAACAAATCCCTACCGATTCTCCGTCGTTGATAACAAGGAAAGGGAGGCGCCGGCGCGAGGGTTGGGTTACCGAGTATAGCCCCGCACTATCTCGACCACAATCACCCCAGTTTCAACGACCCATGGCCATCGGAGGTACATACCTAATGTACGAATTAACACCTAGACGGTTCAGGTCGCTGGGGTAAAAGTCAGTGGGGTGGGCCAGGACAGTGGCGAACGAGGAGGGCAACCTTGAGCCGCACGTGTAGTCCCCCAAACTATGCTCTCCTCCTTAGAGCGGGGGACCAGTGGCAATCAAGCCACTGACGCAGCAACCAACGGACGGTACTTGGTACTTGACAAAGCAACAGTGATGTTGGCGTTGATCACTCAGGACATCGATATCACTCGACCACCAACCACGAAACCAACCATTGTGCAAGGCCATTATCCATCATTATTTTATAGATGTATAATACATAGCCAAGAAATTCGCTGCTATGCAGAGTGGAGATGTGTGTAGTCTTTTACAGACGCAAAGGCCCGGGCCGTTCGCCCAAAATCCGTTCCTATCCCGCCCGTCCGGATCCCAACCGAGGCCCGTCCCATGCTCCCGCCAGAAAAAAAGAGCAAACCCAAGCCGCCCAAACCGAGCCTCACGCACACGTAGTCGGGGCCCCCGGTGTACTCTATCCGATAAAACGCCCCGCTGACCGATATCCCCATTTTTTAACGTCCCGCGCGACATATGAACAGACACAAGGAGAAAGAGGAAAAGCTGCCCCGACGCATTCCCCCGTTTTGCTGCCCAGTCCTTCCCAGTGATGATTGACCCTTGATTTTATCTTTGATTCCCTCCCCCCTCGATTAACTCATCCCAATACAGCCCAACCGCCAGTTTCGTGTCGCACAGGGGGTATCATCCAAAAAACAAAGCGGGCTAGGCTGAAACGTGGGAAACAGGCCGGACAAACGAAAATAAGGAAAGGAAAGAAAATAAGAAAGAAAAGCGGCCGAACGAAGCTTAAGCGGCAACACCAGCCTCGGCGGTATGCGGGCCACCTAGTAGCTCCAGCACCTTGTTGACCACGGCGCTCGGGTAACCACGGGTGAGCATCTCACTAACGACGACCTTGGCGCCCTCGCGCTCCTGGACGGACAGGAAGGCCCTTGTCATGGCCTCGTACGTGCTGGGCTCACGCTTGGATAGACCGAGAGCCGTGTAGATCTCCTTGGCCTTGACGATACGGTCCTCGGCGGCCCAGCCGTGGATGAGGGTGTTGGCGACGTAGGGCGTTAGCTCGATGCGCCTGGCCCGCATGTCGGCGAGCACGGGCTCGGTTGCGCTGACCTGGTGATTGGCGACCATGGCCTCGAACAGGGCCTGGTAGAGGCAGGGGTGTGCGGGCACAGTGCGGTCCTTCATGACGGTGTCAAACACACGGCGAGCACCCTCCATGTCGTGGAGGATGCAGCCACGGGCGTGAATGAGCGAAGCGTAGTGGACGGCCTCGGGGCGCTGGCCGGAAGCACGGATCATGTCGAGCACAGCCTCGGCAGCCTTCATGTCGACGGGCTCCAGGGTGGCGTGGGTGTCGACGAGGAGCTTGAAAGTGTGGGCGGTGGGGGCGATGCCCTTGGCGTTCATGCGCTCGTAATACTCCAGAACCTTGGCCTTGTCCCGCTTGGTCGTCAGGAAGAACTGCATCATGCTGTTGTACGGCGCCGGCCGTGCCTTGTAGTTCGGCATGGCCTCCATCTCGTCAAACAGCTCCTCGGCGAACTTCTCATCGCTGACACGGCAGAGCGCGTTGACAATGGTGCCATACGTGACCGAAGTCGGCTTGATTCCCAGCGCCCGCATCTCAGCGAAGTAGAAGAGGCAGTCATCGATGCGGCGTGCCTTACCGAGCTTGCCAATCAGCGCGTTGTACAGAAACGAGGTTGGCTCAACACCTTCCGTCTTGGCGCGGATGAAGATCTTGACGGCCTCGGAAGCCTCGTCAACAGTTTTGCCAGAATCCCGCAGCGTGGTGATGTAGAGACCGTAGGTGTTGGCCGAGGGCGTGGCGCCCATGGCCAGCAACTCCTGATGGTAGTCTTCAGCCAGGGACCTGTGGCCCTGGGTGAGACAAGCGCCGACCATGGCATCCAGAATCGAAGACCACCCGTAACGAACCACGGGGAATTGGGGGAGCAGTGGAACATCGCTGCGCGCCATGGCGAGAATCTCCTGGCACAGGTCGAACTTCTCCTCCTTGCCGGCGGCCGAGATCAACTTTGCGTACACGATGTAGCGAGGATGGCGACCGGCACGGCGCACGTTCCGAAAGCGGGAGAGCGCCTCATTCAGCTTCGACTTGCGGCCAAAAGCACCTTCCAACTCCTGTGTGATGGCGAAGGATCCCTTGACGTCGGTGTTGTGAGCGTACGGGTCGAATGCGTTGTCTTCTTGGTGAGGGACCACAGGCGTCTGGGGATACGGTGAGGCCGGGAAAGACTGGGGAACGTCAGGGGCGGTGCCGGGGTTGGTCCGAGGATCGAGAATGCCCCGGAGCGTCATGAACGTCGTGATGAATTCGGCGCCTTCCTCAATCTCGTCGGCCAGCTGCGAGTTGTGGTCGCGGATCCGTTGGAACATGTACTCGGCCTGGGTGAGGCCCTCGACAACGTGGCCAGAGCCAATCATGGCAACCGCGTACATGGCTGTGGGCTCAATGAACGACGAAGTCGGCTTGACCTCGGGGTTGCAAAGAACATCCCAGTACCGAGCAGCGGCTGCGACATCGCCTTGACGAACGCTCATGGCAAGCAGGGCGACTGCCGAGGAGGAGGCGTTAGCTGGGGCCAGGTTAGCGAAAGCAGCCACGGCGGTCTGCTTGTCGCCGCGGTCAGCAGCAGCCGTTGCGAGGTCGTCCATGGCCGAGCTTCTGGCCTCGCTCTCGATCTGCTGGGCCCAGTGAAGGGCTCCCTTGTGGATGCCCAGGTCAATATAGCCCTTGACAAAGCCGCCAGCAACGATGGCGTCCTTGATGTCGGCAGTCTTGGCATTGTACTCTTGTACAATCTTCTCATAGAATTTCATGGCACCTTCAACCTTGTCCGCAACGATGTACGCTCTAATGACAGCCGCGTAGACCTGGGCATCGAGGCGGTCATTCAAGGTTTGCTCACCCTTGTCGTTCCCCATGGCCAAATTGCGGTACTCGTTGTAGCACTCGACAGCACTGACGAGGTCCCCGGTGGTGGCAAAGGCGGAAATCATGGCAGGGAAGGTGGCCGCAAACGGGACGGTCCGGCTGGACTCCATGTGCTCGAACAGCCGGAGCATGTCAGAAGTCCGGCCGGTTTGGGCGCAGGCCGAGATCAGCTGGTGGTATGTTTCGGACGAATACGCCGCCTTGTTCGCCGTGACCGAGGACGTGAACAGCTTCATGGCCAGGTCCAGGCGGTCATCCTCGACCAGGATAGCGTGTTCCAGTTCATGCGATGCAAACATAAACTTGCCAGGTTCGTCCATGCCACCGAAACGCAGCCTCTTGTCCTCGAGGGCCTGCTTGAGCGAAGCAATCTCAAGGGAGCGCGACGCGAGGAGGCCAACGAGGATGTCATACGTATCGCTATCGAGGGAGACATTTCGGCGCAGCATGTCTGCGTAAACGTCTAGCGCCTTGGTGATGATCTCCCATTTCTCCGAGGGGAGGTGGATGGCAGCCATGAGCAGGGCATTGTACGCTGATGCGATGGGGCGGACACCACCAACCAGCATGGCCTCGAAGACGGCTGGGATCTCAGCATATCGTCCAGTCCCGGAAAGACTGGCCAGATGGTCGGCGTAAGTCCGAGACTGGGGGTCGATCGGAGGCGTCAGGGTGCGAGACACGCTGGCACGAGTCTGAATGCTAGAGACTGGAGAGGCAGTCCGCGACCGAATTTCTTCGGCCAGCTGCTCTGCCAATGCCGGTGAAGTCGCGCGGAGAGATTCGACCTTTTCCTCGAGCTCCTCCAGCTCTCTGCGGGCCTCGATCTCTCGCTCGATGGCGGCGTCGATGTGGGCCAGCGCTGCCTCGGCCTCTGGCGGGACGGCCGGGGTTTTCGAGACATCATCGTGGCTGGCAGATTGCTCGGCATCGAGGGCGAGGGTCTTGGCATCGGAGCCAACGAGGACGGAAGCTGTCGTCGGCTTCCACTCGATGGGCTTCGGGAACTGAAACTGGACCCACTCCTGGTCAACCTCGGCGCCGTCATCCGACTTTTGCAGCTGCTCGAAATAAGCATCGAGTCCACCATGGTTTCCGGCCTTCTCAGCGCGCTGCTCTAGCGAGCTCGCAGCTGGAAGGCTGGCAGTGTGAAAGGCGGACTGGAGCCCGAGGCTGGCGAGACGGCCGACGGGCGCGGCATTGCGGCGCCGCGCAAACGACGGCCGGTTCTGCGCGTTTAGAACATGGGGATGTGTGGCAGCGACGACCGATTGGGCGTAGCCGTGGGTGAAAGACTTTGTAAATCCTTGTCGGATAAAGCTCTGGAAAACCGACGAGTAAACGGAGGGCATTTAGGAAACACCTGGGTGAAAAGGGTTCTAATCGGAAGAAAATTGTCAGTAGGGGCTCAAATGATGCTGTCGAAGTTCGTGCGTGCAGTGGTCCGTCGGTTCAATTTGGCACTCCCACGGAACGAGGCAGTGCGGGACACGCGACTCGAGCATGGAGAAGTGGAATTGGAGAAAACGGATGATGAGGCACGAATCAAGACTTACAAGGGGAGATTGAGTGATGCGTAGTTGCAGGTTCATTTGACGACAAGGCCGTCAAACAAACGCGCTAATGGTGATTGAAAAGTTTGAGGTTTTGGAATAGTGAGGGCAAGGGAGCGAGGGCGTGTGGGTGGGAGTGTGGCTGTCAAATATTACGCACCTCATCTGTTTCCTGGGCCCGGAGCTAAAACGGGTTTGTGGGGCATGTATTCGCGAAACTTTTTCTTCCCGTTCAATGGCGGGTGGACTCGGAAGGCCCTTAGTCAGAAGGCGGCCTGCGGCTCCAGCTTTGATTAACACGCAGGGAAGCTCGTGGTTGCTGGGTTTTCAACACAGTTTCTTGCTTTTCTTCAAAGTGTTGCAGGAAGCCACTCACTGCCACTCCCCGCCGATGTTATTATCATTGCCCAACGATGGACACAGAGTTGGGACGAAGTCCGCGATTCAATGTCTGTTTTTTTCCTAGCCTTATTCTGCCTCCAAACAACGGCCAACGTTAACGGCCTCGTTACAAAGTATCACTCTTGAGTTCCCCTCCCAAAGAATGGACAGATGGCGGGCCGGGACAGGCCCTTGCCGATCGAGAATGGGTGTCTTGCTGCAGGGCATTTCACAACCCCGTCTCTGCCTCATGGCAACGGCATCCTTCCACACCTGGATTCCCAGGGGATGACGAATGAAGCTGCCGTGGCGGATGCCTCGGAGGCGGGCTGAGCGGGGCCACCTCCGGGCCACGTCAAAAAACGAAGAGAAACCGGACACAATGGGCGTGGAGGATGGTGTGGGGTCGGCATTGCGGTTCCCGCCTGGGGCAACCGGGGTCTGCCAGCGCCCGAGCTGCTAAACTGTTAGCGCTCTAGCGTCTCAAAAGTCCCTTGAGTACTCAAAAATACCTAAAAAGTACTTTTTCAAGCCCCGGATTTTACGCCCAGTTAACAGACCGAGCGTTCGGAACTCGCACTTGATGAACCCCGACCGCAAATTGCGGAGCAAATGAAGTCGTCACCGACCGGCTGGGAAATGGGTGCCTGGGTGCCTGCCACACCCCAAATCGACAGGGGTTGTCACCTGGGAAATGAGAAAATTCTCGAACACCAAAAGCATGAAAAGGAAGCACAGCGAAACTCGAAGTTTGTCATTCCCGCTCGTTCGAGCCCACGAACGACTCGAGGTGGAGCTTAACCATCCCCGATTGAGCATGACAAGGATTTCAGACGACATACATACATACAACACTACATACAGACCGCTATCCTAAACTAACCACACGTACATATTACAGACATACTGTGTAGTTTTCAGCGATAGCGAACGGTGTGTTGTTCCGTGGCGGGGGTCGGTGGATCGTCCTGGGTGGTCAAACGTCTTTGGGTGCGAGGTTGCTTTCTTCTCCCCATACACTCCAGGCAGGAAAAGTATGCCACGCAGATGACCTCGATTTTCCGGTGGGAAAGCCCCTGGTCATCATGCGACTTCATTATCAGATCGCCCGGCCTGAAGAGGAAGGATGGTGGGGTGCCTTGGGGAGGTCACATGTGCCTGAGCCGACGAGAATTTGTCGTGACGAGTCGGCTTGACGTCGCAGCCGGGTTTAACGACCAGGGCGGGCATCCACCGGCCCGGCGCCGCGAGCCTCGGATCCGACCCCACACCATCCCCCAGCCCGCCCGCGCCCTCGGTCGATCAACGGTAGACCGGCTTTTCCCGCTGGCCCGGACAACATACCCAGGAGCCAGCCGCTGGCCCAAGCGCGACAGTGAGTGAGACTTGGACTCGCTTCGAGGTTCAGCACGCGATGCACTTCCGCCCTTGCAAAGCTTTACGAGTATGAAGTAGGAAGTACGAAGTACGAAGTATCAAGTCGAGAGAGCCTGATGAAGACGCACTTGGCCGGCCTCTTGAAATCTCGGAAAGATGTTTCGAAAACAGGGCGGGCGCATGGCGCATTCCCGCATTTGCGTTGCCTGTGACTTCGCCTTCTTCAAGCTCCGCTGAGTAAGGAGGCAGACAAAGTCGGGCTGTCAATGCAAATCTACGAAGTACTTCGTACCTTCAGCCCGTTCAGCTCTCTGCCTCATGTAAAAATGGACCAGAGCTGTCATGGCGGCCGGCGTTGTCTAAGAGCCCCGCATTTCCACAAGTCCCCGCCCCGCAAACGGCCAATTTACCCCTCGCTCAAGGGTTGGGCAAGAGAAGCTTCATGGCACAAATCCGGAGGTCAAAAAGAGAAGAGCAAGTCGGGTTGCAGCTACGTTGAGCACGGCGAGTTGAATCCAAGAACAGCCGTTCTCAACTTTTGGTGTTAAGCTGCTTGTTCTCGGCCGTGGCCCCTTTCCTCCGATTTCTTCTTTTTCTTTTCTTATCTTTCTATATTCCCCATCCATTGTTTATTTCCTAAATTTCGAAACTCTCGCCACATTCCCATCCCCAATTGAAAATATGGCTACCAGCTCTAGTAGCTCAGAAGACCGGACCGTTGTTGTCTCGGCGCCTGGAAAGGTGCTTCTGGCCGGCGGCTACATTGTCCTGGACCGGAAACACACCGGCCTCGTCTTTGGCCTGAGTGCCCGCATCCACGTCCTCGCCCAGGAGATACACACCAGCGCCGGCGTCCATCTCAGAGAGATTGTTGTGCAGAGTCCACAATTTCTCAATGCTACGTGGAAATATGGCTATCACCTCGTCGAAAACGGCGGTGGTATCAAGGTTACTCAGCTGCAGTCGTTGGTGTCCCCTCAACCTTTTCCCAGTGTCGCACTCCCACTCACACTTCGCAGGGGCATTCCGGTCGAGCCAAACCACTTTGTAGAGACTACACTCAGCTACGTCCTCAGCTACATTTCCCAAGTGGACAAGACCCGCGCCTCACAGGGCTTCGAGCCCGCCTCCCTCCTCGTCCTCGCCGACAATGACTACTACTCCAAGCCCAAGCAGCCCACCACCACCACCGCCACCAACACCAACACCACCGACCGACCCTCCTCCAGCTCCTCGGCGGACGACCCCATCCCCCCTAGCACATCTGAGAAACAGGGCGACACCTCCCTCGCCGCAACCACCTCCACAACCACCACCACCACCAAAACCGCCCCGCCGCCGCGCCCCCGCTTCCGACATTTCGGCACGACCCTGCGCGACGCGCACAAGACGGGCCTCGGCTCGTCCGCAGCGATCGTGACATCGCTAACCGCCTCCCTGCTCGCGCATTACCTGCCCCCCGCCCTCTTCGACCTAGCCACGCCCGCCGGCCGCCGCGCGCTGCACAACCTGGCGCAGGTGGCGCACTGCGCCGCGCAGGGCAAGGTCGGCAGCGGCTTCGACGTCGCCAGCGCCGTCTACGGCTCCAGCGTCTACCGCCGCTTCAGCCCGGCCCTGTTGGCCGCGCTGCCGGCGCCCGGGGAGGCCGGTTTCGCGGCGGCGTTGGTGGGGTTGGTCGATGGGGACGGGTGGGATTGTGAGGTTAGGAAGGAGGGGGTCGGCCTGCCGGCGGGCGTGGCCATTCGGATGTGTGATGTCGATTGTGGGACGCAGACTGTCAGTATGGTGAAGAAGGTGCACGCGTGGCGGGATGCGAATCCCGAGGCTGCCGCGGCGGTGTATGAGCGGTTGCAGGGCAAGGTGGATGAGTTGGCCGAGGTGATGGCCGCGGGTAGGGTTGGGGAGATCGGGCGGGTGATGAAGCCGTTTAGGGAGCTGATGCGGACGATGGGGAGGGACTGCGGTGCTGCGATCGAGCCGGACAGCCAGGAGGAGTTGCTGGATGCGTTGGAGGGGGTGGAGGGGGTGTTGGGGAGTGTGGTGCCTGGGGCGGGCGGGTACGATGCGGCGGCGGTGGTCATGCGGGATGATGAGGCGACGGAGAAGAGGGTGAAGGGGTTCTTGCGGGAGTGGAGCAGGGCTCACGAGATCCAGGTCCGGCTGATGAAGGTTAAAGGAGAGACAGAGGGTGCCAGGATGGAAGACCCAAGCGAGTTCAAGCTGTGGATTCAGTAGCTCATGGTGGGTGTGGTGGAGGGTGATAGAAAAGGAGCTTCAAGTTCTCTATATATACAGACTATAGGAGCATTATCATACCCGACAGACAACTAGGTAAGCGGAAAAGGTTTTGGAATAGACCCAATACATTCCAGCCAACGCTCTATTTTCTCTAGTACTGTTGATGATGATGTTTTTGGAATTAAGTTACCAAGCCAAATGCCTGCACTCAGCAACAGCATAAGCTCCGACCTGCTCATACGACCCTCCCCTCCGTCCACAAACCTTTCATTAAACCCAACGCTTTTTGGTTCCCAGTACATTATCCAACCCCCCCTCGGCCATAAACCAACAACTTAACCAACATAACGAAACATCCTCCCACCTCACCCCGCAAACGACATAAACCAACGAACCATTCCAGCCCACCCTTCACAACCCTCACACACCCCTCTTCCCCCTCGAAGCCGGCGACAGCGGACTAACCGGACTGCCCATCTGAAACTCAAACTCCATCCCCCAATCCACACCCCCCGTCACACCATCATCCAACTCCAACGGCGACACCGTCATCGCCGACCCCGCAACCGACGACACCACCGGCCCAAGGGGCGGCATCACCAACTCCGGCGCCGCCGGCGCTGCCCCGACATGCGAAACCCCCGACGGGTTCCCAAACAGCAACAGATCCAAATCATTCATCGACACCGACATCCGCTCCGCCCCACCCCCACCACCACCACCAGCAACACCCAACATCCCCCCCAACGCACCGGGGCCCGTACCAACGGTGCTACTACTCCTTAGCGACGAAGACCCAGACCCCTGGCGCGAGGGATTACCACCGGGGATAGGGATGGGGATGGACAGGCGCGGCGGACCCGTCGGCGCCATCGAGGGGGAGAGGGAGAGGGGCCCGCTGGCGCGCGAGCGGAGTGGGTGGTGGTGGGCGGGGAGGGGCAGGAGGGTGTCGGTGTAGGCGTCGGCGTGGGCGATGCCGAGGCGGGAGGCGGCTGCTTTTTCGCGGAGGACTGAGATTCTAGGGGGTGGGCGGTTAGGTTGGGGGTTTGGTTGTGAGGGTGTTACTGCGAAGGAAAGGGGGGGGGGGGGCGTACTCGTCTTCGGTTAGGCCGGGGATGATGGTGGCTTCTCTTTTGAAGTCGAAGGTTCGGACTGGAGGGTTGGTTAGGATGGGTTGAGTGAGTGTGAAGCGGGGTGGGAAGGACGTACGATTTGAAGTTGGCGCTTCCTGCGACGTAGGCCAACCATCTCTTGTAAAGACGAGTAGAGTCTCTTGACTTCGGAGTAGACGGTCATGTTTACCATAGTGATGAAAGGGTGTGGTAAATTAGGTTGAATGGTACAAGCTGGACGGGAGATAGGAGAGGATTCCGAGAAATATATCGAGAAAAGGTATAAGCTGGCGGTACACCACACAGACGGAAACAGATGAGACAAGCGAATTGAGGATGTCAGGAGAGACTCGACGGGACGAAGGAGCGGCAATGGTTGGAAGACGACGCCGGCTGGCTGGAACGAACGGGACAGCACCGAGGTAGTCGAACGAGAGTGGACCGGATTACGAGAAACGACGGTTAAGGAAACAAAGGAGCGGCAGAGAAGTTCGATGAGCCCATTGACCAAAATCCTGTCTCGCAGAAGGTTCCCTTTTGTAAGAAGCTTTGGCACAGATGACCCGCCAACGACGGGTCCGGACAAAGAAAAGGCTGGGGGCGCATAGCCGAGGGAGGACGGAAAATGTCAAAGAATATTACCGCCGCATCAGATCGCCAGTTCCATACCGTTGGATCAGACTCCCTATGAGAGCGACGGTGGAGGGTGAGAAGGTTGGAATGTGAGTGGCCGGTGGAAGCGAATCCCGGCGTGGCCCAACCCGTTTCCGCCCCCCCTTTACCATAACCATGGAATGTGTCTCAATCGTCGAAGTCTTGTGCAAGACACTTCGAAAACCTCACGTGCCTCAAACAATTGGAATTGGCTGTCTGCGTTATTAGTCTAAAACTTGTCGCGTGCGATTGGCGATATCCCTTGCCGGAAGTCTCCCTGCGTCAACGCGCAGGCCGCCGCTAGCCTAGATTCACTATTTGGGATAGTCCTTCAAGTGATAGCTCTTCAGCTTGACAAATTGATCAAAACCAAATTTGCTCAACGTGACGCCCTTTCCGGAGTTCTTCCATCCCGTCCAGGCCAGGTCCTGCATGTCTGTCAGCGGTGTCACCACCAATACGGGAACGGTCGTTGACTCACAGGACTCGGGAAATCGCAACGATTAACGAAGACGGTACCGGCTTCGACCCCATCGCACAGCTCATAACCCTTGTCAGTATCTTTTGTCCAGATGCTGGCTGTCAGGCCAAACTCGCTGTCGTTCATCAGTTTCACGGCCTCGTCGTCGGTCTTCACCTTCATGACCGGGATGATAGGACCGAAGGTCTCGTCCTTCATGACTTTCATGTCATGAGTGACATTTGTCAGCAGCGTCGGGACGACAAAGTTCCCTCTCTCTGGGAGCTTGCTGAACGTCTCATTTGCGGGGGTGGCGTTGACGGCGCCTTTATCCAATGCGTCCTTGACATGCCGTTCGATGGCCTCCTGGGACTTCTTCGAAACGACTGGTCCAAGATGTGTGTCTTTGTCTAGGGGATCGCCGAGCCTGTAACCTTTCAGGACGTCCTGGACCGCGGAGACGAATTCGTCGTGGATCTTCTCGGCGACGTACACGCGCTCTATCGAGCAGCAGCTCTGGCCCGAGTTGAACACTGCACCGTCGACGATCTCCCCAGCTGCCCATGCAATATCGACATCTTCACGGACGTATGCCGGGTCCTTGCCTCCCAGCTCTAGGCCAACGTTGACGATGCGGTCTGATGCTGCACCCTGAACAGCCAAGCCACCAGCCACGGAACCAGTGAAGCAAACCAGAGCAACTTTGGGGTGCCTCACAATCGACTCGATGATCGTAGGTGAGCCGGAGTGAAAGTATTGGAGCACGCCGTTGGGCAGGCCAGCCTCGGTGAAGGCCTTGGCGACCTGCTCGACGATGGTTGGCGTCTGCGGAGACGGCTTAAGGATGACCGAGTTGCCGCTGAGGAGCGCCGGAATCAGGGAATTGACGAGGATTAGGTACGGATACTGATAGTAACTTGTCAGCACTTGGTCCATTGTTTATTGTGCGCCGTCCCCCATTAGCACCTAGCACCTACGTTCCAAGCGAAGATGATGAGGACGGGTCCCACGGGAACCTTGCGGATGAACCTCTTGAAGCCCTTCTCAGCCTCACCCGGGGTATCCTGGAGCACGTCGTCGCTGATCTTGAGAAGATACTCGGCCCTCTTCAACGCTGTCGTAACCTCCCCTGCTGTGTAAGCGATGGGGCGGCCCATCTGGACAGTAAGCTCCGTGCCCAACTCATCCTTTTTCTTGTCAAGTATGTCCAGTGCCTTCTTAATGATATCCCGGCGTTCCTGCAGCGAAGTCTTCCGCCACGAGTCGAAAGCCTGGGTGGCGACTTCGGGAAGCTGTTCCAGTTCTTGCGGGGAGATGCCGTTGCGCGTCAAGATCGGCTCGTTGGTCGTCGGGGAGATGGTCGTGATCGTTTCGACAGACATGTTGGAGGGTGGAGCGGGTGGATTTGGGTTCGTTCAATTTTCAAGCTCTTTGGGGCTCGCTCTAGTACAGGTTGAGGGTGAAGAATTTCAGTACTCGGAGGAGAGAATAGAAGAGCAGCGCTCCCCATCTCGTTCCTTCCAGGTTCCCAAGCTGCCCCTCTGCCCCTCCTCCGTTGGGATCCTTGGATCCGGCAGCGATAAGATAAGGAAAGCCGGCCTGCAGCGGCAAGGGCGGGTACTTGTAGGATACTTGCCATGCGCGAGAGAACTCTGCTGTCTTGTGTATAATAATCAATCACTCCGATTTGAAACTTAGTTTATGCCTATATATGTATATGGATCGGACGGAATTAAAGTTAGGTATATTAGTATATTCTACACGTAGACCAGCCACCTCCCATGTATCCACTTGTCCCGTCGTCCATCTGAGGTTTCTCGGAATGGTGCATTGACCTTTCGCTTCGCGCCCCGGAATTTTTTTGAATTCCCATTGACAGGCAGGCTCATGGCAGCTCTCAACCGATCTCCCCCCAATCTGCCCTTTCCCACCAACACACCATGTCGGCCGACAAACGTAACCAATTTCTTGACGCCGGGGATAGCGACGATGACGCAGGTCATGGGTACGACTCCGAAGAAGATTTCCAGAAGGGCGGGCGCAGCGCGAAGCGGAGGAGAGTCGACGATGACGAGAGCGACGCCGAAGACGTTAGCGACCAAGAGGAGGGACACGGCGAGGATGAGGAGCCTAGTCTGAGAGAGCACACCGCAGACTCTGGAGACGCACGCGGCGACGACGAAATTACAGAAGAGGGCCCTTTGGGCGGCAAATCGGACTTGCCAGCAGAGTTGCCCGGGGTGTCGAAACCGCTCGCAAAGAAGAACCTTATTGCGTCGGAGGCTGCGATCAAGAAGTCTGGGGTAGTTTATCTGTCAAGGATTCCGCCCTTTATGAAGCCCGCAAAACTACGTTCACTCCTCGAACCATACGGCAAAATCAACAGGATCTTCCTCACCCCCGAAGACCCGACCGAGCACACCAGACGCGTACGCAACGGGGGCAACAAGAAGCGGTCATTCACTGAGGGCTGGGTCGAGTTTGTGAAGAAGAAGGACGCGAAAAAAGTTTGCGACTTGTTGAACGCCCAGACTATTGGGGGGAAGAAATCGAGCTGGTACCACGACGATGTGTGGGCCCTGAAGTACCTCAACGGCTTTAAGTGGTGGGTTCAATCTACCCCTACCAGATAGATCGAATATGCTAACGATAGTAATAGGCACCATCTCACCGAGCAAATATCGGCTGAGAATGCCGAACGGACGAGCAGAATGCGCGCCGAAATCGCCAAGACCACGCGCGAGAACAAGGAATTCGTCCGCAACGTCGAGAGGGCGAAGGTCATCAATGGGATCCAATCGAAAGCAGCCGCCAAACGGAAGAATACCGAGGATGGAGAGGAGAAAGCGGGCGGCGAAGCGGCGGCCGGGAAAACGGATGGCGAGCCGGCGCAGGACAAGAGACGGACGTTCAAACAAATACCGCTAGCAAAGAAAAGGAAACAGGAGGAACAGCCGGAGCATGTCCAGAGAGTTCTCAGCAAGATCTTCTAATTGTCGGCGGAGAACGAGACAAGAAAAGGGGTTGTTTACCCTTCTCTTAGGTTCTGTTGCTGGTACATACTTAGTCTTGAGCGTATACCCCTTTATTGACTTGCAAAGACAGTCACGTCCAGCTTTGTTTCTCTATGGCACCAATGGCCGTCATATCATTAAACACATTTCTAGACGAGTACAGATACTCTCCCCAATCTCTCCGTTTGTTACAGTCTTGTCATCTCAAGCACGACAACTCATTACATTAACGACTTTGAGCCCACCATGTTCCGCCCGGAAGCTGAGACGGCCGCTTCGTCCGGGGACGATTCGAGAACGACACGTCCCGAGGCCCTTCAGCAGGCCGTCCAAGACTTGGGTATATCACACGATCAGGTTACACGGCTCGAGGACTTCATCAAAAGACTCCTTGACGAAGAAGCGGCAGGCAGGGGACAGTGCCACATCGAACGCATCATAGCAAAGTACCACGCCGAGTGGGAAGCCTGGCAAGAGAACCCGCTCGAGGAGATGCAGGCAGCCCTCCGGACATGTGTCATAGCCTTGCGTATGGGCATTCCGCTCCCCCGACTTGAGAGCCCGCCGTCATCTCCTCTCGGGCCACCCCACGCCGCTTCCGACACCCAACACCCAGAGCTCAACAACCCCCAACCAGCGCCCTCAGCGCCACCCACGGGCCGCGACGCCCAAACCCAAACCGACGACCTCCGCTTCAAAGAGTGGTTGGTTGAGAACTTTCGCATCATGCGAGTCCATGGACTGGGCTACGAAACTCTGGAAATCCAAGATGTGCCCACCAGCAAGCATGCCGTCGTTGTCGTAGGGGACAGCCCCCTTTCTACCCTCCAAGCCCGCCTCAAGGCTGAGTACGGACAGCCCCTAGGCGACGACCACGATTACGACGGCGGCGACGGTCCTATTTGGGGCGACGGGTCGCTTCCCATTCGAGCAGCAGTCCCGAGTGCTCCGGAGGCAGACACGGAGCCTCACTCCTCTTCCTCCTCAAACTAGGACGCCGCTTGACGAGGTGGGTAGGAAAGGCCGGACGGGATCGCGGTCTCGGTCACCAAGTCACCCGCTTCCACCTACCTAGGGTGGGCGTTCCGCCTTCAACCATATCGGTGACAACGCCCACCTCATCCCAACCCCTGGGAACTTGGGGCATCTATTGGGCTGCGCATCACAGACATCACATACATGTGCTTCGCTGCAACAATGTTCACAACAGATAAACAAAGCCAAATTTCTTTGACCATTTGCACAAATCCCATTCATTTTGAGAAGTCAAGTACAGATCTGCCATCCACCCAACGCCTCAAAAGCCACCCGCTCAAGCCTCCTCCTGCTCCTCGTCCTTTATCTCCAACTCATCAAAGTCATCCAGCAGCTCGTCCATGCTGACCTTGGGCCCGTCGTCATCGACCGTCATCTCGGTCTCGGCAATGCTCATGGCATCGGCGTCCTGGGGCTGCTTCTTCTTGCTGTTCTTGTACAGGGCCAGGGCCTGGCGCAGCTCGTCGTCCTCCTCGACGTCGCGCAGGAACTGCTCGTACTCGGCGTCGAGGCGGGCCTGGTCGGCGGCCTTGGGCAGCAGCTCGCCCTCGTCCTTGGCCATGCGCTTGAGCTTCCAGTTGCGGCGCTTGTTCTTGCGGCGGTTGGCGTAGTGCTTCTTGACGAGCACCACGTCCGGGATGGTGGACCCGTACGCGCGCGAGTTCTCGATGGCGTCGAGCGAGTCCGAGTTGAAGTTGGTGCCCGACAGCATGTACCCCATCACCGAGTCGCCCGGGTGCAGCAGGCTGCCGAGGTGCGTCCGCGCGAAGTAGGTGTTGTCGTTGACGCCGAGGTCCGACGCCCGCGCGACCGTCGCCTCGCCGAGCACCCACTTGCCCTTGCGCTGCTTCGTGGGCTCGATGTCCATGACGACGAATTCGACCATTTCGGGGGATCCCGCTAACGGGGCGAATGGTGCGCGCCAGTAGGCGTCGGCGCTGAGTTCGGCCGTCTGGAGGGTATTTGGGTCGAGAAGGTTGACGGACGTGCCTATCCTCCAGCAGAGCAACAGCGGGGAGATGTTGCCGAGGGACTTTGCGATCTTCAGGGGCAGGGCCACCAAGTCGTCTCTGCAAACTGGGACAAGCTCGGCGGAATAGTTGTACTTGTAGGATTTGTTTCCCGTGTGGGTATCGGCGGAAATGAGATGCCTCGACTCTTTTGTATGAACTGGGACCACGGATTTGAGGAAGTGGATGAAGGCTTCGGCTTGATTCCTTTGGGCAAAGTAGAAGTCGATGCCATCTCTCTCCTCCTTGATGTTTATTGTGTCCCTATGCGCCTGGTGCTTAAGGATCAATTGCTCTAGCAGAAGAAATGTCCTCTTGTGGGTGACCTTCTGGCGCACCTGCACGGCGGCCCGCCAGACGTTGGCGGTATACGACTTTGCGCAATCCTTACATTGCTGGTTGGCCACCACGTAGACTACCTCGAAGCTCTGCTGCATCATAACGCCGTCGGCAACCGCGTCCTGAACCGTGATCTTGACTTTGATGCGGCGCGAGTGGGGCTCTGTCCAGACGAAGCGGGCGTCGATAATTCTGACTTTGCCCAAGTTTCGTAGGCGTTTAAGGCATAGCGACAACAGTTCTCTTGATTCGAGAGTAGCTGTCACCCAGCTGGCGGGCGGCATCAGCCATCGGTCGCAGTCTCGGCAGACGTGTAGGGTGCCTTCGCGTGGGATGCCTTGTGAGATGTCGACGGTCGATTTGATGCAGTCGTAGCAGAGAGCGCCGGCAGAGGCAGTGCCGTCGATGGGGGCGCCGCAGTTACAGCATAGAATTCTGCCATGTTGTTAGAATTTAGTAGCTTTCAGAGAGATCTCGTGCGCAACTCACGTTGCGCCTGTGCGAGCAGTACCCATTTGCTGGGGGGCCATGGGGACCATGCCCATGTCCGTATCGACGTCCATAGTGACGTTTTTCTCTGTCTTTCGTTGCCTTATTTCTGGTGTTTATTCGGTGGATATTGGGTATCTTCGCAAAAATAAATTCAGTTGTTTCCTCACGGGACAAAAAAGACGAAGTACTTGGTGGTATCAGAAATCGGTACTGGTTTGGCTGAGCTGCCCGGCGGGGCAACTTTGTATCCCAAGAAATTTTAGTGACCCTGCAAGACCATTGCCCCGCGCTGCTTGATAAGCCGCTTATCGGCTGCTTCGGGTGGCGTTGCAGATCCACATTCTGGCTTGGCGGTCTTGGCTATCTTGGCGGGGCAAAAGGAGCCAACTCCAAGTGCAGATGCCGATCATGGAAACCTCGAGTCCTCGACTGAAGGAACGAAACGAAAGCCATCCTGAGGCCCAAGGGAACCTGATTCACTCCAATTACCTTTTCTCTTACTCCATTTATTTTATTTCATTTTATTTGCTCAATTTCTTTTTATTTGTTCCTTTTGCTCGATTCCTTGCTTTGCTTTCAACTTTTTTGGCCAGGAGGTTCCCGTCTCAGTCTCACTCATTCCCATTTTGGGACGTGCAGTTGTACATAGTTGAACACCCATGTTCTGGCCCGTGATAGTTATACCCAGTACGAATCTCTTTCGGGCGAAGGGCAGCCTGGAGCTCATCCCTCACCTCTCAGGCTTACTTACTCCCCCCTCCGCCCTGAAAGTTCATGCTGTACCCGCCCGTCTTCTCATCCTTCACCATCTGGAAGTTGTCTGTGCTCATCCCAAACGGCTTGAGCAGCCCGTTCCCGAGCTCCTTGAGTTTTGACCACATCTCGGCCGTTTCCTTCTCCTGGGCGGCCTTAGCGAGGGGCGGCAACGCCCGAAGCTGCGCTTGCACAACCATCTTGTCAGCCGTCGCCAGGTTCGCCATGCTAGCCAGGCGTTTGTAGTCTTCAATGGCGCCTTCCAGGTTCGACCAGCCGCGGAGCTCGCTCCTCGCGCGCGCTCGCCTCATCAGGGCCTTGGCACGTATCCTCGCGATGTCGTCTTGGCGTTTCCGGCGGGCCGCCTCCCTTGACTCATCATCCGGGTTCGTGGTGAGGGCTGGGCCGGCTTTGGCAGCGCCGGCACTGATGATCTCTTCCTCGGCGTCATCGGCCTTGGCAGCGTCGGGTTCGTTGACTTGGGCCTTCTCGTCCTCTTTCTCGCTTCCCTTCTCGTTCTCCTTCTCCTTTTCCTGCTGCTCCAACCGGTCCAATCCGTCGAGCGCAGTGGTGGCGTTGTTGACGGCATCCTTCCATTCTTCCAGCTTCAAGTGGCAGGCGGCAATGTTGGACCGAAGCACAGCCAGTTCGTAATCCAGGTAGTCAGGGCACACGGCGACGGCCTCGTCATACTTGTTAATGGCGATCTCGTACTTGCCAGAGGAGAACAGCGTGTTTGCTTCAGCTTTGTGCGAGCCGGACTCTGCTACTAAGGACTGTGAGGCCAGGCTGTTAGCCACTCTTTGCCTGTGATCAGGGGCCTAGGGCTACTTGCAGCCTCCTCCTCGGCATTAAATCTCTCCGGCTCGGCCTTCTCATCGCCGTCGTTCTCCACCTTCTGGGGAGGAATCTCGTTCGATGTGGCGGGCACGGCCGGCCGCTCACTGCCGTCAATTGCCATTCTTCACCTGTGAATAGTGAAATGTATCAGGGGTCGGATTCAGATCAGCCTCGGGCCGCACATGAGATAAGGCAGCGGCTAGATGCGGAAGGTTCAAGGAGTCCAATCTGATGATGTGGTGATGACACGCGAGGAATCGATTGGGTAAGTTACCGTTTTTCACATGCCAGCGCCCAACCATGACGGCTGCCCCGCTAGTTTTACACGTGTGCCCGATCGTTGTTATTCCTGTTAACTTGGGCAACCTAACCTGCAATAATCAACACAATTACATCAACTTGCAGTTAACGTAGAGCCAGCTGGAGTGGCAGTCGGTTAAGGTACGGGACAGAGAAATACAGAAGACATTAGAATTTTCGGATATGATGGGATTTCGTGTGTTCGTTATCGGATATTTACCGTGTATCATCCTGAATTTCCACGCTCCCGCCGGCTTTACTAGGGCCTCGAGTTGCCGCACTCGGCCGTGAGCAGCCCCGAACAAAAGGAAGCGGGAAACCCCGGGTCACTGAGAGGAAGGATGAACCAGAAGGGTGCCTTCCCATCATTCGCCGATGTGTTATTACCGTCGACGTCGGGCGTCAGGTGTTGCCCGGTTGAGAACGCATTCAACGCCCCACCATGCAGGGGCTCCAACTTTTTTTTATTTTCCCCTCCTTCCTTGAACCCCTCGGCGATCCCATATCAGAAGCCAGAGTGAGTCAACTTGGCATATAAACAACAGAACCACCCGCCGCTTGAACTTTGAAGGACACACACACACATATACACACCCCTCGTTCCCTACTAGCACTATCCTCGTCAAGGGAAATAAAATATCTTATAATCGTCACACATCTCAAAACATCATCACCCATCACCATCACCATGACTCCCAGAACCGAGTAAGTTCGGTAATCCCTCCTCAAGAACCAAGAGCCCTCGAACTGACAACATCACCAGCTTCCCACCCGTCCGCGCCTGTCTCTTTGACATGGACGGGCTCCTCCTCGACACCGAGGACTTGTACACGCTCTGTGTCAACCTGATCCTCGAAAAGTACCAGCGTCCCAACCTCCCGTGGAGCGTCAAGGCCAAGCTGCAAGGCCGCCCAGGCCCCGCCGCCAACCAGCTCTTCCACGAATGGGCCCAGCTGCCCATCACCCAGGAGGAGTACATCAAGCAGCTGTACGCCCTGCAGGCCCAGCACTTCCCCACCACCCAGCCGCTGCCGGGCGTGCCCGAGCTCCTCGCCCACCTCGGCCGCACCCGCTACTGGGACCTCCCAAGCCAAAAGAAGACCGACAACACCACCACCACCAACACCAACCCATCCACCCCCACCCCCCAGCGCGTACACATCGCGCTCGCCACCTCCTCGCACGCAGCCAACTTCCGCCTCAAAACCGCCCACCTCTCCGAGCTGTTCTCCGTCTTCCCCACCGCGCGGCGCGTCCTCGGCGACGACGCGCGCATCGGCCGCGGGCGCGGCAAGCCCCTGCCCGACATCTTCCTGCTCGCCCTGCAGACCATCAACGACTCGCTGCCGGCGGGGGAGCGCGCCATCGCGCCCGAGGAGTGCCTCGTCTTCGAGGACAGCGTGCCGGGGGTCGAGGCCGGCCGCCGCGCCGGCATGCGTGTTGTCTGGTGTCCGCATCCGATGCTCAAGAAGGAGGTTGCGGGGCGGGAGGGGGAGGTGTTGGCTGGGAGGACGGGGGAGGCGGGGGATGTGGATCTGCATCAGGTGGGTGAGGTGGGGGATGGGTGGGCGGAGTATATGCCGACGTTGTTGGGGTTTCCGTATGAGAAGTATGGGATTGTGGTGCCGCCTGCGGAGGTGGAGGCGAAGGAGGGGATGGTGGAGGGGGGGAAGGTTGCGGATGGGGAGGTTGTGCAGGTTGTGGAGACTGCGTAGATGTTGCTGCTGTTTGGGGAAAGGGTGGGGGCAGTGTTGAGCTTGGAACGGGAAAGATCCTAGATGCCGCGTTGATATTCCGAGACAAGTTGGGATGAGAGGGTTCTTTATTCTACCATTGTTTCATCGGGCTAGATCTTAGGCATTGCGATTATTCGAGTAAGGGTACCTAGATACAGATTATAGTACACGAGAAAGATTTCGGTGTCATAGACGGGGAAATATAACAACAACAGAAGCGTTGTGTTAGTTATCAAAGTTACTAAATACAGACAGCGGAAGTACAGGGTAGGGTATATAAACAGACCAAAGTACATAACTCACACGTCACGCTACCCCCAATCACTGAATCCCCTCCTCGGGCCCTCCCCATCCCCCCTCCTTAACCCACCCACCCCATTACCCGCAGCAGACAACGGCGCCAACACCCCCATTCCCGCTCCACCGCCACCACCACCCACCCCAACCCCCAACCCAGCCCCAGCCCCAGCCCCAAAAGAAGAAGAACCGCCACCCTCCACCCTCCCCCACGCAACCCTCAACTCCCCGACCACCCTCCCCAGCCGCCACCCCCGTCTCCTTCCCAATCCTTTCCAACACGGCCAAGACCTCGTCCTGCTCGCGCGGGTCCGCCAGCGCGGCGCTGACGACGGCGAGGGAGCGGATGGCGACGGAGACGACGCCGCGGTCGCGCGTGTGCGCGACGATTCCGCAGACGTGGTGCGCGTGCAGGAGCTGCGAGTCGCGGTTGGCGCCTCCGCTGGTGGTGCTGGTGCTGGTGTTGGTGTTGCCGCTGCTGCTGCTGCGCGGTTCGAGGGGGTTGAGCTGGGCGAGGAGGCACATGGCGGTGTGGTAGAAGAGGCGGGCGAGTTTGGAGGGGGGTTTTATGAGCCTGTTTGGGTTTGGTTGTTAGTTGGGGGGAGAGGTTGGGTTGGGTTTGGGGCCTCCAGTGGGAAAGGGGGCGAAAAGAGGGAAGGCGGTGGAACAAAAAAGGAGGCCACTCACCACACGTTGGGAAAGAGAGACTTGGACGACGGCTCGGGGAGATACCCGTACGGCCGCATCGAGCGTGGGCAGTTGAGGTTCCAGGCGTTGCACATATTCTGCAGCCGCCGCCACTCGGCGAAGCGGTTCTGCAGGCGCACTTGCTCGTCGTGAGGGGACGGCTCCTGGAACTGCGGCGTGTTGGCGCGGAAGTTGGCCACTTTGGCCATGATGTAGAATATGCGGTGCAGGTAGAGCTCCTCCTCATCGGCCGTCTCCAGGCTATCGTTCGCGACCGGGTGGCCCTCGGCTCGCACGCTCCAGACGTCGTCGCTCCCGGCCACGCTGCGGCTGCCGCTCCGGCTTGCGGCCCCGAGGGTGGCAAACTCCAGGTCCAGCCCCCATTGATCGGGGTCCCAGGCCGTCTGCCAACCAAAGGAGATACAGCTGAGCACTTCCATGCCGACGTTGACCCAGAAACAAGCAACGGCGAGACCCGTGGAAGACGCATTCCAGCCACACTCGCGGATGAGGGCGCGGGTCGAGGCGATGTGCCCCATCCGGTCGTTAGGTCGGTCGGTCATGACGTTGTAGGCGGTGAGAACGACAGCAGTGAGGGCGTTCTCGCTGGAATTGCGATCTCGTGTTTGCTGGCTGAGCAACTGCGTGGTCGCCATGTTGTAGTAATAGTCCGCTTTCTCGCCGCTGTGCTGCCCTGTTAGTGTCAGGTGCCTGGCACCGCAAGCCAGCAAGGCGTTGAGCAGCATGGGTAACTTGAGGGCCAGATATGGCACCGTATTGGCAAAGTGCTTGTCCTTGTTCAAAGCGTCCATCCAGATGGACACCTCGTCGATGAAGACCTGCATGAAGTGGATCTCTTCTGCGGTGCTTAGGTAGTCCCGTTCACCCGTCGTATTCTCGCTCGAGGGCGTCATAAGCCCGGTTGGGGTGCCAATTTGCCGGCTAGAGCTCGCCTGGGCAGCAGAGCGGAATTCGTTTGGTGGTCCAATGGTCAACCCATCGCGGTTCCTAATGTTGAGTGTATGTGACTTTAGTCCTTTGACTCCGTCGGGGTCATGCAGCGAAGCGAAAGAGAAAGCATCCTCGCCGAACCCCCCAGGGCCCAGCTGCGGCCGTGGCGCGGACCGAGCATCCAGTGACGAAGACTCCAGACCTGGCCGGGCTGGCGGGCTGCCGTGGTGGCTCGGCGGTCCGCGGGGTGGAGGCTGCCCGACATGCTGGGGGTGGTACTGGTCACGAATGACGGATGTATCTCCGCCGCCGCTAGTGGCAGACAAGAAATGGCTGACGGTTTGAGCATCTGATCGCTCGGGCTCCCGACGGCTTGCGTCCAAGTCTGGTTCCGGCGTCGAGGAGACGACTTCAGGATATCGTCCTAGGCCCCCTCGATACTCTGCAGCAATCAGGCGCGACTCGTCCAGGATTTGAACTGGCACGAGAGTTAGTGCATGTGACAACGGACTAGGAACTGGCCGTCTATCATGTGACAGGGAGCGGTAATGACGAACCTGACCACTCGGTGGTTGGGGGCAGGTATGGCGGGTCCTTGACCTGAATGTCGATAAAATTGAGTCGTATCCCACGCCTGCATTCTCGGTTGCTCTTTCGGCAATTGTTGCACTCCGGGACACCCTCGTCGCACTTGAGATGGCGTTCTCGGCACGTAAGGCATCCCGTGCGCACCCGCTTAGACTTGCCTGTTGCGGGACTTGCCGAAGAGGCCGGCTTCCCTCCACGTCCTCCCCGGCCGATGCCTTTGGTGTCGGTGGCCCTCATGGGCGCAACCGGCGGGGGCGTGGCTCGATAGTCCGATTCTGAGAGCTGACTGCTGCCGGGGAAGAAGGCCCCCGGGGTGCCGTGGCGTTCTACCGGGGAAACCTCATACTGGGTGCCGGAGCTGTAGTTGCCACTAGATGCCGTGTACGGTTGGTCTCCCTCCCCTAGGCGCGGCATTGGCGGCTGGGTTCGGGCACGCAGGGCGTTCCGTGGCTGGCGTGATCGCGATCGAGGTCGACGGGCAGAACTCATCGTCAAGGTGGCGCTGTGCGTCCACTCCACAGATCCCTCCTTGCCAGGGTCCAACAGAAGTGGTGGGTGATGGCCCTGTCAGCGCTCGGCGGGAGAAGCAGAAACCCGATGGGCCAAAGAAACGAGAAGGTCCGGACACTCGAGGAAGGTTACTGATGGATAATCGGCAGGGGCGCACAGATTCAAGTCGGACGAGGCCATGGGTCCGAGGCCCTGGTGCTGCAGCTTCTCCATGTGCCTCTCTCTAGTGGGATGTCGTCTGTAATCTGTACACAGACAGTCCCTGCTGTGGCAGCGTGGGTAGACTAACGTAATCTGTGGTTGCTGCAAGCCAAGAAGAGTGTTTCAACCTAACTTCTCTCAAGCAATTGACGAAACAACCGTCGGTTCCGCATCCCCGTTTCCCACGCCGAGTCGCGCGTTGTTTCTGCACGCTCGACCGAAATCGTGGGGCTGCAGGCGGCTAAACCTGGCACGGGAATGCTGTGTTACAGGCTGGTCGAAAAAGGAGGATGCAGGGTTGCGGATGAAGCAGCAGTGAGAACGTTCTCGAGTTGCATTGAGACAGGGGGGCACTGGGGGGGGACCTTCTCCTGGAAACCGAGTGTTACGCAGTGGAACACAACACGTAATGAGGAAATCCGTTCCAGGCAAAACGAAGGACCGAGTCCAAAACCGTGGTCGGAGGTTCACGAAATATACAGGTGGAAAGATGCATGGTGCCTCGGGACGAGCCGCCTGCTGATATTTTGGGCGGAACTTCTAGGAAGTTGAATGAATTGTGAAGGACTCGGAGGTAAAATGGAACTCGGCTGGTGCGCGACTGCAATTGCTGACTCAGCTAAACTACACCACCTCGTTCAACTTAACCCCACTCAGAGACCACGCCCCACATAACTGGATTCCCCAAAACGAACGTGCGCACTCGAGGCACGACACCCCCTACCTCATCAACCTCGTTTGGTGTCAAGGCTAGTCCTGCACCTTGATGATGACCTTGCCGACATGGCTGCCCGAGTACAGATAGTCGAAAGCGGCCGGCGACTCGTCGAAGGTGAAGACTCGGTCGACGAGCGGGGCGAGGGACACCTTCTTCTCCTCCAAAAACCGGTTCAGGTCCACGAAATCCTCCTTGGAACCCACGGCAACACCCCTAGATCACCCATCGTCAGTGGAACGTCTTTGGTAAGTACCTATGAGGGTACGATGACCTACTTCAACGTTGCGAACTTGGCCATCAATCCCATGATAACACTGGGCTTCCAGTCACCATCGGTGCCGGCTAGGAAGCCAACGAGAGATACGAGGCCGCCCCGTTGCCGTAAGAAGCTGATATCTTCCGGAAGAGACGCCGGCCCAGTGTTGTTAACAACAAAGTCGACACCCTTGCCGTCCGTAAGGCGCTTGACTTCCGAGGCTTGGTCAGAGACGGTCCTGTAGTTAAGGCCACGGACATCGGCGCCGAGTTTTTGAATATCTTCAAGCTTCTTGTCGGATGAAGACGTGATGATGGGTTGAATACCCGCAGCAAGGCATATCAGCAGGGCAAACAAACTGACGCCTCCCGTGCCTGGATCAATTGGTCAGTCACTATCCACCATCATTGACGAGGTAGACTGGAAACATGAGACACGAACCTTGCAAGAGGGCGCTTCTCGGGTTCGCCGCCTTCAGGCCGTCGAGCGCAGTCCAAGCTGTCACGCCGGCACACGCGATGGTAGCTCCCTGGGATCGAAAGCCATGTAAGCAAAATGACCGGTGATAATAGGGCTTCCGGGATAACAAGACTGACCTCTTCCCACGACAAGTGCTTGGGCAACTGCACAATGTTCTTCTCTTCGAAAATGGCGTACTCGCCCAGAACACCGTCAACGTCACCACCAAGTGCTCTGCCCGGCTCATCATCGAACCCAGTTAGATTGCTGAGATCGAACATGACCGAAACGTGGTCGCCGATGGCGAAGTCTTTCACGGCGCTTCCCATGGCAGCAACCTCAGCAGCTGCGTCGGAACACGGGATGCCACGCTCGATCACATCTATCGGGTAGCGTCCGTTCAGCATGCCTACATCACGGAAGTTGAGGGAGACGGCGTGGATCTTGAGGAGGACATCGTGCGGGCCGAGCTCTCGGGGCAGCTGTTCAGTTGAGGGGGTGATAGTCCTCGGTAGATCGCCGGTGGTGCGCCTGAACGCTTTGTAGGTCTCGGGGATCGACATTTCAAATGAAGCTGGAAAATTCAAAGGCATATGATTTGTGTAATTCAACCTCCGAGATGTGAGCGAGGGATGATCGTTTTATATTATAGATGAGATAACTTGGAGTCTTGGAACGGAGAGTTCATGCGACCCGTCGATGAGTGGGGTCATCACCTAGAGTGCACATATTGGTCATCAAGTCGCTGATGCAATGGGATTAATAATCGCCACAAAGGTTGTAAGGCTTGAATCGGGTTCGGTGCCGGCCTCCAGAAGCTCTCTTGTGTAACGGGCGCTGAGGCAGCGAAGCTGTGGGTTGGGGGGACCCAAATACCTTACGAGAGATGGTAATTAACAGTCTTGTCGAGAAAAGTGCCCAAGTCCTCCTCGGCCTCTCGCTTGTACTTTTACAAAAAACACGATGGCCCCGCGGAGGGGAGATAGACAATGAGAGAAAAGACAGAGAAGTTGAGAACCACGAAAGTACGACATGTTGGGGCATGGACAGTACATCGACAGCTTGGGGACTCCACTGCCATCAATGCCATGTGGATCCATCCGCATACAGATTACAAATTAACGACGCCCGTGTACGAATACTCTGTACTGAGTAATGCACACTATATGTAGGTACCGACATGATTCGACAGGGAATTTTGTTTTGACCCTCTTACAGAGAACTCTCTAATGACGTCATCCATGCTTAATCGTGTTGAAGTCGAGTGCTCGGGGTGGTTTCTCTTACACGGTCTAGATCTGGCTTAGCGTAGCCTGGCAACGGTTATCCTTCGGTGTTCGAGGAAGGAACCCACTTTTGTTCAATCCTCCCACCTTGCAGCCTCACTTCCATTAGCAATCACCTTCACTAACATCACAACATGGCCACTGATGGGCGACACGCGCAGCCCAAATCCATCTTGCGCGGGCACAAGGCCCAAGTTCACGCTGCAGCCTTCGTGCGAGGAAACGACCGGCTCTTGACGGGCGATGCAGACGGTTTTGTTGTCGCCTGGGATCTCACTGTCATGCGCCCGAGAGCGGTATGGCAGGCCCACGGTAGCGCCATATTAGGAATCGCTGGTTGGGGCGACGACCACCTAATCACGTAGGTGGATGTTGGTGATGCCAGTGTCTGTTGAACATTGGGGCGAGGGCAGATAAAAATACTGAGACGAGATTTCGGCAGTCATGGAAGAGACAACAAACTCATCGTGTGGAAATTTACCGGAGAGGAAGAGAGTGGCCTCAGTAAGAAGTTGCCCTTGGACCCAACATCCGAGACGCGTCCCCAACCATGGATGTTGTACATGCTCGAGGTCAACACCATGAACTTTTGTTCATTCTCCCATTGCCCCGTCTCTCCGGGGTCGGGTGCTGCATCATCCGAAATCCTAGTTGCAGTGCCCAACACCCTAGCATCCGAAGCTGTAAGTCTACCTCGCCCACCCGGGCCTGACACAGCAGCTGATTAGAACACCAGATCGACATCTTCCACCTGCCTTCGCAAGCCCGGCAACACACGGTTAAGCTGGGCGAGAAGGACGGGATGGTGATGGCCCTCTCTCTCTTTCACCAGGGCCAGACCTTGACGCTCGTCGCCGGCTACGAGAACGGCGCGGCCACGGTAGCGCAGCTCAGCGACCGCGGCAACTGGACCGTCCGGTACCAAGCAAAGAGCCACTCCCAGCCGATCCTCTCACTCGACGTGTCTCCCAACAGGGACTTCTTTCTCACCTCGAGCGCCGACGCCATCATCGCCAAGCACCCTCTCCCCTCAGCCTCACCAGCAACCAACCCCCCCCAACCAAACACCACCCCCAACATCCCACCGCCAGTAGGAGAAACAGGAGGAGACAACCCACCAAAATCCCTCCTCACCGCCGCCCTCTCCACCACCACCACCACCACCAACCCCCAACCCAGCCCCCCATCCGCAACCCCCACAACCACAACCAACGACACCCACCCCGCCGAACCCACACAAACACAAACCCAAACCACCCCCCTCAAAATAAACAACACCCGCCACGCCGGCCAGCAATCCCTGCGCATCCGCTCCGACGGCCGCGTCTTCGCCACCGCGGGCTGGGACGCCCGCGTGCGCGTGTACTCGGCGCGGACGCTCGCCGAGGTGGCCGTGCTGAAGTGGCATTCGGTCGGATGCTACGCTGCGGCGTTTGCGGCGGTGGGCGGGGGTGCGGTAGCGGCGAAGGAGGAGGGGTCCCCGGTTTCACCAGGGGAGGGAGAGGTGTTGGGTGAAAGAGGAGGGGAGGAGGAGGAGGGGGTGGAAGGGGGCGGTGGTGGTGAGGGGTTACAGCAAGGGAGTAAGGAGGTGGTGGTGGTTCCCAAGCTGGTCGACGTCACGGTGCGGGAGAAGAGGGAGCGGCAGGCGAGGGAGGGGCATTGGTTGGCTGCGGGGAGCAAGGATGGCAAGGTTAGCTTGTGGGATGTGTTTTAGACGCCGAGGGCAGGCGAGAGACCACCACAAGCCGTGGGTGTATGGAGCCATGGCTGTATAGAACCTTGAGTTATCAAGAGGGAATGCTCTAAATTCACCCCTCTGTGTCCGCCTCTAACTCGCTCCCCTTCTATCATGGACACTAATACATTAGACTACAATATACAACACAACACACCCATGGTATCCCAGCCAATGACGAACTCCTCCCACCAAAAACACATACATCACACCCGCCCCTGGCACCCCCCAAAACAGCCCTACAAATGCGCCCTCCCCTCCAGCTTCCGTTTCCTCTCCTGCTCCCTCACACTCCGACTCAGACTCCTCTCCTCCTCACTGCTCAACCTCGCCGGCACCGCCGCCTTCCCCTTCCCCTTCCCTTTCCCCTTCCCCTCCTCCCCCGCGATGGCATCCTCAAACAACGTCCGGCCGAGCTCGTCCGTCAGGCGCAGCACGCGCGTGCTCACGGTGGCGCCGTCGCGCCTGTTCTTGCCCTCCCGCCTGCTCGACGCGATCTTCTCGGTGAAGTCCCACAGCCGGCCCGTCGCCAGCAGCCGGCCCGTCTTGGGGTCGCGCCCGGGCCGCCACTCGGGCGCGATGCGCAGCCGCGGCGGGATGCGCGCGTCCTTGGACTTGACCACCTGGATGATCCCCTCCTCGGCGAAGCGCTGGTATGAGTTCTTGAGCGTCTCTTTGTTGACGGCTTCAAAGTAGGAGAGGTCGCCTTGGTGGTAGAGGGTTTTGCCGAGCTGTGACACACGCACGGGAAATGGTTAGCTGGTTGAGTGGAAGGGCATTGGGTTGGGAGATGGAAACGTACCAGCTGCGCGCTGTCCTGCGCCTTCGACACCTGCACCCAGATGTCATCTTTCTGCCCAAGTGGCGGGGAGAGGCCCATTAGCGAGACAGCGGCCAGCCAGCTCGTCTCGATGAACGGCCAGATTAGGAAGCAGTAGAAATCAAAGTTCTCCCTCCCAGCAGCCCGCTCCGCGCCGGAGAGGCCAACCTTGGTCATGTTTCCTTCTTCGTCCCGCTCAATGAGGATGACATTGTCTGCTTCGAGACCGAGGAGCGTTCTTTCGAGATTGGCTGCGAGACCCTCACCCGAGTAAATGAACTCGCCGCGGAAGAGGGATGACAGGAACAGGACTTGATCGGACAAGTCACTGTAAGGGATATCCTGGATTCGCGGCCCACCTCCCTGCTTCACCCGTGTGTATAACGCCGTTGCGACTAGGGTTTCCGAGATGAAGAGGTGGATGGTCATGTTGCGGTAAAAGGACAGCTGGAAGCGATCAACGGCGTAGTATGTTACCTCAGGGAGGCCCTCGACGACACCCACGAGATCCTTCCCCAGCACGTCTAGACCTCGCTGGATGACGTCCGAGAGTGGCGCGTTGCCAAAGTGGGCGACCCGCCCGCCTTTGGCTCTTATTCTGTTCGTCAGCCACTCCACGCGCATGATGAGCTCCCTTCGCCCGACGCCACGCCCACGAAGGGTCAACAAAACGGTCCCAATCAACGCTGTGGGCATTACCACCGAGACAGCATTGATGTCGGCCAACACTTTGTACCCGAGCGTCCGCAACAGCTTTTGGCGGAGCATTTGGTTCTTCATGTCCCTCCAGTCGACGTTGATTGCCGACGGCATTTTGGATAACCTCGAAAGCTGCTCGTTGATGAACCCTCTCAAGCTCCATGGCTCGTGGAACCGCACGTCGACCCTCCCCAGCCGGAGTGAGAGGATACTAGACCCGCCCGACAGGAAGTCTGCCAAATTCTCCTTCTTCTTCGGTACGCCCAGCAGCTCTGTCACGTAGCCCTCGGTCTCGATCACCTTGTCGTACTGGGTGCTGACGGGACAGATGATGGCGTCATCAACCCGCCCTGAGAGAAGACTGTCGAGAACGAAATTGAGGATGCCAAATTTGGGCGGGAGCAGCTTCCCCGTCCGTGACCGGCCGCCCTCGATGAAGCACTCAAGGTTGTAGCCACCTTGGAGCATGACGTCGATATAGGTTTGGACTAGAGTGGTGTAAAGCTGGTCGTCACCAAAAGACCTGCGGATGTACATAGCACCTTGGCGCAATCAGCATTGAGCAACATCAACACGGTGGAGGACTTACCGGCGTGCTGCAAAAAGCTCCCAACCAGCGGGAAGTTCAGGTTATCGCCGGCCACTACGACTGGGAGGGCCAATCCGAGCCTGTAGCAGAGCAATTGCATAGAGACGTAATCAACGTGCGACCTATGACATGGAAGGAAGATGATACTCTGCTTCTTCCGCGCCGCCTCCTCAGCGACTTTCCTCAGCCGCAATACCTCCTCGCTCGACACGTGGATCCCCTGATGGTATGCCCTGAGCAGCAGCTGCGTCACCAAGTAGTATGCGCCGCGGATAAACGGTTTGCTGTCAAACTTGCAGATCATGTTGTCCGTCAGCTTCTCGGCCACCTCCTGCAGGCCCTGGATGAGCACGGCACGGCGCTCGGCCTTCTTCGTCGCAAAGTCCTTGTCGTTCTTGTTCAGCAAGCCCTGCTTCTCCTCGACGGCGACGCGCATGTCGGCTAGCTGGGTGATCTTGGTCTGTAACAAGGTGGCTGACATGATCTCGGACTTTATGTGCTCTGAGAAGCCCGAATAGAAGATGGGCTGGCCAATGACGTCGTCGTAGGCGCGCCAGCCGGTGCCGGAGACGTAGAGGGATACCTCGCGGAGGAAGCTGAGAAGCCAATTAGGGGGTAGGCAAAGAAGGGCCATTGGGGGTGATGGCGTACCGCAATGGCTCGGAGCGGAAGCGGGCCATGTTCTTCATGAGAGCCTGTTCCTTGCCCTCTCCAGTGTGTTCTGGCTCAACAAAACCGCTGGGCTGGAGGGTGATTCGGTCGCCCAATATGCGCAAATCAGGCGCCGAATCATGGCGGTCGTCGGGAGCCATGGCGCAGTTCGGAACGTGGTTCTAGAGAGGCAGACCAAGTGGTGTCTCTTCGCCTTTTCTTTCCCTTGCCGTTCGATTGTTGGCCCGAGTGTCGTATCCCTTGTCGATTTCCGTTGTTTTAGTGAGGAGTGGATCGTGGTGTTGAGAGATGAAGTCAGTGACCGGCGCATTCTGAAGTTGGAAATTGGAAACATGGATCAAGTGCCGGCACTTTCCTCTGGTTCCCGAGGTTGGACTTTCCAGGGGAAAACGGCCAGCCCGCGGACAAGGGTTCCGCATGGTCTGGGGTTGTGGAGGGGTCCGAGGGGTCGTGGGGCGCAAGGCTAGGCCTAGGACAGCCTAGCGCGGGGCGAGGAATGCAGCTAAGCCAGAGCGCCGTTACCGATTCGCGAAACCTCGCGCCTGCCGAACCGCTCTGGAACAGAACGTTGGGACAGGACGTCCATTGGAGCAGCAGGAGGACGACAGGATGTCCCGACCCCCAGATGATGTTGACCAATCCGCCATGATTGATAAAATGGACCCGCGGTGCTCAAAACGCAATTCTAGTCACTTGTGGTGATCAATTTTGTCGTGAACATTTGAACTTCGCCGGATCTTCCTTATCCTACACCTCCAGTTCGGCGAACCCTTTTAGAGTAGGTGTCTGAGAAGATGCGCGCGGATACATCTTAAAGAGGTATGTACGCGGCAGGGCTGCGGCCGGGATGAAGAAATGCAGTTGGTGAAGGGCGTGAGCCGAAATCAGATAACTTTATGACCCAGGGCATAGCCAACCAACATAAACGCGTGCCGGCTCCCTCATGTCCCTTTTGGGCGCGCCCTTAGGTGAGGGGGGTGAAGTACATGCATACACGTTCATCACACATTCTTCTATAAGAGGGACGCTTGCGTCCGAGTCCTTTTGAGCGGCACATCCCAACAGTTAAGCCCCCTCTTAACTCTCGAGCATCGCAGTGACCACACCCACGCTTCATATTGGCTCAGTAGGTCCCTGTTCCCATTCCATCCCTCGTATCAACGGTGGCTATAATAGTAGTTGAGTACCAACATCACCTTCTTCTCTTCACATAGCAATGGCGTTCCACTTCGATCCGGCTCTGCAGTTTGACCTTGAGGTACCAATTAGAGTCGAACTCTTCGTCCCACTCCATCTACTCCATCGCTTTCATCCATCCATCGAGCCTGTCACAACCCCGGGCAACCACGAGGATCTCATGACCCCTCGAAATCCTCTGAAGGCACTCAAGCCCACCGCTTTGACCATCGCCAAAGTGGTCAGCAAACAGATTTTTGGCTCGACCGAAGCTGTTCGTGAAGATTTACGGCCCATTGGTTTCTGGGCAAAGGACGGGACGCTGGAAGCCATTTTCTTCTACCTCAACCACCGCCTCCGCATAGAGGACGTCGGCCTCAACCCGGAATACATACGCGTCGCCGCCCGGGAGGGGGGTGATGGAGAACTTGTCCTGGAACCGGCAGTGGTAATGGGGGAGCGTCGCGAGGAGAACAACCACCAGGCCGAAGGGAGATGGTATCCAGTTCCGGAATTAGCCTCACTTTAGGATAGTTCAGTTCCTCAATTATCTGATCCAAGAGTAAAGTAGCCAAGCTACTCGCCAATTCCACTTTCGAGACGTCCTCTAAATAATCCCGTGCAATCCTGGCAATATCTTTGTGTAAACGAAATAGGAAGAAACTAAGCGGGTAAGAGGTTAACCGTCTTCCATTGTCAGATAAACATCGAAAGTCCTGCTGAGTCAGCAATTCGAAACCCCAAAAAGGCAATTCCCGTCCCAGCTCAAGATGCACGTTTTCACCCTCTCAACAACCCACCACCCCCCCACCATGGAGACAAAACGCCCCAAAGACCAACCCATCGCCGCGATCCTGCTAGGACGCGCGCACGACACCGACGAAGCCACACGAATCTTCACCGAAAAAGTCCAACAGCGGCCACTCTTCCTCACCCCGTCCTCCCCACCCCCCTCCGACGCGCGCGCAGCACGGCGACGCGCCCAAGAAAAAAAGAAACAGCAGCGCAAGAAGGCGCTCAAGCCCAAACCGCTCTCGGCGACCCAGCGCCGCCGCCTCGGCCTCTACGACGTGCCGCGCGCCGCGCAGCGCTACGCGCTCTTCGAGCCCCTGCACCGCCTGTGGCTCGGGTACGTGCGCGAGATCCTCGGCGCCGAGGTCTACACCGGCGGGGAGGGGGCCGCGGCGAAGCTGGCGAGCGCGGATTTTCATGGTGCGGGGGTCGAGGTGGTGCGCAGTGGCTGTGTGAGTCGGGTGGGGATCGAGGGGATTGTGGTGAAGGACTCCAAGTTTGCGTTTGAGGTGGTGACGAGGAGGAATCAGGTCAAGTTGGTGCCCAAGGAGGGGACGGTGTTTCGGTTTGTGGTGCCGGTGCCGGATGTGGGGGGGGAGGAGGGCGAGGGACAGGCTGCGCAGACGTCGAGTATGGTGTTTGAGATCCACGGGGAGCAGTTCCAGTTCCGATCGGCCGATCGCGCGTCGAGGAAGTTTAGGTCACACTTTTCCAAGAAGCTGTGAGGGTCGGCGGAGAAGGCGGCTTCTTTTGGAGGGTGCCTTGATCCCGCCCGATTGAACAACCACCCACCACGTCCGGCGCCATCCAACAACACGAGATGACCGGGACATACACGAGCATACCGACTTTTATTCAGAGGTAGGTTTGCATTTCCATGCATCTCGTCTCTCGGTTGTATTCATGACAGGTCGTTAGGGTTGGCAGCGCGAGTGACGGTTGAAGAAAACACCAGCTTGAGCATTCATGTGGCCGAGGACTGGCTACAGCACTTCGACGCCCCCAATCTGGACACAGCCACAAGAACAAGCAGGGTTCTTCAACAGGCCGATCACCAGCGGTTTATTCTTGATGAATTATCCGTCTTGTTCCTGCGAGGGCGGCCGTGTCGGGGCCGGTAGGTCTGACGACGAAACAAATCACACTGGTGCGGAACGAACTCATCATAAGGACAGCGAGTTTCACAGTAAATGATGAATAAGCGGTCCCCCTACCAAACAGTAGCAGTCGATACTGCATTCTACCTCGAATCCTCGGGTTGCGAGCTGAAAATATGAATGTGGTGTTCTCAACGACAAAACGGACGATGCCCAAAGGTTGAGGGTGAACGATGCAAAACGAGTCACTCAGGGATCGAATCCGGCACCTCCTGGCTTTTAAAAACGGTCTAAACGTCTCAGGTGGGGGAGAGAGCCAGTCCAGCATGTGGCTCTGTGGTCAGGGGCAAAATGAAAGATGGATGATGAAGAAAAAGTAATTTTGTGGTCTTCCGACCACCTTCTCTCGATCCACCCAGGGGTCGAACCTGGAACCTCCTGATGTACCTACTTGATCTCCTGAGAGAGTCATCGTAGTCAGACGCTCTGCCATTGAGCCAGCGGACCTTCTTTACCGTGTTGAAAGGTCTCGGATAAGTTTTCGGTTATTATTTCGACGAAGCGGGGAAATGGGGCGGTCTTGAACGAATCAGGCGCTCTGTCTGGAGTCACACGAAGGGGGGCGAAATCTCTGTGCGGCGGAATCGGTCGGGGTACTTCGGACGCATGTGGAGGAGCTCGGATGGATTGGGCTGGCTTTGTCTGCTCTCCGGCGCTTGGCATGACTTATGGACATTTGAGCTTGAGCAACCTTGGATCTGTTGGCCAGAGAAGGACTCGTATTTCAGGGCACCCATCCGTCCTTTATCGAACCTCTTCGGACAATACAAGCGGCGAGGTTGAAAGCCGAGCTCGAGGAACCCACTCACACAGGTGGCTCAAAGGTTCGGAAGCACTGGAATTGGTCATGTTTGCCTGTCAAGCCGAGCTACCCGCCAAGGACTTGTAAAGGCATATCTAAAATTCTATCCCAATCGTATTTGTACAAGCCAGGCACACCAGTGCCAGCCCCTGAACCTGGAGACACCTCTATGAGCTCGCTGACCCACACGCTAAAATAAATAAAGCCAATACGCCGAGCATTGTAAAAACTATGCCTTGCAAACCGCCGGATAGAACCCCCTATCAATCGCGTGGAGGGAGGATGATGTTGTCGATCAGCCGGACGGGTGGCCCCTGGCCGTAGCCGAGATCTTCACCTTCCCGGCTGGCGTCGACGGGCAGCATCCGCACGGCACCACTGAGGATGCCTCCCGTCGCGCCGTCGATCACTTCCAGCTCCTCCATCGTGTTGACGTCGGCAAGAGAGAGGTAGTCAACCTCGAACCGCACCCTTTGCTCCGGTCCCAGCCCCATCTCTGCCCCCTGTACCTTCTTAATATACTCCTCCGCCTGGCCCAGGACCGCAGCGCGATTTCGAGCACCGTCATTGTATGCAGTCTCGGCCGCCTTAAGCCCCTCGTACAGCACCGTAGCCACGGCCCTCCTCCTCTCGCCCAGATAAACGTTCCTCGAGCTTAGCGCGAGCCCGTCCTCGGCGCGGGCGGTGGGGACCACAACAACCTCAGTGGGAAGCATGAAGTCCCTGACCATATTCTTGATCACCACGGTCTGCTGCGCATCCTTTTGCCCAAAATACGCTCGCTCCGGCTGCACGATGTTGAACAGCTTCATACAAACGGTAGCCACGCCGCGGAAGAAGGTCGGGCGCGACCTGCCCTCCAGCACGTCGCTCACGGGGGTGATGGTGACGAAGCTCCCCTTGCTCGCGACCTCCTGGCCGGGGAAGCCGGCGGGGTACATCTCGGGGGTGGTCGGGCGGAAGACGGCGCTGATGCGGCCCAGGTTGTGGCCGTCGTCGGCGAGCTCCCGGTCTAGCTTCACTAGCGCCTCGACGTCGGCCTCCCACGTCACCGGGTACGCGTCGAGGTCCTCGCTCACGCCGAACTGGGCCGGGTTGACGTAGACCGAGACGACGACGTGGTGGTTCTCGCGCGCGGCGGTGCGGATCAGGGAGAGGTGGCCCTCGTGCAGGGCGCCCATTGTTGGGACGAGCGCGACTGACCGCTGGTCGAGGAGGTGCTGACGGCGCCAGCGGCGGAAGGAGGAAACTTTCTGGAAGAGGCGAATCGAGGAGGCGCGGAGCTTGGAGCCGTCCCCCTGGGAGGGTGAGGCTGGAGAAGAACAACGGCTAGCCATTGTACGTGTAGATTGTAAGGTTAGGCGAACGGGCTGTTTCTGTGATTGGTAATGTTGTCTAGCGATAGAGACGGACAATAGCTGACTAGGGAGCTGAGCACGCGACCGAAGAGTGTTGAAGATGGAGGGGCGGGCAGCTTGCCGGAGGAGGGGTAGTGCTGGTTGCATCGGGGCGGCTGTGCGCGCCCGGGAAGGTGTCTACTTGTACCAGAAAATCAGAAAATCGAAGAGCTCGAACCGCATGGCCAGGGCTGGCAGGTGCGATCATGGAGCGGGTTTTTATTCGACGAGATGCATCCTGTGATGGTTTCTGCCGCGGAGTTTTGAGGACGATCCCGAGGGTCGCTTCCAATGCCTGCAGGGTTTCGGCGTTCACGTCAGCTGCAGCCAAGACATCAGGGCAGGGGTTAACAGCAGGGGTCTTCTGGCTCTCGAGGCATCTCTTTGCGGGACATCTCAGTTCAGCTCCATCCATGGAAGCAGTCAATTATGTCCTTGAATACTCTAAAATAAAATAAAAAGAAGAAAAACGGAAATAGGTCTAGACGTGTACCTATACAAGGCGAGAAGTCTATCAACCGGCCAATCCTCGTGAGAAAGCCCGTGTCTAACATCCCTCGTGTAATTAAACCCATTCTCTCAAAGAGAGAGAGCACAACCACCCACTCTCTCACCCATCCCATCACCACCTCACGCAACTCCTGCCGCCCCATTACCAGATCACCCCGTATATCCAGACCTAACCATCCCACCAACACCCACCGCCCCCTTCCCCAACACCACCCCCTCATCTACCTTGGTTGCCCAACGCCAACACCACCGCCCATATCCACCGTAAACGGCACCGTGCTCTCAAACCCCTCCACCCGCCCCAACAACACCTCAACCATCCGAAACGTCACCGCCGGCTGATCCATCCCAAGCACATGCCCGCCCATAGCCGCCTCAAACCAAGTCAGCCCCCTCTCGACATGACTCGACCCCACCACCCCCGCGCCCGCCGCAACACCACCACCACCACCACCATGCCGCGGCACGACCAACACCCCCCCAGGCCGCTCGCGAAACCCCATCTCACCACACCACGTCAGGTTCTGAATCGCCAGCAGCGACCCCTCGGGCAACAACAAAAAGTCTCTCGACCCATGGCCCAGAATCACATTCCCCGTGTGCTCGATCACGCGCGGCAGCACGGGCTGGCTGCCCGGGCCGGCGTTGAGGGACGTGTCGACGCCGCCGACGAAGACGGGGCTGGTGGCCATGTCCTGGCAGAAGGCCCAGGTGGTGTTGTTGCGGGGGGCGTTGATGGCGGCTTTGACGGCGGGGAGGTCGAAGTAGGGGGTTGGGAAGCTGGGTGGGAGCGTGAAGGTGCCGCCGGTGAAGCCGATGGGATCTGGATGAAGGGGGGGGGAGGGTGTTAGTGGGGGGTTGTTGGGTGAGGGATGAGGGGCGGGGGGGTTGTGAAAGGGGGAGTGGGGGGTAACTGACCGAATGGCACGGGGCAGCGCGAGGTGACGTCGGCGGGGTAGAGACACGGGTTGAGCTCTAGGGCGGCGAGGAATGTGGCGGCGTACAGGGCGCACTCCGGGCGTGCCATGCCAGTGGCGGGGTCCTCGCCCGGCAGGATGGAGGGTTGCGGGCCCTTGGGCGGGTAGACGAGGAACTCGTCGAGGTACGCCGTGTACCCGCACTGCTCGTCCATCGCCTTGATGGTGGCCCGGAACGTGTCGTTGAAGGGAAGAACCGCCTTCCACTTGTCGACGTACCGGGCAACAGGGATGTCTTCGGTCAGTGGGAACTTGGAGTACAAGCCGTCCCAGATGGCCATGCCCGAGACGTTGAAGTAGCCCGTGTCCTTGCGGTCGAGCATGGCGCTGGAAATGTATGGCGCGTACATGCCGCCATACGACGAGCCCGTGACGTGCACCTGGTACCCCTGGAGGGTGAAGGTGTCGACAAAGTTCTTCCAGAATCCGAGAAAGTCTTGGGCCACGTCCGCCTGGCTGGTGGCCATGGGGGTGCCCTGCGAGAATCCCGTCCCGACCGGCTGATCGATCCAGACGACATTGGTGAGGCGGTGCCAGCTCCATCGGTTTTGGATCGGCTGGTACGTCCCCGGCTGCCAGGAGATGGGACCGTTCACCTGGAGTAACTCGCCGATTGACGAGCACCCCGGGCCGCCGGTGAGATAAATCAAGATCTCCTTTTTCTCTTGGGCAACCGGGTTGGTGGACGGGAAGAACCAAAAGTAAAGCTGGCGGCTGGTGTCGTTGCCTGTGGGTAGCAGTCCGGCGTAGGACTCGCCCACGTCGAAGTCAACCATCGGGATGGCCGAGCCATTGACGGCGAAACCTGGCCAGGTCGGTAAGTTGACCCCACGCTGAATAAGATGGCTTAACTCACCGCTTGAGCGCTCATTAAGGAACGGCGATTGTATCTGGTCGCGAACCAGTTCACGGAGTGGATGACGTTGGTAACGTGAATTCAGCAACGGAGGCCGAACGTACCCCAAGGCAGGGACGGCCAGAACCGCAACCAATAATGAAAGTATCAAGTGCATCGTGTACGTATGACGGACCAAAGTTTAAGAGGGAGCGACCGAGGAAGGGAGGCCGATGTTCTCAGCAACCTGGGAATCCCAACCGTGCCCTTGAACCGAGACTCTGGTCGCCTCAACACACCGATATTCTCTCGACGGAAAGTTGACTCAACACTGGTACCCCGTCTGGACTCGAAACGTCTCGTCTGAATCTCATATGTTCAGATGTTCATAGTCGCGGGAGAGAAATGACCATTTGGTCGGGCCAGAGGCCTGAGGTTGGCCCGACGTGTCTTGAGCCGTCCCACTCGTCCCCTGTCGTATGTCTGCTATTGTGTCAAATGGGCAAACGCAGGACAATCGCAAAGCAAACTGGACGGCCCGAGAATACGAATAGACAGGCAACGATGGACAACCAGGGCCATGATGGCCCCTTTGAGAATGTAGGATTCCTACCCGCCATTCAGCCGCAGTCTCGAGCGGGAGCCTGGGATCCCTCGTTTGAGACACGAGAAGCAGGTGCCGCCATTTGAGTGGTCTCTTTGAAGCTGTGCTTATTTTGACGCGGCCAGCAAAGGTCAGGGGTTCGAATCCCAAATTTATATTACGAGGAAAGGAAACCATACAGGGCTTCTTTCACTGACCACTCTCGACTCCAAATGAATAACGGGCCATGCCGCCCCCCCCACACCCGCCTGCAAAGAGATCGGTACACATTGTCACCGTCTTCTCTACGGAATACACGTGTATAACTCGGGCTCGTCATAATCCGAAACATTGACGCGTGGATGTGTGCCGCAAGTTAGAGAGGTATGTACATACTTCGCACGTACCACCATTTTGAAGTCTCTGAGGAGAGAATAAACATGACAAGAAAAATAGAACCTCCACACACTTTTTGAAGCGAGTGTTGAGGAAATAGAAGCAAAAGTTTATGACAAGAGTGGGATTCGAACCCACGCCCTTTCGGACTGCCAAGTTTCTGTTGGAAACCTGAAGACAGCGCCTTAGACCGCTCGGCCATCTTGCCCTGGCTGTTTGTTGAAGTTGGTGGTTGGTAATTGCAACTAGGTGAGGCAATTCCGTGCTGCCACTGTGGTTGCGCCTTTTGCCGTTTGCTCCCAGTTGTTGGTCGAGCAAGGACTTGCTTGGCATTTTCCCACTCAGGTTTGCACCCATTTTCCAACCGGTCGCTTCTGGCTCAGTTTCCAATATTCCAGCCAAGGTGTCAGAATGGCTGACGGCTTCCTCGAGGCCGCCATTGCTCGTCGCGCCCTCGTCTCTCTCTTGGTCCCTCTTTTTTTTTCTTTCTTTTTTTCTTTTTTCACTTCGGTCTTTACTCTTGACTGATACCTAATCCAGACCAGAACGCAACATCGCAAATGGGTAAAAGATGAGTCGGCATTGAGCATCCCCGCTGGGATAAGTATGTACATGCAAGGACCGCTAAACTACCTAACTCTCTACAATGTCAAAATCTATGTTAATGATCGATGTCCCGACCCTCGGAGCCTGGATACCCGAACCACGTTGCCGAGCGGAATCCTCGTCCTGAGGCTTCACGAGTCTCCATCTCCTATATTTTCCTCAACCCACCGAGCCCTGACCCAACCGAACTCCCAGCCCATGTCCCATGCAATGAACCAAACCGCGACGAGCCCATTCCCTTAGTAGTGACAATGCTCTCCTTCCCATGCTCCCAACCGCGATACCCGCCCCCAACACAACCCAACCAAGGAGGGTACGCCCCCCCTCAACCAAAAGCCGATGACAACCCCGGGCTCCAAGCCCCGCGCTTAGACGACGGCGACCGCCCTCCTCCCGAACCAAACAGCGCGCGCACGCTCCGGCCGCGGCGCTGAGCCTCGTCCCCAGCTTGGGTAGTTGGACTGTGGTGGTGAGCTTCCGACCCAGACTGACTCGGCCGTCCAGCCGACACCGCCGCATCATCTCCTCCTCCTCCTGCCCCGTCCGCTCCACCGTCACCACTCGCCTTACAGGCCCGGCAGCACCACTCCGAAGGAGAAAGCGGAGGAGTATCCGGCGGCGTGGGGAGGCACGGCCCGCGATCGTCGTGGAGCGAAGGCGGCGAACGAGACTCGGGAGTGAGCGGTGGTGTGGGAAGGTACTGCCCGTGGCCGGGGAAGGACGGTGGCCGGTGGGGGTTGGGGGGCGTGACGGGGTCCGCGGGGCGCGCGGGACTTGTGGGTGCCTTCATGCCGCTGGGGAGGGAAGGGTCCGAGCTGTCGGCCGTGAAGTGGGAGATGCCGAGCCGCGCGGCGCGCATGGCGCGGTTGCTGCGGAAGGACCAGCGCGAGCTGCGGATGCTTCCGCGTTGCGTCTTCGTCGATACTGGAGATGATAGCGTGCGCGTTCCCTTGGGTTTTGGTTGGTCCGGCTGGGGGTCGGAAGTCGACGTTTTGAGCGATGACGAGGTTTTGGGGGACGAGGTGTTCATAGACGATCTTCGGAGAGAAGAGCTCTTGAGGGAGGAGCCGCTGGGGGGCGAGTCCTTGGGGGAAGGGGTCTTGGGGGAGGAACCCCTGAGGGACGAACCCTTAGGGGACGAGCTTTTGAGAGAGGAGCTCTTTTGAGAAGTGCCTTTAATGGACAAGCTCTTCAAGGACCATCCTTTGGGGGACGACCGTGTTCGGTATTGCTGCGATATCCCCGACGGCGGAATCGGTAAGGTAAGGTCAAAGGTGGCGTAGTTTGGCGCATGGTGTCCGCGGAGGTTATCTTGAAGGCGAAACGGTGGATAGTAGTATGACGGTTGGTTTGGCCCAATCTGTACGACTGGAATCGTCTGGTCGTTTGTCAACCCGGTCGCCTGTCGAAGAGGAGGTCCAAGTGGAGCGGAACTTGGGTCGTCCTCAATAAGACGTTGGTGCTGTCGGTGAAGAAGGCGATTGCGGGCTCTGCGAAGCCGTTCGCGCCATTTGCGTCCGACCATGGTCGAGGGATGGGATCAGTAGAACGCAGACGATAGCAGCGTCGAGAGCAGGTGTCGAGTGAGATGCCAACTGTTGCGATGCCCAACGAACGTAGTATTGGCCCGCGGTAAAACAAGAAATATTATTATTATGAAGCAAATACAAAACTGGCGGTTCAAAACGACTTGGAAGCCCCGTGGTGCGGACGGGGTGGTACGGACGGGGTGAAGAACTTGACAACGCCACCAAGGGGGGGATTAGGGAATGTTGCATATACTTGCAGGCTGTTCTTGCCCTTTTGCTTCGCTTCTTAACATGCTCGCTCCTTCCTAGTGCAGTATCATGTGCTCCGGGGCGGTCTAGTCTTACTGCATCCACCACCTAGTATGGCACCACTCAAAGTTCCCCAGACGGGAAAGAGGGAGAGCGACGAGGTGGTGACAAAAAGGTTGGCCTTATCTTCTATGTGTCTTCAGGGCAAAAACCAGAAACGCACGCTTCATCAGCTACAATTGCTCTGGGGACACTGGCCTAAACCATAGTATCGCTTCCCATTTGGTCGTAGATACAGTCTCTTAAAGAAAGCAGCAAGTAATGCAAAGTTTTGAGCAAGACCCAGAGAGGAGAAGATGTCTCTCGCACGAAATAATATAAGCTCCGCAACACCCGAACCGTCACCAGCAACGCAATCTCAGATCCGATCAAATGTACCCGCATCCATCCATCCTCAACCAACCACTACCACTCGTCCCCTAAACCTCGATAAGCACTGCCTGCCCGTAGACGGGAGCGACCCCATCACCCCAGATACCCACCACGGAGAGGAGGAACCCCAGCCCGGAGAGCGCGCTCTGCACAATCTGCTTCTTGAGGAAGACCTCGACATCCGCGCGGACCTGCTCGCCGTTCACATCGGCGGCCTCCTCAGCCTCCAGCTCCTCGCTGGCCTCGCTGTGGGCGTCCGACCCGGCGGTGCCGAGCAGCTCGTAGCTGGCCTCCATGCGCGCGCGGGCGGCCGCGCGCTGCTCCCTCTCCCGCCTCTGCCTCTCCCTCTGCCGGTCCCGGGCCGCGGCCGCGGGCGTGGCGGCAGCGGACGACGCCGGGCGGGCCGGGCCGAGCGCGAGCAGGTAGGGCGCGAGCAGCTCGGTGCCGGCAAAGTGCGAGCCGAGCACGAGGGTCGACACGTAGAGCAGGTAGGGGTGGCGGAGTGGGCGGGGGGAGAGGCAGTAGGCGAGCATGAAGGCGGAGGAGGATACGGCGGCGAGCGAGCGGGCGTGGCGCGCCGCTGTGGTGGTCAGGATGTCGAAGGCCCGTGCCGCCGTGCCGGCTGAGGGGAGGGTCAGGAGGGCGGGGATCGTGAGTGAGGTGAGTGTGTAGGAGAGGCCCTGGAAAAAGCAAGAGTTAGTATCACAGTGTATTGTGCCCAGATAAACGGAGGATGCAGCCGCCCGGCTGCCCGCATCATCCATCCATGCCGCGCGGGGAAAAGAGGACGCAGAGGGGGCAACTCACTGTCAGGACACCGAGCGACACGGTGCCGACAAACTTGAGCATCGAAACGCTCCTCGCAGCCATGATTGCAATGGTCTGGCGTCCGGCCGATGCAGGCGTTGAGTTGGCGATAAAATGCAGACTGTCAATATGTTGTTGATGTCAGGTTCAAAGAGTAACACATGGCTGGCATCAATCGTGGGGAGGAGGGGCGGGTTCGAGGGCGGATGGTCTTGGCATGTTCGGGAGCCCAGCGTGCCCAGCTTGGGCGCTAAAGCCTGGGCCCATCACTCTGCGTCATCATCGTGCAGGGGTACAAGCACTCGCTGGCAGTCTATCAAACCCTAACCCCGAATATTTGTTGACTCCGAGACTCCTTCTCAGGGGAAGTTTGTGCGCAACAAAACATCCCTGTCGAACGGCAACGTGCCAGAGTGGTTAATGGGTACGCCTCGAAAGCGTATGGCTTCGGCCGCAGCGGTTCGAATCCGCTCGTTGTCGATTCCTTTTGCCCGTCTTGATTTTTGGTTGTTTCCTGCTTGAAGAACACATGTTCGCAGCCGCGAGGGGTCTCCCGTCCCGGGAAAAGTCCTCCTATGGCTTGTCTACCAACGGAGGTCTTGGGGAGACCGAGACCGCCAGAGTAGTAGTACCGGAAGGTTAAACCACGCGACCTGCGGCGAGAAGTGATGGCGCTAGACAGGATATAGTGAATGTTTCCAAGTACCACCACGGCACAACCTCCCATCAGGTATGCCAAACTGTCAGACAAGGCAACCGGCCAGGACAACGAAATACATATGCTACTGGCTCACTCGCTTTAGATAGACACACCCACCCTCATGCCCTACTCGACACTCAACCCCCATAGCCCATCCCCCAGGTAATGCGCCTCCTCCATAACCGGCCCCTTCCCCTTCTCCTTGATATCCTTAGTCCCCATCACTAAGATCCCCACCGCAGCAGCCTCTTCCTTGCCCTCAGCCATAATCACAACCGGCTCCCCCTTTTCCAACTCTCTACTCCAATGCCCATCCTCATCAGGCCCCTCATTAGGCACCTTCACGCCCTCCTCCCCTTCCTCCTCATCCCCATCTCCATCCCCCCCCTCCTTCGCAGCCTTCTCCTCCCCCTTCCCATCCCCGCCCGCAGCAGCAGTCGCCAACGCATCCCGATCAACCGGAATGGGCAGCCGCCCCCCCTTGCTCGTCAGACCGGGCGCCATCAGCGTAGCGCCAGACAAGACAAAGCGGATGGCGCCGCGGTCGATGCGGACGGTGGGGAAGCACTGGGGGAAGCGGTGGACGAGGCGCAGGTGGGGCAGCAGCACGCGGTTGGCGTTGTTGTCCTGCTGGTAGACGATCGGGTGGCCGTCGATGACGAAGAGCGCCGCGCGGTCCGGCAGCTTGATCTGCTCGAGCGAGTGCTTCTTGGGCAGCACCTCGTCGATGTGCGGCGTCAGCAGCGGGTAGGTCGTCAGGATGGATTGTCGGATCGAGCGCTGGATGGAGGACTTGAGTTTTTGTTTGGGGGAGCCGTGGAGGCTTTGTTGGCCCAAGGAGAGATGGGACGGGTTAGTTGGTTGCTTGAGTGGTGGGGGGGGTTTGTTCGCGTGGGCCACATGAAGGAGGGTTTTTGGGGGCGGGGAGAGGGAACTGACTCTTTTTTGAACATGGTTGATATGGGGAGGGCGACGCGCCGCTCCTGCGATATATTTAAGTTAGTTGAGAGTGCTGGGTTGGGGATGCTCGCGGTAGGTCGAGCTTTGGACAGTCGCGAAACAGTGCTTGCTTGCCCCGCGATCGTTGGCTCAATGCAGCAATGGAGGGGAAGAACGAAGCGTGGTGGGGTGACCGCCAAGCATTTGGCGGGGTTCTTTACACTTAAGCAGTCATCACAGCGGGACGGGCAGGGACCATGATCGACTCCTCGACCAAAAGCCAAACGTCTACTATGTAATTGCAGTAATGATGAAGCAAGATGGGAGATATTGCCCATAACCAAGTAATTTCAATATCGAAAGAAACCTAAGGTACGATATTGTTTAGTTACAACAGAGCAGGATTCCCTCTTGTGCACCCGGAACCCCGCTCCTTGCGAACCCCGTCTCGTTATTCAACCGTGATACACGTGCGAAACAGTCCCGTCTTCCTTGACCTGGACATTGAGTCTATCGGGTTGATAATCTTTAGTCACCATCATGCCTGGCTCGATAACTCGCGTCTGTTGGGGAAGTTCGGTCTTGCAAAAGGTCTGTGGTGAGACACGTTGTTAGCGATAAACGCACAACTGGGATACAAGCAAGAAGAAAAGCCACCACTTACCGTTTCCGTAGACGGTCCCTCTGTCAACGTCTTTCCTGCCAGCTTGGACAGCCACACCTGCGCCTCGTCGGCGCTCACGTTATCGGCTGTGACTCCAGGAACGACGAGAGGCATGTTGCTCGAGTGTTGTTGGGTTCGAGTGGTTGTGATGTTAAAAGTACGGTACGATGTGCTTGTGAAGACTTTGCTGATTCTATGCATAGTACCGAAAGGACTGTTGCCGGGCTTCGGATCGCGGGGTTGTTTAAATAGGTGCCCGATGGTGTTGTCGGAGCAAGTGTTGATGACGTAGCATGTCGGCTCAGCCACACGCCGATGCCGAGCGTTCTTGTTCAATTATACTGTTGCAGGTCTGCAACATGCAATAACAAGGTTCGTTTTGCCCCAACTCAAACTCACCGACTCCTTGGATATATTCTGTACCTTGCTCGACATTACTTGCTCTTCAAACCTGCAAAAATATGGTCTCCACCGCAAAAGGTAGGACTGCAAAAGTAAAGTCATGATTTCATCCAGGCTCGAACTGGAGACCTTCAGTGTGTTAGACTGACGTGATAACCAACTACACCATGAAACCATTGGTCAATTGATAACTGCCATAAATTAATTTAGCCTTATCAACTAGTGATCGGTTGCTGGGCTCACCAATGGGATGCTCATTTGTATTAGTTCCAAGTCCTGTCGAAACCCATCCGTGCCGCAAGCTATCCATACATGCCATATCATTTTAAAATTGAATATCATAAAAAGAAGTTGCATATAGCTTGCCCCGACATACATCCCATGCTAGTCACATACCTAGTGCGGCACTGGACATCTAGTGTGTAAAATGACTGATGATGAGTCTCTTCTACTTTCGGTAATTCTACGGTTGTTTTTAATATAAAAGGCACAAACAATCTTTGATCAAAATAGCTAACACTAGTAGTGTGCTTAGTACATAGCGTATAATTATTAGTGCTCAAACCATCCATGATTTGCACATCCGATGGGAAATTGTGTGCTGTCACATCTCAGTTAATGCTAGGGGGGCTGAGAGTTGGGATGCTCCGGTGCTTTTCCCAATGATGGTCCCTACACCATTCAAGCCTCCAAAGCAAATGTGAGCAGGCTTATTAGTGCTTAGATGCCTGGCTCTCCCGACCTGTTGCGGGGCTCCCAGCAGGTGATAGGAGAGGGGGAGAGGGCACTCATAATTGCTCGGCATGCTGCATAAAGCAAGAACAGGTAATTTGTCGTTTGACTGACCCCTCCATGCAAACGACTCGTTGAGCTCCATGGGCACTGGTAGCGACGGGCGTGAAAGAGATGGAATACGGAAAGCCCCGGGATTCACACCATTTTATTCACATTCATGGAGACGGTGACCAGTCTCCCACAATATAAATTTGCCTACATTGATCCCATAACCAGCCTCGGCGACACTGTTTGCTTCCCCTCCGCTTCCACTTTCGAGTTTCGACCACTTCTCGACTTGTTCAACCATCATACCGTACAGTAGCAAACTGATTGCTGTTAAATCTACCGCAGATTGCCTCCGAAGAGGTACGATACGGTCAATACAATGGCCGGGAAACACCATAACCCGATCATCAAGCACCACTGGTGAGTGGTTTTCCAGGCTTGCAATTGTAGAGCATCACTGACATGGCGTTGTGGCCAGCCCCCAGTGCAGATGCGTCTGGGGGATCCGTTGCTTCCAACGTGGTCACTTTGTATATTGCAAACTCCACACTACATATTATCCGCGCCTTGCTGCTTGGTACGAACCTCTTCCCCCGTCTCCCCACAGATTTCCGCACTAGCTAACAGCCTGCTTCCTCTGTCTAGTCTAAAATGCGAGAACGCTGCTCGCCGAGAGGAAAGAAACGCGCGCAATGAGCGTGAGACAAAACGGAAACTCGAAGCAGAGGGAGGAAGAAGTCAGGAGACCAGAACGCCCAGAACTGACGCAACACCCGAGGCGAGTAAGTCGCCGGCGAAGCAGCCAGCGACAAAAAGTTTGGCTGCCAAGATCGGCCTCGGCAAGGGGAGCACCAGACAACAAACGGTCCCCGACTAACTAGAGCGTCCACTACTACAACGAGTCAACGACGGCGCCAGAGGTTCCCTTACAGGACTGACCCCCGCCACAGGTTTGTGTACTTGGTGGCGCTGGCGTCTCGCGGCCAAAGAAGGTGCCTCCAGGCAACGACAGAAGGCAACGACGGCAAAGGACAACGGAGGACGACGGCAGACGACAACCACGGGATGCGACGGCGATAGCTAATCTGTTTCGCGGGGGCGTTGACATAACCTCCGGGGGAGGGCGCTTTCCTTTGTTTTTGTTTTAGGCCCTGCAGAGATGTGTAAAGTCTGTCCATCTCTCTGTTTGTTGAGGTATCTGGTAATGTTTGAGGAGGATGTGCGGGAGAGTCAGGGGATTGGCACTTCACTTGCGGGGAGACGACTACGTCGTTGGCGGGGGTGGTCGTTGGGTCGGGAAGGCACAATCTGTCTGGAGTCTATCTCTCTTCTACTGAGATGTTGTTTTGCTTGCTGGCAGACGGGACGACGGCCAAGGACACCGGTTGGTTGAGTTTCAGGTGTTCCATGGTCGTTGTCATGGCCGGTGTTGTGTAACACAGGGGTTGGTTGACCAGAGAGCTCTAACCTATTAAAATACTCGAGTTTTTGGGGATGTTGCTACCCAAGCCGTGCCACAGAGGGTCCAGCCCGAGTCCCAGGTTGTTTGCCCGCCGGCGGCCTGCAGTCCTGCGACCTGAGATGTTTATCCCCTGCAAGCCTCTGACGGAGCCCGTTTGCTACGAACCTGGGAGTTTTCCGTATTCATGGAGCGCTGTTACTAACAGCCACACACAAATCTTCCCAACACCGCGATGCGGTCGTACAGCAAGCACTGCACGTGGCTCAGAAGGAGAGGGAATGTTGAAGGATGCCGCCCCTCAGATGAGAACCAACCGTTTGCAAGTTGAGAACTCCAAGTTGCCAACACATGTTCCTTGGGGGAGCCGTCGCTGCCGTGGGCTGCGGGCCGCACAGTGTGCTGCACTTCGCAAACAGTGGCAAAGACAACATCTCAACAAGCGGTGAACCATCATCAGGCTTTGGTAACGTCTGACCTGGTTGTAGAAGAGTTGATCAAGTTGCCGAGATAGCTTCCGTTATGTTTGAGAAACCTCGCCCTCCTTTTGGGGTTCTCTTCCTCTCTGCACCATCGAAGTTGTGGCCCGTTCCTCTTCGAAATGCCGGGTCGCTGGCCGGGTCGGCTGGCGTTTGCTGCCTTGGGGCCCAATACGGGAATAGATTCATGCTAGGCTGGATTTGGCTGTATGTACGACTTCGGACGTCCTGTACATACGGTCGTTACCAAGTATGGACGTTGGTACTGTGTAAGATTTCTGACATCAACCTGCAGCATGCCCGAGGTGTTATTTGTCGGTTTTGAATCCATACGACCGCGCCACCAAACATGATTTAATCATGAACCGCCTGTTCATCAGTCGTGAGACGAGCGCCTGTCCTGTAAGGTTCTTCCTCTGGCGATCCATGGAATACCGTTACGCCTTGACGGAACGAGTGCCGACGCCACAGCCCGGGACTGGCCTGTTGAATTCTGCATCGCAATGCAGCCCCCACTCGGAGGGCAGAGTCCTGCCAAGCTTGTCACATCAGTGCGCTTCAATTGGCTCACAGTTGCTGACAGTGGAGACTCAGCCAGTTTGCCAAGGGAGCTAGCTGCTTTCGGCAGACCCCTGTTTGGACCCTGGAGTCTGACTTTCTCAGATGAGGTTCCATCGTCGAGCGCAGCCTCACACACCATTTGTGCCCAGCCCGCTTCCCGTTGTGCTTGTTCCATCGAGTGGGTGTGGCCCCCGCTCCTACGGGCCAGGGGCTGGGCTGAGTGCTGGGCATTGCCCGGGGAAAAAAAGGAGGCCTTGGTAATTAAAGTTGGGCCTCTCTTCCAGTTCTTCTCCGTTTGCATTCCTGTGAAGACGACACATATCGACGCGGTTCGCGCTGGATCTTGCTGATCCATTTGCACTGTGATTTGCGGGACTGAGCCAGGTTCATCCGATAGGTACCGGCCCTGCGTTGAAGAAAAATCCACAGAGCACCACCGCGAACCGAACACAGGAAGCAGCCCTACCTGCAACGAGAGAGCCCGAAAACTGCAGCTCGACAAGGACAGCATTTCGGAGAGACGGGAGTACAAGGAACAGCCAGCCATCGCAGCCTGTTGACGAAATAAAATCAACAAATTGGGCAAGTCGCCCTGCAGATAGTTGCGCCCCGAACAGAACAGACCAGTCGCGCTACAAACCGAGGCGACGATCCGGGAACACGACTCCAAAATGCGCGACACTATCCTTGCCTCGCTCTTCCTGGCCTCGGCCACCCTCACATCCGCCAGCCGCCCCGAGTGCCTCCACACCCGCAGCCAGGAACTCTCCATCGCCGCGTCGTGCGGTCACGAGGGCTCGCTCAACTACTGCTTTTCGCACCTTCCGGCCACCACCCAGCCAGAAGACCTTTCTTCCGAGCTCGAGCGCTGCTTCGTCTCCGCGGGCTGCACGTCCGCCGAGTCCGAGATCGAAACCCTTCGCGTCCTCGAGCAATGCAATAACCCCGAAGCCGATCTCCGCCGCGGCCGGCGCCAGTTCGCCTCGGAGAACAGCAACGGCAACTCCCCGCTCGCGGACGACGCGAAAGAGCCCCTCGGCGCCCACGACCCGCTCGCGGCACGCGTGACGGCGGCCATGAACCTCCCGCGCCACACCGGCCTCGCGGACATCGTCGCCCGGCAAGACCCAGCCACCTCGACCAACGACACGCCGAGCTCGCCGTCGCCCTGCTTCACCGAGACGAGCAGCGACTTCACCACCTGCCCCACACAAACCACGGGCCCCGAGTCCGGCAAGAAGCTCCCCTGCTTCCCGACGGTCATGATGCAGCCCAAGTGCCGGGACGGGCTGATCTGCCAGTCGGACGCGCAGGGCAACCCGTCGTGCATGTACAAGCGCTCCGGGCTGGGGATCGACGGCATCATCATCGCGGCCATCTTCGCGGGCGCCATCCTGGTCGGCATCTGCTCCGTCTGCTTCCTGTGCTGCCGCGAGCGCCGCGAGCACCGCCGCACCGAGCGCGCCGCCGAGGCCGCCCGCATCGCCAAGGAGGCCAAGACCCAGGCCACCGTCGCCGCCAAGCGCGCCGGCACCTCCGTCACCGGCGGCGTCTCGGGCCCCGCCGTCGAGGGCCAGCCGCTGATGCACCAGGGTGGCGGCGGCCCCTCGTCCCCCGGCCCGCAGCAGCAGCATTTCCCCCAGCAGGGCGGGTATTCCGCCGGGAACCCCTTTACCGATGCCGGCAATGACGGGCACCCCATGCGGTGAGCGGAACGGGATAGCGTTGAGGCGTGAGCGTGGGTTTGGTTGGGGGGCCGAGGGCGTAGAGGTTGGCTCGTAGATCGGGCGGTTTGCAATCTCTAGGCTGGGCGGGCGGTGTGTGCTTCTCTTCTCGTCGTCGGGGAGGGTTCAGAGAGGAGGAGCGGGGGGGGGGATAAACGTACAAGCCGCCCTGGGGAAAATTGGTGTGTTGATAACTTGTTTGGTAATCCATAGTTGCTCGGGCAAGCGGCGTTGTTTAGAGGGCAATAATCTCTCGCCCTATTATTTGGGTTTGGGCCATTGCATTAGCATCTCTCGAGTTTGCCTCCATGTGACTGACAGTCTGGCTTGTGAAAATCGGGCACAGTCACAGTTATAACGCGAAGTGGGTTGAGTTGGCTTTGATCATCCCGAGGCAGCATTGCTGCACTCAACGAACCGCTCTCTTTCGCTGGATCAAACGCTGGATCAAACGCTACTACTGTACAACACACTTCACCTTCGCTGGAAATCCCTACTAGCTACTTCGCGAAGGATATGCCATAACTATGGCATCCGCAATTTGAGCTCGTTGTACCCCCACGGATGGCCCATTGCAGGATGCCCGACTTTACGGCGCCAGTCTACCGTAACGGCCTGGTCGCGGTCTCCACCCAGCTCGGCCAGGCTTGGGCACGAACCGAACAAAAGGCTGTGGCGAGCCTTCCCGATCACTAGACAACGACCGGCCCTAGCGGCCCGCGCCAACTGGACTCCCGGGGTGGTAACCGACCGCCAGTTGAACTGGTTGCGTTGTTGGCCGCTCGTTTCCCGAGACGAATCTGATAGACTTGTGGCCTTGGCCGTCGTTGACCACGTCGAAGCTGCCGCCACCGTTGACCTCGTTGCCCTCGGTCTCACAGATATCAAGAAGTTCCTTCTCGTCGACAGCAAACCCGTGGTTGAGAATCTCGACCTGCGTCTTGATCCTCTCTAGTGGAATAAAGGTATCACTAGCTTCGGCGTTGCCCTCGGCGTTCCTGCTTTCGGCACTCGCCAGTTCCTCGCACGCGCGACGGAGCATTTTGCGCACCGCTACCGACCGTGGCTCGATGGGGCGATCGACGACGCCCGGTGGCCCGAATGTCGATGCCGACGGCATTGCGTGGCCCCAGGGCATGCTCATTGGGCCATGGACGCTTAGTGGGCTGTGGTTAAACCCGGGAGGTGGAAGAGGGCCGAAGAGATTGGGCTGCACTGCGCCGGGAGGGCCCCACGGGTTGTGCGAGAACATAGGATCCATGCCGAAAGGCGGGATTGGAAACGCTGGAGCCTGGCGGGGTCCTGGTACTGGACCGCCCCGGGAGAGATGACCTAGGAAGTCCTGTGACCCATCGTCTAGGTCATCGAGAAGCGCGCGGCTTCCCAGATGCGCCTCCGGTTCCGTCTTCGGCGGCCCATCGGACGGCGACCCGATCGAAGACCGTTGACCTTGGAAGATGCTCGCTGGCTTCCCGATTGGTGTGGGCCGGCTGATAGGTTGCGACGCACCTGGGTCGAAGCTTCCCGAACCCTGGCGTGAATGAGGGGACGGGCTGTCCCTTTGCAAGCCGGGAGTCATCACTTGGGCCATGCTCGGCACCGGAGACTCCATGGAACCGTGGAAACCTGGAGGAGGCATGGGATACCCTCGACTTCCACCCGGCCCCCCATATCCAGGTGGCATCGACATCATTACTGGTGCCGGTCTGAACCCGGACATGGGAGGAGGGAACGAATTGCCGAGACCAGGCGGAGGCAGTGGATGGGATAGTCCTGGAGGAAAAGGCATACCACCACCGATCGGAGGGAGACTGAATGGACTGTGCTGCGGAGGCAGCAGTTTGGCTGGGAAGTTCATCGGAGATGAGGAGTGTGACGGCGGCTGGGCGTTTCCTTGCGAACCGATACCCATACTACCGGACTTGCTCGGAGGCGCCATTAAACCGGGGCTGGCATGTACCGGTGTGATCGGGTGAGGTGATGGGTTTTGGCTAGCCATAGAACCGGAGTTAGAGACTGCGCCTGAGGAAGCTGCAGAGCCATCTTGTTGTGACGTCTGGCGCGCCCGCATAGGGGTCGGCGCCTTTGGAAGTGCCGGTGTGGCCACTGGAACCTTTGGCGATGCGTAAGACGTCGACTGCTGCGGGAGTACTGGTACCGGGGCTGCAGACGGTGCCGAAGGTTGCTGGGTAGCGGACCGTTTTGGGAGCGTAGCGGGTACCGGAATCGCAGCTGCGAGGGCTGCGGCCTTATGTGCGGCCCTCTCCTCCCTTTTCCGCTTCTCCTTTGTGTCTTTCCCCTCCTTCGCTTCCTTGGCTTCTTTAGCGTCCCTCGCCTCCCGCTCTGCCTTTGCCCTGGCCTCCTTCTCCCGCCGCTCCCGCTCTTGCTGTTCTCTCCTCTCTCGGTCTTCGCGCTCCTTTTGCTCGCGAATTTCTTTCTCCCTCAAGCGTGCCTCCTCACGGGCCTTCTTATCCCGTTCTCTGGCTTCTCGAGCCTTGCGGTCGTTTTCTTCCCGCTCTTGGGCTTTCCGTTGGCGATCTGCCTCTTTCTGTTGTCGCTCCGCCTCAGCCGCCCGTTTCTGGGCATCCTTAAACTTCCGCTTCTCTTCGGCTTTGGCCTGTTGCTCTGCCGCCTTACGGGCGGCATCGGCTTGACGTTTAGCTTCCTCGGCGGCCTTCTCGGCCTCCTTACGAACCTTCTCTGCGGCCTGGGCCTCCCTTTTCTTGGCGGCCTTGTCTTTGCGTTTCTGCGCATCCTTGGCTCTCTTAGCTCTTCGCAGCTCGTCCTGTTGATTCTCCGCCTCGATCTCCTCCAATAGCTTCGCCTGGCGCTCTTTGGCGACTTTTTCTCGATAGGCTGTAAGGACTCTTTGTTCGAACATCCGAGCGGCAAATATCTGGAACATCCTCCTGCCTTCCTCCATGCGTTGTTCCTCTGTCATGGTGTCCTGTTTTTTGTGCATCAGTGATGAGATTTCGCCTTAGGGAGACGAAATAAAACGCCAGCTGCATACCTCTTCGTCCTGGCTGTCGTATTCTTCCTCATCATCTTCCTCATACTCCTCCTCCTCGTCCTCAAACTCTTCTTCGTCGGGTGGTGGCGGATGGCTGTGGCTGTAACGGTCGCCATTCGCGTGGTCGTAGCCCCGTTCAAACTGCCCCCTTGCATCCTCCTCGCGGGCCATGCGGCGCTCTGCGAGCTGCTCCATCATTTCGATGAACTTCTTGCCGTCATTCTTGAGCAGGTCGTCGGCCACCGTCAAGATGCCGCCTAGAGAAGATGAGCCATAAGCGTTATTGCCAGTCCCCGAGAAGGGATAATTCTCTAAGAATGATGGAAGAATGGGGAGTCTGTCCCTACCCTGCACAGTCAGGCTATTCCCAAAATTGAAGAAATCGGCGGCGTAGTCGGATCGGTGCAGTTCTTCCGAGGGCTCTTGCTCTTCTTCGCTGTACATGTCGTCCTCCAGCTCCTCCTCGCTGTAGACGTCCTCGCCCTCTTCATCCCCTTCGCCGTCGTCCTCGATCTCGGCTTCGGCCTCCTCCTCCTCCTCTTCGTCCTCGCCCAACTCGTCCACGATATGTCCACGGGACGGTTGATGGTTGGAGAATCGCGAGTGGAGGCCGCGGGGCCGCATCCCGCCCATCGAGCCGAAGGACCTGCGGGGGCGCAGCATCGGGGGACCTTCGCCCTGGTTAGGGTGGTTGGCATACTGTTCCAGCTCCTCGTAGTAGGCGTCGTAGAGGCCTTCCAGCTCCTCCTCGATGGCGGTCCGCTTTCTTCCACACACGGTGCAACTGCATGTATGCTTCTGCTGCTCCTTCATCTTTTTCAGAACCGCGTCCTTTTCCACTTTGACCAAAGACTTGCGCTCCGTTTCGCTGAGCCCTAGCCAGAACTCTTTGATGCGCTCACGCTCCTCTTGGGAGTTTGTGTTCCATATCTTCTCCCTGGACATACCGGGGCGGTCGTGTTGTGAAAGTGGCGGAGGAGGAATAGGTGTGGGTGAGTGATCGCGATCGTCCTGGGTGTACTGGTTATCGTTTGGAACCCCGCCGTCCTGCCCTGTGGTATTCTTCTTCTTTTTCTTTTTGTGCTTCTTTGACTTCCCGGGCGCGCCTTCTTGCGTGGCCCCATTTAGGTACAGCGGCTGGTTCCCTGAATTGTGGCGCGCACCCGGCTCCTCCTCGTCGTCCTCCTGGTCGGCATCTGCGGACTGCTGGTCGTTGGTGCGGGGCGGGCTCGGAAGTCCATTGATGGCTGGGCTGTTCTGGGCTTGTTCGGCAGCTGCCTTTGCCGCGGCCTTCGCACGCCGCTTTTGCTTCTTGCGGTTCACAGTTTGAGCAGGTTCAATCCCAGGGCCGGCGTGCGCCGCGGGCTTGGTAGCCGGTGAGGATGCTGTGGTTGGGGAAGGCTGGGCGGAATCGACCGGCGTGTTCATTTTGGGTACCGTGATGAACTTGGATCCGTCCTTGTTTGTGTATTTCGCTGTACTCTTTGAGCTGGGAGAGAGCGGTACAGCGCCGGCTGGCGGTGGCGGCGGGTTGCGGTTCCCTTTCATCTTCGTTCGTGTGGTGCGACTCGGAGGAGAGGAAAGGTAATACGGGCATGGATCGGGGCCGCAGAAAGGCCCTGCGGCTGAGGGAATCGCGTGAAGACTAGACGAGAATAGTGTAAGCCGGCCGTTGAGGTCAAGTCGCCAGATTATGTCAAGGTTTCGAGGCCAACCACGGCGGTGCGGGGGAGAGCAAACGAGCGGACAGAGGTTGGAAAGCAGGAGCCGCGGATATTGGGTGAATTCCAGTTGCTGGGCAAAATCCGGAAGTAGAATCGCAAGGCTGGAAGGAAGGCGGGTTTAAAATGGGATGTGACATTGCTGGGTGAATCAAGGGTCGTTCGACTCGGGCGGGAAGGCAGGGTTGGCGGGTTGCGGGCTAATTGACAGAGGGGTCGGAGCGAACTCACAAAGGTCCTGGGCCCGCGGACAAGAAAAACGGCTGTGCCAGTGGTGGTAGGTTCGGTTCACCAGTCGAAGGAGCCGGCGCTTCGCTGGAGATATGGCTAGACTTGTTGCGCGATGCGGGCCGAAATAGTGGTTTGGCTTCGGAACTTCGTCGACTTGTTCTCTTCCAGGTCCTTCTGATGGATTTGTGGTCCCTCGCTGCCAGGCCGTGCAGCGTTTCCTTCCCCATCGAGCGGCGCCTATTGGCCAGCTACCGCACGTGATCCGACAGCCTCGCGTGTGCCAGCCAGTACGGAAAGTACATACCAAATTCCAAGCGTTACGAAGTACCGTACATTGAATTCCGGACGAACGAGAGCGAACGAGAACAGAAAGACGCTTGCAGGGATGGCGGCTTTTGCATGGGCTGTTTTGAAGCGGACTTGCTCGTCCTTGAACCAACGACTTTTCACAGCACTGCATCGTCAACTACCAACAAGCCGCTCGGTTGTTCCTTACTACCTACCTACTGAGTACTGCCCTCTTGTATTCACTACAGCGTTGAAAGTGACACACCACCCTACCCTCCTGATGAACATCGGTCTCTAGTTCCACCCAAGTACGAAGCACAATCAAGCCGCTCTCCTTGGTTGAAAGTTGCGAAGAATTGCGGCCTCCGTCGGCCTGATGTTGTTGCACTCGGTATGCTCATAGCGTTCAAGGGATCGCCTCCTTGGAAGAAGTGAGAGAGAGTTACGCTATTTTCAGAGATTAACGGCATGATACAAATGATGCATCCTCAGACTGTCAGTTAATGTTGATTTAAATTGTCGGGGATATTATTCTGCAGCTTCTTGTTATTTACCCAATCCGGTATTGCACCGAAGCATTTGGGGGTCATCCGAGAACTGTCATCGAGAGCAACGCCGTCGTTTGCATCATTGGATCCTCGCTGTGCTTAAATGTACGAGCGCAGAAAAGCTCTCAAAGTGTCCAGAGGCTGGCGCAACCAACTTGATGCCCCCTGAAACACTCTCGCAACGGACGCCGCGGAGGGGGACGCCGGACACAGCGCGATGTCACCAAAACCACGTGGGTCGCGTGGGCAGCATCGTCATTGCTCATTCCACCCATTGATGCTTGAAACATCGAGGCTTCGGAGACACGATTTCTCTTCGCACTCCCTGGGGCTGGGCGGGTTTCAGACCGAGAAGAAGCGAACGGGAAGTCCTGTATCAAACTTGCCAGCCATGTCATGTCGCTGCTGAAGTGTTGCAACCTATGCAGACGGACGGTTGGCCTGAGCAGGTGACGACGCAATTACACGACCATCGGCGGAGAGGGGTTCCGGGGTTAGGTAGGTAGTTATGGGTTCTCCTCCCTCTTCTCTGCCCGCTTCTTCGCCGGAACTGGCAACAATAATAAGTCAACAAGTCAACGGTTTATTCGACATATCGTCGCACCAACTACAGGTTGAGACAGACGGAAACGATCTTCGCTCCCGTCTCCACTGTGCCTGGAGGCTCGTTACTTCGGCTGCGACGCCCGATTTGGGGTTCATGCACAGCCTCACCCCGCCCCAGTGTTCAGCACTGTCCACGGCCTATCAGACCCCTGAGACCCAGCGCCCTGGCGGCTGAGCACCCTCGCGGCTGTCGACCCACCGCCGGTGAATACGACTGGTCGTTCAACATCGAGGGACTGGCAAGAGATACGAAGTTGTTCGGCCTCAATGCGGTCGTAAGAACGATGCTCCTCCAGTCAGAGGGTAGAGAATGCTACAATTGCCTAGGAAATATTCGGGGATCATCCTTTGGTTGCAACAACTCGCATTTATCTGCATCGCAGCTGAGGGAAGAGGAACATCCCGACCACAAGGGCGCCTTTGAGGTCGCTTGGTCGGTGTCCCGGGTGGGGACCAAAGGGGGAACCACCTCAGCCCAGCGTTAAATACACGCAACTCAATTTCCATCGGGAGGAAAAGATTAACAAGCGCAAAGGGAATCCAAAGGAGAAGAGGTAAATAAAAACAAGAAGAGAAGGAAAAAAAGGTCAGAGAACCACGGAGAAGAAAAAAAAACCATCTCTCAAAGTAGAAGCTTGAACATGTCCCGGAGCAGCCGACTTACACAATCCTTTCCATGAGACTGCAGAACGAGAACCCCGTATCCCGCCAAGGCGAACGAGCGAGAGGAACAGGGGCCTCCGGCATTATGTAATTGGTTGTCAAGCCGGCCGTTCCCCTCAAAATTTCTAGGACTTGAGTTCTGGGACAAGACGCATCCACACTGTATTAATTAGGTAGTACCGGCGTGCCTTCCATCCCATTCAACAATCGACCTACACCAACCCACACCCTCTACTTTTATCAACAACTCCTACCCGTTTCCATTGCGGGCTGCGCACGACAACAGGATTCCGAGCGAATCGACGCTCACCTGTCCATTTGCCAGCCATGGCGAATGATCGCAACGCCCAGAATGTCATCCGCAGGTACGCTGCCCAGCCCGGTTGAGGACGAGTCCGCGATGCCCGACCATTGGTCTTCTTTGGAGAGCCATGGACCACTCCGACCACCTAGCCTTGCTGACTTCCCCCGGCTGCTCAGGAAACTCGTCATCATCGGCGATGGTGCTTGCGGCAAGACAAGTTTGCTGAGTGTGTTTACACTTGGTTTCTTTCCAACAGTGAGTGCCGAACAGTTGCCAGCTTCACCCCCTACTCCTTCAGAACTGACATGAGACGTAGCATTATGTGAGTAGCTCGCCGTCATCGCCGATCGTCGAGGCGACCGGACACCCGCCCCATTGGCCCGACGCCTCCCCGTTCTGAATACTACCGCCGAAACCGCATTACCATTCCCGTTGCCCTCGTTCTGACCGGCTCTTCCGTCCTAGATACCGACCGTCTTTGAGAACTACGTGACAGATTGCCGAGTGGATGGAAAGTCAGTCCAGCTAGCTCTGTGGGATACAGCCGGGCAGGAGGACTACGAGCGGTTACGGCCGCTAGCCTACTCCAAAGCACACGTCATCCTGATAGGCTTCTCGGTCGACACGCCAGATTCACTGGATAATGTCAAGCACAAGGTGGGTACACAGTCACGGATCCCAGTCACCCTGTCCACCCAAAACGGCTTTCTCGATGCCGCAAGCCGCTGCTGTGGCCGAACGCCACTGTCATGTGCGGCGGTTGTACAACACACCCAGCCTCTCCCACCGCCCCTTCTCAAAACTCCCGATGTGCCAGACTGGGGAAGCTTACTAACCGCGCCGCTATAGTGGGTTGTTGAAGCACAAGAACGGTGTCCCGACGTACCAATTATACTCGTCGGCTTGAAGAAAGATCTGCGGGACGACCCCGTTGCGATAGAAGAAATGCGGAAAAGGTCACAGCGCTTCGTCACTCCCACCGATGGCGAGCACGCGGCCAAAGACATCGGCGCCCGCAAGTATCTCGAATGCTCCAGTCTTAGTGGCGAGGGCGTAGACGACGTTTTTGAGGCCGCCACGAGAGCGTCGTTGCTCATGTTTGAGAAGACGGAAGGGAATGGATGCTGTGTGATATTATAAGGGAAATTGGAAAAAGAAGGGACACCGCTCAGCAGCATTCTCCTCCCAGACGACTACCGGGCAATCCCCGGTCTTTCAGGGAAAAAGAGAGAGCCCCTTCGAGCCCGTACCCCCGGAACGGATCAACCAGGATAATAAAGCGAAGATCGTTCTTCGGGCCCGCCGTGAGCACATCCGATGCTAGGCTTTGTCCATCGTTCGGCACAAAACAACCCGGAAGCGGAAGTCGGGGGGGCAATCTATCCATTAATATGTCGGACGTTCACCGCATAGCGAACCTCGCGAGGCACGATCAACGCTGTATTAATACGCTATAGACTTTTAGTTCGCTTTTTTCCCTTTCGTGTGATGGTCTTGCACTTGGCTCTGGATATGGGGCGGATCGTACCGAGGCAGCAAGGACCATGCGGCAGCGCTGAGCATGGAAAGATACCAGGGGCCGGCGAGGTCAGACTGGCAATGCAGGACATATTTTATCCCAGCTGTGGTGTAGTTGAGTCCGTGGTCAAAGAAGCAGTGATACAACGACAGTCGCAGCTTGAACGTCGATTTGGTTGTCATAAGCATAGAGATCTCGGGACCTCTGCATGTTCGGCATGCGGGAGGGGGCTCGTACCGGCCGTCAATATGGTACAGTATATTCTACATTTATAACAACCTCGACACTCCACACCAACAAATATCAAGGCTATTTGTGAACGAGCCCTTAACTGCCGGCGCCGTCCCATCACTCCCCCCATCTCCATGCTACCCCGGACTCGTGTCCCGCTCACCGCTTCCAATCGTGATTCCACGCCACCTTGGCCGGCGTCTCGGTCTGCGCCCGTGCGTACTCGATCGGCACCCCGTGCAGGCCGTAGACGCCCTTCTTCTCCATCGCCGCGCGGTACAGGTAGCCCTCGTCGCGGGTTCCGGGCCCCGCGGTCAGGCGCAGCTCCTCGCAGGCGCTGCGCATGCTCTGGTGCTGGCGCATCAGGTTGCGCTCGCGGGCCTCGCGCTCGCGCCGCCGGAACAGCAGCCACGCCCGGTGGATCGTCCAGTGCCGCAGGTGCCGGTTGCGGCCCATCCGCAGCGGCGGCGGGATCCGGTTCGGCGACAGCACCGCGAAGTGCGACAGCATGTTGATCATCTTGGGGTCCCGCACCTCCTCGCCCCGCTTGATCTTCTTCTTGCCCTGCTGCGGCTTGCCGCCTTTGCTGGGGCCCTTGGAGGGGCCTTTTTGGCTCTTGGCGCCCGGCGGCGCGAGCAAGCTGGGGGTCGTCGAGAGGGCTCGGGCTGATGCCGCGAGGCATTGTGTCGTTGTCGAGGGGTTGGAGAGGGTGGTTGTGAGGGTGGTTGGCCGGGTTAGGAACCGGGAGGCGAGGCCTCGAAGTGAAGGAAGAGTGAACGACATTGTGCCGAGTGTGGTTGGTGTTATACCGCTGTCTCGTGAGGGACTGGGTGGACAAAAAGCGCGGTTCGGATCGGGAGAGGATCGATGTTCGAAGCTCGCCCTTCGTCGGTTGGGGCAGCCCGTCGTCTCCTTCGGGTTTGTGGAGTAGTGGTCCCGGTCGTCTGACTAGCAAGGCTCTTCAGGTGCGGCGTGAAAAGGTCGGGGGGTCAATTGGCACGGGGCCGTCGTGCTCGTCGCCGGGGCTCGGGGTGCGGTGGTGGATGCTGGCGGGAAAATTGAAAAGTTAAGCCAAGCCCAGGTCCGTGCCGTTCGGATCCGGAGCCGTCACCATTGGTTCCCCTACGGCGGGTCGGCTACAGGGGTCGATTAGAGTGCCGGCTGAGGAGAGTTGCCCAGCACAAGATATCATTCATCTACTGTGTAGTGTATACCGAGTTGATCTGTAAGACCAGTTCGATGTATGAATGGGTGACAACTCTTTTAGAGTTCTACTTTGCAGTTTTGAAGGCCACATCAAAGCTCTTGTCTTCTTGAAAAGAGAGAAACGAGAGTTACATGGTTCCACAGGTCGAGCTCATCAATGTGGTTTTCCCATACCTAGAACTTTTCCACTACCTAGAATTAACTAGAATGATAATCAGGGAGCCTTTGAAATAACCGGTCTTCGCGAGGCAGCGTGTGCACAAACAGCATCGCCTTTTTCAGAGATCCGAGCTTGACGGATGGTGGGTGAACGTTTATCACCGTCCAAAAACTGGAAATTTACGCGGTAATACGAGGTATTTGCAACCAATTAAAATCGTCACGGTCGACCCCAACACGCGAAATTTCAACTTTCGAGGACCCCGCCCCCGCCTTCCGGTCTTCGCTGCTCGATGACTCTCAACCACTGAGCCCAGTGAGCTTTGGCTCTCTGTCAACCCATCCAATCCACCACACCATTTTTCTCGGACCAGGTGCCGTCACACGTCGTCGCCATGGCGCATCTCACTCTCGCGGGAGACTCGTGCTTCACGGCCGCCGAGGCCCAGAAGCTCATGGACCTGATCAACAAGGTGGCGCCCATCAAGGTCTCGAACTTGCGAGGTTCCTGGGTCTACTACGCCCACGTTGAGGGCGATTCTGGCTCCGCCCAACAAAAGCTCGCCCAATTGCTTCCCTTGGAGTCTGGTACGGGGGGACCTGCCCCTCACTTAACGCACATTGGTCACGGGCGGAAGTGGTATGTGACTCCACGGTACCTATCGCCATGGAGTTCCAAGGCCACCAGTATCGCCCAGGTTTGCGGTTTCGAACAACAGATCTCCCAGATCGAACGTGGCCGCATCATCACCATTGAATTTGAGCAGCCCTACAACGACAAGACCGTCCCTTTCCGCGATATCCTGCACGACCGCATGACCGAAACCCTTACAACCGATGCGCCTGACCTCAATGCCATGTTCGCCGAGAGCCAGTCCGCTCCACTTGAGGTTGTCAACATCTTTGCGGATGGCCGGGATCCGGCACAGGTGTTAAACGAATACAACAAGGCGCGCGGCCTTGCTCTGGACCAGTCCGAGGTGGAATATCTGGTGGAAAAGTTCACCGAATTGGGACGTCCGCCCCATGATATTGAGCTATTCATGTTCGCCCAAGTGAACTCGGAACACTGCCGCCACAAGCAGTTCAATGCAAACTGGAACATTGACGGGTTCTCCAAGGGGAAGACGTTGTTTGAGATGATCAGGAACACGCACAAGGTCACGCCTGACTACACCGTGTCAGCCTACAGCGATAATGCAGCGGTTATGGAGGGCGTACATACCCACCTTTGGGCCCCCGAATATTCGACCGGCTCCTGGAAGCTGAACAAGGAGCTCCTGCATGTCTTGGCCAAGGTCGAAACGCACAACCACCCCACTGCCATTGCCCCTTTCCCTGGCGCGGCTACCGGATCCGGAGGAGAAATCCGTGACGAAGGAGCTGTCGGACGGGGTTCAACGCCGAAGGCCGGGCTCTGCGGCTTCTGGGTCTCAGACCTGCTCATCCCGGACCACCGGGCTCCCTGGGAAATGGATGTTGGCCGCCCAGCGCACTTCGCCAGCAGTCTTGACATCATGCTCGAGGCCCCCATCGGCAGCGCCCGTTTCAACAATGAGTTTGGCCGCCCGTGCCTCGCGGGCACCTTCCGCACGCTCCTCACGGCGGATGACACGAAGGTGGAAGGAGAGTTCCGTGGCTATCACAAGCCGATCATGATTGCGGGCGGTGTTGGTACCGTCAGGGAGAAGCACGCGCTTAAGAACCCCGAGGATGTTACCGAGGGCGCGCATGTGATTGTTCTAGGCGGGCCTGCTATGCTGATCGGTCTCGGTGGCGGTGCCGCGTCGAGCAACGCCTCGGGAGAGGGCAACGCGGACCTGGACTTTGACAGTGTCCAGCGCGGCAACCCAGAGATGGAGCGCCGTGCGCAGATGGTGATCAACACTTGCGTGGCCTTGGGCGAGCATACCCCCATCGCCATGATCCACGACGTTGGCGCTGGTGGGCTTTCAAACGCACTTCCGGAACTTGTCAGGGATGCCGGTTTTGGTGGTAGATTTGAACTTCGCCAGGTTGAGAGTGTGGACAAGAGCATGAGCCCGCTCCAAATCTGGTGCAATGAGGCCCAGGAGCGTTATGTTGTTCTCGTCAACAGCGACGGGATGGAGCGGTTCACTAGCATCTGCCGTAAGTTTGATTCCTCTTGCACTCCGTCATTACTTGCTAACGATAGAAAGGACGTGAACGCTGCAACTTTTCGGATGTCGGAACTGTCCTCTCCCGGGAGACGGATGGTGTCTCCAGGTTGATTCTTAGCGACAAGGAATCAAACGAGTACCCGCGCCCCATTGATGTCCCAATGGATGTCCTCTTCCCTAAGGGCCGCAAGCTAGAGCGCATTGTCAACTCTAAGAAGCCCGCATGGCCCGTTTTCGACCCTGTCGCTAGCTTGAAATCAGCCGTCGACGGTTCGCTGAATGATGTGGACCTGTTCAAGCAGGCCGTTCAGCGTGTCTTCTGGATGCCGTCGGTCGGATCCAAATCTTTCCTGATCACCATCGGCGACCGGTCAGTCGGTGGCCTTACCGCCCGCGACCAAATGGTCGGGCCGTGGCAAACGCCAGTTGCCGATGTCGCTGTGACGACGACAGCCTTCAGCCTCAACGGGGTGAGAACCGGTGAGGCGATGGCCATGGGTGAAAAACCTACTCTCGCGCTCATCTCTCCTGCTGCCTCCGCCAGGATGGCCGTGGCCGAGAGTTTGCTCAACCTTGGAGCAGCAGATATCAAGGGCGGCAGCCACCGTGGAGACCTCCGGCGGGTGAAGCTCTCGGCCAACTGGATGGCAGCTGTGAACCATCCGGGCGAGGGTGCTGCGCTTTATGAAGCTGTGGAGGCGATCGGAATGGATCTTTGCCCGCAGCTCGGCGTGAGCATCCCCGTAGGCAAGGACTCGACGTCTATGAAGTCGTCCTGGAAGGACGGAGACACCAAGAAGAGCGTGACAGCCCCTGTGTCGGTTGTCATCTCGGCGTTTACCCTGGTCGAGGACGTCCGGCGAACTTGGACTCCCCAGCTTCGCCGGGTGGAGGACGTAGGTGAGACTGTTCTGCTCTACGTCGACCTGGCGCAGGGCCGCAAGGCCATGGGTGGTTCCGCGCTTGCTCAGTCTCTGGGTGCCATCGGCCACGAGGCCCCCGATGTTCGGGACGTGGACCTCCTGAAAGACTACTTCGATGCGCTGGCTCAGTTGCACGAGAGTGGCGTTGTCCTTGCTTACCATGACAGGTCCGACGGTGGTCTTATCACCACCATCGCTGAGATGATGTTCGCCGGCCGGTGCGGCGTTGACCTCATGATGGATGGCATCGCTGCCTCGGGCAATCTGTCGGACATGGTCGACGCTTTGTTCAACGAGGAGCTGGGTGCCGTCTTCCAAGTACGCGCCTCGGACGAGGTGAACTTCAAGAGGTGCTTTGCTACCTGTGGCCCTCCTGCTGGCTTGATCCGCAAGTTTGGCGTCGTCCAGGCGACATCCAAGCAGGCACTTACCATCCGGTACGGCGAAGGAGCGCCGTTTGTCAGCCTCGACAGAGCAGAGATGCAGCAGTGGTGGACCAAGACATCATACGAGATGCAGAAGCTGCGCGACACTCCGGCGTGCGCCGAGTCCGAGTACGCCACCATTCTCGACTCGGAAGACCCCGGTCTCTCCTTCAACCTCACCTTCTCGCCCACTGAGAACATCACCCCCCTAACGGCGTCCATCACGGGATTCTTCGGCAAAATGCCCCGCGTAGCCATCCTCCGCGAGCAGGGTGTCAACGGTTACGCCGAGATGGCCTTTGCCTTCCGCGCGGCAGGCTTCGACGCCGTCGACATCCACATGACGGACATCATCTCGGGCCGCTCGCTGGCCGACTTTGTCGGTCTCGCCGCCTGCGGAGGCTTCTCCTTCGGCGACGTGCTCGGAGCCGGTCAGGGCTGGGCTAAGTCGATCCTGCTGCACGAGAAGGCACGGAGCGAGCTGGCCGACTTCTTCAACCGCAAGGACACCTTCGCGCTGGGTGTCTGCAACGGCTGCCAGATGTTGTCCCGCCTGAAGGAGCTCATCCCCGGCGCCGAGCACTTCCCCACGTTTGTGAACAACGCCTCGTCGCAGTTTGAGGGCCGCTTCAGCATGGTCAAGGTCGAGGACAACCCGGCCCAGCCGTCGGTCTTCTTCAACGGCATGGACGGCTCCAGCCTGCCGATCGTCGTCTCCCACGGCGAGGGCAGAGCCGAGTTCGCGTCGGACGAATCGTTCCGCGCGCTGGCCGAGGCCGGCGGCATCCCGCTGCGCTATGTCGATAACAGGCTGAACGTCACGGAGCAGTACCCGTACAACCCCAACGGCAGCCCGGGTGGTGTGGCCGCCGTCTCGAGCAGGGACGGCCGCGTGCTGGCTATGATGCCGCATCCGGAGCGCACTATCCCGGCAGACGTGGCCAGCTACGTGCCGGCGGAGGAGGTCAGTGAATGGGGCGAGTATGGGCCGTGGCTCAGGATGTTCAGGAGCGCACGGAAGTGGGTGGGTTAGATTGGAAGGGGTGGTGATGGTGCTTGAGGCGTCAAAAAAGATATCTGTTTTTTTATTCCTTTTTAAAGGGTAGGTAGGTAGGGAGTGGGTTCGGCGGTGTGGTCTCTTGTTTTTGGCAATTTTGTTTGTACATGGCATGTCGTTAGATCGTAAATATCACAGAAAATGGTCATTTGTTAAAGATTCTCGGGGTATCAATGGCTGGCTTGACATAAATCTGCCGGTCACGGGGAAACACACTCGGATGATGCTTGCTGAACGCCTCGAAAAAGAACTCAGCAGAACCACCCGGTGTCTCCCGTCCACCCGTTCTAAAGATTTCCGAATTCCCGAGAGTTACCTTTGGTGAAGTGTCAAAGGGGTCAGCTATATAATTCAACTGAGCACAACCGTCATCACCTCCCATCACCACCAGGAGCGCCACCAGCTCCGCCCCGTCCAGCACCACCCATCAGATTCCGAGCCCTGTAGCTGCGTTAGTATTCTGTTGGAATGAAACCTTAGGAGAAGACGCTCACATCTCAGCCACGCTCGGGTCCGACATCAGCGAGCCGATATCAGGCATGCCGCCGCCACCACCACCACCACCGCCACGTCCGAACGAGTCAGCCATCTCGCGCAGGCGCGGGTTGTTCATCAGGTTGGCCATCATGTCCGGGTTGCTCATCAGGTTCTGCGCCATGGAGGCAAACATGGGGTTGTTCATGATGGACGCAAAGTCGGGCATGCCACCGCCGCCACCACCACCGGCACCGCCGCCGCCGAACATGCTCGCCAGGTCACCCAAGCCCGGCGCACCACCACCACCACCACCAGCGCCAGCATCCCGAGTCGCCCCGGGGTTGGCAGCAGCGGCCTCGTCAGCCGCAATCTCGTCGACCCTGCGCTTGGCGGTGTCGAAGCCCTTCTTCATGGCCTCGCTACCACCATTACCCTCGTGCTCGATGCCCTTCTGGTAGGCCTCCATGGAGCCCTTGGCGTCGCCGAGGGCGAAGCGGGCCAGGCCGAGGCGGCTCCAGGCCTTGGTGTACTTGGGGTCGACGGCGACGGCGGCCTCGGCGTCGGCGCGGGCCGCCTCGTGGTCGCGCGCCGCGCTGTACGCCGCCGCCCGGTTCGACAGGAAGATGGCGTTGCCCGGGTGCACCGCCAGCGCCTGCGTGTAGAAGTCGATCGCCGTCGGGTAGTCCCGCTGCGCCATCGCCGTGTTGCCCTTGGATTTGAGGGCTTCGGCTTGCTTCTTTTGCTCGTCGGTTGGGGCGGCGGCGGCGGCCGGGGTCGGGGCCGAGGCGCTCCCCGCGGCAGCGGCGCCGGCGGGCTTGGAGGGGGAGGCGCTCTTCAGCTTCTCGTAGACCGAGTAGATCTGGAAGAGGTTCTGGGCGCCGACGGCCGAGGAGACGGCGGCCTTGTCGGAGGGGTCGACGCCGAAGGACTCGCCGATACAGTTAATGGCAATGTCGACCGAGTCCTTCTCCTCGGACGTCAGGGTGCCGTCCGTCAGCGACGTCGACAAGAAGTCGCAGATGGCCAGCGCAAGGCGCTGCTTGGGTGTTGTCGACTATTGGGTAGCAGGGGTTAGCCCGGGGTCGCACAGAAAAGGGTGGTTCATGCACGCGAGAGTGAGGGGCATCATACCATGGTGAATGGAGTATTCGGAATTCCTTCGTCTGCTTCGTGGTTTTGGGGGGTTTTGAGGGCGCAGAGTTACGGGCGAATTCTCGTTCAACAAAACGATCCTGGCGGGGCTGTTTCGACCAGACGAGAAGGTGTGTCGGCCAGATTCTACACCCATCGATGGAGGGGCTGCGGGCGGGAGTGGGGCAACCGCGGTCTGGATTCGATACCGCTGCCAAGTCCGACTCAGATAGTTACCCCCCTGGTAAGGGATTTGGTGGCTTTACAACTGTACAGTGATCTAACATGGTCATAGAGTGGAATTACCTAGGCCCTATGTAGTTAGGCGTAGGCGTGTGTAGTGGAGAGGTATCCCATGGGATAGGTTTGGCAGCACCCGAGGTACAGTATATCTTGGGATATCGTACCGTGTATTCCTATCCGTACTTGGTACATACTTTTCCAGAAACGAAGATCTTCCCCCACTGTATGCATGAACGTTGTAACTTACCGTTTCTGTTTCGAGATGACCCCGGGAAATAGTGGGGCGGTGCTGATGTCACAGTTCCGATACGGAACGGAACGGCCTTGGGGGCCCTCAACAAATTCACTTTCCTCCTTCTTCTCCTTATCAGCAGCCGAACCAACAAACGAGCGCTGAAATAATTCCAACCGAGGTAGAGGTTATTTCATGCGTCTCCTCGTCCTCCATAAGTAACGACAACGCGCTTGGGGAGAGAACTAGAAGCCGCCCTCTTGTATCGGGTCGCTGAGGGTTGGTTTTCGGTTGCCTTGGGACTCGGGTCCCGGTGCTCGAACACTCATTCACAATGGCCACCACAAACAGCGGCAACACCGCTCACGCAATCATCCCCGCTCCTATTGCAACAAACGAACAACACATATGCTTTATCTGCCTGCACACTGACTCCGACACGCCCAACGCGGTATGGGTGGACCCTTGCCCGTGCAGCCTCGAGGCGCACGAGGGATGCATGCTCCGCTATATCGCCGAGATGGAAACCACACGTCGCCGGTCAAATAAGAGCCCCCTGGCGTGTCCGGCCTGCAAGGCTCCCTTCGTTATCGAAGAACCGCGCGACGCCTTTCTCGCCGTTAGAGATAACCTGTACCGCCGGTACAGCCGGGCGTCACCCATCTTGCTCGCCTTGTTCATAGCCAGCGGGAGTTTTGCTGGCGCATTGTGGTACGGCGGGAGTTCGGCCGCCATTTTTGCGGGCCATGACATATTCATCCGCTGGCTCGAGGGAGGGGGCCGCCAACGGCTGCCCTCAACCCTGATCAAGATGGCGGCCCTGTCGGCCATCGGTCCCAGCCTGTTAGTTTTCCGATGGCTTCCATCTCTGGGGACCATCGTACTGCTGCCATTCTCCGTCCTAGTGAGTCCCTTTTCTACTCTTAGTCTTCACATATCAATCCCGTTAACAACCATATCTTTGTGTAGTATGGCGCAACTCTTGTCGCCCAGGACAATCTTCCCTCATGGCCTCCCTCACCACAGTGGGCCGTGACGCTCATGCCAGTCGTGCAACTCAGCTATGCCTACCTCTTGCATGACCTCTTTGGACCGCTAGAGAGGCGTCTGAACCGTGCCCTGCGCGGGCTGCCCGCGACCGAGGACGAGCCCGAGCCAGCGGCCAGGCTTGCCCCTCCGAGACCTGCCGACAACGACGGGGAAGACGCTGATGGTATCCGGGGCGCGTTGGCTAATCTCGTTCACGCCGTCCGCGGACTATTCGGTGATGAACCCGCTGACGAACCCCCTGCTGCCGGCTGGGAGGTACATCATCGCTTCGAGATGAGGATAGGCGACGGAGGCGGCGAAGACGACATCGATGAGGACGACGCTGACGAGGAGGATATTGTCGTGGACGCGCCAAACCGGGGGGCTCAACAGCAACCACAACAGCGACCACCAGTTGCCCAGCAACCCGAGCCACAAGCGGCCGAAAACCAAAATGATGAAGGTGGTAACGAGGGCGCGGACGAGGGCGGCAACGGAGGCGGCAACGGAGGCGGCAACGAGAACGGCGACGAAAATAACGACGGCATCTCCTTGTTCACCCACATCATCAACAACATCGTCACGTCCCTCCTTCTCCCCGCCATTTCGTACAGCATGGGCGAGCTCATACGCGCCGCCGCCCCCAAAGGATGGGTCTCACCGGCGCGCTCCTGGCGTAGTAGGGCGCCCCCGGGGTTGCTGCAGCAGCGCTGGGGTCGCAGCTTGGCCGGCGGGTGTCTGTTTGTGGTGCTGCGAGATGCTTTCGCGCTGTATACCAAGTACAGGCGGGTACAAGTCCGGACAAAGAGGAAGATCAAGAACGTGGACAGGAAGGGGCAGTCCAAGCCCCAGGGTGGGCGGCCGTGACGGGAGGTTGATATGGTAATAGGGAGAATGGCTTCAACTCCGGACTCTTGAGTCATTAGGTGCCCCGTTAGCAGACGGACGTAATCAACTGTATTGTTTCGAGCAGGCCTTACTCGTGTAAGTTCACAAAAAGGATACTGGGTAATAGCAAAGGCTCCCGATACGAGCCTCGGGGTCAAATAAACCGGGCCGATGTGAGCCTCGCCTCACCTTGAAGCTCCAAACCCCAGCACCAGGACACGCATCTCCTCGACCGACAACAAACTAACTCTCCGAAACGAAACTGGGCAGTCATGCACAAAGAATGTCACATTGTGCCGCTATCTGTAATGGCAACACCGCTTCCAGAGGAGCAGTCGCACCAAACTAGCTATCAACTATACAAGTCGTCGAGTCATTTCTTCCATCTCCTTTTCAATTTTCTCTCAAGCTGCACCAAACAAACGCCGGCGTGCCCAGATATGTGTACCGCGTCACATCAGAAGCAGAGCCATAATCGTACAAAGCCTCATCAACACCACGCTATATTAAACTCCTTCCGTTGCCATGCATGCCCCGAGCATCCAGCGAGACGGGTTACTTGTTGGGCTTCTGCGATCCCCTTGGGCGTCAGTCTCCGGTAAAGACATTGTCACGGTTCATGGAGGTGTATGATGAAATGCTTACCGGGCAGCTGGGGCAGGTGCATTGCCCGGCGGGACAATTGCAGGTTCCAGTGGTCGAACACCCGCAATCGCTCATGGTGAAGATTGAATAAGATTCGTTGTTGTTTTTGTGTCTTCGCTCAAAAGGTGTAATCGAAATCAGGTAGGCAAGCGTGTTATTAAGTGTATGCCGATTTGTTTCTTTCTGTCGACTTTGAAACTTTGTTGCTTGATGGGAAAGGAGAAGATCGCGAACAGAAAGTGCAAAAATAAAATAATAATGAAACGACAGAAACAAGGAGGAACTGGCGTGCGGGGAGAGGGCTCTATATACGCGTCATGGCATCACGAGACTTGCCCATCGGATGGTGGACAAAGGAATGGGATGTGCGTGGGCAAGGTGGGGAGATGACGTCGAACCCGTGTCATTGTAAGAGTGATGATGGGTTCCTTTGGCTTAGCTTGGCTGATATCTGTGCGGTTCGGGGACCACACCGTATACCCCTCGCAGTTGGTGATCAATCAATAGCTTTCATGAGACTGTCTGCTGATTCATTGACTAATTCACCAGCGATGGTTATCTTTGCTGGCGTGGTACAGATTAGTCTCGAGTTACTGGTTGTGGCCTAACCTTACTATCATCTGCCACATACTACTGTGTACCTTACTTGGGAGTTCTTTGGGTGAGGGCTGAAGGCCTCAGATCCCAGTTCAAACCGACATGGTAATCTATTGGGGGCCATAAACACCGAGAGTTTATGGTGTGTGTGTCGGGTGATTGGAAGCATGGAACAATCCAACGACGGCTTCGATTCTTTGTCACAACATCCGCCACACGGAGAGACACCCAGATGATGAGTTGGGTACCTACCTACTCACTTGGCGCCAAGGGTATGAGTACCATGACGATGCCTTGAGCCCTACGATGTTGTTGATTGATTGCCACGGCATAAACCGATTTCCCTCTTCTTACCATTCACTATATGAGTCTTCACTCTAGCTGCTGTCTCTTTTCCCTTTTCCATGTGTCTAACCTGGTGTCTTGCCCTTCCCCTTCTCAGTGAGCATCTTCCTCTCCGAGTACGTCAATCACAGCTTCCAAGTTTGTGTAGACCCCGGATTTCAAAATATAGGAGTAGCTCAATTTTGCGGTCAAGTCAACTTGTGAGTTGAAAACCACTCTAACAACTGACTTGTCAACTTGACTCGTTCGGGGATTGAAACCCGATGTTCTCAATGGATATGGGTGTTAGTTGTCGTGAGATGGTTCGCTTTATATTCAGATCCTGCTCATCTCAGCCGACTGGTGAACACACTTTCCGAGTTCGTGCTTCGGGTTTATGATTAAGTTGATAGAAGGTTTCGGGGACAACGACTTGGTTTGTGTCAAGGGGGTTCATCGGGTTGATCGTCCGTTTTTCCGGCGAATCGTAATACGAGTTACGAGCAGTTCAAATCCCGAGCCCGGCATGCACCGGTGACTCACTGACAACTTGCAAAGAAATGTACACCTTGGTTTCCGCTGGCTGCTCCTCGAGATCGAGTCCTCAGTTATGATCCCTTATATGTATTTCTCAACACAGTTTCGTTATCAGTTCAGCAGCAGAAGTTGACAATGACTGACCTTGCCCTCAACCGGGGCAGCACCGACAGTCCCGCCGGGCCGGTCCTCGATGAAAAGACCGGTATAGAGACGTCCGGTCTCGAGAAACCAACAGTTCAAACCGACGGCCAGGAGTCAACAAGAGTCAAAGACACCAGGCCGACAACATCACCAACGACCGACCCTCCTCTCCCCACCGTCAAGCTGCTCGCAATCCTCGCCGCCCTCGTCCTCAGCATCTTCCTCTTCGCCATCGACATGACCATCATCACCAACGCCATCCCGCACATCACCTCGGTCTTCCACAGCCTGAACCACGTCACCTGGTACGGGAGCGCCTTCTTCCTGACCACCGCGCCCTTCCAGTCGGCCTGGGGCAAGGTGTTCGGCCACTTCGACCTGAAGCTCGCCTTCCTGAGCGCCATTCTCGTGTTCGAAGCCGGCAACCTGGTCGCGGGCGTCGCGCAGAACAGCCCGACCCTCATCGCCGGCCGCGCCGTCAGCGGCGTGGGCGGCGCCGGCATCATCACGGGGTCCTTCACCATCATCGCCCTGGTGGCGCCCCCGAACCGGGCCCCGGCGTGTATGGCGATCTTGGGTGTCACGTTCGGCTGTGCTAGTGTGCTGGGGCCGTTGCTGGGTGGTGTTTTCACCGAGCACCTCTCGTGGCGGTGGTGCTTCTTTATCAACTTGCCGCTGGGGGCGCTTGCTGCTGGGCTGCTTGCGCTGGTGTTCAAGACCCCTGCCGTGGCCATGCCGCCGGAGGGGGTGTCCCTCCGCGAGAGGCTCCTCCAGCTGGACTGGCTGGGTTTGGTTGTCATCATGGGGGCGTCGACGTGCTTCCTGCTTGCTATGCAGCTGGGGAGTGAGGTTGGTGAGTGGTCGCAGCCGGCCACGATCGGTCTGCTGGTGGCTTTCAGCGCGCTTGTTGTGCTGTTCATCCTGGTGGAGTGGTCCCAAGAGGAGAGGGCCATGGTCCAGTTCCGGATTCTGAAGCAATGGCGCATTCTCGGGAACATAATCTGCATCTTCTTCGTCGCGTCTGTCCAGCTCCCTCTGCTCTACATCCTGCCGATCTACTTTCAAGCCGTCACCAACGTATCTGCTGCAGATAGCGGGTACCGCACCATCCCACTCATACTCGGCGTGTCCATCTTCACCATCGTCTCCAACACATCTATGCCAAATATCCACTGGGCCGTGTGGCTTATGGCCGGTCCGGTAGTTATGACCTCGGGAGTTGTTTGCTTGTACACGCTCGAGATTGGGACACCATTCGCCAAGGTGATTGGATTTCAGGTGCTAGTAGGGTCGGGGATCGGTCTTGTTTTGCAGGTTCCCATGGTAGCAAACCAGAAGCTTGCGGACTCCTTCTCCGATATCACCGTCGTTACGGGCACAACATTGTTCTTCGAGGCGACCGGAGCTCTGCTCTTTATGGCTGCAGCTGAGGCAACATTTGTTAACGGCCTGGTGAACTGCTTGGGGGAGCAAGCACCGTGGATTCCTTCGCATCGGGTCATTGAGGCTGGGGCAACGGGATTCAGGCAACGATTTGGGTCTGATTCTGGTCTTGTTCTAGCCTGTTACATGGAGGGCATTCAGAGGACCATGATTCTCGAGCTGGTATGCTCGGGAATCGCAATGCTTGTTGCCTTTGCTGTCGGCCTCAGCGTCTGGGCGACTTACTGGAGGAGAAAGGAAGAGGGAAAGCAAACTAGTTAGGTGAAAAAATATCAAGTGTTCAGAATTTGTTGTTTTGTTCTTTCGCTTCTCTTCATGGCTGTGATGGCCACGGGCAGGTGGCGCCTATCTTCACAATTATGTCATCGTTCTTTCCCCCAGGTGTTGAAGTTTGAAGTCAGGTATGTCCTTTCCTTGAGAAACCCCTGCTATGTGGCATGGCCAAGGCTCGCCGCAATTCAAATATATTTGATTTGTTTATTCAAATTCAAATTCAAACAAACCAATTCGGCCACCCAGTCAATCAACTAACAGGGCAAATTTGATCAATTATATTTGAATTATTTGAACTAGCCACAACCAGCCCAGCCCCCCCGCCACAGCCACCAACCTGTGCCCTGTGTAACCCAGACCCCTGATGGCGCCACCGCAACAGGGCCCGTTTGCAGGGACATTCGCATCGCCAACCAACCAACCAGCCCGCCCAGAGCCCAGAGGCGGCCCAGCCAGACAGTCAGTTCAGTATGCCGCCTGTGGAATCTGAAACCCCCCCGCCCGCGCAAGCGTTCCCGGCGGCGCGCACCCCCCACCCACCATTGAACGCCAGATCGAGGCGTTGGGCGGCGTAATTTGACTGCGTTTTGCGTTTTGTTCAAGTTGATAGATTGGCGACTGCAAGTCAGGAAGGCCAAAGGCGCGGGGGGAGGGTGGGGGTTAGGGTTATATATGGGGCTGGGCAATTAATTGACTCCTGTCAAACAGATCAAATCTAATCAAGCGCAATCAAATATTAACCCAATCAATTCAATTACGCCTTCAGATTTGGATTGTTTGAATTGTGGCGAGCCTTGGGCATGGCGCACTAAACATTACACAGTAACATAAACAAAGCCAACTCCCCAGTCAAGCCCGTCATTCTTCATCTCAACTCAACTTGTCGATCAGCAAGAGCATGCCTGGCTCCGCTCAACGGTCAATTACTCGGCGGTGTTGGTGATCAAGGTGGGGTGGGTACCGCGGCGAGTCCGCCCTCCCCGCATCGGCCCCCCGAGAACGAGAGTTCGAGTTATTCATCCGAAGTGCCTCCCCCGGGACAGCACCCTAAATGTTCTTAGGACGACCTGTTATGGGGAATGTTTGACCTTCACTGTAACCGTAACATTACGGGCCGAGCTACCTTTCGCAGGCACGAGACCCGAAAACGCGTCTTTTGATGCTCATTGCTGCGGGCTCAACACCAAACAGTGCGGGGCAACAACAGCCGAGCTTCATCACCTCCGTCATTCCGAAACTACCCACACAATCATTGACCTCATTCTTCCCGCATCTGGTCATTTACAACTTTTCCCTTTCTTTCCCCCTCTTTTTCTCTTTTTCCCTCTCGGTTTTCGTGTCCCGGACCAGTACTTCGACGCCTAAAAAAGACTGAAAACCTGTGTTTTGCTGGAAATGGCTGGTCCTGTCCCTATCGCCCACTCCTTGGGTGACATCTACACCCCGGATGCCCTGCCGTCGCAAACTAAACGGTGGAATGGTCTTTTGGCCAAGTTCGAGTCGCTTAACGGCCATGCGCCTGAATTCGTTTCACGGGCTCCGGGCCGAGTGAATATCATCGGCGAGCACATCGACTACTCACTGTATCCGGTGCTGCCCATGGCTATCACGGCTGATGCCCTGCTCGCCGTGTCAACCAGCCCCACCCCTACCTATGGCAGCACTTTCAATATCACTATTTCAAACGTCCAGGAGGCAAAGTTCGCTGCCCACGAGTTCGACATTCCGTTCGACATGGTGGACATTGACGCCACCGTCCACGAGTGGACCAACTACTTCAAGTCCGGCCTGCGTGGCGCATTAGAGTTACTTCGCAAGAAGAAGGGTCCTAGCTTCAAGCCCAAGAGCATGAAAGTCCTCGTCGACGGGACTGTCCCAACGGGTGGCGGTCTGAGCTCCAGTGCGGCCTTTGTGACCGCCAGTGCTTTGGCTGTCATGGTGGCCAACGGCGAGCAGACCGTCGACAAGACCGAGTTGACGGAGCTGGCCATTGTGAGCGAGCGCGCAGTAGGCGTGAACTCTGGCGGGTAAGTCCTTGCGCTGCATAAAGAAGCATCTTCGCCGGCAAGAAACGGAGAAGAAAGGAAAAGAAAAAGAGAAAACACCGCTAACGTACCCCCAGGATGGACCAGTCAGCCTCCGTCTTCTCGGAGCGCGGCTCCGCCCTCTTCGTCTCATTCGCCCCGACACTAAAGGCGCGCCCAGTCCAGTTCCCCGAGACCGACCCGGCGCTAGTCTTCCTCATCGCCCAGTCCTTCGTCACCTCGGACAAGTTCGTGACCGGGCCCATCCACTACAACCTCCGCGTAGTGGAATGCACGCTCGCAGCAGCCTATCTCAACGCCGCCCTCAACCCGCCGGGCACCCCGCTGCCCACCGACGCCGCACCCCTGGGAATCAGCCTGCACGGCTTCCACGAGACGTACTTTGCCCTGCAGGAGCAGGCCGGGGCGGCCCACAAGTCGCCACAGGAGCAGCTGGAGGAGCTCATCAAGCTGACGTCGCAGACGCTGTCCAAGCCCGAGGGCTACTCGCGCGAGGAGATCGCCGCGGTGCTGGGGATCAGCGTCGGCGAACTGGAGGCGCGCTTCACCACCCAGATCCCCGTGCGCGCGGAGCGCTTCAAGCTGGGCCAGCGCGCGCAGCACGTCTTTGGCGAGGCGCTGCGCGTGGTGCAGTTCCTGTCCCTTTTGGAATCCTCCTCCCCCTCCACCACTTCCATCGAAAACGACATGGGAACGCGCCTCGGCGCCCTGCTCAACGCGACGCAGGACTCCTGCCGTGAGGCGTACGAGTGCAGCTGCGCCGAGATCGACATGCTGTGCGGCCTGGCGCGCGACGCCGGCGCCTACGGCAGCCGTCTGACGGGCGCCGGCTGGGGCGGCTGCAGCGTGCATCTGGTGCCGGCCGACCGCGTCGCGCTCGTGCGCGAGGCCTGGGAGAGCGGGTACTACGCTAACCTGTCGCTCACACCCGAGCAGAGGGAGGCGGCCGTGGTGGTCAGTCGGCCGGGCGGGGGGAGCGCGGTGTTTATGGTGGAGGGGGGTGTTTTGGGCTGAGGAGTTGAGGGGTTAAGAGGGGTTAAGAGGGGTTTTTGTTTTCTTTGTTGGCTCCCTGCCGGGTAGGGGCAAGGGGGCGGGGAAGGTTACTCGTTGTAGCAGTCGAGATGGTGTGGTATCACATCAGGGGAACACCCGCGGCGGTTGGGTTGGGCGTCCTTGACTGGTCTGTCGTAAAGGTTCTCTGTGCCTGGCTTGTTTTGGCAGCCCCGTGTATAGGTAGATAACCGACGAGGAGAAATATCAACACGTGTTATCAATCCTGGCATGGGGCCGGATGTGGTATATAAACTGCATCGGCCCCTCAGTCCAGTCGTACGGCTGCAACGACATGTCTGCCTGTCCCACGCCGGAAGTGAGTCATCGAGGGGGCGTTGCAACCGCTGCGACAACACCATGCATGGTCAGTCACGGATAACAAAAAAGGGACCAGGACTGGACGTAGCAATGTCTCGAATGCTCAAAGCCACATGGTATCCATTCATCCAAGCAATATATACAGCCCCCCGGCACGGCGGAAGGCGAAACAGCGAGGCCCTACCCCCAGGCTCCTCGCGAAATAAAACCAGATCCTACAACAGATCTGCAACCAACTTTTGCTGACCCGTGATGCATTGCAAAATGTGGCTCAATGCCAACAACAACAACCAGATTTTCCGATCCGTGCCGCAAAAACAAGTGGGAAAAATCACACAAAGTCGGACGATTAAGGGGAATAAGTCAAGGTTTGACGCTCCCGAGTGGCTAATTAGGCTCGGAAACGCATGCACATGCTCAATCAAGAGTGAAGGCCGCCGGTGCGTTCCCGCATCCGCTCTCGCCTAACCTTGTCCTTGGCTGTTGTGTTTGTTAGTCAATGTAATCATCGTGATGCTGGGGTGATCCTAAAAAGTCACTTACCACTATCCCAGGTGATGAACTCGTGCAGGCCACACCCAGCGGGGACCATGGGAAGGACAGGGACCTTCTTGTCGGTCACGACCTCGAGCACGGCCGGCCCGTCGGTCTCGATCAGCCACTTGAGAGCCTCTACGGTCTCCTCGGGCTTGATGAGGCGCCTGTGCTGCACGCCCATGGCGTCGGCCAGCTTCATGAAGTCGGGGTTCTTTTGGTGGGTGTGCGAATACCGATCCTCGTAGAACAGGTTCTGCCATTGCGTTACCATGCCCTGCTCCTCGTTGTTGAGGATGATGACCTTGACGCCGATGTTGAACTGCGCAGCAGTGGACAGCTCGGTCAGGGTCATGGCGAACGAGGCATCGCCGTCAATGTCGATGACGAGCGAATCGGGCTTCGCCACCTTGGCGCCGATGGCGGCCGGCAGGCCGTAACCCATGGTTCCGAGACCACCGGAGGTGATCATGGACCGGGGGTGCCGCCAGCGGAAGTGCTGAGCAACCCACATTTGATGCTGGCCAACACCGGTAGAGATATATGTGTCGTTCTTCCGCTCAGCTGTTAGCTTGCTCAGCTCCTCGATAAGGGTCTGGGGCTTGATCAGGCCCGAGCGCTCCGCCCGTTCGTAGTCGGACAGGGGCCACTTCTTCTTCCACCCGTTAATCTTGCTGAACCAATCTTCCCTATCAGCCATCGACTTGGACTTGACGTGCGGCAGGAGCATTTCGAGGCTAGCGCTAATGTCTCCCTCGATGGCCTCGGTCGCTTGCACAACCTTGTTGATATTCTTGGGCAGAATCTCAAAGTGGATGATGCCTCCACGTCCCTCGGCGGCGGCGGCCTTGGCAGCCGGGGCAAACTTAGCAACGCTGAGGGTCACGCGGTCATCGAAGCGTGCGCCGAGGGCGATGATCAAGTCGGCTTCTTGCATCGCCATGTTGGCATACGCGGAGCCGTGCATGCCGAGCATGTGCAGCGACTTGTCGTCCAGCTCGTCGAAAGCGCCGAGGCCTTGAAGGGTGGTCGTGACGGGAAGAGATGCCTTGTCCGCCAGCGTCCTGAGCAGTGCCGGGCCGTTCTTGGAGCAGATAACACCGTGGCCAGCATAGATGACGGGCTTCTTGGCGATGTTGATGAGCTCGGCGACGCGGCGGATGGAAACATCCTGCTGCTTCCGGCTGACCTCGAGGGCGGCACGAGAAGCGGCGCTGGGCATCGTTGGGATGGCGGACTCGGTGGGGATGGCTCGCCTGAGGACGCCGGCGGTGATGTCCTTGGGAAGGTCGACAAGAACAGGGCCGGGCCTGCCGCTGGTGGCGATCTCGAAAGCCTCGTTGATCCTCCGGGGGAGCTCGGCAACGCTCTTGACCATGACGTTCCACTTGGTGCACGCCCGCGAGATGCCAATCACGTCGGCTTCTTGGAAGGCATCACTTCCGATGGCGGAGGTGACGACCTGGCCGGTAAACACGACCATTGGCGTGCCATCTGCAAGCGCATCGGCCATCGGGGTGACGACGTTGGTGGCGCCGGGGCCAGATGTCACCAACACAACACCGGGCTTCCCTGACGCACGAGCATAACCCTCGGCCATGTGGCCGGCGCCCTGCTCGTGCCTCGGAAGGACGAAACCGAAGTGGGGGGAGTTGTAAATCGCATCGAACACCGGGAGAATGGCGCCGCCAGGGTAGCCGACTAGATCACCAAGGATTAGCCAAGGGCTACGGTACGAGGAGCTCCTGCAGACGCACAGATATGCTTTACATCATGCCTCAGCATCATTTCGTGGAAGATTTCTCCTCCAGTCTTTCCAATGAACCTATCCGGCGCCGGTGTTAGTCACACGCGACCCAACGAACTGCAAGGGCATTGTGGTTGACATACGACTCGTCGACGTCGCTCTTCTTCGGATTCACGAGGGGCTGGACATGGCTTCGATCCTTTGTGGCAGCATTGAATGATGGGCTGGGTTTCGGCCGTGCCTCGCTGTTGGAAAGGCCATGTTAGTGTCGGTTGAACCTTATCGGTGAGTCACCAACGGGGAGGAGGGGGATCGTGGGGCATGGGCGCAAACGTACGTCACGGTTGGTTTTGTGGCGGCCGTTGTCGATTGATTCCTAACATTGGTAGGGCTGTTGCGCCGTGCTGCCACGGCTGTGGCTCTTTGGGCGGTCGTGAGCGTTCGTTGTTGACCAGGCCGAGATTCGGCGAGGCCCTTGAGGGCGGCGCGCGATGTCTGACGGAGCATCGTGTCTGGGGGGGGGGGGAGTGGAGAGGGCCAAAAACAATTCAATATACCATAAAACACAACAAGAAGAAAAAAGAAGCAGAGTAACAGACAGAGACTGCTACAGTGAAAATTGCGCGCCGAAAGCAGAGTCTCTCATCCGAAGGCGAAGAGTCAATGGCTCCACGGCTCTTGACACTGGCGATGTGGGAAGAAAGGCGTTGCCGCGGGCGGAGCCGGTTTGGGTATGAGTCGCTGCTGGGTCTCAAATTTTTGGTTCTCGATTGTGGGGTTGAAAGCCCAGTGACAGGGTGTGCACGGATTGCAGAATGATCTTTGGTGGCGATGTCGGAAGCGGGAGAAGATCAATTGGCCGGCTTTGAGTAAGACGTGGCCAGCCACCACGAGGCGAGTCTGGACCTTGCCGCCGTGCCGCCTGAGTTTTCCGTGGAAGATTGGATGGAACGGGAATTTTTTTATTTCTTTTTATGGGAGGGGATTCAACTCAGCATAACGGCTTTCCTTTTCCTCCCCGTATCTCCTTAAGTCACACGATTGTCGGCTGGTTGCTCTTCCAAGGTTGCACGCCCTCGTTTGAGATGGTGACACGGTGAAGGTCGGTGGCCGGGGATAATCGGTTACTGCAGGTCTTCACAAGCCATCACAAGCCACTCAATTCGGATTGCCAATTGTTTGCTCACCAATGGCTCGAAGGCTGTTGTGTCGGGTTTGGAACGAAAGTCTCGGCATGTGTGCAAACAACAACTGTCCCTTGTGTCCGGCCGTTGGCTCGCATGAAGCGGGGTACCTCACGATCTCGCTGCATGGGGCAAGCCGGCCCCACTGAAAAGTTGCAGGATAGCCGAAATCCGGGATACCAGATCTGATGCTCGAAGGGTTTTTTTTTAATAACCCGCCGACGAGTGATATTGTAGGGCTGCTTCCGGTGGCGTTCTCGAAACGAAAGAGGCTGCCAACGGTCTGGAACAGAGGCGGAGGTGTGGCGGCGATGGACAGAGCACATTGGTTGCTCTCCGATCGCGGGCGGCCCACGTCCCTGAATCCCAGTAAGATCCCGGTGCCCCGGCAATGCGGAGTGGGTGGGTCCGGAGATCGGGGTGGGGAAGACGGGGAGCCGGGCTCGAGCCGGGATCGCTGGGCAAGCTATGAAGTCTTGAGACCGTGCCGGCTCGGAGAGGACGAATATCGCAAATACAATTAAATTATGATAAGATCAATAGTATAATAAAGAAACTCTATGTAACTGCAAGCAACCACAACTAAAACATGCTAGGTCGCTGAGAGAAATACCCCTTGGCCATCCCGCATCCACATGTGATTAAGTACCTAATGTTATTGTGTAAAGAACCAGCCCATATCCCTTCCGTCCATGACAACCTCCAAAATAGCAAGGAGTCCAAAGTTTAGTGGCATCGTGAACACCGGGGCCACTCTCCGGTTACCCGCTGTCGGTGCCGTAGTAGCGGGCGTGCGATGAGAGAGTATGAAATAATTTGATTACATGCCATCCCTGAGAGGCAGCGAACGAAGCCAAGAACGCCATGGTTAGCCCGTGCTATTCTCTCAATAATTGCTCAGTTACTACGTCGTCGATCGGAAAATAAGCCTCCGTTTAAAAGCTTTTTGGTGTGTTGGGGGGGGGGGGGGACGGTAAGGTGAAACGAAGGTGCCAGGCTTGCACTGGCAAGTAGGCGATAGGCGAGTGAAACCGGCCCACCGAGGCTGGAGGAGAAAGGGGGATGGAGAAAAAGGGGTAAAACAGGGCCAACGTACAGCAAAGCCAGCGTCAAATCGCCGTGGATATGCGCCTTGAGCTCGATCTCGATCTCCAAGTTCAGGTCCAGCCGGAGCTTGAGCGGGTTCTTACCACCGCCGTCGCCCTGCTGTTGCTGCATTTGTTGTTGCTGTTGTTGCATTTGCATCTGCTGCTGGCGCTGCTGCTGTTGGTAGGCGATCTGGTCATCATAGTCCTCCTCGTCCTCCGTCTCCTCGTCGCTATAACGGTTACGGCGGCGGCGGCGGCGGCGCTCCACTTGCTGGTCTTGGGCTTGCTTCGGCTTCTTCTTCTTCTGCATCCACTTGGGTTGCGGCTTCTCATCAGCCTTGGGTGTTGGGGGCTGCGAGAGGGCAGGGCTGTGCTCGTCTGCCTCTTCTTCTTTTTGCTTCTTGGGACGCGGATAGTTCTCGCCGTCCTCTTCGTCCTCCTCGTCCTGGTCTTGGTCTTGGTCGTCACCCGTCTGGTAGTCGTCGTCGAGCGCATGCTGTTCCTCGTCCTCGGGGTCCTCCTCGTCATAGTCGTCTCCTTCTTCGGCGTCATTCCGCCGCCGAATGTCATTGTTATCGTTGTTGTCCTCATCCGCGTCGTCTTCGGCGGTGGCGCGATGCTGTGGTTGCTCCTCCTCCCGCTCCTCCGGGCCCTTCTGGTTTTGCTTTCTCCGAGGCTATGTATTGTTAGGCCGACATGGTTGCCAACGGGTCTTGTGTGCTTCAGTAAGGGGTCCTACCGATGACATGTTTGCGGTGTGAAGTACGTCGATCCGTCTGGTGTATGTGTTCTTTGTAGGAAGTTTGGATGAGACAAATGGTTAAGACGGGCGGTGGAGGTCTAGTTAAAAGACAACCACTTCAACACAGAATTTCCAGGGATGAACAACGGCTTGGAAGACCCTGCATCATAACTCATAAAAAACATGCTTCTCAGCCGACTCTCCCCATGCCGAAAATACTGTTGTCAAACCTGGTGACGACATAGTGGTGCCCGGGTGGGCAAGCCACACCGTTTCTATTCTCGTTTCCTCCCATGTTCCATAAAACGGAGGACTAAGGGCCACGATGAAGTTGGCCGGTATCAAAGCCACAACGCCCAATGACGTATCCCTACATGGACGGCTTGCGAGTCGAGCAAATTACGGGGACGAAAAAAGAAAAACAAGCCTTCTGGAGGGTGTGATCGAGACCGCCAATCACGCCAAAGAGGCAGGCCAGAAAAAAACACGACTTGTGAAACGGGGTCGGGGTCGTTGAGAAACCGGGCCGGGAACGGTCAACCGGGGGGACCGTGGCGAGAGGGCCCAGTGTATACAAGTATGTTGGACGTTTTCATGTCATGCATCGATGGACATACGAGCATACCTAGCCTCCGAAGACAACACTCCAGACACCATTTCAGCCCACCCCGTATTCGGTATACTCGCCATGCCGATCGGTCTGCTCGTCATCGCGGGCATCCCAACGACCATTGGGGTCTGCGAGGCCCTTAGCGCGCAGAAGAAGGCGGATGCGGCGGCCAAGGAGAAGGCCAAGTTCCACCTCACAGCCACCGTTTCACTTGATGGACAGGGCCCGGTCGAGTGCTGGTGCATACTGAAAGATGGAAATGTGAGTACTGAAGGGGGCATCCCGGGTCCTAGTTGTCGGCTTTGCGAACTCCCGGTGTTCCGAAGTCTCGGAGAGCGTTCGCGGAGGTGCGATGAACCGAACTGGGAACTGACTAGGTACTAACGAAACTCGCAGTTGTGGATTGACCACCCCGCCTTCCCGATGCCGGGACACAAGTTCACGGGTTACTACTTCACATACCCGTCCGAGGCGAAACAACTCGGGCTGGTCAGCACCATCGCTGACGACCCGCCCATGCTCAACTGGCTTTTTGTCGACAAGGACACCAACATGGTGCGGCACGGGGGCCGACAGGACACGCTGGGTGGACACACGGTCGGACCTTGGTTTTGGAGCGATGACGAGCAGTGGTTGACCTTGGAAGGGGACTCGTTCCAGTTTGTGGCCGTGCAGTTGGACAACAAAAAGTGGGCAGTTGCCTTGGATCGAGATGGAGCATTTAGCGGGGGTGGGGGGCGGGGGAAGGAAGGGAGTAAGAAAACGGAAACAAAAACGGAGAGGCCGCGGCGTCCCCGAAAGTGGATTCCCATCATGCTCAGGAGACGGCTTCAGCTGGGCATGGAGAGCCGATACGTCAAAGGAGCAAATGGATAAAAAAGCCTTGAACATGACTAGACATGTACTCTGTGACGCTGGTGGTGTGGGCAGTGTTTGAACTTTCCTTGGCTTTCTCTGCGAGGAGGTCTCCTTTTCCGGTGTTTTTCAGGGGAAGTATGCTTGCGTGACTCGGAGTTGTAAGTGGGTGGACCTGATATGCAAGTCGACGACTACTGCACCGATAATGCTTGAAATGAGAGTTTATGCAGCCACTATGGGACCATGGAACAGCATCCAAATCTCTTGGCTGGAGTTCCGGCACAGCCCGTGTGGATAGTTGGTGACCTGTTGGCTATTGGGTAAGGAGCCGGCTCTCGGGGGTGAAGGACCCAAATCGTCCGATGACTTCATCAAATAGTTCATCTCTTCGGGATCCGGTTTTAGCCACTGACGAAGGAGACCGAAATCCTGTCTTTAATAACCCACCGTCTCAACGACCCAGGACCCTTTGGACACATCATCTCAACCATAAATCCACATTACCTATATTGCATTAAGATTCCAGATTGACGAAGACCCTTAGAGTCACAGCAACATCACCTTACTCCATCCTTTAATTCCTTCACGCACAACAAAGCTTTCACAATGGCATCCCACAGCGGTGCAGAGGAGAAGAAGCCCCGGCGCCAGCAACAGACATACGAATCCGAAGGCGAAGAGTCGGAGGAGTACCAGTCCCCGCCGCCCCGGAGGAAGCGCAACCAGCGGCAGAAGAAGGGCGGCCAAGGCCCTCTCGACAACCTTGCCCTCGACAATGTCCAGAACACAGCAGGCGGCCTCGTCAACTCGGCAACGGGCGCGTTAGGCGGCGTGGCGGGTGACGCCGTCCAAAACCAAGGGGGAGGAGACGGTGGCAAGAGCGACACCCTCCGGCTCAGGTTGGATCTCAACCTCGACATTGAGATCACTCTCAAGGCGAAGATCCATGGTGATCTGGAGCTTGCTCTCTTGTATGTGTCTATTTGTTCTTCTTTTTTGCTTTCTTTTTGCCTCTCCCCTCTCCCCTTTCATGTCTCTCAAGCGTCAGCCATGCAAGCAAACTTCCACGCTTGAAATGCCGACGCGTGCTTCAGCTTTTAGAACAAGTGTCATCCAGCACCATCACCGCGACTTCACACCCTCTCCCGAGTGCTTTCCTATGTCCGAATCACGTCTCTTACAAAGGCTAAAGGACGATGTAGAGAAACCTGAGCCGGCGACACTCAGCTCTCGGGGGTCCCACTTTTGAGCACCGTTCCGTTTCAGGGAGGGGGATGTTGTCATTGTTGTCGTTGCTGTTGTCGCTCTTGGGGATTTGCGGTTTGCGGACAGGTATAAGGGCTAATTCCTTAGGAACTGAAGCAACTAGAGCCCACCTCAAGAGTTCAAGAGGACTCTTCAAGGACCATATCGTTCGTGTACCAGAATCCGGTTCGGGAAACGGGATAACGGCAGTTTGGGATTTTGCGTTTAATTGTTAAGGGGAAATGGGTCCATGTTAATGTTAGTTGGCGGCCGGGCATCATCAGATTTTGGCCATATATTAGAGTTTCAAGGCCATAATTCGCTGTACCAGAGTTATCACCGATAATTTCATCGTTTTCACTCGTCACTCATTCCTCTTCAAGGACAACCTCGCGGTGTACTGTGTGTGCTGTGTAAGTCTGGGCGGTCCGTTTCAGTCCGTTTTTACATTGACATGGGTGTCCCCACAGTCAGGGGAGGTCCCAGGCCCTGTGGCTCGTGCGCGCCGTTGGAACCAGCCAGGGGCTTTCTGTGGTCCAAAACTCAATTCCAACTTACACAGTTGCATTGTCGCCCACCGACGAAGGAAAGGTCTATGTATAGTGCAGATCCGCATAAAGCTCTTCGTATTGGCGATAACACGACCAACCGAGTCCAACAAATTTCATGCTTCATCTTGGATAACATGCAAGTCAGCTCACTTGGCGCCCGAGACGCGCAATCCCGACACGGGGGAGAACTCCGATACTTCGCCAAGCACCTGCATTCTTCAGGGCAAAATTCCTTGTCGTCACCCCTGAGCCCTCGCAGAACACGAACCACACCACTGATGTCATGCATAAACCGCCCCTGCAGACCGAGACCCCCAAGACGGCTCGGAGACGGACAAGTTAAGTCATCGCTATTCAGGCCGCCCTCATACCTGTCTACATGTTGAGCCTGCGTATCCATCTTCTCCTGATTTTGTTTAGCAGGGATGCCGTAGTCGTCTGTTCCTGATAATAGCAAACTCAAAATCCCTGCATCAATCGTCCCAACTCTCTCCTTCAACCCCGATGACGTCATTCCTCCCCCCTTTCTCTCTCCCACACCATCTCGCATCCACACCACTACAACACCCTGGAGAGACAAGCTTGGATCTAGCAGAGGTTCCAGAATCTGATCGTTACCCATCGATCCTTACCCGCCTTGATTCTGGCGACTCAGCCGAGTCAGCGCACCAAGCTGGGGTAAGCTCAACTCCACAGAGCGCAACAAAGTTCTTTAGAGAACAACAGGAACAGAAGAAAAGTCCTCTAAGAATTGAAACGGATTCAGATAGAGGAAGAAGCTCAATAGGTAGTCATCCAGCAACCATGACATCCAAATCTCAGTCCGAACATGGGTCTCGGTCACCGCCTACACAATATGAAGGAGAGGAAGCACCAGTGATCGATAGCGAGGGGGGAAGCGAGAACGACGCCCGGAAGGGAGATACGCCCAAACGGCCAAAGAGCCCTGCCTACGTCGCCCCCATCCCGAGGATAGGCAGCATCTCACCAAAACTCTCACCGGGAATCCAAATATCCGCCACGGACCGCCCAGAGCTTCCGCCGTCCATTGGCGCGCTTCTCGTCGGGAAACTGATCGATGAAGACGGCGATGTCATAGACGAAGAGACAGGGCAGGTCCTAGCGCACGCCGCCGGTGACCTGCCCTCGATGGTCGGGCGGCGGGTGTCCAACGCCCAAGGCGGCATCCTCGGCGATGACGGCGAGCTCCTGGGATATGTCGCCGACATCGAGTGGCCGAAGGATCGGCCGCCGCCCACGGCACCACCACGGAGCCTGTTTGACGTGATGGGGCGCTCCACGAGCTCCCTCATGGTCGACCACGCGGGGAACATCCTCGACGCGGGCGGGAATGTCGTCGGCACCTTCCACGATAACAACAACCCGCTACACCGCAAGGAAAAGGAGGAAAAGGAGGCTCGAGAGCGCGCGCAGCAGACCGAAGAAGAGACGGCGCCTCAGCAGCGGTCGACTGCTCCGACCCCGACGCCAACGCCGCCTCAGCAAGCGGAGGAGCAGGCGCAACCCCAGTCACAATCGACTCCTAGTGATGAGAGTCAGCCTAAGCCGAGAAGAACGGAAGAGGAGAGGAGACAGAATGCGGAAGCGTGGCGGAAGGAGAACCCCAACGAGAGCCCGTCTGATATTTTCTTGGATGTCAAGTCCACGAGGGAGGGGATCCAGCTGACCATCCGAATTCCCACCGTGTTCAATGGTCAGCAGACCACACCACACATCTCGTTTTCGTAGTCGTGGAAGTGAGGGGAATGACGGAATTTCAGCGGCAATACCATGTCCAGGGTTATCATGAGCGGCTAATCGAGGAGTTGACGGACGGGCCCGGTTGGAAAACGGTATAGGGAGTTCAGGATCGCCGTAGCCTCGCATGCCCCTCAGTCCCAACGGGCATCGCGCAGTTTAGATCGAGATTCTTTGTATAATAGACCATTGATAGGAGCAATTTTCCGAGCCTAAATGCACTAGTATACACCCCCCACTTCACAAGCATTGATAAGCCAGCCCGGCCCAGCCTGGGATGATCTAGTCTGGGGTGCTGTGGCACAGCGGAGGTGTGGTGTGTGTGGGAGGAGAGATCACTGGAGGCCAACCCGACAAAAGCAGGTTTTTGAGCCACACAAAGAGGCCTAGAGAGCCACAGTCAAGCCATACCGGCCCAGGATGACGTCTCAACGGAATCGGCCGTCCGAGTCATCCTGACCCATCAGTCCCCTTGTAGCTAGCCAGTGGGTTTGGGTATGTGTCTTCCCCCCTTTCCTAGGAAAGTAGTATCCGTAGTACCACATAACGAAACGGTCGAACGAGTCAAAACGGAGAAGATACTCGAGGTTAGCACGCACTAGGCGCATGCAATTTCGAAGCAAAACCTGGTTCTAATCCCTTCCCAGTCTCCCACCCGGCCCAGGGTACGTACGTATCACTTTGGTTCCGTGCTTCCCCGGACCCCGATCTGCCAGCCACCCACCAAGCCACAACTGGTCAACTATTGAAGCCACAACTTGGAACAAGGCATTCGGAGAATTCTACAGGCATGTTCCCTTCACCAGTACGTGGCTGAGCGGTGTGCCCATCTTTATGCAAGAAATCTCGCGTGTTCCTATTGGGACGGAGAGAGAGATGAAGTCATCCCGTCCCGGGGTGGCAACTTTAGACTCAAGGGTCCCGTGGATCAAGAGCGGCTCCAGCTGAAGAAGCTGGAGGCATGAACGCTCGAGATCGAAACGCTTATCGAAAGAGATACAGAGCAATTACCCAATGAGCACGCGGGCGCCCCGGTGGGTTCCTCACTCCCTGACGTAGGTTCCTCTGAATGACGTTGGGGGGAAGCCAGGTCTTCATGCGAGAGTTGTCATCTCATATGTCGTCAGTTCGTCTAGTTAACAAGGAGAGATGGGATATGCATAAAAAGGTTAAATGATTGGAGGAACCCTCAAAGGAAAACGGTTCCTGTAGCCTAGGAGACATCAGATCTACACGAGTAACATCAACTGAACATACCAAGATCAACAAACGACTTCTCCAATACCAATACTAGCCCCATTTCACATCTTACCCCTTGACATCCTACCCTTTGAAGACAACAATTCTCCACAATGAGCAACATCGCCCACAAGACTGAGCCGCCCGGCTCCTGGCCCTGCAACAAGGGCGAGCTGGGCGACACAAACCAGACCCAGGACCCGACTGCCGCGGAACCGCGCTCGCCGCCAGCCGTGCCAGAGTACGGAGGCTTCAACGGCGGCAGCTCGGGCGAGTGGTCCCAGAGCGGCGACTATACTCACCGAGGCCCCCAGACGAGGCCCCGAGAGACGCGGGAGGGCCAGGAGGAAGAGGAACAGCAGCATGAGCCGATCAAGATGAAAGACGTGGAGCCGCAGCCTGTCGGCGAGACCGAAGAGAGCCAGGAAGTGGGCACTCAGGGGGAGGAGGAGAAGAAGACGGTCAAAGAAGGCGATTCTGCCGCCGGGGTGGAGCAGCAGTCTGAGCAACAAGAGTCCAAAGCAGAGACCGGCGAGGATGTCGAAGCCCCCGCTGAAGCTGCGACCGACGCATCGCTCACCGAGAAGGCCAAACAGGCGTTTGATCAAGCCTCGGAGAATCAGCCAACCGACGCCGCGCGCAACTCGTTCCTCCAGGCAGCCCGGAGCAAATTGACCATCCCCAAGATTGGCTCCTTCTGGTCCCAAGGAGGGGAGGAGCAGAAGGCCCCGGAGCCCGAGGTTTCAGAGGAAACCAGCCATGCCCCAGTCGAACCCAAGGAGGAGGTGCAGACAGGAAAAGAGGAAGAGATTCCCGCCGCCGAGGACAAAGCAGCCCTCGAGCCCCAGGAGAAGCCCGCCGAGGGCGAAGAGGAACCAGCTGCCACCTTAGCTGGCGAAGAGGAACAACCCACCGCCAAAACCGGCGAAGAGGAACCAGCCGCGGCCGAAACCCTCGAAGAGCCACAACCCCCCGCCGAAGCCGAACCCGCCGAAGAGGAGAAACCCCAACCCGAAGAGGAGCAACCCCAGCCCGACCTCAGCATCCTCAAAGACGGCACCGTCAACAAGGGCGGCAACGTCGTGTCGCGCGACGGCACCGTCGTCGGGCGCGTGGTCGAGGGCGAGGTCCGGCACCTGGTGGGCAACAAGGTGGACGAGAACGGCGCCGTCTGGAGCAGCGGCGGCAAGGTGGTCGGCCGCGCCGAGGTCATCCCCGACAGCGAGCGCGACGAGATGCTGCGCGAGCCGGCGCCGTTTGAGAGTTTCCCCGATGCGGTGGTTGATAAGGACGGGATGGTGGTTACGGATGGGGGGGAGGTTGTGGGTAGGGTGGTCGAGGGCGAGGTCCGTGTCCTGCGCGGCAAGGCTGTGGATGCGGATGGGGATATCTTGGATAGGGCTGGGAATGTGGTTGGGAAGGCTGAGCGTTGGGAGCCGGAGCCCGAGGCGGAGCCGGAGCCGGAGCCCGAGGTTGATAAGTCGGTTCTGGCTGGGAAGCGCGTCAACAAGGCGGGTAATGTGGTGGATGGGAACGGGACCATCTTTGGCAGGGTTGTGGAGGGCGATGTGAAGAGGATGGTTGGCCGTATGTGCGACAAGAAGGGCAATATCCTTAGCGAGAGCGGCGATATCCTCGGCAGGGCTGAGCTTGTCCCCGAGGGCGAGCGTGAGGGCTTGAAGGAAGGCCCCTTCGCTGAGCTCCAGGGCTGCACTGTTGCCAAGGATGGGACCATCGTCACGCCGGCCGGGGATATCGTCGGCAGACTGATCAGTGGAGATGGCAAGATTTTGTTCGGCCGCGCCGTCGATGAGGATGGCGACATCCTCGACAAGAACGGCAACACGGTGGGCAAGGCCGAACGCTGGGAGCCCGAGCAGGTGGAGCACAAGAAGAACCCCATGTCTGGCCGCCGCGTCAACCGGGAGGGCAACGTCGTCGACGAAGACGGCAACCTGATCGGCAAGCTCACCTCTGGCACGCTCACCATCTGCTCCGGCAAGGATATTGACGACGACGGAGACGTTGTCGACTACAAAGGCAATATCATCGGCCACTGCTCGCTCCTCGAGGACATCCCCGAGGAACCCAAGGAGGAGTCCCCGGAGGAAAAGGAGAAGCGCGAACAGGCCGAGCGGGACAAGAAGCTGGCCGTGCAGATGTCCGTCTGCATTGAGCAGTGTCTCGACAGCATCCGCCCCATCTGCAAGCTGATCACCGAGGCAGGTTACCCCAAGGAAAATCTACCCCTATCCCGACCCTTACTAACACCGAACACAGAAAATCGACAAAGCCGAGCGCACCCCCGAAGACGAGCGCGACGAGGAGGCACTCGTGCAGGAAGTGCGGCCGCTAATCGAGGAAGGCGGGCGCATCCTCAACGAAGCCAAGGGCATCATCAAGGGTCTCGACCCCGAGGGCCGCATCTCGGCCAACGCCAAGCACAAGACGGCCGCCCGCGAGGCCACGCCCGAGGAGTACCACCTTGCCGAGGTCCTCAAGGACCTCACCGGCGACGTGACGCAGTGCATCGACAATGCCAAGCGCAAGCTCGAGGACATGCCGCATGCGAAGAAGGAGCTGAACCCGCTCTGGGGCTTGTTGAATGAGCCGCTGTTCCAGATCTTGGCGGCTGTTGGCTTGTTGTTGGCTGGCGTTCTCAACCTCGTGGGTAGACTGGTAAGTATCACGTGGGCAGGGTTCGGCGAGAAACGTGGATACTGACTGTTGAATAGCTGAGTGGACTCGGACTTGGTGGCCTTGTCGATGGTATTCTTGGAACCCTTGGCCTAAACCGTGTCCTTGAGAGCCTTGGTCTTGGGTCCTTTAGCAAGAGCTTGAAGAGCGGTAAGAAGGGTGGCGGTGGACTGCTGGGTGGTGTATTGGGTGGCTAAGCAAGCGGATGGTTAAGTTGGACTTTGCAGAATGGAGGACGGTAATGGCAACTGGTGGGAAGTTTGTAATTTGAACTGTAACTGTTAGTAATACTTTTACATAAATCTTTTGTCGTTCCAAGTCCTCGGTTCCCCATTCACGCGGATTCCGGCGAGGTCTTCGCCGCCCTTTTCACCTCATACCCCCTGAACTCGAAATACTTCTTCAGGTCCGAATCATCTAAAACCGCCTCAACAATCTCGTTCTCCATCGTGACTACGAATTCGCAGCCCTCGTCGGTGTCGCTACCAAACATACGAGGCGGGTAGACGGTAATCAACCCCTCGGATACGGCATCGAGGAAATGCCGGAAAGCGGATGGCCGACCGAAACCGAAATCGGCCTTCTCGCACACGGCAGCTAGGCGCCAGTCGGTTATGACCACCGTCAGGGGCGGGAACGAGTCAACCCTCGAAAATAGGCAGGTCTTGTCGCGGACGGGAGCCAGCATGGCAAGAGCCTTGTCGAGCCCCGCTTGGTCCATGCTGTTCGTCATGGTACGGATCTTACTCGCCAAAAGGGAGAGAGGGACGACGTCTCCCAGAGAGGCAATCTCCTTGATAGCGAGTGGATTTGGGTAGTTCGCAGAGACTGCAGCCCAGAACAAGTTACGCTGCAGCCTGTTGGCCACGGGCGGGTCTGTTCGAGTCCGCATGTTGATTCCTTCAATGAAGATGGGCGTTTCATCTGGAGATGAGTTGTAGAGTGTGGCGCGGTGCCGGGTAATGACACGCCATAGGAGGGCCGAAAAGGCATCATAAGTCGAAACCCAAGGGACCATCTGGCCTTCTCCAGCCCGCGTAGCGAGCCCCTTCAGCTCTTTAGCCTTGCTCTTGGGGAGGTGGAATAAGAGCGCAGCGTGTTCGCGCAGCAGAGGATGGCGTTCCGGGGACGTGGGGCCATCAACTTTTGACTCGGAAGGAAATTCGGATGCAGTGAAACGGCTTGCATCTAAATTCGCAGGGTCCCACGAGGGGGGCGCGGTCTTGTTGACGATGGAATTGCAGTTGTCGGCTAGCTGGTACACGAAGTTGGCCCATCCCATCACATCGTTGGCGTAGTGGTGGAGGTTGATCATAAAAAGGAACCCGCCGGGAATAAAATTGGCCTGGTATGCCGACACAACGGGCTTCGCACTCGGAAAACACTCAGGCTTCTCGCCGTATGTCATTCCCTCGACAACAAAACGGCCGGTATCTCCGAGGGAGGACGAAGCAAAGTGAGCCTTCTCGATCTCGGACATGGACGGGACGTTGTCTTCTGCCTCGAAGTACTTGACAACGAGCCTGACAGTGCTATCTCGCTTCTTGACGAAGGAATGGTCATCGTCGTCGTCGTTCTTCTCGATCGTTCCGACTAACTGCCTGCATTGCGCGAGCGTTCTCTCCAAGCCCTCCTTCAGGGCAGCAAGAGTTCCGGGCCTCTCTTCATCTTCCAATTTAAAAAATAAGGCGTAGCTGTTGTAAGTACACGCAGCGAGATAGTCGAGACTGGAGAACCTCAGCCTCTCCACTTCTGGGTCGTTCTCCCAGCCCAGCGGTCGGAACTGGTACTCCTCGGTCTTCGGCATGTTGAGCAATGCTGAGCTGAGCGTAGAAACAGTCTAGGAGACCAAGTGGGCGTCAGGAAACTTGCAATCACCATCCCCTCCTTTTTTATAGCACCAAAATCTCACACCCGATCTTGGGACCCGTTAGTCCGCACCATCTAACTACCGTATATACGTTGTGTCAGCGCGGCGTTACATAGCCAAGCTCTCGTGGCTCGCGGGGCTGCCCGGATCGGTAAAGAAGGGGAAGATCATTGAACCATTCTCCCATTCACAAGAAGATATCGTCCTTGCCGAGGATTACTTGGTCCTTCCTCTTGATAACACCAACCGGAGGATGGAACAGCGTCGGATTGGGCTCGTAATCCCAGAAAGATGGCTTCCCGCCCCGCGTCACCCCCACGTAAAAAGTGCCTGAATCGCAACGACCGGGGGTTATCCGGGGCGTTTATCACTTGCGTATTCGGTACAAAGATTGTGCTTAATTAATTGTTGTTGGTGAGAGTTGTGATGGCCGGGTTGTATGTCATGGTAGAGGGTGAGAGGGTGTCACGGGGTGTTCTGTGTGGTCGGGTTAGGGTTGTCTACTCACGTGCGCACGCATCGCTCGACCAGGGTTTCGCGTTCCTCTTTCCCATTTCGGCCATGAATTCAACTCGCAACTTCCAGGTTCTCGACCAATCCACGGACCACGCTTCATCAAAGTTCCCACTCCATGCATCGTTGCGGGACGCATACTTGTAATTCATTAAATTTGGACTCTCTAATTGCAAAAACTGCTGCCGGATTTACTGGGTGGTACTTTGTATTACATTTTGACCTCAACTCTACTTGGCCCCAATGCCGCGTCAAACCAAACGGCCCCTTGAGGTCATCGACTTGACCGGTGGTGGCCAAAACACCCGACCAGCCAAGTCACCGCGGAATACTTCATCGTCGCACAACTTACAGCCCGCTGCGCCGGGGTTAGGTCAACCATCTTCGAGTGCAACCTCGGTACCGAATTCGACTCAAAACAACCCTGAAAACGATGAGCCAGAACCCTCAACGCAGGATCTCACTCAGAGTGACGATGGGCCCCAGCGGGAGTTGTATGGCTCCTTCGGTATGTTTTTGTTTGCATTGTTTATGCTGAGACATAGCAGGACTGACACTCTGCAGACGGCAAAATTGTGGGTGTCAGATATTATAATGGCATGGCCACGGGTGGGGAGGTGGTGATTTGTAAGAGAGAGCCCTCTAATCAGGTACGTTTTACCATGTCTCAGTGCCGGCCTTGTCTCGACTGGCTAACTCCTAGGTCGTTAGTATGACCCAAATGCAATTCGGGTGGACAATGTACTCGGAAGACAGATCGGGCATATCCCGAGAACAGTAGCCGCAAAACTCGCCCCATACCTGGTATGTCCATGTGGTAAATATCTTCACCCGGTTGCGGAAGTGCTCACTACTCTCAGGATAACAAAGAAATCACTATTGAAGCTATACTCAGTGGCGAGAAGGGCTTCTATGAATGCCCCATTCGCATGTACTTCTATGGAACCGCCGACGCCCTCGGCCGGGCTGGCCTAGAGGAGCGTCTGAAGAGCGACAAGCTTGTTAAGGCCACGCAGCTCAAGCAAACCCGAAAGGATAACGAGCAGCAACGGAAAACTATGGGTTTGAAGGGCGGTAGAAGTACTGCTGGATTTGCACCCGCCGAGCCAGAGGTTTCTCTAGCGCAGTTGGCCCAGACCAGCCAAGCTGTCAACTTCCGTGCCGGTGGGGATATTGCCCAGACGTTGGCCATGGATGAAGACCAGCTCTCCGAAATGCCCCAGGCGGAACAACCCGACAAAGTGTGCGCCAAGCTGCTGCCGTACCAACTCCAAGGTCTTGCGTGGCTCACGGCGAAAGAGAGCCCGGTGTTTCCGGAGCCAGGCTCCCCAGAGTCTGTCCAGCTTTGGAAGCGCGATGCCAAAGGCCGATTTGTCAACATTGCCACCAACTTCACCGTTGCAGCCCCTCCCAAACTCCTCTCTGGCGGCATCCTAGCCGACGACATGGGCCTCGGCAAGACGCTTCAGATCATCAGTCTGATTATGACCGGTGGGCCGGGGAGCACACTCATCGTTGCGCCAGTTGGTGTGATGAGCAACTGGGAACAACAAATCAAGCGCCACGTGTCTGATGAACATCTGCCTGAAGTGCTCATCTATCACGGAACTTCTCGACAGACTTCCGCTAAGTCTTTGAAGAAATTTGGGGTCGTCGTCACAAGCTACGGCACCCTCAGCAGTGAGGCAGCGACAGGCGGCCCTCTGACCAAGCTCGACTGGCGCCGGGTTGTTCTGGACGAGGGCCACACCATCCGCAACGCCAAAACGAAGGCGGCCGAGGCGGCCTGCAAGCTGAAGGCGCAATCAAGATGGGTTCTAACAGGAACTCCGATGTAAGCTTGAAACATGGCCCGCCTTGTGCTTTAACTAACCGAAACATCCAGCGTCAACAATATCAAGGATCTTCACTCCCTTGTCAAGTTCCTCCATATTACAGGCGGCATTGAGCAGTCTGATATTTTCAACGCCGTCATAGCACGGCCGCTGGCACTGGGAGAAACCCGGGCCGAGGCGCTCTTGCAGTCCCTCATGAAGGATGTCTGCCTCCGTCGTCGGAAGGACATGAAGTTCATCGACCTTAAGCTTCCGGCCAAGACCGAATACATCCACCGCATTACCTTTTGGGCGGACGAAAAGAAGAAATACGAGGCTTTGCTGTACGCACATTGCACAAACCGGCGGCTCTTGGGACCCTGCTAACGTTTGACAGTTCCGAGGCTCAAGGCGCTCTGCAGGACTTCCAGGACAAATCCAAATCGGGCCAAAAGGGCAGATTCCAAGGCGTGCTCGAGAGGTTGCTCCGCCTTCGCCAAACGTGTGTACCCTTGATTCATTTCAGGAGGTAAAGGCTAACAAACACAGATGCAACCACTGGACCCTATGCAAGGAGCGCATCGCCGATCTGATGAAGCTCCTTGAAGAGCAAGACATTGTCCCGCTCAATGACGAGAACCGTGTCCTCCTGCAACAAGCACTTCAGCTCATCATCGAAAGCCAAGAGGAATGCCCTGTTTGCATGGAGAACCTAACGGACCCCGTCATAACTCACTGCAAACATTCTTTTTGTCGCGCCTGTATCTCCAAGGTGATTGAGATACAGCACAAGTGTCCCATGTGCCGCGCCGAGCTAGCCGAGGACAAGCTAGTCGAGCCGGCACCCGAACACTCGGCCCAGGAGGAAGAGGCGGGCCTCGACCAAGAGACAAAGAGCTCCAAGACGGAAGCACTGCTCAAAATTCTCCAGGCTACTCTGAAAAACGACGGATCCAAAGTCATCATCTTCTCTCAGTGGACGTCGTTCTTGACCGTCATCCAGCGGCAGTTGGAAGAGGCAGGGTACACCTATACCCGAATCGACGGTAGCATGAACACGTCCAAACGCGATGCCGCTATTCACGCTCTCGATCACGACCCCGCTACTCGTATCATGCTCGCCAGTCTAAGCGTGTGCAGTGTGGGATTGAACCTGGTCTCAGCTGACACCGTCGTTCTTGCTGACAGCTGGTGGGCCCCGGCCATCGAGGACCAGGCCGTTGACCGTGTCCACCGTTTGGGTCAGACCCGGCCCACAACGGTCTGGCGCCTGGTCATGGAGGGCACCGTTGAAGAGCGGGTGCTCGACATCCAGGGAGAGAAGCGAGAGCTTGTCAACAAGGCTTTCCAGGAGAAGCAAGGCAAACAGAAAAAGACAAAGGAGACGCGCATGGCCGACATCTTGAAGCTGCTTACTTGAAATAAGATGGATTCTAGATGTGATTTGAGGACATCTGTGCCGCTATCGCTACCACAAGAGGAGACTATTCCGGAGCCCTACGGATGTCATCGAGATACTACAGTTTATTCGCAAAAGCATATCGAGGCTGGTCAAGATGGTTCGTGATAGAGCTTAACAGAGTTGGCTGATCAATCGCACATAGAGCATAATAATACACACTTATTTGTACCACTCGGCCGCTCTTTGGGCCTTGTCAACGGCCACACAGGAGGAAGGTAAAAAGAACCAAGGCAAGGGACCGAGCCCAAATCAGAAGCGAAAAGCGATGTCAGGACATGCTCCGTAAGGGTTGAACCGACGACCAGGCCGTCACCACTACGAAAGCCGCCCGCCCAAAAGAAGCCGATCACGCCAACACCGCTACTCAAGCGAATGTCGCCCTCCTCCTCTGCAGCCCCCGGCGACGTACCCTATTCCTGCCCTTCGCGGCCTGCCCACCCCCATTGACCGCGTCAGGCAGCCTACCACCAGGTATCGGCTCATTCACATCCTCGCCGAGGCCCTCGGCCGCGGGCGGCCCCTGCACGTCGCCGGACTCGCACCCGTCCGAGACGACGGTGCACATCTGCTCCTCCCATACCTTGCACCCCTTGCTGCCCGACGGCGGCGCGCTCTCGTAGCACTCGTCCAGCTGCTCCCAGCACGCGTCCGCCGCCGCCCAGCACCCCGTCTCGTCGCTGTATTTGGGCAGGGCGGATGCGCACCAGTTGGCGTTCTTGACGAGGCAGTCTGGGGGGACTAGGCCTGATGGTGTGTTCTGTCGTTGTTGCACCTGCCGTCGGGCGTTGGCGTCGCCGCCGCCGCCGCCGGGGAAGAAGACCTCGGGCCCGACGACCTTGTAGGTGGATGCGTCCTCGGTGTAGACGTTGAAGGTCAGGCCCGGGTCGGCCGGGTCGCTGATGTGGCCGGGGATGGAGACGGTCTTGTCCGAGGGGATGGGCGAGTCCGAGGTGCCGCCCTCGACGGCGAGCTGCGCGCAGCCGACGTAGAACTGGGCGTCCGTCTTGTCGTTGGTGACGTTCTGCAGCGTGATGATCTCGTGCCGCGCGAGGTAGGAGCCCGTGGGTAAGCCGGGGGGTAGGTTGATGCTCAGCAGGCCGTTGTTGTCGATGAGCTTCTCCGTCGCCCACTTCCCGGCCGCCGTGTCGAACCCCTCGGCCCAGATCTTGAACCAGCCCTCCCCCGCGGCCGGGTCGGATTGCATGTCGGAAACATGCTTGAGGTAGATGGCCATGGGGCCGACATGGGATGGGTCGATGGACCCGGGCTGCGCTGCGTCGGCCCACTCGCGAAACTCGAGGGTCAGCTTGGCGCCGGCCGGGGCCGGGCACGAGAAAGCCACGGCGTTTTGTCCGTCCCGTCCTGAGAATGCGTGTTAGATGGCAAGAAGGACTCGTGAGGAAAGGCTCGCTGACGTACCACAAGCCATGTCTTCGGCGTCGAGGCCACCTGCAATAGGATGGGTGGCAAGGTTGCCCTCCTTCGCCATGCGGATGCAGGTACCATCACCCTGGTTTACATCGTCGACGAAAAGCGTGGTAAAGGTAGTATGTGCTTCTGAAAGAGAGGCGAAGCTGGTCACCAGACCGAGCGCGAAAAGAAGAGGGGAGTGCATCATGTATTACAGATTGCACCGGCCAGCCCTCGGGCGAAAGAAAGCAATAAAAATAGAAATAAAAAAAGACCGTGAAAATGAAGTGTAAACGAAGGAATGACTGTCCTCTAGGGAAGAACTTATGTTTCTTTTCTAAAAGAAACGGAAACGAAGGAATGGGTATCTAAAAAGGTTTCCACGAGAGCGTTCGAAGGAGTGGCTAGAATTTAAAGGTGGTGAAACTGAAGAATAGGAGGTGTGGAGCCCTGTAAACGAGGTCAGTTCAGACAACCAAAGTTTAAAATAGAGATTACCTCCGGTCTCTTATATAAGAAGGGCTGTGAATCTGAAAAGGAGGCCCAAAGCCACGAGGCCGATCCCGGGCGCCCGGAACAGAAACAGATCCAGGGTGGTAAAGGGGGAGGGGATCTCACCTTCAGAACAAACACCTAAGAAAGATCACTCGACCAGAATCCCCAACTGAAACAAAATAACTGAGAGGAGGAAACGAATCTGATCAGTCACAAAGACAAAGTTCTCTTCTACATACATACTTCCCACTTCGCAACACACCTTGCAAGGGGGTTGCCCGAACATTCGTCATCTGTGCCGCATTCCCCGAATATCCCCAGAAAAGCTGGGTGGCCTTAACGGCCGAGGAACCAACAAGTATCACCCGTTCTGTTTGCACACTGCATGTTGCGGTTTGAGATAGAGGGATTTGCCGCCCTTGATCGTGTAACGTATCACAAAGGGGGCTTGACATTAGTCGGCGCGACCTCTTCTTTGGCCCGGCCGGACCTGTCCCTGCAACTCGGGAAGATGAACCCAGGGGTGCCATGTGGATCATCGATCACACCAAACCTAAATCCGGGCGGTTTGCCGCTTCTAGCCTTACATCTTCGCGCGCAAGATGTGAGGGCGGCGGCTAAAGAGCGGGTCAGGGGCTACGGCGTTTGTCAACAACTGAGCTCGCTTGAAACATTTGGCTGTCAATTGCCGAGCCGTCACGCAAGACATCTGATAGGTAACAGGTCAAGCGGCACGGTGTCGCTGTCGTGAGCTCATATGCTGAAATTGCAGAATGAGGGCAAGTATTCGATTGCCGTAGCCCGAAGCTTCGTATTACGGTACCGTCGGCGAGGGGTTTGGTCCAGTCTGACATTGTCCAAAGCAGCCACCTGCCAAGGTTTGGATTCGGGTGCGAGAGTCATGAGCCAGAGATGCAAAACGGGCAGTCAGCAAGACCGAACCGTCAGTATCAGCGCTTGGCAACGGCGCCCAAAAGACGCCGAGGACCCCAAATCACCCACTCTCCGCCCAGTCTCGCACGATCTATATCACAATGGCACAGGCCGCGCCTGGGACTGTGACAGCTATAGACATGAACTGGGTGGTTAGGGGGAGCTGCAGAGTGCACCCAATTTGGCAGCAGCAGAACCAAACAACCATATGAGGAATGGCAGGAGTGGAGAGGGTTCTATTGCTTCAGTCTGGCACCAAGCCAAGACAAGTAGATGCACCCGAACCACCTATTCGATATCTGCGAAACTGCCAAGGTCACCAGCATTACGCCGCTGAACGCAGCGGTCGACGATTCGCCCTTCGAGATGTCGTACAGGTTCGGTGTATTTGATACATTATATGGTACACATTCGTTGCTTCGTGGGTATCTTTTCTTGATCCTTTTATTTTACTCGTTGATCTTGGCCAGGATCCTGTAAGGTGTTGTGTCAGTCCATTGCTGGTTTTCGCACAACAATGAACGGTGGCAAGACTTACTCGCTGTCCCGGAAGAGGTGGTACTCCTCCTCGCCAACCTTGACGGGCGAACCGCCGTACTGTATACTGTGTCAGCAACCCCGCCACGACCGCCGCACTCCATGGAATATCCGGTGTTTCCACATACCTGAGGAATGAGGACCTTGTCGCCGGCGTTGACGCCCATGGGGACGCGCTTGCCGTCACGGTCGAGGGCGCCGGGGCCGACGGCGAGGACCTTGGCCTCGTTGAGCTCCTTGACGCTCGACTCGGGAAGGAAGATGCCGCTGGCAGTCTTGGCCTCGGCCTTGACACGCTGCACGAGCACACGGTCGAGGAGCGGGACAAGCGCCTTGATGCTGCGGAACGAGGTGGCCTGTGGTAGGTAAAAGTCAGTGTATCTGCACTCGGTCGGATGGTGAGGGGTTCGGGCGGCATTGGTGCGTGTCAGCTTCTGCGACGTCGAGCCGAGAGCTCCCGCTCGAGCTCCGGGTAGCGTCATCGGGCAGCAGGAGGGGTCCACTCACCATTGTGAAGGAGTCGGGTGTTGACTGGGGAGGGGAGTACAACCGAAAGTATTGCGTTGGTTCGAGGAAGTGATGGGTCTGGCAGGAGAAAAGTCGGGGAAAGATGCTGGCAGGCGAGGAAGCTCCGTTTTCAATCGGCAAGAAAGCGGATCACGATCCGGAGAGCTTCTAGGAACATCTAGAATATCGTCAAAATTTTACTGGGTCCCGGACGGCCGGCGCCAATTGGCTATCGGAGTGCCTTTTCTCCACAGCGACGGTCTTTCAAGAAGTGTGATTGGATAGAGGAAGCCGAGTCGACTCTGCAGTCCCGAACAGCAGCTTCAGGCGCCCATCATCAACACCGTAGGCCGAACCATGGTCACAAGAGGGGAGATTATTGCGGTATGGTACCAAAGGTTTTAGAAAGGCGCTCTAATAGTGAGCAGTTGTTGTGGCCAATGAATTCTAACGTAGTTGTTGGTGAACCTACATAAATGTTTATTGTCCTGAGATTTTAAATAAAACTTCGAGGCTACCTCGCAACATGCGAATTCCAGGGGGGAAATCAGGAGGTTTGGTATTCGAGCAGCAAGAGTGAGATGAACGAATAGATTGATCGTAGTGCCCGCCAGCAGCAAAATAGTACCCGACCGTTGATTGTGGCTGTTAACTTATATATCGCTGGCCTGGTTTCCAAACTGGGTTCGGTTTCTTCCAAACCCCTCCAGCAAGGCCGTTGTTTGAGTAAAGATAAATATACTTCGACACCAGGGGTTGAGCATGGAAACTAATGCAATTCTCTTGTTCTATTTCGGCATTCTCTAATGGCGGTATTTCTCAGTATCCATTGTATCTCGCTACCCTAAGACGCCACTTCCAAACCAATGCTGGACTTTCTCCCCAGTGTATTATTACGGCAACCTCTGAATGCCCCGATGGAGGATCCTAATCTATATGCGCCCGCGCAAAACTCACGCCCAACTTCCCAGAGATGCCAACGCTTTAGACCAAATCATCAAATGCGAACCCTATTCCCAGCTCGCCATATCCTACAGGGCATACCAACGGCCATTGACTTTCCTTAATTCTTTCTCCCGCCTACCCGCCGCCACTAAGCCTTCCTATGACTTAGCAGGCGTCGCAGGCGGCTCCAACACATGCTTGTGATCGTCGGCATTCACCACATGCCCGCCCTCCTGCCGACAGATAACCGTGTCCGCGGCCCACGGGTCATCCATGATGTCGGCCATCGTGGCTCGCTTCTTGGGGTCCAGTTCCAGCATCCGCCCAATGATGTGTCTGCTCTCTCGAGGGAGCAACCGGAGAATGCGCCACGGGCCCCGGATCACCTCCTTCTTCTCCGCAGACGGGTTTTGAGAGCTGCTCTCATTGGCGGTGGTTGATGCCGTAGTCGAAGGCCGCTCAACCTTGCTCGACTCGTCGCGATTTACTGACTTGTTGGCGTCGTTGCGTAGGGCCTGCGGGTCAAAGTCGCGGGCCGGAGTGTCGGCTAACGCTGACGTAGAACTCGCGGGCGGAAGGAGTAGCTTCTTCGGGTCGTGGCCAGGAGTCGGGTCCGCGGCGAAGAGTTTGAACGAGTTGTCGGATAATCTGGGGAGCTTCCACGGAAACCTCCTAAGAGTCATACAACAATAGATGATTGCCAACGACCAAATATCGACCGCTTGTGGGTCATACTTCTTTTCGTCGTAGACCTCGGGTGCGAGGTACGGATCGGAGCCAACGATACCTGGCCACTGTTAGTCCTGCTCCTCCACTGACGCTTCGGGTGTCAAACTTACCTGACGCAGGGACGATGCTGGTTTCGAACGGGTATTTAAACACATGCGCACTCCCAAAATCAATGATCTTCATGATGCCGTGTTCGCTGACGACCACATTGTCGAGCTTGAGATCGCGGTGTGCCAAGCCCATGCTGTGGAGGTAGGTGACACCGCTGAGGATCTGCAAAAAGCAGCAGCTAACCTCCTCCCGGGACATCTTGCCCGTCATGACGATGGCAAAGAGATCGAAAGGGGCGTACTCCATCACCTCGTACCACTTGCCCTTCTCCTGGACGATATCGAGCGTTTCGATGATGTTGCCATGATGAAGCGAAGAACCCATGCAGTACTCTGCCGTCAATTTCTTCACGTACTCGCGCTCCGTTTCGTACGAGTGGCGGGGCCGGAACTCTTTGACAGCAAAGACGACGCCATCTTCAGCACGCTTCATCAGCCTCACGGAACCGCCCGCGCCGGCGCCCAGGACTCTTCCGAGCTTTCCATATTTGGCCGAGAGGCCGTGATCGTCTCCGAAGGGAATCTGCGCCGATTTGGAACTCGGTGGTGTCTTGCCGCCGGACCGAATGGACGACGCTGGCGATGCCGTCCGTTTTGTTTTGTTACTAGGGCCCAATTTGAAGAATCGTTTCAAATCTGCCATAGAGCTGTTCCTGCTATGAATAAGGCTTTCGTCCGACTGCCGTTTCTCGCCCAACGCCCGCGGCAGACTAAGCGTCGACGAACTGGGTGAAGCGCCTGGTTTCTTCTTCCTGGAGAATATGAAGCGTGAATCAATGCCCTTCTGTGCTTGCCGCTTACTCGCGGCGTATGGGTCATCTGAGTCTCCCGGCGGTGGGGCTTGGCGTGAATAAAACAGCGAGGCGGCTGCCGCTCGCGACGGACTGCTGTCGCGGGATGGCGGCACCGAGCTGGCAGGTGAATTTGAGCCGCTTCCAGCACCAACTGAAAACAAGCCCCTCCGGTGGCTACCGAGCGTCGTTTGAGTATTTTCTCTGCCGTCAGAAGTCGCGGGTCTCCGCGAGGTTCGTTCGCGGTCCGCCGAGACGTGCTGCGGCACCGCCAATCGAGATGAACCGGCTGACAGCGGCTCATGGGTCGAATCCTGAGGAGTTATGACGTCGGGTGCCCGACCCAACCGTTCGTGGTTGCCAGGGGGCTCTCGTTTTAGCCCACCTTCGGTGGTGTCTGTCCCGGCTGGTGTAAGAGGTGGTGAGTGCATGTCCGGGCTTCGTCGGCTGGCGGTCAGGTGTGGTGAGCCATGGGCGGTCGAACTTCGAGTTGGTTGGCGGCTCGGCTCTCGAGATTCTTCGTCGCGAGAAGTGGTCTAGAAATAGAATTATTTAGTTGGACACCATTGGCGAAATAGATCTGCGCCTCGGCGCAGCTGAAACAGTTCGCCAGCTTCAAAGAAGAACAAAGAACAAGCCAGGTGCAATTCCAAGTCCACCAACCACCCCTACACAGCAAAAATGACAAGGACCACCGTCGTCACCGCTAACGGGAAGGCCAATTGTGAAAGTTGCGAGGTGCAATACGTACCCTTGAAGGCGGTAATGAAACAGGCTCGTATGAGAATATGTTCATTCTGCGTTCCTGGAGCGGGCAGGCTCTCAACCTGTCGGAAAGCTGGCGGATGTCCTCAGAAGTTACCTGGCCGGGATTGCCGAGAGGGACGCCGTTGGCCAGTGGTAAACTCGTCGAAGTCGCATTATCGGGGGCAATCTCTTCAATCGTGGACTTGAACCGGACCTGTGATTGTTGGTTGTCTTGGTCATCTGCCGTAACCTGGGTCGAGTCTGGATTTGGCAGTTGGCGTTAGCAACAAGGTTTGCGATCGCTTCAGTCAAACGGGTCCAGTGGCGGTTGGCCGCAGGCCTCTGTTTGCGTCCAGCGGGGATGGTGAGGGGCAGCGCTTTTTCTTTACCTTCTTTTCGGAGCTCCCGGTCTTGGGAATTCGTCGTCGACATCTTGACCGCCAGGGGCTCGAACGAGGCCTTAATCTAGAGTGCCTATGCGAAAGAAAGGTGGTGACGGGGTTGCCTCGGAATCGTGCAGAATGCAAACAGCAGGAAAAAAACAGCAACCGGTCTAAAGATGACGGCTGCACCTTGGGCAGCGTGCGAACGAGGCCGTTCCGACGTAGTGGGGCTCAGCTACTTGGCAGGTACATGATGCAGGGCGTTGGCGGGCCGAATGTTGGCTGAAATCTGCGGGAGGCGCGGGTACCGTGAAAGGGCCGTTGAAGAAGACCCAGGCCCAGCCTTCGTCAGCACTGGGATTCCTGGGGGCGGTAAGGTTATTTCCGGGTCCCCTGGTTGACAGACTTTTTCTGAAGTGCTGTCTTAGATCGCAATGACTCGCGATAAGAGCTCAACCATCGGACGCAGTTTGGGCCGAGAGTAACTAACACGTTTGCAAAAGAGGGGTTTCTCGGAGGGGTCTGGCCGTGGTGTCTCCGAGGATCCCGGAAGGCTGTAAGGCGGAATCGCGGTGGGTTCCCATCCATTTATTGCGTCAACCTATTCATCATGAGATTGGTGGCCCGCCGTCCGAAAACTCGCTCTTAAAACGCACCAGACTGGCACGTGCGACTTGAGGCGGGGATTGATTTGATATGCATGCTTCAGCTGCATCTGCGGTGCAGGTTCGGCCTTCGGCATACTGAGCAAAGCCGGGTTGACCGGACCACGCAATCAACCCGCCAAGCCCCGCCCGCCGTAACGGATACCACCCCAAGGCCGGCCCGCACTGCCGTTCTTTCGCCGGCAGAGTGGAGGGCCCTCCCGGCCCTCCCCGCCCTGAAAACAACACGCGCAAGACATGTTTCATATGATGCGCTGCATGATTCAAGGCTGACTGGGCCGGTGACGGGAGAATCGATCGCGGGAAGCAGGTACGGTGTAACGCGCCAACAATCACCCAACGCTCGGATATATGCCCTCCGATCCACGGACAGATATGGTACAGATTTGATGTACAGACATAAGAGACGCGTTGCCCCTCCCATGCATGCTCACATGGCCGGAGGATGCGCCCAGCCAAAACCGCTTTAGAAACAACCATAACGCCCGCCCTGTGCTCCATCCCAGTCTGTATGCCGACGGGCCCTCATGGGACAACCGAAATTCCAATCGACCTCGACTGGTAGATAATGGACCGGCAGATACCTTCGAGGGACAGACCGGAGAGTCGGAGCTCGGATTGCTTGATTTTTGCGATTTCGTAGATATGCTTGAGGCTGACCGTCCCCACGGTTTCCTTCCCCGGGTTGCTTGCCCCTTTCCTCTTGCCCTTCTTGCCTGCCGGCACCTCGGCCGCGTTAAGTAGAAGCCATGATGTCTGTGGTGTCCGAACCTCGAAATGGAATGTCCTGTCTCCTCTGACCGTTACGCGGACAGGCATCGGGGTGCCGGCGATCAAGTGCTGTGTTCTAGCATTGAACTCCTGCGAGGACGGATCAGCCAACCGGATACAGACTCTCCCGGTATGGTATATTTCTAACCTTGCAAAAGTCCATTGACTTGATACCCTTGCTACCCAGCGCTGGGCCGACGGGTGGACTTGGGCTTGCCTGGCCGGCACCGACGATGATCTTGACCACCTGGTCCATCGCAGCGGACCGTGCCTTCGACATCTTTTCGACCAGATACGCAGGTCTTGTATATTGGTGGTGTAAAGAATGAATAGAGATCGGGGGTCGCGTGAGGCTGGGTCGTTGTCCGTCGTCGATGCCGGGAACCCCCCAAAAATTTCGGAGCTTTGCGAGAACAATGGCCGACACCAGCCACATTCAGCCAACGGGCCTGGAAACTTAGCCACAGGCATCCGTCTCGGCACAGTCGGGTCAAATAAAATGTCCGTGCACTGGCTGACGGACGCGGCCGAGTGACGTCCCAAATGCGAACAGGGGTTTTGTTAGCGTCAAGCTCTCCCGCCTTCGGGCAGCGTTTGCGAGGGGTCCCTCGACAGCGGTGAATGGCTCTCCCCAAGTCTTATCTAAAACAACTCTCACGTTCACTGTGAAAAACCTAGTGGCTCCCCTTCTGTCCTTTTTCGACGACACCTTTTTGGTCTCTCAACACCGATCCTACGAAACCGACATCATGTTCAAGTGGGCGCAGCAGCAGTAAGAATACAGGCGCCCTAAACCCCACCTTCGTCGTCGAATTCTAATTTGTATCCCTCTAGGCTGGCCAACGTCGCCGGCACGCAGGAGCCCATCTATGGCGCCTCTGCCATCAAGTCGGTCGCCGAGGAAGCCGAGACGACGCCTTACTCAGAGCTCACCAGGGACGACCTAAAATGGCAAGCCATGGAATCCACCAGCGTCGAAACACAGACCTTCTACTTCATGGCCGACAGTGGGCAGCTTGCCTTTGCCCAAGTCATCTATAGCAACGTGGCGTACGCCTCCCTTACTACCCGCCCAAGCTATATGTGCTGACCCTTCTTAAGCGGCATCCGCACGACCTGCCAGTTTAACTGCAAGATCTTCAACCTCGACGGCTCGAAGCCCCACCTCTGGTCCACGAACCCGTTGAGCAACCACGACTTCAGCGAAGACCGGACCGGTTTCTACGCCGACGATTGCGCCCTGGAGCTCTCCGAGGATGGAACCACATATACAATCAAGTCGATGAACGACGATCAGGCCATTGTAAACCTAACCGTCAAGCGGACGGCCCCGGGTTTCAAGGCTGGAAAGACCGGCAACACGCTGTTCGGCACAGACCTCGCCAACCCGTGGGGATCCATGCGCCACGTCTTCTGGCCGAGGTGCACTGCCGAGGGAACTGTCACGACCAAGGAGGGCCCCGTCGACTTCAAGGGCAAGGCCTTCTTCTCCTTTGCTCTGCAGGGTATGAAGCCGCACCATGCCGCGGCCAAATGGAACTTTTGCAATTTCCAGGGCCCAACGTACTCGGCCATCCTGATGCAGTTTACCACCCCGCCATCGTATGCTTCCACCGTGGTCAGTGTGGGTGTCATTGCCAAGGAAGGGGAGATCCTTGTTGGCGGCTGCAAGAGCGATGTCACACACATTCAAACCAAGAGTGACAGTGAGAACGACTGGCCAGAGCCGACGACCATCAAGTACACGTGGGCCGGGACAACCAAGGATGGAAAGCCTGTGGAGGCCGCCATTGAGGGCGGCCTTGAGGATAAACTAGACAGGATAGACGTGATGGCCGAGGTCCCCGGTTTCGTGAAGAAGATCGTGGCCGGAGCCGCAGGCACGAAGCCGTACATCTATCAGGTTAGTTTCCCCCCCCCGGTAATACATTGCCCACTTGACTAACAGCGCATAGTACTCGCCGCAAAAGACGAAGCTATCGCTAAAACTCAAGATCGGGGATCAGGAGATTTCCGAGGAGGGCTTCGTGTTCAGCGAAGCAACCTTTATTTCTGAATAGACGTCTATCTTAGTCGGGTAGAGGGGCTTTGGGTACAATGTCTGGCAAACAGGTGTCAAGACCGGCGTTGGGGATGGTTACGATCAGAAACTGGACACTCGTTATACGGTTATACACGTTGCACAGAACCTGAGCGGAGGGCATGGGAATGGCCTAGACAGGAGAGACGGGTTGCTGGTCTGTTGAATACGTAATAATAAGATCCCTAGTAACTCAGGGAACTCAACAGCTGCACTAATATAATTGCCAACGCTCGAAAAGTTGCGATATGAGAGGTTACAAGTCGCGAATGTTCCTTGGACGCCACGGCATATGAGAGCACCCAAGTCCATTTCTTGTTCATTTTAATTTCTTGATCATAGGATTTTATCCCCGCACTGGCCGTAGTTGACTCGAGTTGAACGGAAATAATCTAGAATGGATGCCAAACAAAACCGGAAGGTGCTGTTTGCAACTGCGCAGTTGTGAGGCCAACAACAAAGCCCCACTTTCCATTCGGGGCGCGACACCTTCCCGGTCTCGTTCTCAACCAACTCAAACTCTGAGTTTAACAACCCCCATCCCATTTACGAGCAAAAAATACGGTCGATTGCCAAAAGTCGACCCGAAAATACAATGCCGCCCACCATCCCCCAGCGCGGCGGCCCGAGTGGCCTGAAGCGTTCCAGCATCGCTGGCAAAACGCTCCCAAAGACAGGAGCAAAGCGCCATCGGTAAGTCGTACATACCAGCCCTCTGCCGCATTTAGTTCTCTGTGAAACCAGCCTACTAACATAGCATTTTGTGTCTCAGGAAGATCATCAAAGACTGTATTCGTGGTATCACGAAACCGGCCATTCGGTATGTGTAATCTCCGAAGGCAGGTGGGTCAGCATCGCTGCCATTGTTGACGCCGCCTGCCAAGTCTGCTACAAAGATCATGAGATTTCACGTACATATTTGACGGGTTGGAAACCTTACCGGGCTTGAGAGCATATTTCCATTTACTATTGACTTTATTCCGCGTGTTAGTTTCTTTGTTGGCTTCGTGTATCGGGGTGGAAAGTTTCAACTCGGGCTTTTTTCTTGGGCTTGTTGATATTTTTGACTTCAATCTTACAAGGTGTCTCGAATGGATACGACAGTTGCTAACAATAACAGGCGTATGGCTCGTCGTGGCGGCGTCAAGCGTATCTCAGCCACTATTTACGATGAAGCGCGCCACGCGCTCAAAACCTTCCTGACCACCGTATGCTTCAGCGGCTCTCTTCGGGCTTCCCTTACTTACTAATAAGGTACTAACATGTCGATAGGTCTTGCGTGACGTCGTCACATACACAGAGTACCGCAACGCGAAGACCGTGACCGCTAACGACGTGAGTGACGCAGAACAATGAGCAACATCTTGGTCATGACTGACTGGACTTTAGGTCATCTTTGCCCTCCGCCGCATTGGCCGGCCGATTTACGGATTCGATCCCGACACTCATAATCCGAGAAAGGAGAAGTCGACAAATGTGCGTCGGAATGATCAGGATTAATCTCGAAGCCCGGGGCTTTTTCTTCTCCGCGTGCCTCAGCTGTATACGCGCCAACTGATTTCTCATGTTGCTCTTGTGATTTGGGGCCGGAAGCATTATACCAAAACGTAGTTGTTTGTCTTTTTCACGGCTGGAGTACGGACAGGGTGGGCTCTGCGATATATACGGCACCATGTTGGGAGCTGCTGTATACAGGACGGGTCTCAATAACCGGACGGAAGGGTGAAGGGTGCAAGGGCCAGAGCTAGTATATGAGACTAGGACTTTGTGCTAAAATGCGACCTGAACTCTGCTACAAAAGGTGCGCTGTTGGTGGTGAGTGATGAAACAACAGTAAAACCAAGGTATCATTGAGCGAATGTCTATGTGGTATCTTAAAGGAGAACCGGTTAACAGATCCGCCCTCAGAGTGTCGACCGCCCGGGCATCCATCGCCAAACCAACGCCGTGTTGCCCATACGAAGCCAAATTGAAAAAAAGCAACCGATTGTGCTACCGTATGCATACCAAGGAAGCCCTCACCGGTATCCAAATACCCCAGAACCCAACAAAGCCAAGCGCCCCTCCGTCACCTCCTCCGCCCGTCCCGCTCCCCCAGCACCCGTTCCAGCGCCCGCGCGGCCCGCATCTCCCCTTTCCTAAACGGGCTGTTGAACATCTCCGGCAGCACCATGATGCTGTTGGCATGCTCCTTCGCGAACCCCACCTCGGCGTCCTTGCCGCACCGCTCGCGCGTCACCCGCGCCGCCTCGCGGAGCAGGTCCCCGCCCACGCCCCGGCCCCGGTACCGCAGCCGGGTCGTCCAGGCCCGGATCACGCCCCGCCCGCCCTTGAGCTTGAAGCTGTTCTGCCGGCTGTGCGCCTTCCGCCGGCCGCCGCCGCCGCCGGTGCCGCCGCCGCCGTTCCCGTCCGACGACGACGTGGGCCGCTCCAGCCGGAGCACCACCGCGCCGACGACGTCGGGCCCGTACCGCGTGCCGAGCACCAGGTCCTCTTCGTCGCCGTCCCGCCCGGCGGTGAGGAAGTCCCACGATACCTCCTCGGCCGCGCGCAGGTAGCCCGAGGTGAAGAAGCGGATGGCAGTGAGGTAGGTCATGATGGCGCCGCTGACCAGCATGAGGACGGTGCCGAGGTCGTTCTGTGAGTTTTGCGTCCAGGCATAGCGGTAGATGGCCGCGAGCACGGCGAGGATGGCCGCAAGCGGCAGCGGGTGGAAGACGAGGTGGAGGGCGGCGGCCTGGCGCTGCTGGGCGATGCTGTCGGCTACTAGCTTGAGGGCGGCCGCTTTGTCCTCCCGGGAGGTGAGGAGTTCGAGGGAGAGCGGGGGGATGTTGTCGTCGAGAGCTGCTTGGGTAGGGCTGGTCCCGAGGGGTGACGGCGAGACGGGTGGGAGGGCTTGTGGTGTGTGTGGCCCGAGGGTGGGCGTCGAAGCGTTGGACATCGTGGAGTCCAGGAGGACGAGGTTGGCGCGGAGGAAGGTTAAAAATGCTGATCGAGAGATGTCAACACAAGCTCTAAAGTCTAAGATTGTCCGATGTAACTTGATGTAACGGTGGGTTGTTTGCGTTTATATTGGCCCCCCCACAGCCCTCTCGCTCTTCTGCAGTCCCCGGCGTTGAAACAAGACCACCACCGACTCTTGGAGGTGCAAAACTCGCATGAAGATGGTGGACGTGGTGAAGCCAAAAACAAAACCAAAAACAAAAAGAAATCTCGCTTACCAGCACTTGTCTTCAAGCCAGGCACCGCATTTATCCTGTCAACAAGGGTGTTCGTTTGACAGGTGCTCAGATTGAGCTCGGTGATGGCACCCACGTGCCGAGAGCTCGCCATGGCACAGGTCCAGGCTCGGTCCAAAATCAATTAAGCACTTGCAAGCGAAATGCCGAATCAGCCGCAACTGCCCAGGTTGCAATACCGCCGCAGTGGATTTGGCTCTCCAAACATTCCCTCGTTGAGCGGAGGGTTTAACAACTCGGAGATTGGGAAGGAGGGGGGATGCGAGCGGTGTTAAAGGACCAAGATGAAACGTTGGGGTGCGAAGAGGTGCTGGGAAGCGGAGGCGGCAGAAACAGGCCTGCAAGATCGGGGCATGCCCATCGGGAGATGCCCTTATAGGAGGATGATAAGCACAAGCGGCTACCAATATGACGCCAGCGGCCTCTGTGATGTGCATGCAGGAGCGGTCCATAACCCCCAATAGATAGCAACCGTTGCAGATCCTCTATATACCTCTTGCAACGCCTCGTCCCCCGCGCGCGCTCAGACAACCATCTCGAACTGCGGGGTTGCTCGTCAGTTCGGCGGGCTGCATGTTGGGGATCAAGGGGGTGACCTGATAAGGTCGGGACACAGGGAAGAACCGATTTCGTGGTTGGGACTGTGAAGCCAATGGGCGATCCGATGCAGCAGCAAAAGGTCTGCGTGACCCCATCACCAACCATGAACCCCACTACCGTCGCAAGCCCCTCACCCTGAAACAGCTCAAACCAGCCCAGTGGGTTTACCTCGCGCTCGCAACGACCGTGACGATGGGAGTCCCGCTTGCTCGGGGCATTGGTCTTACGAAGACGGGAAGATCGACAACAAGAATTACCTCGCCAGATTCCTCGCACTCATAAGCCACCTTTAGACCATGTTGCCAGCCCTCAACGGCCATGCCTTGGTGTAAAACAAACAGCCAGGCAGGGTCGGGCATGGGACTTTGGATGAAAGGGAGAAAACCGTCGACTGTACGGCAAGGGGGAAAAAAGCTGTCGATCCCAAATGCAGACAAAGTCTCGCGTTCAGCTGCACGGGGCTGGGTAAATAAATGGTTGCTGACACCGTAACTTCGGAGCGAAGTCACCAAGTTATGAGTGAGTCGAACATCGTGAGACAACGTTGATTGCAAAGATGATCAGACCCGACGGGCATCGACGGTGGGGGTGCCCGGTTCCAGATCAACCAGAAGATGTGCAGGGGCCACACTCGAGACTTTGGGAGTGTTGCAAACATTTCAACCCTGGTTTGGGGGCGGCACAGGAGGAAACACTGGCGCCCGTGTTTCATCACTTCCCATGCGCCGGGCACATCCGTCAGGTCAGGGTGCAGGTGAGTCAGAATCGCAAAACTCGGTCACCACAACCATTGTTGCGGGGCTTGGGCAGCTTTTGTTGACTGTGTAACAATCGCGAGGATCGAACATCCATCGCGGTCAACGGGAAAATTCGGTCTACTTCTTATGGGATTTGCAACGTCGTTCACCTCATCGAGGTGCCGCCTCCATTGCCTCCTTGCAGGAAAGAATCATGTGATCAATATTTGATGTAATCCGTCCGAAGCAGGCGAAGGTGCTGCTTGGCCATCCTGTATAAGCAAGATGCCCCGCGGAACAAAACGGAGATGCTCACAGTGGCCGCTGAGTCACCCCCGAAAGATTCCGATGCTGAACGGATCGCCAAGCACCCAGCTGACCCATTGAACCCTGACACAGCCGACCTTGAACGAACTTACGGCGCTTGTTATTCGAGGTCTCGTTTTTTTGTCCGTTGGCTGGGCCTCAAAGGCACGGAAAAGACTGGAGAATGGCAATTTCTGCTTGTCAAGGTTTGTTGTACGCCGGATGAGACCGGACGAACCCGGCGTGAAGTTCTCGAATGCCTGCCGTTTCCTGTTTTTGGCCTCTTCCTTTTGTGTGGCTCATTCCATGTTCCCAACAGCTCGATATAAAAAGCCACGAGGTACATTCCAAGAGGCGCCTGCTTTCTTCGTGTCGATATTAATCACCCCACACACCAAAGCTCACCTAAACACCATACAACGGTACCCACATCGTTACTTTGTTTACACTTCAACCCAATGCTATCCTTCGAAGCAAGCAAGAAGGTCTGCTCGCCCAAGCAGGCAGCGCAACTGAGCCGCGCTGTGGCACCCTTTCTCTACCAAGCCCATGCTGTCGGGCTTGGTTATCCTGCCACAATCCGCGTTGCTGCGATCACTCGCCAGTGCCAGTCGAGAGCTTCTCTCCGGCCCACCCCCTCCAGTAAACGAAGCTTCTCGACGACAAGTGTCAACCAGCTCCGAGATGTCTTCCCCGCTAAGGACACGCCGTACATACGCCAGACACCCCCAGCTTGGGAACACCCAGGTTACACCGAGGAGGAGATGCTGGCAGTCACTCCTGGACACAGGTCGCCCGAGACCGTAGGCGACTGGGTTGCGTGGAAGCTAGTCCGCTTGGCCCGGTAGGTGCCCCCAGTTCTGAGTAAGCAGGAAAATTTCGCTAACGACAAGCGCAGATGGGCAACTGACCTTGCCACTGGCATCGGACGGGAGCAGCAGGTCGATATGAAGAATCCGACCACTGCTGTAGCGGCAGAGAAGCCACTGACAGAGGCCCAATGGGTACGAAATCCCACTACCTATGCCTGATGCTCGCGAGTGTGGGCCGTCCCAGTCCTTCGCCCCCCAAAGCCATCTTCAGCCTGCGTCTTGACAGCTTTTGGTCATTCAGGCGGCGACATCTTCTTTCAAGGTCAATCCGCTAACCCACGTTTACTAGCTCGTGAGAGTCATCTTTCTAGAGTCGATCGCTGGCGTCCCCGGAATGGTTGGAGGCATGTTACGCCACCTACACTCCCTCCGCCGTCTCAAGAGAGACAACGGCTGGATCGAAACCCTGCTCGAGGAGTCATTCAACGAGCGGATGCACTTGATGACTCTGATGAAAATGGCCGAAGTTGGGTGGTTTATGAAGACCATGATCCTAGGAGCACAAGGTGTCTTCTTCAACGCCATGTTTCTCAGCTACATCGTCTCCCCAAAGATTACCCACCGGTTTGTGGGTTATTTGGAAGAGGAAGCGGTGCACACATACACTCGCTTACTCCGCGAGATCGAACAAGGCGACCTACCAAAATGGTCCGACCCAACCTTCCAGATCCCCGAGATCGCAATCACCTACTGGCGCATGCCCGAAGGGAAGCGGACCATGAAAGACCTGATTCTCTACATCAGGGCCGACGAAGCCGTTCACCGTGGCGTCAACCACACACTGGGAAATCTGAAGCAGAAGGAGGATCCGAACCCCTTTGTCTCCGAGTACCGAGTCGGTGAAGAACAACGCAAACCCAAAGCGGGCCTGAAGCCGGCCGGATACGAGCGGAATGAGGTTATTGGCTAATGCCACTCGTTGAGGCATGCTGGATGGCAATATTGTTTTCGGATACACTTGGCTTTACTTGGGCGTTCACGGTTCCGGGGCCAAGCGGACTTGAGCCCCGGTTGGGCGTTGGGGCAGATAGACTATATACCCTCTTCTCTCTCTTTCATTCAGCAAGGCACGGGCGTTTAAAACACGGCTTGTTAGGTAGATACGGTAGCAAGCATGCAATAAAACACTGAAGTCGGCGGGTTTCGCCTCGAACGTTTGTGTTAGACCAGGACGGTCCCCACGCGCATTCTAGAGTGCTCACAGCTTCCCAAGTCAAACCCCGGACATGCCCCAATCCTGACCAGGTACACAGGCGTTATTTTTTCTTCCTTTTTTCTTGCTTTCTTCTTCTTCTCGTCCCGTAACCTAGCCACGAACATTCCCCTCTTTCAAGGCATGACCATCCTCAATCATCAAGACAAAACGTGCTATGCAGTTCCCGCATGGATATAATTGTGCCCGTCCACTCAGGCACGCGCCAAACTCAATGCCAAGATATTCCAGCGAATGTGCTGTGTAGGGCTGCAGCAACCTCAGTCCAATGACTGTCTCGCCGTTTGGGCGCGTTCGTTGGGCACGGCGAAGATAAATGCTGCGAGGGTCGTTGCACGGGAGTCGGGCAATCGACGAATCAATCGGGCGCTTTTAGACGAAGGCGATCAGCAGGACTTCTGACGGTGCGGACCCGGCTCATTGATCAGGATCTCCGAGAGACCGATGCTGATGAAGGGACTACACGCCCTTGCCAGTCCTTGGAGTTACCGTGTGTGCGTGTCTCACTCTCGAAGGGGTTATGGTTGCCAGTGCGGGTTCCAGTCACCCTTGTTCCATCACTCCGCTTTAGATTTCCATTCTCGTGTCTCACTCATCATTTATGCCGTGTCCTTCGCGCTCTCTTTTAGAACGGGGATGACACAGCTTCGTCATTGCGCTCCTTTACTTCGTACTCGAATCGAACATCAGTCTCGCTTCCTTCGACGGCGACCCTAAGATAGCTCAGTCTGTACATGTTCGCCGAGAGTAGCAGCCCCTGTTTGGATGCCCACAGTCACCGCTCCGCCTCAACCCAGCTTGTTGCCCCTGCGATATGCGGCTCAAGGGTGCTGAAAGGTAGGCGAACGATGCCGACGCCCAAAGCGCACTGAAGCCGGTTCGAGGAGGGGTTGTGAGACGCAGGGTGCTCGAACGCAGCATCGAACCCTGTCCAAAGTACATACATAGGAAGATCACAGTCGAAAATTGCCACGATCAAAGCCTCAAAGCAGAGCGCTTGTCAAATATAGATAGCACGCTAGTGTTGGTCGCAGCAAACAACGTGTGAAGTTGGTGGAGAGTTTGGCCCCTTCCGGCGACGGCCAGTTCAGCGACAAGCACAGTGAATGAAGGGCCTGAGAACTGAAGGGCACGATGAGTTCCGTTTAGGGAAGCTGCGGGACAGCTCGAGGCTAGCCGAGAACGATTCGCTGCCGGTGCCCCACTCTGGCTCCTGCCGCTCACTTGGACCCGCACACCCGGCCCCTCCAAGCACTGAGTGTCTCCATCCTCATTTGGGAGAGGAGAAAGAGACGGCGGCTACGAAACGTCAGATTGCGAACCACCGCCTCCCCCACGGCCGCGCACAGTTCAACGCTCGCAGACCGACTCGGGGAATCCCACTATCGTATTTGCTACAGGGAACAAGCTGCCAGCGAAGCATCTGCACGCTTGTAACAGCCGGAATCCCAGGCGCGTCGTCGTCGCAGCACAGCCTCACAGCACTGCCACTGCCGCCGGAAGGCTGATCGCACTTGTCCACCAGTCTGCCTCGCCCTGCTTCTAAAGACAGCAACAATCACGTACCTTCGTACCACACACGACCTGATCGCAACGGTCCGGTACCGATCCATGGACCAACAGCATCCCCAGGCCCGCGGGCGTTCGCTCTCGGCGACGTCTGCCGGTGGGGGTATAAGGAATGCCCACTCGCCGTCGCCTGCTCGCTTCCCCAATCCGAATGAAGACGCAGCCTCATCCATCGGTCTCGGTGTAAACCTCGTCGACCCAGCTCTCCAGCAGTTTCCCGTCTCCCAACCCGACTTCTCGGCCTATGACGCGAATGCCGGCAGCTTCCTGAGCAACCAGCAATCCGCCCCGCAATCCTTCTCTCAGCCAGGCCTCACGAACCCCTCCACCGTAACGACGTTCGACTTGACCCAAGACTTCACCGGCCAAGTCAAGACCGAGACTTCGCCCTTCGGCCCCCCCAGCCCCGGAAGCTTCCCGTCGCAATCTCAACAGCAGCAACAATCCGGCCTCCTCGCCCCAACCTTTGGTGACGGCGGCGACTTCACCATTTTCCCGCCTACAGCGGGCGAGCCACAGTTCAACACCCCACTTTTCGGCACCGACGGTCAGCAACAGCTTTCCGTCCCAGAACCCAACATGATGGCTCAGGCAAACCATACGCCGACCCCGCCTCACCTCCTCAACCCCGATCCGCAGCAGCCCGGCTCCGCGAATCATTCCCCCCGCTTCAACCAGCATCAGTTTTCCTCCCCGCCCGGGAGGCACTCGAGAAATGTCTCTCTCGGCCCGGAGGCGGCACTCCTGCCGGGGCAACTGGACTGGACTCACGCGGGGCCTCAGTTCCAGGGGCACAGGCGCAGCGCTTCGGAGTACTCAGAGGTCTCCTCGGCTGCGCCCTCTCCCAACCTCGTTAGTTCAGACACATTTGAACACCTAGATCATCACCACTCCCCGATGCAACGGCCACAAGACCCCGCGATATTTCAGGAGTTGCACGGGATAGGCAGCTTTAGTATCTCGGACCATGGCGCACACAGCCCGAGTCATGGGGCAAGGAGCCCATCCCATAGTCCTGCCATATCGCCTCGTATACTTCCACAGCAGCTCCCCGATATGGGTCAGCAGGGCAGCTTCTTGCTGCCGAACCAGAACAACGGCTTTGGCCCTTCTTCGTACATGCCAGCCCCTCAGGAGGCATTCCCTCAACTCCAGGACACGCCCGAGATGCAACAGGGGATGCCGGCCCCGCCTTCCATCAACATTGACTTTGCGCCGACTGCCGTTCGGAGCGGTTTCGAGCAACCAAAAAATCTCGACATTGATTCGCTAACGCCGCCAGAGCGAGGTACGTACATTAAGTTTCCGCGCGGCCTTGGGAATCCGTGAATTAACCTCGTCTTGAACAGGGCGCCAAAGGGTACAACGACCCCGCGCTGTCACGGACCCTTATAACAGCAGTGCTACGCTCTTGGGAGTCCACCGCAGTGCTTCGGCCTCTGGGGGTCTCTCGCCTGACGCTGCCGCCGGCACGCGGCCCGAAACATCCCGCTCACTCTCCCCGCTTGACCGCGCAGGCAGCACGGCGGCGAGCAGGAGGCGCCAATCCACCTCGGCCGTCCCCAATAATGTCATGGCGCTCCGTCTTGTCGATCCCGACTACAACGGCGGAGCCCAGGGGGAAGGTGGTGGAGGCAGCGCGAAGCGTGTGCAAAAGCACCCGGCCACGTTCCAGTGTACTCTCTGCCCGAAACGGTTTACCCGAGCCTACAACCTGCGCTCACACCTTCGGACACACACCGATGAGCGGCCGTTCGTCTGCACTGTCTGTGGCAAAGCGTTTGCACGGCAGCATGATCGAAAGCGTCACGAAGGCCTTCACTCTGGTGAAAAGAAGTTCGTTTGCAAGGGAGACCTCAAGCGTGGAGGGCAGTGGGGCTGTGGCCGGAGGTTTGCCCGCGCCGATGCGCTTGGCCGTCATTTCCGGTCTGAGGCCGGCCGTATCTGCATCAAGCCACTCCTCGACGAGGAGATATCCGAGCGGATGAGGCAGTGGGACGAGGACCAGAGACAGCAAGCTCAGCAAGCCATGGCTCAGGGACTAGTCATGCAGCCGCAGGGCATGATGATGCCGCCCGGCATGGACCCCAACGCCGGCGGTTACCCGATGGACGCCAGCGGCAATTATGCGCTACCGCAGGCGCTGTTGGCGCAGTATCCCGCCCTGGCGCAGATGAACTGGTCGGGTGCCGACATGGGCGGCGGCGGCAGCGGCATCGAGGACGAGCTGAGCGGCAGAAGCAGTTTTGATGCGAGCGACTACGACGGCGACGACGACGGCGGCTACGTCAGCGGGCCCGGCACCGGCTTCGGGCAGGGTGGGATGCAAGAGAACTTCGGCGAGATTGGCTACGCTAGTGACTACGGCGGGCGCTAATTTTCTCTTCCCCTTGCCGCTCTCTTGTCTTTTTTTGACTTTCTTGGGCCCTTGGGTGCAGTGGCAACCAGATTCTCTAAGGTGCACTTTTTATACGGATGGACTGCATCCCCCCTTTTGAATGGATGATATTCATAAGCTTTATACCTCTCTTGGTTTATACCTGTTTATCTGTTGGATGCGCGGCTATAGTGTGTGGACGGGGTTGTTTGTTGTTGATGACATTGATGATTTGGTCAGAATTTTTATTCTCATGACGGTAGATAGGTGGTCACTGTGTTCGGGATAGGCTTGAGGCAATAGGTAGGAAGGCCTTCAGCGCGGCCAGGCTATTATGGGCTCGGATTTCTGTAGACTGGGTCGCGATGGTTAGAGATAAATAAAGCCAGCGTTCGGCGTTTCTCGCTTCTTGGCAAACGTACAGGTCTATCCCGAAGTGCCACCCAACGAACATCCCCTCGCGGGGGTTCCAATCGTGTAGCCTAGCGTTCCGGAACCGGAATACTGCGTATCCGTATCCCGCCTCGGCCCGGAAGCTAACTATGACGCTGCTTATTTATTTAGGTTGCATTTGTCAGGTCCTCGCTCAGGTCCCGCCCGAGGATACTTGCACATAGTTAATATCTTATTCCCAGAGAATGGAGGCCTGCTCATCAAAGCCTTCGGAGGGTGGGCTACCCGGGGAGGCTTAAGCCAAGCCCGACGTACTGACTCGCAACCTTCAAGTTACATGGGCTCCTGGAATCCATCCCCGTGTGACGTCGGTCCCCAACACGGTAAACACGGGCGCAATTACTAATGCGTGCCTCGATCGGACATACTATCGTCCGATACGCCTAGACGCGGCGTATTGCGTGACTAGCCGGCAGCTGTAGCGAGTGAAGGGTGTGGTTACCTTGCAGTTCTGAGATGAAGTTGCCCTGACCTTCGGCGTTTGGTCACGGCTGTAGTATGGAAAGAGCCAGGGGAGGGGTCACATTGTATCTCCTACGTATGGCCTTGACATCATGGAGGTGGAATTTATAATCCCGTAGACGGTATATAGTAGGCGTACATGTCCCGCCATTGACCGTTACTGCCGGCTGAACCCAATCTTATCCTCAACCATACCCCCAGCCTTCTGTCACCTAAACAATCACCACTTCACGGACTTTGTTGGTCATAGCAACAACGTAACCGAAACTGCCATGGCGCCCCCTTCGGAGATCAAAGCTGTGGTCGTCACCAAGCCCGAAACGGCCGAAGTCAAGACGGTGCCCCTCCCAACGCTTCCGGATGACTACATTCTCGTCCGCACCACGGCTGTGGCACTCAACCCAACGGACTGGAAGCACGTTTACGTGGGTTTTAACGTCGTAGGGGCCGTCGTAGGCTGCGACTATGCCGGCGTCGTCGAGCAAGTCGGGCCCAAGGTGACCAAGCCGTTCGTCAAGGGTGATCGTGTCTGCGGTATGGTCCACGGGTCCAACACGTTGCGGCCCGAGGGGGGTGGTTTTGCGGAGTACGTCACCGCCAAAGGCGATTTGCAGATCAAGATCCCCGACCACCTGAGCGACGAGGACGCCGCCACGCTAGGTGTGGGCATTAGCACCGTGGTATGTACCCCCTTGACAACCCCCAACCGATACAACGAACTTGGCTCAGCGGCTGACCTCTCCCAAAGGGCCAAGGTCTCTACCAGGCCCTCCAGCTGCCCCTCCCCGGCATCGCCGAGGCCGCCTCCGCTAGCAACCCGCCCCCCGAGATCCTGATCTACGGCGGCAGCACGGCCACGGGGCTTCTCGGGATCCAGTTCGCCAAACTGTCGGGGGTACCGGGTGGTGACGACGTGCTCGCCGGCCAACTTCGCCTACGTCAAGTCGCTGGGCGCCGACGCGGCGTTCGACTACCGCTCGCCCGCCGTGGTCGACGAGATCAAGGCGTGGAGCGCCGACGCCGACGCGCTGACGCTGGCGTGGGACTGCATCGCCGAGGGCGACGCCCCGCGCATCTGCGCGGCGGCGCTGAGCCGGACGCGCCCGGGCCACTACCGCGCCCTGCGGAAGGTCGAGGATGAGACGCTGGCGGCGGTGAACGACAAGGTGGATAATGGGACGACGCTCGGGTACACTATTTTAGGGGAGCCGATTAATAAGGGGAAGCTGCAGCCTGGTATTCCGGAGGATTATGAGCATGGCAAGATGTTCTGGGAATTAGCGAGGGGGTTGTTGGAGCAGAAGAAGATCAAGCCTGCTAAGGCTGATGTTAATCGCGGCGGGAAGGGCCTGGAGGGTGTGCTGGTTGGGCTGGAGGAGCTGAGAGCAGGGAAGGTTAGTGGCGTCAAGTTGGTGTACACTCTGTGAGCGGTCGCCGTCGCTGGGCGGTGATAGCGGAGATCTGAAGGAGAGATCTTCCTATGATGAATTCGGATCTCAATCCACCCTTTCTCAAAAGAATTGTGAACTGAATGAGAGCAAAGCTGTGATTGAAGGGTATATTGTTAGGATCAATAATACATAGGGGAACACCGGTAAACAAAAAACAGAAGCCATAATGGACACAGACCCTACCCCCCCGCCACGGCTAGGGGCCTGCTGGTCCAGCGGGGATGTTGCCGCTTTGCTCTCCGCTCGGTTGCAAGAGGGTATTCACCACCTGCTCCAGGAGTTCTTGATGGGCACTCGAGAACCGCATTTTGACGAAAGGCTTCACCAGGGCGCCACATTCGATGTTGGAAATATCGACCAGCTCGTAGTCTCCGTCGCCAGGCCCAACGACCAGCTCAGGACCTTCCGTGACCTCTCCTCGCCGCCTGACTTCATAACTGCTCCGCACCGTAACGCCACCCTGAGCGTGGGCACAGCACCGGACGCCGTGCTCAAAGCTCTGGAACACGCACGGGATGGCCACCTCTTTGGTCGCCCAGGACCCGACGCCCGGGATGATGGGCACACGGTCGTAGACGACGAAGGCCTGCAGTTCCTGGCCGTCCTTGCGAAAAAAGGGGTCGTTCACCACCTCTTCCGGTTCCACGGCGCGCCGGTCGTATCGGTCAAGATAGGGGTTTGGCTTGATGAGGGCTTCGTATGTTTGGAGGGCTGTGAGAACGGCAGCTGGCGGAAGCGAAGCCGGGATGGGCACCCGGGTGATAATAGTGAAGGGCTCTGGCGGTGACATGATTATGGATGGCGTGCGATGGCAGCGAGCGATGCTGTGGCGGATCTTTCCGGGGTGAAGAATATACAATACTCGGCTCGAGAATACCGAGGTCAGTGAAAGGTCGGGCGTCTTTGTCCAGGTGGCTTTGTTCTTTCCGTCCAGCTAATGCCTCAACAGCCTCCTCGGGTTGGGTTGGGTCGGGTCAACCAAGGAAGAAAATCCGGAGAGAGAAACGGCGTTGAAACGTTGAGTGCGTTAAAGAGGTAATCGAGGAGATCTGTTGAGCAACGGCGTTGCAAATAGCATTGCCAGATGCGGATGAGTAGCAGAGGGCGAGATGGCGCAGCCAAGCGATATCATGGATGTATTCACGCAAAATTGAGTTCCCGAAGGCAACAATCTCACGTCATCATAAGTATTTAAAACCAGTGTTTAGAACTTTTTTTTTGCTTCATGAGATGCCTCACTTTGGGACTTGGGGAATCCCGGATGTGGTCAGGGTGGCAGGCACGCACGTCCGTGTTTGGAGTGATGATGGTGGTGGGGTTGCCCCAACGGGCGCTTGGACAGCGGGGCGGGGTTCAAGAGAAATAAAATAAGTCCGGGTGCACTCCTCCCATCTTCACCGATCCTTGTGCGATTACAGGTTGAATCTGCGCTACATGTCTGCGACAAGAGGCCGGAGACACGCGGAGTCATCTGAAACAAGCTGCTGCTAATTGTGGCGTGGCTGAGAGGTACGAATACACGCTGAGTTGTCCATGCCTCTTCTTCCCCTTTCCTCGGCACTCGGGTCCCGCCCAGTACACACAGGAGCATGGACTTGGCTGCTCCATCGATGTCAATGACCACGCCCAAGCCGCAAGATACCGACCGGTTCACCAAAGACGCGCCAACAAGGAAAAAAAATTGCGCAGTTGATCGGAAGGCGTTGGCCAGTCGCATGTTGTTGTCTTAAAAAAACAACTTCTGGCGGTGAAGCAGCAGCCGTGGCAGCGTGCTCCTGGTATTCGTACTGTACGCGGGGCCACTTCAGCCCCGTTTTGGGCGCCGACCAACCCCACCTGCGAGTGCTGCGGTCCCTGGTGGGGCAGCCTGCGAATCGACGCAGACACCACAACGAACCTCGCAACAAAACAGAGAGACAACCTCGGGCAGCTTGATGAACCATCGAACAGAAACGTTTACTGTGCCGTACCGTGCCCAGACCCGGTTCGGGGACACTAAAAGCAAGCTTCGAGGTGAAGCTCACACCATCAACTGTGCCGCAGGTTGCCATGCGGAGAGAGAGAGCGAGCGAACGAGTTCACATCCCACAATGCAGCTCATCGTCACAAACGGCCAAAAGCCAACCACAACACCGCTACCCCTGCTGCTCTTGCCATTGCCTGCACCTCTAACTCGGCCTTGTGACATTGGTACTGGTAGCCGACACCTTGCTCCAAGCGCATGGCTGCCCAGTTTGCGACGTCGCAGTACCCGCTCCCACCATGCGTGAAGGCCATTCGTGGAAGCAGTCGCGTGGCCTGCAGCTTGAGATCGGGCTGCAGATGTCATTGATGGCCACGACGCCCGGCATAGCCTGTCATCGGATGCGGCGCCAGCGAGATCGCCCAAGTCTCGGGCGAACTGCCATTGAGTCACCAAGGCAACCGCCTAAGTTGCAACGCTCTCTGCATAGTCTGGCAAACCTCTGTTCGCGACCTGCCAAGTGCTGCGAACCCCTCGCTTTACCGTGCAGGAGAGACACCAGTGCGGAAGCGGAATCACGTCGGATAACGCTAAGACGAGGGTAGCGGCTTTCCCGGCGTCATGATCACCCCGTGGCAGTTGTCCACATCCTCGTGACACGGCGCACGTCTTGAGGGTGGTGGTATCAATGTGAAGGGCTGTGGGGCTCAGGCTGTCTGCTCTAAGTGGAACTTAACCGGTATGGGTGACGTCTCATTCACATTGCCGTCACCATCCATTTTACCATCGAATACCCAGGGGCTAAGGGCATGAAATACAGATTATGCTCAACACATTCAAGTACCACGCTCGACGATATCATTCCGCCAGAGAGGAAACGCGAGCAACAGGGCACCAGAAATATTTCCACAGCCCAGGCGCCCGAGATTCGGGACTGAGACGGATGGTTCGTCCCATTCAGGATTGGATCCCCCACCCATCCCTGCAGACCGCCAACCAATGGAAACCCCTGAGCCCAGCCATCCACAAAAGTTTCTCGTTGCTGAGGGTGGTGACAGGCGAGACAGGGACGCAAGCTTGCCGGTATTTACCCCACATGACACACCCAAGAAGTGGGATGGTGAGTGGCAGGGATGGGGAGGGCGGGAAGCCTCGCGGTGAGGGAACGGTCCTTTGAACGTGTTTCCCGACTGCCATCCGTCCGCCATCCTACACTCCGAACTAGAACAACCTTTCGCTGGTCAGCCCTTTACATCTGACAGTTGTATGTACGAACTCCAGGACTGGTCATCCATCGGCACCCCCCTGCAGTGCTTCCGCGCTGCCGTCCCGCCGTCCGTGCTTGCAGGTGCCAGGGAGGGGAGTGTACCGCAGGGTGCTGTGTATTCTCGGCCGTGCATGAATGCCTCATTAGGTGACCTCCGCCTCTCCGTTTGACGATCGGGCCCTCGGCCACTCATGCGGCAGCCTTCATTTTTTGCCTTCACTTGCTTTCGCTGCTCGAGGCAGCGGCACCCGATTTGAACAGGACACACATCGGCGGTGTGGTCGCACGACACGGCCAGCCTTGGGACGACACGCCAATCCCCATCCGCCCGGTGCGTGTCTTGCCGGACCTCGCCCGACCATTGGTCCCAGTCACGCAGCCGTCTGCTGTGACCGACGAATCTTTTCTGCAGCAAGGAGAGATTGTTCCCGGAAAGGGGCGCAATCTGATGAAGCGGTTTCGAGGATTTTGAAAATCTTTCACAGTACTGCAGCAAACCGGCCCGGCATCTACTTCGTTTGCGTCGCTGCTCCCCAGACGGAGACAGACAGCGTGCGAACCTCGGGAACGCCTGGCCTCGCCTCGAGCCTCGCTCACCGCGGTTCTGTACATAATCGTTTTTCAATTCGCATCTGCCGGCTCTCAACCGCCAGAAGACCGCAGTACCACATGTGTGTTTGACAAGAGCCGGCTGGCGTACCATCAATCCATTCGACTACCGCAATGGCCACCGCCGAGGTCGTGAACTTGTTCGAAACTCGGCCAGGCCGCTACGTCCATGGCCTTTCAGCAACCAGGGGTTCGACGAGGAGAATAGCGTGGGATGAGTGTGCCGGACGGCTCTCGGATAAGGCCAACTCGGAAGCAAGATTGAGCCTCATTGCGCAGACCTGGGTTAAGCTATGCGCTCATCTCAAGGTAAGGATGCGGCGGTTCTCATATCGAGCGCATTCGGATTTTTCTTTGCCCCGAATTTCAGGTGGAGCAAGCATATCTTCGCACCCAAGAACCAGCCAACCCGGTCAAGTTTTGGAGTCAAGGTTCGGTCCCGGGGGAGACTCCACGACCGGGGCAAATAATCATGAACGAAAGACGTTGGAAGCTTTTCCCCTCAGCACTAACAAATTCGTCACAGGCTGTGCAACCCCTGACCCGTGGTACCTTATTCCGCCCAGAAGTCTCTCCGAAATGGACTCGCCTCGAGCCCTTCGAAGAGGACCTCGACTCGCCGTCCGAGAGTCTCACCGACCCAACCGACAGCGGTGCATACGCGTGTAGACGCCAGCTCCCATCAAATAACCTTCCCGTCATCGGGTCAATTCCTATCGCACCCGGCCCTGATAGAAGACACCGGAAGGACGGCCTTCTCAACGGCCCATCGGCCGACCTCCGGATCAACTTCACAAGCGAGGAGGGCTTTCGTCAGGCTGCCAAGAAGAAGGCGAAAAAGGGGAAGGCCGGCAACAATAATAGCAACAACAACGCGGACGAACCGGCCAAGAAGGACGAAGACGTTGGCGACACAAATGACGGCGATGCTGGCGGAAATGCGCCGGGCGGAAACTCTGGTGGTGATGGAGGGGATGATAAGAAGGACGATGGCAAGAAGGATGACGACAAGAAGGAGGAGGTAAAAGAGGAGGAGAAGAAAGAGGAGGAGAAGAAAGAGGAAGAGAAGGAGAAGGAGGAAGAGAAGGAGAAGAAGGAGGAGGAAGCTGAAGTGGTCGATGGCTGGGGAGAATTCGCCAGCAGCAGCAAGAAAAAGAAGAAAAAGAAGGGTGCCGCTGTTGCCGACCCTCCTCCTGTGGTGGAAGAGAAGACGACCGATCCTGGGCCGCCTGCTGTGGAATCTAAATCAGGTGGTTTCGATTCTTTCGCGGACATCAAGTTGGACGACAAGCCTCCTGCCGGCCCCCAGCCAAGCACCACCGAGACCAAATCTTCGCCGTTTGGTGGATGGGCCCCCGCTAGCTGGGCTTCCGGCTGGCTCTCAAAATCGTCCGACAAAGCCAATGATCCGGTTGAAAACAATCCTGTGGACACCAAGACCGATAAAGCTCAAAAAAGCGGTCTTAGCTTCTCCTTCGGTGCCACCGACGAACCGGGCGGAAAGGATCAGGAGACGAAACCCGCCGACAACGAAGCCACGGACCTTGGTTTTGCCACGACGAAGAAGACTAAGAAGAAGAAGAAAACGTCTGTTTGGGATGATCCAGCACCCGAGCCAGAACCCGAGCCAGAACCGGTTGCTGAGCCACCCGCCCCCGCTCCGGATCCTCCTGCCCCGGTAGAGGATGACGGATTCGCCATCTCGAGCAAGAAAAGCAAGAGCAAGAAAGAGGCTACGATCGCCGAGGAAATAACAAATCTTGAAGGTTCCAAAAGCTCTGATAGTGCATGGGACTTTTGGGGTGCCAAGAAGAAAACTAAAGCTACTACAGAAGAGCCGAAGCCTGTAGAACCAGAGCCCGAACCCGAGTTGGACCCTCCAGCAGACACCAAGCCGGCCGAAGATGATGGTGCAGACAACGACAGTGCATGGGGTTGGGGTGGGGCCACGACCGTCAAGAAGTCTAAGAAGAGCAAAGGTAAGGTCGACGTTACTGACGACCCTCCCAAGGACCCGGAGCCAGTAACGGTGCCGGAACCCGACCCTGCGCCAGATAAAGGGGGGGATGACTTGTGGGGCAACATTGGCACGAAGAAGAGCAAGAAGAAGGGTAAATCCACGGAACCCGAATTGAAAACAGAACCACCTCCTGCCCCTGAGCCGGATCCCTGGGATTTTGGCACCACCAAAAAGGACAAGAAGAAGAAGAACAAGAACGCCGCCGCGGAGCCTGACCCGCCCAAGGCCCCAGAGCCTGAACCGGAGCCAGAACCCGAGCCAGAGCCCGAGCCTGAACCCGAACCCGAGCCTGAACCAGAACCTGAGCCCGTGACGAAAAAGGATAAGAAAAAGAAAGGCAAGAAGAACGAGCCCGAGCCCGCACCGGAGCCGGAACCGGCACCAGCAGAGCCCGACACGACGGCGGATGATGGTTTCTGGGGGGCACTCACTAAGAAAGACAAGAAAAAGAAGAGTAAAAAGGGCCAGGTTGAGCCCGACCCGGAGCCCGTCAAGAAGCCGGAACCCGAACCCGAACCCGAACCAGAGCCGGAGCCAGAGCCGGAGCCAGAGCCGGTACCAGCAGAGCCCGACACGACGGCGGATGATGGTTTCTGGGGGGCACTCACGAAGAAAGACAAGAAAAAGAAGAGTAAAAAGGGTCAGGTTGAGCCCGACCCGGAGCCCGTTAAGAAGCCGGAACCGGAACCGGAGCCGGAGCCAGAGCCGGAGCCAGAGCCGGTACCAGCAGAGCCCGACACGACGGCAGGCGACGGTTTCTGGGGGGCACTCACTAAGAAAGAGAAGAAAAAAAAAGGTAAAAAGGGCCAGGTCGAGCCCGACCCGGAACCCATCAAGGAGCCGGAACCGGAACCGGAACCGGAGCCAGAGCCAGAGCCAGAGCCGGAGCCAGAGCCGGAGCCGGAGCCAGAGCAGCAAACCCAGCCTGACAGTCAAGAGGACTCCTGGGGCTTCTCCACCTCAAAGAAAGATAAGAAGAAGAAGAAGGGCGCGACCTCCGACCCTGACCCGGCGCCGAAACCAGTGGATGACTTCTTCGGTTTAATAGGTACCTCGAAGAAGGACAAGAAGAAGAAGAAGAGCGAGGCCCTACAAGTGTCCGATACGCAAGAGCCCGAGGCGCAAGAGCCCGAGACAAATGGCAAAGATCTCATCGATCTCGACAAACCGGCACTCGGCTTTTTTAGTTCCTGGAGCACCGGGATCGAGAAGCCGAAGGGCGTGGATGGGGGGGATAATGCTTGGGGAGACGAATGGGGCACCGGTTCGAAGGGTAGGCAACACGACACGATTTTGGTTAACGCCTTTACGATTTCTGGACTATACTAACGCATCCGCAGGTGGGAAAACGGCTGAAGAGGAAGAGGAGGAAGCCAAGCGAGAAGAAGAGGAGCGGCAACAGAAAGAGGCCGACGACCAAGCGGCCAGGGAGGCCGAGGATGCCGAGGCGGCTAAGGAGGAGGAGGAACTGGCAGTGCTCAAGAGCAAGAAGAAGAAGAAGCTATCGAAGGCCGATCAAGAGAAAATCGACCGGCTGACAGCAAGCATCAGGAGGCGGGCTGACGACAAAGCCGCACGTGAGGCCGAGGAGGCTGAGCAGGCTGAGCAAGACAGGCAAAGGAAGGAGGACGAGGATCTAGCTGCTGAGGAGGCTATCCGCGAGGCTGAAGAGGCGGCCGAAAGGGAGCGTCAGGAAGCAGAAGAAGCGGCGGCGGCGGCAGCAGCGGCGGAAGCGGAGGCGGCGGCAGAACTAGCGGCAGCCGAGGCAGCGGCCGCAGAAGTGGCAGCCGCAGAAGCAGCGGCGGAAGAAGCGATAGCGGAAGAAGCAGCAGCCGCAGAAGCAGCCGCCGCCGCCGCAGCTGCTGCAGCAGAGGCCGAGGCAGCGTCGGCCAAGAAATCCAAGAAGTCCAAGAGCAAGGAAAAGGAGAAGGAGAGGGAGAGGGAAAAGGAGAAAGAGAGGGAAAGGGAGGAAGAAAGGAAAAGGGAGAAGGAGGAAGCAAGGAAAAGGGAGAAGGAGGAAGAAAAGAAAAAGGAGAAAGAGAAGAAGGAAAAGAAGGAGAAGGGAAAGAAGGAGAAAGGAAAGGGGAAGGAAAAAGACAAAGGGCAAGAGAAGGTTAAAGTTGACGAGGACGACGAGTTCGCGGACCTCAATCTTACAGCCGAGCAGGTTGAGGAATTGCTGGCCGAAAACCCCAAGGAAGAAGGGGGGGAGGAGGAAGAGCAGAGCATCCCAAAGGAGGTGCCTGAACCTGCTGACGACGTCTTCAGCTTTTGGGGGGCCGCCAAGAAGTCGACCTCCAAAATCACAGCGCGGCTGAACCCGTGGCTTCCTGAGGTCGAGGAGGATACCCCTCCTCCCCAGGCTGCCGTGCCGGAAATTGCGCATGCTGAGTCATCTCCCTATCTGGAAGCTGCCACCACCGCCGCGATTGGGGCCGTCGCGACCGAGGTGTGGGATGACCCCGAACCGGTCAAGCCCACCAAGTCCAAGAAGGCTGTTGGTGGCAAAATCGCAGATCGCCTACGCGCCTTCCAGGTGATTGACGACGAACCTGAAGAAGACGAGCCCGAAGACGACGAGCCAATCGAGGAGCTATCTCCGCCACCACCACCACCACCTCCGCCTGCGCCCGTCGCGGTACCCGTGTCGCTGCCAAAAGAGGAGAAGAAGAGGGGCTCCAAGAAAAGTAAGAGTAAGAACAAGGAACAGGTCATCGACGTCGACGCTTTCGCATCTGACCCGCCTGCGCCGCCGCCGCCGCCTCCCTTTATACCTTCCCCGCCCGACTCCGGCTTGCCCGGCAGCTTCCCGCTAAGTGAGGAGGAGCACCCCAACGGCAGCTACGGCTACGGCCACCGCTACGGCCACCGCTACGGCCGCCGCTACGATCACGGCGACAGCCAAGGTGACGATGAAATAGTCCAGGTCGTCGACATGACAACCCCAAAACGGAGCAAGAAGCCCAAAAGGGCCAAGGCCTCCCCCGAGTTCATCGACGTTCCTCCGCCACCCCCCATCCCTCCACCACCGCCCGCGGTCCCTGACGCGCCGCCCGCCGTTCCCGATCCGCCGATGATGACACCAGCCGCAGTCCGCTCGTCCAAAAAGGAGAGGCCTAGGGTCAACCGCGAGGGCTCATCATCGTGGGGTACATGGACGGCAAATCCGGACAAGGATCCGAGGAAGGCCCCGTCCAGGTCCAAGCCGGAGAAGGAGCCCAGTTCCAGGAAAAGGGCGTCAGCAGAGAAGGCCGAGAAGGTCGACAAACCGTCGTCGAGAGGCTCTGGTTCAGAGGGGACGGATAAGCCCAGGCCGAAAGACACTCATGCGCGGTTCGCTAGCGTCTTCGCGAGTACCCCGCCGCTATCCCGGTCGGTCTCTACCCGGGAGAAGCGCCACGGCTCCAGCAAGCCGAGTTCTCGCAGGCACTCGGTCGACATGGACGGCGGCCTAGCGAGCCCACCCCCAGAGGAGATGTCAGCGAAGGCCGCCAAAGTTCTCGGTGTTGGCGCTGGAGTTGTCGGCGCTGGTATCGGCCTCTCGAGGTCGGGTAGCAGGCGCAGCAGGAAGGATGAGGACGATGACATCGTAATGGTCGGCGCCGCCGATCCCACGTCGGGCCCCGAGAGAGCTGAGCGCCGAAGGCAAAGGGTAAGTCGAATTCATTCATCGCAACGGGTCTTCTACGAGGAACAGAAAACTAACACCGCCCCACCCCAGCAATATCCACGAGAAGACGACGTTGTCATGGTGGATCCGGTCGACGCGGCACCACCGCAACCTCCCTTGAAGCGCTCCAACTCGACTTCCAAAAAGTCATCGGCCTTCTCCTCCTTATTTGGGGGCGTCTTCAAAGGAGATAAGGCAGATCCGCGACTAGACCCGCGCGCGGAACCCCGCCGCCGTGGTACCTATCCCACCACAGACGAAGAAGGAGGTGGTAGGCGGGGCGAGGAGACCGACGCGGAGCGCGAGGCTCGTCGTGCTGCTCGCCGTTCCCGTCGGGCCGAAAAAGAGGCCGCAGAACGGGCCGCGGTAGAACAAGCTGCTGAGGAGGCGCGCCGCGCCAAGGACGAGGCCCGTCGCGAGCGACGCAAGAGACAGGTGGATGACGACGAGACCCGTCGACAGGAAGAGAAGGAGGCCCGTCGCGCCGAGAGACGGGCGCAGCGCGCGCGGGAAGATGCCGAGCGCCACGCTGCCGAGCTGAAAGAAGCCGAGCGCGCTGAGCGCAGACGGCGGCGCGCCGAGATGGACGCAGCCGAAGTGGAAGCTGACGCCCGCCGTGCCGCCAAACACCACGAACGTCGCCGCAGCTACCAACCCGAGGAATCCGGCTACGAGGACGACGAAGAGCGCCGCCGTCGCCGGGAAGCCCGGCGCGCGGCAAAGGAAGGAAGGGAGCGAGAGGAACGGCAGCCCCGACGCAGGTCCGAGGCAGTCGACAATCACGTCTACCCCAGAGCATCCCGCGAGAATACCGGTGGTACCTGGCCGCACTCGGGCACATCGTCCTGGGTCAAAGAGCACTCCGACGCCCCACCACCCCCAGATATCAACGAAGGCGCAGCGCCGCCCCCGCCACCCGAGGTCGAGATCCTCGACGACGACGAAGAGGCCCGCCGGGAAGCCCGCAGAGCAAGACGCCAAGCCAAGTACGCCGAGGCAGCGGGTATGACGCAGGAGGAGTATGACGAAGACAGACGACGGAGGAAACGGCGCGAGGAGAGGGAGCGAGACAAGTACCGTGACAGGGAAAGGGGTGGTGGTGACGGGTATAGGGAGAGGGAAAGGGAGAGGGATAGGGAGCGGCGTCCTGGTTCGGATGGGAGTGATGGTCGGCGGGACAGCCAACGGAACTCTACCATGTTTATGGACACCACCCCGAGGAGTTCGTGGTGGAAGAGGCTGACGGGAGCCGGATGAGTGATGACGACGATGGGTTTCACGGTTTGATGAGTGATGTTTCGGATAATGTTGGGTGGTTGAGTGCCGAAAGTTCTTTATGTCCTGGTCAGTTATATGTCGAGGGGGGACGGTTGCATATAGTCTGGATGAAGGAGCATCGGTCGGTTGTGCTTTTTAGCTTGATATCCCCTGCATCACGGCGGCGCTGGGTCGGGCGCTATGGTTGCCTGCTGGGATTTCTGGTCGACCTTGCCTGCCTTATCCGCTTTGGGGTTACCCCATATTACTCTCTTATTTCTTTGGCGTCATTGGTTTCTATTCAGTTAGTAAAGAATGGCTTTTTCGTTGTTCAAGTCCGCAGTATTACTTCATTATTGATGGACCGTCTTTGCGAGCTGGCTCCTTGGTCGTATTGTATCTCACCGGAATACAAAGATGGGCATGTGTAGTGAAGCTATACCTATCCCTCACAGCCTACAACACTTCGTCCCGAGGGACCGGCCACTGACCGGCACTCATAGCCCCTGACTTTCGTCCGAGCTTGGTTATGAGCAAACCTGGGTGTTTCTGGTAAGTACCTCTGCGGATAGCCGTCCCTGCGACCAACGACTCCCGCTCGAGGGGCTTTCATCTGCAGTCACCCTTCCTCCTTCCCGCACCTCCCTGACAACCACTGTCACAGACCAGGACCCAAGCCTAGGTACTTAGCGGCCAGCCCCGAACGGTTCGGGCACAAAGTCGGCCATGGCGCAACGGCAGCAAGTTGGAGTAGAGTAGTAGTTAACTCGTCGCCCTTCCAAGGCGGAAACTCGGGTGCAAATCCCGGCTCCAGCAACTTCAGATCGTGGCAGTAGCGGTTATTTTTCGTTCTTATTGCTTCATTATATCACTTTATCAAACAAACATGCTATCCAAACGTGTTTGCCCTCCCCTGCTCATTTTGCCCCGTTCTTTATCCATTTTGCTCAGTTCTGCACGGTGACAAGGTTAACCAACTAAATCACCACCACCATTGGGGTTCGGATAGGGTAGGTGAAGCTCCTGTTACAATGTGTTCATTACCAGCCAACCATGAGTTATAGCTAAACATTAACACGCCTCGGTGGAGCTAGCCGTAATTTCCTTCTCCTGCTCCTTCAGCTTCCGGACTCGCCTCTGCTCCCGCCAACGAGGCCCCCTCACGGTCAGCACCCACAAGATGGGCGAAAAGACAACAAGTACAAGCGCCCAGAAGGTGTAGGTCCAACCCCTCCCCATTGACCCGAGCATGGATTCGATGACGGCCGTACCAGCGGCACCGAACAAGCACCGCACCAGGTTATTAGCAGCTATAGCTGTCGCCGGGGCCTCGGGGTACAGATCGACCAGCAACGTGTTGAGGATGCCGAACGAACCGGTGATGCAGAGCCCGACGACAAAGAGCAACACCAGCGGGCCGGCTAAGACGGTCTCAGCATGGAGAACCCAGCCGTAGCTGATGACTGCCGCAATGCCTGTGAAGAGCATGGGGAAGACGGGGAGGAGTCGGGCTTTCTCGATGGGGAAATTCCGTAGGTCGTCGCCCCGCTTGTAGTCGATTGTAAACCCAATGTTGTGGGCTATCCTGCGGTAGTTGGTATCGAGGATGTAGCCCTGCAGGATGGCCGCCAGGCAGCACCCCATCCCGTATGGTAGATAGCACAACCCGATCTGCAAATCGGTGAGGTGGTAAATGTCTGCGAACTCTGTGGACAAAGTAGCAGCGATGAGGATGAACACGAGGTAAATCATGGTGTTGTAGGACAGAAGAAGGGCCAGGTCTTTCTGAAGTACCACCTTTAGGGTATTGAGGGGGTTGGGAAAGCGCAGCTCGCGTTTGGGAGCCCCAACCGAAGTGTCTGCGTGCTGTGGACTGTGACGACAACGGAAAAAGTCGACGGCGGTCATATTCCACCCCTGTGCCGGCACAGACCCGTTTCCCACCACCTTTCTGCACGTCTCAGGCACCGCCAGAGTGTATGGTATGAGCCACACCGCAGCGTAGATGAGACAGAACCAGAAAATAGCCCTCCATCCTAGGTATTCGGCCAGAATCCCACCGAGCACCGGGCTGAGCGCCGGTCCGACGTTGATACCCGCCCCAACGATGCCCATGTACTTCCCCCTTTCCGCGCTCACCGCAACATCAGCCACGACGGCGAAGCATAACGATAGAGTACCACTGCTTCCAGCGCTCTGGAGCATACGCAGTACCAGCAGAGCAGCGTAATTCTTCTGGAGAGCAAGGCCAAGGTTGGCAAATATGTAGATGGCGAAGGAGATGATAAAGGCAGGCCTCCTGCCGGCCATGTCGCCGAAGTCGCCGACGATCGTGGGGGCGATGGCCTGGAAGATCATGTACGTCGTCAGGGTCAGGTTTATGAGGTTGACCGATACGCCGAGATCGTCAGCGATAGGGTTCAGGGCCGGGAAGTAGATGTTGGCTGTCATGGGCGAAACAAAGCTCGCGCAAGCGGCCATGGCGATGACCCATCGTTTCGTCGGCTTTGAGAAAGCGCTGTAGACCGGGCCGCTCGAGACCGGGTGAAGCGACTCGGGGTCTGGGACAACCGTGTTGCTCGTGTCTGATGGCCCGTTGCCGACAAGGCCACCTCCCGAAGTCCCAACCTCGATAGATAGTGGTGCTGGGCGGTTCTCTACCGGCTCGCCTGGGTTACCCTCTTGCTTTTCCCGTGACGAATCCTCATGAGGACCCATGATATCCAGTGCCGCTGTGTTGAGGATGACTTCTCACACCTTGTGGTTGAGGAAGGGAGAGAGCAGCACGAAGAGCAGCCGAGGGTCCGCACCAGCATCTGTCTGCCGGCGCAACCAACGAGGACAACCTGAGCCTACCAGCTGGCGGAACCAACAGGAGAAACTGCACCATTTCAAGCACCACACATGACACGCCCGCCCAAGTCGAGAAGTTCTTTTATTCCCGAACAAACCGCGAGGAACGTGGGGAATAAGCGGGACCTAATGGAAAAAGGAACAGGGCCATGGTCACCGGTGCATTTCGACGATTGGTACTGGCTATGTCGGCGTCATTGCGGTATCGGCCCCGGATGCATGAGAAGTGCCAGGCTCCTCGCTCGGCGGCCGGGGCCGATACCGAGAACGACCCCTGGCATCGGATGATGGGGACCTGGTTTGGGTTGGAGGCATTGGATCTAGATTTACGCGGTTAAAGGTGAGAGAAAGGGCGGTCGAGAGATGGCAAAGGGACTCAGCTCCGTATGTAAAAGAGGAGGTCATATGAACAGCTCAATACTCCTTGGGAGTGGAAATTAGAGATTATCATGATATCTGTTTATTCGCGGCGGTTGGTGGGCAGGATGTTGAAAGATGAATGAAGCGAGAGCCGAACAGGGGTTAACAACAGTTTGGTGGGTCCCGGGTGTCTCACTCCCAGCCCAGGGCGCCAGGCCACCAAGGCAGGCGGCGGCAGGCAAGCCTGGAACTCGCCTGGAAGCAACTGCCACAGACCACCCGCCACAGGCGACCCGGCACCAGCCACTGCGTTGTCCAATTCCGTCATCGACAATTAGACACGTTCGCTTTCACAACTTCCGTTTCGATCGGCTCACCCCAAGAATGATGCCGGCATGGCCGACCTGACAACGGCGTTTAACGCCCTCCTGAAGGGCCATGAGGCACCCCCTACAAGGACATTTGGCATTGATACGGCCGACGAGTTTCTCAAGGAAGCGTACCGGATTGTGCGTCCTCCTTACAACCCTTCCGCTCCTCCCTGATGCCGTCCGATTGACTGACGCTTTGCGCCCCAGAACTCACTCATTGCACGACTGCACTCCGAACTACGCAACCTGCGCCAAGCGTACCTCTCGACTGCTCCTGCGCGCAAGACACACTTGCGAACCGCCGCATCCCGCTCGGCGCCTTCGCAAAATGTCCTCACGGACCGGGACCGCGAGGAGATTGACGCCAATGCGAAGATGACACTCCGGGATCTTAATGCTCGTATCCGTGCTCTCGAAGATGCCGAGCAACTCCGCCAAAATACCGAAGCCGCATTGCTCCGGAAGCGCTTGTCTCGTGGGCTGGGCGCTCTGGGATCCTGGGCGGCCGGTGACGGGGCACGCAACGAGCAGGCTACCCTCGAAGCCGCCGCTCGCCAGCTTGGAGCCCATCGAGAGAGCGTAGTCTGGTTCCTGCGGACAAGACTACAGGAGACAGCGCGGACACAACAGCGCATGATGGAGACCCGCTTGACCAGGGAGATGGAGAAGAACAGGAGCGTGCTTGCGAAGGCTAGGGGCCCAGCCGCGCCCGTGGGGTTGTACAATGCCGCGAATCACGGCGTAGGGAAACCGCCTGTGGGAAGCATCCCGAATGGCACGGGTTTGTCGGTTCGAGAAGAGGAGGAGAGGAAAGGGCCAGCGGTGGACACCCTTACAGACGACCAAAAACAACTTTTTGAAAAGGGCAACCAGGACATGTTGAAGCACCTCGAGGGTACTTTGGATAAAGTCAGGTGGGTTCCCATGCATTCCTGACGCGTCACTCGCCCATTGCTCTAACATCTGAAACAGGACCGCCGAAAGCTCGCTCATCGAGATCGCCGAGCTCCAAAACATGCTCGTCAATAACCTCACCACGCAATCAGCGCACATTGACCAGCTGGTTGCCGATTCGTTCGAGACCACCGAGGGCATCGGCAAAGGGAACAAAGAACTGAAGAAGAGCGCGGGCAAAGCCAGTCCGGCCCGCTACACCTTTTTCGCCGCTGCAGGATTATGCACCGTCCTCGTCTTGTGGGATCTGGTCATCTAGCGCCAATGCGTGCATGTATTTGTACTTTCGGAGTGTCAGGGCGACCGTCATGAATTTCTGCTTGAGATACCCCCTGAAGGAGCAAATAGTTACTTATCAATTTGTTGTCAATTTGCAGCATCCGGCAGGAATGGAGGAAATGTGACTTGACATAAAAATGCGATTGATCTGAGCTCATACCCCGTGTTCCCAGGCATAAGTGAATTCAACAAGCCAACGACTTCCCAAGTAAGGACCTTATCAATACAGCTGTGTATGGCTATGAAAGTTTCAGAAACGGCTCGGGGCCACATCTCTGCTACGCTGTAAGAGCGTAATGACAGCGATTACTGAAATACGTGAATTCTCCTGTGCTTCGTATTCTGTACTGTGGTATTTCATTCGTATTCATCTCCAATTCGGGCAGGTTGTAACGGGACGGTCACTGTGTGGGGCAAGTATCAGATTCTCGAATCGGCAGCTCTTCCAAAACCGGACTCAACCCTCGGGCATCCTCGCACGGTGTCACCCTTCACTGCGAGCTTCCCAAACGCGGCCAGGGGCCGATCCCTTAACAGTGCACGGGGCTCCGTTCCAGATCCCTCCCAGGTGCCTCCATCGCTTAACGCAGCAAGGTACCCGCTGCATCCCGTTGCATCCGTTCCGCGCCAGGGCCGCAATTATACAGAGAGATTCGCCAAGTGCGACTGGAGTTTCTCTCAACATTGGTTCCCCGGTCAGCGGACCGTAAACATTCTTTTGACCCAACTAATCTTCTTGGTGCCGTGGGAACCTCGCCATCACATGCAGCCATTACGCGTTCAAAGAATATCCTCCGACGTTGACTGCTCCCGCCGACTCACGGGCGACAAATGGACCGAGACGCGCCTGCGGGTCCGGCCAAACCGGTCCGGTCCCAAATTCCGGAGGGCGGTGTTGAAGCCGTACAGGGCGGGGGCGACCGGGTCCTTGTGCTCTCGCCGGGGGTGACACTGACCCTTGGCCAGGATGCTTTGCTCATGTCTGGTATGGAGTCTACGACAGAGATGAGCCCAATGCCATTACTTGAAGCTGACTTTCGCGTGTTCCTCCTCATGCAGGCCAGCTTGCCACCAAATCCAGCCGTTCGTGTATACCATGTGCCGGGATCTCAGGTGAGAACCTAAGGATGCCTAGTATGAGTTCTCGCTTCTCCGGTTGTTACTGATACCGCACTCAGGGGCCAGTGGCACACCCGGCAGCATACCGTATTACAACATCCTTTGGGCCGAGATCGCTGGCGACCACCGGTGGCTCGTGATCGACTATGCTGGCCAGACGAGCGCGCAATCCCTCGAAGTTCGCAGTGCCAAGTTCGCCATCCCGGAACTTGTTGCTGAGCAGACGCCTGCAGGCGTGGGCGACCAAGTCGCACCGTGGGTTGATCGACTCTTGGACCGCGTCTACGACGGCTCGGCCCGCCGTAAGCGCGCCTGGGTGTTGGTGAACCCGCATGCTGGTCCCGGTGGCGCCGAGAAGATATGGGAGAAGGAGGTGAAGCCCATCTTTGAGGCGGCCCGTATGCCCATCACCGTAGTCCGCACCGCCTACTCCGGCGAGGCCGTGACCCTAGCTCGCGACTTAAACATCGAGGACTACGACATTGCTATTCCCTGTTCAGGTGACGGCCTGCCACATGAAGTGTTCAACGGCCTCGCAAAGCGCCCGGATGCCCGCCGCGCGCTGTCCAAAATCGCCGTTTGCCATATCCCCTGCGGTTCGGGCAACGCCATGAGCTGCAATCTCTACGGCACCTACCGGCCAGCCCTAGCGGCCCTAGCCATCGTCAAGGGTGTACCGACGCCGCTGGACTTGGTCAGTGTCACGCACGGGGGCCAGCGCACTATTAGCTTCCTCAGCCAGGCGGTGGGATTGATTGCAGAGATTGATCTAGGCACCGAGTCCATGCGGTGGATGGGCGCGACCCGCTTCACCGTCGGTTTCCTCATGCGGGCCGTTCAGAAAAAGACGTACCCCTGTGACATTGCCGTCAAGGTTGAGATCAGTCATAAGGATGACGTTAAAAAACACTATCGGCAACAGGTCGCACAGAGGGAAGTGAGAGCGTCCAAGAAGGCCGATCAACCGCCAAACGATGTCGACAAACAGTCCGAGGTCTCGCCTCTTGCCCCTAGCGCTGTCTCCGACGACGATGGCCTGGGTCTTCCGCCTTTAAAATACGGCACTGCCGTAGACAAGCTGCCCGAAGGGTGGGAGCTTATCCCCCATGAAAAGCTCGGTAGTTTTTACTGTGGTAATGTAAGTTCCCACCCGCCGGCAATAACTAGCACTTCCATCTCCTGCCCTCCCACCCTGTCTTTATCCAGGCTTGCCTAACAGAACCCTAGATGGCTTATATGGCACCCGACGCCAATTTCTTCCCAGCGGCCCTCTCGAATGACGGTCTCATGGACCTGATCACAAATGATGGTGATATCCCGCTCTTCAAATCCATTGGCATGCAACTAGGCGTCGAGTCCGGTGACTTTTTCGACAACCCGCTCGTGTCTTACCGCAAGATCTCGGCATATCGCATCATCCCGCGAAACCAGGAAACGGGTTACATCAGCATCGACGGCGAAGCCATCGACTTTGGGCCCTTCCAGGCCGAGATTCACCAAGGACTCGGCATGACTTTATCCAAGAAGGGCATCTTCGAGGCGCCAGGTCCTCTCAATTGGGATACTGAGACCACTAACGAGCGGCTTTTGGCCTAGATGTCTTGTTAAGCGGTCGTGGTGCCGTTGTTTTGTCTTGCTTGCTGTTGATACAAGTACCGAATATCCAGTCCGCCTGCCCTAATGTACTGTGTATTTTTACTCTCGAAAGTCAGCGCAGTCTCCGTTTTTAGGCGGGATTTAGAGAGTGGTTGACGGGCAATTGCGATGGGAGAGGCAGCGCCTGAGCAACTGGGTGGATTTGCTCCAAGCATCTTTAGACATAAATAGACCATCTATATTGTATGATAATTGTCTTCGTGTTTCCGGATCATGGGTATTTTACTAGCTCAAGCCAGACAGCATAGACTACCCAGGTAGTCAGGAAATCAACGGTACGCATGGACAGTGCGGTTCAACGCGTTGTCTAGTCATCAAAACCGCCCCAATCACCGCCATCGCCCTCGGCGTTCTCTGTGTCATCGTCTGCCTGAGCCTCGGATTCCGGTTTCCTGTTTCCAGGGAGACGTTCATCAGCCAGTGACTCCTTTGACCTGACCCGCACAGCCGGACTGGTCGTCGCCTCCTCGAGCGCATCGATCTGATCCGAAATCCTCTGGACGATCTGCGCCGCATCCTTGTCCTCATCCTCCAGCAAGCCCGCCTTCTCCGCCTCGTCGACCCAAACATCCAGAACATGCAGCCTTAACCCTGCCGGAATCTTCTGGTCTATTTGGGCGCCCTCCTCCTCTTTCTCGTCGGCGACCTGCTCTATCCGCGCCTCCTCTTCGAGCGCAAGCGGCCACTCACCCAGCAGCCCCACCAAGTCGTCCACTTTGCTCGCGTCCCAATCCGAACCCCCCTTCGCCTTCTTCTTACTCCCCTCGCTCCCGCTCCCTTTCCTCATCCACTTGAACCCCGCCCCGACGACCCGCCTGACGAGGAGCAGAAACTTCTCCATGCGCAGCACGTCGACGCCGGTCCACTCGCGCGACATGGTCGCCCAGAAGCCGCGCAGCCAGGGCACGACGGCGTCGCGCGGGAGGACGTAGATGAGGTCGGCCAGCTCGCCGCAGAGGTTCTGCTGCGGCACGGCGCGGTCGCACATCCACAGCGCGTAGAAGAGGCCCTTCCACAGCTTGAGCACGTCGAGCGGGGTGAGCGCCGAGGCGACCTGCCGCGCGGAGAGGAAGGCGTGCAGGGAGGCGAGGGCCGAGGTGCGGATTTTGCGGTCTGAGGGTAGAGGTTATCCCGTGTCAGTGGTTTTGTTTTTCATCGTAGCGACGGGGGAGTGGCGGGGCAGGGCACAACGGACCGCTCGAGGCGAGGTTCTTGATGAACGGCATGCTCCGTTCTTGGGACGCCATTGTGAATTGTGCGGTTTCGACCCTTCCTGTTTAATACCGCAAATTCGTAATCAATTGAGGGCCTTTCTAAGAAAGAAATGGTGGTATTCGAGGTCACCGGCTTGCGAGGCCCTGGTGTTCGTCGATATGGTTGCATGCGCTGCTGAAATTCTGTCCGCCCGGCAGAAAAGAACCCCACCACTAACTGTGGGGCGCCTCTGTGCGCTTGTGGGGCTGGGGGTGGCATCGTGGCTCAGCGTTGAATGCCCATGTCGGCCTCGGAGTTCTACGGCAATTTTGGGAAGTCACTCACCATTTCGCAAACCAACTACATGTCCGAGAGAAACCTGAAGTATACACCGTGTTGAATGGTTCCATGCCACAGCAGGTTTACTACGGAGATACATTTACATGCAGTCGGCATGGCATTGTCGACATGAGTTATTTAGATTCGGCGTCAAAAATAGTTCGGTGGTCCCTGTCTGCGAAGCCGTTGGATGTACGAATAGAGCGGCCTCGGCAAGGGCAACTTGCGAGATAAGCCTTGGCATGCAGTCAACACAGCAGCTCCGAAGCTTCCATGCATCCCGTGGCCCTGACATCACGTAATTCCATCAGGCAGGATGGCACAATTCGGCTTTGCCTCCTGACCCGTATCACTGGCGGATCATCTCCGCAACCAAGGTCCACAAACTCCAGTTACCCCAGACACGGTCGGGGGTGGTCTGACGCTCCGTTTCCCCAGGTGCCCAGCAGTGCCCGTCGTGGAAGAAAGTTGCCTCGGCGTGGCTCGGTGTCTTCCGGCTTCACATGCACCATGACGGTTGTTAATTGATCTCATGGCCCTGCCCGTCTCGGCGAGTACAAACAAGTCCTAGTTCCCACCTTCTTTCTCGACAAGCTCTTTGAAACATAAACATCAAATATCGCCATTGCCGTATATTCTTTCTATCCTACCTACCCTGCGGCAACAGGTCATCTCTCTCGCCACAGTTCTACACGATAACTACAGAGAAACTCGACGTGCCTCATAGGTTGCACCACAATCGGACGACTCCCGCATAAGCCGCGCAGTCCCTGTAATTCGGATCCTGTCATTCGTCGCCCTGCGCCCGAGAGAACGGCCGCAAGCCCGCTAGTTAGCTAATAGCTACTCATCGCCGCAAGTGAGCGTTTTGTCCGCTGTCGGCTGTCGGACGACGGGTTGTGCTGCCGGTTCTGCCACTGGAGCGGCTACGGTGTCACTGTGCAGGGATAGAAGGAACGAGACCGGAAGAAGTCCCCAAAGGCCAGGCATTGAAAATGGCGTCCAAATCACTGCGCCGCACCACACCTCCCTCACCATCAGCCCTCCATTCCTCCCCCATCACTCGACTTCAGAGCATTGCAAACCACATGTCGCCGTCATCAATAACAAGCTTCCCCGCCGAGGCGGTCCCTCAGGCCCCCGAGGATCCCCTCTTCGGGTTGATGAGGGCTTACAAGGCTGATTCAAGCCCGGACAAGGTTGATCTGGTACGTCAGAGCCCGCTATCGCTCACCCCACCGTCCGTTTGCGCCTCCGCAGAGAGCTAACTTGTCTGTCCTAGGGAATCGGCGCGTACCGTGATGATACCGCAAAACCCTGGGTTCTTCCCGTGGTCAAGAAGGTGCGCGACTTCCAATTGCAACCCATCCCGTGCTACCCGAGAAGGAAAAAAACATGATGACTCCAACGGCTTCCGGCGGCTCGGAGCGTGTGCAAACCACAGCCACTTGGCGCGTCCATCATCAATTTACCCGCCCCGCCATCTCCAACTTCCAGAACGCATCGTGCCCCTCCCCCGCACAAGCTGCCAAGCAAGCAAGCAAAGCAAGCTAACAAGGACCCCTGAACTCTAGGCCGATGAGATCTTGCGCAACGACCCAGAAGCCAACCACGAATACCTCCCAATCGCTGGCCTCGCGGCGCTGACCAGCAAAGCCGCCGAGCTGCTGCTTGGGAAATCCGCGCCCGCCATCACTGAGAAGCGCTCGGCCTCTGTCCAGACTATTTCCGGGACTGGCGCTGTGCACCTGGGAGCTCTCTTCCTGGCGAGGTTCTACAAGACCCAAGGCGTCAACCGCACCGTCTACGTCAGCAACCCGACATGGGCGAACCACCACCAAATATTCACCAATGTCGGCCTGCCGATTGCCACCTACCCCTACTTCAGCAAGGAGACCAAGGGCCTGGACTTCGAGGGGATGAAGTCGACGCTTGAGCAAGCCCCGGATGGCAGCATCGTCCTCTTGCACGCCTGCGCACACAACCCCACGGGCGTCGACCCGACCCCAGAGCAGTGGCGTGAGCTCGCCGCCCTGCTGAAGGCCAAGAAGCACTTCCCTTTCTTCGACACGGCCTACCAGGGCTTCGCCTCGGGCGACCTTGACCGGGACGCCGGCGCCATCCGGCTCTTTGTCGAGCAGGGTTTCGAGCTGGTCATCGCTCAGTCCTTCGCCAAGAACTTCGGTCTCTACGGCCAGCGCGCCGGCTGCTTCCACTACGTAGCTTCGCCGGCGGCCGACGCCGCCGAGACCACGACGCGCGTGGCCTCGCAGCTGGCCATCCTGCAGCGCTCCGAGATCAGCAACCCGCCCATCTACGGCGCCCGCATCGCCTCCATCGTCCTGAACGACCCCGCGCTGTTCGCCGAGTGGCAGGAGAACCTCCGCACCATGTCGGGCCGCATCATCGACATGCGCAAGAAGCTCCGGGCCAAGCTCGAGGAGCTCCAGACCCCCGGCCAATGGAACCACATCACGGACCAGATCGGCATGTTCAGCTTCACAGGCCTGAGCGAGCCCCAGGTCCTCAAGCTGCGGTCTGACTACCACATCTACATGACCAAGAACGGGCGGATCAGCATGGCGGGTCTGAATTCGAGGAATGTGGACTACGTCGCCGCGGCTGTGGACAAGGTGGTTCGGGAAGTGCAATAGATTGTTTGACTTGCATCTAGATAGCAACCATGAGTTGACGGGTCGCGAGACGGCTCCTGGGATTACGGTGTGAGAATAGCCTGAAAAGTCCTCGCTTTCTTCGGCTTTCGGTCGTCTGTTTCAATGTTTCAAGACTATTTAGAGGCGAATCCAGCTCAACCTAGGCTTCATCATGTGCCGCTACCACATTTGGTATCAGTATAGTTTGGGAAATGTGTATCCAAACAATTGTGGTTGCCAAGGGCAGGTCCTGCGTGATACTCTCCACCCATCCGGCATCGGAGTAGAACTATAGAGAGCCGATGGATAGGGGACCAAGAGGTATTTTACCACGCAAGTAACTACTGCTCCAGGCCATGCTACCCATCTAGTGAACCGTACTGTTTCTTCTACCAAAGCCTCCTTTTTTTTCTTCGGAAAACAACCTAATGCCATGATACCGACCCCTTAGTCCCTCACGGTAAACACCGAGAAACCGCCGAAGAACCGCCGTTGAAAGAGACACGGCTCGCAGCCATCCGCCTCGGCCGCTGGTGAAGGCATGACGAGAGGCGTGATGCACCTAAGCACCAGGCACAGCAGCGAGCTCAGACTCGATGACTTCCTTCACCTTGGGCGCCAGCGAACCCATAGCGCCCTCCAAGGCCTTCCGCAGCCTGGTCGCCTGTTCTGGGACCTTGGGGTGGTCCTTATCAAGAGCAAGCGACGCCTTAAGGCAACGCAATGCCAGGAGGTATTTGTCTAAAAGCTAGCATTAGCAAGCGCATAGAGGGGGAAAAGCCCGGCTGAGAAAAGGATAACTTACTCCTGCGGATGAAAACCTCGAAACCGGCGATTTGGCCTTCGATGTTCTTCGGGCTGAACTGCAACAAGTGCAGTAGGAACTTCATGGCGTCACCCAGGGGATCCGCCGTAGCGGCCAGCTTCACGCCGTTCGGGTCGTCGTCCTTCTTCTTCATCTCCTCGCCGTCCTTGCTCTTCTGGGCGCCGCCCTTGTTAGGGTCCTGCTTGGCAGCCTTCTCGGCGGCCTCCCTTTCGGCCTTCTGGGCCTCCTTTCTGGCTTTCTTTGCCGCCTTCTTCTTCTCGGCGGCCGCATCGTCGCCATTCGCATGGCTACCTTCCACACCGTTGGCTCCATTCTGGGGTTTGTCGTGCATCGACAGGTAGAGGTTTACCGCGTCCAGCGCTGCCCGGAAGTAAAAGGGGTGCTCCCGCAGCTGGTCCTCCCAGCGAACGAGGTCGATGTACGCCCTGATCTGCCCCTTGCGTAGGGAGAAGCTATGGAAGTCGAACTGATCCTCCTGCCAGATGTCGAAGATATTGAAAATGGTGTGATAGCGCTTAAGAGCCAGGCCAAAATCGCCCCGCCGCTGCCACGCCTCGCCATCCTCTGTCAAGAACCAGATGCACTGCATGTCGGTCAGGTCGACCAGGGGCCCTCCGACAGTCTCAGCCCGCGTGAACAATCCCATTGTAGTCAACGCCTTCTCGTTCTCGTCGTTTCGCAGCTGGTACTTCGCGGCCTTAGAGTTGATGTAGCGGTCCCTCGTGTCTAGAGAGCGGGCATGGTCCATCGCTTCCGCAGCCTTCGCGATTTCGCCTTGATGTTTGAATATCCTGGCCTTAGTCATGTGAAAATCGACGTTCTTCGGGTCCAGTTCGATCGCCTTTTCGACGAATTCGGTGGCCTTTGAGAGGTCTCGTGACATGAAGTAATTGTAGTGCTGCCCTAAGAAGTAGAGAGCCGCCCCCTCGCCCTTGGAGCTATCGCCATTCGCATGCCCGTCTGTGGTCGAGTCGCCGCTATGCTCCTTCAGGTACTCCTCAGCCAAGACAGGCAAGGTCTCTTTCTTGAAGGTGTCCGAATATAGGTGCTTTAGGTTGGCGAAAGTCGAGGGAACCCCTTTGTCGAACATCAGAGTCAGGTACGCCTTGGCGGCTGCGCGGAAGCCGTCGCCTGCAAAATCGGTTAGCAATTGCGTTTGGTGACGGATTGTTGTTGTACAGACCAGACAAGAAATCTAAAGGAAGGCGCTTTGCGGCATCACAGCGAGGGTTTTTGGCGGCATATTCGTCATACACAGCCTTCAGGGCGCCCTCGTCATCCGCAGCAATGTCCAGAACGCCAACCAACCCCTTGTAGTAGTCCGGGTGTTCGGAGTTCCTATCCAGCAGCGCTCGGTACGCCTTCGCAGCATCCTCTTTCCGGCCCAGTTCAGTCAGGTAGCGCGCCCGAAGTTCCATGACGGCCAGTCGGTCAAGGCAGCCTTTGCATTCTGCCTCTAGATGTTCCAGAGCCTGTTCGAAATCACCCATCTCGGCAATGATCGAATTCTTGTACAGGAGTGCTTCCGAATTCTCAAAGTCAGTCCTGAGGGGAGTGGCCGTGACGGATTTCTCGTAGGTGCTGAGAATATTCTCGGCCTTTTGAAGATTGCCATCCAGGTGGTATGCGATAGCAAGGGCTGTCCAGTTCTGGCGTAGCTGAGGTCTCGCCTTAAGCATGACGAATCTACTTTGAATGTAGCCCGGGTAATCGCGCATCTGAACCTGGAGCACGGCCAGATCACGCTGGATCTGGTGCGAGTCGGGCTCAAGCTTCAGGGCAAACTTGTAGGCCTTGATAGCCTCGTCGAAGTTCTTGTTGGTGCGGTAGAGAATACCATAGACGTGCCAGCAAATGTACGATTTCATGTCGATCGTCAGAGCATCCTTGGCCAGGCTAAAGGCCTCCTCCGTCTTGCCCTGAGCATTGAGAATCAGGGCCTTCATCGACATTGTATCTCCATGCTTCGGGTTCTTCTTCAAGATCTGCTCGGCGGCCTTCAAGCCGCGCTTGTACTGTTTGTCCTCATAGTGGCGGATGACAGTACGGAAGAGGTTGGCCTCTCTCGTACTGAGTGTTTGCGGCATCGGGTCGGAATTGCGGGGTTGTGAATGTGGAAGAGACGACGAAGCAGCGATCGACACCAGCCTCGGAAGCGCAGAAAAGGTACGAGAAGAAGGGGTGGGGGTTTGTTCGGTGGCGGTCGTTGCGTTGCCGCACAGATGCTCTGCGAAGTCGAGCTAGGGCCGCAGCAGGTCGTCAGACGCAGAAGCTGCGGTTTTGTTGTGGGTTGTGCTTGGGGTGCAACCCTGACTGCGAATGCAGGTGTGAGCGGTGGGAAGTTGTAGAAAGATGCAAGTGTTCGGCGCTAATGCGTCAGCCACCGTACTTCGCGGAGGATACACGCGACACTCGTCACTTCACTCGGTGTCGTCTTCAGGATGGTGGTGGTGTACACAGTACATGTCCGTGGTTTGCAGAAGGCGGGACTGGATTGGGGTTGGATGCCAGGCTTGGCAGAACAGAGAAACAGCCCCACCATGCGGCCGGCCTCGGGGCACGTCGGGACAATCCGCGTCCACCACAAATGCCCGGACAGAACGTCCGGGCCGGCTTGGCATACCGGGAAAGAGGGTCGAGGACATAAAATTGAAGAGGGGCTTCGGCAGAACAGTGTATACAATATGTATTTATTTGGCCGGAAGATTCATACTTCGGTACGAGCCTATTATGTGGTTTCTCCTTCACACGAACATCAAGCTCAATTGTATCGTACATGTACACACAAACACCGAACTGGCGGCTGAGCATCTCGAAAGGCAGGTGCATGGCGTCTTAACGGCTCCCTTGGGGCACTACCCTCGGCCTCCGCCAATGCTCCAGCGCTTGCTCCCGACCCAGGTGCGCCGAGTCGCCGCATCTTCGCTGAATTATGTCCCATGTCCTAGATCGGACAATATTTTCTATCCCCATTTCCTGCCGAAGAATGAGGGCCAGATGCTCGGTTCGAGCCTCCCGCGGGAAGAAACGCGCCGAGTACGGGTCGAGTCTCTCGTCAATAACACGCTCTCGGTTCTTCTCGTTCTCCGCTTCCCTCAGCGCCCGCCCTGGGTCGTCGGGGTCTGGGCTCGTAGCAACCAAGGAGCAGTAGCTTAGAACATCGGATCTAGCTTGCCATGATGGAAAAAGAACCTTGTCTTTGAAGGCATTGCACGCTTCCGCGTCAATCTGATGCGAGAGGGGCCGCGGGCCAAGTCGCGACGTTGATGTTGGATCAAATCCCGCCTTGGCCGGCGTCTCCAGGGCATTCAAATTCTGGTTTATGGGGTCATCGATGGAGCTTCGCGATAGCCGGAGGAAGTCTACCGCAACACACAGTCAGCCAAAACACCAACGCAATGGGTGGGTGGCACACCCTAAACCTAAGGGTGGCGGGGGGTAACCATACCTCGGAGAGCAGACGTCGAGAAGCAAAACTGAGGTGTTAGCGGTGGTAGAGAGGAAGGTTGGGTCATCACGCCAGAACCTGGGTGCTCTGTGGCCTTGGTTGTCGTTGCGGCGTCCCCCAACTGAGTCGCCGAATTTATCCAGAAGAAGCCCGCCACCGTGTCGGATGCTGGGATTACTAACAGTGGATATAAAATTTGTGCGCTCAGTTGAGTATGGCTCCCTTTTTGTATTAATGTTGGTTGGAGCAGTCAGGGCCGAAATCTTTGCGGGAGGTTCGGAATCTCGGACAGTGGCGTCATTCCTCGCTTCGACGAGGCCCTGGTGTCGAGGTGTTCGTTTGAACCCCACACGTCTCGAAAACACCAGATCACGTGCCGTATGGACGAGGAATGCACCGATGCATACGGACAGTTTCGAAAGAATATCCTCTGCATAAAATCTTTGTTGCAATCGATATAAATACCTCTGTGGGAACAATGAGTATATCCTTAGGTAGTTTAATACAGTTATCACGAGGTTCTAATTATTTTGGGTTTGGTTGAAATAATCCCAATATGCCGTGCAGTGGTTCAGCGTTGAAGAGAACATCGCGACTAGTCTCGATTAGGCTTTCATGTGATGAATGACACATGAGGCATATCATCACACACGGCGGCTTCAGGGAATTTGATCTGCTCGATTTCCAAACCCCCAACCTCGATTACACGCCGCAACACGCATTTCAACGTCCTAACACGAGCTCCGGTGAGAACACAAAGCACGGATACACCTATTTAAACTTGGGACGTCAAAAGTCGAAGAAACAAGCGGTCGCCCAACGTCCGTCCTCAAGAAGCTGCCCTAGGTATTGCTGGGGACACGAGCAAACCTCGGGGCCGCATATTTTCAAGTCGACCCCAACCTCGTCCGGCGCCGATACGATTAGAAGCTGGCCATGTTTGAACAAAAAACATCGTAACAGGTAGGGGTCAGAGGAAGCAACGACCCCCCGATGGGAAACGCGAATCTGTGTCCCGTTCATTGCCGCCACATAAACCCGAAGATCACGTTGTTAAACGCGGATGAAGTTTCGAGCAATCACCGGGCCAAGAATGACGAGCTAGACGGCTCAACGTTCAAGAGTCTCCTGGGGGGAAAGCAGATGCTGAAGGCTGAACGTCAAAAAAAAATGGAACTCGGCGAGGGCGGGGGAAGCCAGGGTGTCCTTTGATGAACCAACAATCAAATGGTCAGGCTCAGGCGCCAAAGCTTGTGTCATCAGCGGCCACACGGGCGCCCACCACCGACGGCAAGACGCTTCGGCAATGCTCGGGAGCGTCAGATCCATGCCTTCAGTGCTGGCCGAACAGTCAAGTGCTTCGGGCGTCGAAATAGGCCCAGAGGCGTTGAACCGGTAACTAAATTCAACGGCGCCGGGCCCGGCACGAACGAAACCTTCGTCGGCCACATCGCGGCGAAGGATGCTGTCAACTGCATGCGCCGAGAAGGTTGCTTGGCGTCCTGTGGTGTTGCAGGAGGAGCCGGCCCGCAAAGCCGGATCGACCGAGCCTGGGTCCCACCGCGGTCCCCTGCAAGGCTGCCCAGTCATATTGGGACGTGTCCGTTTTCCAGAACTCGACGGTTGTCCTCCGAGTTGCTTCTGGTACATCGACTCCACCCGTGCGCTGCGTGCAGCGAGCAAAGGTTCCAGAAGGCGAGGGAGCGTCGCATCGTCGGTTCAGCAAGGCAAGCCACCCCTTCATTCCAAAGTTCGATTCCCGTCGCCTATGCACGAGACTGAAATCGGATGTTGAAGCGCGCCTTGGCGACCTCAGAACCCAACGCTGAGGGGGGATCACCGAAGCAGCCAGAGTTGCGATGGCTGGGCAGCCATTAGAGCCTAAAATGCCACATGGAAATCAGCCAAAACCGAGCAATTTGTCCGATAGCCCTAAACCCTGGACAAACGAGCGGGAACCGCTGTCATCCCGCATTGCAATTCCTCGAGCGCTTCCCATCCGCCGGGGAACGCCGTCGTGGATGGAAACGAGGATAAATGGCCGCCGCTGGTGCGGCCCTCGCCTAGCGGAGGTAGCCCAGGGGTGGATTGCTTCCACGAACCTCCCATCGGTGCGCTCCTGTGCCGCATAGCGGGGGCTGAAGAGTGTTGTTGGATGCACGCATCGTCAGAAATCTATGTAACGTTGAATACCAGGTACAACCTGCGAAAACAAATTGCATCTGGCGCCGACAAGCCTCCCTGCAGAACCGAGGCGCAGCCATGTTGTTGGCCTGCGGCGACCGTCACAGGCCGTCTTTGGAGGTCGGCGCCGTTCGACGGTCGGTCCGGTTGCACGTGAAGTGGGGGAAGGTAACACCGCCGATGGTCGCCGCCGCACCCCACCGTCAAACCCAGCGTGCATATCCATGGGCGGTGGTCGGGCAAAGCAGCCGGCCGCGGCCACATTGAGGCGTGTGTCCTTCTGCTTCATGTTCAGCTCGCCGTCCGGGCTATTAGGAGAGAAAAGCTAAGGTCGGGTGCCTGGGCACGCGATCTGTCTGGCCGGCCTCACGGCCACACCACATCAACAAGCAGCCAGCTAGGGAATGGGCGCTAGATCGGGGCTTTTCTATCGGGCATAAGCGATGCTGCAAGTCAACCTGTTTCATCTGGGATAAACGGATCATGGAACGGGGGTGCAGAATACCCTAGTCGACTTGCAGGTCAAATCTCGGAGCATCTGTCTCCAAGTCTTCCTATGGGCCATTCATGAACCGGTGAAGGTGGCGATCGGGAGGGACTGGCCGGGCGGACCGGCGCTTGTAGTTGATGCCAGGTCCGCGCGGCACTTGACAGACGACCCAAGCCGCCCATCCCCAGTGATAAGCGAACGCTTGGAGCCGCCTCCGAGTAGACAAGTCTAAAAGCATCACAACATACCGACGCGCGTCAAAGGTAACAGGCCAATGGAAGAAGTCCCGTCCCATGTCCTCAGAGGGTCCCTCAGCCGCCTCCGGTGGCCTTGAGATCAACACGTTGGTTGACCACTTCGAGGCTACTGCTGATGGAAGTGCTTGGCCGACTAAGTAAAAAGCGCGGAGTGGTCAATCGAAGCTGCTGGGGGGCTGGATCTCAAAGCAGCCATCCTTTGAGAAGAACAGACCCTCGACAATATGTGTAACTGGTGGTAGGAAACCAGGGGTTGTGAAGTTCGCCGAGTGAGCTGAGTTTAACCTGCGAAGTACTCGACCATGTCAAGTCCGGCACACCGCGCTTCGAGCCGTCCAAAGAATAACTCGCGTTCTCCGTCGTTGATTCTGCAGATCCCGTACGTCGTACAGGATTGTTTTCTTCCAGCAAAGCACTGCCTCGTCTCCGATTGAGTTCGGACAAATGCAAAACCCAGATTGGGAACTGGTTAAAATCAGCATCACCGAAACCACAATTGGTCCGTGCTCCCACCCAAGCCGCGCTCGACCGAATAGGTGATCTAGGCTAATCAGATCGACAGATTGTGGAATTACGTGGGTTTACGAGGTCAACAAGGAACTCACTCTCAACAGAGGCAACGCTCAGGTTTAAAACCATTGATCATCTGCTCACTACCTCTTATGTATTAGCAAGTATGTTGTTCTTATAAAACTGTGGGCTCTCGGATTAGGTAGGCACGGGCCATTCGCATTGCCCGTCTGTGCCTCTCTCCATGCCCTGTGCATGGATGGTCTCGGCTGGCGTCTCCAGCGATCCGCCAGATGACCCACTCCAGCTTCCACTTTTTCCCTCGCTCGCTTGTGCCCGTGTCGGCTCCAGCGAGGGGAAACGAAGGGAGCAAAGGAGATAGCCGACCTTCTTGAACATCTCGTCAATTGGCGATTCGCCGTCCCATCTATTATTCAATATCTCAACAAGCACGGCTGGGCCCGATCGTTGACAAGACCAGGGCGGCTTCATTCGCACCTCAGTGAACGTTGACCTTCCACGAATGATTCACCCCCTCGTCCATCATGCCTCTGCCGCCCCTCCGAAGATCCAGGCCCACTTCACTTTCCGCCCTCCCTCCTGGCATGGGGGGTGAAATCAAACCACCCATGAACGCCCCTCGAGCGGCCGTTCCTGAGCCGTGTTTAGGGCCAGATTTTCGAAAGAGAGCCGTTAGTGCAAGCTAGGTAGCCGGACAAATGCACGTGTGTGCATGCAGAATGGCAGCCGAGTAAATGTCACTAGCCGTGTTTCTCTCTTTCCCTCACCTCTCTCTCTTCCTTTAGCTCTTGGGGAGCTGTTCATGTCGGGGAATCCAGGGAGGCTGGGATCGTGCATGCGTGCCTGCGGGCCGGGGCCTCCTTAAAAAGCCCCGGCCAACATTGGTGGTGAGAACAGGGGGTGGCCGAAGTGGCTGCGGGCCTGCGAGGAAGTTACCGGGAAGAGACACCGCGCCTGCACCCTCGCCAATCGAAGTACCTGACCCATGTACCTTTTTGGACTTGTGCACACTGCACATCGTTGATGAATTTGAGGGAAGCAGCCACACCAACACCAGGCAGGTCAGTCCACAGGAAAGGCGGCCCCGGGTCGCGTCTCTCCCCTTGTCGCCTTTTTTTAGGGTCGTGGAATCGTGGCTCCATAAAAAAAATCTAATTAAATTCCCAATCATGGCTCAACCCCCCGAAGCTGCCCCGTTGCGACTGCAGTCGTCTCGAGACTCGGCTCCTGCTCAGCCGCGTGTGCAGCCAACAAACCTTGACGCGCTTGTTGAGCAGAAGCATCCTCGCGACCAGAACCAGCAACCGCACTTGCGACAACACAATCAGCAGCCACAGGAACAACATCAATATCATCATCAACAACAGTATCAACACCAGCACCAGTATTACCAACCACAGAAGGCCCCATTGGGCACGCATTCACCTGGAGCGCCGCAGTACAGCGACGCGACAACCAACAGCACCGGCAGTGTTGCTCACTCCAACAGCAGTCGGGGCAGGCGAAGCCCCAGCATTAGCGACGAGAAGGCCAAAGCGGATGCTGTCTTGCCTGTGGACACCAACCCAGACAATCACGCGTCGGTTGCACGGTCTATAGTCCCGGGTCCAGCCGCTCACGGCTCCCTGAACGACACGCAACACAACGGCGGCGTGACAGGACCAGCAGCTCTGTCGGACATGTCCAACTCGCAACCGGGGCCGGGGCCCGCCCGGCAACCGGTAACATATGCGAGCCCGCCAAACTATCCTCAAGCTGGCATGTCACCTGTTTCGCACTACATGTACTCGTCGCAATCAATCCCGACCGACCCGTACCGGCCGAACCCGACTACTCTCCCGAGCATGCGAACCCTCGACCACAGGCAACCACAAGCACAACCGCAACACGGGATCCCGATGGGAGCGCACATGGCGGGCCCAGCAATGCCGGCACCCGCTCCCGCGCACATGGGCTACTACGGCGTCCACCCCTCCCACATGTACGGGCTCCCAGATCCTAATGCAATGCGTTTCGCGCTTGCCCCTGGCATGGCCCACGATCCGCGCATCGCCTTGAGCGGGGGGAGACATAAAAAGGTACCAACGCAACGGCACAAAAATCCCCGAATAATCCTACCGAAGGGCTTTCGAAGTGCTGACCATAGGCCTGGATTCTGGCCGACAGGAGATCAAGCGGCGAACAAAAACCGGGTGCTTGACATGTCGCAAACGGAGGATAAAGGTATGTTGTGTTTGCTCATCACCGCTTCTTCCCCTTTTTAATTCTGCTCCGTTCCGTCCTCCTCGCGAAAACCCCGGGCCGCACGTCATCCCAGATAAGTTGTTGGTTCAGACAACTTGAACCAAATAAAGACCGTGTGTTAGGCGACTGCAGCCTGTGGTTGGGGGAGCAAACCAGCCGCTTGGTCGGTTTCACCCCAGACGCTCGCTTGCCGTCGCTTCGCTGGCCAGATTACCTAACCGCAGGCTGGGTTTGAGAAGGGACGAAATGTGGGAGCTATTGGATTGGAACTCTCTCCACCCATTTTTTGCGACTGCTCTTTCCCCTCCGCCGCGACACGCTGCTCAGCTGCCGGTTCGGCAAAACTCAACCTGCACCTTCTCGTTGTTAGCCTTGCAAGCTCTCTAACATGATCCTGTTGGCCTAGTGCGACGAAGCGCATCCAACCTGCAACAACTGCAAGAAGTCAAAACGTGACTGCCTTGGCTACGACCCTATTTTCAAGCAGCAACAAGGCCCTGCAGCCATCCAACCCGCACCGAGCACCCAACCCCCCGCCCCCCCTCCGGCCTCCGTGCCCGCACCCGCCGTTCCGTCCTCGGGCCCGCATCCGTACCAAACGTCGTACCCGCCTCCCCTCCCTTCGAACATTGCGCCCGAACCCGTACCATCCACGGCACCGCAAATCATCAAGACCGAGTCCGCCTACGACTACTCGACTGCTATCGACCCGGCACTGCAAGGGCCCGACATTGCCGGTTCACGGGCAGCCCGATACCACCAGAACAACACGGCCCCAGGCACGGGCCAAGGAATTGGTGACTCGAACGATTTGCGAGGTGGCACCCCCTCCTCTTCCATCCTGTCAGCGCTCTCTCAAACTCAATCGCGAGAGATCATGTCCGCTCATACAATTTCTCCAGCAAAGAAGATGAAGGTCGATGAGCTTATCGCTCTTGGTGAAGCGCCACCCCAGGCGTCGAGCGCACCGCCGTCCCCCGAGATGCTCACCGAGATCACGAAGTTGTATAACGAGGTCTACTCGCCAGGCCTTTCGCTCTTCTTCGAGACGCGATGGTATGACTTCGCAAAACCCCAAGCGATGACGGCCAATCCTGCAGCAGCCATGCTCCACAACAACCAGTCTCTCGTTTCCCTCTTCACTTCGTTTATCCAGACAATATCCAAGATCGAAAGTATCAACTCCGACGACATGATCTCTTCTGGGCATCTAGAGTCGTCCGTCGTCTGGTCGCTCGCCCGCCTTCCTCTCTCAATCCCACTCACCCAACGCCAGCAATACCCAGAATCCACACCCCCCGAAGACGACCTCTGGGAGGCTCGCGGTCGTCTGCAGGTTTTTGAGGCGCTCCTATCGGGTGAAACGCTCGCAGCCAGCCCTGTCTCACCGCCGCCTACTAGCAGCATCCACCCACTACGCAGAAACGAACTGCAGTTCTGGTATCAACTTGCTAGATATCTCCTACAAGAGAATGCGTCCGCTTCACCTGCGGATGTGTCAAGCAGGGAACGTTGCCTGGGTGTGATGAGGGATCTCTTGGATGGTCGTGAGAACCGCGACGTTCTCTACAGCATCGCGGTACTGAGAGAGTACACGGTGCATTGGGACGCCTCCTACAGCGAACAAAACGTGCCCTCGCACCTAGAAGAGTCGGACTCTCGGAGTAAGCTCGCCGTCGCGACAAGGTTCATTCGAGACGAGTCCAACGCAACGGGCGGAACAACCAACGTGGTCCGCCGATTCGCCCAGCTCGCTTACTGCGCGTTCGTCCGACCAGGCGCCAACGTTAATAGGAACATGAGCAGGAAATAAGAGCGGCGGTCCACAGATGTGTATTCGAACACCATGTTATACCGGAGCCGGTGGGCTCGTTTTCCTTATATAGAGCAAGGAGGATGGATATATTTGCATCTGGGGCTTGGGAACACATCGCGTCGAGTTAGATATTCGACGGCATATTTGCGTTGCTTGGATCTGCATGGTTGGATTCCAGTCACTTGTACACTTATATAGAAAGGTCGTGCCGAGTTACCTCACTCGGTGCCATGTTGGTCAATGGGAAAAGGAAGCGAGGGACGGCCCTGGAAATGGCCAAAAAATGCCCCGCACCCTCTACCGAAAGTGATTCATACAGCTGTTCTTGATGAAACGTTTGTTCCAAGTTGTAAGCCGGCTTCCGGTCGCCTTTCGGCTCTCAGAGCGCTTACATGTCACAGCTCTTGAAGTGAGAAGGACCATATCCAGCCGCAGCTCACCATCTCGCATCATCCATGTGTGCCATTGGCATCCTCGGTGTTTATGGGACGGCTACTCTTTCCTTTATCCTCACATATCGCGCTGCTCCGGGACCATACTTCGAAGCCGCCCCTGTTCGATAGCCATTCGGACGTTGCTAATGGCCCTAGAAACCCACGTCAGATAACCTGCTTCGATTTGTACGGCGAAGTAGGACTCACCACTCCTCCATCTTTGTCTCCGTTTCCACCGTCCAGGTGCCCATGTGCGGCACGAGGAGGACACGGGGGTTCGATAGCAGGCCGGGATGGACGCAGGGCTCTTGCTCGTAAACGTCGAGGCCCGCCGAGCAGACTTGCCCCGAATCGAGAGCCTCCACAAGCGCGGCCTCGTCTATCACGGCGCCTCGTGCCGTGTTGACGATCACGATGCCCTTCTTCATCTTGGCAAACTCTCCTTGAGATATGATGTGTCGGGTATTTGCCTATCGTTGTGTCAGCGATCTCGAGACGGTGGAAGGGGACAAGATAGGGGTGAGGGGGGTTGGGGGCTTCCCACATTCAGGGGCAGGTTCAAGCTCAGGACATCACTCTCTGCCAACAGCTCGTCGAAGCCGACATATTCCGCCCCGAGTTCCGCCTCGATATCGGAGGCCAGTCTCGTGCGGTTGTAGTAGCGAATCTTCATGCCAAATGCCCGCGCTTTTGCCGCCATGTTACGGCCGATGCCGCCCATCCCCAGAATCCCGAGTACCTTTCCCTGAGGGTCGTGCCCCAGCGCCGGGAGGGTTGATCCCCGCCACTCTCCGGCTCGGATTGCCGCCATGCCCACGGCTAGGTTCCGGAGCGCGCCCAGTAGCAGGAAGATGCCGATATCCGCCGTCGCATCGTCGACAGCCGTCGGCGTGTTGGAAACGCGGATATTGTGGGCGGTGCAAGCCTGGACGTCCACCTGGTCGTAACCCGCGCCGTTGTGGCAGACGAAGCGGAGTGAGCGAGGGAGCGCGTCGAGGAGTTCGCCATCAATCTTTCCCGTCACTTCAAAGCTGTCGAATGTGCGGTATGCTGCAACGCAGCCGTCGAATGCTCCTGAGGCTGCCTCTTCCAGGAAGTCGGCGCGGTTGGTTGACTTGGGCGTGAAGACATCAGCAATCTCCTCGACAGAGGCCCAGGCTGAATGCGCGCTAATTCGTGGAGTTAGTTATGGTCAAGAAATTTGGGTGAGATTTCGACGAGGTAAAATGTTCCGAGCGTACGAAGGGGAGGAAACTGAAAATAAGAGGACGCCTTATCTTCCCGCCGACTCCCATTTAGCCCCCTACCTTCAATCATTTCCAATTAACCCGGACGTCGTACCTTGTACGCAACGTTGTTGCCTAGGGAGTATAATATATTTTCTAACACGTGGGCTTGGGAGAAAAAAAAAAACTGTACTCACTGTACAATGACACCCAGTCGAAGGACTTTGGGCCGGTTTCGGTCGTTGGGAGACATGTTAAAGGTTGGGTTTCGGACACTTTAATTCAGCCAAAACCTGATTCCGTTTCGAATCAGTGAGGACCACTGAATGGTGTGGATAAGCTAGGTGGTGTATATACGCTTCGACGGAACGTCGTGTTTCGAAGACGGTGCCGTTCTATGGAGCGGGCTCAAGATGGCGCTTGACAAACCCCCGCATCGGCCGGTATCACCACCGGTTGACGCACTAGGACTCTTCCACGTCGCGATCCCCGGGTGGGCAGACCGACACCCCCGATTGGCTATGCCTGTTACGACGGCCGATTCGATCCGGCCGGCACCCGGTGAGCCGGTTGACAAGATAAAGAGGGCATTGTCGGCGAGGACGAACAAGAACGCGCGGTTCCGGCGGGCGTGGTGTCGGGTCCCGCGGCTATGGTTTGATATAAATAATCCCAACCTTAAAGCTCCACACAACTGTCGACGCACTTCAAACCCAAGCACACAAGTCTGAGAGAAAATTATAGCATGTTGGTGAGCTCCAATTGTCGCTATATTCTATTGGGCCCCGGTTGACGGGGCCGCTTGATCTTCTCTGTTTGCCCGAATCTAGAGAAGTGTTCCGGCGCACCAACGCGACAAGTTCTCTGTTAAACGCCGTCCGGTGGGTGTAGGTGGGATATCATGAGCCAAAGCCAACGCCGTACTTTTGTTGAAAATGTGTACCAGACCCCCTTTGCCTTTTACACTCCGCCTAAACCCAATGTGCCATGCAAGTCATGCCTGTTGAAAACAATGCTCCGAAAACCCGTCCTGAACATGCCCTCCGAGACGTGTCCAGGATACAAATTGTTGAAGATCTATCATAAAGGAAAAGTCTGCTTCCCGCGGCGCTCTATGTATTTGAGGCCGAGCAGACACCGCTTGTAAAATTAGTAGCGGTAGCTATTGTGCGTTAGCGACAGTCACATGGCAGGTTGAAGGAAGGTTGGCGAGAAAACGTACTGGTCGGTCTTGAAGGGACCCTCAACATCCAGGCCGAGGTACTCGGCCTGGACGTTGGTCAGGGTGGTGAGCTCAACGTTGACGTGAGCCAAGTGGAGGCGAGCAACCTCCTCGTCAAGAATCTTGGGCAAAACATAGACCTTGGTCTCAAGCTTGCCGCTCTTGCCGAACTCGACGTACTTCTTGGCGAACGCCTCGTCGTTGCTCTTGTAGAGCATGATCTGAGCCAGAACCTGGTTGGTGAAGCTGCACGACATGACGAAGGAGCTGTGGCCAGTGGCACAGCCAAGGTTGACAAGACGACCCTCGGCCAGCAGAATAACGTGGCGACCGTTCTTCATGAGGAAGCGGTCAACCTGGGGCTTGATGTTCTGAACGGACTGGGCGTTGGCCTTGAGCCAAGCGACATCGATCTCGACGTCGAAGTGGCCGATGTCTGGTTGTTGGAGTCAGCACCTGTAGAGAAGGAAGGGCGTGAAGGGATGGGAAGGAGACATACTGCAAACAATGGCGTCGTTGGGCATCGACTCGAAGTGCTTGCCAACCAGGATGTCGCGGCAGCCGGTGGTGGTGACGAAGATCTGGCCAACCTTGCTAGCCTTGTCCATGGTGGTCACCTCGTAACCAGCCATAGCGGCCTGGAGGGCGTTGATGGGGTCAACCTCGGTGACGAGCACACGGGCGCCCATGTCGCGGAGAGCGACAGCGCAGCCCTTGCCGACGTCGCCAAAGCCGGCAACAACGGCGATCTTGCCAGCAACCATAACGTCAGTGGCGCGCTTGATGCCGTCGACCAGCGACTCGCGGCAGCCGTAGAGGTTGTCAAACTTGGACTTGGTGACCGAGTCGTTGACGTTGATGGCAGGCACCAGAAGCTTGCCGTTCTTGAGCATGCGGTACAGGTGGTGGACACCCGTGGTGGTCTCCTCGGACACGCCGTAGCAGTCCTTGAGCATCTCAGGGTACTTGGTGTGCACCAGGTGGGTCAGGTCACCGCCGTCGTCCAAGATCAAGTTGAGCTTCTTGTCATCCTTGAAAGCAACGAGCTGCTGCTCCAAGCACCAGTTGTACTCCTCCTCAGTCTCGCCCTTCCAGGCAAAGACGGGAACGCCGGCCGCGGCAATGGCAGCGGCGGCGTGGTCCTGGGTGCTGAAGATGTTGCACGAGGACCATGTGACCTCGGCGCCGAGGGAAACGAGAGTCTCAATCAAGACAGCAGTCTGGATGGTCATGTGCAGGCAACCAGCGATGCGGGAGCCCTTGAGCGGCTGGTCGGCGGCATACTTGGTGCGGATGGACATGAGACCAGGCATCTCATTCTCGGCCAGCTCGATCTCCTTGCGCCCGAAGGCAGCGAGGGACAGGTCGGCGACCTTGAACTTGTGAGCGGGGGCAGACATTCTGAATGTGAGAAAGACGGTTCTGGGGTAGTCTGCTGGTCGTGAGAATGTCGGGGGTAAATGAGAAGGACAGGTTCAAATCGGGCGAGAGGACTGGAGGAGGTAGGAAATTATTCAAAGTGTGGGCGGGGCTCCTGGCCGACCTTTAAAGAGGGGTAGAGTTGGCGGGGTGAGGGGCTACCAAGCAAAAAATGGGTCCGGTTTAGTCTCCGTGGCCGAAGCAGGGCGGCAGTTGCTTCGTACTAGGCGACGCAAGGACAAAAGGAGGGGCAGATATGCAGGAAGCAATGCCAAATACAAACTGCCTTCAAGGTGCGTGCGAGCCGAACATTCAGGAACGAAAGCCACGAGTTAGTTGTGGAGACAACCGGTTTTCTTTAGTTGTTTCCCTCGCCGAAAGGGAGATCAATATCTCGGCATCTAGTCGGAAACTAGAATGGTAGAGGCGACGGGAGGCCAGGTGAGACAGGGCGCGGAGTGAAAGATAGCACCGCCGAAAAACGGCGAAGACCCGGTGCCCGCAGCCAGACATCGGTGAAGAACGTGCAGGTCCGACCCCCTCAATTAACCCCTTTTAGGTACGACCCCGCTGCTCACCTCTTCTCAGCTTCCAATCGGGCTGTCCAACGCGAAAACGCAGCCGGGAGCCCAGGATTCGGCAGCCACGGCAACTGTCCTTAATTGGATCCCGACTCCGAGAACACCGGCTTGCCCGGGGATCAAGATGGAGGCAATCACCCCGGAATCGGCGGCGTCATACAACAGTAATAACAACAACAAACCACAATACCACTTCATGGCATGGCTAGGGGCAGAGAGAGATCACTCGTTGCGCCCCTTGGTAAACCAGGGGCTCAGATTTCACGGTCTATACCGCTGTCTCGTTTAAGCGAACCGATCTTTCCAGGCCAAATGACGCATACAGTCCGAGGATAGGCATCATGGCTGGCCCGGAAACGAGTGCAAGCTAACAAACAAGCCCATGACCCGGAACGCCAGACCTAATGCACTCGAGATACCCCAGCCATCGCGCCCGCCGCATCCCCGCCGCCCACAACACAACAGAGAAATCCCAGATCACTCAGGCAGCAAGTTCCCCCTCACGGCAAACATCTTGGAGGTAATGGTCGCGGTGAACCCGTCTACCTGCTTGCTGTACTGCTCAACTTGCCTAGCGTTGAGCATGCCCTCAAGCCGGCTAGGCTCCTGCGGGAGCTTGAAGAGTCTCTGCCACTCATCCTCGGGGAGAGGCTGCTGCTTCGCTGCTAAGCGCGCAGCATTCTCTGCCTTGCGCTTTGTTTGCCATTGTGTAATCTTGAATTGCTCGCGGGTCAGCTGCCGCTGGTAGTACTGGTGGTTGTTGAGATCGGAGTAGTGGGATTCGATGCTGTCGAGCAACAGATCGCAAGTCTTCTCGAGGAAAGGATCGATCGAAAGATCCAGAGTGTCAAACGATGGGTGTGCGGGAGGCTGAGCAGGATCGCGACGGATGTCTTCGAGCGAAGCCGGAAGCGGGATCTCGGCCGACTTGGGCGGCGCGGGGACTTGGTGTAGGAACGAGGTAAGGAGATGGGAGTTGTGGACAACCACAGGGACCTCGACGATAATATCCCTGAAAGTCAGCTTCGACTTCTGAAGGCTATTCGAGTTTGATTCGAGTCAGTGATAATGACCAAGAGGCGCAGGGGTCAATCAACGGTGGACTAACCTTTCGGTTGTAAACTTCCCCTCCTTGTAGGCCGTCATGAACTCCGGCGACAACCTGAAGGCGCGTAGGCTCAGGGCGCCCTGGGAGCTTCTGCTAACATCGTGGACGAGCGCCACCGCCTTATCATTGTCGCGCTGGTAGTGGTGTTGGTTCTCGATGAAGCTGAGGTTGATGAAGTTGCCCATGGTCGCACTCGTGTACCAGCCCACGTTGTTCGCATCCACGTTCACCTCCTTCAGGTGTCTAATCATCTCGTTCTGGTAGGCGATATTGGCTTTCGCGCGGGGAGCGGCCGCGGCGAGGCTGGATGCGTCGGACTGGTGGCTATCGGTGCCAGAGACGTCGACGGTGGGGAACGGGAAGGTATTTGTGATTTCAAGAACACCATTGTTGTCCATGCCCACGATAGATCCTGTAGCCGTCGTCGGGAAACTCGAGGAGCAGTGCTTAACAATCTTCATCACCACCTGGCACTGCTGTTAGCGATGCGCCCAAGCACATGGCGGGGCACTTGGTCCTTGTCTGAAATTTGGCTGGGTACGTACAAGCGACTCGACCTGCGCCGACTTGCACGGCACATCCTTTTGCGCGTCAGCCATGGTGTCGGAGGGCTATTGCGCAATATCTGGGGAGACGGGGTTTCAAGGGCGGGCTCCGGCGAGGATCTTTGTTCGGGTGCTGAGGCTGCTGGCGACTTTTGGGGGGTTTCGGAAATCTCGTTCGTTTGTGGGCACCCGAGTTCAAAAAAGTGGCTTCCTGCAGGACAGAACGGAGGTGTGGCTGGTGACGTGGCGCAGTCTCTGGTCCCAACTGCGATAAATACAAGACGGAGGCAGTTACGCTCGGCGCCCTCATCTAACGAATGTGAACAACTGTCTCGGAGATCTTGAACTTAACAGAAGTGCAAATTGAGATTCAAAATTTACGATCAATACATGTTCCTGTCGAATCCGTTCCCTCAAATTTCGTGTTTGTCGAACAAAATACAAAATACATGTAATTACGCGGTGCTCGCTCCGATAGGGATCTCACGGTCACGGAATTCGAGCACGGGCTGGTGATTCGACACCAACACAGCGACATCCCACGCTTCCCCCACGCCGCCGGGGGCTTTTGGGCACGCCTTAAATTGACAACCACCCCGGGAACCACCGCATGCTCCTCGTTCTCATTCAGTTCCTCTTCGCCGTCGTCTACTGCGTGTTGAGCTTCTTGTTAGAACGTGTATTTGGCACATGGCCGACACAACACCCCTTCGCTCAGCTCTGGCAAGGACTCAATCCTGAACGCCGTCTTCATTTAACCCTACGCCTTCTATGGATATCGCTGCCGCTGCCTAAGAACCAAAACAAACCCCCCCGCGCGTCTTAAGAGGGCCAGGTGTACAAATATATATCTCTTTCTTCTCCTCCGCCCATCTCTTTCACTCATCCCAATCTGTGATCGCCCAGCCTTTGATACCGTCCTCGACGGTCAGCTTGAAGCGGTCTATTTTCCAGAAGGTATACAGGGACCGGGCGGCTCCGGCCGCCTTGCGGTGCGCCGGGCCTACGCCTCCTTTCCTTGCGTCATCCTGGGATCTCCAGATGCAAGTCGCCAAGTTGCGACCCTCGATGTCGGGAGTCCCAAACCAATACCTGCCACAAGTGTCAGCAGCGCGTCTCCAGCCAGGTCTGGGTCTGATCGGACGTACTTCAAAAAGCCGCCGCTTGCGGTGGCTTCGGCGTGAGCCGCCTTGTCCAACGTGCCGAGTTCGGCATACACCGTTGTCGGTGGTATGCGAGAACGGAAGGCAACCACAAAGAAGGATGTTCTCTTCCATGTATGGTTGAGCCTCCCGGCTAGCGTCTGGAGCGTCTCGATGATTTCCTCCCAGTTAAACGTCTGAACGTACGGTGCCGTGGCATAGTCCTGGCGTAGGCACTTCATCTTGGTCAAGGCAATGGCGAGAAGCTGGTTCTCGATGTCGAGGGTTTCGAGGTCTAAGAGGTGCTCCTGCTCAGAGTATGGCGAAACGATAAGGTGTCTGTCCTGGCTGGGATTTGGTACGACAGCCCTAGCCTTGATTTCGGATACCGCGGCCGAACTCCTCTTTGTCTCCAAGTTCCGAAAGGACTGGGCTTGCACCTCGGCCACGAGCACCGGCCCTTCCTGGATTGTCATGGTGAATGGCGGCGGTCTCGACGGGAACGTCAATACAATGCGGCGAGGAAGGAAAGAAAAATTACGAGCTCGTCGGCTTTCGTTCAGCCAGGTGAGCTCTGTTTTTGTTTCAGTGGCGACCGTTTCTTGTGTGTTCTGGGACAAATTGGAAGGTATGGGTACGGCAAGTGAAAGGACGGCAAGGCACGCTCTTAAAGTTCCCAGGGGCGAGCAGCAGTTACCCGCTGGTGACATGGCGCGAGTAAATCACGAATCTCAACCATGCCTCCGGAATTTCCCCTGGACGGGCCCGCCGAACGCTGCGAAGAAATGGCCTCCGAGCATATTGCTGGAACTACGCGGATCGCGCCATCGGTTACAAGGGTGGTGTCATCGCAAACATCCCCGTCCCAACACGGATCTGCCGCAAAATCTGAAAGACCAACAATGGAACATGGCTGTTCGGCTGACCGCTCCGAGTCAGACTGTAAGCACAGTCAAGTGGTGAAACTCTTGTGAGTTGCCTCCTTGGTGGGTACTCACCGCCAGCCACGGGATGCGTGCATCCCCGTCCCGGTTGGTGGGGCAATCCTCCGGAACGCGAGGCACGACTTCCAGATGGGATGAATACGCGGAGACATTACCCGACGGGAAGCATACTGTACTGTGTAAAACGGACGTGAGACAGACCGATGTTCTTACGAATCTGGTGGCGATGTCGGCGATGTCGGCGATTCCGGTCACACACCTTACGACGCCATCATCATTGGACGCCCCTAAAAGCAATCCGCCCAACAGTCAGATACAAGTTCACGATACAAAAAAGTTGGGGTTCCATTCCGCATTGCCTTGGCCCCTAAACGTCAATTAACCGTCGTTCGATATACGTATTCTGCATTACGACGAGAAGCAGCGGGTTTGCCATCTTACTCCGATGCATCGCCGGCCTCCCAGTTCCAAACTCCCCGGTTCCCTCTCCCGTCAAGTTGTCTGTCTCACTTAGGTTCAACATGGTCGAGCGCCTAAGGTGACCGATGCTTCAGCCAAACCTTTGTTGCCTCGTACGAGCCCAGATAGAGCCCACTCCCGAGCGCCGCCCATGCCGCACGTAACGAGCCACCTCGGAACAAACCTCGGATTCCGTTCTCACGGAGAACCGTCCTCACAATTTCTACCACGCTGCCCGGCCCCTGTGGGCCGTTCCTATTTCCGAGCATCACCCGTGTTTTAACAACGTCTGCCGGTGTCGTTATGGTTGCTGCAAGAGACCCAGAAATGGCCGCGGCACTCCCCGTTACTAGCCCTGTCTCGACGAGGAGAGAGCGGGAGCTGGCGTGCGCTGCTACACTCGTTTCGTCACCCGTTGTTGGTTCCAGAGTGGCCCATGGCGCTATCTTGGAACTGTGACCCTGCCGTTGTCTCCAAATCTGAGCCCGAAGATACTCAAACATGGGAAACTGAATCGCTGTATATGGCAGGTTCCGAGCAACCAGCGTGGTATATCCTCTCCACAGCGTCCGTGTCACACCGGCCCCGCTGCGACGTAGCATGCGAAGAGCCTGTAAGGAGGAGGATCGGCCGAGGGAAGACGACCCTGATCGTTGTAGTACTTGAGCGTTCTGTTTGATCACCTCGGCCGGCGTAAGGACGAGACAGGAAGCCATCTCAGCGCCGGCCGATGCAAAGGCGTGGATGGCTGGGCCCGGGACTATGTCTGGTAAGGCATGCCTGAGAAGGGGCTTAGTTGACTCGTAACTGGCGAAGAAGACCGCGGCTAGGTATTCAAAGACAACTTAGTCGACAACACACCCATCGCCTGCCTTGGGTATGTCTCACCGGCAGGGAGGGTTGCGAGGACCACACTTCCAATCCCTTGGTACAGTCCCCTCACGGCTGTGTACGGTGCTCTTCTCGTGGACGATAAATTACTCTTCAGACCAAGGTAGCCCTGGCTCTGATACCGCGTCTTAATTGTATCCAACGGGTACACGAGCATGTCAACCGTGAATGCAGCCACGGCACCAGCCTAGAAAGAGGTGATAGTCAGTGAAAGTGCAATCAGTAATCAGTGAAATAGTTGACTACCTACTGCCAGTATCTCATGATGCGCGTTGTCTCTCATCTTTTCCGTGCATGCTCAATCACCACCATCATTAACAGGCCGAGGTCTTGTAGCGTGGGTGTTGATGGATAAACAGGAGATTCTCCCTGTTGGCTGTGACGTCATCGTGGTGGGTTGGGAAAGGAAGACCAACAAGTAAAAGGGAAAAAAGAACTAACCATGCCAACTAGCCAAAGGCCGCGAGAAGTTCAATTGCGGTCTCGGGTTGTTTTCGTTTTTACATCTCGGGCTAACCAGCTCCTACGTGAGTCAGGTAGGGCTGAGAACGGGAACCTGAAGTGAGCCTTCCGTTAGGTTGTTGGGACTACCTGTGGAGATGCTCTCTACAACCAAACCTCGATAGCACCAACTACGACAGCAAGTAGGTACCTTAGGCAGTCTACGATGAAGATAAAACAAAGTCGGTATCGTGGGGAATTAGCGAAACGGTAAGATTCAAAAGCAGTCAATAACAATGAACCTCTAACCGCTGTTCTTCTACCCCGTCTTCATACTCCTCCGCTCCAAGCCGAGTGACCGCTCTACCGCATCCATTCTCTTTTTTCGCCCCGTTGTGCGCCGAGTATTTTTTGGTACCAATATCATCACATGCTAGCACTGTTGCCCTCGCCGACAAGGCCGATATGATTATCGTTACCCCTAGCGGTGTCGAAGGTGGGCACAGCCAATCTCTTTTCTTTGGCTCTCCGGACTATATCAAGGCAGCATTTGACACTATGCCAGAGCATCGTGCCGGATGGGGTCGGTCTGGAGGTCGGAGTTCGTGGTGTCTGGTCCTCCGCTATCGATTAATACTTAGGTAGGTAGAAACCATATTCCTCAGTCTGTGTATTTTGGCCAGCGGGGCGGGGGCCTCAAGCATTCTAACCGAATCATTCATGTGGCCTCTCCTATGTAACATGATCCGTGACTGTTTTCCTGCAGCCGTGTGGTGACTCCCTCCTTTCACACATTTGACCTAGACGCTGGGTGGCAGACATCAATATTATGTGGCAGACGCCAATGCGTGGCAACACGACTTCCTCTACTACTATAGTAGGGACCCATTGAGCTTGTGCGGTAGATATTGGGCAAGCGTATGTTAGCATATCATATACCGGTAGGCTTGCTCACCCAAATCCCGCTTGGTGTGACTGGTACCTAATTGATGTGGCTGTGCGTCGGCCGTAAATGTCCGATGGCTCTCGTTCTCGACGCTGATTCGGCAGAATTACAGAGGTGCCATCGAGCTGCATTTGCAGAGGCCGCCGCCGCTAGGCACCCTACAAGGCATTGGGGCCTTGACGAGTGAGTGGTTTTGCTACAATGATTCAAAGGATTCGGCAGTCACATCGTGGTGAGGTCTCAAGGATTGGTTCCCATCTCCTGCCTCAGGAAAGCCAACCCCTGGCGTCGACGAGTCCTACGAACACTCCTACAGTCCTGGTTGCAACGCGAGAGCCCCAATGGACCCTCTTTCAATTGCAGCGTCTACAGTGACGCTCATTCAAGTAGCCGGCACTGTAAGTCACCGTGATTACTTACCTAGATACCTCAAGCAGTTACAAAACGGTGACGAACGCCTCTTGTCCCTCGTACCGTCTGACAAAATACATTGCAGGTCGCAACATCACTTCAACGCTTCATGCACTCACTCAAGACCGCCGATTCGCGCATTACGGAACTATGCAACGAGTTGGCTAGTCTAACGGTTTTCCTAGAAGCGGTAGAGCGGACGTTGAAAGGATGCCATCCCCTCGACACAGCCCATGTGAACGAGGAATTATGGCATCAGAGCGAACTGTGCCTTGTGGATTGCCAGGTAACCCTCAACGAATTGGCTGTTTTGGTGGACAAGATCAAATGTAGCAACAACACCAGAAGATTCGGATGGAGACTGCGCGCGGTTGTAGACCTAAGCGTCTACAGCCCGGACATCGGCATATTCAGAGACAAGATCCACAAGTCTACCTGGGCCCTGCAAACCCTTCTCCACACCATCACCGTGTAAGACATATTCCATTGTTGGAAGTTTGGACGGGGCTAATGTGACCAGATCGCTGTCGCTCCGACAGAATGCCTCGCAGGACATGATCCTCTTCGAGCTCGACCGGCTCAAGGTTTCCATCGATGAGGCGCTTCTGGCGTCCCGCCAACCGCGCCAGCGGTTTAGCCACAGTCTCTCTGCAGATTCACGCCTCGCTCGTAACCTGCGGAATCTCGCCGAGGCCGCGAGGCACTTCCACTCGGCCGCCAGCTCTACCGCAAGCACCATCCGCGACCACAGCGGTAGTTTGTTGGGCGATTTCCCTCCCCACCGCCGGGAGCGCGTAGAAACATTCATCAGAACCGCGGGCAGGCATGCTTCGGGCCACGAAACACCTGCCACGGTGATATCAACATCAGCAAACTCGGCCTCAATCGCCATCAGCCCTCGATCTCTCCGGGTCACAGCATCGGCCTCCCGGTGGCCTGCCGTCGAGGATGATGAAGACGACGAGTCAGAATTTGAGAAGCTATTCCTCGAGGGGCTCGAAGACCTTGCAAAGGACAGCATTCGACGCAAAGAGTTTGAGAAGGCCATTGCGTTCCTCACTGAGGCCATCCAGCGAAAAGAGAAAGCAAGGTCCGGAAAGGGAGATCTACCCCGGCTCCAAGCTCAGCTCGCCTTGTGCTACTTATTTGGGGACGACTGGAAGCAAGCCGAGCCTATCGTCTCCGCCTTGGTAAACCACAAAGAGGCATTCTCGGACCTGGGTCCAGTGGTCTGGACCATGCTCCATGCCTTAGCCCTCGCTTATCTATCGACTTATGCGTTTGAAGGCGCGTTAGAGACGTGCAAAAGGGCGTTCCACGCTCAGGGGAAATGGGCAAGGACCAAACAGCTGGATCGGCGAGATGTCGAGGGCAGCGTAGAGACGACCGCTTTGCTTGCCACGATCTTTCACATGGAGGGCGACTACATCGCGGCGGAAATCTACCGGCGCCAGCTTCCCGAGGACTTTGTCTACAATCACTGCTCGGACCCTCGCGAGTTCCTCGCTAGCCAGTTCGACCTTGTAGGGGATGTGCTTGGGGACGACCTGTCAGATTTATGTGATTACAGTCCCTTGAGCAACTCACCCGACTTCCAGCAACTCAGGATAAACACGCGGCCCTCGATGCATGTCTCTATACAGCGGCTCACGGCTCTACACAGGACCCTCACGGTCAACGCCGGTGATTTGTCTCCTCTGAGAGCCCGACACCGCCAATGGGAGAAGTTTGAGATGGACACAAACAAGGAGGTCGTCGTTTCTACGTCTGACACCGTCGTCGAGACGGAAACTAGCGACGAGGCCGCAACAAGGGATTCAAACAGTCCGCGCAACACGGCTGTCGCCAGTGGGTTCCGAAGGAGAGCTACAAAGATGTTTGAGACGGGGCGTGGTCTACACCGAACCTGGTGTAGGTGGAGCGCGGAAGCCGACTCTGCGGCTTCCTCAACCCCGTCTCCGATCCGGCGATGGTTGAAGGGAACCAGTATACTTGTCGCAAAGCCAGCCAGAGCCATGCTACGGCGGAGGTCAGATAGCGACACGAAACTCGCCGATTATGCACGCTGGGAGGGCCCCAAAACATTTCGGGGACTGCCTATAAGCCGGCCCATCATCGCTGACTCGTCCGAGTGGTGGCCGACTTTCCGATTGCCAGTGGGACATCCGGGGACAATCCTCGACGATCATGTCATTCCAGACACGGCTCGTGAAGGTTATACCACACCCGAGAATACCGCGGACGATGAGACAAGTGTCACTACCACTCATAATAGTGTCTCCTGTACCGACACTTTCCAAGACCGTGGTTCCGAAACTGACCCAGAGACATCCGAAGTCCCTGAGCAACCCGTGACACCCCACACCGCAAATATTCCGAGATCATCATGCCCAGCAGAGCTCATGGATACGTCGTTTTCTGTCACCAGCCAGCAGAAGGCTTTCAACCAAGTTGACGTCCTTGACGTGCTTCTCGACTATCTACAGACCCCTCAGGAACAGAGCGCCCAACCCAGCTACGATAAGGGCGAGATACAGCGATTAGATTCACCTACGGTGAACAATTATTCCCGACCGATAGCACCGGAGAGTCGCCCAAGGTTTGGAACCGCCCACGACTCTGACACACCCCGGACCACTACGGTCATCGAAGAAGCGAATCGGAAGAATGCCACCAGGGAAGCCGGGCATTTATGGATGAATACAGGCTCCAAAAAGATGAGGAAACCCGGTACTACTCTTCACCGTGGCCATGATAGGTTGGAACCCAAATTCGCGAAAGGCCGGGAGAAACCCCGGTACGGGCCTACCACGACAGCTCTGTCGCAGGAAGAGACTGCAGTCCTTTCGAAACTCGCAGATATCTTGGCGTCTTTAACAACCCGAAAGGACTTGAAGGCGGACAAGCTTCACGCAGCCAAACTCGAACTGGAAGCGTTGTCAGCATACCTGGAGAAATGGGGCACCGACTCTACCCTATGCCGTGATGTACGGAACGTCATCGAGTCACTCCCCGGCCACCTTGGGGACCCTGCCGAGTGGAGCGAGTTACAGGACTCCGGATACTCTTCGGTGGGCTCTGGGAGTAGCGAAACGTTATCAAGTTCCGATGCGACGAGCCCGGTGTCGGATCATGTGTCTGGGGACTCGGAGCCGCAGGTAACAGGCCACATGGATGGTATGAAGCCGGAGCATCGAGAGCCAAAACGACGGTTGTCTGAGATGGCGAGAGATGGCGCTGCAGATCGACCAAAACTTGGGAGTTCCCAACACCCCAAACCGCATGCCAATGGCAGCCGAGTTATGAGCGCGGGCCCAAACCGGGCTAGATGGAGGCGCACCGGGGATTATTTACCGGAAAGAGGAGGGTATGGAAAAGATAAAGAAACGACGGAACAACACTTGGCGGCAGCCAACAGTGATATCAAACCCGGAGCAGCGGTTTCCTTAACCTACGCGCCAGGAGATCCGGATTTAGGGACGTTCTTTTGATCCTAGTAATAGTGTGAGATCTAGTTACTATCGATGAGCTATTGGTAGGTAAATACCATTGGTCGTGGAGAAGTGTGTCGTGTATCTGGCTGATGGAGGGTTTTATGCAAGCCCGATTTATTTCTCATCTCGACCCAGGAGACGGTCATAAAGAGTGGTGAAGGGCTCTCGTGTCAGCACCGGGATTTGGACAGTTGACACGAACAGCTAATCCTAGCACACCGGGCGTGATAACCATCAAGAAAGATAACTACCGCCTAACTTCGAGTGCCATTATCCCGCGAGCAAGGTTGAAAGAAGGCCCCGGTAAGCCCAGCGTATAATAGGGATGTTTAAAACCCTCATGTAACGTCAATTACGTGCTTGCTCTCCATTAACGAACTTACGCTCGGCCAGGTCATCAATTTCTCACTTGAGTGCCCCTTTAACCAGGTCAGGAGCCTCTCAGTCCGCGGAATAGCTTGGCACATCAGATCGCCGCTTGAAAATAACTTCTTTGGGTTCGTTGCTCTCACCGTTGACGTGTCACTCAGGCAGGTATTATCCCACTCGGCGCCTCCGATCGGCTCTCGACTCGGCACCGCTCCCTCGCCTGACCAGCGCATTCGCTCTAAATCGCAAAACTACCGTGATGGCCTATCTCTTGGCCTTATAAAAGAGGTTTCGAAATGCTTCTTGGATCCGCTTCACCGCGCGTCTTTTCTGTGCATGCCCACTGACTAAATTCGGGCGAGGGAGCCGAGGCTAGATTAACCTAGGTTGGCTACCTAAAAGCAGCATGATCAGCTTACATGTTCATTTTTACCTCGCGTCTCAGTGGCTGTGGCAATCTGCCGGATAGTCCCCAGAACCACTGACCCCAGTTAATTTGTCTGAGACGCATCCCGGGGGCAAGTGCCGGCATCGCAGTGGCTGGCCAAGGCTTTTGACCAGCAGAATAACCGCCGGGTGTCATAAAATAAACGAGTCACTTGAACATGGACAAGGGGACAAATGAATCGTGAAAGTTCTATTTCTAGGGTTCGATATTCCGTTCCTATAGCTATATAAGGCGAACATGGCGTCGAGAGCAAGATGATTTGGCTCGAGTTGACCAAGTTTTGAAACGCAAGCCCATTCACTTCGTGTTGTTGCCCTCCAAGACGGCAAACATGATCATGATGAAGTCTTTTGTCTTGCTCGCAAGCGCGCTGCTGGTCGGCTCTGCCGTCAGCGCGCCGACAGCCGAAATCCCCTCGTTCACCCAGGCCGATATGGACAGCGGCAAAGCCATCCGGGAGCTAGGGCGGATCGCCTACGATAATGCCATGGCACGTGCGGAAAAGGCAACGACCGGCTGTACTAAGGACAAGGTGCGAATCCGGAAGGAATGGTAAGTTCACGCTCGAGGTCACAAAAAAGGGGGTCCAGGGCGGACAATACAGTACAAGGGGAGGAATGAGAACGAGAATTAACCCATCAATAGGCGCAACATGACCCTCGACGACCGCCAGGGTTATCAGCAGGCCGTGCAATGTCTGATGGAGAAGCCGCCGCGACACGAGGGTTTGGACGGCGTCCGATCGGCCTGGGATGACTATGGTGCCCTGCACTACTACCAGACTCCCTACGTGCATAACTCTGCCACCTTCCTCCTCTGGCACCGGCACTACAACTGGGTTCTCGAGCAAGATTTGCGGGATCTCTGCGGATACAACGGTGAGTTCCTCCCGGGGAAACTTCGCCAGACAGGCCTGAACAGGGCTGGGAGCAATCTTTGTGAGCATTGCCCTAACGATACCTAGGTGTCTTCCCTTACTGGGAGTGGGGATTGGATTGCGGTAGCATTGGCTCGATGGACACGTCACCTGTGTTCGACGGCAGCGAGTACTCTCTTGGAGGGAACGGCGAGTTTATCGAGGGCCACCGCCCGGCCATCGGTGGTGCCCGCCCTGGCTCCGGGGGCGGATGCGTGACCTCGGGGCCGTTTTCTAACTACACCGTCAACATGGGCCCGGTCGGTTCGCGGGACCCGCTCGCTTACAACCCCCGCTGCTTCAAGCGTGATCTCAATAACGATGTCTGCAACCGCTGGGCGACACTTCGCAACACCACCGAGCCGATCCTCAACGGCACCGACGTCGCCCTCTTCCAAGCTCTCGTGCAAGGTGATGGTCGCTGGCCGGAGGCTGCCCGCCTCGGGATTGCCGTGCATGGTGGTGGACACTTCAGCATCAGCGGTGACCCAGGGAGCGATTTCTACTTCTCGTCCCTAGAGCCGGGCTTCTACCTCCACCACGGCAACATCGACCGCATGCACTTCATCTGGCAAAACTTGGACTGGGAGAACAGACAGGTACGTTAAATTCAGCTCGCCCAGGGCTCAACTCTAACCACGTGGCAGACCATCTCTGGTACAAACACCATGTTTGACCGGCCGCCTACACCCGAGGCTGTTCTCGAAGACAACATGGGTTTTGAGCCGATTAACAGGAATGTGACAATAGGGCAGACCATGGATACGGTGGGGGGCACCCCGCTGTGCTATGTTTACGAACCATGGTAAAGCCCTGAAATGTTGTGTTGGGATCGATTGCATTGGCACGAAGCTGGCCGTTAATGTTCGTGATTTGCCTCTTAGGGAGGACTGGAAGGGGGTTTGGGGGGGCTTGGAGCCGTGGGTATTTGTTACCTTGGTAGGGTGTTTCAAACGTGCAGTGTCTGTTAGTTTGAGAGCCGCTTGCCTCAGTCAACTTATCGTTACTGCCTGCCGATTACCATGTGTCAATGGTCGTTGTTGTCTTGTGGTTCAGGTGCGGCGGGTGCAAAATGTGAACAGTGCCATCTCTGTCTTCAGTTGAGATGACCCTCAATGCTAAGAACTCGTTCAAGTACAGTCTGCAAGAGCCTGCTATAACCATCCTATTTTTGTTAACGCCCCTCGCCCTCTCCAGATCACTTCTCCTGCGACGCAACAATATCCCTCACCGTCTCCGCCACAACCTCGTGATCGTCCTCCTGCTTCAGCCCACTAACCACCACCACCGCAACAACCCCCTCGACACCACGCACACGCACGGGATACCCACCCCCGTGAATCGCATACTCATCCGCCACGGCCCCGCCGTTGGCGCTCGCAAGCGAATACTTCTTCACAAACGCGGCCTCGATCTCGTCCGCCGCGGGCAGCGCGCTCAGACCGGCGGCCGTCTTCATGCGCATGGCCCAGCTCGACAGGCCCCACCGCAGCACCGTGTTGCGCTTGCGGCGCACCCAGTTCTCGTTGTCCGGGACCGTCCCGGACTCGGTCGCGCTCTGGAAGATGACGTGCGGCGGGCTGCCGCTGCCGCTGCCGCCGCCCGTGGCGGTCGCCAGCGCGATGGAGATGAGCGCGGGCTTGCGCCGGCCCGCCGGCAGGGCGAGGAGCCGCGTGCGCAGGGCGGTGCCGAGCTGCCAGGCCGTGTCGGTGGTGAAACTGCGGAAGGTGTACTCATCACTAGTTTCTTGGGCGATCAGGACTGCCGGCTGTGTCGGGTTGGGTCCGGGTCGGGTTAGTTTGTGCCTTTCAATGGGTGTGTTCAGCACGGCTTCGGGAGGAAGTTCGAAGCCGTGGGTGAGCAAGGCTTACGTCCGTGCTAGGAGCGGCGAGGGCCATTGTGATGGGACCGGGGTTTCTATTTATTCTCGATGGGGGGCCGTAAGGGAAATGAGAGGGGATTTATTGAGCGGCGTTCGAGGTTGGAGACTCGAACCAGAGAGTGGAGGATGCAGGCGGGGGAAGGGGGGTTGCTTCACAGATCCATGATGAGATCCACTCGCCTTATGGATCCACAGCCCTCTCTCATTGAGGGCTCCCAGCAATGCCGTCGAAAGTAAGCCAAGTGTTGCCGGGACGGAATGATACGCACGGAATTAGTTAACTGGAATGAAGTGTGATACTTGAAGATGGTATTTTGCGCAATGGTTACTGAACCGTGTGAGTGATGAATCCGGGTGACCAATTGATACTCGAGGGGTTTGACATCTGCTTCTGCTCTTAAGTCGAAAGACTGATTGCCTACAAATAGGTACTTTATAGTTATGTAGGTAGGAGGAGCTCCGCAATTTGAAGTGTCCAAATTGGGCGGCTGTGAAGCATTGGCGAGTTGTGAAGACTGAAGACACGTAGAACGGGGGCCACCTTTCGCGGAACCTGTGCATTCCTGAGGTCAGACGGCAAGACTGAACACAACGTCCGAAGCGAGAAGGCGAGTCGATGTGCATCCAACCACGTCATCGGCGTGTCCGCGAAGTTACTCAGCGGCCGATTAATTGCTTTGCCTGGCATGGACATACATGAGGTGCCTCATTGGTTTCTTGAGCCTGACCTTCCGTGCCTCGTATGGGAGCCAAACAAGGGCAGGAGCTGGAAGAAGATCACTATACCTGCTGATGAAAAGCGGCCGGAAATAATATTTTATGGTGACAAGTAACTGGTCATTCCCGTGAGAGAAAAATTGCATCATGTTTTCGGCGAGGAAAGAAAATTGTTGAACCAGTTTGAATATTTTTCATCGAGACATGCAGCGGCGGACCTGGGCTGCTTGATGGGTAGGTAATATTGGGGGCGTGGGGGCACAGGGCTTCCACTATCGTGACTTTCACGTCGACTATCTCTCTCAGTCTTGCTGACATCGCCTGTGAGCCTTCCGCGGAGATCAAGGTCGTCAAACCGACCCACTCCCGGAACCACCCGTTGTTTTTGCACGACAGAAGTTTTCTGGGAGAGATAAGGCTCGGTCAGTCGGTGATAAGCGCCGGAGCAAGTTTTTACATGTCCTTTTTAATTTCGGCTTCCTCGCCACGTCTCAGAGAATATGGTGAAGATCGGTGTGCGCTCTCAAATGTCTGGCAGCCATAATAGGATACAAAAATGGAAACCGCCAAATCACTACCATCGCATGCATCTCCGTGACGTTTCTTCTCAGTCGGAATTGGTCTCCAAAGAGTTATATCCGCGAAAGCGTCAGTGATGCATTTCCGAGCCGGATTAGACCGCCTCACCCTCCCTGACTTGCATCTCCGTGTTCTCGCACCCCCGGCCCCTTACCAGCAAATCAGCGCCATGCCCCATCCAGAAGACGTACTAACTTGTCTGTCCAGTTTCCACCCGCCGGGGCTCGTATCATGCATTTCCTATCTTTGCCGGGGAGAAAGCGTTCACCCACAAGTTGACCGCAATATCGCGGATTACCATCCAAAAGGATGACATTCGATTCTGGACACTGATATCTCAGACTTGTGACTCCCCACTCCACCAACATAAGGAGGCCATTGACGGCCTGTGTTGTCATATAAGGGCAGTAGAGCTGTTCCCAAGCCCACTCCAACCGGGTTCGCCAGCAACAAGCAGCCAGGGAGCCGGCCTCGCAACCCTATTCTGTAGACTGTTGTAGAGGACACTCCTACACCCGCATCGAGTTAGCCACCATGGCGTTCAAGTTCTCCGACCTGTATATCGGACCGGACGTGAACCCTGTCAACCGCAAAGCCCGAGCCATTCCTTTTTTTAACCCTTTTGATGTTTACGGCCGTGTCTTCTTCTTTTCTTGGTTTGGCTTCATGATAGCGTTTTGGGCTTGGTATACATTCCCGCCTTTAGTAAGACAGACCACCAACCACCCAACTGCCTCCTCAGGCTTCGTTTGTGCCGTCCCGGTGCTAACACCCGTCCTTGCTCTACAGTTGACGGCCACTATCAAGCATGATCTTTCCCTTACGCCCACCCAGGTGGCCAATTCCAATATCGTATCACTTTGCGTTACGTGAGTGCCACTCGTACTCCGTTCAGACACACGCCGGGCACTTACTATTCCCCCTTCCACAAGGCTCCTGGTCCGTGTTGTCGCTGGCCCGCTCTGTGACAAATTCGGCCCTCGCAAAGTCTTCGGCGGCCTTCTGCTCGTCGGCTCTATCCCCCTCGGCCTCGCGCCCCTCGTTAACAGCGCCGAGGGCCTCTACGCCAGCCGGTTCTTCATTGGCATTCTCGGTGGCGCATTTGTCCCATGCCAAGTCTGGACAACAGGCTTCTTTGACAATAACATAGTAGGCACAGCCACTGCCCTCACCGGCGGGTTCGGAACCGCCGGCGGCGGCATCACCTACTTCATCATGCCAGCGGTATACGATTCTTTCGTAGCACGTGGGTTTAGTACAGGCCAAGCCTGGCGCCTGACCTTCATCGTCCCCCTAATTATGGTCATTGGTGTTGGCGTCGCCCTTTTGTGCCTCTGTCCCGACACCCCGACAGGCCACTGGGGTGAGCGCCAACACGCCATTCAGGAGGATCACAGTAGCATCAGCTGCGAAGCTGCCACTGTTACGGACATCCCCGGCTCCATTACCGACAGATTCCCCTCTGGCATGACTGAGGACTTCCCCGCCAAGGACGGTGACGATAAAAAGAAGAAGGAAACATACGTCTCCGCCCTTGTCGCATTCGACCACGAAGCGCAGATACCTGACCGGGGTATTCAGGGGGGAGCCCACGGCGAGATTATCATGAAACCGACACTCTCCGAGGCCGTGCGTGTCGCTTTCTCCCCACAGACGGCCTTTCACGTCTTTTCCTATATGAATTCGTTCGGCGCCGAGCTGGCAATCAACTCCATCCTCGCGTCCTACTACTTCAAAACCTTTCCGTACTTCTCGCAGACCGACGCAGCCAACCGGGCGGCCATATTTGGCTTCCTCGACTTCGTCACCCGCCCGCTTGGCGGCGCCGTCAGTGATCTGCTCTACAAGCATTCCGGTCACAACTTGTGGCTGAAGAAGGGCTGGATCGTGACGTGTGGTGTTATCGCGGGCACTCTCCTCATTATCCTCGGGCAGCTCAGCCCCAACAACGAGCCAACAGTGTTTGGGCTGATTGCCCTCGTGGCCGTCTTTCTCCAGGCCGGCAACGGTGCCAATTTCTCGCTCGTCCCGCATGTACATCCCTCTGCCAACGGCATCCTGTCCGGCCTTACTGGTGCGGGCGGGAACCTAGGCGGTGTGATCTTTTCCATCATTTTTCGCTTCATGGATGACGGGACAAACTACGCAAAGGGGTTCTGGGTCATTGGGGTAATACATGTCGGCGTCACCTTGGTGTTGAGCTGGATACCACCGTTGCCAGGGGGACAGATGGGTGGGAATTGATGCTTTGCGCGTAGCACTATAATAGAATAAGCAAGGATAAAACTCAAAGAATTCAGTTAAAGCAATGGGCAGAAGCCGTCGCACCTCGGGAAAAAACCGTTTCCCTTGACTCTCGCAGCATTGGGCCGGCCAGTGGTTCACAATCACCAAAAAGCTTTTGCTTTCCGAGAGAAGCAGGACGCAACCCGGTTGCGTGATTGGGCCGCCTTCATCCGCACTCAACAAAACAGCGTGAGATTTACTTCGTATAGTTACCAGGGCAATCATATATTTCAGGACCGAAAGAGTATCGCTTGTGAACTTCAGGGGCCGCGCCCAGGCAATAGTGTCGAATAGACCCCGGTTTGAGGTTCTTTCAGCTCGGGGCCAAAACATGCAAAGATCTTGTGTCCGGCAAACGGCACGGTGTTCCCAGCCACACCCCTGTCTGCGGAAATGACCGTTGGCTTTAAATTAGAAACTCCTTTTTTTGCCTCTGCCTTCAAAAACACGTTCGTCGCCGCATCATGACCTCGCAGCTCGGCAACATCTCACTTATCATTCCGCAATGTATTATCCGGCCTCCCTCGCAGCCCTGTCGGCCTTAGTTGTGCTATCAACCGCCTCACCCAATGGCTGGTCGTCGGTCAAGTCGGCTCCCGATGGGCCAAACAAGCTCGATGAGTGCGGGTGTGGGCTCATCTACCAAACGATGCTCACTTGCCAGAAGCTCAAGGGGCCGAACAGCGGCGTCCGAGACTGCGCGTGCATCCCCAACCCGGACGGGTGGTACGGCTGGATGAACAACTGCCGGGCGTGCCTGTCGCCAGGCTCGCTGGACAACGACGACTTCTTCGACAACCTCTCCCGTACCATCAGCCAGCTGTTTGTCTCCTGCACCGAGGCGGGGGGCGGTATCCAAAGCGACGGCGAGAGCATCTGCGCGAGCAACTACTATTTCGAGGCCTGCACGTCGCTCAAGGGCGACGGACAGCTGAGCTGGGCGAGCTACGAGGTGTTTGCCGAGGGGGAGAAGGGGAACGGGACGTATGTCTTGGATCTTGCCGAGTCCCAGGGGAGTTCGTCGGCGACGGACACTGCGACGCCAAAGACTACGGCGACATCAAGTGTCACTACCGCTGCGGACAGCTCAACAACCGTCACGACTACATCGTCAGTTGTTGATGCGACTGGGACAGAGACAACTTCTGCGGCATCTGAGACGACAAGCCCTTCGTCGGCAATGGGCTATGCGGGGACCCGATCACAGACTGGGCGTATCATGGGGCTGGGGTTGGCGGTGGGGGTTGCGGTCATTGTATTGTAGAATGTGCAAGCTCATTGTCCACGACGACAGCATATGTGTATTAGTAGCGTGAGCAGGTGATTGTGAGGAAGCAACCCAAATTTCATTGGAGATGAGAACTATCTTGGAAAGTGTGTCTCTTGGAACCTGGTTGTGAATATAGAGCTAGGATCGTAGGAGTTAATTGCACAGCGATAGATATTGAATATATAACAGATATTTCAGTAGTTCTCACAGCTTGCCCACAGAAAACAAGAATAAGGGTAGGAGTGTATACTATAACAGCGAAATATAACTCGCGAGGTGGCTGTGCCCTCGACAAGACGTATAAACCCGAGAGTTTTACAGTATTTGAAACTTAGCTAATTATAAATATAGGTTCTTCTAATAAACAATGTATTAATATTGTATATTAAAAGTACGGAATATATATATATACATAAAGTATAAACCCTATTTGTATTTTTTTAAAAATAAGCTTAGATATAAACTTAGAAGTATATTATATATAATAAGTTATAGTAATTAAGAGGAAGTTATTGGTAGTATTATAGTATAATAAGCTATACTCTCGTATTTAAAACATTATATATAGAGATAATAACATTGAAACTTAAATATCATTTATATTAATATAGATCTAGTTATAGCTATATTAACTAGATATAACCTTCTTACTAATTTAAAATATATCTAGGATTCCTATAAAGGGTATAGTAATATATAAACCTCTAGTATTATTATATTATAAATAAAGCTAATTATAAGAAGAGGTAAGAAGCAATGTAAGTCTAGTAGTATATTAGATAATAGTATATATAAAAAGAAGAATAGTAAAGAAATATTTAATATTAACATTATTAAACTATAGAGTTCAGACTACTAGTACTATAGCCATCTAGGAGGCTCAGGGTTGGGGTTAGCTACAGTACTATAACCGAATTTATATAGCTTATAGCTATCTACTGGTATTTTATTTATAGCAGTACTGTTAAGGGCCGGGCTATACCCGGCTAATAGGAGGTTAGGAGCTTTATCCTAACTGTCCCATATCCGGTGCGGTTCCGGGGCGGAACCGTACCGAGTCTACCCAGGTTATATACCGGTAGGTTATATAAGAAGGAATTCCTATATAGGGCTATATAAAATACACTTTCCCTCCTTAAGCTTTTAGAATAGAATATTATATCCCTATCTATAGTTGCTATAGGGCCAGTACCTTATATTTCTGAAAGCTTCTAATAAGATCTAATAAACTACTAGACAAACTATATAATAGAAAACGATATAACCTAACTGTAGGGTAGTATCCCCATTACTAACGAATAGGTTTATTAATATATTTATAGGCTATAATAGAGCCTTATCTAATAGGGTAAGGAGATTATCTATCTCTAAGCGATAGCTAGCTACTTAAAATATAAACCGTTTAAACCTATCCTATTTAAAGGTAAAAAAGAGCTGTTCCTATCTTAGAAGAATATAATATAATATATCCTTACTAACGATAGGGACTTTATCAGTTATAACTACAATTAGTAGATCTTCCTTTAGGGAAACCTTTTTAATATAATTTGGAAGAAGGTTATAGCCTTTTAGTAAAGGTAGGTAGACTAGAGTAGTCTAATATAATATAACTTTTTAAGCTTAACTATATACTCTTCTAGACAATTAGATAAACTACTATAGAATAAGGTATCTTATAGATTAACTTTAACTAAACTATAGCTAGCTATTATAGAATTATAACTAACCTTACAGTTCTATATCTAAATATTAAATAACCTTAGAAATAAGGTTATTAAAAGGATAATATAATAGCTCTATTATATAATACTAATAGTAACTCTCTAATAACTAGTATTAATATTATATAGATATATTAGAACTATTTTAGTAATAGCTAGTATAAGGAAGGGAAGAACTATAATAAGGTAGGCCTATAGAATACTAATACTCTATATATAAAATAGATCTCTTAGAAAGTTTAGAATATTAGATAGACTATTAGCGTATATATCTATTATAGTAATAAAGGCTACTTTATAGTAGAGCATCGATTTACTCCTATTATAAATCTAAACTAGAAAGAAGGATAGAGAGTTAATATTAACCTTCTAGATATAGATAATTAGAATAGAGAGGATAAGACTTCCGATAATAAAGAGGATAATTAGGGAAAGAAGTAGCCCCTATATAGAGTTTTATAAAGGGGTCTCTACTACCTTTCTACTTTAAGAATAAGTTAGAAGAGATTAGAGAGAGAATAGATAAACCCCCTTTTCTTATTCCTATCCTTTTAAACTTATCTAGCTTTATAAATATATAGATAGATAGTAGTTACTCTAATTATAATATAATAAATAAAAGATTATATTAAAAGCTAGGAATTAAATAGATTAGTTTATTAATTTTTAGGATATTAGAAACTATAGTTAGATTATAGAAAGAGGGAAAGAGTATATAGATATCCTATATAATAATAGATATTAATAGATAGATAAGCTAGATAATATTTTATATTGTTTCTAATCTCGTTTAAAATATTATTCTAGGTCTTTTATAGATAAGATACCGGAAATTTATACTAGATATAGATACCGGCCTATTAAAGGTTAATATATAGTCAGAACTCTCGATATAAAGTTATACTATATATTTTAAGAAGATAGAGATCTTTTAAATTATAGATATAGTATTTACCACTATAGTATAGTATATATAGAGATAACAAATATTTAAAACCAGCTCCGAAATATTCCTCTCAATGGGTATTAGGGAAATAACAGCTATACTAGAGAAGACCTACCTATATCTTATATCCAAAGTAGATATAGTATAGATATTTCCTATAGAACTATAGGACTTTACTAACCTCTTCGATAAGGAGAAAGCTGGTAGGCGACCTCTATACCGAAGTAAGATTAACTACTATATTAAATTAAAAAAGGATATAGATAGGAATAGTCCAGAGCTTTTATAGGGGCCCCTATATAATATACTCTATAACTACCTCTTTAAAGTATAGAAGTAGATTATTAACCTAATAGATAAGGGCTAGATATAGGTAAGTTTATTATTAGCTATAGTCTTAATCCTCTTTAGAAAGAAGATAGATAGAGGATAGAGATTCTATATTAATTACCAGGCCTTTAATAAGATTATATAGTAGTACTATTACCCTCTCCCCTTAATTAAAGAGACCTTCTATTTATTTACTAAAGTAAAGTAATTTATAAAGTTCGATATCTAATTAACCTTCTACTAGATTGGGATAATAGAGGGAAATAAATACCTTATTATATTCTATATCTATTTTAACCTCTTTAAATAACTTATCTATCTTTTTAAACAACCGTAAAAGCGCCTCTATATGACCAAAACGCCTGCACAGAGCCGCACACACCGTAAAAACGCAAAGCCGACAATAGAATCGTTTTCGCAAGGGCCAATTGCCCCTAGGAACAATACCGCACAATGGCGTACGCAACGGCGCCGCGGCGGAACCGATGGTGGTTGACGGAGGCACAGGTGGGCTCGTATCGAGCCGCTACCACGCCCTCGCCAACCTCAGCGATAAGCCGCCAACTGCGCCGCGCGATAACGATAATACTGCTGTAACTTAGATACGGGCGGGAGAAGATATCTACGAAGAGAAGGTTAGACAATTTATAGTTAAAGTAATAAAAATAAACGACTTTGTAGAGGTTACTAAGGACTAAAATAAGTAGGTCTATAAAATTTTTATAATAGTAGTTGCTATTAAACTGCTGAAGGCCCCTAGTATTAAACTAATATATATAATAAAGAATAATTTTAAAGAGGTTAAGTAGATACTCTAGGAGATCTCTAGGAAAGAGAGAGTCGGTACTAGGCTCTAGCCCTAGCGATCCTATATAGATATTATAGACAGCTATAGCACCGGTAATATAGGTTATAGCGGCTAGCTAGCTGTGAAACCGCCGATAGCCTAGAAGTATATACCGGCAAGATTTATAAGGTAGATTATAGTCTATACCTAGAATACCCCTACTAACCTCGATAAATAAATAGCTAAAGAAATAATCTAGATAATTAATATAGCTATAGCTAGGAGTAGTATAAAAGCGGTATAGAGGCTCCCTAGTAGTAACGTTATAATTATATTTAAGGAAAAAGAAAGGGACTAGTATATAGAAAACTAAGGATAGGTTATAAAAGTATTTAAACCGGAGGTAATAATTACCTTTAATATAATCCTAATTATTATATAAAGGATCCTATAGGTAAGTATCGATAGAACTAATATAGAGATATTGGGAAAGTAGCTATCCGCTACGAATATAGGTATAAAGATTATAAGGGCTAGACCCTATAGGAGGAGATAAGTAGAGAATACCCAGTTTGAGAGGCTACTGTTTAAAGTTCTTTCACTAAACTATATAAGCTACCTTATAGGTAAGCCCCTCTTCTAGAAGGGGGGAATATACTACTATAAGCTCTATAAGCTTATAGCAAATATACTATAGTACTTTATATACTATTAGTTCGGCTACTTTATAGGAACCTATAAGAATAGAAAGATTTACAGAAGGTATAGCGGCAATAGATATAAAGGGCTAAGATTCGGAGAAGATATGTGCCCGGCGAATATAAACCCGAACCTTGTCTACTACGGGCCCTATAGGGACTAAGGGAGGGGCTACTTTACCTTCTTAAGGGACTGCCCGTATATATACAGATAGTAGGAAAGGGCCTTAAAAGCCTACTACGAAAGGCCTCGGTCCTTTATAGCTATATAGAGGGAGGAGGTTAGAGAGCCGATAAAGTAGGATACTAAAGTTAAAGCCCCCCCCCCGCTAGTAGCTATAACATTACTACTATAGAACGAAGGACCTAGATAGGAATTAGGCTATAGAGGGTTTATAGAGGTCTAGCCGAGGAGGAGTAGCCGGAATAGAAGAGATACTACACTCAGTATATAGGGAAGACCCTTCGGGTACCCTCTGAAGTAGAGGCTCTAATATAGAGGCCTCTTAGTAATTGTAATACTTAATAGGACTTATAAAGTCTACAGATCTATAATAGATAATAAAGGCTCAGATACTAACGGCTCGATAGCTATAAATACTACCTCTTCCTAATAAAAGAGTAGAGGATTCTCTATTAGAACGTTATAAAGTTATATAAGAGGATAAGAGATATAGTAGA